ATTTAACTTTAAAAAATTACTAATATTATTATAATATAATAATTAATAATAAAAAGTAAAAATTATATAAATTAATAAAATTATTATTAAATATTATATAAAACTAGCTAAACTTAATATAATATTAGTAAAAGTAAAAGAATAAGCTAAAGTTAATAAAGATAAGCCTTTAGCTAAAATATTATAATAATATTAAAAGTATAAAAAGTTATACTAGCAGGTATTTAAAAAAGAATTATTACTTTATTTAAAATAGGATTATAAAATTATTCTTAAGGATAGAATTTTATTAAAGCTTTATAAAATTTATAATTTTAATAAAATTAAGTTTAAAATACTTAAAAAATAGCTATAAATATAATTAAATAAAGAATATATTAAAATATTAAACTCTTTAGTAAAGTACTTTATTATTTTTATATTAAAAAAGAATAAAAAGCTTTATTTAATTATTAATTATAAATAGTTTAATAAAATAATTATTAAAGATAAAATACTTTTACTATTAATTACTAAAATTAAGAAAAGACTATAAAACATAAACTAGTTTATAGCCTTAAACTTTATAAAAGCCTATAAACTTATAAAAATAAAAAAAAAATATAAATAAATAACTATTTTTAAAATAAAATATAAATTATTTAAATACTTAATTATATTATAAAGATTTATAAATATATTAGTATTATTTTAAAAAAAAATTAACTTTATTTTTAAAAAATACTTAAATAACTTTATAATAGCTTATATTAATAATATTTTAATTTTTTTAAAGACATTAAAAGAATATAAAGAATATATTTATAAAGTATTATAAAAACTATAAAATATTAAGCTCTTTATTAACTTAAATAAATACTAATTTTATATATAATAAATTAAGTTCTTTAAATATATTATTATATTAAAAGAAGTTTAAATAAATTTAAATAAAGTTACTGCTATTTAAAATTAAAAACTTTTAAAAACCTATAAAAAATTATAAAGTTTTTTAAAACTTATTAATTATTATTAAAGATTTATTTAAAAGTATAGTAAAATTATAAAACCTTTAATTAATATTATTTAACTTAAGGAAAATAAAAAAGGTAAGAAGAAATAAAAAAATAAAAAACTATTTTAAATTAATAAAATAAAATTAGTATTTTAAAAACTTAAGGATGTTATTATAAGTAAATTAATACTTATTATATATAACCTAAATAAGCCTATTAAAATAAAAATAAATACTTTTAATTTTGCTTTAAAAGAAACCTTAGAATAATAAAATAAAAAAGAAAGACTTAAATTAATAGCTTTCTTTTTTAAAAAATTATATAATTTAAAATTAAAATATTTTATTTATAATAAAGAATTTTTAATAATTATTAAAGTATTTAAAAAATAATAATATTATTATTTAAGAAATAAATATAAAATTAAGATTTATATTAATTATTAAAATATATTTTATATTATAATTATATAATAACTTTTTATATAATAAACTTATTATTTTAAGTTTTTAGTAGACTTTAACTATAAAATTATTTACTATAAAAGAATAAAAAATAAAAAAGCTAATGCTTTAAGTTAAAAAGAAAAATATTTTAAAGAAATTCTTAAATTTAAAGTATAAATCTTATATAAAAATAATTAAAGGAATTATAAATAAATTAAAATTAATACTTTATTTATTATAAAAAAATATAATTTTATTTTTAATAAAATTAAAGATTAAATTAAAGATTAATAATTAAAATAATTTCTTAAGAAAGTAATTATAATTAATAAACTTTTAAAATAAAGTAAATAAATCTAGATACTAAAGGAACTATAATTAAAAGTAATTTAAGATATTTATTATAATATAATTACAGCAGTATATTAAAGTATATAAACTACCTATAACTATATATTATATTACTATTACTTTAAAGGATTTAAATAAAAAGTTAAAAAAGTTATTAAAAAATATAATATATATAAGAAAATAAAGAATAAATAACATTAACTATATAGAAAATTATAACTTATTTTAATTCTTAAATAGAATTAATATACTATTATATTTAACTATATTATTAATTTACTAAAGTTAAAGGAATTATTAATTAATATAGTTTATAATAATATTTTTATAGTAATAGATAAGCTCTTTAAGTAAGTTTATTTTTTATTATATAAGAAATCTTATATTATAAAAGATTTAATATATTTTTATATAAGGCATATATTTATAAAATATAAATTACTAATAGAAATTATATTAAATAAAAAAAATACCTTTACTTTTAAGTTTTAGTAAGAATTAATAGCTAAATTTAATATTTATTATAAGTTAAATACTATATATTACTTATAAATAAATAGCTAAATAAAAAAAATAAATTAAGTTATTAAAGTATACCTATAATACTATATTAATTTTATATAAGATAATTAAGTAAAAAAGCTTTTTATAATATAAAATTAATATAATAGCTTTATTTTAAAGTCTACAGGAGTTATACTGTTTTATATTAATTATAGATTTACACTAAAAGCCTATAGACTACTTTATAATAATTTAAATATAGAAAATGCTTAAATTTTAGCTAAAGATATAATTTAATTATAAAAAGAACTTAAAGAATAACTTAAGTTTATTTAAAATTATATAAAATAATAAGCTAACTATATAAAGATTAAAGGACTAACCCTTTAAGAGGGGGATATAGCTTATTTATTATAGTATTTATATAATAAAAAGCTGCTAAATATTAAAATAAATTAATTAAATAATAAATTAAATTTTAAAAAACTTAAATTATTTAAAATCTTAAAGAAAATTAAAGAAGTTAACTATAAATTAAACTTATTTAATAATATAAAATTAAAAACAGCTGTCTTTTATATTTTATTATTAAAAAAAGCATTAGTAGATAAAGAAATAGGTAAATTAATTATAAATAAAATTATTATTTAAAATAAAGAAAAAAAATATAAAATTAAAAAATTAACTTATATATAAATAAATAAAGAAATAGGTAAATAAAAATATTTTATAAAATAAAAAAAATATAACTTATTTAAAGACTTTTAAATTCTAGAAAAAGAACTTAAGAAAAATACCTAAATAATTTTATAAGAATTTTATTAATTATTAAGGGTGGAAATAATAATAGGTTTAAATTAAAAATAGATTAATTAATGTTATTAATAAACTAAAATAGGTTAATAGAAGAATTAAGCACTAAAATAGCCTAGCAAGCAGCCTTTGCTTTATATTTTTTATACTTAACCTACTTTAACTTTTTTAAATTATTAATCTTTTATTTAATAGCTTTTTTTATTTTTTTAAACTATTCCTTTTTTTAAATATAAAAATACTTTATGCATACATTAGCCTTTAATTAAGCCTCCTCTGCCCTCTTTAACTTAAAGTTAAAATTAATATCTTTAGTTATTATTTTCTAAAGCTAAAATATAAAAAGACTAAAAGTTTTATAATTTAACTATTAATAATAAATATACTATAAGTAATATAAAGAATCTTCTTTAAAAGTAAAATATTTATAACTATACTTTTTATAATAAAAATAAAGCTTTATAATTAATAGCATAAGTAAAATAAAATATTTAAGTATATTATATTATAAAACCTAAGAAAACTTAAAATACTTACATTTACTATTAGTTATTTTATTAACTAAAATTAAAAAAATAAAAAAAGCAGAAATTAATATTTATAAATAATAAAAAAAGTATAAATTTAAAAATAAAGTCTTAAGAATAAGACTAATAAAAGGGAAGTATTATATTATAATTTAATACTTAAGGTTATAATAATAGGCCTACTGGGTAAGCATAAATAGATTAACTTTAATTTATTAATTAATTATAAACTATTTAATAAAATTTATTATTAAATATACTAAATATAACTTAATAAACTTAACTATTAAATACATTAAAGACATCTAGCTAATTAAATATATAAGTTTACTTCTTATGCTTTCTTTAGATAACTTAAATAGCCAGTTATTAATATAGTTTTATATCTATAAATTAAAAAGCACTTTTAATCTCTACTAGTAATTATTATTATAATATTATTGCCTATAGGTTTTCTAACCCATCCTCTAATATAAACCTAAAGAACTTATTCTAGGTTTATCCCTTGGGAATCTACCCTATACTAACTATCTAGTGTACGGTTTGTTATAAAGTATTGTGCTATTATATAAAAAGTATATAATACAATTGAAAATATCCTTACAACTATATGAAAAAGAGCTAGAGTTAGCTTTATATATACATACATATATATGTGTAAGTATACAACAAGGCAAATATACTCTTTCTTTTTTCTTTTCTATATTTAATTTCCCTTAACCCTAATACATACCAATTCTAAATTTTATTAATACAGATAGATTTAAAAAGCTAATAATCGCACAATCACATGTCAATACTTAAATATATAATCTTTGTTAATATTATATAGGACTTTTGTAAAAACCCAGCTTGTTGGCGCTAGTAATATTTACTAAGCACCGCCCCCTTTCAGCCGAAAGTTCCTCAAGAAGTTAAATAAAAAAAAAGCAAAACATAGATAATGCATAGTAAAATAAATATCTATTACTATTAGTTGAATTATTTATTTTATTATTTATTTTATAAATATAAAAATGTAGGGCTTGTGGCTAGTATAGTATAAATGAAATATTATAATAAATACTAGTTAGGGTTACTTTAATTTTTTCTTTAATTTATAGTTTAATTTTCTTTAGCGACTATATTAAAGTTCTATAAACACAGTTTATGGAATTCCATCCTTGACTATATAGCAGTGTTGCAGATAATAAAATAGATACCCAATAATTATTGTACAAGGTTTCTTTCGTAAAGTGTTTTATAGAAATGTTTGACTAGTAGTACTAATCTTAACCTGTTCAGCTTCTGTGCCCATTAGCCTTCAGTGAATTGGTAGAGAGATAATGATGCAGAATATCCTGAACAACATCGTAGAGATGTGATATTCCCACTAAGACGCTTCGTTCCCTTTCGTTTGAGAGATCTTCGACGTACTTCTCAGCCACATTATCCGAGAAAATGTGCAAATAACTAAATTTAATTCTGCTCCTAATAGCTGCCTGTGCCATCATTCCAACTTCGGGATCCACGAAATCCGCATAGACAGGCAACGTACTTAACCAATCCTTGGTTTCATGCAGGACACTTCCCAGCGTGACATGATTTCCAACAATTACGCAATCCAAGGCCAGAAGAAGGGTTGAAGACTCGAGAGAATTCTCCCACTCCACGAGCTGACCTTGCACGTACGATCGTCCTCCCGTTGCCAAGTAATTATTTGGTCTGATGCTCTTTTTCACGCTGCCAATTTTACCAAAGTATATAACCTCGCGAACAGAGAGAAAGGAGGCCAGGTAGTGCACGACTTCGCCAGCAATGTCGCCCCAGAATGATGGTCGGCACCCTATAAAAGCGACCACTCGGTTATTGAACCGTCTCACTACCCAGCCGAAACAACCATCTCCGCCCCGCCATTCAACATCTCCTGTGAGCCGACTCAAGCGATGGAAGAGACCAAGAACCACCGTGTCGACATCAGACGGAAGCTCTTTCAGATTGGTAGAGTGGAGGGCTCTCTGAGTATCTGAACAGGAACAGGGAATAAAATTGACATTCGAAGGTATAGTCAGCGCTTCGTTACCCTCTCGTTGCTGAAGGTCAAGATACGTGGCAATTAACTCAGCATAATGCTCAACGTGGTCGTAGCCGGGGAAACACTGGATTTGGAGCTCATTGCCGACAATAAGAGCAGTCGGACACTGCCAATTGAATGATTTGTCTGTCTTCTCACCATGGAAGATCTCTGATGGGCTGGTTCGAGTATATTCGCCAACAACTGTAATCTTGTCATATCTTCGGCTTCGAATTGCTTGATGCATCTTGATTTCAAGATATCTATGCAAGGATGTGCCCATAGTATGACTTTCGACAGTTGCCGTGCAACGAGGAGGTCTGGCTCGGGTGAGGGAGACAAGCGTCATTGTAAATAAAGTGATGGGCTTTGCTCTTTTTCTTAGGGTGATGAAGAAATGTTCCTGGATAGAAGACCACTAATTGAACATATCTTTTTATAGGGTGTCGATTTTCGTAGTGCCAACAGACTTTGCCTGCTCATAGCTTCTTGTTTCCTGTCCAGACAAGTCCTCTAGGTGGGCCGTCTGGGGATTCTTGAATCGTTTAAGCGGAAAAGTCGAACTAAAGCCAACGTGAAGAATCTCCATTGCTAAAGTTATTACCATATCCAGAGCCGTCGCCGACCTAGGCAGTAAAGGTTCGTTACTAAATATTGTTCTGATTTTACTATGTGGTACAGTGTAGTATTTTTACTACTTTACTCGCCCTATTAACGCATACGCTCCTACATTGGGTTATATAGCTAGTAGTCTCATCAGGTTCCCAGATGTCATCAGACCTGACGCCCACGAATAGCTATATAGCAAACCAGATCAATCTTCTTTTTATTACAAAATTTTCCCGGATGTTATTCCTAGATAGAACGGGTGTGTTCTCCTTCAGTTCAAGAACTGGGCACAGCCGAAATCTCACGCTTTCTCTGTGCCATCGCAGCCAACACTACTCGTTGAAAACTGGTAGATGCCCTTGTATCCCTCGACCGTTTGTCCCATTTCATCAAACACAATTTGAGCGAGTTTGGCGTTTTTATGGAGAACAACTCCGTGGGGGTTTTTTACTTCCATCAAAGCTCCCATAGCACCCTCATAACCAGCATCTACCACGCCAGCATAGACTCCCACGCCGGACCGCCATAGCGATGACCTAGGAAATATACTTGCAATGCAATTCAGTGGGATCTGAACTGTCTCGTTAAAGTCAACCAAATAGGCGCCAGGTGGTAATACAATTTTGTGGCTGGTATTATCGAAAAGCAGGCTGGAGACTTTGGCTGCCTCACGCTTGCTATTATCGAAGTCGATTATGGCCGCTGAAGTCCAGTGAGAAACCTGACGCAGAGTCAGATCGACTCCACATGGCTGTTGTTGCTCAGAGGCATGGCGTAGGTTGCGCACCAATTGACGGTTGACGATTTCAAGTCCAGAGATAATCATGGTGGGGATTTGAGCTAATACGTGTAGTTCATGGGATAGAAGTATGGATAAATGGATTTGGCAGTAGGATTGCGGCAAGTGCAAGTGCATTTATTTACAATCTAACTAGTTCTAATCCGAGCGCCGAATAAAGCGGATATGATTAGGTAACGTTGTATGTTGGATCTGTTATATTATGCTCCGTAGGTAGATATGGTTAGACTGACTACAACACCATTTGCTAAGGCATAAACGCTTTTTAAGGTTAAAATTAGCAAATGGTTAGGGTTAGGTACAATAAGCTCCTGTCAAAAGTTCCCGAGCCCCCTCCACTAAAAAAGTGTTGCGTTCTTGAGAAAAACCCTGGCTCTATTAATTATATGTAGGCAACTTTACAACAAAACATACGTATAACATGCATATGGACTAACAAGTAATATTCGTAAGAGAGTCGGTCTGCAATTGTGGATCGATTATATCATAAATCTCCTCATATCCTTTGGGTCCATAAGTCATACCTTTCCATTTTGGGAGAAATACAATAGTTAACCAATTCCCCTTCCTCAATACGAAAACTATTAGTATCAGAACTAAAATAAACGCGATTAGACGTCACTCACAGGATAAAGCTTTTGTCCCTAACATTAATCCCAAGTTCATAACTAACAGGGAAGACTCCATATTTATCAGTTCTTCCGAAAGACTTCACCCCACCGCACTATCGCATGTCCACTAGTGGCAATTCTACTAACTCCGTCTCCCAAGGCCAGTAGGGTAGCATTGGAATTGCATCACTCTTTGTAACTGTAACAGGTTGCTGGAACTGCTGTGGACGACTCGCTAAGATTTCTGGCAGGATTTTGTTGTGCTTTTCGAGTTCTGTTGCCATGTCCTTATCTGGGTACCCGCCACCTCCATCTGTGTTTCGAGTAACAATATCCGGCACGTTGTATTTTCGCAAGTCAGCAGAGAGTCGGGTAGGCCAAATCGGAAAAGTTTCGTTTGTAGAGCTGGGCTGCCTTTGGGCATCACACAGCGCCTTCACGAATGGCGCGGAGTCGACATAAAACCCGGCCAAATGCGCAGCTTGACAGCAAGCAGAATTTTCTTGGATTTCATAACCCCGACCCATCGAGCTCTCTTGCAATACTTTCGTTATATGATGATCTATTTCGCTAGTTCTTCAGCCCATATTAAAGGGTAGAATAAAAAAAAAGAAAGAAAGAAAAGAAAAACCTTACCGCAATGAGAAGACAGATTCCGACGTTTGACCGGTCGACCATTCGGATTTGACTTCGACCTGGTTGGTTTCTTTGATCTGAAATTGATATTGTTCGTGGCGGCCCATGTTAGAAAATTCCCTTGAATCCATTCCATCATCTTGTAGGTCAAATGGCCAAAAATTAGCTCAGTCACATGGTCACATTCCTTCACTGCTGTTTTAATTCCCCTATTAAGAAGAGCTGTGATCATGTTATCTCGATCATCTCCTATCACAGGTAGGCGTTCCCACCTACTTTCTTGATCAGATGGGAGCAAAAGTACAACCAAAATGCAGCACTACTTACACAGTTGGAGAAATATCTTCAGGAAGCACTAACAGCGCATCCGTACCCCCTAAGCTCGCTGCAATTGAGTCGTATTGCTTCCCCTTTCGGCTCCATTCAGATATCAATCTCCCAACATTTTCTGGACTGGTTGTATCGCCGGAAGTACAAACGGATGTAACGCAAATGTAGTCCGCTAAGATGTGGAATTCGGGGCCAAGCTGCTCTCGTAAACGATGGATTGCAACGTAGGCTAGTCTAAGTTGAACAGGCACAAGCGACGCCTGGGTGCTGAGTCGATTTGTAGAATAATATAAAGAAACGGCGTAGTCATCGGTCATAGGCTGAGAAGCAGCTTCCAGGCCCAGGACAGACGTTGGATTATCACGCCATATTGGCAGTTGATTTTTGACCGCCTTTTGAATCTCGATTCTACGCGTCGATTTGGTGGCGCTGTTCCAAAACTGGTCTTGTTTTTTTTCTCAAACCCAGCCTTTTCTGCACAACACGTTTGACTGATTCTGGAGCACTACTCCAAAACTTCGACAGATCATCAAGGAACTATTAAAGGCGGGCAAGTTGTAATCGAAAGAGGACAAGAAAAGCGACAACATACATTTTCTATAGGCAATGAGTCACTTGCGTCGAAGCCCTCACAAGTCTTGCCTAGTTTTTCGGCGAATTCCACACTTGCTGCAACACCCATTGCTGTGTTGATCGGCTAAGGCAAATGCGTTCGGTTTGAGCATCAGCCTCAATACCTGGGTATGCCAAGGCATTAGTGTGCAACATATTTGCGAAGCACATACCATGTCTACCAATTCAGTCCCTGGTCCTTAATAATCACGTTGGAGTATATTAACCCCGTAAGTGGGATCTATGATAAAAATGGGAAGCTAGGTTGGTGCCCTGTAATGCCCTGCATGTGAGACAAATCAAGGATGTTGTTCCGTGAAACAGTTCCGCTTGGGTTACATTACGCTAGACCCGCCCAACCTGCAGGTTCCATTCGGTGTTAACTACGTTTGTTAGTGGTCTGGTTTGCTTCCCCAATAGTCTATCTTCTGTGAAGGAACCATGTGACTTATCGTCGCATTGAATCTTCGCTGTGGTGAGGTCTGATTAGTTAGACTTTTGTAACCAAGGTCTCGTATATTAGTGCCAGAGACACGTTTTAAACACTAACATTGCCTCTTTTCCTGGTCGATCTTTGGACTTCCAGATCTCTTCGAACTAGTATCTAAAAACTACTCTACATTGCAAACTATCTGTGCCACTCTGAACCACAAAACCCAGTACTATATGTTAAGTGTATTTACCGGAAAGATGGGCAATGAAATGTACACTTCTCAGGATTTTTTTAATCCATGTTGAAGCCGGTAACAAAGTTGCGAAATTTGCGCAAGTACAGTCAAAACTCTTCCCTAATAAACTGACTTAAGCATGGGTTTTTCAATTAGCACTCTCAAAAGTTCGCTGTCTTTGGAGCTTTTCGAGCCCTACATCTAGACTCAAAGATGTGCTACGAAACGCCTTTTACCTTGATTTGGTGGTGAATGTCACCACAGCAACTTCCGACGAGCTCTTCGGAGCTGACGACGGTGGTATGGCCAACGGTTACCAGTCAAAAGTCAAGAACTAGGTGCAGCTCGAGCGTCTGGTGTGTACATGTTACAATTTGAGGGCAAAGCCCGGTGAGGATAGACTTGAAATGGCCATCAAAATCATACTTGTGGCTCGCGCTGGCTACCTGTGCAGGAAAGATATTCTGGAGTTGAGGATGCGTCATTCCGAATGGATTGAATCTGTGATTCCATTTTCAACCGCTAACGGCTACTATCCCTCCGTTGAACGAGACGCAGAAAATGATCTTCTCGCTCTGCTAGTATCATCTCCTGGAGCTTTACTTCTGAGAAAACCGCATAATACTTTGTACCGAGAGACGATGAAGACCGTCGAAGAGGATCTGAAGGTACGACTATCATTCGATTGGGTACTGCCGACTCCGCCCTCGGAACGAAAAGTGGCTATGGTAGGCGGACGGAGCATGTTTGACGCAAAAAACAAGGGATTCTGCTATAGGGGTGCATATGAAGCTGCTGAAGCTCTTGGAATTTCTGTCGTTGTGGTCGACCGACCGGGATATTGGCTCCAAGACGAGGCATACTCTCAGCTTCGGAGTGACTTTGTTTCTATTGATATGATCATAGACGAGGGGCTACCATCGAGAATTGCAGACGCTGTCAAAGACTTGGAGATTGACGGCATCGATTCATTCGCAGATGAGCTTGTAGGTGCAACTGCACAAGCAGCAGAAAGACTGGGTCTTCCAACCGACCCCGTGTCGGCATACATGCGGGCTCTTGACAAGCACGAAACAAGCAAGCTATTCAACACAACTATCCAAACACTTCTTCTCGACAATGCAGGACTGTTGGATGACCCGTCGATGTTACCGCAATTAGAATCCTTACGCTACCCCTTGATCATCAAACCATGTCGAGGTGGGGGTTCCAGAGGGGTTATGAAAGCGAATAGCTGGGCGAGCCTGCGTCAGGCTGCGCGTCAAGTGGAGGATTGGGGTTATTCTAAGCAAGGCATTCTCATAGAAACCTATGTCGATGGCCCAGAAGTGGATGCCAACTTTGCGCTCTGGGAAGGCGAGATACTCTTTTTCGAAATATGTGACGATTTCCCCTGTGATGCCGATGCGGAAGACGCCACGACCTCCGATACTTTTGCCGAAGACAACATGGTTATGCCCAGCCGCCTACCGCGCGAGGAGAGAGACTTGGTTCGGTCATCCTTACACAACTCGCTTCTTCAGTTGGGCTTCCGCTCGGGTGTTTTTCACGTGGAAGCCCGGATACAGAACTCGACAATGCGTTACCAAGATACCAACGGCATCGTCGATTTGGAGTCGGCTGACGGCATATCAGAAGGAGCGGGAAACCGAAGGCAACCTGAAGTATTTCTAGTTGAAGTCAACCCCCGGCCAGCGGATTTTGATAACATTTACGGAATTGCGTACACCTATGGTGTCGACTTCAACAGTCTTCATTGGCTGCGAGCCCTTGACGATGGTGCGCGTTTCACAGCCCTGTGCCACCCCTTTACCTGTGGTACACAGTACTACTCATGTATTTTGGTTATTCCCATCCACAGAGAGAATGTCTTCGTACCAGAAAACTATTGTACCGAGATATTGAGGCGGCTGCCCGAGGTCGCACCGTATGTGTCTGGAACAGAATGTTTTACAGCAGGAAAGAGGGTGTCGCCTGTAGGAGGGGCTGGGCATATTGGTTCTTTTCTGGTTTACTCTAAAAAAAGTAGAAGAAATTTACTAGAAATGTGTATGTATATTAAGAAGGTTTTCAGAGATATTCTTGATAATATTTAGGTTCTTACCCCTAGCAAAACTGAAAGTTTTGCCTTTTAAAAAGCTGTTATATTATATTATACCAGGTTTATTAAACCAGGTAATAGGAAATCTTGCTTAATTTAAAAGGATTGCTGTTATTACTTACATTTACAATAGCATGTAGTTAGTTTTCAACCCCTTTCAAGTCCCTTTTATTAAGTCTATCTGTATTAAAACAGCATAATGCTGCTGCTTTATATAGAATTTAAGGTACTAAATTATAGCGCTTTAATAACTATAATATAGCACTAATACTGCTATAATATAGCAATTAGTTTACTATATTTAAATGACTAACTTATTGTAAGGCAGCGGTAGAATAAAGCGCTATATTATAAAGGTATAGGTAATAGTTATAGTGTATAAACGGCTGTATTATAGTAAGCTATGCACTATAATATAGCAGGCTTAGTGTGTTTTAAAAGCGGCGCCTCTACTTCTACCAAAGGAAGCTAGTCTTAGATATTCAGTACCTCGGGGGGTCGAAAACTAACTACGTGCCACTGTAGCAAATCATATCGTTAATAAGTCTAGTTTTCGCCTCATTTGTGCCAGAAAGCGGATCCCGATTATTGATCACACTGAGCTGAGAATGCACTCTTTATGAGCCCGGGCTTATTATTGGTTTAAAGAGGAATAGTGATAATATTGCCTCAAGCTAGAATAGAGCTGTTGATTGACAACCTAGATTATTGGTTGCTATTCGATGTAACGATGTATTCTGTTACGAGACTCCAGAATTGGGCACTAGGGTCATTGGAATATTGGGCGTTATCACAGCTCTTGACGGAGTTGAGCATAGGCATGTTGCGACTGATGGAGTTATTATATCAACTCAAACCTCCAGATCGCTACTATATAAGCCCTGCTCCACGCTCTTTATATCTACCCATACTTTGATCCAACAAAACATTTGATCTCACAAGTTCTCTCCTCTTACTTTGTCCCAATACTCCTTCGTCTTCTTCTTTACTTCGTACTTTTTTATCCCCTGACAGTATACGCTTTGGCTATTCCTGTCTAATCTTTGGCCTAGAGAAAATGGGATCTGTTTCTCAAGATATGGCTCTGTCGCGGCCTGCCCTTGGACAGGATGTACAGCTAGGTATGCTGTACGATGTACGCACCTCTCAATTCTTCGCTGGCGTTTCGCTCTGGAACAATGATGTCGTCAATGCAAAGCAAGAACTAGATGAACAAAAGGTCCAGAACGCCGATTATAACTTCTCGTACTCTCTTGAAGAGGCGCTCAGCAACAGTTCCCTCAATGTCGAGGGTTCATTGAGCCTTGATCTCAATATTTAGTGCCACAAGCTCAGCGAAGTATCTGAATGATAAGAAGTCAAGCACACATGAGGCACCTGTCGACGTGTCGTGCAACGTTGTGCGTCGCACCCGCCGCATCCCACAGGAAGTCTTGGTGTCTATGAAGTATGAGAAGTATCTTGCTGACCCTAGCTACATGCGCTTCGTTGCTGAAGTGGTTGAGGGTGGATGTGCCACCCTTAGCTTCATCCAGCCCTGTTCAACTGCCGAGGAAGCGAAGAAGATTACGGGCGAGCTTAAGGTTAGCGCTGTGAAAATTACAGTCAAAGGCAGCGCCGAGGTGGAATTCTTGGAGCAGAACGAGTCTGTGTTTGAGAATGTCAAGATCTCGTACAGCGGTGCAATGGCCGAGAACGTGTCCAGCATCCAAGACGCCCGCCGCGTCGTAGCGACGATGCCGACAAATCTGGCAAAACGGCTCAACACGCTCCATTATAAGCTTCTGCCTCTTTCGGTGCTCGAAACTAAGGCGAACCGCCTTATCCGTAGTCTTGATACTGGCCTTGTCACCAAGACAGCTGCGGCACTTCAGGCCGGCATTATAGTAGCCCTCGGGATCAAGGGTTTGGTGACGCAAGAAGTGTTCCAGAAGCAATTTCCAGCGATAAAGCGTCAGATCATAAACTTTCACACTGCTTTTTCAGCAGCTGAGACTCAGTTCACAAAGAACGCACGACGTCTTCTGCCCGAACTGTGAGACGGCACTACAGATGAGAATGCCAAGATTACCGAGCTCCAAGAGGCTGTCGCTCTCTTCCAGCAGCGAACCGAGTTTGCTAAACAGTTCTTCACTAGGAAATACACTGAAGCCAGTGCTCTTCGCGCAACAGTTGCCACGCTGCTGGCCGACAACTTCGAGGATCGTCTCGGCGGGCTAACACCCCAGTCGCTGATTGACGGTGGAGCTCCAAGACTACTATTATCTTTTGGTGGTTGGTCCCTCAATCGGGCGCGCCAAACACCCACTCCAGGTGAGCATCAAGTCTGCGTCATCCAAAACTGATGCTGGTGATAATGGAGAGGGAGAGCAGGATCCCGGAGATGACAACGAATCGGATGACGAAGAAGAAGAGTGGTTTGAAAACCAACAGACTGTTGCCAACGTAAAACAATCTTGCGCAGCCCTACGCCAACAGCGATTACTGGCAGCCCCAGGCGTCACCGTCGCTTTGGAGTAGCAAGCATTGATGCTGCATATCGTCCTGGAAAATCGAAGAAAACCAAGACCAATGTTGGCGATATTGTTTTGGATAGCCATGGTAAGCTTCTCATTATTACTGGAATGCTACCCAAGGCCCCCACGGCTCCGAAGCTGACAGTTGATGGCCAACCCATCACTGTGAACTGGTTCCAAAAATGGGAGAAGCTCGAGCAGCTGGCCATGCCAACGACAGGCTACACAATCAAATACAGCCGTAGACTCAATCCCTCCAGGGACGGTGCCTTTCCTCGGGCAAGCGAAAACGAGGCCGTTACTGGGGTCAACTACACAGCTTCCGAAACAAAAGCAATACTTGGCTCGCTTTCAGACGGCTGTGACTACGAAATCGCAGTTAGCGTTCAAACAACTGTGGGAATGTCGGCATGGAGCCCCATTGTCGTGGACCACACTGCCAAGATGCCATCTGTAGCTTCCGAGATGATCCATTTCTTGAACAAGAATAGGGACAAGTTATCAGAAGCGACTCCGGAAAAGTCTCTTAAGCCAGGTGACATCCCACGAAGCAAGCCGTGGGGCCTATATTCTCCCGGCAAAGGGAGTGGCAAGGATACACTTTCTCTTGGCCTCACCGAAGTGGCGCGGCGCTATAGCACAGAAAACCGATTTCAAGGCGAGATTGCTATTCGCATCGTCGACGTCGCCGCAGACTTCAAGCCCAAGATCAAGGCTGCACCAATAGAAGCTCAAAATAAGACTGTAGTGGTTGTGTTTGCGGGCACCAGTGGCCATGGTAAGAGCACGCAGATCAATGCCTTCATCTCATACCTGCTTAGCGGCGAAGTCGACGATCTGGCACGTATTTTCGTCATCGACGACTGCAGTGCCAAGCAGTCCGAGTCCGTGACACAAATCGTCACCTGCTTCCGCATCCGACCACTATCATCACTTTTCCAGGGCAAAACGCTGCTCATCGTCGACACGCCTGGCTATGGTGACTCCTGGGGCGTTGAACGCGATGCTTTTGTCACAACGACCATGTCCGAGTTCTTCAAGACAGTCGATCACGTTAATGCCATCATCCTCACCTATCGTGCCAACGAGGTCCGCAACACGGTTCTCAGCCCTGTGTCGACGTATGTGTTCTCGCTCTTTGCCAAGGATGTTCGCAGCTGCCTGCGCACCGTCTACACCTTTAGCGATGCCGGGTCCCCTCTCGCTGACGGCGCCTTGCAACAGCTTGGATGTTGCCTACCTTGGGGATGGACAAATATATATGGATATTCTCTACCATTCTACAAAATTTAATGCCTAGATCCATCTCATAGATACATGTACTCATGTGTCATAATAGCATATACGTCCGTTCTCGGTAATGGTATTTAAGACCTCTGCGTCAGCTAAAATCAAGGAGACCGTCTTGACCATACCAAGCTAAAAAGTCCTCTCTTAATTCCATCCCATCAGTATCTGTAATACAACCTTGACTATACAGCGTTCTTGTCGCCTGAAATCACCACATTGAGCTCTAGTTGCAGGTTTTCCTTTGGCATCTCGTGCCAGTGTTCCAATACTTCATCTTCTGGCATAAACCCAGAGCTGCTCGTCCAAGTCGCCGTTGCTAAAGTTCCTTGTACGAAATACCGAAATCCATGCCAATATTTTCCCATTCCCAGCTCTGCCACGAGTTCCATTTCTCTTAGTACAGGCATCTGCAAGGCCACGCGTGCCGCAGCGAGGTATAACCGCTGTATGGCTAGAGTTGCAATATCTAGATTAGGCAACGATGCCTCTGTCGAGACACTACCAAAATATACTGAGGCTGCACTCTCAGAGGATGATTCATCTCTATATGGGTCGGGAAGGAACAGTATTTCACCCCAGGGATCAAACGGTGGGTAATGTAAGATGAAGTAGACGAGTCGGTTCCATCGCGGCTCTGTTAAACCCGCAGGGAATGTTCGAGGAAAGAATATTTCATCGCTGACTGGAATCATGTGAATGCTGAAATCTTTAACGCTTTGAGATAGGACATGAAAGGACTTTGAAAGCCTGTCTTCCCCTTCTCTCAAAATCTCAGTAGCCGTAGATAATAGAGCCTGGCCATGAATGTCATAGTGCGAGTCCCAGAATTCAAATTCATCGATTGGATGGCCGACCCGAGACACAGCATCGGCAATATCTATTACCCCAAGTATTACTAAATTGAGTATTTGTTTAAGAGGAAGAAGGCTAGAAGAATTACCATTTCGCATGGTCGCAAATTGCAACGTTTTCCACCAATCGAGCGCCACAGCCGTTGTTGCTGGTAGCTTCGCCAACAAAGCACAAATGGCCACCACAGAGAGATTTCTCTCTCGATACGATGGAATGGACATTCCGAGTTTAGTTATGGCTACAGCAGGGGGCAATCGCGCAATGCGCTCGAGATCAGTCAGCTCCGCACCGATTGTTTATACCTGGGTTCCCATTGACCTAGCGGTAGACATATCCCGCGCAGCTCAGCAGGCGGCTCCTCAGGCGGTAAAGGCACGTAAAAAATGAGCTCGACACCACCTTTGTGCACCTCGACCGCATTCCACTGGCTCAGAGACTGTAGAAATGCTTCCAACACTACTTAAAATGCCTAGTTGTTCCGTAGCTTCTCATCATCAGTCTCCCTGCTTCGCCACGGCCCAGGCTCAGGCAGCTTGATGTGGAGCCGGATGCTGCGCACATACGCGCGGCGCCGTGCCGTCACGATGGAGTTGAGCCGTGAATGTCGATGCAAGTCAAGATGCAGATAGGCAAAAATCTCTCGCTCTGTTGCCAAAAGCGGCTAACGCTGGCATAATGACGAGCGTCTGGGTGATCTGTTCCAGAACTCAGGAGGAAGGGCTTCGAGGCCGGGGCGAGGATCGTGAGTTAGAAAGAATATAATGCGCTGTAAGATTCCGGGAGCAAGAAGGACAGGTGCTATGATGATTGATTCTCTTAAGGTGACAAGTGCCTTAGTTCAATGTGAGGAAGAGTCTGCTCAATGTGGTTGTTAGGGGCTCTTATACTGGAGCCTTGCAGCTTTTAGTTTACGCGTGCCCACATTTGGTAAAATACAGCACCTGGGGCGTGAAATTTAATCCTTGCTGCTTGCAGAGCCAAGGATTGCTTCACTGGCTCCATTAGTACGCATAGTGTATGTACAGGCACTACATATCCTTCATGCTATCAATAGTCCAACTTTATAGTATTAAAGGCACAGGATATATTCAAGAGTTTTATTCAAGAATAAGAAAAATAAAGTAATACTAAAGCAAATAAACATACCACCTGTAACACAAATTGATGGAACAAAGTGGCCTGTAAGATAATGGGCCACTTAATTACAAGCCTCGGAAATCCAAGAACTCTAACATAACCTCATAGCCGGCAGAAGCATTTGTCGACAACATTGAGGCATGACCCGTATTCGGCTGCAGATAGTAGGTAAGGTCGTCTATGGCCACGCCCGGATAAAGCTGGCGAGCAAAGGCTTCGCTATAGATACCGCTGCAATTACCATTACATACGAAATTATCAAACTCGCCAACAAAAAACTGTGAGAGAAAATGGGTTAGTCATCTTGGTTTTATTTAAGCATTTTGGAGACCGCCAAAGTATGACTCTGCTCCAAACTCACCATTAACGGGCCTTTATAATCGGGTGCGGGTGCGAGTGGGTTGCCATCTTCAGACGAGTACTCGCCTACGGCTTCGGGTTGCTTTATACTCTCGGCGTAGGTGAGCAGCGCTGGGTCCAAAGTGGCCTTTTGGAAAAACAGCTTCTGAAGAGTTTCCTCATTATCCAAAACGAAATATCCCGAGCCATATTCAGCAAAACGGACGGGATCGCTCTCTTTAGCGAATGCGTGATTGTAATTCAAGACGTTCAGTGGATCGGTGGCCTCTATATTGTTAGGGTAAAGACCTGTAAAAATGGCGCCGTCGATAAGATCGGGGTGGTTGGTAAGCATGAGCGAGTTTATATATGAGCCAAACGAGTGGCCGATATGAACAATCTTGGTAGGTAGGAAGTCGAACTCGGCGCTTGCGTTGTTGGTAGCTGACGGTGCCTTGGAGGAGCTCAATAGGTTTCCGCTGCGGGCGATTTTAGTCAGGCCTGCCAAGATTTCAATTTCCACTGGAATCTGGACATCATCATAAGCGTCTGGCTTCTCGGATCTACCGGTGCCAAGTCGGTCGTAAGAAAGGATGGAGTAACCCTTGTTAATAGCGGCATCAACGTAGGAGTACTGTCGTGGATCAACCTCCACGTCAAAGTATCTGGATCAAAGACTTATCAGCGAGCCGTCGTAGTTGACTTTAGTCATAGGTTTCATCGCTAACTCTCTGCCAAACCCAAGACCAGGGGTTGTGATTTGCAAAATGCCTGCTTTACTGGTCTTCTGCGACGGCACGCACAATTGTGCGCCGATCTCGAATGTTTTGTTGATGTCCACGCGTCCAGTAATACGGGCAGTGAAGTTGGAGCTGCTCCACGTGGTAACATTCACGGTCCAGTCCATAGCGTCAATACTGCTATCAACCTGGGGTTGGTCATAGTGGTAGTTGGTGGCCACCACAGGGACGGGTATCTGGAGTTGGACGCATAGCTTGGTGGCTGAGGCTGTAGCAGAGTCTGTAGGGGCGCTCGCTGTGGTGGAAGCAAGAAACAGAGCCCCAAGTGAAACGAGAGGGAGAATACCGCCCATTGCGTGTTGTTTTGCCGTGAGTTTACAATAGAGAGCGTGTGAAGGTCGAATACTTTCTCTATTCTGATCAGATATACTCTTTGGTGGTAAAATTCCCTTCTTATACTTGTTCTTAGACCTCAAACTGCGTCTTTTGTTTGTTGGCATTTATCATCACCGTATTCAGTGCGCGTTTAGTATATTGCGTTTAGCGTATTCGCTGGCAGCGTTGTGCATATACGCTTGGCAGCGTTTTGCGTATACACCTGGCAGCGTTTTGCGTATTCCTATATTTAACGTCTCCACATATTCTGAGGGCTGACGAGCTCACGTAAGATATGCAAGCCAGTTGATTAAAAACGTGATGTTTGAGTCTTTGGTGTCATAAGATTTGAGCTCTTGTTGGTGGTTAGAAATTATTTAGTACTTTCAAAAGAAGGAAACAATTCTTTTACGCATTAAGTTGTTTATATATATATAGTTGATTAAACAACGACCTTCCCCTCTTCTATCTTATGTCAGACACTGAAAGTCCATACAAACTAATGTAATAAGATTAACCCAGAGCTGAATTGGCTGTTCGTCAAACATCTTACAACAGCAAGGGTCTTTGGTAATTAAACGTCGAAACCAGCCTGGTCAATTAAGAACATATTTGTTCAGAAGAGGAGGTGGCTGAACTGGTTAGCGAATTTCCCTTTAAGAATAATAAGCGCTTTAAAAATTGGTGTAGATCATATGATCAAATTGCTTTGGCTAGCAAAATCCTAATGAGTATTCCAGCCCGAATTCTTCATAGTCCGTGGCAGACAAAATAATCCTGGATTTTACATATCCAGTTTAAAGTCGTTTGGCCTGGTTTACAAAGATATGTTTTCATCCCCCAGTCCTTGCCAAATTTGGCCTCCTGTGAACCAAGGAGACGATCTTGATGCATGACACATTGCTCCAGTATCAGTTGACTTCTTTTCTGAAGAAGGCGAGTATCTAGGGAATAGTAATAACACTATGCTTACGCCAGCCAAAAAGGTATAAGAACTGTCTTCTACAAGTCTCGTTCATTCTAATCCCAAACACGCCTATTTGGATACCGGGTAAGCAGGGCCTGCCCGGCCTGGGCACCAGGTGAGGTACAGTCCCTAATTAAGCCTCCCGCTGGTGTTAACCCCACCATGGCCTCATCTATAATGCCTGTAATAATGTAAGCCTCAACTTACAATTTCTGTCCGTAACGCAGCTGCGTTACAGTGTAATAAGTGGCCATATTGGGTACAGTAGTTACAGTATAATTACAAGGGAATTCGATAACAGTAGTTAGTCAATGGTAGGGCGCCAAAACAGCAAAGCAAGGGTCTCGAAAATAATGCTGGTTCTCTTTAAAATAAGCTAAATTTCGGGAGACTGGATATTAGCAATACAAAAGATACATCATGCCAATCAATATTCTCCGCATATAACAACCTGTCAACTCTCCGCAAGCACTGTAACAACCAGGGCAGAATCATAGGATTTTTGTCACCTTACAAAGCCAACATAATCAAAAGTAAAAGGACGCACACACATATATGCTAAAAGAAATTAGAGAGGGGGTCCTCTTTTTAGGAGCGCCGAACATTAGAACAGCTGGAGCCGGATGGTACTCTGCTAAGCGCTAAGAAGAAGTGGAGTCGGTTGGTTATTGGCTGGGAAAGGTGTGGGAAGCGACACTGTAAGCCTTAACTTACAATTTCTGTCTGTCTTCTCGTCTCAGTCGGTCCATTTCTACTTATATATCAGCAAAAACCATGGAGGGTCGTGAGAGCGCTATATTTGGCCTTGAATTGATAACTAAAAAAACCCTATCTCCGCAAGAAGTCGACATACTCAAGCTGTTTGCTTGCGAAAACGCCGATGAAGCTGCCTTCCAGATTGATTCTTTCTGTCCTCCTCTTTGCGGAGCAAAAGGAAGCCTCCAGCTATCTATGGACGGTATGGGAGGTAATGGTTGACGTCGTGAGAAGCCCGCACGCAACAAGTGAGATACACAAACATCTTGTCAGCATTCTCCAAGGTCTGGTGCTCATTGCGAAAGGAGAATTGGTGGTATGGAATGTGAGTATTGACTCCAGGCATTTGCCCCTAGCACGACTACTCATTTCCTTGGAATAACTGCGCGATGCCGACACTGCACAAGATTTGCTAATGGTCTTGACGTCTAGGCGAAACGGCAGGTATGGGGGAACCTGCCTCTGTTTCCTCAGTGCATGGACGCTTATCTCGATAGTAGGCCCCTCAGCCATGCCTACATAGCAAGACGATTCTAAATTTACATCACATAGGCCCTGTGGAAGACATGGAGGAGTTTATTCCAGAAAGTGCACAGATGTGGCGTAACCTAAGCTCTTTTGCAGCTCGATGCATGGGCGCGCGGGTGTCCTAGGTCCCTACACGCAGGTGATTACCGCGCTGCGGGGGGCTCTTGAGGAGGAGTTGGGAATTGAACGAGATCTCGCAAGGGCAGAGTGTAAGGTACAGGTCGCCTGTGAATGGATTGCCCACGGCGCCAAGCCCCTTGCCTGGTGGGCTCGGGAGAACATTGGCTACTTTGACGTTGCAGAAGACAGCACACAATACTTTCTAGGAGGCCCATTGTACCGAGGGCCACCCACCGTGTGCCTGCAGCGGTGGGGCTTCTGGCAGACCCGATTCGAGGAGCTGGGGAAAAATGCTAGCTTGAGAGATGAGGTACGAAAGGATGCGCTGGAAGCGGCGGAGACAATGAACGTGATCGAGAGGCGCGTAGCCAACACACTATAAACATTTGCGCCCTGGGAGACCTAGTATAAGACAAAATCCTCTAAGCAAAAGTGCTTTCGCACATGCTGCGCTGCTGAGGCGTTAGTGCTGGGACTATGCAGTTAATGATATATTGCCTCAGTCGCTGACAGATTTGTCTCACAAAGGTAGCGATCTATGCGAGGCGGCATGTTATTCGTTAGTCTGCTGGCGTGCGCTGCTTGTGTATGCGAAACTAGAACTTGCTGTCACTCGTATGGGATTTCAAGCTAGATCTGTGTGCTAGGTATAATTCACAAGTAATATCGGTTTTCTGATGTGAGCTTTAAGAAAGCTAATGCAAAGCCATGGTATATGCAGACTTTGTGCTCCAGGGTCAAGAGTGCTATAATGCAACTGAGTTAATGCTTGGTGAAAATTCGGCTGAATGTTTTACCTGTGCTACTGAGAGAGTCTCCTGCGTTTTCTAGAATCTTCCAGGTGATTCCGATACTTTTTGTTGCTTCATTGATTAAAGGCTTGTGTTTCTCTTTGCTTATCTATTTGAGGCTCTACGCTAACTGAGGCCAGCCTATGCTGGTATAAGTTGTAATACAAGGGCGCGAGCTAGCAATCTTCCCGCGCCCTTTGCCCCACACGCTGAGAAGTGCCCTCGTAGAGAAAAAGAGTAGTAGTATAAATGAATCAAATGGGTAACTCAAGGTTCTGATTCTGATTCAAAAGCATTTTGACTTATTCGATCAACCCAAATCAATTAAACCACTACATCCAAAACCATGCCAAACTCAGAATCCATCCCAAGACTCCTCAACTCATTTACAGAAAAATGGTCCCCGCGCCTTGTCGCTGCAATTAACGATCACCACGTCAAAGTTGCCAAACTAGATGGCGAATTCATCTGGCACGCACATCCGAATTCAGACGAACTCTTTTATCTGTTGGAAGGCAAATTGACCATCGAGCTTGAGGGCCAGGATGATGTTGTGATGCAGGTTGGGGACATGTTTGTGATTCCAAAGGGGATCAGACATCGTCCTGTTGCGGATGAGGCGTCTATCATGTTGATAGAACATGAGTCCACAGTCAATACTGGAGATGAAACCAGTTCGGATCGGACAAAACTCGTCGAAGATGTTCGTGGGCAGTATTAAAATGGGCTGATGTTAGTTGGGTATGTCAAGCGGATCCGTTTGTGTCGGACTGGTGCTTTTGGAGAAAGGCTGAAACAAGGAGTGGAAGATGAAAGAGCAATACTTACTCTATCTGTATTTGAGTTCCAGCATGCTCCTATATGATCTTGAATATATGTATCCAAGAATTACTCCTTCTGTGCAATTATGAATTGAACGCAGACTGCAACTGAGGTGTCTACATCACCATGAGGCCCCCAATGCTTCATTAAAGTGACGAAAAGACAAATCAAAGAGGAGGAGCGGGAAGATTGGGTTGCTTTATTTATTTGTGAGTATTCTTAAAAGTATATTTCTGCTCTTACTCGAAGTCTGCCGTTCTCTGACGCAAGCTAGAAGCTGTAAAGGTAGCCGGGAAGTACTATGACGTTCCAATCCTATACCTAGTATAGGGTAATTAGTTCCTAAGGGATAAACCTCTAACGTTGGGTTTATATTGGCAGAGAGATATAAGGGATTTTATAAGTAATTTTAGTTATATAGCTAATAACTTTAGATAAGAGCCTAGTTTAATTATTATATAAATGCTATATTAATAACTAACTATTTAAGCTATTTAATAAGCATAATAAATGGTGTTATATAGTAAGTTGTTTTATAGTTATTACTTATATAAGTTTTATTATATTTAATAAAAATGCTTCTTTAGAGTTATAGTTTTATTTTATAGGTAGGTATATACTTTATTAAGAGTATAGTTTTTTCTTTTAATTAGTTGCTTTATCTGTAGTTTATCTAGAGGTATATACTAAAGGGAACTTATGTAGTTGGTTCATGACAAGTACTATAAGATTAGGTACCTTCCCAAGCTACCTCCAGATTGGTAGTGAATGGATCATGAGTCCCGCATGGAGGTGCCGACGTTGTTCTTGAGTAAAAAGATACTACTGCATCTTAGCAAAATCTAGCAGCCAGGGAAAGCCGGGCTACATTTATTGCCAAAGGGCAAAATTACAGTAAGATAACTTTATAGTAAAAAAGAACCTCCTACTAGTAGCTAATTATACTTTAGAGTTAATAAAATAACCAAATATATATATATATATATATATATATTTTTAATATAACAGCTAGAACTTAAGCTATATTGATAATTATAGTAAAGGTATAGCTATTTATAATTCCTACAAGAATTTTTAATAATAATAATAATAACAATAATAACACCTTATACTAGTAGGTAGTATATTTCTTTATGTACAGGAGTAGTATAGAATATTATTTAAACTAAATTTCCTAAAATTACTACAGTTTCTATCTTTAGGAAAAGTAATACTGTATTGAAACCAAGTCTCTAGGCAGTAGATTATTAAAAATATTTACCCACGCTCTTAAACTTACTTTTTATAAGAATAAATGCTCCTCTAGCCCAATAGCTTAATGGAACGAAACTTGAACATACTATCTTTCTTACTACTGATTTCATGTACATCTCGCATAGAGAAGAACCACCATTACAACCCTTGCTATCCTATCGCAATATAAGCCTCGCGGCCCAGCTAGTTCAGTAAGAAGTGACCGGAGATATGGCATCTAGTCATGTTATTAACCAATGTTGCACAGAGAATGCTACCCTTTTAACTTACCTCGTCTAGCGCTGCCTCGACTTTTCCGGACATTTTCAATTCTTCCAGTACATTCAGGTTGCCTTGTCCTCTAGACTCTATCAGGGACTCGAAGGCAGTAATGAAATTTGCAGGCTCGCTTTGAAGTGGTCGGTTGGGCATTTGGGTTTTGTTCAGGCGCTCTATCTCTTCCAAGCAGAGAGAAACTAAAACGAATTTGTCATTACAAGCTCTGAGATGTGATAACAATTGTACCTACTGGTTGCTTGCGACACACTTTCGTGAAGCCCTCGAGACTCCCATCGTGGCCACTGACTACTGTTTTCTTGCAATTCCTGAAGCATTGTCTTCATACGACGACTGCGACTAGCGCACTGCGCCATGGCCGGAAAGCTGCCCACTTCAAATCGAGCAGTGTAGTAAGCCAACGCCATTGCATCAAAATCGTGAAACCCTGCTGTCGACATCGCCTCAAGCACAATGCCGAAACGACGTGTGTTTTCCGCCGCAGACGTCGTAGATATCCGTGTTCTGTTTGATAATGGTTCTGGTGATGCATCCGTTTGCGCCGCAAGGGAATGATCTCGGGGTAAGGGCATGCGATTTCTCATGGTGAAAGAGAATTCGCTGCTTTTTGATGTAACTGAAGGTGACTGTGGAGGTTGTTCCATGCGTGTGCTTCCATTGGGAAGATAAATAGGCCGCTGACTTGACTCACTAGATATGTGAAAAGGCTGTTAACTTGGGAATTATTACAGATGACAGACCAGATGTACAAATTAAAGGCCAAAGAGAACAACACCACACTCCCACAGACAGATTTAGTTCACAACCGTATTAACATTATGAAAGGTTATGAAAGGGAGTATTAGAACAAGATAGACTCTCCAGAAATCACGAACCTTGATGTAGAGTGGCTGTAGTTGCTTGGTGACGGAGGCAGCGTATGTGTTCTTGTTATGTTGGAATTAGCACCATGATGGCTCTGTTGCTGTTGATATTGGTGCTGTTGTTGTAATTGCAGGGGGGATGCCATCTCGGCGATGAATTGTGTGCGTATCTTCTCAAGGTGGTTAAAGCAGGGGCCTGTTACGGCGTTGCAAGTGCAATTTTGATGTGTGAAGCTTGATAAAGGCATGTGGTTCTCATTTTCCGACACGTTATTCATCATCAAGTCCATATGTGACAAATTTTGTTCTTGCTGGGCCAGCATATCCTCTGCCATAATCATGTTGTCAAGTTCGCTCGCCGATGGGTCGAAAGGAGGAGAGTCTGGGCAGGAAGCCGCGGAAATTGGAGACTCGGGGGCCCTTGATTGATGATTTGAACTGGAATCAGTTGATATTTGTTGTTCAGAAAGACTGTGCGCGTTGGAAGGTTTGTTGCTCCTGATTTGTTGACTCTCGTCGTGGGTCTCTTCTGTTGTAGAAGTACTGTCTGTTTGTTGGTGTGCCTGGCTGGCTTCTCGAATCTTTCGGCCTATAATAAGCTGAAACATTAGCGACTGCTTCTATGTGCTCTTATTTAAATATAGACTTCGTGAATCTGGACGCATACGATGTTTACGCTGTGCTATTCTATTTTGAAGTCTATGATCCTTATCAGTGCTGTTCAACACGGCTTTGAATAAATAATTCTGAAATTTAATCGGCAAATTAGCAATGCATGATTACCCACCTTCTGAGTTCTACTGCTCTTGGGCTCGTTGACCGACGTGATTTTTTAACAGCTGTTGAAGAGTTCTGTGTTGTCGCGAACATGCTGTGCCGTCATAGTTCCTTGGGTGATGAAAGGTTGTTATGTTCAAAACATGTACGTTACCTACCATTCGTGACCGACAATTTTGGTAGCGAGAAATATTTGTATATGGTCCGGATGCAGGAATTAATTGCCAGTCAGCAGAAAAAAAAGCCAACAGTTCCAGAAATAGCCTTCTAACCAATATATATATTCGATAATAGCCAGCAAAAAAAGATAAAGCAGAGTGCTTGCTTTTTATATTAACCAAGGACCTGTTATACTAGCGCAAAAACTATTAGCCTGTTACTAGTATTTTACATGTATATTATACTGCAGGGTTCGGATTTAATTTTTTGTTTTAAAATTATTTATAAATATTTAAAATAAAGAAAAGTTAAATAAAAATAAATAAAAATAAATATATAATCCAAATTATATAAAATTATATATTTCTTATATAATATTATTTAAATAAATATATATAAATTATTAATAAAAGATATAATATATTTTATATATGTTTTTTTATTAAATATATATTAGATATTTATAATAATAAAAAAGTACCTGAGCTAATGTATATATAGGGTTTGGTCTAACTTATAAATAATGCCGGCGTTAGGTACTAAAGGAATACGAAATCCTACAGAGGACAAATTATTATCTTACAACCTTGCCTGAAATAATTATATCGGCCATTATTGGCCTCTGTGTCAAACGCCAGTTCGGGGGCAAAGCACATTATTATCTCATTACATGGAGTAATGTCGCCACCGTTGATGCTGGCAATACAAAGTCAGCAATCCGTTCAGCCAACATGCATCGGTTTGATCACCCGAATCAGCTATTGCAGCCTATCAATATTACAAAAGGCCAAGGGTTTCGGTCATAACCCAAAGAGGAAATCTTTAGTACACTTGGGCTATGTTTTAAGATTTTTGGTATTTAGACAGCAGTTGTATTATAGTTGTACAGCTAGGGGTCTGTGCACTAGAGGTCTAATTTACCTAAGGCTTTAAATACAAAAACCTATTTACAATAAATAGAAATAAATAATATATATATTTCGACATAATTTAATTAAAAAGTTAATTACTTTTACTATTATTTAAAATATATAAATATGTAATATTTTGACTATATAGTAAATAGAATATATTACTTGTGTATATAACTTTAAAAAAAAAACACTTGGAAGCTGGATTTATAATAAATATTTTACTTATTTAATATATATACTTCCTGGGACATGAACTTTTGGACCAATCTAATTACACTATCAAGTCTTTTACAAGGACCAAAATATAAACAATATTAAACTATCTTTAAAACATAGAAAGTGTATATCTAGGGTACTAGATTAATAGGTGCATAGTGACTTTCTGGTTTATTAGCAAACTGCAGGGGGTGTTTAAGTAGGAAAGTGCTCTGTACTTGGTGTAAGTAATTGTGCTTGATAATTGCGGCTACAATCGGCCACCAAGCTCCGCTAGAATATTTTGACTTTTAGAGGAAACACTGGCGCCCATTGAAATATCTCCAAGACATTAGCAGCCTGCAACTCGAAACCTGGAGAGAAGTTATTAGTCTGCAGCCAGGAGAGACTGAATCTTATTCAAGGAAAGTAGAGTAGTAACACAAGTCAGTCTTAAGGTACTAATTAGATGTGTAGGCAGTTGAATTATGTATTTTTTCTGTCATGTACAAATACCTTGTATTAAAACCGGTGTTAGACATTAAACTTTTACAGCAGAACTTAATGTTTCCGCGACCAACCATACCATATATAGACTGTTATTATTGAGCTTTGGGCTAAAGATCCATTAAGCTGTATGTCCTACTACCAATTTAAAATTAGGCGGTAGGCGGTAGGAATTTACTTGGTTATGCCTGTATCTAGATTCCAAAGGAACTATTGGTGGTGTTTTGATCTTGCTTTAGCATCTCCACTTAGCCTCTATATCGGCGCTAAAGGATATCTTAGATGAGCGAACTGCACGGGCCGCCAAACATGTCCGATAAGTGTGGCTGGCTGCCCATGCAAGCAAGTACGCTAATCCTAAGATAAAAGCAAAGTTCATCACAGATCGCAAGTAATAAACAAATCGACAGCAAGACACTGCTATATGATACAACAAACTGAATGCTGTTCTACAGTCCTTTTCCTCCTCCCCTATACGTTGATTCATCCTTTTGACTGGCAATATTTACTGGACTGAAACAATCAATCCGGAAGAGAGCATCGCTTTGGAAAATGCAATTCCCATAAATTCTCTGGGCTGATCACGGTGAATGCACACACCCACCACTCATGAGTGAAGAAAACCGCACCGCCATAACATCGCCTTCGGCGGCCGACTGTTCTTGCGCCGACTGCTCGGTAAGGAGTGGAAATTTAGGTGGATAAAGGAGTTCAGACATGTGCTGCCTGCCAAATCCAGGTGCAAGCGAATCTTAGTGGGATAATTCCTCTTGTGGCGAAATCCTTTTAGGCTGGCTTGCGGATCAACAGCTAGCATTTCGGGGCTGCTTAGATGAGTGCGCCGCTGTGCCTAACTAACATTAGTATGTGACCCGATGTACTTGGCTCCTCCAAACTCCTTTCAGCGGCAGATTGCCTCGCTAGCAGCACTAGCGTAGGATCTTCATACGTAATCATCCTTGTACCACATGTCGCAAGAACTGGAAACAGAATGACGAAATCTCGCTCTCTATGTATGTGCTCAGTTGTTGTAATAACTTCCAAAACGCTCTCTATTTATGTTTTAAGAACCTTGACCTCCAATTATTATACGGCGGTTGAGGGAGCAATTTGCCCTCTAAACTAGCTGAGCTGCTTGATGACCAACTACAGGGTTGAAATGTATCTTGAACGTATGGCGGAAAATCGAGGACCCAAGCCTCTCTGACCATTCTTCCTACCACATACAGCAAATTAAACATTTGCCCATTTTAACTCGCGCCGCAATTTAAATCCGAATTCCGCCAGGTAAAATGCTTTTGCTTCGAACGAGCTTTGCTCAGCTATATATGCAATTAGTATATATCCAACGTTATGTCTCGCTTGGGGCGGTCCTTCTCTTCTTGTTTCAAGGACGAACAATAGCTGGTAGTACAGTTGCTTCGATTACAGAATACAGCGTAGCAGGTGCACACAATCGTGCCGTATCAGCGCTAGCTTTTCAGCAATCATGCCATCCAAGTAAAGATACATTATGAATTTAATCAAGCCGTCTAATGACTATCTCGTGGAGCCGATAGGCCAAGCTGATTTTACAAGAGTGCGGCACTTCAAATCCGATTTAAACTCTGTATTTCGCCTCGACGCCTTGTAGAGTATTTACTTACTTATTTATTTATTTATTTGAATAATTGCTAAGTAATCTAGCAAGATAAAATGCCCAAGTCCGCATAAGCTAATAGGTCAATGAGGTCTTAATCCCTCGAGACCGGCTTACAAAGTCGGCATGCTATCAACCAATAGTTGGAGGTGTCGACCACGATCCTTTGGATAGGAAGGAGCACCAGGGTTGCACTGCTAAGCCGCTCCCATGTCTCATAATATATATATTTTTTTTGGCCCCGCAGCTACAATAGTTCCTGCCACTCAAAACACCTCGGATAGCTTACTAGGTCGAATGACTAGATTGCTCTTATAATTTTCTTTACTGTAACAACCCGGTTACTAAATTCCTAGACGGGTTAGTAATACAGAGGAATTCCCAAGGAATAAACCTAGGTCTAAGGTTTATATTAGCAGATAGGTTAGGGATCGATAGAAAGTAATAATAAGTATTAATTAGTTACTACTAAGGTTAATAACTTAGTAAATTATATTTTAATTTTATTATATATAATATATAAATAGCGACCTATTTAATAAATATAAATAAATACAAATATTATATATTAGAGACTTTGATTTAGTTAATTAATTAAATGATAAAGAAACTCTAGTATATAACTTACCCGGCTGTATATAAGTGCCTGTTGTATTACATTTTTAGGTAGTTTTTTTCTGTAATATAATAATAACTTTTAATTATATATTTACAGTAGCTTTATAGCTAAGTTATTATATTTATTATATTTTTTTTAATTAATAATTAAATATTATAAATTTCTTTAATTTAATTTTTTAGAAATATATTATATAAATAAAATTTATATTAAAAGCTTTTATAAAAGATTAACCTTAAGGAGGCTAAGTATTAGTTAATATAATAGCTTTTAGGGCTTTTTAGGGAGCTATTTAGTTATATTATATATAAAAATATATATTATATAAAATATATATTATTTTATTTAACTAGCTATATATAGCTATATTTTTTAAAATTTAAAAAGGCTTGAATTTATAATAGCTTTTAAATTTAAAAAAGGTTAATAATTAAAATAATTTATAATTTGTTTTTAATATTTATAATAAATTAATTATTAATAATATAATAAACTAGGTTGTTATAATTATATTTATATATATAAGTTAGTTTAAAAATATTTTTAATATATTTATAAATAATATATTATATTTATTTAAAAAAATTTTATTTATTAAATAAAAAATATTTTCTTTAGTATTTGAAATATTTGTAAATATATTTATATTATTATATTTATATAGTTTAGTAATTTCTATTAAATATTAACAATACTTTACTATAAAAAATATTAAAACATCTGCAAAGTAGTTACCCGATGTACTGTTTAGTATAGATATTTAAGAACCTCTCATTAGCCCTGTTTAATATAAAATAGAGATCTATATATAAGGTAAATGTTCAACATGGGGTTTAATTAAATAACGACTTTAGTAGGGTAGTAATAGTCTGTATAATAGGAATTATGTTATAGGGACTTCCCATAATAGAAAGACTCGCAATATTCAAGGTGCGCTTGGGAAGGTTATCGCCATCAAAACTCTCTTTGAGAAATTATCTAATGCGCCCCCTTAAGGGCTATATCATTCACAAAGAGCTGCCTGAGGATTAACCTAGTAGAGAACAGATAGGAGCGATAGACAAGGTGGCATTCCCAATTGAAGCCGATTGTGTGCAATACCTGTATGCCTTACTTCAGCGGCCAAGAATATAGGGGAAAATACTTGAAATTTGCTCTTAAGCAGTCATCTACTAGCACCACGATGCCCCGCCAAGGAAAGGAGCATCTAACATGGACAAATACTAATTTGTGCATAAGTCTATTGGTAACACCGGGAATCTTATAAAGAGAGTATATACTATATTGTTACCGACTTATAAAGCTAGTCCTCTCAGTCAAAAATACCAACATTTGCATCACTCGCCAACGCCAATCGAACGATTGACGTACCTTACCGTGCCCTTTCTTTTGCAAATCATCTAAGGACCGTGCAATGCAATGAGCCCATCCACAGCGCGCTTACCCAACGCCTCGGCAGTTCCTAAACTCAACATGTCAAGCGTCGATATATCAAAGCCCAGATTCAGCTTCCACCAAGCACGCAACTCAACCGCGACTAACGAATCCAGGCCCAAATCAGCGGTGTTCTGGGTGATATCAATTTCGGCATCTTCTGCCAAGAGCAGACTGAACAATTTCCTGGCAATTTCTACTGCAAGGATCTCCACAGCCTCGCTAGTCTTGAGGACACTCGGATCCTGCTTAACAGACGCAAGGAATGCACGGAGGCCATCGGGTGCTGAGCCAGCCTTCAAGTGGTTGCCAGCGTCAATGTTGTGGTAGATAGCCATTCGAACGTCCCTCTTCAAACGAGAGCTGCTTGAAGGGCTGTTCAAAGGAACAGTCGGAACGAGACCGAGAAGGAAGGTGTCCCCGAAAGAGTTAGCCTTTTTGCGCTGGTTGCGGGTAGCCGGAGTCATCATGGCTAGATCCAAAGCTCCAAGGAGCTCGGTTTCTTGGACCACGCTCCACCCGGTACCTTGCATCTTCCTAAGAAGCTCCGTGTTCTCAGACAGATAGCCGACACCCTTCATTGCGCCAAGATCAATGGCTGTACATGGGAGATTGTGTCTGGCGCGGTACTGCACAAATGCATCGAGGAAGGTGTTTGCGCTGGCATAATTGGACTGTCCGACTTGCCCAACGATGCCTGACAATGAACTGAAGAGAAGAAAAAAGTCTAGATCAATTCCCTTCGACAAAGTGGCATTATGCAAGTTCCAGGTGCCTTGAACCTTGGGCTTTGTTACAGCATTCCAGTCTTCGATGCTCATTCCATCAAACATTTGATCGCGAAGTACCATCGACATCTGAACGATACCTTTTAGGGGAGCTAATACCCCATCAACAGCACGTGTAACATCGCCAGCGTTCGTAACGTCTCCTTTGACCAGCTGGACGGTACATCCCATGCTCTCGATCTCCCTAACAAAATCGGCATCGTGCTCTCCACTTCCCGCACTTCGAGACAAGAAACTGAGGTTTCTAGCGCCGCGTTGGACCATCCAGACTGAAATAGAGCGACCAAGGCCTCCAAGGCCTCCAACAAGGAGATATGATGCTGCTTCATCAAACTCAGCACCGGACTTCTTTGTGGCGTCTACGTTGTCGACAAGAAGCTTTCCTGAAGGCTCGCGAATCTCGAGCACGATTTTACCCATATGCTTGCCCTGCTGCATATATCTGAGTGCTTCCAGTACTTCAGACCCGCTAAAGACACGATCGATCCGGATAGGTTTGAGAAATCCTTTGGCAAAAGAATCCATGACACTTTGTAGCAGTCTGCTAATCATCTCAGGCCGTTCAGACCTCATCTGATCGATGTCAATGCAGCAGTAATTGCGACTGGCTAGGAAGGGGCCCATATCTAGCTGTGCATTGCCAATAAGATCACGCTTTCCGATTTCTACCATGGTTCCCCATCTCCCAACACACTTCCAAGTCGCGTGTAGAAGCTCACCAGCAAGGGAGTTCAAGGCCACGTCCACACCCTTTCCATTTGTCTCGCGGAGCAAGTCTTGCACAAAAGACTCATTCCTTGAGTTGAAGATTCGGTTTCTGGGAAGATGGAAAGTATCCATTAAATATTTTACCTTGTTCTCGCTGCCCACTGTCGTGTAAATCTCGGCGCCGAGCATCTGGGCTACCTGGATAGCCGCCAGGCCAACTCCGCCAGCACCACTATGAATGAGGACGGATTGACCCCTCTCGAGACGTCCCAAATCACGCAAACCGTGCACAACTGTGAGGAATATAGTAGGAATACAAGCAGCCTCGACAAAATTGATATGATCAGGCAACTTCTCATAGTATACTTCACGGCTTGTGATAACGGTCGTGAATGTCCTGGCACCTACACCGACAACGCGGTCACCGACAGTGAGCTTTGTTACTCTTGGTCCAACGCGGCGCACAATGCCGGTTGTTTCGTAACCAAATTTAGGTTCATGGCGTCCAGGGATGATCTGCATGCCCACTAGAACATCTCTGAAGTTAACTCCACTAGCGTACACCTCGACTTCAATCTCATCATCCTTAGGAGCGGTTGGAGATAAGGTCGACCATGTAATTGTGTTGAGGCGGCCTGGAATGGTCTGAGTTACCACTGCTTCTGCGGATGCTTGCGATACGATAAGGTCCTGTTCGAGAGAAAAGGGAAAGATACGATTGACGAGTATTTGGTCCTTGTGGATAGCATATTCAAGATCAGGGCCCAGAGCGCCATCATCTCCTCTGGCCAGGAATTTGCTCACAACGTCGGCTAGATAGATAGCTCCTAATGGAGTTTCAATTCTATCTGTCTCAACTGTGGCAATGTCAATACTTAACTCGGATCGGAGAGTGCGAACTAAGCCAATGACTTGGGCGTATCTGGGGTCGGTAACACCAATACTAGAGGGACGTGTAACCCAGAGGAGACCGGCGCTTCCGAGGTCAGTCAGCAATGTCTTAAACTGTGATAGTTTTTCCGCATCCAAATTCTCGAAAAAAGGTTGCTCCTCTTCCAAGATAGCTAGTACATCCTGGTCCGCCGGAGGAGTCTCCCCAAGCAAAATACGATCGATCTTATAGCCCCGATTCTCAAGTTCCTGCACGATCAGGCTTGGTTGCGTCATATCTGTAAGGCTCAGCAAAGTGATATGTTTATCAGGGGTGTTTAAATGCTGGGGTGTTGCAATCAGTACGCTATTGGTCCAATGTTCCGAATCTGGCTTGATATGATCCACGACCGCAAAACCAGCTCCCGCAAGTTCATCTTGCCATCTTTCCGGACCGATGAATGGTTCGCCAACACGATCCATATCGCTAGCATGCGCCCACCAGCGAGGCAATAGCCCCAAAACAAACTTTGCCCAACTCAGGCCAGGGCGTGACTCCTCGAGGATCAGCTTTCCATGGGGCCTCAGGAGTCGGTAGAGGTTACGTAGACTATCTTGGAGAATGTTTCCCGTGCTGGCGATGTTTGCTGCAACAATGACATCGAATTGACGATCCTCGAACCCCTGTTCAGCTAGATCTCGACTCACATCAAGCGTTATGAATTCGAGGTTGGGAACACCCTTCAGACCTTCCCTGGCTGCATTGACCAGTCCGGACGACGCGTCCACGACGACATATTGCGAGTACAGAGGCTGTCCATCGGCGCGGGACAGATACTTTATAATCTTTGAAGTCTTTTCACCGAGACCTGCGCCAATTTCAAGGATAGATATATTTGGCTTAGAGTGGCCGATGCACCGTAGATAGTTTCCATCGTCATGTTCCCGGAGGAACTCTGTGAAGCTGTCAAGGCTACCTGTGGAATTCAAAACTTCCAATACAGTCTTCTCTCCACTCAACAGAGCTTCAATGTTGCTGGAAACAGCGACAATGGCTGCTGCCGCATGTCCGGCAGAAGTAGCCTGAAGTTTGTCGATGAGTAATTGAATTGATTGGGTTAAGGTAGCAGAATCCAATGTGTCAATGCCGGAAGGCGCTTGCTCATGGAGCCACTTCTTATACTTGATCAAGTGAGGAGCCAGCACTTGTGTTTTTATAGTGGCTCTACTAGCGAGACTAATGACCAATTGTGAGAGTTGATTGATAAGAGGCATGATCGTTTCTTGGTCTGGGCGGGATTTAATAAGGCTATTCCTGTCGATGAAGTCTACATGAGGTACCCATTCTGTCCGTGCGGTAATTGGGATGCTGCTTTTGTCTCCGGCTTCTGCTTCTTCAAAGAGCGTAGAATGAGAACCATCGACTTTCAAGACGATCTTGGAGCCTGCAGATACAGAGCCATATGCAATATAGCCTTCTTGTGTGGGCTCAGATCTGACCGCAATTTTCAAGTTGTCTTCAGAGCACCGGAACATTATCATCGAATCTATTCTTGCAGCAAGAGTTCGGCGGAAGTCTCGGTCTAAGCCGTCGTGAAGCGCGCAACTCATCAGCTGATAGTAAGTATCCAGGATGATAGGGTGCAAGTGGTGCTGTGCCTCATCTCCCCATTTGTTATTTTTCATTGTGGCCGTACTTTTATTAGGCCAGCCCGTGGATGACTTGATATTCTCAAGGCCGGAGAAGGTCGGCCCGTAAGTAATGCCTTGACGTGCCGTCGAGTCGTACCACTTAGTGCTATCAACCTTCCGGGGTAGCTCTTCTTCTGTATCATCAAGCTGCTGCATCTTGTCGAAAGTCTCGCCTTTCACCTCACCCGAGGCGTGCTTGGTCCATACATGACCGTTGTGAGACGCGATGCCAAATTCCCACCATTCGCTGTTTTGACTATCCGTCAGCCGCTTGCGACGCATCGTGGTGATTATTTCCGTAGGAGCATCATCATTAAGAACTAAGGCAGAACTAACTGCAATATTTCGAAAGCTAACTCCATCGTCGATCCCAGATACCTGGCGCGCAGCTTCGGCCGCAACGGCTACGTATCCTGCCAAAGGGAAGACAATGTTGTCGCCAAGTTTGTGGTCCACAATCCAAGGCGTGGTATCAACTTGTAAGAGATTGCGCCAAACAGGCTCGAGATCAGTGCTCTCTGGCACTCTTCCTCCTAAAAGTGTATGGTCAGGATATTTCTTTCCTAGCCACTCCTTGGTCACTCGGGATTCGAACATGTGTCTACGCGAATGATCCCACGGATAAGCAGGGAGATCTGGGAGGCAGGAACCAGTGGGCGAGATAGATTTAAAGTCAATGCTTGCTTGGAGCATGTAAAGCTTTCCAATTGCTTGAAGCAAATTCTCTGCACTATTTTGTCGACGTACGAGCGATGAAACGTAAGACGCACCGCTTGACTCAGACGTTAGTATCTGCCTTAGCGGACCGGCGAGTGCTGAGTGCGGGCCGAGCTCAAGGAACACTGGATTAATGATTGCCGCAGATTTGAGGATGTTCGTAACGGCTGACCTGAAAAGGACAGGACGCTCCAGATTAGCTTGCCAGTATGAAGGACCGAGCGGGCTAATTTTGCTACTTGTGAGGAGCTCACCAGTTACACTGGAGAAGAAAGGTACCGTGGGCGTCCTACCTACCACGCCGCAGTTGACCATGGCTTGGTAATAGGCTTGTCCGAAAGCAAGCATGTGGTGTGAATGATAAGCTTGCTCGACCTTCAACGTAGTGGTAGGTACATCTGGATGAGCCTGTTTGACGGCAGCTATGACCGTCTCTAGTTTATCAGCATCTCCAGAAATAGTAACACTGCTTGGCGAGTTATCACACGCTGTGACGACTCTAGGAACAAGATACTCTTGTATATCATCCCAGCCAAGTCCCACTGCAGCCATTCCTCCATGTTGTGTTTTGTGTTTAGTTGCAGTTCCTCGGAGATACGCCACGGTAATGGCCTCTTCTGCTGTGAGAGCTCCCGCAGCGTATGCTGCTCCGATCTCACCACTGGAATGTCCGACAACGGCGGCTGGTTTAATCCCGACGGCGGCTAGCGTGTCAACTAAAGCAAGCTGAAGGGCTGTGCAAAGAGGTTGTGAAAACTCTGCTTCAAATACTCGACTTGTCCTGGCTGGTTTGAGGAGTTCCTCTTTCAATGACCAAATGGCTCCAAGATGCTGTAAGTGCTTGTCAAGCAAGTCGATAGTATGCGAGAATGTGGTATTGGAGAGTAGCAGTGTGCGTCCAACCTGAGGCCATGCAGCTCCCTGGCCTGTAAACACCATAACGACAGACGGCGGCGTCGAGCCGTCTTTTTGAGCAGTAACAGAAGCGGCCACATCAAACTTGTCCTTGGTGGCGATAGCGAATGAGCGATTGGTGAAATGCTCTCGCCGGTTTGCAAGCGTATATGCAACGTTGGCAACGTCCAAAGATGTCTCGCTAAGCAGAATTTGATATTTTGAAACAAGGTCTTTTAAAGACTGGGCGGTGTTGGCAGAGAACAAGAGCAACTGCGGCTCAGCAGCTTTCGTCGTCTCCGAGCCTGTTGGCCTGGGTTTCTGATGAGACGCCAGCCAGCTCGCTGCCGATTCCACAATGACGTGTGCGTTTGCTCCTCCTACTCCGAATGCGTTAATGCTGACACGATCGTCACGGTCGGCCGGCCATTTTGTGGGCTGCTCGGGGATCCGAAGTTTTGCTTTCTCAAAAGGAATGCGGGGGTTCAACGGAGAGAACTTGATGTTTGGGGGGATGATACGATGCTCAAGTGCTAAGGTAGCTTTGAGCACTGCAGTCAAGCCAGAGGCTCCTTCTGAATGTCCAAGGTTGGGCTTGACGGCACCGACATAGATGCCCTTCTCGCCGAAGACAGAGGCGATAGCTTCAGCCTCAATCGGGTCACCAGCATACGTTCCAGTACCATGGCCTACAACACATTAGCAACCTTTGTTTTCATCAGATGAACAGCCTTCACTCAGCCAAGTAACTTACACTCGAATAAACCCGTCTTTCCAATATCCTCAATTCCAGCATGTTCGTAAGCCTTTCTAATCAGCAGCTCCTGAGCGCTCGCACTCGGCGTTGTCAATGGATTCGTCTTTCCATCAAAGTTTGTCGCACTACCCGAGATCACTGATCTGATCGAATTGCCATCGCGGAGCGCCGCGCTCAACGATTTAATGTAGACGGATACGACGGCTTCGCCGCGGCCGTAGCCGTTTGCATCAGCGGAAAAGGTTTTGCAGGACCCGTCGGGGCTGAGGACTCCCTGGTAAGACAGCCGCGTGAACACGTCGGGGGCAAGGATTAAAGAAGTGCCGCCTACGATGGCAGATTCACAGTCGCCTTTGGCAATGGCCATGCAGGCTTCGTTAAGGCCAACGAGTGAGGAGGAGCAAGCTGTGCGGATGGTCAAACTGCGAGACAGCCAGTAAGCATCTGGATACGGATATACGGTTTTTAAATGTTCAGTAACAACTTACCTAGGCCCTTTTAAGTCCATCTCGTGCGATATGCGCTCTGATAGCATGAAATCGTGCGAAGCAACGATAGTATATGAATTCTGTCTCAAGCCCTCTCGAGCCAAAATATCATACCAATCTTGGCCAAAAGACCCGACATAAACACCGATATTAGAGCCCTTGGTACCGACTTCACCCGCGTCATCCAAAGACTCTCTTGCAACCTCGAGCATAAGTTTCTGCTGTGGATCGAGGTACTCAACCTCAGTCCTCGTCATAGAAAAGAACGACGTGTCGAGCGCGCCTAGGTCTACAGATTCGTCCAAAAAATATCCATGCTCAGTAATTGCAGTTGCGGCTCTCTTGGTGGGGGAATAGTAGCCGTCTATGTTGAAGCGGGTTTTGGGTACACGGCTGCGACCGTCGCGACCTTCGAGGAGGAAGTCCCAGAGGTCTTTGGGAGACTTGATTCCGCCGGGAAGCCGGCAGGCCATTCCACAGATAGCAATAGGCTCAAATTTTGTGTTTGTAGGCGTAGAGGTGCGGGGGATACTGCCACTGATGCCATTTGTGCCATTACTATAACCATTTATACCATTAGTGTGACTATTTGTACCGTTACTGCCACCGTTTATGCCATTGCTGTGCCCGTTTATGCCATTACCGTGACCATTGGCTTCGCCATTTGTGCCGTTGGTATAACCACTTGTGCCATTAGTATGGTGTTCTGTGTTACCCGTGCCGTTGGTGGAGTTGGCGCCTCCGTTTACATCGTTAAGTTGTGGCATCTTCCTTAACAAGGAGGGTAGGAGGATAGGGAGGAGGAATGTTGCAAAAAATATATATATATATATATATCTGGCGTTGTCGAGCAGCTTCAACGATTTCCAAGCTCCGTAAGCAGCATTGGTCTTATAGTAATAATGATTGTGAATCTTGTTGGAACACAGGCATGCGTATATATATACCCTATATATGTGTACATGTATGTATCTATGTAAAGATATATGTGATATTAACCACCACGACTTAACCCCGGTCTCAAGGAGACTCTCAGCTTTGCAGTTGGGAATTTTAGCGGTCAGGACTGCTGGGCCTCTCCTCTTTCCTTTTGCGGGAGAAGGGGCATTTGCGGTTTAGACTTCTGACCAGGGAGTGCTCGTATTGTTGTTGCTTGTACAAAATACATTTGTTCTTTTTTCATTTTCCTGGGATAATTTAGCCCAGACGTAGATACAAATTCAGGCTCGCAGACATCTCGTCATAGCAATCATGCAGAAACAGTAATCGTTCAGCCAAGATGAACGCAGTAACAAGTAGTCAGCCTGTCAGCTACTTACCAATTTAGGCAATAAGCTAGCCACTGCTACTTCTAGCTAACATTTAGGCTCAGACGCAACTTACTCTACTCAAATAAAAATCAGCCACTTTTAAAGGGTAATATCCAACGGTAATATAAAGTAAAAAAGAGTAAACAAGGTTAAAATAAAATCAATAATTTTTAAAAGATATATTTTATTAATATATAAAAGTAAGTATTAACAAGCAAGTAGTATACCGGTACTGTATAGGGTTTAAAAAAAAGTAGAATAATTGTAATTAAGAAAACTAATTATTATATTTATTATATATTTATTTAGCAACAGTCAAAAAAGAAAATAATATTCAGAAATAACAAAAGAAATGCTGCTTTATATAATTTAACATTTTGAAATTTAAATTAATATAATATATATTTATATATTTAATAAATAAAAGAAATATAAAATTTAATTTTATAACTTTGACTTTTTTTATATATATAAATTAGCTTTTATATATATAGCGCTTACTTAATAAATATTAAGTAATTTCTTTATTAACTATACCAAATGTATTATTTATTTAAATCAAGAGAAATTAAGTTGGGTGGCTTATTTCTTTTTGTACAAACTCTATCGGCGCCTTACTGTCAGACACGGTCTCTTTAGATTAGACACTAAAGCATAGGGCCAATTTTCGGAATAAATTGAGTCTCAAAGATAACAAACAGGGATTCAATTACAAGCTTGTAAAGTGTCTATAGACAATTTCTAAGATCTGTCCATGTTTACAAAACCTATTTGGAAGCGTTAAGAGGAGAACACCGCAAGCAGTTTGTTGAGCGGTATCTCTTTACAAACCAAACCACCAACTCCAGGACGTTCCTACGCTCATTTTCAGAAAATCTGAACAATAGTCTTCCCTCATTCTAAGATGGTGTATTATGAGTCTCTCTTTAAGGAGATGCTCCAGGGGCAGGAGCTCCGCCGCCCCGCGATGAAAAAAAGCGAGCCTGCGTTCTTTCAAAGGTTAGAACAGGCTATGGATGTCCATCGTGAAAAGATCCGCCTCAACGTGCTCAAACCGCGATGGGATGACAGCGTTCTTGACCTCACAACCAGTGACTTCCTCTCTCTTAGTCGCACAGGTCGAATACGAGAGGCTTTTCTCGCTGAGTTGGCCCGCTGCGGCGACTTTAGACTAAGCGCTTCGGGTTCTAGAGTGCAGTACGGCAACTACGAATACATTCTTGAGGTGGAGCGTGAGATTGCCGCTTTTCACGGAGCAGAGACGGCGTGGATTTGTCACTCAGGGTTCTATGCTAATATTGGTGTGCTGGAAGCCATTGCGCTCCCGGGAGATGCTATTGTATTCGATGAATTTTCTCACGCGAGTACGGGCGTTGGCATGAAAGTCAGTGTGGCTGCGCACAAGATCCCATTCCAACATAATAGCGCGGACTCCTTGAGAGATGTTTTAACTTCGCTCAAGGATTTGGATCCAGGATTTACTAAGGGGGAAAAATCTATTCTCATCTGTGTCGAGAGTCTGTATAGCATGGAAGGTGATCTGTGTCCGCTGAAAGAGCTGGTTAGTGTAGCAAAGGAGGTCTTTCCGAATGGGAGCGCGCAGTTCATAATAGATGAAGCGCATAGCAATGGCGTTATTGGCCCTAATGGTGGAGGATTGGTAAGTTCTCAAGTTCATACAATTGTGTCATTCTCAACTTTCTCTGCATTCTCATACTCCTCAAATCGCTGCTCTTCCTTTCTCCCACATTCGAGCTGATTTGCTGCATCATAGGTTCAATTACTGGGATTGGAGAAGGAGATCGCTATACGAGTTCACATGTGTAGTAAGGCATTAGGATCAACTGGGGGTAAGTCAACTCTCTCGTCATGTCTGTTATAGACCCACTACTAAAATTCCCACTAGGCGTTATTTTATGTAACCAAACAGTACGGAGTGCTCTTGCTCAGTACTCACGATGTTTGACATACAGTGGTGCACCCTCAGTACCCATGGTCGCTTCCATTCGGGCAGGCTACCAATTGCTATCGAGCGGCCAGACGCAAAAAGTACATACCCTACAAAATTCAGCATACTATTGATATATGACTATGAATACTAACTCATTTTTTCTTTATAGGAACAAAACCATATCCAAGAAATAGTAAAATACTTCTTCGGATCTCTTCTTGACCACCCCATCTGGCAGGAAGCCATGGATGAAGGTCTCATATCCGTTCCGCTCGCCGAAGACTACGAACAACGCTCTGTACTTTCGCACGTCGTACCCATTAAGGTGAAACCGGGCCATGATTTCTTTCTCTTCACCCACTTGGCCAAGGCCAACATGAACGCTTATCCCATGGCATATCCCGTTGTACCAAAGGGCACGGCATTGGTCAGAATGTTGTTCCATGCTCATAACACGAAGGAAGAGGTTGATAAGATAATTACTGCCGTCGGTGAGTGGGCGGATGAGATACTGTCAATCGAACGAGGCGAGTCAAAGAATGTCATACCGAGCTCGATGAGAGAATTTCTTGCCATGCAAGGAACGAACGGGTGGGAGTGATGAAAGATTCTTGAAAATTAAGTAATCTAGCATCGAACCATATAGTAACGCCACAATATATTTTGCTCATAATTTTGTAAGTCAAGTGTTTACAAAAATCTAGTGTATCCATCTAGTGATCAACAGAAATAGATATAATGACTGCGCCGGCTTCGTTACCTAACAAATACCGCATAAAACTTCCTCTGCTACAGTTATAAGTGTACAGGGTACTGACCTAATAGTTAGTCTAATCCATAAAATATATTCTTAATTTTCAATCTATTCTTACACTTGATATTAGCCTTATTTGTAGTCAGTCTGGGTCTATTCGGAGTCGTTGATTTCTTTTAATTCTATTTTTTTTTCCCCAGCTGGCTCTTTGCGTATTGAAATTGATCGCTTCTTACATTTTTCTGCATCATGTTGGTCATTCTCCAATGATTTAATTACCAATAACATCTTATGTGACGCTACAAAGCTGTTTGTCACCATAAGCATCCCCCTTGTTCTATTCTCGAACTTCTACCTTTTGTTAACAGGTATCTCTACTTTTATGAACGACTAATGAATCTGTAAAAGGTTCATGCTAGACAACAAAGGACGTTTAGACACCCTAGTCTAAACTAAGTAGGCCTACTACATATAGCGACAAGGTGATAGCCGAGCTAGCTTCCATTTTCTATCTGAAGAATTGCATAGTCGAAAGTAAGGTTATCACCTGGTCCCTTGTAATAAATTGAATCTCCTATAAGCAGCGGGTTCTGTTATAGAAATTGCTCCAATTGCGATTATTAGCTTAGTCTTTCACCCTATCTGGCTTAACGGTATAACGGATTGTTATGCCATAATTGTAAGAGGCTGGTGGCCAAGAGATTTATTCTAGCTTTTTGGGCAATGCGACCTAGATTGTATTGGACCCCTGTTGATGACAAGGCTTGTAGCTAACGCTATAGGAAGCGTTTAGGTAGTGCCCTGGGGGTTAGAAAAGATATTGATCAGGCTGCTAAAGATAACTTTACTCCATTATCTTAGAGAGCTATAGGGCTTGAGGTCAAGTCCTGGAGGGAGTATATATCAGTTGTAACAGATGAAACCTTCTTCAAGCAGCTGGTTTTATTCCAGTAATTGCTACAATTGCGATTATTGACCCAATCCTCTACACTGTTTGGCTTAACGGTACGACAGATTGTTACAATATGCAAAGTTGTTCACAAATTAGATATCGAGTATCAGTCTAGCACCAATTGACTCTATAGGTATATTTTAAATAAGGGACTTGATTTAAAGACGGCATATCCAGTATGCAAGCATGTGTATTCAATATTTAAAACAGCATGCTTTGTGAAAGAAGATTCGTATACCATCAATTGATATAATATACGGTATTTTACTATAATATAACACTGATCTACAATACAATAAAAGCTTATTTGCTATAATAGAGCGCATATTCGCTATAATATAAAACCTTTGGCAATAATACAGTATAGACATTATAAATATAGCGCTTGTTTACTATAATATAGTGCTTTTATTTAGGGACGGCTTATCCGGTATTCAAGCACCCCGGCGTATTTGGTATCTAAAATAGCAGGGCTTGTAGAGGGAAGTTTTTATAGTTTTAGCCCCTATAATACAGGGCCTTTCACTATAATATAGTACTTATCCGCTGTATTACAGCATATAACCGCTGTTCTACAGCACTTATCTACTATAATACAGCAATGATCTGTTATAATACAGAATTTATTTACAATAATATAGCGTTTATTTACTCTAATATATATTATATTGCTATATTATAAATTAAATTATATAAATAATTGAATACATATTTATAGAACTTTATATGTTTTACTTTTATTTATAACTAATATAAATGTTACTATTCTAAATTTGAAATAAACCTCTTTGAATACTAGATAAGCCGTCCTTTTATTCATTTAATAAACTATTTCATTGATTATGTTTTAATCGAGGCTAGGAAAGAAATAATGCAGCAGTGCATTCCTTGTGAATTTGCGAGTACCATTTGTGTATTAAGTAAGTGTCCTTTGTGGCTGACAGCGCTCTGTGCAGGCATGGCGTTAACCCTCTAATGGATGATACTACTCCGAGAATAGCCTCGATCCCTATCAAATATAATTCCACCATCTTAGCCTTCGGAAGGGCAACCCTCCGCACAAGCATAGCGAAATCCTTCCCTGGCTGACAGTACTCCGCACGTCACTTTGTTAATATCCTTATGGCTGACAGTACTTCATACAGGTACAGAGTAAATCTTCTTGTGGCTGACATTGCATGATTAGCGCTAGTACCGCTCAAAACAATTACCTAAGCGCTTCAACAACTGCGCAACCGCTAACAAATTATCAAGGCTATTATGCTGATGGTATTACTTTGTATAATGTTTGAAAATAAGGCTATCTGTTCCCTGTTCCAATAGCGATCTCTTAGCTCTCTGGATCGGCCTAAAATTTCTGGTTCAACGTGTAAAACAGCATACGCCGCGTAAATTCTTAGCCCAGAGGTTACAGAGATACGAGGTATCTCGTTCGCTCGTAGACTATGCTTTTTTGGTTAACACAGATGTATCACGCCGTTTCTAGCTGTTGGTAAATTGGTCGGGACCTGAGTGTTTGTAGCGGACAGTGGTTATGCCGACATTTGCTGATACTCCCCACGGGAGTAATAACTCTCCGGACACAATATGCTCTCAAGTTGAAGTTTTTCTGACTTGAAAATGAGACTCTAATCCAAATATTTATCACTTCATATACATTTCAATTAAGCATCAACACAACTTCAGATCTTCACCAATGGCTACCAGTGGCTCTATTGTTGTTTCGAGGTCTTTACCAGTAATTCACCTGGACCTCCTTCGAGCGGAGAATGATTCAGAGTGTAAGAAGTTGCTCAATGCTTGTCAAACCTACGGATTCCTCTACCTTGATTTGACTAGCGATTCAGAGCTATGCAAACAGTGGGAAGACATGCTGTCAGTGATAAAGCAGTACTTCAAGCAGCCGCTTGAAGTTAAGATGCAAGACGCTCGAGGGAGTGACAACTACGGGTGAGTTCATTAGATCCTAACTCAGTATTTTACGAGTTACTAATATTTCCAGCTACGAACCCATAGGCACCGAAGAGGGCCCTAAACCAAAAACTAGAGACGGCTATGAATCTCTAAAGGGACGTACATGCTATTCCATAGTGTCCTCAGCCGTATCCGAAACCAACTAACCTCTCCCTTTCAGATTTCCCGCCGAGAATTTCTGAAAGGCTCAACCGATCTCACCACCTCTGTCCGCTCTGAATCAGACTTGTTCTTCGCCTTCATCAAGAACGCCCACACCATCACGCTTATGATCCTCTCACGATTGTCTTCTCAGCTAGGCCTCACCGGTTCTTCACGCTTCGAGTCCTACCACACCGACCCAGGACCATCGTTCTCAACTCTCGGCCTCTTGCGTTATCCAAAACACGATGAAGCCGCCTCGCCCACCAACGTAGGCCACAATAAGCACACGGATGTCGGTTCTCTCACATTTCTGCTTGCCCGACAATGGGGTTTACAATTCCTCTCTCCGGAGACACAACGTTGGGAGCTTGTCGAACCTCGACCTGGCCATGCTATTATCAATGTCGGCGACAGTCTACGTTTTCCATCTGGGGGAAAGCTAGCAAGCGTTGTGCATCGCGTAGTTCCACTTAAAGAGAGACAGGAAGAGGATCGATATAGCATTGCATATTTTCTGCGCCTGAATGATGATGCAATGTTCTGTGACTCGACGGGGAAGACGTGGACAGCGAAAGGGTGGCATGACTTCAAGTTTGATGTATTCAAGAACCCGAGTACCTTGGATGCGAATGGTCAATTTTTGACGGGCATGATGGAAGAAAACGATAGATTAGTGGAAAGTGGTCATAAGATTTTAGTCGCGCAATAGTTAAGGCACATTTATAGTATTATGAATCCTTGAGATGTATGTGAGATTTTTACACCACTAATGCACGGTATGATAGTCTGGAGAATGAGTTCTCATAAGTCGTGCATAATTTCTGTTTAGACTTGGATATAGTTAGAATTTTACCACCCTAATTACGAAAATAATCGGCACTATCTTTTTAGAATACAAGATATACAGTGATACTAAAGATCAACGGTCAAGTAAGTATATTGTGATCATATATGGTGAGCTTAATTTTATGAAATTGCCGTCGTAGCTCGTAAGATATGATACCGGAACAAACGTATTGGAACAAAATATATATTTTTTGCTTACCAGCATGCATGCCAATCGTCAAAGAAACTAACTACGATTCATACCCCGAGTCATAGTTACTCGCATTCAATACTTTCTTACTCGTCTCTGCAACGTGCTGGTACATATACAGTGCATGCGCCCGACTAATCCTCGTGCCCAGCAACATATAAGCTATCCATCCAATACCCGCCGTAGTTGATACAACAGTTCCAGGAGTCGCGTACATTTCAGCTCTAGTAACATGAGGCACTATCTCTGGAATTGCTTGATACAGCTTCTCGAAAAAGTTTTCGGGGACTCGAATTTTGTCGCAGTGGATGGGAATCATGCAGTGCGCAGTCCACCACTGAGCACCACCGCCATCACCGGGATTGGAGCTGGAGTAGGCAAAAGGTGCTGATAAGGCTTCAAAACGGGTACGATCATTGAGAGCGCGGAGAAATTGCAGAGCGCCGAGGTCGACACCATATGTGAGGAGTGTTGCCCATGTACCGCCCGTTCCAGGCGGGCGAACATTGATTTCGATGAGAAATACTTCTGGTTTTTGACCTGGAGTAGCAGCGTTGCTGGCGACAAGGTCTACAATACCATTACCGTTGACGTCTTTGTACCGCATAGATGAATTCATGATCCGCCCTTCGCAATGAAACACACCCGACTTTAAACCCAGTTTCAAAAGGCTACGAAGCACAGATGAACGAATAGTTTCCACTTCATCAGGAGGTAGTCTCGTGTTCGAGATCTGTACCGTCTCAGCGAAATTGTCGGCTAGCGTGGCACTGCTCGCATCAGCGAGACAGGGGAAGTTATCTGTTACTTCAAGAAAGAGGACTTGGCCCTCCCACAGTACAAAATTTGCATCAAACTCAGGTCCGTCGACGTAAGTTTCGATCAAGATGCCATACTCTGTCGAAATGCCTTCATCTTCATGTAGCATGTGAACGGCTTGACGCATGCTAGCTTCGTCGGTGACTTTCTTAACGCCCTTAGAGGTCATTCCGCGACACGGTTTCACTACCATCGGGTATTGTAAGGTTTTGAGCATCTCCGCAATATCAGCATCGTCCAGTTGCTGCACACTGTCTAGGGAGACGGCCTGGATGTTATTTTCGTGGACGACCTTGCGCATTTCGTGCTTGTAGTGCACTCGCTTCATCTCCTGAGCTGGTTCGGTCGGTAAACCAAGTATTTCTGCCGCTTGAGAAGTTGCGACAACGTAATCATCAGTGAACGTAACGATGCCGTCTATTTTATCATGTCTTTTTCTGACGGCCTGAACTAATTTGTGGGGTAACTCTTCCACATTTGACATATCAATTGCAATAAAATCCTCACGAAGATGAGCATATCTTTCTCCTTCAAGCCAATGGCCTTGTTCATCAAAAACTACGATCGATATACCAAGCGCCTGAGCAGCCTGGAAGAAGCCTGACGAATTATGTATCCCACTCTTCGGATCGGGCATGGGACGACCACCGACGACAGCCACGCGGCGAGCAGCTGGTCTTGTTGGAAGTATCCAATTAAAGGATAAACGCATATCCAGATCTTGCTGCAGTAGCTTCAGAGTTTCCGAAGTGGGAAGTCGAGACTGCTTTACAAGCAGTGCTCCGGTGGCGGATGACATCAGAGGGACTAAAAGAGCCCTGTTATTGGATAATACTGATGGAAGACATTTGTCCCAGGTTGACAAGGAAATTACGTTGTCGACGTAATCTGAGTGTTGCATTCGAACGTCAAGGATGTCGCTCCTGCACACGTATCCGCCCCGTGGAGCAAGTATCACCTTTATGGCTACATCTGTTTTGTGGACCGACAACTGGCGCAGATGCCATATGCGACGCACCAGCGTCTCAAGCGCAGTCCCAGAGGCGTTAGGAATATTGATACGCTCCTCTAGGTCCTCGTCGCGGGCCGATATTGGGAATAGGCGAAGCAGCAGATCGAGACTTTGAAAATACAGTGACGACCCAGAGATGCTCCACCGAACTGAAATTTTCACGGGAGCTACACATTTGACTAGGTTAGTATACATATACGAGGTTGTTAAGATCAAGATATGCTTGCCTTGGTAAATAGAGACTTTTACCAAGAAGTCCTCCGTTACAAATTCTCTCCCTCCATCATTGCTCGCCTCCATCTCGGCTGCTTGTATGGGCGTCACTAACTGGTCTTTGAGAGCTTCAAGAGAAGGCGTATAGGAATCGAATATAATTTTGATACTACCCCCAAAGGCCCGTTGTTACTGATGTTATCGACTCTGTCGATTGCCTCTGCGCGTAGCAGTGTTGGGGATTTAAGAGAGGCGATGGAGAAATTGCACAGCCCCTATGATAGGCATTGATTTTGGATTTCTTCATGGCTGCTTATCTTCTAGAAGGCATAATACAAGGCCGTCTCTTGAAGTTATTCAAAACACTCAATCGGCTAAAATTTATCACAATTGCTCCGATACATGCTTAGAAATACATTCGAGCGCAAAGGGCTGACCGTGCATATGCTTGGCTGACGAGCCTACTTAGAGCCTAGTCAATCATACTCCATAACACAAAGGTGGTATACCTAGTATTAAAAGAGCACTCGCGCTGCTGGGTCGTTATTAACGACTAAATGGAGGTACTTATATAAGTTCTGACGAGATTTTAGGTACTTTTTAGATAGGTAGGTACCTAGGTAGGCATGTACTAGTCATTACTGTTCCGATTGGTACTCGTTTATAAAGAGCTGTTATAGTAATAGGTATTGGTCTATTGTAAGGTTTATGGCGCTAATCGCACGCCGCTACTCTGCAAGACTAAGTTAGCTGTTTTAGCGCGTTAGCTTATTATTTATATACATACCGTGTATGCGGTAGGCCCATGTAGTACCCTATACAGCTTTCCTATCTCATAAAGTACTGGCAGTGACCTATAGATAGCCCTTTGAAGTATACTCCGCACACTTGGATCCAATGATGGGCCGTGCCGTGTTCAGCCATGAAGTAGTCCGCTGCCAGCCACAGTGATTTCTCCGCAACTCCGCTACCCCGACAGTTGGCTGATTGCATGGCTGCTATTGCACCATACACTTCATTTTCATCTTTCAACAATCTACACTTGTGGTAACCATTAATTCAATTCGAGTCGAATTATTCGACGTGTCAACTGTCCAAAATGCCTTTTACTGCTGGAGAGGGCCAACTGTTCCAGCAGAATGACGAGCAATTCGACTTCAATATAGAGTTTGAGCAGGTGTTTTTATCTATTATACCCTCTGCTCTGTTTATAATAGCGTCGTTATGGATGTCGGTCACCCAGGCACGGAAACCTGCTGTGGTTAATGCGCCAATTTTCCGGTTCATCAAAGTGGTATGTTCTTTTGCCATGTATTCGAACGCATAATTCCAGGGTACTAACTACGTCGCCGTAGGGCGCTATCGCAATCTATACCATACTTCAACTCACGCTACTCGTTCTGGCTGCAACTGGACACTTCCACGCAACACGCATATTCATAGCTGCATCGGTCTTAAAGTTATTTTCAGGCGTCTTCATGATACCTCTTAGTATCGTTGAACACAGCAGATCTGCGAGGCCTTCTATACTACTGACCGGCTACTTATTCCTATCTCTTCTGCTCGATGTGACCCAGGCAAGAACGCTTTATCTCTCATCAGCTATTTCAGCTGAGCGCATCTATAGCAATCTCTTTACTGCCGCTACAGCTCTGAAAGCTGTAGTGCTTGTGTTGGAGTCACAGCAAAAGTCTAAATGGATAAGCTGGAATGAGAAGGAGCATAGCCCAGAGGAAACAAGCGGCATTTTCTCTCTTGGCGTCTTCTTCTGGATGAACAGGTTATTTTTGGCTGGATACAAGAAAGTTCTGTTTATCGACGATCTTTACTCCCTTGACAGCTCCTTGGACCCCAAAACGCTCCGCGAAAAGTTCTATCAGAATTTAAACTATTCTAGAATGAAAGGTGACAAATTTGGTCTTACAAAAGTTCTCATACGCACACTTAAAGGACCTCTGCTCCTTCCTATAATTCCACGTTTGGGATTACTTGGATTTACTTTCGCTCAACCTTTTTTTATTGAAAGGCTGTTAGATTATCTTGCTGAGGATGAACTTGATCCAAACATTGGATACGGTTTCATCGGTGCCAGTTTATTCATTTACGCAGGAATTGCCCTCTGCTGGGCCTTCCACCGGTATGCTCACATTCGCAAAGGGGTTTTAACCATATACACTGCTGATACATATCTCCAGGTATTACCATCATCGAATGCGAACTATGTTGAGGTCGATACTGGTCACCGAGACCTTTATCACAGCTACAAAGGCTCGTATCGGGACGGGCGATGACACTGCTGCGCTGACTCTAATGAGCACAGACATTGAGCGAATTAGGATGGGCTTTAGGCAGCTGCATGATATATGGGCAAGCGTGATCCAAGTCGCACTGTCTGCATGGATGTTAAATAGTCAACTTGGAGCAGTCTTTGTCGCACCCATTGGAGTAGTTGTTCTTTGCTTCATCGGCCTGGTGATCCTTATGAACTTCATCGGGAACGCACAGAGAGATTGGATGGCATTGGTCCAGAAACGAGTTGGCCTGACAGCCACAGTCATCGCTAGTATGAAGAATCTGAAGATATCCGGTATCTCTTCTTCTGTTAGCAATTTTGTACAGAATCTCCGCGTTGAGGAACTAGTCGCTGGAGTTCGGTTCCGCAAAATATTCATTGGAGCGGCTCTCCTAGGATTTATTCCGCTGCTGATCAGCCCAGCCCTTACCTTCGCATTCACTCAAAATCAACTAAATGCCTCAAGGGTATTTACGAGTCTCTCGTTTCTTACGCTTCTGACGTTGCCGCTATCTCAAGTATTCCAATCAATCCCCGAGGTCATCTCAGCACTAGCCTGCATAGGTCGAATTCAGGCGTTCTTGGAGTGCGAGACTCGTGAGGATTTCCGCCAAGTCTTTACTGATATTAGGCGGAGTTCGGAGAAAGCTCCAATAGACAATGTACCTTCGTCTGATTTGGAAGTGGTCATCCAAAATGGAAATTTTGGTTGGGAGGCAGATAAGTTTGTCTTGCGAGACGTTAACATTCAGATACCCAAGTCTTCACTTACTCTTGTGGTCGGACCTGTTGGCTCTGGAAAATCTACGCTCTGCAAGGCACTACTTGGAGAGATTCCTTTCCACGAAGGTCATCTGATTTTGAATACAAGGGTTCCGCACGTTGGATTTTGCGACCAAACTGCATTCCTTTCGAACGGGTCAGTTAAAGATAATATCGTGGGGTTTTCTCCAGTCAATAACGAGAGATATGCCGAAGTCATTGATGCTACAGCTCTGGCCTTCGATTTTGCCACTCTTCCACAAGGGGACCAAACAAATGTTGGTTCGGATGGCATCTCTCTATCCGGAGGCCAGAAACAACGCGTTTCTCTTGCACGAGCCCTATATTTGCAAACTAATTTGCTTATTCTTGACGACGTCTTCAGCGGTTTAGATGCGGATACAGAGGAGCAGGTCTTCCGAAAGGTTTTTGGGGTAGATGGACTACTCAAACGGCGACGCTCTACGGTTTTGCTATGTACTCATAGCATTCGACATTTGCCCTCTGCAGACTATGTTATAGCGCTTGGAGACGGCACCATTAGCGAACAAGGAACCTTTAAGGAACTAATGGCTAATCAGGGTTATCTCCAACGTCTGGGTTTAAAGAATTCGTTTGACGACGATACCTCTTCGGAAATATCAACCTCGAAGCAAAGCGTGCAGGAATTGAAGCCGCAAGTAAACCAAGGGAAGACGGCCAAGGTAACTATCGCGCCCGAGATAGATGCATCGCGGCAAGTTGGGGACGGCACAGTATACAAGCATTACATGAAGAGCATGGGATGGTTCCTGGCAACATGCGCTTTATTCTTTGCTTCACTCTGGGGCTTCTTCTTAAACTTCTCTACAATCTGTAAGCCGTCTTTGTGATTCATGTTTTAACGCCAGATATATTGGGAGAGTCGGTTTACTTAAACTAACACTACGTTACAGGGCTCACATACTGGGTCGATGATATCAACGCAGAACATCCAGTGCACTCTTATGCCTACTGGGCTGGATTATATGCTTTGCTTCAGGCTTGCGCCTTGATATCGCTCTTTCTCCTTGGTGCCTCGATCTGGATCGTCTCAATCAAAAAGGCTGGTGCCAATTTGCATCAGGATATCTTGCGAACGCTGTTTCGAGCACCACTACGCTTCTTCACTGATACTGACACTGGCGTTATTACGAACTTGTTCTCGCAAGATTTGAACCTCATAGACACAGAACTTCCAGATGCAGTGGTTAGCACTCTGTTTTCAGTACGTCTGCCGTGATGGAACTTTCAGAAGACTCAAATTCAGCAGCTGACGCCGATGATAGATCACCCAAGTTGTAGGGCAAATGGCTGTTATGCTTACTTCGTCTCGCTACCTGGCCATCAGCTTCCCATTCCTCATCGCTCTGCTATACATGGTGCAGAGATTTTACCTCCGCACTTCACGGCAACTACGGCTGCTTGACCTAGAAGCTAAGAGCCCCCTGTAGTGAGTCCATGAAAGCCTCTCGCCATATGATGCCGTGCTCTTTACTAACCTATGATTAGTACACATTTCCTTGACACCGTCAGAGGTATCACAACTCTGCGGGCATTCGGTGAGTACAAAACGTTTTATATCTTCCTCACTTAACCATGACGTTATTGCTGAGACGAGACCTCCAGGCTTTATTCCTGACGATATCCACAAGAACGCTCGTCTACTCACTTCCAGTCAAAGACCCTCGTATCTACTTCTCATGATTCAAGAATGGCTAAATCTCGTTCTCAATGTGGTAGTCATGTTGCTAGCAGTAGCCATGACAACTCTTGCCGTTCGCCTTCACTCTAATTCTGCTTTTGCGGGTGCTGCTCTATACAGTCTTCTCAGCTTTGGAGAAAATCTTGCCGGTATTGTCCTTTTCTGGACCAATCTTGAAACCTCTCTCGGAGCGATTGCTAGACTCAAGACCTTCAACGAGACTGTGAAGCCGGAAGACAGAGAGGAGGAGACCACTATTCCACCTGAACAGTGGCCTCAGCGTGGCGTGGTGGAGTTAAAGGGTGTATCCGCCAATTATGCGTAAGGGTCATATACCAGCTATGTTACTATTGCAATGCTAATTCTCCGACCAGCGTTGAAGATCGAGATAGTGCCGTAACCAATCTCGCCCTCCGTAACATTCATCTGATGGTTGATTCGGGAGAGAAGGTTGCCATCTGCGGTCGTACCGGTAGCGGCAAATCCAGTCTAATCGCCCTGCTTCTCAAGATTCTCGATCCTATCTCAGCAACGGCGGAGAACATCTGGATTGATGATCTGCCGCTCCACCGTTTAGACCGGTCTGTGCTACGCCAGCGCATTATCGCAGTGCCCCAAGAAGCAGTTTTTCTACCCGACGGATCTACTTTCCAGGCCAACCTCGATGTATCCGAGGAAGCAACACGCGAAGAATGCGAGGCTGTGCTTGCCGCTGTCGGCTTATGGAAATTTATTCAGGAGCGTGGCGGCCTTGACGCGGGGATGAGCGCATCAACTTTCAGTGCTGGACAGCGGCAGCTCATGTCGCTTGGGCGTGCGCTGCTCAAACGCTCCATTCGAAAACAAAAATCCGGGACCAATACAAAACATGGCGGTATACTGTTGCTGGATGAAGTGAGCTCTAGCGTAGATAAAGAGACAGAACGCGTCATGCAGGAGATTATCAGGACTGAGTTCAAAGATTATACAGTTATTGCGGTAAGTCACCGACTGGACATGATTATGGACTTTGACAGGGTGGTGGTCATGGATACAGGAGAGATTGTTGAGGTGGGAAATCCGGTGGTGTTGTCGCGAGAGGCGGAGAGTAAATTTGGGGATTTAGTGAGAGTGGGGAATAAATAGGATAGTGCCGAGTAATGGGCGTAGATGGTGTATTCGCCCCCCGAGAGTTTAGTCTTGTCATACCTCACATAATTGGCGGTTTCTCAACACGCATATGCTTTTCAATAATACCGTTGACATTATAATTGACTTTTGTACCATTTGTTCTTTGGCTAGAGGATGTATTTCAGTGGCCAAACCCTAGGTTTCTGGCAGTCTGGCATTTGTGTAAACTCGAATTCTTTTTCTTACGTAGCTCACAAGCTGTTCTACTCCGCATGTATATCTACCTTATGCATCGCTATCTGATAAAAATGTGTGATATAATACCACTACTGCTGAGGTTCGTCCAGACGACCAGTTCGCCGACACCGAAACACAGGAACACATCACGTCCATGTTGAGCTCTTTACGTCTACCCTGTATTGTTACGATTACGGCTTTTGGCGGTAGAATAATCTAGGAGAACATGAGAGGCATTGAAACATTATCCTCAAAAAGCATAAAGAGGCGGTTTGGATGCGAGACCAGTATCTCTCAGTTGATCTAGGGCATCCATATTGTTAAGTATATTGAATCGCTACTTTGAAGTGCATACCATGCCACATGGATATTTTATTTCAACAGATCCCCTACCAATGTCTTCTCTCCAGCGTTGACTAACCCCTCCAGCATTCTCCCGGGAATCTTAGCCGCCTCCCTCGCCCAGTCTTCATCGATCTTTGCGAAGTTGAACTCGAATTCGGTCTTCAAGCCGTCCCCCTGTGGGAATAGATACCAATCCATCAAGTAATTGTGTTTCTGTTTATCCTTAAAGGTCCAGCTGGTAGAGGCCTGGGGCATGTCGAGAAAACAGAGTACGTTGGTTGAATTCGTAGTTGGATTTGCTAGCATCGACTCAGGTAGAGAGCTTGTCACACCGTCGAATTCCATAATGTCTAGAGTCGTCTTGTGGACTTCGGACAACCACTCGTGAACATTCTTCTGGGCCGGAACAGCAGTGCTAAAGGGAGACTTTCCTACGACAGGACCTACGACAGCCTGCGCCGGTGGCCAGGGAACTGTGCGTCCTGACAAGCTTATCGAAAACCCGACACGGTCCCACCCCGTGGTCTTACTCAGGAACAGTGCCCACGCAGCATAGACCATTGTAGTAGCAGTAATACCTCGAGCACGCGCTGCGGCATCGAGTGCAGATTTGGTGAAGGCACAAGGAGAGTTAAGAATCTTTAAATCGTAGTTTTCCGTCTGGGGAGGATTCTGTGGCTTTGGTAACCGCAACACAGATGTAGAAGGAAGTGGCCCCAAGATTTTTTCAAATGTGGAAATGGCTCTCGGCAAGTTTTCTTGTTTGTAACTTTCCATGAAACGTGCAAAGTCATCCCATCGAGTGCCCTGGGGGACTTGCTCTCCGGCCAACGCGCGCTCCACGTCACGAAACAGTATAGCTGTCGAAAAGACATCCCCCAAGACATGATGAGCACGTGTAACGAAGGCAATGTCCTTTCGCTCCGGAATGGAGATAGCCGTGACATCGAAATAAGGGACCTCAACATCAACAAGAGAAACATCTTTCATGGCTTGGAAGGCCTTCTCCTCCTCCGCAATAATAGTACCTTCAAACTCGGCTTCTCCTACGCTCACTTCATTCCAATTCAGATTCAACCGTCCAAGGTCAGAAAGAGAGAAATCGGACGTTTTAAAACGCGTCTCAAAGATACTGTGAGCTTTAAAAGCCTTGATGAAAGCATCGTGTAGCTCGCTGGTATTTGGAACGGCAAGAGCGTCTCCAACATACCTGGCTGTGCCGATAAGAGCACAGAAATCCGGATTCTGAAGCGATTTTCGGAGGAATAACTTCTGAACGTCAGTAGCGACAGCTATCCCTGTTGTGTAGTCTTTTGCTTCGTCCGCCTCATGAATCCTCGTAAGTGACTTTTCCAATGCTCCTATTGTGTCCAGTCTCAAGATCTGAATGGCTAAGACCGAGAATCCGTAACTCTTGAGGACATTGGCAAGTCTAATAGCCGTCAGGGAGTTTCCACCGAGTCTAGTAAACGATGAATCGTCGTCCAACTTCTTGATGGCGACGTGCAAGGTCTTCGAAAAGGCTAAGCGTAAAGCATCATGACCAGAGATCTCTTTCCCCTCCTCTTCCAAGCCTTCATCATCTTGGGAAAATTCTTCATCTCTCTGGGCCAAGAGTGCACGCTTATCAATTTTACTGTTCACAGTGAGAGGGAAACTGTCTAGTGCTACGATATCATCCGGAATAACGAACGGATCATATCGTTCCTTCAGGAAGGCACGTAGCTCGTCAACATCAACAGAGGCTGGCTGAACGAAACCAACAAGTTTGTCCCGCCATATAAGTGCCAAAGCGACACGCACTGCAGGAAAGCTTAGCAGCGCGGGCCCAACCTCAGTTTCGATATTGATTAAGAAGCCTCGGTTTTTGACGAGAGAATCTGTTCGACCCGCCCACACAAAGTCTCCCTCTTCTGTCCGCTGTGCGAGATCGCCGGTCCTGTACCAACGTTCACCATTCCATTGGATGAACTTAGCCGCCGTCAGCGTGGGGTTGTTGAAATACCCAGCAGCCAAATTAGGCCCGCCAATGAGGACCTCACCCTGATTGCACTCTTCCAGTTTGTCATCTACGAGCACAATCTTGGCGCCAGCAACGATTTCGCCAAACGGAGGCTCCTTCGCCGGGTCGATCTCCCCGAGACTGATTACACAGGTCGATTCTGTCGGACCGTACGTGTTGAAGACTTTTCTGTTGGGATTGACCCACTCGCGGACGACTTCTACGTTGGGTGCCTCGGCACCTAAGAAGATGCAAACCACTGGATCGTATGCCTTTGACGGGACTAATGAAGCCAACATGGACGGTGTCAAGTGTAGAACTTCACAAGTGGTAGCGACATCTGGGAAGCTCGATGACGAAGCCATCACCACGGCGCGGCCTTTGGTGAGGGTGCTCCATACCACAGCAGCGCATGCGTCGAATGCAACGGAGAAGGCTAACATGACACGGATATCCTTTCCAAGGGCTGCTTCGAGGTAATCACTGTGGTTGAAGGAGATTGCGAGGGCGTAGATAGCTCTGTGATATACCATGACTCCTTTTGGTTTGCCAGTAGTTCCCGATGTGAAGATAATCCATGAAAGGAGATCGTCTTTGAATCCACTGCGAAGGGCATCCAGCTGAGCAATCAGCTCAGCCGCGTTTCCTAACGGAGACCGCAGCCACTGCTTCTGGAAATTCACCGTGGAAACTGGTAGCTGAAGTCCAGGGACCGAGGTTGTGACAATGGCAAATGGGGAAGAGAGTTCGAACAGGGTCGCCTCGATTCTAGAACGGCTCCAGGCGGCTACGTCAATAGGCACGTAGGCGGCCCCAGTCCTCAAGACGCCGAGGACAGAGGGTAGCATCTCAAGAGACATATCGGTCAGAACCGCAACTTTGTCATAGGGCCCAACGCCAGCTGCTAAGAGAGCTCTAGCAACGCGAAACGAGGCCGTTCGTAGTTCAGCGTACGTGAGCTGTTCTCCCCGCCACTCAACAGCAATGGAGTTGGGTGTTTTCGTGGCCCATTCATCGAACTGGTCGACAATAGTAGCCTCAAGGTGTCTAGGAGTATGAACCCCATTCGTTCCATCCGTTGTCGTCATTTTGAGGGATGATTCTAAGAATCTTCAAAAGATAAAGTGAGATAAGTCTGTCTGAGACTTACTTGCGGGGAATCATATAGACATATTTATATATCAAGTAGCTCTTCCCTTATACACATAATTAGTATGCGCATGATACTGTCAAATGTATGAAGTAAGCGATATTTAGCAGCACACTAGAGCAATTAGTACCTTATTAATCAATTTGATAAATACATTGTATTTTTATAGTATTTATTCGGCTCTGTATGCTGTAATTCGAAAGGGGTATTATTTAGTTGGTTTTGGGTTACCCGCTTTGTTCACCAGTGCAGGTACACTATCTAGGGCCCTTCGTGTAGTGTATTATTAGGTATATAAGGACAAGGCAAGGATGTTGTAGAACTACATGTATCTCCTTTATTTAGTATATAAGCTAATAAATAGTTAACTATTAGTACAATATTTAGTATATAGGAAAATCTAATGTGTCTTTTAATGTATTTTTTGTATTTTAGTAAAATAGATTTTAGTTATTCATGTTAATTCATTTCGTATAAAAGATTAAAAAAGTATTTGATAGCAAGCACCGAGTATTTAGAACAATGACATCCCTGGCACTTCTATTGGTCAGTAAGTATACTCTATCAACCACTTTAGCCTGATTTAGTGGGGTTTTAGTATTATGGCTGACAGTGCAGTCCCTGTAATTTTTTTTTCTTGGCTGACAGTGTAGTTTTTGTATTTTATTTGTTCCTTGGCTGACAGTGCAGCCACTATAACTTTAATTTTTTTTTTTGCACTTTTTTTTTTCCTTGGCTGACAGTTTGACAGTGCTTTACGGCCCGCATTCTCCTATTATTTTGCACGAAATTATACTAGGCTGTAGTTAATGTAGAATAGACAAATAATACAGGTAGAATAAGTTCTTACTCAGATTGAAAGCCAACTATATATTTATAAGATAATTAATACAGTTGTTCTTAATACCCTCTATATAGTAGTTTGACTTTTGTTTTGTTTCATGTTGGAACAGTTTCAGCATTCTGGCTTTCAAGATACTGTGGGCTAAATGGATAATCGGTATATCCCAATGCATGCCCTGTATAGAACATCTCGCGTTTGTAATCAGTAAATTGCAATCCTTCTTTGACCTTATACACCAGATCTGGGTTTGCAATAAAGTACCTCCCATACATAAGAACAATGTCCTTGTAAGGATACTTATTGACTAACTTTCTGGCATCGTCCAATTTATACCCACCAGCTATCAGAAGCGGTCTGTTCCAGAGTTTATAAGCGAATTCCAGTGTTTCGCTGCCTTCGCAGTCATGGCTGCCAGATATGCGAGATTCCACGAGGTGGAGATAAGCCAGATTCAGCTTACTGGCCTTCTTGATGATATCCGTAAATTGCGGAATTGGATTTGTCATTTTCATTCCCTGAAATAAGCTCCAGGGGCTAAGGCGAAGGCCGACTCGTTCTGGCCCTATAACAGCAACGACAGCCTTCATAATTTCGTCTATGAAGCGAGATCTATTTTCGACACTCCCACCGTACTTATCATGACGCTGATTGCTGTTATCCTGATTGAATTGGTCAATTAGGTAGCCATTTGCACCATGGACTTCGACACCGTCAAAGCCTGCAAGCATTGCGTTTTGTGCAGCTGTTGCAAAATCTTGGACTGTTTTCTTAATCTCGTCGAGTGTCATAGAGCGTGGTATTGGCGCGGTTTCGTCCATAGGAATAGGGCTTGGGCCTAAAATATCAACTCCATCCTTTTTAGATAACTCCTCATCTGCAGCCCGCCCCATAGCAAAGATCTGGCAGAAGATGAAGCTTCCTTTCTCATGGACTTTGTCGGTGACTGACCGCCATCCTGCAATCTGTTTTTCGTTCCATATGCCAGGTGCATTGGAAAATCCACCACAAGATTCATACGAAATTAATGTGCCCTCGCTGATCAGTAAGGTACCAGGTGCAGCAGACCGCTGACCGTAATATTCGGCCATAAGTGGTAGAGGTACACGATCGTCTGTTGCACGGAGGCGAGTAAGTGGGGCCATCCCTATACGATGCTGCACGACTAAATTGCCGATTTTCAATGGTTTAAAAAGATTCGATGTATCCATTGTCGAGAATTCCTGTTGAGAAGCTTGTTTATCTGCGATCTTTTCTGGAAGCATGAACGTTTCGAATGGGTAGCAGCTGCGGCTTTATAGTTCCCGCCTATGGAGAAACAGGGAACGGGAGATAGCCAGGTGCGTATTCCAGAACCTAAATTGATGAGGTTTACTGTTAGTAAACAAATTGATGTATTTCCGATTGTACGACGGAGATGCCAATTGAGGTACTTCCAAATCGGGTAGTAAGGTTTATCCCAAAGAGTATAGTGGGGCTGGCGCCATAGTAGAAGAAACTATAGCGCTTGGTGATTTATAAGCGACGCAACTGACACTCTTTCCAGGCTCCAGTCCTAAATCCACCTGGCAAGTCTGTACAGACTGATGCAAGAACAAGAGAAGCAGAGCGCAGTTAATGTGTCTTGTTACTGGACCCTTTACGAGTTAAGATAGAACGTGGTCCCCTCCAGACGGGTGACTGTTGCACATTATGGTTGCCCAGCCGCTCAAGCCAGATGGTAGGCAATGCATATCCAATTCATCTTGTATTAACTAAACTCTGAATACCATGAGCCAAAGATTTTAAATTCATTTCAATTTATGGCCCTTGCAGTAAACAGGGTCGAGGTGCAAATCGCTCGGCTAAATCACACGCAGTTAAGCAAGCCCTCAAGGCCAAACGGTTACTTGAACAAAAATCAACTCACAACTTTCGAGTAACGCTTTTGAAGGAGCATAATACACTGATAAATAAATCATATTTTACAAATCATCCGAATTTAACCCCTTCTTTGTCCGCGAGCGCGATCGATCCGTTTGGTATGCTCCCTGTGGACACTTCAAGGTTGCAGATGCTACTAGGGGACAGTAAGGAATTGCCTACCACGAAGGACAAAAGTCTTTTTTTTTAACATTAAATATCTTAGGCAGAGCTAGGAAAGCCTCTGAGCCGGTCTTCAGTATTACAGAGGAGCTCGCATTCCAAAATTTTCACACCGTCTTCCGTACGGGCTTGACTGACCCAGCCCTTTCGAATGCAGTTATGTTTTCGCTATTGTTTGCAGTGACGGAGGGAAATTTGGACCTCGAATGCCTGAAATACAAGGTCTGCGTTATCGGCTGTATTAGAGACAAAGTAGCCTATATCAAAGGTGCTGTGTCAGAGTCCACAATTGGAGCCATTCTTCTACTTGTGGGTGTAGAGGTAGGTATCTATTCAAGATTTAGCTTACAGGAATACTAAATGCTCTTGCTCAAGGCTCAGATGGGAATGACCTCTCAAGTCCAACTTCACATGGCAGCAGTGAGCCAGCTACTCGAAATCTCTCGCAGTCAAGGCATCTATCTCACGGTTGGCATCAAGCGTGCCATATTCTGGTGAATCACACATCCAAGGAAGGGAAAGAACAATACCTAACAATAGTATAGGCGAGACTTGAATGCCTCAATTCTTTCAGGTTCTGATCGAATCGTTGACCACACTACGTTCTCGGAACTTCTCTGGCGGCGAGACTCATTCACACCTACTTTCTACCAACTTCCATCAGGGTTTGAGATAATATCACATTTGTTTAGTGAGGATTTTCTCGAAATACTGGAGGATATATATGCGTTACAATGTATACGAAACTGTTCGAGCTATAAAAAGGGTGATCCTTTTTTTATGTCCTACATAAACAACCACACGGCCTTTATTCAATCGAGGATTGTAAATCTGGTAATACCTTCTCCCATGCTGAAGTGTTGCGCTACTGCAGCGTATATTTGTTCTGTCATGTTATGTTGTCATGCTTGGTGCGCACTAGTTATTCCAGTAGGTCATATTCTATTATCCTGGTATATCGTGGATAAATTATGCTGATGTGTGCTATGCAGTCCTATTTATCCTCAAAACTTCTTGATCAACTTCAAAAGGCTGAAAAGGATACGATATGGGATGAAAACTCTGACTTGCTGCTTTGGCTCCTGTATATCGGTGGCACATTTGCTTCGCCTGGATCTGTTAGATCAAGGTATATTGATCTTCTTCGGACGAATATAACCGCGAGGTTCTCTTTGATCTGTAGCTCTCCTTCAAGGATACTTGAAATCTTGAGGCAATTTATCTGGTCAGACGTTGCATTCTTTTCGGACGCATCGATGCTTTGGGAAGAGATCTCAAATACATACTAAGGCCATCAATTATTAACCGTTGAGCCCTTTTTTGTAACAGATCATTTTGAATAACTTAATGAAACAGACCTGGTTGCAAATGTGACAGCAGCGCCAGCCAAATCGTACGACTTGAAGATGGAGAGAAAGTCAGATTCTTATATTAGACATCAAAGAACCTGGCTCCTCTCCATCTCTGAACTGGTCAATATACCAATCTCCTATTTTCAAGGCTTGAGATCTTTCATATACCTTACATCATATGTTCTGCCCACCCAGGTGTTGGTTACTCTGATTCATGCTCTTCAAGAACTATTGTAAAGTACGCAAAAATTGCGAGCGAGAGAAATTTCTTGCCTTTTTACCATTTTCACGAACATATCGGACACGCAGAATAATCAGCCATGAGGAAAATGGCTCAAAGCTAACCTAGCGTGCTGTTACAGCTATTGACATCTGCAAGGAAAAAAAGCGCTCTAACTCATGAAGCGCGTCGAGATATTTGTTTCCAAATTCAGCGTCTGGAATGCTTATAAAGAGGTTTTGTAATTTTTAAAGGTGAGGCTGACAGTCGTTGTTTTTAGAATCTGCGTTTAATATCGATGATAATTGTTTACCATGATCGTGGGACAGTGGGCCGCGACGCCTTTGTAGCCCTGGATAGATCAAATGCCGCAGAGCAAGACTAAAATACTGTCGCCGCTGTACTCGCCATCACAAAATACCAGATATTCGCCTAGTGGCGGGCCCAAAATCAAGTAGTGGAGACATGGGAGAACTGCAGCGGAATATAGCATACGAAGATCTCCAGGCGTTACATTGCTTAGAGACTTAGTCGCACCTTCAATGCTGATACAACAATGGCAATTGACAAGAGCGTGGGTTTCAATTTAATCGTGGGGAGTGAGTTGGACTTTGTACACAACAGCAATGGCGAAAGTCAGATGGAGGAAGTTAGCGTATTGTAATGCAACACTCGGCAGAGCACCGGCTGCAAATGACGAAGAGGCAGGTCAGCTGTTGACATTGTAAGATAACAATATATCAACTCCATGTCAACATGCGTCAAGCAAGCATCAGCTAACACACGCTGTTATCCGACGATGCCTATCAATTGGAGAAACCTCGGTGAGTTTTAGTTGTACTGGCTATAGTTTTTTAACAGGGAAGAGAGTGTATGACATAACTAGAAGCTCTTATAAAAATTACCTTTTATTTATAAGGAACTGAAGGCATCAGTCAGAGAGTTTGTTTAAAATGTATTAAAAATTTATTTTTAAACCCAATTTTATAAAATATAATGTATCTTTTGAGCTATCTAGCTTTATATAATAGTAAGATTCTATTTGTGCTTTAGGCTCACATTGGCACGCCGTTTAATACCACTTTCAATAGCATTGATTCTTTAATGTCTTTTGCGTGAGACTTTAGTTCGTCTACATCCCAGTTCACCCAGACGAACCTTCCCTTAAGAAATTCAGCTTCAGGGGATGCAAGCCAAACGTGAAAGTGTGCTGGAAGTGCAACTAAGAAAGTAATCAGCTATTGTAAAATAAGGACAGATGGCATTAGGAAACTAAAGGACAGTGAATTTACCATCGTCTTGGCCTGGGATACCGGAAACTTCATTAAGCTCAGTTGTAACAACGCCGGGCTGAATGTTAAAAACGCTAAGGTCTGAATGCTCAGCCTGTAGGAAATCGAACATTTTAACGATTGCTAGCTTGGAGGATGCATATGCCCAATAGCCAGGGAGCGGGTTGATATGCGCAATGCCCGAGGAGATATTTAAGATTTTTGCTTTCGGCGCCAACAAGGGGACCATCGCCTGTATGGCGTTGAACGAACCGATTATGTTACCCTCAATACTCTCTCGCAATTCTTTCTCGCCGTAAGTGGCAAGAGAGTTTGACGGCTTAAGGACGCCAGCGTTGTTGACAAAGATGTCAATCTTGCCGCCGCCAGCCTTGTGGATAGCGCTGGCGAAGGCAGCCTCCAAAGCGTGACGCTGGCTAATATCGGCACCCTCAACAACCACGGTGGTGACTCCTTCGGGGTTGGCTTTGGAGATTTCTTCTGCTGCCAACTGCAGTTTCTCAATGCGGCGCCCGAAAATTGCGATGACTCTGGCACCGGCTTCTGCAAAGGCGATAGCAGTGGCCTTCCCAATCCCGCTACCACCCCCCGTAATGAAGACCGTTTTTCCAGCAGCACTGACCTCGGGCCGGGAAGGCGAGATTGCAGGGTAAACCGTAGTATGCCAAGTCTTAGTAAAGGATTTAAACATCTCGTTGCCTTGATACGGACCGTCGTAGCTGGCCATCTTTGAGTTGGTACACTGGGAATATCTCGACAGGGGTTATTAATCGTCCACAGCGGTGAACAAGAAATCAGATGGAAAATATTAAGCTATATCGGATGACTGAGTAATTTATATCGTTTAGCGTTATTTTGAAGAAGAGGACATATTTGATAATGAGCAGTTGAGCTTCAATCTATATATACTACACGCAGAGATATCATGACCAGCCGGTATTCTCTATTACTAGGTAGTGTATGTAAGCAAGAAAATTTGAGATAATTTTGTTTCACGTATATTTGCGCCAATTTCGTCATATGGAGGTTCCGCGGATGGTTGTAAAGCTGTCGAAAGCCCTACAATGGAGATGGTTACAAATAGCGGCTTACAAAGCATATAAAAGAAATCTCAGATATTGGTAACCAATGCAGAATAAATGATATTAGGAAAGCTTCCGCGGCTTTTCTTCTATTCGGCCATAGCTTTCTATATATAGTATTTAACGCAAGGATCCAGTCGGGAGTGTGCGCCAGACTTGTGGAAATGAATTAATTTCCTATCAAAGGGGGAATCTTTTTGCCTTCTACTGATCTAGCTTAGTTTAATTAAACACCATCACTTTGGCCATTTTCTTCAGATCCATAGTTTGTGTCCAGAAACACCGATGAATAGTCAACATTGTTAGCTATTATAGCTGCTTCGTCGCATCGTCGTTGGGTGTGCTGATACAACTCTGCACAAGTAGCCTGAAATGACTTTAACATTTCACTCCCCGTCTCCTGCACCATTTTTTCCAGTGTTTGCAACCCAACTTCAATGAGTTGGCTATCTAATGCCAATTTATTGTGTTGCGGCCTATGCATGCTATTGGCTGTCAAGAGCACCATAGCTGTCATATAAGAGCAACCAGTGTTCCTATAATGTCATTGTTAGTGATCTTGACAGAACAGCAATCAATATAACCAAACAAGCAAAAACACACTGGGGGCTGTGACTGTCCAACGAGGATGCAGCCTCGGCTACCTTACCAGAAGTTCCAGCAATCTGTCATGCCCAATGTCCCAAGCAAAACCATTAGATCACGTGCCTCGTGTACCAACACCTCCCATTTTGGCGGCAGAATTGGTACAATACCTTGCCTACCATACCTGCGTATGCTGGCCACCCACTTGGCGTCCCACGCATGGGCCTGGTTTATGAGAGTTGTGCAAGCCAGAGTAGTGGAGTGCAATTCTCCGAGAAAGCGTAGCACATCATAAGGTACTCGCATTAGGGCCACAGAGGCGCTAAACTCGGGTGGGATGGAGACTTTCCACTGCTCAAGGGCGGAGGCTACGCTCTGTAGTGCATGAGAACGCTCTTTCGGACTACGTTTCTGAGAGCGTGTTGAATACAAATAATCATATACGCCGCCTTCAATCGTGGCCAGCTGGATGCGAGTTACAAAGTAATTCATCTTGACGGTTCTGTCGGTGGTAGCGATGATGCCAGTATCGTTTCCGGTGTCGTTGATTCCACTCATGCCCGCAATCTGATACTCGACAACTGCTGGCGACGGCAAGTCAAGGTTGATGTCGTCATCAATCTGTATCGATGGCTGTTTCGAGCGCATGCTAAGGTCTTTATCGAGGATGTACGCTAGCCAGAACACATAAGCACGCTGTCTCGCGTGGAGAGTATCCAGATGCGCCGAGTAGGTACAGTCATGCAAGCCAATCGCATGTGCGAGACGCATTGTGGTGGCAATCAAGATCAGCGAAGGCTGGAGATCTTGCGAGGCCTGAAGTAGCATCACCATGCCCACCAAGACTTGGATATTAAGCAGCTGGATCTCACCCAGCACCACTGTGGAGAGCACTGATTCTGCTCTGCTAATACACTCAGCCGGGGAGGGGACATTATGACAATCCACAAGAGTGTACCGTTGTGCGAGAGCTAAAACAATATTTATGGCAGCCCATGCCACCGGATTTCGTTGTGCGGGTCCAACATTGTAACAATTGTGGACTAAATGCAGAAGGGTTTTGGCATCAAATAAGGGTAATACTGTATTAAAATCCTTGAGGTAGATTTGTATGACAGGTAGGGCATGTTCTCGAGGAGGGAGGATCATCGATTTAGAAACACCATTGTCGTCTTGCTTTGTTACGATGGTTGACAGTGTCGTTGTGGTAGTCTCCGTGGCCCCGTCAGATTGAGGTAAAGACTGAACATCACTTTTCTCCTCAGCAAGTTCTAAGCGGTCAATGAGCTGCTGGATTATAGCTTCTAGTTGCCGCATATGACCTTGCGTATTACTTGTGCCACCCTCGATATTTGCAGAGTTCTGTCGTTTCTTCGGTCCAGGCTTGCGGCTGGGTGCTGTAAAGGTACAGTCAAGATTATACGTGATGCAATGTGAGCAGTGAGGCTTCTGTCTATCGCACTTAATTTTGCGCCGGTAACAGAAGTCACACGACTTTCGCTAGATTAGCTCATTGCCTCTTCTGCGACGAGGTGGAAATCGTAGTCTATACCTTCCTAGTAGTTTTCGAACCTTCCATCGTCGTTACAACGATAATGATTGAGCCAAATGGAAATTAATATGACGCTTTCATCCGTTGTAAAACAGATTGTGTTCGCTTCAGAAACGAGGTCGTTTTTAGAGCCTCCGCGGAAGCACATCGCTACCGGCCGCTGACAAATAATGGAAGATTGATAACCTTAATTCGATGGACCATAGCATTTTAAAGCATCCGCGGAACCTAAGCCGCACTAGGTGGGGGATTGTTTCAAACCTGGAAGCCATGGGTGCACTAATGCTCTAGCGCTAATGCGTTGAAGGCTCTGGGGCATTGGTCGCTGGCGGAGTTGAAGGGATGAAGCTCGAGACACCAGAGGAAATTTTCTGATGCTTTGCCACAATTGGATCGAGCTCGATTCTCGCACACCATATGACGCTCCACATAACTTCCGCATCAATTTGGCTATCGCTTTAGCCAACCTTATACTGTCTATAGCATCCGTATGATCCTCCGATACAGATAAGGATACCATCATGCTTAGGCATCAGATGATAAATACACCGATTTGTTAAGTAATTTTGCTGGGTCAGCGAACTTTCTTTTTTCTGTATATTTCATTCTGTTGTTGCAGCAATAAGTATATCTGGCTGGTATGCCATGCCTTCTCTTACAACCCATCAGTGTTCACTACTACTAGCCACCAACACCATGCCTTTCCAGTCTGCCATTCTCTCCCAGGAGCCAGGGGCTCAGTCGACCGAATCGAATCACGAGCATAGAGAAGAGAAATATAACGCAAACAATGTCAACACCATAGAGGGCTCATCAAACCAAAATAGCATTAATCCCAAGCTGGGGGTCAAAGGGCGACAGATCCGCGGTCTTCGCTGGCTGGTAATCTGTGTCGCTCTCTACATCAGCTGTATTCTCTATGGTCTTGATACCACTATTGCAGCAGATGTACAAGGATCCGTTATCGAACAGTTTGGTCATGTCGAACAGTTGGTATGGGTCGGAGCAGGGTTTCCTCTGGGCTCAGTATGCGTCATTCTTCCACTTGGAAACCTGTACAACTCTTTCAACATCAAATGGATCTTCTTCACAACTGTGGTGCTTTTCGAGATTGGTTCGGCTCTCTGTGGTGCCGCTACAACCATGAGTGCTTTGATTGTCGGTCGTGTTATCGCCGGTGCCGGGGGTAGCGGCATTTACCTTGGCTCTTTAAATTACTTCTTGGCCATGACAGCATCAGAGGAACGTGGTTTGTACATGGCACTCATTGGAAGCTGCTGGGGCGTTGGCGCTATCCTAGGCCCTGTCATTGGTGGAGCATTTGCAACATCGTCAGCAACCTGGCGCTGGGCGTTCTACATCAATCTTGTCATCTTTGCCGTTTCGGCTCCGGCATATATCTTCTGCCTTCCCTCAATCCGCCCTTCACGAGGCGTCAGTATACGTGAACGGGTTGCCCATCTTGACTTTGTCGGCTATATCCTTGGCGCTGGCATCTGGGTCACTTTTCTCTTAGCACTCTCAATGGCAGGTGGCCAATGGGGCTGGCACGATGGAAGGACTATCGCGACTTTGGTGGTTTTGGGAGTCACTTTGGTCGCATATGTCCTCCAGCAGTACTTCGCCATCTTCACCACCAAAGCTCACCGTGCATTTCCTGTCCATCTTTTACGTGAACGCACACAAGTTCTACTTTATATCGCGACCGCAGCCGGCATCACAACACTCTACGTTGCAATGTATTTTATTCCGGTGTATTTCCAGTTCACTAGTGGCGATAGTGCCCTAAAAGCAGCTGTTCGTTTGCTTCCTTTTGTCATCGTTGCCATTTCCGTAAATCTTGCATCTGGGTATTTCCTAAGTGCCATAAAGATATACATGTTGATCTACGTCATTGGTGGCACATTCTTGACGGTTGGCGGCGCACTCCTTACTGTTTATCTCAACCCACGCACATCAGCCGGAACTATTTACGGCTTGTGTGTAGTCACAGCAATCGGTAGTGGCTTGGCCATGTTGTCTGGCTATTCTATCGCCACGCTTACCACTAAACCAGAGAACGCTGGGGCAGCGCTCAGCCTGCAGAACGTATCGCAACTTGGAGGCCAAGTCATCGCTCTTGCCGTTGCGGGGCAGATTTACCATTCAACGGCTGTCAAAAATTTGCGATCCGTCCTATCCGACCAGAACTTCTCAGAACAAGATATCGAGAGCGCTGTTGCAGGTGTCCAGAGCAAAGTATTAGGAAAAGCGCAGGGGGGGTTGCAACAGGAGGTTGTCTTAGCTCTAGTGTACGCAATGCAGCGAGTATTCGTTTTAATTCCAGTAGCAGGAGGTGTTATGATCTTGGCAGCATTATGTATGAAGCGACAGAAGCTTCTTGGGGTTACTACAGTAGCTGCTGTATAAAATAATAATAATATATATATATAATAAATTATATATTTATCAGTGCCATGTCTTCACTTTTGGGACCTAGCTCTTGCGCAGTCGATCGCGAAGTATATCGGTCTTGTATCATGTCGTCCAGGCAATACTTCTTTGGTGCATGGAGATCAGTGGCAAGATGTGAGTCTTGGGGTAGCCGTCTAACATTGTCGGCACATTCAATCTGTCCAGGGTGCGTCTCGGTACCATTCAATCAGAATCAACTCCAAAGATGTCTGAATGGGAAATCACTATCTAAAGGATTACATATCGTATAGAGCTCACAATCCTGGATTACCATTGCCGAAAGAGCCGACCTCAGCACTGCGTGATGATTTGCATGGTGCATAGCAAAGATGCTAACTGTCGTGGAAGCAGCAATGCCGTTGACTAAATCAATGCCTTCTTTCGGCCTCGACAATACTGTTGTAAGATCACCAGACGCTGAGGCAGAGCCTTGTAGGGTAGAGGTGGAAATTTGTGCCTCTAAAGTCCTTTCGAATCTTCAAGCACGGGAATTGATATAGCGGAATGGCCTCGCAGTGTTGCTTTTAGACGAACGGTGATCGTGGCATGTACCCAGGCTGCTTGCAAATCATTATCTGGGAGTAAAGTTTTGTAGCCTATAGCAAATGTGAGGACACCTGATAGGGTAATTTGCATCACTGCTTCTTGTAATGCAATAACTTCGCTGGTACGCATATCAACGCTTCCCCGAAACCAGTATTAAGCCCTATTCAATTATCTTTGGCCATAGTCTATGGCTAAATAATTAGTTAGTCAAATATGTAAACCATATGCATAATTATTGTTCGCCAAGCTCTTTACGAGTATGGAAACGCTCTTTTGACTCGAGTGGTTCACTCGGCTCCTGCTCTATATCTGTGTACTCTACGATGCGCCCGACCTAGTTGAAACTCTGCTGAACAATCGCATATAGTTGTACAAACCAAATTACATTGCCGCTAAACGTTGCAGTATATATAAGTGCTATACCAGCGTTCCCAGGGGTTCACAGTTCCTCTATCCAGGCCACACAGCAGGAAGGTATGAAAAGCGCTTATTGAGTGAGGAGCTTCCACATCTGTAAAAAATAGACTTGTGATTTGGTCAAATGGAATCTTGTCGAAGAATAGAAAGCGGGCATGGGGAATAGAGTTCAGCAAGCTATCGAATATTCGAACTGAGGCTTTGAGAGCTCCAGATAAAGTCATGAGATCACGGATAAGTGAGACGAGGACGTATGTCAAGCAGATAATTAGTCGAACTTATGAGTCCATGTCCTCACCCAGAAACTCGTTCCTAGAGAGGCAATTTGTTGAAGAGCAAATGCGAAGAAAACGACTGTCCAGAACCCGCTGGAATGGATCTAAGAGAGGTTATGATAACAGAAAAAGGAACAACTCCAGCCCCCTTGTCTTTATGGTATACCGGGTCAACATTGGTCTCCAAAGATGCATTTATATCTTTGGCCCAGCTATCCGATGATTCGGATACTTGGATATGGAGCACACCAGGGTTTACCACTTCTGGAATATATGTAAAGTCCATCGTCTTAGAATCGCCTTTCGTTTTGGTAACAAATCCATCTGTCATAACAATGCCAAGTTTCACCAATTCTTAAGTATTTCCCTGCTGTTTTACAGTTCCATTCTCTAAAAAGACCGCATAGTCGTAGTGGGGAAGAACAAGCTGAGCATGATGTATCGCAAGAATACATGTTCTCCCTTGCATCAGGGGACTCCTAATTGCGTAGAAATGTATATGTCTTCCAGTGCGTGAGTACAGTGCACTTAGGCAGTCATCCAAAAGAAGGATAGGAGCACGGCTGTACAATGCTCTCGCTAATGCAATTCTTTGCGTTTGGTCACCGTACAAGCGACTACCGAGTTCCCCCGCAATGGGCAAGATTGCCGTCCTCAAACTCTGCAATGTCACGGCTCAAAGTTACTGCATCATGGGCTATCTTGTACCGGTGATTTTGGAATCGCAGCTCCAATAATATATGAGCTCGAATAGTTTGGTTCATGATCCAAGGCTCCTGCGAACGGTATGCTGTCTTGGCGATTCTGGAATCATCGTCGATCGGCAGTTGCGCCAGCGGTAGATGTACATGGCCGCGCAAGAGCTCCATCTCTCCTAGCAGTGCCAACAGCAGCGATGATTTGCTCGATCTACTAGGCCTGCAAATTACATTGAGACTATTCTTGTGAAAATTTATTTGAAGATTTGATACGCGAAATGCGTATGTGGGCGAAGATTGGGCAAGCTGCGTATCGTCACTGGCCTTAGTGTCGACGTCATTTTGAGCTGGCATTCAAGGGTGGCATTTTCAAAGCCAACTATCAGTTCATTACCTTCCATTAATTGATTATGTCGACTGGTTCCTCCCTCATTTAAGAATTTTTCTTTGTGGCTGACAGGGACCTGTGCTTGAAGCATGGACGATACTATGGACGGCATTCTATCCAGCGGGATGCGTAGGACTGCGAATATAGCTAGAGCGGGAAAAGCGGCTTTAGTTTCCAACGACTGTTTTTTCGACGGCATTGTAGATGAATAAAATCAAGAGTGTAGTAATAAAAGGTAAGGAATAGAAGACAGCCATAGATACTGACTACTAGAAGAAACGGATACGTAGTTCTGAGAGCTCTAATTTCCGTAAACGATCGACCTTTTTGCAAACTCTTTTTCCCATGCACAGAATTTGATGACGCGGATATTGGTAATAAGTTCATTGCTCGCTTACACACGAGAATCAGCTACGCCCAACACTTTCATTTGAGCTGTCACCTGGCGTTTGAATACCAGGGCGTTCAATGGCAAGGCAGCAAGCATCATGATCACACCTAAAATGCCACTAATTCCAAGTATGCTGTACAGCACCAAAGATGCAACCGTAATCTGGAGAGGAAAATTAACCCATGCGAGATGCATATGTGCGCCAACTTCACCGACACTGGTGGCAAACACGGCCACTAAGTTGAGAATACTTCCATCAGTGGTACGAGTGTCCTGAGAGTAATTTTCTTGATCTTCTGATACCTTTGTAGGCCTCGCCACTCTTCTACCCAATACTTGGTGAAATGTCGTCGATACAGACGCTATCGAAAGGGATCGTGAACCCCCCGTAGCTAAATAGCTAAATAGAAAAGAGTCAGAATACCCACTATAGGGATGCTGTTTTCCACTATTACAGGCGCGGAGTTGCGATATAGCGACATAGAATTAGGCACTCTTCTCACGAGCTCTGAGCTGAGGGGTAGCAGCCTATAGCATCCAAGACACTAAAGTAATCGCATTTAACCTGTGGGTATTTAAAGCAGTAAAGCGTAATTGACCAAATGATCTGGAAAGTTCAATAAAGGAACCCTTAATTTACGGTGAGGAATTGTTACACACGCGTGCAGAACCATATTTGCCTCCTCGCCGCGTGAAACTCATCGCGTCACAGCATCTGGCTTCGCGCCCAGCATCTTTGTCTGCTTTGGTAGGCAATCCAATCCCACTGTTGTGTTACACCTCTTAAGGCTCACAGTCAGGGTCGCAAACTCAAATTAATCGGTATTCCATCTTGTCATATATCAAGGGAGGGAGGAATCGATGGAAGTCTGCAATTCCAGTGGCAACCAAGCCAACAACCTTCATTATGATCGCTGGACCACCGTGGAATTATTTCTAGCATGGTCGATCCTACTAGAGAAATATTTGGGTTCGGCTGATATTTCTTTCATTTTCGAGGAGGCATCCATGAGAAGGCAACTGTTTCGACTGAGTTTGTCTGATGGGATAAGGGTTAAACAGACTACAGAGAAGATCAAAGATCTTTTACAAGATGCACCTGTGAATCCAAAGAAACACTGCAGGCGATTTGATTCGCAAAAGCTTCCGCTGCCTGCGCGGCAAATAGCTGAAGACTCAACTTATCCACAGCCAAGAAACTCTCTACAGATGGCATATTTTTATGAAGCTTACAAATGGCTCCTGGGTTATCAAACCCCTGATAGGCAAACAAGATCAACCCCCCTGTCGATTTCCATCGTCCCAAGGCCAGATGGAAATGCCCTAATTGTAAGAGACACATGATGCTTTGGCAGAAAGATACACATACTTGTGGGTCGCCATTTATAAATTGCTATAAATGCAAATTACAGCTTCCCAAGAGCGAAGCAAAAGCACACTACGAGAATTGCAAATTTTGGATGCGCAGAAAATGCAACAGGGCGAAAATTCTATTGACAGAGAACGAGAAGCATGCTCAGGAATGTGGAGGCCCAAAAACGTTCACATGTAGCAGGCGTTGGAAGCATGCCCCTGAGCTCAAGGAACATTTAAAGGCCGGGCTGCGAGTACCGGATGTGCTACCGCTGTCAAAAGTCCATGTTAGCGTCAGGAAAACCGAGCACAGCAAGGAATGTGCTAAAGCGCGGCCAGCTCATTGCTATAACTGTCGAAAATATGGTACATATACATCAGCAGCTGTCATTGGTCAGCAACGATATTTCCTTTCGGATCCAGGATGTCGATACTATCTCTCCTTATGAATTGAAAGATATTTGGCGGTGGAACCAGACGGTACCACAGCCGTTTTATATTTCAATTCACCATACATTGTCTGAGATTGCGAAACGGCACTCTGCAATGCACGCAATTGACGTTTAAGACGGTACATTGACTTACCAAGAGCTAGGTCAGTTTTCGTCCCAGCCCAGCTGATGCCGCTGCTCCGTCAACATGGCGTCACAACTCATTGTTTTGTGCCTCTGTTATTCGAAAAATCAAAGTGGGCGAACGTCGCCATGCTTGCCCTCCTCAAAGCAGGTGCAGCATTCGTTCCACTGGATACAGAACACCCAGTGGGCATGTTGCGAGGCATCATGCAACCCTTAAAGCCTAATACAATTCTATGCTCTGCGAAAATGAACGACCAGGCAGCACGGCTTGCTCCTCATAGCCTCATCATCGATAAGTCACTCGGCCTCGTAAGTTATACTACTTCCATTGATAGGGAGAGAGAACATAACACACAGCCAAATGACCTAGCTTATGCTCTGTTCATCTCTGGCAGCACAGGTACACCCAAGGGAGTACAAATTAGCCATTCCAACCTTTCTAGCGCAATCCACCATCAGGCCGACTTCCTTGGCTTTGCCAATAACGCAAGATCATTCGATGGCTCTTCATACGCATTCGACGCGTGTATCTTCAATTTCTTTTATACTATTGCACGTGGGGCTTGTCTCAGTGTCCCCAATGCCAGCATCCGAAAGGGGGATTTGAGCTCTTTCATCGCTAAGCGCGAGGCCAATTTAGCCCAGCTTATCCCATCCATTTCACGAACCCTAGATGTCGGCGTACTACAACCCTAATGGCCCTGATTCTTATAGGAGAGCCTTTGACACAAAGTGACATTGAGCCGTGGGGGAACTCGCTTGCGTCTTATGAATGTATATGGGCCCACTGAATGTACCATCATGTCTTCTGTGCTTCCTCCGCCATTGAGAAGCCTTCGCAGGCTAACATCATTGGCCGCGGCTTAGGGACAAATCTTTGGCTTACTGAGGTTGGCAATCCATCTCGACTGGCGCTTATTGGATCTATTGGCGAGATTCTTATTGAAGGGCCGCTCATGAGATTAGAATACATCGGGCAGAAGCCTAGCAACTCACAAACATTCATTATTGATCCACCATGGCTCCTTGCTGGTATTGACGGCGAGCTCGGAAGAAAGGGTGGACTGTTTAGGACAGGTGACCAGGTGCGATGCAGTGAAGATGGAACGCTTGTATATGTCGACCACATCGGGTCCGAGATAAAACTAAGAGGACAGCGGATCGACATAGCAGGCCTAGAGGATACAATCCGACGCCTTATTCCTCGACAACATGCACTTACAACCGCAGTGGAAATTACGCGGATTCCCTTAAGAGCCAACGTTGCATCTCGCCAAGGGCTTTTAGTAATCGTGAGCCCAGTCAAATTACATCAGTGGAATGACTTTCATGCTGAGATGTAATCAATAGCTGCTCGTCTTAATTTTGAGCTTAACAAAATTCTTCCATCCTATCCGAAGCCAGAGGCATTGGTCTTAATGGGATCTATGCCCACAACCAGCTCGGGAAAGATAAATCATAACCGTCTCAGATCTATGGTTGACATGCTCTCCTCTTCTCAGCTAATTTGGCTGGTGAATTATCCTGATGAGCTCTCTGCACGAACTCCCTTTAGCAGCTCTTCAGAGAACAGGTTTGCAAAGCTCTAGGCGCAGGACTTAATGATTGGGGCTTCCGATATCTGTCGCGAAGATCCCATTTTCAGATTGGGTGGCGATTCTCTTCACGTAATGCGGTTGTCGACGACTGCCCACGATGAAGGACTTTTTCTGTCGACTAGAGATATCTTTCAGACTCCACAGCTGGCTTTTCTTGCTCAATTGATGATACCTTTGAGACCTGGCATAACTGAGAAGGACGTGTACAAGCCATTTTGTCTTCTACTCAATTCAATCGATGTTCCATCAATCACGCGCTATGTTGAATCGGTCTTGAGCATAGATATTAGTGATACAAATGATCTCCTTTCCAGCGACGGGTTTGATACATGCACACACTGGCACAAGGGAGACCCGCTATTGGTCAACTGTTCGTTTTCTAAATATGTCCTTCTATCCGACTCTCGGTTTTAAGACAGGTCCTGATGGCACCCTGGAACAGATTACAATAGGTTAGAATGAACTCGTTGCAACCCCTTTATGGACGACAATACTTGCTTTTCCAGGTGACGATGTGATTCGACTTTGGGTGCTAGCAGATCCGAAAGAGATAGGTAATGAAGGCGCTGATTTAATTCTTGAAAAGCTTAAGCAAAACATAGATGAGATCTAAAAATCTTCACAATAATGCTGAGTATCTTTAGCTACAAATATTAAAGCTTTAATGCAAATAAAATTTTACTATCATATGTTATACAGTAAATCGATATTGATCTCCTCTATCGAGATAGACAACTTGGTCTTGTAACCCGGCCTGCTCGATCTCTTTCATAAATTCCGTCAGTGGTGAGAGAAAAACATCATAGTCGTCATAATGTATAGGAATTGTGATATCTGCATTGATGAGACGAATCAACTGGAGCCCTTGCTTGGCATCCATAGTCACCATTACCAACGGAGCGAGGGCACCTGGAATGGTTGTGCCTCCAAGATGAATTAACATAAGATCAATTTGCTTCCCTTCAAGCCACTTTGGAATCTCCTTCAACTCGTCGACAAATAGTGTGTCGCCTGATATATATATGCGGTAGCTTGTTCTAAATTCTGACGCTGGATTGCCATGGTGGCTGATGTCTCTCATACCAGTTGCCCAGCCCAGCTCAAGTAGCCATCCATTTGTGGGCGGTACCGCATTCAACAGGTCGTTCAATTTTGAGATAGGACCTGGAGGGACATGTTTTCCTGGCATTCCAGTCACTTTTATCGCAGGTGTTGCTGATTCGTCATGTCCAGTCTCGCTGCTATTCCGGCATTCCAAAAGCATGCTCTCAAAGAAGTCGAGGGCGTAGACAGACTTGAAAGGCTCTGATCTAGACGAGGAAGTCAGACATCTTTTCGCATGCGGAGTCGTAACGATAGGGAAGTCCCGATTCAGCGAATCTTCGACTATCCGATCAAAATGATCTTCATGGTAGTGTGACAGCAAGATACAATCCAATTCAGGTAGCTTGTCAAGTTCAATAGCTGGGTTTGTCCTCCTCTGTGAAGTCACTCCGGGTCCAAGATGGACATGGTCTCCTGCGTGCAAAAAGTTTGGATCAGTCAAGACGCGGATACCACGCCATTCAAGAATTGTGGTAGCAGTTCCGATAAAGAATACACCAGCATCCTCTTTGCCAGTTGAACTGGTAGGATGTGTGCGGATATCCTTGATAGGTAGCCCGGTTGACGGATCTCCAATTCCACTTTGATCTCTAAGTAACGAGACTCTAGACAATTGGTCAAGAACTAGATGGCGTGTTTGACCCCTTTTTGACATTCTGGCAATCGAGATAAAAGATTGAAAGGTCGTATCTAAACGAAAATAATTCTACAGAACATGCATGTTTGTATGCGGATTGCGAGTCATGGGGAATTTGAGTATTCTACTACCTGACATACACATGACGCCATATATATGTAATACAGTATAGTTGTATAAGAAGGCATATTAATTTTTCGGCCGCATTGATGAGATTCGTGAGAATGGTGAAACGACGTCAAATAGATATAGGTTGGATCAGTCTCAAAGCGCATGCTAAATTACAGAACTTGGGCTTATTAGACACTATTCTAAACGAGAATCGTGTGGATGGTAATAGATAGGACCTTCAAAGTGAAGACCACAGAATAATCTACTCTACAGAATAAACAATCACTCGTACTAGAGAAACTGAGTGAGAACGGGAAGACTTATAGAAAGACAAATGCAGTAGAACCACTGAAATGCATTTCTTGTAGACAATTCAAGCAGGAAGACGCTGAATACCTAAAATCAGACAATAAAAGGCTATTTTGCGGAGCTTTGCTAATAATGCGGTCAGGTATATCATGCATGACGCAAGATTGAGCTTCTGTGTAGCTATTTTTAGGGATTGATTACACGGCACCCCAAAAGAGGGGGGGGGGTGACTTTTTTACTATAGAAACACTTACAATCCTATAGTTAGCCAATTTACTGTTTATACTGTAAAACTAAGTACTTATTTAATCACTACTATATTATAGCGCTTATACTGCTATATTATAGCACCTATATCGCTTTATTATACTACTTATACTGTATTACTATATACTATTCATACTACTACATTAGTGATTAGTGGCTAGTTAGTCACATATAAATAAGTCCAGCGACCTCTGTGTAGTGTAGAAATACAGTATATAGGCGTCCCTTGTCACAAAATAGGGTTGCCGTGTAATCAATTCCTATTTTTACTCACGGATCTTGAATTAGTAGCTCAAACGGCGGGGGTGGGTATTGAGGCGTATGAACGGGCTAGCACAGATCGAAAATCAGATGAGTGCATATATCACTGACCTATGCCTACCACTTCCCTTGCTAATTTCTTATCTTTATCATAAAAAAAATTAAATAAATAAAAATAACATAAAAATAAAAGGATCGCACTCAGGTTGCGTACTTTATGAATTAAACCCGGTACCCTAAATTTTGATTCCCAATCGGGGTTCAGTAACTGATACCTCAGCGGGGCCCTCAAGTCTCGTATTTTGGTTAGGGCTTCATATCTCACTACATTTTTCTCAAATACGACGCGTAATACAGAGAACACATGCTCTAGTGTCAGCCTACTTGACAGGTTTCAAATATAAAATATTGTACTAAGTATAAAGACAATTATCTCTACAGTGATACAGTTCCATTTGGTAGGCAAGGAATGTGGTGAATAATATACGGGTCGAGCTCGTGTTACTTACCTAAGATAATAAACTCATGTAACAAACCTGATTAAGTCTCACGGCCCTGGGTTGACATTGTAAACGCTTCTTAAGCCGGGATTTGGAAATAAGTAGACTTGAACGTCATCCAAAATATTTTCAATCGATGACTCATCTATCAATGACACTCTCGTGTCTGCGGCCGTCTCAGGTAATCACGAAGCATTACTGAGCTTCTGAAGTGGCACTCGTTGGACTAAAACATGATCATTTTTTATCCAGACGAAGGATTATACGACCAGAAATCCCTATTGGTACGTGACGGATTTTATTTCATCAACTTTGTATGACTAAATTCTTTGAATAGATCGGAAGTTCAAGATCTGGCATGCGGAACTGGTATTTAGGCAAATACCCAAGGCAAGACTGTCAGAAATGTGCCATCTTCAGAGTCGACATAAGTAGTGATATGATAATGTCGGTTTAAGTCAATGCGAGTTATGAATCGCCAGTCATTATTGGGCTTACCCAGGTTGCCATGTTGCAAACAGACATATACGATCAGGTTACCTGCTTGGGGACACTTTCTACCTCTCTGATGACCAATTTCTCGTCGCTTTATCATATGTTCAAGGGTTACGAGCAAATAGGTATCATCTAACATTGAGCGCCGTACATAAAGCTATTTCCCCAAGCTGGCGGAAAATAGATTTCAGCTGGTAGAGCATCAGCACTTCAGGAAGCTGTGGACTAAGTTTCATATTGCTATTGATTGGAAAGTGGTGTACGTTTTTTTTCCCCCTCTTTTTGGTATCTGTACCATCATAACCACAATGAGAGCTACGTACATATCTAGCCGGGTATTTCGTCTTCATATGATCTAGATTAGCTTGCGAAACATAACATATATATATGTACATAAACTTCGGAAATAAATTGTATTATTCATGATATATTAGTACTGTCTTTTAATATGAAACTTATTTTATAAAATAAGTTCTTCTTCTAATATGATAACAGACATCATTATTTAGAATAGGGTAGGCATTGGCAAACTCGAAGAACTAGTTGGCAAGCATCCTGTGCCTGTTCAGAAGTCCATACCTTGTCCTTGGAACCTCCTTGCTAACTCTTTTCATGTGAAAAGGAAATTACTAAACGACTTAATATTTTATATATATCTATTTCTATTTTACTTTCATTAGCCGCGCAAACTATTACTTACCTCTAACCCTGCTAATAATAGAACATCAATTAGCTCTGCGCCCCGAAGCCATTACCACCGCGCCTGCCTATAGGAATGGAACAGCTGGTCTTCTAAACAATAGTTTAATTTTAATTCCTGGGGGAGATGTGACTACCGCCATATTTCAATGCCGGTCATGTGCCGAGATCCGTCCTTCCGTGCGAGGCTCAGGCACCGCCCAATCAATGGTTGCGATGGCATAGCCTACTAACCACATTTTATGCACTGCCGAAAGCCTAAATAACGCCACTCCATCAATGCTGAAGAAAAAGAAATATTGATGTGCGGTTTTTCCCCATAACCCCAGCGTACTATTATCTGACCGGAGCTGAAAGAAGCTTTTGATCTCCGCACACCTTCCCCCTATTATTTATTTACCCGTTCAATAGAGTTCTAACCCCTGCCAAGCAAAAGATGCCCGTCGGCTCGTCGGCTCACTCTTTCAACAGGGCCTCCTTCAATAATTAACCTTAATGCCGCTGCAATCTTGCTTAATATTTTTATTTCCTTTCGTTTCAACTTAAAGAATCTATCCTTTCAATTGCCTTCGTTTCACTATATGATACGGCTCAGGGTTGAAATATATACTACTGTCCACTTTTATTTTTTAACTAGGTTGTATATTTTCATGTATTCTGAATATAGGTTGGCTACCTATTATACGAATACACTAAGGTGTTTTTCTTTTCTTTTTTTTGGTCTATCTCCCACCATCCTCTATACAACTTTATTGACTTATTGACCTTCTCACTCATAGACATTGATAGTGATTGGCATGTTGAAATCAAGCTCGCCGATGCAGATTTGGAACTACACATACTAATCAGACAACAGCACTGCTTAAGAAGGGAAAACAAACTTACACCGTTGTTATTGTTACAGCAAATTATAGTCTGTTGGCAGGCGGTGGTGTTGGAGCAAATGTGACCTGAAAGGTATCAGATATTTTCTTATATGGAAATGGCAGCCATCACTTACCGCCATTTCCATCGCTGCTGCAGCAGTATGGGCTTCCTGCAGAACAGGCATTTGTCTGTGTGTTCGTGCCACAGTCGCTTCCGCTTGGTCCTGGAGTCCAAGTTAATTTAGCATGTTTAAGAAACCGTAAACACTTACCCATTGCGTTGCTGTTGTGGTTGCGGACAGGCATCGCTGGAAATGGAATATCTCCAAGTGATGGCGCACGAGGCCCAATGGCTCGTGGTTCGACCTCAGCCTCTTGGACTGGAGATGCCATGATGCCATTAAGGGCAGCAAGGGTATAGAATATCACAGAAGCATACATGGCTGAGTCTTAAAGATTGGTAATGGTATATTGGTTGAAAGGGGGTGTCTGACTGTACTGAGTAGCTTGAGCCACAGTGGAGGGAATGTGCCCTTCTTATACAAAATATTATCGTTTTCACGAACTATTTCTATGGATCACTGAATAGAAGATAAATAACTCGTTGCAAACAAAGAGACGGTCAAAAGTCTAAAGAGATAGTTGCTGTAGTAGAGTCTGTAATGATGGGGAGTTACGTCTTCTTAACTAACTTTGTATCACTTCATGCATAATACAGAGTTAATATACCCCAACAAAGATTAGTTCATATGGCAATTTATTCAACACTTTGGATAATTGTGATTTACCCTTGTGGATCTGTTAAATTATCTTTCCAGACGTAGCTCAACACTGCAAACTTGCTCATGCACCATTGCTCAACGCTTCCGAAAGTTCGACCTAATGCATGTTCTAAACCTTCAGCCTTCAAAAACATAGATCCATTTCCTAAGTCTCAACTAAGTACGGCAAACATTGACTTCAGTTGACTGAAAAGAATGTTGTCTCACATGCCAGCGCCTAGATAGTGTACCTGAACAATACTACACCAATATATTCTCCGCTTAGATTTGTCAGTTTCTGAAAGATCAAAAGTTAAAACTCCAAGTCCCGACCTGCTATAGCCCAGCCTGCCAGCTTTTGATCTACTGCCATTGGTCAATCAAACAAACGAGCTCGCATGCAGCACAGATAGTTAACGTCTATAACTTAATTTATATGGGAAACCAGCGTTAAAACTGTAAGAAGTAAGTTCAATAGTGCCAAGGACACGAATGTTAATTCCTCCCGCGATCTCTATTTGTCGCCACTTCGTATTGTTTCTACACTGCGTTATTATTAGAACGTTTAACCGAACCTCACAAACAATCTGCTGAGAGAAAAGTATAAAGAGGGCCTCTCTGCCCTGCTCAAAGCTTTTCTTGCCAGTCCCAGACACTCTCATAACAAAGCAATCATCACAGCAACACATCTCACTCTTCGTTTTACCTTAAAAACGTTTCTATCTGTCAATATGCAATTCACTACTGCCATCGCTCTTCTTCTCAGCGCCGCCACTGGTGCCATTGCAGCTCCCGGTGGTAGCTGGGGCCATCCTGCTCCACCACCACCTCCCCCCCCTCCCCCCCCTCCCCCTCCTCCTTCTCAGCCCCAGAACGTGGGCACCAACACCAACACCCAGTCCAACTATTGTGGCAATGGTGCCGCGCCCTACTGCTGCAACGCTGTAACCTCTGCACTTGGTGAAAGCTACGTTGAGTGCTCCGGCGCCGGCGGTACCTGCAATTCTATTACTGTTTGCTGCAGTAACAACAACCAAAACAACAATCAGCAGGTATGTCCTAAAACAACTTCAATATCCACTATGTCTGCGACTACTTTTAAGTGCATTATACGTGGTCCAAATATGAAGTGTATCCGCTGACCACGAACTATAGGGAAACAACAACAGCGAGGACAACGGCAGTGGCAACCAGTCGTGCAGCGCCTTTGGATCACAGAAAGTGGTGTACATTTAAATTTGTCTGCATAAGTCTGAGACCTGCAGCTATCTTATTGACATGTCTTCTAGTCTTATAAGATATGCCCAGCCTATTTTGTCAGCCATGGATTCAGGTTCAAAATTGTGAGATTGTGTGTTGAAAAGGGGAATTTGGTTCTTTTCTATTTGGGTCGTAAGACAGCTCTCACCAAGTTGTCTTTACTTCCCACCTACTTTCTTTAAGACTATTTTGGCCGAAATAGTTTATTCACAATAAAAAAGAATTGGTTTAATTCTCAAACTGATAACATTGGACCCTGCAAGAGAAATGCTTGCTCTTCCCAAGTGATAATTTCCTTTCCTGTGTGCTATGCTATCTCTTATTCATATGGTAGTGTACATATGGAGGTATCAACTACTACCTACAGTACATTTAACAATAGAATAGGAGAAATATAATGGTATGATCTCAGCGCATATATGAATAAGCATATATATAGGAGGGCAGAAATAAGAAAATACAAGTATTAGCTCTTTTTTTTGTATTACAATCAATTGTATATTTCGATACTCTATACTCTAAATGATAGAAGATATTTTAACAATGGGTTGCAGTGCCTTTTTGCCATTCCTAAAATGTCCCCAGCGATGGTCAGTTTTACAATTTGTTTTGGTAATGAGCTAGACTCAGCTGCGGTAATGCCGTTAAGATTTTGGGAGATTCTAGGCTGACGCAGCACTAATCCACTCGAGCCGCCACCGATAGTGTATCTCGACTGGATCCAGTTTACACCGTGCGCCATGAAATGACCGTTTTAGACACTGCTTGGCATGTAACAGGTTACCGTGCGTAAACCTTTACCTTCAACCATCGTGTTCTGGCGATGTGTTCAACGCCCCCTTACTGTATATCATGGGCAAGATCATAATCTTTTACGACAGACGGATTAGGCTTTGTTGATATGGAAGATTGGTTATAACCTTCAGGAATCCGTCATCCACGGATCTACTAGTCTAGATAAGAGTTGAGTCACTCATCGTAGACGTCAATATATCTGTGCGGTTTCCTGCTCAAATTATTCCAAGTGTGTTAACAAAAAGCAGAACTTTCAATGTTAGGTAAGGTCAGCAATATTCGGCGTGTATGGGGGAGGGGGGCCTATATGACAGGGGCGCTGCTACAGCGCTCTAGGACGCGGGTTTAGTGGTCAGCAAATGAAAGCCATTAGCACGTCGCCTCTCAAGGGTTTTATTAAACAATAAATGTCTTCAGAATTTGAAGTGTAACATATTTGTGCTATCTCTTGAATCACAAGTCTAGAGGCTATTTATTCAACAACTTCGTTAGCTATGTAACACACTACCAGAGACGTTGCCAAGACGGTTTTTTCGCAAGTGCCGACAAAAAGAAAAAGTACGGGACACCATCTTGAAAAGTATAGTGTGTGTAATACTTGATACATTTGCACAATACTCCTGTACTTTTAAGGAAATAATTCAGTCATTTTTGAAGGCCATTATAATTTGAACCTACTAGAGGGGAATATGCGATTGGTGTATTGATAAAATTAGAAACCTGAGGTTTGATCTTGGAAATCCATTTCTCAGCGCCGGGACTTCGAATATTGTGATACATATATTTTACTGCGTCAATCAGCGGTATTTCCCCTGTCGATTACTATCTTGTGTTTGGTCTTAGTCTTGTATGTAATTCAGTAAGAGTTAGCCCATTAATTAGTGGGCGCTGGGAAAAGATAACAAGCAACATGTTATTGTATGGATAAAGCCGCAATCTTTATTACAAAATAAATATGTGTGAATTACCTCAGTGTTAATTAAGGCTAGCTAATTGTTGTACTACGTACATGTACAGCGCTGTGTCAAAAGTCTCTTGTGGAGTTAGCGCTTAGTCTACCCTGGAATATAATAATAATATTAAAATGTTTAATAATTAAGCTAATATTAGTAATATATATATAAGAAATATATTCTTAAAAATTAATAATCTTTTATATAAGAATTATTTAGCTTTAAAGTATTGAACTAGGTATATATATTTTAACTTACTTTTTATATGTATGTTATTTATTATTATTATATATATATATTAAGGTATATTTTAATAAATGTCTTAGTTTTAATTTAAAAAAGGTTCTATAGTAATTATCAAGTAGAAATATAGATAATAATAAACTTTTAGCTTATTAATATAAGTAGGTCTATAGTTATTAGTATCTAAAAAAGGTAAGTTTAGGTAGATTTTGGTGTGCACTATAAGCCCACAAGAGACTTTTGACACCCCACTGTAGTTTCTCGTCAAGCGCTACTCTTTAGTTTTCAGCGCCTTGGCTAGGCAATAAGACACGCCAGCAGCCATAACAAGGGTGGCAGAAAAGATAAATCCGTCGGAGAACTTATTTTCGGGGACATTGATACTAGTTCCAGCAATAGGGCTACCGATTAAGACACCAAGTGCCGCAAGGAAAAATGACTGTCCCATCCACGTGCCGACCAATTTCATATCGGGTGTTAGGGAAGCAACAATGGCAGAGGGCAGCGAGACAACTGCCCCAGAAACAAAACCGTATAATATGGCAAATACAAGGAGACCGCCTAAGTTCTTGATAACAATTGCGACATATCCAAGGGTGCCGGCGACCAAGGTACAGGCAATAGCCGTTTCTAATGACCCATACTTATCAGCTATGAGGCCGGGAATTATTCTTCCGAAGATTGAAGATGCGTTTAAGATCGCCAAAAGATAGAATGATAATGTGGAATCAACGTTTGCATGTCGCTGCGCCCAAATAATAATGTAGAATATCGGTATGTATAAACCTGCGAAAGACAGGAAGAGACCAAGACTGTAAAAGGAATACGGAATGCTCTGAAAAGCGTGTAGATCGAGCAATGCACGGGCTTGTTTAGGCGGAGGCAGACGCGTTCTCATCACCGCAATACTGACTATAAGTGTTGCCAGAGAAATAAACCCGAGAACCCTGGTAGCCCAAGGAAAGCCGATTCTAGGTTGGAGCCGCTCAAAAACAATAGGATATATGACGCTTCCCAAACTGCCACCGGAAGCAGTAATTCCAATAGCTAGAGCTCGCTTAGTTGTGAAGTACGTAGTAACAATAGCCACGCTGGGCAAAAAGATAAAGCCAGTGCCAAGGCCAACGGTTAATCCTTGTGCGAGAAATATCTGATAATATGTTGTTCCCAAACTTTGCATCATTGTGCCGAAGACGGTGAAAAATGTACCAACGATGATGAGTGTTCGAGAGTAGCCACGGTCAAAAATTGGGCCTACAATGACACTAAGTGCTACAAGCAAGAAGGCCTGGAAGGTTCCGATCCATGAGATGTCAGAAGCGTTGGACAACTTCAGAAGATCATCCTGATAATAGGTCTGAAAGACGCCAAAGGAGTTCACGAGACCCCTATTTTAGCAATGATTAGAAAAGATAAAGAAGCGACTCCAAAGGAGAGATTGACTAACCATGAATTGAAAAAGAGAAAATGTGCTCCAAGCACTTGGATCCAAGCCGTAAGGCCGCCATTTGGGGGAGGATGGGGCCGCAGTGGTTGCTGCGCCGCAGCATTGCCTGCAGTGGACTTGTCGTTGTCGCTGGTTGTGGCTGAGCCATCGTTAAAAGGCATATCCGGTAAATGTGCAGGTGCCTCTGATGCAGCTGAGCTATTTGCCCTGACAAAAGCTAATATCTCTTCGGTAATTCCGAATTGCCAAGTAGTTGTTCCAGACAAATATATTTGAAGAGGCTTTGATGTAAAGGTATTACTTGGCTGTAGGCGCTGCGGACTTTGTTAGACAAGTACTATACACATAGAAAGGTATCGTAGCTCCGAATAGGGCTTGTGATGTGATCCGGTCAGTCGATATGTAGCAGCCTTGGCAAACAGATAGTTTAATATATATTGCAAGCATTGGCATGTTGGAGGCTCAGATATGAGCTAAACATATCGAGAGAAATTAGCCATCGCTTTTATCATTCATGGGAGATACTGAAGATGATTAATGTTGTTTTGAATTGGTAAGTAGGTGCGACAAATTTCCCAATTTAGAGAAGATTTATCCACATATAGTAAAACGGTCCGTCCTATAACATAGCTTTTGAACAGCGTCGGGAGGCAGCTAGCTTGCTGACTCGCCTACTGTGTTTCTGTGAAAACTTGGACTGTGGGTGTTGCTATATAAAACAAGTAACTCATAAACTCCCCTCGGCGGAATACTTGGCTGATTATAGTAAAAGTAAAGAAATTTTCATACAATACACAGCCTAGCTTTTCGAGGGATGATATTGGTATAGCTCGGCAAAGCGGTTAGAGAATGAACAAGACTAGAAGCAGTTGTATCGACATACAGCTAGACAATAAGGGCACCGACTCGAATAGTTGGTGGTGTTGGAAATATTGTGAGAAGCCATGCTACTAGGGACCGTTCGCTCAAGTATTTATAGATCACCTTGCGTTTATAGAATTTATACTTTGTATAGCCTTTGTAAAAGATATTCGCAATAATGGGATACTAGAATTGCACTCCTTTTAATAAAGAGTTTCTAGCGGAGAGGAATCAAGAGATCTACATTGCACTTTGGAGTATAGCTAAGACAAGTTAGCGAAATATAGAACATAATGGACCGTATTAAGTGTTTTAGAATCGTCTGCAGGCGTTACCTCAGCGACAGTGGTGAAACGAGCTTGAGGATTTGACATAATCTGATTATTAGAAGTATCGAGGATCGCCGATGTAGCAACTACCACTGAAGTATGCTGGTCCAGATTAGGTGAGATCCTACATCATCATCTTTCCTCTTATGGCAGCTAAAATGTGGGCTTATCCCGCTATTCGCTTTGGCGCTTCGTCTCTGCTGGGGGACGTAGATAGATTGGATGTACAATGCTACGAAGAAGAGATGGTGGAAAGAAGGAATAAACGGACGCAGCTGATTCGCATGTTATTTGAACAGTTAATGTATTTTAAACATATATATTTACCATGTTTGTGAATTGGAAATTACGAAAATGGAGGTGGAACTATTGCACTAAAAGTGCATTTTCCTAAAAAAACTTGCAAAATATTTATGATTATAGCTATCTCTAAAAAATAATCCGCATACATGTCATAGTATCTTTTATGTATAAATGTTAGTTATTTTATAATATAACATTAAAAGAGCATTTGAATACGTATTTCACTGGCTATATTTTCAAGGTACTGATGCGCTGATTTACAATTCTCAATTGAAATGGGTCATGGATGCTAAACTTTCCGGCTGATATACTTGCCCCTAGTGCTTGCTTGCTGTAATCACGACAATAAAATACTACTTCCCCTGTATAATACAGCGCGTGTGTTCTATAATATAGTATTTTAGCTGCTGTAATATAACGCTTGCATTAACTAGAATATAGCAGCAGAAGCGTATATATTGATTATAGCACAGCGCTTGCTTATTAAAATATAGCATTCCCTGCTATATATAATAATTATTCAGTATAACATAGTTAATAGCCATTATATAGCAAAACTATATTTTATAGAATATACTCTCAAATATTTTAAATGTATACTTTAATTTTAGTTATAGTAACTATAAATACCACAGATTGTATTCTTTTAGAACTAGATTACGGCTGCTTGGATGCGAAATAACCTGTCCCTAGAAATATAGGGCCCCAAAACACGATTAATATATAAAGACCCTGTATACTTGAACGAAAGTATTCTTCGAAATATAATAGCATAACAAGTAGTTAAATAAGTGTCACTAAATGGCCAAATCGAAACGCAAAACTTGCAATCTAATATCAGTCATTTCTTATATAATAAAGAAACATTCTGCACTTTCAGTTTTAATATTTCTGCCATCTCGTGGGTAACTGATGCAGGGAGCTTACCTCCCGTTGGTGGGAGACTTTAGGCTATCTGATTGTTCAACGGCTGTTTATGCACATCCCAATGTCATATCTAAAATACGACGCTTCCCTTTTTACGGGCAACGATTTTGGTAAACCCACAGTGGCTTCAGGCTGCATCCAAGCTCTACCAATTGTCATTAAATTGAGCGCGCGGAGAGGCTGCTCCTTCCTTGCTGGCGTGAGTGCGGCTAGTGTCATCTGGACAATTGCTCTATACCTTTTCGGCAAGCAGCTATGTGTGCGAGGTCGAAATTCGGCCAAAATTAATACTGCAGTGTCATAAATAGAATATTTTGATTTTAATTGTATGGTAGAGATTAGCAATTGCTTGAGTATTACTAAGTGCAACGTCCGGGCAGCTCAACACATTTAATACTAATGAAACCACGAAGTCTACGGACAGGTTAGAATCAGAATAAAAAAAGAGACAAAGGAATAGAAGGATACTGATTTTCAATGAGTTTTAATATTTTGGCACAAAAGGTTTCCGTGAAAGCAGTGCAGTAGGTTACATAAAATGCCCATATCATAAGTTTGCCAGCTTCAGCGTACGGGCGCTGCTGTTTTAGTGGCAAGGGAATGAGATGACTGAAACCATAAGTTAATCATTTCTTTGGTGATCTGGAGTGTTAGAAACACGCTGTGGTATGCATCTATCTTGGCAAGCGCATGGGAAGAATTATGCTCGAGAGTTGTTAGACCTAGTGGGAACTTCCCCTCCATAATGTCCATACGATGAAGCTGTGCAGTGTCGAGCTTATAAATCAGAGTAATATCTCCTTATTGGAGACTGCAGGGAATAGCTAAACACGACGTCAGAAAAGATAGCTGCGTGCCGCGAGGTGCACAAAGTAAAGAACACAACGCCATTGTGTTCTGTCTCTATCCTAGCTATGCATGTGAAGTTTCTTATGCTTGAGCCATGTATTCATTTTTCCAGTTGCCCTGCTAATCTAACCCGTGACGGTTATTAACCCAGGACACTACTTCGGACGCAGTCTGCTTTTGCTGGGCCGATGTAAATTTGGCCTTTTGTACTACCCACATGGAGAAAAGGGCGAAGAGTCGTCCAACCATCCTTCCCTGTAGAAAAATTTGCGGTTGTCCAGCTTTTTGATACTTGTACGTAAACCCCAAAAGCTGAGGAAATGATTCTAAAATTGTAGCAGCTAAACTGTCGACCTGTTCTCGCTGCTTCTGTGTAACTGATTTGTCATGTTCATCGAGTTCGTCTCTCCCTTGTAGTACAAAGGCACGCTCAATGGTTTCTACTAATGACTCTCGCAATATAATCTGGCTTGACGCGTGGAAGTTCCAGATATAAGCCTTAATTTATAGTTAGCGCCATTCTATGTACTGTACCTTTTGTGCGTCTCGTACCAGCCAAATATCGTCGTAGCTAAGAATCTAGGAATAGTGTAGACGTGGAATTTGATAGCTATAAACTTCATCAACATCTCCGGAAACTATATTATTCTGGAAGTCGTGGTTTTTAGCTTTCCATGGCTCTGACATTTCCGACATCCATTGCTCGATAGCTGAAATAAGTTCTTGCATCTCTTTAGCAAGTTGAGTTATTCGGCAGAGCTTCTCTCGTCGCATCGTCGCATCGTTCTCGCTTGTATGCACGAGAGATTTTGCCAGCGCAGTAAGAATATTCATATGTAGAACGTAGGAGCAGATACGCAAATCTGGGTGGTCCATGTTTAATTTGCTGACCCATGCGATTTGCTGAGCATCAGGGTGTTCACAGAACAAGGTTTGCCAAAATTGAAGTCGATAGTGAGTCAAACGCCAAAGCGAAAAGCGGCTCGGACTGTACAACTGCCCATCATCTCTAGAGCGCAAAATATGTTTGATAGCCTCACCATGGGGACTAAAGGGATCATTTCGACCCAGATATATTAACTATTATATTATCCCATGTTCATTAGCATAGTTTCGCATATAATAGGAGAGTGAGATACCTCAAAATTGTCAATTAATAGCATGGAAAAAAAATTTTATCATCTCCAAGATTTTGCTGATCGTTTAATACTGTTCTCATTCGATTCAACGCAGCGCCGTAATGCTGTCGTGACTTGGTGTGAAATGAGACATTTCCAGCACTCTCATTTCTTATCCCTGCAAAAGCCACTGCGCGAACCGCAAGCCAAAGGACAGAATCTTGTTGTACGCTTAAAAAAAGTATAGGAAGCTCATGCATATAGCCTTTGTAAATTATGATTAACATAATTACTAAATGAAGAATTTCCCGCCGGCTCAGAAAGATAAGCTCACCTGGTAACCCTCCGTGGTTGCTGGGATGTAACGTCCAATTAACAAAGAACCGTTCTACGGCTCTCGTCTCAACATCTCTCTTCAACGGCTCCGGTACTGTTGCCAGTGCATAATCGTTAAGCCACGAGTATTGTTGTTGTAGACGTGACGAGCCGACCGTCATAGCCGCTTGATATGGCCAGCTTTGCGAAGCGGAATTGACCAGGTCTGAAGATTCCCCTTCTCTAATGAAACTCTGTCCCAGTTGTCTCCTTGCACGCTGGGAGTTTCTCCTGGCCACCTCATTCTCGTCGCGAAACACGAATACAGCATCTAGCGGAAGGCCAGAGAAAACCAATCCCTGCCGAGTACAGCGTCCGCAGGCCGGAGGCTAAGATCGCACTGTCATACTGTGTTACTATATGCGCTTTACGAATAGAACAAGTTACACACCTTGACGTTTGCAGTTTTGCATGCCAAGCAACCACGGCCTCTGTTCATGGCGGCTAAGCAAAGAATTCAAAACATGAGCCACTCTTGACACTGCAAAAATCGAGTTTTCATTTTGGCCGCCGTATATATTGGTGGGAAGCATGACGTCACCGCTTCTCGGCTTAGCCTTTCACGCTGATTTACAACGGGTTTGGGGCAAATATGCTTTCAAACGCCATCAAGCCTAAAGCCATCCACAAGTCACACGTGTCAGATACCAATGCAAGCTTGTATCGCCTGGAGGAAGGGGTTCATTTACAAGAAAACGGATACGTGTTCCAGTTCACTCTATTGGAGAAATATTTATAGTAGTTTGATTACCCATTTCAATGATTCTTACTCGGAGACATTCTCAAATATGTCGTTTCTTACATTTATACGTGTCAATATTCTATTCACGTGGCCCAGTAAGCTTTACAGTAGAATTTTCGTAATCAAGTCTTTACAAAATCTTATAAAATGAGTGAATTCTCTTCCAACATGAGCTGTAGGAGTAGGGTTTTAATCATTTGCGCTCTTTCGTCCACTTATAGATGAAAGCAAATATTGCCATGGAAGCTAGCTATTCGAATAGAGCACAAGTCTCCGCCAGGTCTAGAATCCAGACTTTGCGTGATGTGGTATTCCTTCAATCTGTACCCCAGCTAGCCAGTTGGCTCTGTTATCTATAAACTGCTCAAATTGTGGCTTCAGCTTCGATTCATGTAAGTTGAAGTCGTCCACAGTCCCAATTCTCAGGATGCTCATTCCCGGGAATCTGCTGCTTCTCCTATACATCAAATTGCCACAGATGGAACAAAAGCTGTCTTCCATCGTAGCGCAGGATGCAATAGTTTTGCTCTGAGCCCATCTGGTCAATTTATCTTCCCCTCGAACATGCTTAAGGCTCTTGTCGCTGACAGTGAAGTTTGAACAAAACATGGAGGCACTGAGTTTGTGGCAATCACTGCAGTTGCAGACAAACGTGTTAATCAAATCTTCGCCTTCGACAGGCTAGTAATAACACTTATTAGTGATATATATATTAATGCCATGTTGAAATAACTTACGAACGACAATTGCACAGCACCACAGAGACAAGTCGCTGTCGCTGTCCCGTCAGGTTTGACTCCAGAGGCACCGTCTGAGGGAAGGAGAATGTTGGGTTCCGTCATCTTAATACTTTAAATAGTACTATTGGCAAAATTTAACTGATATAGCTGGATTATGAGCGGGATTTGTAAAACTCAATGGGTTCGCTGTACGGCTAAAATGCCTTTTTATAAACATCGTCAAACCGGCAGATGAACTATCTGCACCCACCTCCAAGTCGGGCTGACGCTAGCTGAGCCCGAATCTAAACCTAAAAAGGCGATGCGTTTACCTAATCGGGACACCATGATATCATGCCCGAGATATGTAGGCCAAGAGAAAAATCGGGCCGATATGCAGACGCTACACTTACATTTCTCGTCTAGAGTAATAAAGGAAAAGAATGCAATACGTATATGCTAGGTCAATCCTTGAAGATACTTGTTCGCTCCGGTAGTTTATGATAGTAACCTTACAATAACTGGGAATCACAGTCCTTGGTATCATTATGTAGAACTCAACGTTGTTTAACATCTTACATTTGAGCCTTGCAACCACAAGCACGTAATCTAAAGGCAAAAAAACAAACAACTTATAAAAAAGAGTTATTTGGGCCCATCTAGGTTCTATTCTTTGAAATAATAGCTACATTCTCGATTTAAGAATAAAACAGACATGCTCTCGGAACGTGGTTGTAGTTACCTAGGTAGGTGGATAATATTAAGCATCTGAGTAGCCATCATCACTGCCACATGCACATGTCCTGTTATTGACTGCCTGCTCTATGCTTTACTTTCAATGGTAAAATATCATATATCCTTTACGGTAGCATATACATGTCTTGTCTATATATGTTGAAGCGTGAGTATATTATGGCGAGGAGCATCATTCGTATTTGCATTTGACTGGATCACTCAATCGATATGAAGCAATCGCTATGAAGAACTGACAAATGCGAGATAATTTTAATGATATGATAGCAGGACAGTTGCGTGATAAGTATTAGAATTATACCACCAAGGAGAGGAGCCCCGAAGATAGTTTATAATTATAGTCTACTACTTATACTTCAAATGAATTTTATCTAGGGGCTACTTTCGCTGTAATAGGCTGTTACTATTGAACATTTCGTAATGAAAACGGCGCTTCTACTCTTGCTCTACTCTTGCTCGAGAGAGCACGGCAGCTCCAAAGGGTAGAGGTAGCAGCCTGCGCATCCTGAAGTTGGGTTTATCGGCTATTCGCTCCATAACCGAAGTCAGGGAGGCTTTCAGTTTTGGTATAGATCACATCGATGTCCTCATCAATATTGCTGGAGAGATATCGCCCTTGGTGCCGGCCACCGAGACTACAGCGAAAGATTTCCTTGCAGCCTTTGAATTGGATAGCATTGAGCCTCTACTAGTCTTTCAAGCTCTATGGCTGCCCTTACAAAAGTCATTGTCGCCAAAGCTTATTATGGTTACTTCTTCAGTCGGAAGCATTGCAGAGATTGAGCCAATGCCCGGTGGCTCTTATGGCCCAAGTAAGACAGCTCAAAATTGGTTGAGAAGAGCCTTGCATCTCGAGAATAAAGATTGCGGCCTGATCACCATTACACTTCATCCTGGCTGAGTACAAACACGCGCGGGTCAATTTGCCGCTGAGCAATGAGGCTTTGCTTCTGGACCTCCAGAGACAGTAGAGTCCAGTGTAGAAGGGGTGTTGAAAATTATCGACGAAGCATCTAGTGAGACGTCGGGCACGTTTATTACACAGCTGGTAGCGCGCTTTCATGACGTGAAGTAATTATAAAATATCGCAAAATCGGGTAAATTTCGAACACTAACACTATCTCATCTCAGACCAGCAGGCTGCGCATTAGACTTTGTATGCATGCCATATTCTCCGCGATGAGCAAGGTTCTTTATACAGCAAGCCACTGCAAAGCATTAGCGCTGAGCATTCGTTCACGCGCAAGCCACGTAAACAGTCTCAGCTCGGGACCAGTCATTTTTTCTCTCATTGGGTTTTATGTAGTTAAAATACCGATGAATAAATTTAACACAAAATTTTAGTTCAAATTATAGCCAGAAAAAAGACGCCAGTCATTGTTTTGTTGTTTTGTTTCTTTCTTGACGCGAAAAGGGGAAAGTATACCGATGTTTCTATAGCGATGGCAAACTTTATACATAAGCACCACAAATCTCAAAATTTTATAAATAACTATACGGGATTCCAATTTTTCAGTAAATCTTGGCATAAGACAAACGTTCGAAGACCCATTCATCTCTCCAAATGCCATCACCTAATCGAGCTATCACGGCACCGCTACGTGAAGCACTATCAGAATGCTTCCAATCGATTATACCGTTGGTTCGGCCTGAAATACAACAGCAACTAGTCCTTGTGGGCGGCGCAGCTAGCGTGGCTCACTCTTCTACATAGTATACCGAAGATGTCGACATTTTGGGACCTGCTGATGCCTTTATCGAAATATGGAACGCGATTGAGCTTGGTGTTGCTGGCTTTAGTCTCGAAGCTGATGGAAGAATCGCGTTTGACTCTAAACAAAATTTTCGTGTTCGAGTAGATCTTCTCGAGGCCAGTGAATATGTCGGCCAAATATACACCACAGCACCATACTTCGGAGCCTCCCTGGCATCTAAGATGGACCTTTTGAGACTAAGAGCGACAACGATAGTAGAACGCCAAGAGGACGGGGATATGGTAGATTTTCGATGGTTATTGGGAGAGGTAGCCAGAGAGGGTGAAAGCCTTCCAAAATTGAACAAGAGAGAAATTGGCAATTTTTTGGTTGTTGGTACACAGATTGGACAACTTGATCGTTTGATTCTGGCCGCCATTATGGGTATGCATAATGAAGATGCAGCTCTGCGGTTACTCGGGCTGCGATAACTTCATAAATATTATATCAAAAAGAGTATAATATTGGATAATTGATCAATTGGATACTTGTATTCCAGTGTCAAGCAAGGTGGTCTTTGGCTTAATAACAATTAATGCCAATAATATGCCCGTTACTAGTAGATATAGACCATTTCCCGCTTCACAAGATCTGCGGTGCATAAGCTAGTAACTGGATATTGACAACCCATGGGAGTTGTTCCAGGTCACCGTGGCCTTTAATTGCTGCATTGATGAACAGAGTCCTTCCTCTCCCTAGAGAACCCTTATTATCGATAGAGGGTTCTATCTGACAATATCCACGTGAATTAAGCTCCGCAGTTTTTCTCTCTCTCATTCTCTTTTCCTCTGGAGACTCGAATTTTGATCCGTTTATGCTCAATAGCGTCTCAATATTCGTTGACCTGTCGTTGTCTATATCAGCAAAATGAGAGGGACTATTTGAGATTTGGGATCTCCAAGTAACCAATTTTGCACCCCATCCCTCATGGACATGCCCGAAACAATGAATCCTAGGCTGAGCCTTTGCTATAGCTGCAAAGAGTTGCGGGCATCCGATCCTTTTTCTTTCTGCAGACATATCCATCATCCCATGCGGTGGCCCATGAGTAATGGCAATGTCGATTCCGCTGTCAATACTAAAACTGTGACTGTCGCTGTACTGAAATCCCCATTCGTTGGACGATGTTGTCGATGGTGTATAAGGGCTTGCGTAAATTTTCAAAAGAGCGCCATTTTTCAGAAAAAATCTATGCGATCCCTCATCAAGAAAAATTATGCCTTTATCTTTCGCTTGGTCCATGATTTCTCGAGCTGCGCCATAATCACCATATTCTTTTTTGACTAGTGCATCATCCAGAGTTTCTAATCTGGATGCCTCAGATATCTTCTGTCTAAGAATCGGTATGTCGAGCGCAAAATCATGATTCCCGGCGATAATGAGCTTGAGAGGCGCATTAATCATTTCCATTTGACTAATACCAGCCCGAAATTCGTCTAATTTGGAATGCTGGGTGAGGTCGCCACAGTGGATTGCCACATCTACAGGTTTGTTAACGCCGACAGGGAATTGCATTCCATGTGTATCCGAAATGATGAGAAGCCGTGTGTCAATACCAGAGTTCGATTGTTTGAGGCTGGAATCCATAGTTGGAGCTTTAATCAAGAGGATATGGCTATAAGGAGAGAAGTTTTGTCGATGCGATATTCCAGCTCTAGCATTGCTGAGCTGACGACAATAAAGCGTGGCAAGAAGAAGTCCAGCAATGATAATCGCCGAGGTATGGCCTAAAGATTACTCTTGCAGAAGCGCAAGCTGTATGGGTCCATGTAGAGTATATATATATACAAAACCTGATTTTGTTACCACCTACCTAGGTATATAATTAGTCTACGAGATCGTAACTTTATTTCAGGGATAAACATTTGGGGCGCCTATGTGAAGAGGATCGACGAGGGGAGCTTTTATAGTTTTAGTAGAAGCTTCCAGTGGCTTTCGCACTAAGCCCTGTAATATAGAGAAAGGTAAACAGAAAGTGTAACACAGCGGGGTTTACAAAAATAACCAACACATGTTTTAACAGACCTATGATATGCTATTAAGAGAGCTTTGCGTGATGTGTTTCGTGTTGCAAAGACTAAAAAGAAAGGAATTCAATAAAAAAGGCTTAAAAAACAAAAGGTGCCGAATTCTTGGGGCTCTTGAGGGGGTTGCCGCGTGTTGGTCGTCTTGAGCCTTTTAGCGCCGTGCCCCCCGTAAACGAAGGGGTCCATCATAACAATTCATTTGCCCCGCTTCAACACTAATAATGGTGAAAAGGTTTATTTCGTCTGGGCTGCTGCAAAGTTAGATACAACAAAGCCTAATGCGGATATCGATAGCTCATTTAAGAATCGACTATACATATGCTTGGTGTGAATCATTTCGGTTGATTAGCTTCGCTTTGAAGTCATAGTGATCACAATAGGTAGGTAGACAAAATGAAGCACTGCAAAAAGGATGAGTACATAGTGAAGTTACTACAGGGCGCAATAATTTCTATCAATTTGACTTTTTCCCCCTTGTGTTGTATTGTAGCATGGCATCGCTTCACGCATCCGCGTACCTCGAGGTGAAATAAATGACCGCATCAGCTTTGAGCCACTGCTGCACTAGCATGCGGGAAACCGGCAGCTTAGCGGCTGACGATCGCTGATTACGGAGCTCATTGCTCTTGTATTAAAACAGCAAGCTGGATCTCAATACGCTATTGGGCGGCGCTCACATCACCATTGCATCATTATATTAGCGAAATCCCTCAGCCACGCAGAATGAACTGATGAATCTACCATCTGGCCACCAGACGTCATGCTTTCCAATTAACAAAACATATAAAGAATAGATTAAACCCCATAACAATATATGTCACAGCATAGTTTTCTTAACTACGGTTCATACACACTTCACTTGTATAGCTTCCACTTTCCTTGTCCACTATCCCTTCATTCGCAATGGTTTGGCAACACGGTGATCACCATGATATCCCAAGCCAATGGCGCATCCACAAGTATGAACATGTACCTCTCTTGCGATTGATTCAGTGAAATTTTTGAAAATTAACTATTTCTGTTATCGTCGTCTAGGCCGGGCGCCTGGCTACCAGCGGATCATCGTGTTCATCGAGAATTTCTTCGCCGCGTAACCCATCACGTTGACAAGCATCCCGAAGAAAAGTTAACGCCCGCCCTGCAAGAATTTAAAGAACTTATTGAAGGCAACACACGAATTTACATGTACTTCAATCAGATGTTTGAGGAGATTCCGAACAAAAGGCCGTACTGGCGGGATCCCACAGGCACAAAGCAGATCCGCGACTACCGTCATATGCTACAGGTGCTAAATCACGTCGTCTCAAAAGCTCCAGAGTGGACAGACGCAGCCGAAAGTGCTGGTGTGGTAGGGGTTCCTTTTTGTGCCATTCTTGATTACCCCATGGGTACACCAAGGTAAGAAAGCCGGCATGCGCGTGGTAGCAAAGCATTTGAACTTTGTCTACGCCATAGGTGAGGTGATTTATTAATTTAGTTCGACAGTGGCCACGCTGCATTCCTGGACCCAGACGTGAATAAGGCAATCAAGAAGGTTTTGAATGAATGGGGTAAATTTTTAGAGGTAATGCTACATAGTCCAGCATCTGGTTTTNTTTTTTTTTTTTTTTTTTTTTTTTTAATACCATTACGTTTCAGAAAACGATTGGAGGCATTGATAATTAGCTGACATGAGCTGGATTGACTACAGACGCCAAAATCAGCAGAGGCCTTAGGTGACCACAAGCTAGGCTGGTTCGGCGAAACTGGCCTAAGCGATGTTATGCAAGTTGCGAATGCTCCTTATAAGTCATCCTTAAAGTTTGAAGAAATGTTTGTATGCGAGCCATCAGCTAAATATTATGGCTACAAATCCTGGGATGGTAAGGCTATCACGAGTTCCAGCTTAATACCCAGCAATTCTTTTTTAGCATCGTGTCTCAAGGAAGGATAGAAATACTAATTATACTATTTAGACTTCTTTACTCGACAGGTACATGATAAGGCAAGACCTGTAGCATCCCCAGATGATGATAACGTCATTGCGAATGCATGCGAATCCAAGGTGTTCAACATTCAGCGGAATGCTCAATTGCGGGATAGGTTTTTCGCCAAAGGCCAGCCTTACTCAGTGCTTGATATGTTAGCACATGATCCACTAGCCAAGCACTTCGCGGGAGCAACAGTTTACCAGGCATTTCTATCTGCTCTTTCCTACCACCGTTGGCATTCGCCAGTCTCAGGAACAATTCGACGTGCGTTCGTCCAAGATGGCACATATTTCAGTGAACCTCTATTTGAAGGTGTTGGGGATCCTGATGTTCATGAAATTGATACCGGCGGCATTACAGTTGGCCAGGGCTACCTCTCTGCACTAGCAACCAGAGGTATCATCTTCATCGAAGCGGATAATCCGGCAATTGGCTTGATGGCATTTATTGCTATCGGTATGGATGAAGTTAGCTCGGTTGACATTACCGTAAAAGAGGGGCAACATGTGAAGAAAGGTGAACAGACTGGCATGTTCCACTTTGGTGGTTCGACTCACTGCTTGCTATTCCGCAAAGGGGTTAAGGTTTCCGATTTCCCCGAGGTAGGAAGGCACGAAAATGTGCCAGTTCGTAGCAAGGTTGCTGTCGTTACACCCTAAATGGTATCCAGACATACAATACACTACCCTTTGAGAGTCCTTTTGGGGGGGAGCTACTCCTAATAACGATGCTAAATAGTTAAAAGCTTCATAATGGGCTATCTATTTCCGTATATGAACGCAATTCAATACTAGATGGATACTTGAGCTGAATCTTTAATTCAATATTTGAAAGAATTCTTCGTCAGGTCGGTCTGCATATATTGTCAAATTACCAATCTATCAAATACTGAGGCTTTATCCCATAATTTGCTGCCAATTAATAAAAAACTACTCAACGAGCTCTCTCCAGACACTGTGGTCCCTAGATTTCTTGATTTGCAATTTTAAACCGTGCTTATATCACTCTTTGACGACAGAGGACAAGTATTTTTACAAGGGCCACCCTACCCATTTGACACACTATACATTGATCCCCAAATTTGTCTAGCCGTTTGAAGCTACCTAGTAACCTAGTGAAAGCATATGCCGTGTGTTACATTATGAAAATGAAGAATACCAGCCCGGCTCTTTTGGAGCAGGATAGCCATGCCTGATTTAATTGCTGGAGATTTGAAGCTGCCGTTGAAGCCAATCTCTCCAGCCTTCATCTTGCGTAATGAACCTAACTCTAGCCTCTAACCATTCTGTATGTCCCCAAAAACCCCACGAGGCCTGAAATCGGCACCAGTCTACAAGTGCGGTTTCCCAATGCCGAAGAAAAACATCCCATTCATATACAGGTATATCACCCTGAGGTCGATTATTCATGAGGATAGACCAGTAGTGCTTGAGCAATATCTTCTCATTTTCGTCCAATTTTAATGAAGAAGGGATCGATTTATGGTTTGTGAGAAGACCGAGTGGCACAGAGCAAGTGAAAAGCTTGGCGAGGTCACACACACCCAGCCCGATTCCCGCATATTGAAAGTCAAAAAACACGACATCATCGCCAGATTCAGTTGAAAAGAGATTTTCAGACTTTACATCTCCATGGATATATGTCTCAAACGGCCTGCCCCGTGGGATTAGAAAGTCGGCGGCAGATTCAGCAAGGGATGGCAAGCCATCTACGGAACTGCAAAATACATCAGACCATTCTGAGAAGTGATCATGAGCGAGCAATCGATATTCTTCTTGCCTAGTGGCGAGATAAGTATAACCACCGTTCAGCCAGAGGTTTGATCCACCGCATTTGGCGTCTTCTTTACGCTTCTTAGCTTCCTCAAGTGGTGGTTGAAGAAAATCGCTCAGATCTTGAGGCAGATGAGCCCAAGAGCTACTATGGAATTTGGCCAGCCATGCCAAAGCTGCATATACCTGATTGGCAGATAAAATTGCCCTTTTTTCACCCGCAACAGGGAACTCGGGCCTCAAATCGTTCAGTAGAGTAGCCATTACGTGGTCAATCCCGTGATCAATGGCTTTTTGCTTCATACTTCGTGTCGAAGCAAAACACTGGGCCACGGGAACACCGCTACTAGCGAGGTGAGGTGCAACTTCATCATAGAAATACTGTTCGACCTCATAGCTGAACATCTTGCGAAGATGTCCTTCATCTCCTGTTTTAGTGGGGGGGTGGACGATTTTCAGGACGAGACGGATAGCACTGTCTTGGTCATTCCCCTGAGCCTTGGAGAGACGATGCCACTTTGCGGACGCGCAATTAGCGGCTGGTTTGGCAGAAATAGCACAAATGTGGCCGTAGCCTGCCCAGAGGCCTTGGATTGTTGTGCATGAAATCAGCTCAAGGTCTAGCCAAGAAAGCATAATAGCCGCGATGTGGCTCGGCTCATTATGATGGCTCATGATGATGGGCAGCGTGGGTCTGCAATTGTACTTATTCAAGCGACATGGTTTGAAGTTTACAGAATTTGTTCTCCGTACAAACTTGGAAAATATTCATATTATCTTAGATTATGTAATCGCTCAGACAAGGATCCTTGGAACAGTGCCGCGTAGCGTTGGCTCTCAGCACATAAGGTACCTACCTACTAGACTACCTGCAGTACCTGAGGAAATATGACTACCAGCCACAGGCGGATAACGTCGAGTTTACACGGAGTCTTCAGTCAATACATCAGAGTAGCTTACTACAAGTAAAACTGCCTATTTTCTTTTCTTGATCTTTAAGAAAAAAAAAATATTAAAATAAAGTGCCCATATTCATTAAAGGCTATATCAAGCTAGTTTTTTATGTACATAGACTAAATAGTCAGTCCAACTATATACTGCTGGAAGGTATATCAATGACTAATTGATGGTGTATCTCCGGCATGAAGTCAAGAAATATATTGACTTCAACGCCTAATCTTCCTCCCATCACCTTCTTCTAGCCAATGCGAGTGAGCAAATTGTCGCCAAATGTCCAGTTACCCGCTCCATCCCAGTTGATTGACCACGTCATCAAGCCTTTCAGAGCACCGTTGTAGTGATCCCATGCTTGTCCAACCAAGCTTGGATTCATATAGCCACCTCCAGCTCCTGATTGCGCAGGTAGGCCTGGTACTTGCATGTCGTATGGAACCTTGATTGTGGTGCCTTGGATGGTAAGTCCTGCATTTAGGCAATCAGTCTGAGCGATGAATCCTTGGACGGTGCCAGCTGCGTAAGAGTCGCCAGAGCAACCGTACATATCGCCGTTGTAATATTGCATGTTTAACCACCACAGCCGGCCGTTTTGAACATATTTCTGGATGATAGGTAGGTACGCTCCCCAAATAGAGCCATACGTGATGCTACCGCCTGTAACGTACGCTGTCTCAGGTGCCATAGTCAAGCCGAAGTTGGAAGGCATCTGAGCAAGAACACCATCAATGATGCGAATCAAATTGGTCTGGGATGTGGAAAGTGTGTTGATATTGCCGCTGTTGGTCAACCCCGTCTCAATGTCTATATCAATGCCGTCAAAATTGTACTGCTTCAAGATTGGTACAATGGTGGCGATGAACTTGTCAGCGACTGCACTGGAGCTGAGATCTATGCCAGCAGTAGCACCTCCAATTGACAGCAGAATTGTGGCACCAGCTGCTTTAGCCTCACACATTTCAGCTGGAGTTGCGACTTGAGTGTCAGGAGCCATGTCGTTTTCCCATAATGCTGTGCCATCTGACAGAATAACGGGGAAGGCGGCGTTGATCACATTGTAGCCATTCTGTTTAATGATGGGGTTTTCGATCGGTGTCCAGCCAAATCCAGGGTGAACACCGTTGGCTGCTCCATCCCAATTTTCCCAATATCCCATCAAGACTTTGCCTGCCGGCTTTCCCTTCAGTGCGCATGTCGCATTCTGTGCAGAGGCGGTGCCAAATAGCGTCGATGCGATAGCAGGCAGCAGCAGAAAGCTGGCGTCGAGGAGGCGTGTCATGATTAGGATGCCTGATAAGATATAAAATAAGGTAATAATACCTAGTCAAATTATATACTCAAAGGTCTAGATCAGGTCAAAGTGTTTTTTGACAAACGATAAGAACTCATACGAATTGATTGGCATATAGAGCGCTTTTATAGAGCATAGTCCTTTGATTTCTTGGCTTCCTATATATCTCTCTCCTTCCTTGCCTATTCTAAGAAGGTAGTATCATGACTTAGTCTGGTGAGCTAAATTCCATTCCATGGATCATCCGTTTTGTCAAATGATAACCCTACATTCCTAACATTATGTCGTTGGATAAATGAAGATTTGTGAGTTGCTCATCTGCTCTAAAAGTTCATTCTTCTTCCACCGCGACTCTGCCCAATGCAAAGAAGAGCGCTGAAGTTACTGCGATACAAAGGGCCACACAATGTTTTTTTTTTCTTCTCCCTCCAGTACAAGGAGTCGAAAGCTTGGCGCATGTTTCTCATATTCAGCGCCTTTCGGTGCCTTCCAGCCGGATAAAGGATGAAAGAAAATCACTTATCTTATCTAATATGAAGTTTCATGCATTAATAGGAAGGTGGAATAGAATGCTGCCCCCCTCGTAGGCGCGTAACGTAGGATTTTGCTGCAACATAGAGTACATGTAATCTAGGGCAGTCAGTGGTTAAATAAACGCTCCTTCAGCGCCTGAAGATGGAAGTTAGCAGTGTTAGGGGCCTGTAATCGCAATGGCGGAGACCCCGCTTTCCTTGGTATAAGAGAAAGTATGGAGTAATTCGCTACAATATTTGGCACTAGTATGGGTTTGAAACTTGTGACTTAGTCATGGGTTACATCAATGCTCTAGCAACTCGAGAGCATGTAACATCAGGGCGCGAAGCAGCTTGGCGCAGGAAGTCTTGCACGTGCTGTTACTGTAGCACGTGCCTTTATTCCCATCAGGATAGAACATGAAGATACGATGCTCATCGAAAATGCTACATACTGAAAGAAAAAAGCATATACAAAAGAATGAGTGAACAGAGTGAACAAATAACTACGACTGACACGGACAAATCTGTCCCATAATGGGGGGCCGTGCACCGACCAACGGCAGAAATATCTCTGCCTACGCCTACCGTCTTGGGCTTCCAAGCCGGGGTCCACAACATGCTCTTTTGTTGTTGCTATTAGCAGCAGCAGTACTTTCCTTTCCCGGATAAACGTCAAGGTATGCTACACTCACTTTAGGCTTCCCTTTAGCCATTAATCTCTACAGTACATCATTTGGTACAAGCACCAAGTGAGCGTAGGGACCAGGTTGTAACGTTAGCGCTCTGAGTACGAAGCAGAGCTTTCTTGGAAACTAAGACCTCTTAATCTTTTCAACCCTCCTTTTCATCATCTTTTATTCATTTATCTTCAAGCTAGTTATACAAACGAAGAAAGCAGTTGTAGTATTACTGCGAAACAAAGAATACAAACGATTCATGTGAAGTACACACGCAGCTGTTCCGCAGGGATGCAGAATCGAGAACCCTTTCAATATACAGAGGTCAACAATTAAGAAACCCTTAAACAGCCCAATAAGCGTTCTCACAAGTTAATAATTTTTACACCTATCGGTACAATCACATCACAGTGCAGGATCATAATTCGTCAAAGTCAAAGTTCATTCGCGATGTTGCTAATTGTGTTTTCGGACATGCTTCGATAAAACCGAAACCTCTCATTCGATGATGAAGCCATCTCAAATTATGACTTCGCACATTTTAAAGTAGGCACTAACCTCGTGGTCGCCATACACGTTGCCCTTCTGTCACTGATTCATTCCCTGGTAAGATTTCCCTCAACATCTCATTCACTCCTTTACTTTCACCCCGTGCCATTTCCCAGTGCCTGGGATATCCCAAGCTAACTTCCTCATACCTCACGCCTTCCTTTACGTCAGTACGTCTAACATGTAGATGTCCCGATACGACCACTTGCGCCCCTCCATAATCAGCACCAAAACGCCCAGCTTCCGTCCAATCTCGAGTCCTTTTGGTCCCACACCACAAAGAAAATCGTGGAATTTTCGGAATGTATACCAAGTCCTCTCGTAACGGCCAGTGATTCACAATCACAAATTTGGTATTTGGATATCGTGCTGAATATTCGAAAAACTTTTGCTCCCACCTCTCGCATAGTTTTGTACACCACTCGTCCCGTGATTCATACGGGTCTGGATGCAATAACGCCTCATCCGTTGCCCAAACATTTTCCTCCATCGCCCAATCCAACGCGCCTTCTCGAGAGACATCTACTGGGCGAAAAGAATAGTCGTATAGCGTAAATATGAGTGCAATCACGACGTCAACTCCATCCGGCCTCCGCCATAGCATCCAATCATCCTCGGGAGTAAGGACACCGTACTGCCGGGCCAGCTCCACTAGGGCATTATATTTTGCCTCTCCTCGAAGATTATCAGCAGGATGCTTAGCCACGGATGGAGAGACGGAGTAGAGCTCATGGTTTCCTGGGACCCAAAATACATGCGTGAAACAGGCCTTGGCGCGTTCAAACACAGCAATCAAGTGCGTAGCTGATTCACCGATATCGCCCGCAAGGATCAAGCCTGTACCAGGCGGTTTAGGCTGCAATAGATCCCACTGGGAAGCGTTAAGAGGATATGCAACGTGCAAGTCAGAAATGCCATATAAATTCGCCATCGTCGCTTTGCTATGTTGTTGAGAGGTTGGACAGAGTGGGGTTGGGTGATTGCAGAAATGATAACATCTGCTTACTAAAATGAGATTTTAAACCCTTTTTGTTGTATATAAACAATCTCAGCCCGTGTACCATTTCATGTATAAATAGATACTATCATATAAGTACATATAATATATATATTTATCGAACTAACAAAAAATTGTTTTCATCACGTGAATATTCTCATGCCATTAATTCACTATAAGACATGACTGACTATGACAATCTTTGCTTTAACAAGATTTCTTGGGATCAGCTTGTTTTACTCATTTGACTCGGCGCTGAAATACCACTAATATAAGCAGTCGTCACCTATATTATTGGTAAATCAAGAGGTGATGGAAACAAGCTACTAGCTTCAAGATGGTACCTTAACTATATCGGATCGATCCTCAAACTTAGTCTAAATACTGGCCGTGCCCCATCTAAATGTCGCCTAGTTCTATTTATACCTCTTTCCAGATTTCAATCAACGCGCACCATTGATGGCCCTCCGGAACCGCGCCAAAATCAATATGCTTGAGAAAGCTTGGCAAACGGGAAAATAATTTACGCCGACACCGTATCCGCTGACACCGTATCATACGCGAGGCAATGCTAGACAAGTTAACTCCGTATTCCGAGCTACTTTGAACATGCTATTTGCGGGCAGGCATACTACCTTAAGATAGTTGGTACACTGATTCCGATCTCTTTGGCCATTGCATTAGGCGCCACGCATAGTATGGGCCAATGTCTGTCCAAGGGTAAGAGTTGTTCTATCATTGAGAAAGCAATAGTAGCGTTTATTAATGCTGAGGTCGAACCGCCTTGCTTCTTTAGCTACCCAGCGCTACGCGCTGATACTGAAGCTACGCCTCATATAATAACGAGGCTGCTTAATTTCTTTATTTTTCCGTGTGTATATGTGTGTGCGTGTTCGTGGGTGCGTGTGTTTTAGAAAACAAGAAGAATAATGTTCCATCTCGCTACAAGCAAAATGGTCCATTTGCCTATTCTGGCCAAAGTCCATCATAATCCTTGGTAGCCTGCATCGGACCAAGCTGCGGAGTGCAGCAGGTAATAGTAAGTAGCTTAAATGTTATAATATAGCCAGCATCGCAAGGATTGCACGGTACTTATCAATCGAGTGGGCCCTAGGGACCTCTAAAGAACCCTTCTTCTGGAGACCACCTCCCATCATTTTTATCCAGCTTCTACTCATTGTATATTTCTTCGCCCACTCTGTGAAATTCTCAGTGGCCATTGATAACAATATGCAACAGTTCTTATACCTCTCTTTAATTGCAATTGGCTTAGTCGGAGCTCAAAATGACCACAGCATCAAACCTAATGTACCAAACCACATCAGTCACTCTTCTTGGTTTGGAGGTCATTTCGAAAATCTTGTTGTTTTTGGAGACAGCTACACTGATGAGTCGAGATTGGACTATTTCATAAAGCACAATAATACGCCTCCGCCAGTTAGGCTACTACTTCCAGAGTCTTTAGATGCCTCCGATGGAGGTCGCGTTTGGCCTAGATGTATGTTTAGATCATTTCAACTCCATTATTAATTACATAACTAACAGAAACTACGATAGTTGTGAGTTAATATTCCGGGGCGAAGCTTTATAACTATGCCATAGCTGGAGGAATCTGTATGTAAACCCTTGCAGCTCCTCCAAATTAACTCAAGAACCATATAATATGATAGAAAAAAAGAAATTAATTCATCGGGCTCTTAGGCACTAATAATATTGTACCGCGAACAAGAGCAACACCTAAAGATATATATGCTGCCATTTTAGAAACGGCCATGCCTGCTTGGATTGCTGATTCACACTCTTTCATTGCTGCTTCTGCAGGTGAAAAATTTTACACTGGCTCAACCGACAATACTCTATACGAAATGTGGATTGGTGTCAATGATATCGGCAAGAAGAACATTTTTATTGATATCCAGGAGCCTGGGACATCCCTCACAACTTATACTGATTGTGTCTTTGTGGCTTTCGACAGCATTTACAGAAATGGCGGGCGGAAAATCATTCTCTTGAATGTTCCCCCACTCGAGTTACATACATTATATGCTACCCCTCAAAGTAAAGTTCTACTTCCAGGTTCAGCCAATTGCCCAGATAAGCCATCCAACTTGACTGAAGTATCTTTCAAAATGTACGAATATTCACGGACTGTAAACGAAATATTCAAATTCCAAGTCCCATTCCAGCAACATATAGCCAAAGATACCCCGGTGCGATATGGGCAATCTATGGTGAGTCCATCTCGTATTTAATAGACATATGACTGACCATAGTTTGGATTATTAGACATCAATGCTTTATTCAAGGAAATTCATCAAAATCCTCAGAAATATCTTAACGGCACAAGTACTCTCGATATCCTTGATTTTATACATCACTGTTCTTCGGGAGAAGTTGATTGCACAGATTTACCTGGCGACCGGGATTCATTCATGTTTTATGACTCTCTTCATCCGTCTGAGCAAGTACACCCCATCATAGCCCAAAATTTATGGATGTTGTCAACGGAATAAGTTCATTTGCAACATACTGGTAATTTGCCACAATAGAAGATTTTAACTCAGGAAGACACTTAGTGCAACAGAATAATGAGTGTAAAATATATTTCGTATATAAAATGTCGTAATATATATACATATAGATACAGCATATACTTTTAGTGTTTGCCATTTCAGATTACGCCATATATATCATGCGAGTATATATGTATATCTCATTATCATACATCCTCACTCTTTATCCCATTCAAGCGACATCTGAATCAGCTCTCAAACAAGGCAATAAACGGCCATGAAAATTGCTTAGATAGAATAATGATGCTTTTATGAGTGAATCAACTTCGACGTTTTAAACCTCGAATAACTGTCGACTTGTACGTCCTATAAACTGCTTCGCTGATGCGAATTATTTTGATAGCGGCTCAGTTATGGCTGATACTAATTCAGCAGGTGTACGCTATAAGAATGATCAAAAGAAGAGATTTAAAAATGTAATGAAATTGAAATGTGATGAAAACATAGTCAAGAATCTTTACCTGCTGTTGGTCCTTTTACTAGTTAATCATGCTTGAAAGGTCAATAAATTAGTTACTACAAAAGAAAACTATATCGCGTATATCTACAAAGTGACATGGTAAAGAACTGAGTAATCACAAAGAAATATGCGCATTAAACAGTTCACTATTAGCGCTCATAAAAAGAGAGTTATTTCTTATGGAAATGTTTAGAACGCTTAATTAGGCAATCTTTGTGAAGACCTATGTAGAGCATACTTCGATAAAAATCCAAGAGAATTTCCGAGGTTTCGAAACCTAATGGCGACAAATAGTGACTTCCTGTCCTTGGAAGTAAAATTTGTTGCCTTAATCACTTGCAGAACAGTCTGCGTATTTTATAAGAATGGGCTATATTGATTAAACTCTTCTTCTTCTTTGGAACGGCTACCCGTCATTTTGGTGACTCCATTCACACAGCGAATACAGTAATATTGTCTTGGGTGTGTTTAGCGAACTAGACATTTGTGTAAATACAATGACGGAGCAATTGACAGAAGCCGCTGATTGCTGTACATGAGTATGCAGCGATGTAACGATCCGTTATACCGTTAAGCCAAACAGGGCAAAAGATTAGGCCAATAACCACTATTGTAGTAGTTACTGTAACGGAACCAGCTGCCTATACGGGATTTGCAGTTACGGTGAACTAGCGATATTTTAGTATCGTTCATGCTACTCTTATTGTTACCTTTTATTTTAATTGTTTTTTTTTTATTAAGGCCATCCATATATTTCTTTGATCCTCTTTTCTGAATTAGAATGCGTTATAATCCAATGATCTACGGTGTACGAAATACACACACTGCAAACTCCAATACGAGTGGCGCTATCGATGATGAGCTGACCACTTAGAAAGTTGTCGCCTGCGTCCTACATTCCTCCCACCTGCAGTTGGTTAGAAACATCTAAGTGCAGTATCTATTCCCTTTGCATCCGCAAGCGCTGTATTACCAATCATTTGGGCGGTTAACATCTTAGAAAGTTGACACCTATCTATAAATGTAACTAGCAGGCACTGGCTATTTCGCTACCCGCGCGGGAATTATCTAATCGCCGTGCTTGCCACTTTCTGGACTAAAACCTACGCTCATCCGAGAAATCAATGGCGACCTCATTACAAACTATGTGTCAGCAAGCTACTCCGTAATGCCAGCGTATAATCATTTCTAAGCTTGAATAATTTAGAGGGGGTTGTAAATTGACGTAAATAAAAGACTCAAGAAATTTCTATTTATTATGCTACAGCCACTTTCGAAATTTTGCATCCCTTAGATTTCGCATCATCGCAAGATAATTCTTTTTGCAGCTAAATTACACCTCATAACCCTCATAACCAATATGTCTCCGTCTGTATCCGCTGATCAATGGCTGGCTGCCGCTAAGCATCGCCGCACGGTTTACGGCCTCAAGGGAACCTCTGCTGTCTCTGACAAGCGAGTTGAAGAGATAGTCTCAGAGGTTCTTTCATTTTCGCCGTCTTCTTACAACACTCAACCAGTTCGCATTACTCTTGTTACTGGCGAGAAGCACAAGCAGTTGTGGGACATTATCATCAAGACATCTGAGCCTATCCTGAAAGGCGCCGGCGAGGCAGTATGGGCTACCCTGAGCGGTGTCTTTGAATCGCACAAAGCATCATACGGATCGGTAGGTGCATTATTCTCTTTACAGAGGCTAGTCTAGAGAAGTCACTTTCTCATTACTGACATAATGACAGGTTGTTTTCTGGGAAAGTGGTGACAGCATTAAGGCGGCAGGTGAGAAGCACCAGTCTGCCGCACACATGTTCGGTCAGTTTGCGGAGCACACGACGGGTATGGCTCAGATTCTCGTCTGGACTGCTCTGGAGTTAGAGGGACTGGGTGCAAATCTCCAGCATCTACAAGCGATCCCCCCTGTTGAGGCAGAGATCAAGAAGTTCCTTCAGGTGCCTGACGACTATTCACTAAAAGCCCACCTTAACTATGGTGACGAGCCCGGCCCGCATAACACTACTGTGCCCGAGAAGCTGCCGCTCAGCGAGACCCTGAAGGTGGTTAACTAAATGATGCATACATGCGAGCTACATATTTTTACCCCATTTTGAATTAATAGATCATGGGTTACGTTTATAAATATAGAAAGCTTCTTTAGCGTTATTTTCGAAATTTAATTTCAAAATTCACATACAAAATAACATGCCATTTTAATAGCTCTAAACGCAGGAATTTAGTAATATGCAAAGTTATAAGACTAGGGTCTGTCCAATATCCGAGCAGGCGTATTCTGTGTCGAAAACAGAGGGTTTTGTAAAAGGGATTATAGCTGCTTAAAGAAAGCATTAACAACAATATGTGTAGGGAATAATCTAGTGCTCTAATGCAGCACTAATTCACTAAATTACAGCGCTTGTGCATTATAATATAGCGCTTATTTACTAAATTACAGCACTATCCACTAAGTTATAGTATTTTAGTTTATAAACCAACTTTATGTATTTGTATAGTAGACTAAAGCATTTTTATATTAAACATTAACATTTAGATATTAAACTATAATATTTATTTAATAAAATGTAGAGTTTTTTTAAATCGCATAATGTAGGATATTTAATATAGTTTCTTTCTAGATACAAAATGTGTTTACTTGGATACCAGATAGACCCTACCTAAAACTACTGCTATACTTCTATAAGCTTGTAAAATTGGAAACTTGTATATGGAGCATAGGGAACACAATGTTCAATTATATAAACAAATGCAAAGACAGTCATTGTATTTAATAATATCATAAGAATCTTTCTCATAATTATTTCATTGGCTAGATGGGTAGCACTCTTAGTCTACTTAACGAAGATTGCATTATTATTCGTACAATTGCAGCCCACCTCGTTATAGCTAACAAAACTCCAGTTAATCTTAAAAATTAAATACGGTGTCCGTTCATCATATGGCTTAAAACTTAGTCTGTAATATGCGAAATTAAAATCCTGGTTCGTCGCGTTAGAGAAGATGCGAGTTTATTTCGAATGATGGTCGCGATGAGTCGCTTTATGGCCGCTTGGAGTAATCCTAGACCCCGCCAATCCCGAAATATTGAGTTTACAATTTACTCTTGCTCTCGAGCGTCTAGTTCACTAATTCTTGCATGAAAACCAATATGAGATGCCAGTAAAAAAAAAAGTGAAAAAGTACCACTATGAATGACGGTTCATCACAGTTGGGTCTTGTGACTGTGGCCCATGGTATCTTTTTAGGGCGCAGTCAGCTTTTATCGCAACCAAGAGCAGAGAAATATCCTTTCACATACCATACGTAGTCGCATGTCGGTTCTCCAAGTTATTTCCCTTGCGACACTGTCGTATGCAATTGCACCGTCAGAATCTATGTTGACGAAACGCAGAACACGTGTACCTACTAGTTCCGAAGCAGAAAACAAACTCCGATGCGGTATTATGCTGGAAGTACTTTCGATAGCAGAATCTTACAAATTGTACTCGATGTTGTTGGAATACTACTGCACGATTTGATTTAGAAAGCTCTCCCGCTACAGCCCAATCCGTTAGTCGTAGTCGCCATATGAAGGCGTTTTATCAAGACCTGCAAGCAGGGTTGTAAATTAGTTACTAAATTGCTTACTATTAACGAATTTCTTAGTAACTAAATTAATCTACAGTAATGAAACGAATAATGAAAACCTACTGACTACTTTTACAACCCTGCCTGCAAGTAAGCCCCGATTGGGACTGGATCACTTCATGAGAGTATGTGGTAAGCAATTTTAGACCAGTCGTCTTTGTATCTTAGTAGTCATGTTGACAAACTCTTCAATTTCCCACTACTTGAAAATGATCGTGCTTGAACCCGCCCTGGAGCTCAATCAATCACTCCGTGACGAACTTGCAAGTCTCATAACCGGATACTCACTGTACTCTAGGGAGTAAAGCGCCGGCAAATACTAAAAGAATTAAATATGTTTAGAAAGATTTAAGGTGACAGATGAGATCAATGAGTTAAGCAGTCATATAATATACAGTTAGTTAACGTTCTCATTAGATGCTGTATCTTATTACTTCTCCGTGAGCTGGTGAGCTTCAGGTTTATGTATATTATGATATGATAACAAATAGAGTGATAATGGCATTCTTTTACGGGAGATGCATTTGATGCGCTTGATGCAATGGTAAAATAAATTGCATATCCATTGGTTGTTCTATCAAACAGCTAAGATGAGTTGACGGATCTAGCAGGTAAACACGTTTACCAATGAATTCAGATTAGGAGTAATTGTATATACCAGACACATGCATGTGGTGCAAGTAAGCCTGGACCAGTTTAGCCAAATGCCAACACCCTCTTGTTTGGAATACGAAGCATAATTAATATAAGTTTATATCTCATATCTTCTAGGCGTGTTGTATGCGGTATTATCATTACTCTATAATGGAATACTCGTTGTGGTGAGTAAAAATAAATTACCTAAATAATAAAATACAGTTTCCCGAATGAATATATTAAGATATTATTTCAGACTATATAATGCGACGCGAGCAAGATATTTACCATCATTCATAATGACAATTTTAACGGCCTCCTGAATTAAAAATAAGATAAAGCAATTAGCACGAACTTTGTGATAATCCTAAGTTTGTAATTTTACTGGTAAGAGTCTGCCACTGAGATAGCGTTTAAAAGTACTAGGATAAGAGAATAGTCATGATGAAGAGGGGAAAGAGAAAGACGAGGACTATTGAAGAAAAACGCCTAGAAAAGGAAAGGGTGAGAAGGATTACAGGAACGAAGGAACGAAGGAATAGTGGATAAAGAGGAGGTAGAAAAGCGAGAGATTTATGTACATATATATATATATATAGTCAAATAAACTGAAACTGAAACTGAAAACATAAATAAATATAAATATAAATTAGAAAACAGACAATACAGATATAAGGAATTAAAACAACCTTCATTTTCATGCAAAAAAAAAAAAAAAAAAAAAAAAAAATTAATGCAGAAATTGTGTATTTTATTTGCTAATTCATTGTGGCATATTTATTACTGTACCAGCTTACAGTATCAACTCCCATAAGCGCTAGCAAGATACTACCTTGATCCACTGCCTTGCTGTTTTTTATATTAATCTACGACTCACCTACGAGTACTCCGTACTTCATACTTTGACAAGATAAATACTCGCTGTGTAGCGAAATCTCTCCGTTTTTCACCATTCGCCTTTAAAGATTTGACCAAAACTTTATAGAATAGCCACTATGGCAGACCCAATAGGAGCGAAACCTGGCGGTATTATTACCCGCCCTCTAGACGCAAACGAGAAGTTTGTGAAATGGGCAGCTACATTAGGCGCACCTTATGATAAGACCCATTTTGGATTATTCCAAGCTCATCACTTGCGGCTTCCCTCATACATCAAAGACCCTGTGCCATATCTACAACGAACATGGCTTGCGTTACGAGACCGACACCCCAAGTTTGGCGCTGTATTCACGCCCTCATCAGCTGGAGACGCCGTTACTACGGATTTGGGACCATATGATCATGATAACTGGCTTGAAAACACTTTTTTTGTTAATATATCAATTCCAGAAGCTCATGCCCTTCTCTCGTCTTTAAAATACACAGAAATTCCTTTGTGTTATTGGCTGCCTGTTTCACAGGAACTGGCCATGTACATACCGCATTGGATCACCGATGGCACCGGGTTTCTCATACTCGCACATCGGTTTATGACCATTTTAGTGTCTGTTATTAATGAGGGACTATCAAAAACATTAGATAGCTATGCTAGTGAGCAAGTTTCTTACGAGACAAACGGTCCAAGCGGTGATGAGTTGACTGGCTACGTGGATGATGATTCTACAGAAGCAGCTCGTCTCAAAGAAATTTCTCAGGATTTGCTGGCACCTTTTTTGCAAGCTCTTCCTACTATTGGATTGCCTCTTAAACCAGACGGTAAGAGCGGCCTTCCTGGAAATGCTAGCCACATCGCCATATCTTTAGAGTCGGAAACAACTGCTGCAATAGTTACCGAGTGTCAGAAACGCGGGATTAGCGTCAACAGTGCTTTGCATACCAGTTTGATACGTATCACCAGTCGCTTTGCCCAACACCCAGCCGCTCAAGCTTATACGAGTGTCTTATATATTAATATGAGACCCCACTTACCAAACCCTGGACCTACCCTTGGTGCCTCTTCTCTGGTTGCAGTGCTACCAATAGCTGTCCGAGGCATACTACCAGGAACAAATGGCAAACCAGCAAAAGATTGGGCAAATCTTTCGGCAGAATTAAACTCCATTTACCGAAGTGTACCGGAGAAGAAGTACCAGCCGAGAGATGGAAACTCACCGCAGAGTGTAATCGACATAAACGGACGCCTGACTAGAGATGTTTTGACGGTTTTCAGCTCATCACCGCCACCGGAGATGCCCGACGTTCGACCTTTTGATTATAGTTCTATTGGATTGGTTGAAAAGTATCTTCAGAGGGATTATGGCGTCGGTGACGATAAAGGTCGAATCGAAGTATTAAATGTGTGGAAGGCCAGTATTATTGCGACCCCATCAGCATTATGCCATGGCTATACATTCCGTGACAGGCTGGCAATCTCAGTGGCGTATAACGATGGATACTTCAGTAGAGATTTTATGAGGAAGATCTTGCAGGATATCTTTATTGACATCATGCACAATTTGGATATTACTCTCTAAATAGTATTGCCATTAGCATATATTGCGTCAGAAGAGCCCTTCATGTGCGTTGTATTCTCTCTATTCGAAGGCATTTTTTATATTTTTACCCTTTAAAAATTCATTTGTTATCGGTGTATTACATATACGCGGTTTAATTACCGTGTTCCATATGTACATGTACTTATTATCTACCAATTTCCCTTCATTGTGATTTACGGCCATCGTTGTCGTAGTGAGATCTATATTGGCAGTCAAAGCACCACAATATTCACGATCCTTGAACGAATTGCGCAATTTCATTGAAACATCGAGCGTACTTATTGATTGTATCTTTCTCTTTTAGCAGCCTACAGGAGAATATTTAGTTAGTTAGAAATGCTGTAGAATCCATATATCGATCACACCCCATAATGGTGATCATCCTTTTTAAGGTTAAGCAAGCGATAGCTAAGTTGCCTTGTCATAAGTATTGCACTTTATAGCCTGTTTAAGTGCTGTTTCCGTTGAAGATGATAGAGTTAGGGCTACCTCTAAGGCTGCCGGTTACGCGGCCAGTGGTAGCCAGAGCTTTGATCCGATTAGTGACAGCGGTGGGAGTGGAGAGACCTTCAAGGGATTGAAGATAGAGAGCCAGACCGACAACGTGAGGTGTAGCCATTGAAGTGCCGCTAATTGTGTTGGTGGCAGTGTTAGATCCAATCCATGAGGACAGAACATTAACACCAGGGGCAAAAACGTCAACACCAGCACCATAGTTGGTGAAGGAAGCAGTGCGCCAATTGATGTCCAGTGCTGCAACAGTGATGGCGTTAGGTACGTTAGCAGGAGAAGTGCTGGAGACTGGTTGGGGGTTTCCTAGAGAGTCTCCATTACCAGCGGCGACAATGGTAAGCACACCCTGGTTAAAGGCTGCGTTGATGGCGGTCGTCCAGGTAGATGAAGCAGGTCCTCCAAGCGACATATTAATAGCAGATTTGCTAGCACGGTTCCGCGAGACAATGTCGTTCACGGCCCAGTTATAGCCGTCGAGGATAATAGAGGTGGTGGAGCTATCTCCAGAGAAGACCTTAACGGAGATTAGGCTAGCCTATTAACATCATCGAGTCAGTCTTGAATGCTCTTGTATATTGATGACAAAAGGATTGGGGAAGGAAAAATAACTCACCTGCTTAGCAACGCCATATGTAGATCCAGCAATTGTTCCGGAAACATGAGTACCATGACCAAGAGTATCAACATGCTGCCCCCCTGCAGCATTATAGCCAAGGCTGGCACGCCCGCCGAATTGCTGATGGGAGGTGTTGATACCGGAGTCAACTACGTAGGCAAAAGTTCCAGCGCCAGCTGAGCTATCATAAATGTAGCTTGTGGACCCAGATGTGCGATGGGAAACAGTGCCGAGACCCCAAGGAGCACCGGATTGTGTAGTCAAAGCACGCTTGTCTTCAACAATGTCCGACAGGTACATGATGTAGTCTGGCTCCACAGACGCAACCTGGCATCGTGATTAACTTTTTTCCCTCTTCGTTAGGATATAGCAAATACCTACATCGGGACTAGACTTGATCTGCTCAATTGTCTCGTCATCAAACTCGCCCGCATAAGCACTCCAAGTATGAATGTTATAAGTCTTTTCAACACCAGCAGTGCTACGCTTGGTCAAAGATCGACGGTGGAGGTCATTTACCCAGGCGAGATGAGAGTCTGTATCAATGGAAGCGCCCTCTTTCAGAGTGACAATAAACTTGTTAGGTACAGCCTCCGGCTTCTTATGAAGAGCTGCGGGAGCGGCGAGGACAGCCGGGAGCAAGGCTCCGAGATAGAGAGCAAGACGACGGATGCTGGCCATTGCTATGATGTGCTTTATATAGTGGCAGAGAAGAAACAAGTATTTGATTGCTGCTCTGATTTACCTATTGGTTTTATGCGAATGCAGTCGACTTAAATAGTTTTCATTATCACTGCGGATTCAATAATCGATTTCGCTATCTGAAGCCTCCATCACGTCTACCAGCATCAATCCATTGCGAATTATCTGCCAAGTCTCTGAGTATAGATAACCAAGCTGCCTAAAAAGACCTAGAACGAGTATATCACGCCAAGACTATATGTTTGTGTCACGGCAGCCACAACGCCCAGCTCTTGGCAGCTAGTTTGAATGCGGAAAGCAGAATAATAAAGCAACATTATCTCCAAGACTTCAATAGGCATGGCCAAAGTTCTAAAGTAGACATATTGCTTCTCATCACTGATCTACAGGGTCTTTTTTTTTTTTTTTTACGTCTCCTCATCGCTGCCAGACATATGGTAAAAAAGCTAATGATATTAAATTTAAGATTTCTTTAAGGTTAATTGACGTCTATAAACTAAAATTCACTAATTTACGCTTAAAAGCGAACGCTCAGTGTGCTGCTTGTATTACAGATACTATAGCCAATGTCATGCAGGCTAAAATTGCACCAATATTTTTGCACCTGCTTGTTATGTCCTCATGTCCGATACTTTGGGAACCTTTGAATAGAAAGCACGGCAATGCTCTAATAGCGCAATCGCAGCCGGCGCCTTATCGAGTTTTAAGAAGGAGGGGCTGCTGAACAACGGAACTTTTTATATTGCCCGAATGGGAAGGTGATTCTGCCAATGCTCCGAGCAATTGCAAGAATATCGAAAATTTGGACGTAGTTAATTTCATGCTGTAACAATACGCTAATATAAAGCGTTAGGATAAAGAATTATCCGTCGTCGCTGTTTCACAGGGCCACTGACGATTCTTGCGGTAAGAGGCGGCAAACGGCATGCGAGGCGGCTTTTTCTTCGTCAGCGGATACAATAGAGAATGCTCCGTAGGCATAAAAATAAAAAACCAGAACAAACAAAAAAATAAACAAACACTATACCCAATATCTAGTACAGCAACAAATCACCTTGGAGTACTGTAATAGCTTACGGTCACTGATTAAAAATATGTGCTAATCCATCTACAGGCTTACGCTTAACTCTGAGCTGGGAGTTGGCAGAAAGCATGAGGAACAAATTTAGATTATTCGATTCATTTTCCATTTTAGGCTCATGTAAGTATGACGAAAGATTACGGATAGTCCTTTCTTCTCTTTGTATGCTTCCATTAATTGATGAAATTACACGTGCTTCTTCATAAATGCAATTTGAACCGCAATGTTCTCCTTAAAAATATCACCGCGATATTGGTCAAAATGACCGCAGTTTTTCAGCAAATGGAGCTGCTTGGGTTCATGAGCTAATCCAAATGCTTGCAACTGGGGGGTAAGCAAGCTATTATCGTTTTCTCCTACAACCATCAAAAGAGGCGTGGGTGCAATGCGATGGATATATCGGATAGGTTCAAACCGAACTAATCTAAAAAGAGACATCGTTGTTAATTTATTCTCCCAATTACCGCCTTGCTGGGAGGCATCCTGGAAAAAGCGGAAGCTAGCCGTATCTCGGAGTATGACGGGTGCAGTGCCGGCCTCAGCCTCGTCAAGTGTGGAAGCAACGACACGAGTAAGAGGCCATTCTTCTCCGCTGCGTATCTTAGCGCGATCTTTATGGACCATGTCGAGAAATGGCTGCCCAGTGCCTACTAATAGTTCCGCCGATACAAATGGCACCTGGACAACAACAGCTTTGACTCGACGATCAATTGCCGCAGAAGTAATAGCAACTCCCCCTGAGTAACTTGATCCCCAAAAGACAATGCGTTGCGAGTCCACCTGTGGAAGAGACGCGGCGTAGTCGAAAGCATCAATGTAGTCATCCTGGAATTTGACAGGATCGGCATCGTATCTGAGACCACCACTTTCTCCGAAGCCACGATTATCGTAGATTAAGACACTGAAACCGGCTTTCTGAAATTCAAGCGCAAAATTATCAAGAAAGTGTTCTTTAAGGGCTGTGATCTAATATTAAGTATTGTCAATGTTGACGAAAGTTTTCTTTCATTCTTGCTTAAATAGATTCATCAAACATACTCCATGGGTCATAATAATACATGGGCCTTTCTCTGTACCTGCTGGAAAGAACCAGCCTTTTAGAGTCACCTTATCAAACGCTTGAAAAGAGATGTTTTGGTATGAATTCGACATTCTGATATGTAAATAAAAGGTGAGATTCCAAGATATGCCTACTTTGGAAAGAAATAATAAAAAAAGAGAAAAAATGAATTAGGGAATTATACTTCATCTTTAATATTTGACTTCGTCGATAATGAAGTTGAAAGCTCTTACAGAGAGTACGGATGTAATCATTTGTAAATACCGACCAGTAAGCTTACAGATAATATTTATTTACTGATACAGTGTATAGGTGAGCTACGGTAAAGTTATAATACTGTATTGCCTCTATAAATTAACAACAACGTTGCTTAGATAAGAACACAAAGCGATTATAGCTGATCTACCATTGCGGCTATTCAAGCGATTAATAACCAAATACGGGGCTACATGAATTATTTTTAAGGAGCTAACTATACTCAGAGGGTGGCTAACATATGCTCGATGAATGTCACTGAAATAAATGATGCTTAAATTTTTGCGACTTACACCGAATATTTTTCGTCCGGTAAGCTGAGTAAGATGAGATGTACGAGGCTGTAGGGTAGTCAGGAGTGTATGCAGAGACCTGGCAACAACCAGCGATGTAAAAACAGGTAGTTATAAAAGCTGAGATTTGCTAAATCAGCTCATTGTGTATCAAGTCGGCAGTGACAGTTGGGGAAGCCAACCTCATGTGAGATTTCACTATATGACTGTGCCAAGAGGAGAATCCAAGATCACTCTATCCTCAACTTCCACGACCAACCACCTTGGGAAATTTGTAGCTCTTTCGAATCTAAAGCTTATCAATAAATGAGGATTCATCTTGGGTATATTATTCGGGGTTAGCAATTTTTTACCATGCCCCAATCTGTATGCGCCTATATTTAAGATTCTTAATTTAAGGCGCCGATATAGCCGTTAAGTTTCTGGCTCAGAATTAACCTCGGACGGCCTCATACTGGCGGCCGGACGAGTTCGGAAGAATTAGTGGACATGCCATGGTTGTGCCTCATGATTATACCAAGCCATTGAATTCTGTAGAGGGTGGAGTAAAGGAGTTCAGCTCCGTACTCTAAAACCACATAAATACCATTTCCAATTGTGTGGTAGGCCGTCTTGGCTGCTTTCTTGCTAACAGGTTGCGCCACTCATTTCAATACGTGACGGATGCTATGGCGGGCACCCAATATAGTACCTAATGCATTGCATCAGAAAATTGCTAAAGACTTGATATTGTCCTCGTATATACTGTAATTCGCTGTTGGAACCTAATAATAATACTAGGGCTTTCTGCTTACTCGCTCTATATCTGGCCCCTCTCAATAGTGCGTAGTGTTACTGCTGGCATTGGTGTGGAGACGAATCCACAGGCTATGCCAAGGGAATCTCACAGATGGTAGATCCAAAAGCGCATGGTAGCGACAGACTTTAATATCTTTTTGTAGATATATGTTTGCGTAGATATTTGTATGCATGGAATTATAGGACACTGTTTGCTAGCCAGTTTTCAAAGCATCCGTTGATATTGGGATGTGGCATTTTCTCGCTGCTTAAGGCATGTCTCAAGCATGTCATTTTCACGCTATTGAAACAGACTATTACAGCGTATGCATGCATTCAATGTTCTATGAGTCCCACAATTGTAGGGGCACGAGACTAGTAGATACTAGGTAAAAGTCGCCATTTTTAGAGTCCCAATAAAATATCGTCTTTTCGTTGCTTCGGTATCTCTATTCGCATTCTGCCGATGCCATTAATTTTTCTGCGTCAGTGATATCGCCATCATACCCAAAGTCAAAAATGGGCGACGTGCGGCGGACGGTAAAGCAGTCGATGCCAGTAGACGTCAACAAGCCATATGATCCTTCAACACTCAAAGATAAGACGATTCTTATCACTGGTGGCGCCAATGGCTTAGGCGCACATATGGTTCGCCATTGGGCCGCTCACGGTGCAAATATCATCATTGGAGATGTTGCGGACCAGGCTGGCGAAGAGCTTGTGGCTTCACTTCGGATGGCATACCCTCAGGCAGTTTTCGAGTTCCGGCACTGCGATGTCACGAATTGGGAGTCTCAAGTCAGCCTCTTCGAGACCGCCGTCCAAGTCAGTCCATACGGCTCTGTAGACGTCGTGGTTCCCAACGCCGGAATTATTCTCCCCGGGGAGGCCACAAAATTTGAGAATCCAGAGTTTGTGAATGGCAGAATCCCGGAGCCTAATACAGCAACACTGGATGTAAACGTGAGAGGCGTCATTTACACCTCTCATCTTGCGCTATACTACCTTCCACAAAATAAGAGATCTGATAGATGCCTTCTTTTCGTGGGCTCCGTGGCTTCTATTATTCCACTTCCCGGCCAGAGCCAATATAGCATGAGCAAGCATGCTGTTCTGGGTCTCTTCCGCTCGCTGCGCGGAACAGCCTTCCTGAAGGATATTCGCATAAATATGATCGCGCCCTACTACACTGCACAGACCAAAATGCTACAGGCAACAACAGAAGCCCTTATGCTTGCAGGATCTGCTGGGCCAGGACAGGTTCCTGACGTCATTGATGCAGCAACACGACTGATTGCTGATGAAACAGTAGCTGGTCGCGCTCTCGTCATCGGTCCACGGCTGAAGCCTTACGACAGCGAAATTTTCGATCAAGGCCGTGATTTAGCGAACGGAGGAGAAGCTATTGAAGGCCAAGCTATTTGGGAATGCTACGCGCACGATTATGACCAGGTAGAAACTTTCGTAAAGAGATACCTATGGCTGTTGAACGCTGCAGCAAAGGCCCGGGGATTGTTGGCCTGGATTCGTGATATCATGGCCATCTGGAAGCGAAGTTGAATAATACATGGCTTTCGCACTGAATGAAAATACAAGCTATAAACATTGAGACTTATGATACGGATCTTGGTAGCAAGCTACCATGGGCGAGATGATGAATTGATGGCTATGAACGAATTAGGGTGGGAAAGAGATGTGGACTTTATACAGCATAGTTCCAGCCAACATTTGAATCAGTTAACAAAACCACTGGTTGCTTCTACTCTCAAAGTGGCATCGCCTACCTGCATAAGGTGTGCAATGAATAATAATAGGGAGTTCTCAAACGATAAACACACAGCTCTCAACTTCGTGCATCACGACGATATTGATATCTACTATTTAACTAGTAAAATTGTGTTCATATTTTCAGATTAAGTGTGTGTTTTATTTCGCAGTCCCTTTTTGTTCCCCTTTCGCACCACTTTCTGAACTGGAAATTTTGACATCAAAGTTACTAGCCAACGACTAAAAGCTTAAAGAGCCTCTTCACCAAGGCAAGCTCACCTATTGCTGTTTAGCTCCCTGTTATTGACTAATTTGCTACGTCTTATTTCCCGCAATCATGCTCTAAGACTTAAAACAAGAGCAATACTTCACTATTTCACTCGCTATCATCTATTCTCGTGGTCGGATGCAATGAAAATTCACGATAGACCTCGACAAGAGAACAGCTATGCAAGAGTGTTTGATCATAGTGACATAACCACTGCAGATGATTGGCCTGAAACCCCGCATTAAGAAACTGTCTTGATGAGGTTTTGGCTGTTGATGCCCAATTTAAGTTAACATATTTAACAAGCTATACATATCTCGAGCTTGATTTATGAAATGTGAGCATAGAACAGCATTTATTCATTCTATTGTACTCAAAGTATATTTCGAAATGGACCTTGATCGCAAACGGCGTATCGGCCATCAGGTGAGCATAGTTAATAGCGAGTAGACTAATGAACAAGCATTTCTCGCCATCATGCGTCAGCCTCCAAACAAATGGAAATTAGATCAAAGTCTTGATCTAGTTTAATTAAGCCTTCGAAACTAGAATAGTCTTAATCATACCGAGTATAAGTCAGCGACAATTATACACTTAACAGAGCTCCATGATGTATCGGCGACGTAGATTCGGCACACGTTGTGGAGGAAGAGAGGAAACGTTGGAAGGGCTAATTAAAGTGGTAGAACGCCTAGAGAAAAGGCCAATACTCGCGAGCGGATTTCAGCAACACACATTTCTACCTCCCTCTGAACTACAACTGGGGACGAACCTCGTACTTGAAGGTGTTCGGCGGAAATTGCGGCATAAGGCAATTAGCGGGGCTCTCACTAAGGTCCCTGTAAATAACTTGGACAGTGCTTGTGGGACTATCCCCCAGAAAAGAGAGATTGAAATAAACTAATATTATAAAATGCAAAGACATTTAGATATGTTTCGCCTCCTTTAATTTACATATAATGGTGAGCTACTAAAGGCCTTTTTACTAAAGAAATTATGACCCTGACTGATCTCCATTTTGTTTGCAACCACGGTGGGATCCCTAATATTAATGGAGTTCAACCACCGACTCGACGGTCTAATAAATAACCCCAAATTTCTCATATTAGATGATCTTTAAAAATAGGTTCTGTTCTCGAGCACTTTTATACTTGCTCCCATTCAATATAGTGGCACTAAACACGGTGGAAAGTCGGCGGGCATGCCGGCAGGGTTAAGAAATAATTAATGCTCCATGGGCTGAAGGAGCCATTTGCACTGCTAAACGGACTGGCGTCAGCGTTTAAAAGTGATTAGTTATTGCGGAAGTCTCAAAAANGGGGGGGGGGGGGATATCAAGTTGTGTGACGCAGAATGATGCTTTAACGCCGAGATTATATGAACTATGTGATTTCTGCGCCTTGGTCGAGATCAAAGCCAACAAATTACTTGGTAAACGGTCAATCCGTGCCGAAGATCTATGGATTCTCTTTACGAGGAGTAGTCATATGCCAGAAAGACTTGGCTCACTTTAATTCCATGTGATATGAAGGGTAAATAGAGCTCATTGTCCGATGTCAAGATCCTGACAGTAAATACTCAGTCCACGAATGTTCGTTCTATCTGGAAAAAGGGATTGCATATGACGAGCATCTGGCATAATGTCAGCGTAAATGCAGGTCAACCGGAACAAAGAAGGTAACACTACAATTTAGAAAAAAGAGGAGCTCTTCTACTGATTGCGCGTCCAACTAATCTTAAGATGTGAGTGATGCAGAATGTAAGACGACATAGTCCACGATGGAGCCAAACGATGTAGACAATTGAGAAATAGCATAGCGTGTCATAGTTGAATGACATAGCACCTTGTTTTATAATTGCTTCATGTTGAAGTCAGTTATTGTTCTCGGTATTTCCTTGCCATCTTTACATACATGACAAGTTGATGTTTTGGAATTCTCTATGTCGACTATGTTGCCCAAATCCTTGAAGTTGATTTTCAGCGACCCATAAATAAAACACAGTCAGCTAGTATTAACCGCGCAACTGATCTATTAGTGATTGAAACATTCTTTCTGTCTATTACAGTTGGTGACAAGAGCCAAGCTTGGCTACGAGAAGTATTGGTCTTGCTTGATCACGGTCGCACAAATCTTACTGGATCGAGCCAAGTACTTCTATAATGCTATAAAGCGCTATAATCGAAAGCATTACAGTAACCATACTGTGTTTTTGGTATATACGTACGGAGTACACGCATTCTGCTAAGCCTCAATTTGAGCTATTATTTTGAGCAATAATCCTCTAGCTATATCATACTTCGCATCCAGTGCTGTAATACTCAAATTAATAACAGACAGAAAAAAAATTATGTATCACATATTTTATAGCCTAAGTGGCAGGCGATCGGACATTTCAATGGTAAAATTATGGGTGACCCACTGGAGCACGCACGCAGGGTGAGTGAGATGCCAGTGGTGCGGAGGGATCGGCGTACTTCGTAAACTATGCGAGATATAGTGGGGTTGCTATGGGGCTAGGGTGACAGTCGCCCGTAATTGAAGCAATGACTCGATAGCAGCGCGAACAAAGTGGATATCGAAGCTACTGAGGAGTCTTAAATGAGAGGTTTGGCGGGATGCTCATCCGCATCGCTGTACTCGTTATATGAAGTCGACGCACGATATCCTGCTTCAACCATAATGCCTACATAAAAATGGATCAAACCTATAGGCTACTTGTGGACTGCGTCCTCGACAAGTGGGAAGAGAAGAAAGGAAAAGCAACTGCTGCAGGCGGCGGAGAGCATCTGATTCCTCGCCTTATAATCGCGATAGCTGGTCCTCCTGGCTCTGGAAAGACAACAATAGCCAACCAAGTTTCCAATATTATCAATTCTTTACCATCAAAGAGGCCCAAAACAATTGTTATATCTGCCGACGGCTTTCATCTTCCACTCGCTACGCTTCGAAAACTTCCCAATGCCTCTGAGGCTCTCGCTCGCCGCGGCGCGCCCTGGACGTTTGACGGACATGCAGCAGTGAGCTTCATTCGAAAACTGAAGACCAATTCTCGCCGCCAGCTGGTTCTTGCTCCTACTTTTGACCATGCAATCAAAGACCCAGTAGCTGATGGACTACTGATAGAAGCTGACGTGGACATATGCATACTGGAAGGCAACTATCTTCTCTGTGATGAGCCTCCATGGGATGAAATAGCAGGCCTCGTTGATGACAAGTGGTTTGTTCATGTGGAGCCAGATCTCGCTTGTACGCGAGTTGCATCTCGGCATCTTGCTGCCGGCATTGAAACAACAATGGAGGGGGCAGTCTACCGCGCCAAGACAAATGATTTGGTAAATGGAGAATTTATTGTATCTAAAAGTAGGGGTAGATACGATGTAATGATAGAAAGTATAGAAATCAAGACTTAATAGATATTCAATTTGGCAATGGTGAACTGGGCAATATACGACGTATTAAATTACAGTTATATATCTCTCGCATCTACTCTATTGATGCCTTGTTTAACCATTGATAAAGTAAGGCGTCGTAACTTGCTTCAAGTAGCGTGCATGGAGCGGCGTAGGAAGGGTTAACTGAAATACACTGCTTATTTGGGGTAATTTCTGCATTCCTAGATCCCATTGAGAAAATCCATCCAAGAGTCATCCTGCTCTTGGTCTGGGCCATCAAGCAGTGCATTTGGCCACATCATCGAAAAAACTGCATCCATTTGATCATGAGAAGGGTCTGCAGCAGCCATTGATCTATCACCGTCAAGGTCGGATGCTTGGTGATGCGCCCCGCCGTATATGCCACTTATGTCTTCTTGGTAATTTGGATCTTCTACATGAACATCTTCCAAAAGAGGTATTGTTGAGGCTAGGTGAGCCCCACAGAGGCTGACAATTACTTGGTGGCATCTTCTGGCGCTTGGATTCACTGCCACGAGTGACGCAAGAGCTTTAAGAGAAATATCAATTTGATCACGCCATTCGGGCGCCTGTGAAGGATTGATATTGTGTCGAAGACAAATACATGGGATTAAAGCAGCTTGAAAGAGGAAGTACCTTTGCTATGATCAATAGAGAACTTTCATGGGGCCCTAAAAGTCGAAATTACTTACAGTGCATACCACGCAAATAGACGGATATGATCGTACGTGGCCCAAAACTCGCTTATAGATACTATGCTTTGCTTAGCATCATATAAGCATCGATCGTAAGCCTGGAGTGACTCTGGGCTTAAGTTGTCTTTACGGCCATTGCGCGCAAGCAAAGCACGTCTAATGACAAATGGCCGGTACATTATCATGCGAAAGTTTCGCCACCTCCACTGCATAACAGAATGAGCAAAGGCGTATTTTGCTGGTACGGATGCTCCTTCTGAAAAATATTCGGGTGTGTTTTTTGCCCATGGCTCAAAGCAACGGGCCTCCAATTGAAGCAACTCTTTTGCACTCGGTAAAGGCTTGGAAATTATTCGAATGTATATCGGGTTTGTAGCTATGTGGAACCTAGCTTGTGTTCGAACCGCTGTATACACAGAAATTTCGTGTGGGTCGGAAGGATATGATTTGGACATGGCAGTTAAATCCTATAAGAGTCAGTTTCATGCTAGGTAGCAGATTGAGAGAAGTGTAACCTTATCGTGAACGTTCATTGGCAATGATATGTCCACACCATCAAACGGACACACTTGGGGTCGCCCGAATGTGATGTTTGCGCCGATGTCAAATATACTCAGCGTCCACCACACCCTGCGTCGGATTTCCATGCTTAAAGGTGAGATTTTCCATCCTTGGAAATCCTTATGTAACCCTAATGCCATAGCCATCCTAGCCGCCAATCCCGAGTAGCTATACGCGGCATTGGGCTTATCTCTCTTTTGTTGATAATTAGATATTAAAGTCAGAGCTTGGACCAATGGTAAACTGCCGATTTCCAGCAAGTCAAAAGACAGCAGGGTTTTAATATGGTTGAAGATATCAAGATCTAGATTGTTCACTGTAGTAGCCGTGGTATATACTCCAAGAGCTGCCATGGCATAGGCCAAGATGAACCAAGATCCTCCACTAGGTCTTGGAATAACTTCAGAGTACTGAGCGCGAAAGGTCGGTTCATGGACGATGGGATAGCTAAGATGATATATCCTGAAATAAGCATCAATCATACTGTCGGCTATGTGTTTATTCATGTTAGGTAGTTTGATGAGTGAAAAATGACTGTCCGCCCCAGCTTGCGCATGGCCATATGTGTTCTTAGCTTGGACGGGCTCTAGAAGGCGTAGGAAAGCGGCACCTGACGCAATTCCAAGATAACCACTTTGTTGTTCAGAAACTGTCAAAGAGGCCATGCCATCTAAGATCTGTCTTGTTTCGTTGAAATCGCTCGCTGGGGACCCTCCTGGTGATGCTTGATGGGCAGCCCTATGCTCATCCCATCCAAATTCCCCTGTAGATGGCGGGCTCTCGAAATCATCTTCGTGAGATTTTTCTGAGTTTTCTACATGTTCTGATGGTTCTGTGATTTGCGGCGGCAATGAAATATCGCTTTGACCCAGCTTTCCAACCGTCGTGAGGCATGAAGCATCAGAGGCCGAGGCCTCAACGGTGGGCTGAGTTGTTGCAGGTTGAATATTTGACTCATCTTCATGTATTTGGTCGCCAATAGCTGGTTGAACGCCACTAGCAATGTTATTTCCATCAATGTCTACGCCTAAATAACAAAATATTCAGTGAGTCTCATCCAATTCGCAGAGACGTTTGAGAAAGACAATCTTACTATTGGGACTCTTTTTTTGAAGAGTCTGGGGAGGGAGAGCAGCTCTCAGTTGCCGAATTAGAGCTTCTGCTTGTTCTAATCTTTCTTCAACTTCTGTGAGATGTCTGTTTCGATACCGGTTAGTACTATCCAGAGTCTATCATGAATTATTGCAACTCACTTCCTCGTAAGTGGTGTACGCGAGTATTTCTCGTACAGGCAATGTCTTCTATATCTCAGGCACATGTTGCATGTCGGAATCCCCTTGTCGCATTTTGACTTCCTCCGTCGGCATTCCTTGCACGCTTGATCAGAGTACCCAAGAGGGCTCGGTTGCCCCAAGGGCGTCAAGCTAGCAGAATTCATTTATAAAGATTACGATTATTATGTTTCAGCTGAATGTAAGCTGGCAAAATACCACGCCATCTTGTGGTAACAAGTGTCTGAGTAGATGCTTCAAATAACGTATTTGCTCAAATAAGCACACCAGTTATGGGGCTCACAGATCTCCACAATACTTCACGCTCCAAGGGAACAACGATGTCCCGGAGACTTCTGCGTAGCGGCTAATTTGCCACGAGACTTGTTTGGCGTCTTTTACGAGGACAGTATGAAAGCCAATTTAAGCGCCCTACATCTGGTGGCCAATTAGTCTAATATGCTACGGTATTAATATCGATTACCATATTTCGTATCCAGTGATACGCATGCTCAGGTATCCATTTGACGATGTTTTCACGGACAAAGTACTGTAATTTTTATCTCTCTATTTCTCTCATAAAAAGTTAGGATCATGCGTGCTCGCGGCGAACTTATAGTTGATACATCAGACATGTTTAGCTTATAACAATACCTCTATTATGAGCGATTGTCTGTCATCAGTGTGTAAAAGATTAATATAAAAGGTCATTCAGAGAGAAATAATACATTTTGATGCTTCTTATAAATATTTCTCAATTCAGCGACATAACATTGTCATACCAACTGGATAAAGAACTACGGGTGCTCCTTTCAGTATTCGCAAAACAGGACATGGAAACATTGACATTCAGTCAACTTTCAAGTTGCCAAATAGGTGTTTGTATGATTCACGGCTGGTTATTTTCTTCCACCACGAGCTCAGATGCAGCCGAGAATCCAACAGAGTTGGATACACAGTCTTGTCCAAATGATGCATGTAAGGGACAAAGAAAAGATCCACTACCATTAATGTCTACTTGAGTTAGTCTTTGGTTCTTTCACATACTTTTTAGGTTCTGCCACTTACATCTCCAGCCATGAAATCTTGACTTGCAAGTCTTTTGTCTAATAAGTCAACGACTTGCTCAAGCCTTTCTCTCAGAAGCTTACATTTCTCAACGTCCGTCTCGCCGTGGAACCAAGTGCTATTATTATCGTTAGCTCTTGAACGTATGTAGCTGTCACATATCAAAAGACGAACGGTTTAAACAGTTCTTCAAAGACCAGCTGATTGGCAGCAGCGTCAAAAGAAGTGAGCTCAATTGATGCTGCCTCTTCAAACTTGGCTATCGCGACAACGTCGTTTGGATCGGGAAGCAGGGAAACTGATGTATCGTTGCTGCCATACGAATGCGCCAAATATCTTGCAATGGCGCGCGACTCGGCTAACATCAGCGGGGGTTTATGAGCTTCATCTCGAATAAATGGTACGGCACCGAAAGGGTTGAGTTCTAAGATATCTGGTTGCTAAAAAGACATCAGTAAACGAAGGTGTCAGGACCACTATGTGCTCTGCGTTACCTTGTGCTCAAATTTAGAAATATCAACCTCTCGAATATCATTGATCTGGAGCCCAAGTTCATGGATAGTGAGTAGCAATCGCTGAGGGCAAGGCAGCCGAGAATCAGTGAAAAGAGTAATCTGAGACATATTGCTTGATACTTTTTTTACAAGTTCGTGAACACCAAATTCACTTCTGCTCAATGACAGAAATTATGGAGTGAAAAATGCTTGTTTTTAAGCTCCAAATTGAGTACATACGTAACTTGCAGGCCGCCTAAATTGAAGGGCGCAGATTGTCATTCAGTTAGTTTATACGCCATGTTCGCGCAGGCAGATCGGGTTGACGTAAAATGGCTATCCCCGAATAGCCTCGCCGAGAGATTTATATCCACTAACACATAGGATTGAACTAAGCTACAGGCAAGAGATGACGTGTTACACTAATTTATCCACGTTAAATGATTTATAAGGCATTATATGTGAAGAGAAGAAAAAAAGGAAATGGTCAATATTGGAGGTCATGGGCAGTGAAATTATTTGGTGCTGTGCTGCATAGCCCGTTTCGGAAATTAAACCCGTCTAAAACAGCAAAATTAGAGTGTAGGATTTCACAGCGACTTTAGCGGACAGGGCACTATAATTTAGTATGTAGGTAAAGTAGTAATAGTAAGCGAGTATTAGTATGCTAAGTTGTAAAAAATAACTAACATTATATAATAAATGCAGGAACAAAGGTACTTTTCTATAAGGATAAATAGTATAAGAGTATATATAAGTAGATTTAGTAAATTTATTGCTGGGGCAATTTATAGTCAGAGAAAAGATAAAGGTATATGTATGTGTGTGTGTGCGCGTATATGAACTTTAAGCGTAAGAGCATTTTATATTTCATGGCTGGCTAAAGTAAGGTAAATTCTACATCCTTAACTAATTTATATTCTATTAAGTATTTTCATTATAAATAAGTTTAATTTCTTGAATGGGTTATGCTATAGAAACTTGCATTATACGCTGAGACTGAGCGGCTTACAAATGGTGAAAGTTTCTCGATACTATAGGGAAATATAAATTTTTCAAGTCGAAAAGGCGAATGTACCTAAATAGCTGCCCCTATAACGACATTTACTTCCTTGTGTATGCGCAGTTCATGATATTAGATTGGTGAACGAACATCGCGTAGAGCAAAAAATCGTGCCTATTGGCAGTGTTTTAAAAAAAATGTCCTCGCTATCTAGAACAATTCCATCATTGCACAACAAATTGCTGATTGTGGGACTTGAAAAGCTTCGAGCTATCCAAAAGAGTTCCAGTTGACGATTGGTAGAAGTCAACCTGCAAATTCTGTTCATCCAGAAATCGGATAGTCGCATAGCTAAAATCGTCTGCATAAGCAAATGCCGTATAAGACGGCTCTGATCCAACGCTGCTGAGGCCCTCAATGTTGCCTGCTCCACCAGCGACAATATACATTGGCGCTTTCGGGTCAGTCATACCTGCTGGGTCGGCGGTTCCGTTGAAGACCGGTAAGAATCTTTGAGAATTGTGGACATGTCCAAAGACTCCTAAATCGACACCGTACTTGTAGAAGAGACCTTCAAAAGCGACCTGGCATGGTGCACAGCCCGAACCTCCCGTCGAGTACCAGGGCCGGTGTCCTCCAACGATTAGCCAAGGCGTGACCGAACGGTCAACAGATGATAGGTCCGCTTCAAGGAAATCGAGCTGCTGGTTAAGAGCTCCAAAAGGTCCGCCATTGAGGCCAGCAGAGCCATCGGGTCCATCAGGAGCATTAGCAAAATCAGTCTCAGTGTCAATCATGACAATATGGGCCATTCCATATTCAAAAGAGAACCAGAAGGGAGGATTGGCGAGTTCATGAGCCTTATTTGCGTTGATTTTCGCACTACTATTTGCTGAAGTAGAAGTAAACGCCGTTGGCATGGTCTTACCAAATCGATTTATAAAGTCAGTGAAGTTCTTCTGTCCAGCGGGGCATAGTCCCGTTGTGTGGGGGATCTCCTGACAGGCCGCTTCGTGATTGCCTGGACTGGCCATATAAGGCTTGCGGCCAGCGATGGGAGCCAGTTGGTCATAAAATTGTTCCAGGATAGCTTGATATGCATTTGTCCCGTCAAAAATGTTCTTTGGCGTCTCAATCCAGTCGTCAGCATATGCCAAGTCTCCCGGATGTATAACAAATTCATAATCGTTAACAGTATTAGCGAGACGCTGGATAGTTGTATGGTTCAACGACGGGTCAATGGTCGGAATTGTGTCACGCTTGGTCTGGTCGTTTTGAATGGTATAGCCGTCAGGGCCTACCACTCCTAAATCGATGATGGCATTGATGGAGAATGGGGTTTTATCTCCAGCAATGCGGGGGCTCAGAAAATGGTCCATGCTTGAGTTGGTAGAGACAATTTTGTAGTAATAGGTAGTGGCCGGGGACAGATTATTGAGAGTCACTGAATTTGACCACGTACGTGAGGTCGGGTATGTAACGGAATTTTGAGAACATGCTTGTTGTGTAAGAGAGGTAGCAGAAACTCCATAAGAAACACATGGCTGGCTGAGTTGCTGATACGTGTTCCACCCAATTGATACACCTGTTCTCTAATGTCAGTATACCTGGAAATGCATTTTGCTCATCACTAGTCATATGGACATACTGTTGGGTCCGTTGACTGCAATGCGTTGCTGAACGGGAGTTGTTAAATCAGCAGGGATAGGCGGGTAGCTAGCAGCAGCAAAAGCACCAGCGGCTAGCACTGGAAGAGCTTTGGCTGAAGTAAAAGCTGACACCATCTTGATAAGGGCAAGATCTTGGGCGAAGAACAATAGATCTTCAGTCAAGTTTTTCATGCAAAAATAAACGAGAGCTTGGAAGGGTGGTTTATGCATATATATATATATATATTTGTCTATGCATATATATCTACTCATTAAGCTCCCATGTGACAGTTGCTACTCCATTTGCCAGCATCATTATTAATTCCTCGGCTCTCATAGGAGACTATACAAACGTGCTGCAACTCGGCATCTGAGCTGCTATATTTGGGAATACGTCCGTCGATCTCTCCACTGCATCTATATTTTGTTGAGGTTCGTCCATACGCTATAAAAACTAGATCTCGCTACTCGTGCGGAGATCGTGTAATGTCATTGGCGAAGACGTTCAACTGGATCTGAACAGTTGCTAAACATGCAGCTCTGCTTGAGACGTGTCGTCGGTGATTGATTAGGCTAGACTTCGCTTAGTAAATAGCGCCATGCATCTGTCACAATATTTCTTGCCGAGGCCTGAAGTAATGTGTACAAGCAAACTTCAAAACTGCTTGCAGCATAAGCTATAAGCAAACAGCTGCTGTTTTCTTTTCTTTTCTTTTCTTTTCTTTTCTTTTCTTTTCTTTTCTTTTCTTTTCTTTTCTTTTCTTTTCTTTTCTTTTCTTTTCTTTTCTTTTCNCTTTTCTTTTCTTTTCTTTTCTTTTCTTTTCTTTTCTTTTCTTTTCTTTTCTTTTCTTTTCTTTTCTTTTCTTTTCTTTTCTTTTCTTTTCTTTTTCTTTTTTTTTCTATTCTTATTCTTTCCCAGATATCCCGGCAATCTTACCCCCCTCCCCCCCGCCCAAAGAAAAAAAGATTCAACGCCGTACATCTCGAACTATTCTAGCTAACAACTGTGCTCTGAGCGCATAAATCGTCAACTTAGACCGTCAATGGTTTGAGAATTACCACTACCATATACATGTATTAATTGCGTTGAGATTTATTAGGCGATTACAGCTATTCCTTCATAACATCGGCCTTCTAAGCATCAGCGTTATTATTACTTTGCTAGCTGCCGCAAAAACTCTAAGCATGTTTCTTTCACGGAAAACGTCGTAGTACTGCCTCTGCATACCCATTACCAAGTACAAGAGCTATACCTATTCGCGAAAAAGGATAAAATCCCCTTTTAGCACTTCTATATTGATAAAGCTCCAGCCTTTTGCATCCCTTGGCTATGCGTATAACTCACTTTCTACCCTTTACATGGTTGAGAGGGTGTAGCCGAGAGCTATATATCCTGGCGCCCACATGTCTCTCATTTTTGTCGAAGGCAGCCAATCTCCTGTCTCAGACCAACCACCTCAGACGCGATCAGGCTAGTCTCTTTCTACATGGCTACTGGACATTCGTGCTTAATTTAAACTCATCAGCTAGACAAATTCCTGCTATTATATGAACTAGAAACTAGAGTTGTGCCACATAGACACTGGAACTCTAAAAACGGATCTCTCGGAGTAGGTCATTGACCTGCTTCAGGAAAATACGCACGCGACAGCGCTCCCTTGCGCCGACAGATGCGGTTACCAAGGGCTGTCCGAGAAAATACTCCCTTTTGATGAATAAAATTGACTTTTTCCCTTGGCTCAATATATATTCCAATCGCTTGCTGGACATATTGCCTTTACGGAGCCCTCCATGTCCCAACTGCAGTCCCGGCTACTCTAAGACTACGTCACTGAGATATACTCAGTAGCACATGCTTCTTTCACTATGAGTGGCGCTCAATTTCTCTCCAGGCGTATTCTGAGAGCGACTGCCCTTCGCCTCCTAAATCGTCGATTTGCTTTTGCCATAGCAGCGACAGCTACGTTCAGCGCCAAGTCAGTCCACATATATGCTCATCTCGATGCGTTGCAGAAGAGAGATCTGCTCCTTTGGGGGCTCTCTTTCTTCTCACAAGACACGGTATTTCTATTAGTTATTCGCATGGTCATGGATCAGTCCCTGGGCAGCGCTTTATCCACATTGGTCACACTTATGGTGCTGTTTCTGCTTGCGACAGCCGCAGTATCCGAATCCTTTTTCTTCACTACAGGGACAGAACTGCAGTGGCGCAATGTTGCTCTGGCCGGTGATTCGTCTTCATGGTCAACACTCTCAGCAGGGTGGATATCATGTTTATTATCATCTATCGCTTTGTTTGTGATTGCACAGATATTCCAGTATCCCTTTGATAGAGTATCCAGCTGTGCACTGGAGATATTAAAGTGGCCGGTCTCATTTATTTCCAATAAGCTGCCGGTATTGAATCACTGCAGCTTATCAGGAGCGACGTATAAGCATCTATCTCAACAGGATGTGGAATACATTGAAGAGGTTTACAAGGACGATGAACTTGAGGATCAGAGACTAGAGAACGATACTGTGCAGCCAGCCAAATGCTCATCTTATCTGAGACTATTTGTTGGCCTTGTATTGGTAGCCCAGGTCATGTGTACAGTTACGCGGCCAACAAATCACTCGCTTATATTCATGTCCTGGACATTACCGCTTATGCCATTTGTGGATGTCATCTTCTCAGCGCCTTCTTTAGCCAGTCTCCTTGCAATGTCAGGCAATGTCGATGACGCGCTACATAACGTTACGGCTTTAGGCGAACCGATTCCGTGGACTTGGTTACCAAATAACATGTCACTTCAAGGGTTTGAAGATTGGTATGAAACGGGCAAAAAACATTACAGAGCTTTGGCTGACCCACTGAAAATTTCAAATCTTGAAGAAGATTTGCTTCTGCCTCTCCGGGCCAATCTAGACGATGTTCCCATCCGACATGTTTTGCTAGTCAAACTTGAGAGCACGCGCAAAGATGTCTTTCCAATCAAGAAAAACGGCTATATATGGAATCGTCTCGCTCATTCATTTGGGAATTCGTCGCTGCCGGCGGAAGCGCAAGAAAGGCTGTCTACCCTTACCACGACTGCGAAGTACCTTACCGGAGACTTGAGCGACGGTTTTGGTGAAAAATCTGGCACACCACGCGGTGGTATCAATGCGAATAACGCTTTTACTGCCAGTACTTACACGTTGAAGAGCTTAGTTGGGACGCATTGCGGCATAAGCCCACTAGCTGCTGATTTCAACGTTGAGATGGACCATCATATCTACCAACCCTGTCTGCCTCATATTTTTGAAGCATTGAACCAGCTAAATCACAGCGACGATGAGATATCGAGCCATAATTTTACGTCGTACAAGTGGAAAACTGCTTTCATGCAGTCAGTAACGTTAAGATATGACAAACAGGATCGCCTCATGCCGAAGATAGGATTCACTCACCCGCTAGGTTCTTTTGAATTGAAGGATAAGGCAGCCAAGCTCGGACCAGTCGACCTACCCGATATTAACTACTACGGCATGCCTGAACGTGCTATAGAAGACTACTTGCGGGATGCTTTTGCGTCAGCTAAGAAAAATAATGAAAGAGTCTTCTTATCCCACTTGACGAGCTCGACGCATCACGATTTTGGCTTGCCAAAAGACGAGAACCGTGTGCCGCTGGCTAACGACCCCGACCTTGAAGATCTTTCACGCTACCTCAACACGGTGGGCTTTGTTGATCGCTGGTTGAATAGAATTCTTCACATCTTGGATGAAGAAGGCGTTGCAGATGAGACTTTACTCGTCGCTGTTGGAGACCATGGCCTCTCCATCGCAGAGCGAAGAAGCATCACTCCGTATAGCAACCCACACGTTGCAAATTACCACGTGCCGCTGGTTCTATCGCATCCCAAGCTTCCAAGCATTACCATCGATGACCCGGTCACCTCCATACAAATTCTGCCAACCATTCTGGATCTTCTCCTTGAGACTAAGTCTCTCGCAAAATCCGAGGCAGAGGCAGTGCGCGACATGATCCAAAACTATGAGGGCCAATCCCTCTTACGGCCACTGCAAAAATTTTCTGAGATCAATGGACAAGGAGGCTGGCAGCACACAGTTATGAATCCCGGCGGCTCAACAGTCTCTGTTCGGGACGCTCGCCAGCCCAACTGGCGACTGATTGTGCCCGTCTTCGGAAACTACGAATGGAGGTTTACAAACCTAGAAACAGATCCGCACGAAGACGCTCCGTTGGTGTCATACGACTTTAAAACTCTCTTGCGTATCGTGCAGGAAGCATTTGGGCCTGAGGCCGCGACGTGGGTGAAAGAGGCTGCAACCGTTACTCGGTGGTGGACAGACGAAAATTATAAGCGCTGGCGCTACAATAAATAAAAGGAACATCAAGCGTATATGCAACTTGTAAGGGAATTTATGTTTAGCTAATATTAATATTACATATCTTAATGAGATTATAAAGTACTTCAGACTCAGAAGACGGTAATACGAAGCAAGCACCTCAGGCTATATACTAATATCACATGTTTCCAATCGTACCGTCTCCAGATCCCAGATCTGCCTGTCTATTAGCTTGCAAGGCCATGTTTTTTCCTCCGGCTAACCCCGCCTTTAGTAACTTGTCATCAAAAGAAATCGATCAAGAAACCCACAACATTTGTCTCTTGGGAATAACCATTATAATAAAGTTTATTGCTGACCTTGGAGCTAAGCCTTTTTTCTCCAGGTGCTGCCTGTAGCGCGCTTATTCATTCTCCTGGACAGCCGAAAGGATTCAGGCCCGAAGTTCTTTGATGTCACAATGATGCCACTTGCGACATCTATTCCTTTGCACGATACTAGATCTCATCATACCATTTGCTAGTTCTTTTGTTGTGGCACCACGCCACCACATTCAGCCAAGCAATAATCGTTCTATCTGTCCATTTTCTCGTCGTTGGTTAGGGGTATAAATACGTCATGTTTACCATAAAATAGCTTATTGTTCGTTTTTTTATTTTCCTGCATCTGAGGCGATCGCCTAAGCAAGAACTGATAAATCCAAGCTCTAGTGCGTCGTTTTAGCAGCTGAGCTTGCACTTGAGAATAAGGCACATGCATCTGTATCAATACCGAGTGTTTTCAATAGGCACATCGTATTTTCAGCTATAAAATTGTATTCACCAGTTTCCAATATGACCGATTTGTTTAGCCAAGAATTTCATGTCTGCGCTTCCCTTCGTCGGAAATCGCAAGCTGAAAAAGTCGTCGAGAAAGAAGGCTGTTTCGGCCTCAACCTAACGGTCAGTCTTCATCACGATGCTCATGTTTTGCTTCATCATATCTCTATGCCAAACATCACCGTTCTGAAAGGGGGGGGTAATACTACTATTGATCGCATTTGAGTTCTCTATAAGCTAATGACGATTGCTTAGCCTATATTCATTGGCATCTCAGCCACATTATCAGGATATAGGACGTACCTTGTTTCCGTTGCCGTTCGCGATTCTACATATCTAATTGATTTTGCCATTAAAACTGTTTCTGCAGCTGAACAAGGTGCCACAAACAATCAAGATTTTCTGGCAGACTACATCATCAAAGCCATCAGAGGATACGAACATCGAACTTTTACCAAGGTCATAGGTGCTGGACTTCCCCATGCACTACAGTCGCTAAGCCCAACGCTGTGTTCTCGCCTCTGGCTAGAACTGGACATTGTGCCTCTTGTTATTCAGCAGCCACATGAACACAAGGAAAGGATAAGCCTCTGGCTTAGCAAACGAGTGGACGAACAAGCTGATTCCATGGCGCGAAAATGCATCATGTAAGCGACATTCCAATGCAAGATTAATAGAATTTGGCAATAATTACTGATACAAGTGTCGAATGAATTTAGGAATTTTGGCCCTTCTTTAACTCCTCTCTTGCAAGTCGCTTGGAGTGGTGTCGTCGAAGTCGATGCCGGATTTCAAGCGCCACTCTTAACGGTCGAAAATTACAAGACCACTTGCGGTCCTGCGTCTTGGGAGGCAGTTATGCATTACGCAAAGAGTCTACGAAAGCACAAGACCAAAATAGCATTCTTCAGCAGCACTCCTCAGGGCGGCGGCGTTGCCCTGATGAGACATGCGCTTGTACGGTTCTCGCGCGCATTGGGAGTAGATCTGCGTTGGTATGGTATGTTTTTTCACCTTTGTCCCTAGCATCTCGCTAGTTCAGGTGTAAGCTGATAACTTCAGTACCAAAACCTCATCCGGGTGTATTCCGCATCACCAAAAACATTCATAATACGCTTCAAGGTGTGAGCCCTGAGGGTGAGCACATCTCTGCAGAGGAAAAGAAGGCAATCGTCGACTGGATTAGTGACAACGCTGATCGTTACTGGTTCTCTGATGGTGGCCCATTATGCCGACCAGATAAGGGCGGTGCGGATATTGTTATTGTGAGTCTCGCCGCTGCAAAACGGGCTGTGGCTGTATCGCTGGCTTTTGTCTATGACATCGTTCTGCTATACAATTTCCCCCGTTCACCATGTCCCATTATCTTGTTTCCTTTAGTAATTGAGTAAACAGATCGACGACCCTCAAATGCCATGTCTCATCCCGCTCATCAAGAAGCTCACGCCATCACGGCCGGTCTTCTACAGATCGCATATCCAGATTAGAGCAGATTTAATTGATGTAGAGGGCTCTCCTCAAGCAGATATCTGGGATTTTCTCTGGAAAAACATCAAACAAGCCGACTTATTTATCAGTCACCCGATTCCGTCATTTGTGCCTCATAATGTGCCCAGAGAGAAGGTCGTCTATATGCCTGCAACAACTGATTGGTATGTATAAGTTGCTGTAATTCATCGGAATATAAAATTGACTTAAGGCTCTATAGGCTAGATGGCCTGAATAAGCCAATGGAGATATGGGATGACGGTTATTACGGCCATTTATATAACATCAACTGTCGCTCGCAACGTATGACAGAGTTAGAGTGGCCAAGGAGTAAGCGGAGAGTGACTGAAGCAACCAATTACTCAAACTCATATACTGATGTACACTAGGAAAATATATTATCCAAGTGTCTCGTTTCGATCCCGCCAAAGGGTTGCCAACTGTGGTGGATGCGTATGCATGTTTTCGGGAGCAGCTTGAAAAATACAAAGCTATCGACATTCCTCAGCTTGTCATGTAAGTGTTCTTTCAATTTCCCAAGCAGTTCCATATATACATTTCGGCTAACAGAGTAAGCTGCGGGAATGCTTCTGTCGACGATCCTGACGGCACCATTATCTATGAACAAGTCATGACACAGCTAGAAACGCGATATCCTCACCTGCTAAGCGACGTCAGCGTAATGCGCTTGGATCCTTGCGATCAACTGCTAAATTGTCTCATGGCCAACGCCCATGTCGTTTTGCAGCTTTCAACCTATGAGGGCTTCGAAATCAAGGTCTCCGAGGCACTACACGCTGGCCGTCCCGTCATCGCTACGAACGCCGGTGGCATACCTCTTCAAGTGAAGGACAAGGTTAATGGGTATCTTGTTCAGCCGGGAGACTGGAAAACCGTTGCAGCTCATTTGATGGATTTGTTTACGGATCCAAAGCTGCACGATCGAATGTCATATGCCGCGAAGACTGGCGTTAGTGACGAGGTAGGGACGGTGGGAAACGCCATTTCGTGGTATTACTTAGCCACGAAGTGGTCACAAAGAGGCCCAAAGCTTGAATTGCTTGGGAACGCCCAGTGGGTTAACGATATGGCTCGTAATGAGGCTGGCCAGCCATATGCAGAGGGTGAAAATCGCTTACCGCGCAACTTTGTCAGCTCTGGAAAATAGCTTCAATTCTGCAACTAATTATTCTATATGTACGAAATCTCTAAATCTAGTACGATTTATTGGGGGCTGCCTACATGATCTCAGTCAATCTTTGGTAGGTCAAAGTCGTCTTGTTAAATCAACATCATCTACTGTCGGAGAAGGCGATATGTCAGCCATGACAAATGTCCCAGTTGGTGTTGATTGTTTTGCGTTGGCCTCTCTGTTATTTCAAGTTCGTAGACGTCATGACCAGCACATTTTTCTCTCGCTCCAAGCGCTATCGTTCATGGCGCCAGCGCCACAGGCTTAAATATTATTTTCTTGAGCCCTACTCAGCCAGTGGCAAGTAACGGCATAGATCAAGAACTCAAAAGCGTCTAATCTGCAATAGCGAATCGCTGCTGTTTTATCCCAAGAGCGGGCGGGGAACAATACACAGCTCAAGCTCCCGAAGCCAATCGAATATAGGTAGAATATTGTCTTGCTCACCGCATCCAATGATCCACCTACAACAGCCTAGTCAAGACTGTTACATCTTCCGTAGTATAGTGGTCAGTATGCAAGCTTGTCACGCTTGAGACCCGGGTTCAATTCCCGGCGGGAGAGATCCGCCAAGCCTCCAAGAGGTTCTTCTTTTTTGGCAATTCTTTGGCCAACTTTTTTGCCTCAAGCTGTTGTTCCCTGCTGCTCGCTGCTGGTGGTTCCGAAGAAAGATGCGCGCTTACACCTAAATGTACATGCATCAATCATGCATGTCATCTCCGCGGCAGTGTTGATATAGATTAAAACCCGCCGTTGTGGGCCATTGCAACAATGGCGAACGTGGAGGCGACACATCGGTTTGAGCGTGTTTAACGACAGCATTTAATATCTGCGGGGCGCAATGTAAAATTAACGGTACATATGCTGAGAACCTAATAATCAAGACCAGCTTTATTGGCTCGTTTCTGCTCCATCATTCTGTAACAAGCAGCAGCTAAAGAAGCTATGCAGGATTGCGAGTCTTTGGCCAGTGATGGCGACATGAGAGCAGCTGATTTCCGGCTTAGGTAACAGGACTAATATCCTATCAGATGGGCCAAATTCGCCCAATGTTCATGACGACATACCGAGTATAAGAGTCTCTAGCATTGTTTAGCCGATGGCGGAGTAATGATTTGTCAAACAAAATGATATGCCGATGGAAGCAAGCAAACAAATAAATTCGCTGTCACCGGCGATTATACACACACGATTAGACAAACCACCATATCCAGCATAAATCCCTACACCAAGGCATCTCTGCAGCCGAATTGGTTCTCACTAATCGCAAAAGCCAATCCAAATTCAAGATGGCCGCCGCCGCTGTTCAAGTTCCCAGACAGCCAGACATTTCATATGCCCCCGACTACGATAATTATCTCAGCCGTGTTAAACGTCGTCAGGAGAATGAAAAGCTAGAAAAGACCCTCCCGGAAGGTTTCCCTACCAAGCTTGAATCCGATCTAGTCTGGGATGGAAGGAATTTGGCCGAGTCATATGATTGGAACTACATCTTGACTGAGAGTGACATTGCCGAGATCGACGAGGCTCTTCGCCACTTCAAATGTGAGTCTATCAAACGAGCTCTCGGCCAATGAAGTTGGTGAAACAGAGGCTGATGCTCACATCATTATTAACAGCATTGAATCTGGGCCTGGGCTACATCACCCAAGAGACATTTCCACTACCAAAGTTGCATGCTACCCTACGAGAGATCTCCAAAGAGGTTCATCTGGGTCACGGCTTCAAGGTTGTCAAGGGTGTGCCTGTTGATAACTACAGTCGTGAAGACAATGTCGCAATCTATGCTGGTATTGCCTCTCACATTGCACCTATCCGAGGCCGCCAAGATTACCAATGGGATGGAAAGCCAGCCGACGTGGTCCTTGCACATATCAAAGATCTCAGCCAGGAGATTGATCCCCACAAGATAGGCGCGCCGGCCTACACGACCGACAAACAGGTTTTCCACACAGATTCTGGAGACGTAATTGCTCTCTTTGCTTTGGGAGAGCCGGAAGAAGGTGGCCAGAGCTTCTTGTCCAGCAGCTGGCATGTATACAACGAGCTCGCGGCCAACCGCCCCGATCTTATTCGCACCTTATCTGAGCCTTGGGCAGTCGATGAGTAAGTGAATCTTGATGTTAAGAGGGCTTCACAACAAACAGATTCATGTAGATCCCGCTGCTAACTCATCTTCCCTAAAGATTTGGAAAGCGTGGCAGGACACATACGCTGAGACCTCTTCTATATTTCCAGCCAGCCACAGAGGATGCCCCTCAACGTATGATCATTCAATACGCACGACGAACCTTCACCGGATATTGGGGGCTTCCTCGATCAACTGAGATTCCCCCGATTACTGAGGCCCAAGCCGAGGCACTGGATGCATTGCACTTCACAGCCGAAAAATACCGCGCTGCGCTTGACTTCCACAAGGGTGACATTCAGTTTGCCAACAACTTGAGCATCTTCCATGCTCGTGAGAAATTCCGAGACTCGGCGGAGAAAAAGTGAGTGATAGATGCCACAAAGGAATTTTGAGATTTGACACCACGCATCTCTGCTAATAATGCATTATTGATAGACGCCATCTCATTCGTCTTTGGCTACGCGACCCCGAGCTAGCATGGAAGACACCCGAGCCGCTGAATGAGAACTGGGACAGGGTTTACAAAGATGTTAAGCCTGAGAATACTGTTTTCCCTTTAGAACCAAGAGTCCGCAGCGCCAGTGATGGGACTGCTAAAAAGTATGAGTAGAGGAGAAATGCATGGAGATTCTAGAAAGGGTTATTGGCCCACAATAACCCACGGCGGGCGGGCAGCCTTTTCACACCCATTGTAAGGGTTGTTTCTAAGGATGGATGTTTATTACTACAGAATGTTTCAGCTTTAGACAGCTTCATCCAACAATGTTCAGCCTCCTTAGGTCGTCTTTCGTAAAGATTAAGCTCATGTCGCCTTACATCTTCCTAAAATGGCATGACCTCTACTATTACCTATATTGTTAAATCTGTGCTGGTCCCAGATCGTAGCATCCAGACTAGGTCGCAGGCTGATCGTTCCCACAAATCACTTGCACATGCATTATCAGCTTGCATAATCGTCTACCAACACACTAGGTCAAGGCCTGTAACAAAATCCTGGTACCACATCACATCACAATTGCGAATATGGCGACATTCTACGCAAACCTCTCAGAAAAAGCTCCTCATCTGCAGCTTCAGGGTATTTTCGGGCGTAACAACCAGGCCCCGAAGAAAGCTCCATATGGCGCTCTCCACGCTTGCTGAATGAGCCTATTCCCCCACACATCCCCCGAGCCGACAAAGCCTTGTATGGTTGTAATACATTCTAGTGCAATAACAGGCAAGGGACGATAAATGGTTTGCATGTAGTGTGTCGACACCCCTTGTATTTGGTTGCACATGCAGGCAAGGGTTCATGTAGTCTAGAAGTGAGTCCAGAGGTGGCTTAAGCAAAACATGGCGAGTTGGTAGCTACATCAATGGCGTTATCGGAGCCTTGTATCATCGCCATCAATGGTATCACATCCGCTAGTCATGAATACGGAGTGCCAAGTTTCCTCATTATAGCACGCAGTGGGCGAAGATCAGCTGCTTGTAGTAATTTATGGAGAGAGCTGAGTCTATGTGGCATTGCACAGCAGTAAAGACGAAAACAGCACGCTGAGACACAGCTCTAATTATTTAACCACGTCCCAAGTGTGTCATTTCACTCATTAATATATAGCAAGCTCATCGACAAGCCCTTGTAGCCAAGTATCTCTTGTTGAAAGCCATCCCTTAATACTGTCTGCTTCCTGATTATATCCAGTTGCTTCGGATACATTGAAACGCAATGCCGTCCTTCTGGCGGCGTCCTTTTCAGAGCAGTGAAGAATCTCAATCTACTGAAGTAGAAGAGAGGGGATCATCATCGGACAGTGATCCATCCGAGCTCATTGCCGGAGGCACGCATTATGTCGCAGGCAAAGCAGCCAACAACAAAGAGGTATCCTATCAAGATGCCTCTGGTGCACCCGTTGAAGAGTCATCGCCCTTAGGATATAATGTTGGGCCTATGACAATTCTGTTTCTGAACGTGAGTAAGATGATCGGCACAGGCATCTTCTCGACTCGTGAGCAAACTTCTTTCTCCACATCTCTTTCACGTAGAGGCTAAAAAGCATTGGCAGCCTCGAGCATTCTTTCCGGAACCGGCAGCATCGGTTTGAGTCTGATATGGTGGGCTCTTGGATTTTTAACTTCCACATGCGCGTTTTCTGTGTATCTCGAGTTCACATCCTATTTTCCTTCGCGGTCAGGAGCCGAGGTGGTGTATCTCGAGCAAGCATTCCCACGGCCGCGTTGGCTGATATCAACGGCGTTCGCTTTTCAGACAGTGATTTTGTCATTCAGCAGCGGAAACTGTTATGGTAAGATTCCAGTTAGTTTAAGCATGCAGCGCATGAATTGATAATGGAATTGGTAAATGGGAGCTGATATTAAATCTACCAACAGTTTTGGCTGAGTATATCTTCAAAATGTCAGATCACACCCCTACTGATTGGCAGTTGAAGGGAGTAGCTGTAGCTGGTTACACTGTTGCAGTCCTTGGTAAGTTCTTTTGAGCAATATAAAGAACGATGCGCAAAAAAAAAGAAAGAAAGAAAGAAAGAAAGAAAGAATAAATGAAAGAAAAAGGGCTTACCTAGTACAACAGCTGTGATTTTGCACAACAGACATGCGTATCACTTCGCCAACGTGGTCGGTTTCATCAAAATTTCCACGCTGCTCTTCATATCCATTACAGGATTCGTAGTCCTTGGAGGGCACACCCGCGTTAAGAATCCGACGGCCAATTTTCAAAATTCTTTTCAGGGAAAAGCTACTGCTTACGGAACAACAAACAGTTTATACAAAATTATTTTCTCCTATGCTGGATTCGAAAACTCTTTCAACGTTGCCAATGAAGTCAAGGTCTGCCTTAAAGTCGCATTTCATGGATAACCATGACGTTTATCTTTCTAACAATTTCTCGCAGAATCCCGTGAAGAAAATTCGTCGCAATGGCTTCATTGCCATATGCACAGTTACAGTTCTATACATTTTGACGGTTGTTGCCTATTATTCTGCCGGTAAGTAACAAGATATAAATGAAAGACCCATTCCATCTCTAATATGAGACCTATAGTTCCGAAAGAAGACATTGTGGGCGGCAAGCTAACTGTCGCCAATCTATTTTTCATAAATGTCTTTGGAGACAGCAAGGGTATTAGGGCTCTCAACTTCTTGATTGCAATCAGTGCTTTTGGCAATCTGGTGGCCGTATTAATCGGATCCTCGAGGGTTATTCGTGAATGCGGTCGACAAGGTGTCCTCCCATTCACCAAATTTTGGGTTTCAACTTATCCATTCGGTACCGCCCTTGGACCATACCTGTTCAAATATGTCATTACTCTCGTAATGATCTTAGCACCCCCTGCTGGAGATGCCTTCAACTTTGGTATGTAATCAAGTAGCTCTATCTTTGGTTTGCCGCTTTTCTTCTCTTAATACTAATCAAGCTTGCAGTTACTGACCTCGGTGTGTACCCTGGCTCTTTCTTTGACTTCTTAATGAGTGTTGGTCTTCTTATTGTACGACATAAGCGAAAAGCCCTCAATTTGCCAAGGCCTGTGTTCAAAGCCTGGGATATCGCTATTTATTTCAGTATTCTCAAGAATCTCTACCTACTCATCATGCCGTGGTACCCTCCTGCAGGAGGAGCAACTGGTGGCGACGTTAGCTTCTGGTACGCTACGTATGTAGTTACCTCTGTCGGCATGTAAGTTGCAATTCAGCATACAGTGGCAGTTTTGGCAGTTCAGGTGCTAATGTTCTTAAAGCCTCGTGGGCTGTGCGGCCTATTTTTGGCTTTGGGTTCACGGCATTCCTCGTCTCCGAGGTTACAAAATCCGAGAAGAAGTGGTTACCCTCGATGATGGTGCAAAGAGTCATAAACTGGTCAAAGTGCCAAATTCTGAAATCGAGGAGTGGGACAAGAAGCACGACCATGCTGGACGCATCATCACAGAGGCTATTGATCCAGTCGACGAGGCACAGAGTAAAATCTTGATTGCAGGAAAGGATGGCACTTTGTCTACCACACAATAAGTTATGTGGCTACCTAGAATTATCGACTCATTTGTCCATTTTAATCCACCAGAGTTTCATCTAGCTCCATGATGAATGGAGGCTACTTATTTGCTTCAAAAGATGAGCCCCGGGCATCCGGTACTGACTGAGATTGGTTACCACTTAATAAGAATGGGGGCCACGCCTTTCGAGACGTCTCAGCCGCCACTCTCTTTAGTACTATGCGGCAACTTAGATCCATGATGATTGCTGAATCTCTCTGTCTAGGCAGAATCGATAATTTTGAGCTCAGACCGGCATACGTGGCGAAGCTGTGCCTCTTTGATGCAAACGCACACCGCTATTGCAGCCACAATTCCCCCTTACTTCCAAAGGTCGAAATAAGTTGCGTGACTGGCAATTCTTGGCACCAGTTGGCCTTTGGACGCGTAAGCCTTATGCCTGTCATATGCACATCTTCTTCTTTCGTTGCCTCTTATATGTAATACTGAGGCTCTGGAAATAATGGCAGAGGTAGGTGCGTGTAACACGTTGCAGCAAACCCTGTTTCATTAATAGCCCTTGCTATGTGAGTGGCCTCAAAGGTTTGCACTTTACAGTTGAGCTTCTTGCGTAATAAGCCCTTACAGGGCTATCGGGTTTGATGGCAGTGCAATATGTGGCGGAAAATATTATCTGAAGGATATGCCAAGACTCGCCATCATCCTAATTGTTTCAAAAATCCCACTGGTGTTTGTTTGCAGCCCAAATCTTGGCAAAGTATCCTTTAGCTGAAATACCTTGATCTACCCAAACAATTAGCTTAACCGTTACTATTACTCGGTATGGAGTTGCTGGGAGAGTTGATCAATACTTTTCGGACTGATAGATCTACTTCCAACTAAGCGATAAAAAATGGTTGACCACGACTACTCAATCTCATAAAGATCTAGATGTAACAGAATTGAAACTTGTGTTGTTCAGTTCAAACTTTAGAAACATGCATCACATCGTTAGGCGATACAGACGTGCAGTACAAATAAGCTTAAAAGGTAGATCAGACAATTATCGGGTAGATCTCAATCCGACGTATACGACGGCCTGATCCGAGCGAGGAGGAATGCACGCCATCTGCGGGCACGCCTTTGCGCTTAGTTTCGAATAGTAATCAATTTACGCTCCTTTCAATCTACGCCAAGGCTCCCCCGCTGCGAATCATTGGCTACATGTACGCTATCTCCCGTGATATTTTCGGATTTGCGTCGCAGCTGAACATATTTCTTTTTGTTTTCCTCTTATCTGAGGGCCGTAAAACACGTTGGCAAGTCCTCTTACACGCCGCTACTTGGCGCCAAGGTTAGCTGAAAGAGCTGCAAGGATACAGATACGGATAGAGTCTTTTCTAACTAACTCAGCCTCCCAGCCCGAATACTTATGTAGAGACATGCTTGGCGCGCAAACAAACTGCAAATTAAGGTACATTAAAACCTAGATCAGAAATATAGTATGTACTCAGTAACTAAGTAACCATTACCCCTTACTGCTATTTTAAGCTTATACCATCTTTGCATCTTGTACAGTATACTAATACTAAACTCCCGGGAAAGGTAGGGTAGGTATTCTAGAGTTTTCTGGGATAGCTCGAGATATGCCAATAAGGACACAAGTCACATGTTGACGCTACAGTAGTCAAACATAGACTAAGGTAAGACAATCTACTATTACTACCCTTCACTGTCCCAAGGGCTGGCTTCAGATCCGGCAAGAGGGGTAGAACAGAAGAGGTGGAGGAGAGGTGGAGAGGGTGTAACTCCAGAAGATGTCAGTGCGTTGGTCAGCTGTTTGCCTGACACTGCATCTGAATGGCGTTCTTCCTCAGCGTCGTAGATGGCGTATAATGACGGTTCAGTAAACGAGCGTGGCCTAATAAGGCTTTTACGTCTTCATTTGAGAAGTCCATCTTATCAGCTAAACAGCAATATACATGATCGTAGCTAGCTTTGCTTGTTCACTTCGCTCTTCCCTCTTGGTTATACAGATATAGCCGTAAATCGTCAATGCGCACTTACCCAGGCATATATATGCGCCTTGCCGCAGAAGTGTCTTTGTCTTCCCGTTTCCGGCCGTCGACAGCGCTCGCCACACAGTTATACGCCTTCAAATGACGAATCAATTATTCCCAAAACGCCACACGTCAGTTCCCCGATGTTGTTGCGGCTTGGAGAAGTTGGGGGCTCGAGCTAAACACGGATCTTCAGCTGCCACTGCCTCGTAGCGAGAAATGATTGGCTTCCATACACATACTTGTTTGCACGAAACCTCCTTCTTGTCCTATTTTGATATATATAATGCTACTATCGCTTATCGTGGAGGGTCTGTGTGACTAAAGACCAAATCCCGATGGCTCTGGTTGAGGATAAGTGCTTTATGCATGAAGAAGTGGCCAATTCCCAATCAAGAAGTGTATGTAAAGGGGGAAGTGGCCAAGGGCGGGATGTGTATATAAATCAAGAACGCCCAAGCTAGATTACATTCATGCATGCAGCATCCAAGTCTTTATTTCATCAGTGACCAGCACGGCCTCAACACTAGTCAACATATCTGCTATTATTCTGGTCTCAACATCGTCTACAAGGCGCCTTCCTCTACTTTATTCATCTTTTCACTCCCATTCTGGCCGTCTGTTTCTAGATGCATCCAATTTGGGCGGAATTTGAGATACAATAGACGTTATGGCCCAGGTATTTGTGAGGGATGAACAACTGTGCAACCAATATGCGCAGTTTGCATCAGATTTAGACCGATGGCATTTTAAGATTATCTACTGGTTTATGTTCGTGCTGAATCTCATGATTCTATTCATTGCATCCTGGACATACACAAAGTACGTCATCTGCATTTCTCTCATTAGCCTATTGAAAGCTCGAGTAAAGTCATATACACAAAATGATATGCAAACTAACATACAATTCCAAATAACAGAGGTCAAGAAGCTATCGAACTATACAGTCATGAACCTCAGAGGCGTTCAAGAAGCCTAGTCAAGTATATGCTAATGTGTCTTGGTTGCGTAATCGTGTCGACGGCAATCGTTATTATGGAAGCCTTTGCTCTCCTGGCTCTGCAGTTTTGTGATGGCGAGAATCTGATATCCCTATACTGGTCTACGTGGACCATGACTCAAGTCGGATCGCTTATAGCGATGATGGGTATCATCCTTGCCATGGCACACTCGTTGAGAAACAGAAGGCATCCGTAAGTTACTTTACTCTCATAGTAGAATGGAATACAAAATACTAATCATCGCTTCAAGGCCATGGGCTCTTGCGTTAGGAACACCAGTCCTCGTTACCGCCGGCTTGTTGCACCTCGTTCACGACTGCATAATGAAGCGAATCAACAAGATCAAGGAAGGCCCTATAAGGAAGAATAGCGTTCTTTCTGTGAGCGAAGTGTAAGACAGTCTACTTATACACATTTACAGCTTTCACTCGCTAACAGGACTCGGCGGTGGTGTTTTAGGAATACTATTCAGGGAAACGTTGAAGATGACTTTGAGAGTTCGCCTTCAGTTCCGGGCGAATTCATAGGATTCACAGTGGATGGTGGCCCCATTGTCCGCTTCAGCAGTCCCATCCCCCTAAATCTCAACTCCGATAGTAGACCCGAGGTGCTAGGATATTACGATGGCACTCAACCTGTGATAGCATACAAAAGAGGATCCATCCAATTTTTGTCTACGCCATCAAAAGGCAAAACGCGCGACCAAAATGAGTCTCAGCCACCACAAGAGGAAAAATCGGCGGACAAGGCACAGGCAATTCTACCGGAGACTATTTAGAGAGCAGGGGTGATGAGGAGATTATGTATTTTCTGTTAGCTTTTTGACATATATACGCATGTAAAAACTGTTTTATATAATAGCTTTTGTCAATGCTTTTGAAAAAGCAATGCCAAAAGTATTAGAGTTGAAAATTCGAGTACAACTCTCTACCAGTTCTCATCTAGCCGGTCTATTGCCTCTCTCTCTGTGATATTCCAGTATCTATTGCACCGCTTTTGTATCAATGCTTTGACCTATTTCCCACTAGTCGAAAAGACACTGTAAATGCTCCGACGTGTAATACCTGGTTGACGAATAGCCCGCGACGCTATATTTACTATTATTGTTAATTAAAAAAGATGACACGATTTCTTTTTATTTACACTTTTTAGAGGCATTGTGAAATCTTAATTCTTAATCAATTCCTTAATGCATTACGAATCTGAAACGCTTATCGCTGTACATCTCTACAAGAGAGCCTCGCGGCTTTAATGATTCAGGATTCGAGCGCCAGGATACTTGGTTCGAATTGGTGTGACAAGCCGATGCACGATTCAAACGCAGACCTCGATAAGATCGCATCGTCATGAACAAGCGACGAATGCACACGACTATATAACGGTGGGAGTTGGAGTCTTGAAGCTGCGTGATGGTGTATTTATTGTATTCAATGCGATCTATGTGCGAGCAGGCTGCCAGTTTATCTACTGCAAAAGGAGCTTCTCCACGCAATATGCTCCCCCCCCCCCCCCCCGTCGTATTTACCTAGGCACAATTACCATCAGAAAAGCAAATACAAGTCTCTCAACGCCTCCCAGGTTGCCGCATGGAAATGATCTCTGCGACTATTTGTTTTACCTACCTATGCTTGGTGCAGCATATTAGATGTGCCAGTGACAAGCTGCACGATGGAGGGGTCAGGCAAAAAGAGGTAGCATCGACATGTGATCATGGCGGGGCAAAAAGCCGCCGCGCTCCGTTGATCGGCGCCTTTGCTGGAAGCTGCGCGCAACATTTCCATCTCCATCTTACAAATCAGCCGCCGAGAGCAATTCGCAAAAGCATCCTCCTGGCCTCTCTGGTCAGCGCTTCTGATGCGCTTCGCTGCGCCATCTCCGCATAGAGTAAGCAGAGCAGCAGAATCATCATGGGCTTGGAGAAAGTCAAGCACATTGTGCTGGTACGTCCAACAGTCCCCAGAAGCACCGCCGCATCCCATCCATCGTATCATATCGTTCACTTGACATGCAACACTGGCGGGGCATCAGATAAACTGACCTGCGTTTTACGGTTTCCAGGTGCTGTCCGGCAAAGGAGGCGTGGGCAAGTCTTCGGTGACGACGCAGCTGGCCCTGTCCCTCACACTCGCAGGCCACTCGGTGGGCATCCTCGATGTCGATCTGACCGGCCCGTCCATCCCGCGCATGCTATCGATCGAAGCGTCCAAGGTCACTCAGGTGCCAGGAGGATGGGCGCCGGTTACTGTCCACGAGGCCGATCCGGAGAAGGGAGTGGGCAGCCTGCACGCCATGAGCCTAGGGTTCCTGCTGCCCAAGCGAGGCGACGCAGTGGTTTGGAGAGGCCCGAAGAAGACGGCCATGATTCGACAGTTCCTCAAGGATGTGCTGTGGGACGAGACGGAATACCTACTCATCGACACGCCGCCGGGAACCAGTGACGAGCACATTTCGCTGGCCGAATCGCTACAAAAGGACGCTCGGCCGGGTCAGGTGGCCGGCGCTGTGGTTGTTACGACGCCGCAGGCGGTGGCGACCGCGGACGTGCGCAAAGAGCTAAACTTCTGCGTCAAGACCGGCATTCGCGTGCTTGGAGTGGTGGAGAACATGAGCGGCTTCGTGTGCCCGCACTGCTCAGAGTGCACCGATATCTTCGGATCCGGGGGCGGACGGTCCATGGCAGAGGAGTTTAGGGTGCCTTTTCTGGGCTCCGTACCGATCGATACGCAGTTTATTGCTCTCGTGGAAGAGGGCAAGCGACCATTTTATCCAGTGGGCACAGTAGTGAACGGCCGGGACATTTCAACGGCGCCGTCAGAGGGCGGCGAGAAACAGGACAGCAAAGATGACGGGACACTGGTGGACAAGTACAGGGACTGTTCGCTCTTCCACATCTTTGCAGGCATCACCACACAGGTTGGGGAGAAGATTGCCGGGATAGAGAATACATGAATCTGTGTTACGCCTACACTTGTCGGCCAGTCCCTGGTGGTTTGCGGCAGTGCAATATGCAGTAGCGAGGCTGTGGCTAGCCGTGAGCGCCGTGAGCGCCGTGAGACATCCACATGTCCCTTTGGAGATGGCGGGCGCTTCCGCAATGTTTGCTGCCTGCTTACATGTGGTCTTTATTATGTACATGGTGAGGGACTTCTGTCAGCAAGCCGTGGTAGCACCTTGTAGTCAGTCGTCGAGATGCTGCCCATGGGTAGGTAGCTGTGCCAGATGCGACTTTGTCAAGGAAGAGCCGAATGCCATTAATAGGAGCCGGTGATTTACATGCGTTTATTCAGCTACATCGCCAAATCTTCATTTATTCTCTGTCAGATGCCCACGTAGAATATGGCAAGCAATATCAATGGCGTACAACAGATCTGTCTAGCCCACAGCAGTAAAGCATGAAACTCAATTGCTCGGTCCTAGATGGCGCAATCACCGACGGCGGTGAAAGAGTCGCTGTAGCATGTATTAGCATTCCCTCAGCAAAGCAAGTCTTGGTGGACGGCATCAAATTCTGGGAGTCTGCCTAGTAATATTCACAGCTTCAATTTCGTCATCCGAAAGCCACTGCAAGTCGCGAGGCAGCGGCGTTTATTACTGCACAGCCTGTTTCTTGTTCCGGCGGCCACCCCGCCATCCTGCCCAGCCAATACCGCAATGTGATTGGCCAGCGAAAGGAACATTACGTATCTTGCCAATGCATGTACCTGGCCATCAATTGTGGGTACCTCGAGAAAAAAAAATCACAGATTGTGAGCTGCAGCTGTCATTGAGTATGTGCAGCTGCAACACCAGGATGATTTGCAGATGGGCGAGCAGAGCACAGAATAATTTTTTTTTTTTAAGATGACTCGTAACTCTCACACATACGGTCTGCCAAACTGTCTTTTGTCTCGTGTTTTTGTCTGAGCCATAATATTACGTCGTAGCCAATGTAGGGAGAGCCTCGTCGTTTGCAGCTCTTGTTTCAATAGTTTTTTGCCTTTCCCCCCCCCATTGAACGCCTTGCGTGGTAGTGGAGACCTGCGCTGCGAAAATGTACCTGGCAGTACCTGCACAGACCCGGGGGCCAGGCCTCCTAGCGCCGCAGCCAAGTATTGCAGCGTACCCATCACCGACTCCCGATTGGGCTGCGTCGAGCATCACACAAACACAACCCTCGCGGCCAAAATCAAAATCCAAACCCGCACAAACAGTTGCAAAACCCTGTTCCCGCCGCCTGCTGTCCGCGCCTTACCGTCCATCCTGCGTCCATCGCCGGGGCATCCACTCTCCACTAGCCACTGCGTCTGCCGGCCAACTAGCGACACGTCTCGTCCCCGCGGGGAGATAGAGCGATAAAAAAAAAAAAAAACTAGGCAAAAATATCGCCCTACTTACTGCTTGCGCCTCCAATCTGCTCGCAGCAGCACCGCCTATCCGCGTACCGTCACACGACCGCTCGTCCATTCGGGAACAGCCTCTTACAGCTCTTCTCTGGTGATTTTACATTGCTGGATATGAGTAGCTAGACGCTCTGCCTGTCCTCGAAAGACACTCTCAACCGGCCGCTTCTTGCAGTGGCCTGACTGACCCTCCTCTGGTTCTTCCCTTGGCCTTCTATGCGATCAACTGATCTCTTGCGATTCCTCTTTTCGCGACCTTCCAAGTATGTTGTGGCTCATGCTTACTTGCTGGCTTCTCCATCTTGAGCTGCCAGAGCTCCATCTATGAATCGGCATGCTCGTGTGTGCACGTTCAAGAGCTGACCCTGCTTCTCTGTCCAGGCCCCGATAGCACCCCTTCAAGCAACACAGATATTGAATAGCTTCCAAATTACGCCCCGTCTATACCAGTCCAACCACCGCTCTCGGTACTTCTCCCCAGGCATCGGGAAATACAGCACTCCGCGCAACATTTCGCCACAGAAACGCTTCTTCTACCCTCTCTGTCCTCAGCCTCCTTGACGTCTTTCTACAGACGTTAGGCATTCCTACTCTATCCCCCATTGCTGCTGGCTTCCGCCAGCGTCGTTGGACTCACCACATTCCTGTGGGCCTACTCTCTCAAGCAGACGCCGCAAAGTCTGTTTGAGTGGCAGCTAGTGCTCCGCGGACTCGTCGTCAGAGGGGCATTGCAGCGTTTTCTCTCAACCGTTGTTTCTGCTATTGGCTACTTGCAGTAGCTGCACAGTCATTAGCAACAATGGCCAATCTTTCAGTCCCCAATAATTACACCTTTTCCCCTTCCTCGGCAACCCACTTGACAATCAACCACGATGTTGCTGCCGAGTTGGACTCCACTTATGCCTTTGAAGGTACGTTGCTTCCATCAGCATTCACTTACAATCTCTTCTGTCCCAAGGATTTGTCGACTGATTCGTAAATAACCAGGGCCTGAAAAGCTGCTAGAGGTGTGGTTTGCGCCCAGCGCTTCGGCACTGCCCACAGGCGCGCGACCTAATGGTCTCAAAGCTGTGGCTGCTGATACTTGGGTGTCCATGCTTGACATGGTCAACTGCAAGATCCTCTCCGTTCTCGAGTCTGAGACTGTGGACGCCTATCTTCTCTCCGAGTCTAGCATGTTCGTCTTCCCCCACAAGCTCATCCTGAAGACTTGCGGCACCACTACCCTTCTCCTGGGACTCCAGCGCATGCTCCACATTGCTGCTGAGCATGCAGGCTTCACTTTTGGCAACGCTGCGTCTGCCACGGAAATCAAGGCCATTGCCACTCCTTACCGCGTCTTCTACAGCCGTAAGAATTTCCTCTTCCCCGACAAGCAGCATGGCCCCCACCGCAGCTGGAAGCAGGAGGTTAAGTACTTGGACGACATGTTTGACGGCGGCAGCGCCTACATGGTTGGAAAGATGAACGGTGACCACTGGTATCTCTATATCACGTCCCCGAACCGAATGTTCACTCCACCCTTGACTCCTGACTCGGAGAGCAATGAGGTGGCTCCAACCAGCTTCACAATTCCCGCCAGCTTTGGCAAAATGGGATCTGTGGCAAATGCCTCTGACGAGACGCTCGAGATCTTGATGACGGACCTCGATCCGGAGAATGCCAAGCAGTTCTACTTGTCACACGCGAGTGCGGTCGCGTGTGATAAGATGTCCGCTGAAGCCAAAAAGGCTCGCCACGATGCTGTTGACAGCCTTGGTGGACTCTCGACTCCTCTTGAGGAGGTGGACGTTTTTGCTGACGGCATCGAATCCGATTTGCATGAGCCGTGCGAGAAGCTCAATGAGATTGAGGCTTTGACTACTGAGGGCCACGCCCTGGGCACGGTCGTGACGGAGCAATGTGGACTCGCCGATGTGTACCCTACCTCGGTCTATCCAGATGCCCGCATTGATTCCTACCTCTTCAGCCCATGCGGTTTCTCTGCCAACGCCATCATCCCTCCTCCCCCCTCTGCTCAGGAGGAGAGCCAGGGCGGCAGCAATGCCGGACACTACTTCAGTGTCCACGTAACCCCCGAGACCGGCTTCTCGTTTGCTTCCTTCGAGACCAACGTTCCAGGAGGTCAGAGCGGACGCACCACCGCCGAGATCATCGAGCACGTCGTTGAGATCTTCAAGCCGGGCCGCTTTAGCGTCACCTTGTTCGAGGCCAAGGGCCGTGGCGATAACCCCTATGGCTTGGCGAACCCCGATTCCAAGGGTGCTGCGGCTCTGCGACTTGTTGATTCCGTGCGCGGATACCGCCGCATTGATCGCATTGTGCATGATTTCGAGGACTACGACCTCGTCTTCCGCTTTTATGAGCGCGAAGGATGGGCTGGAGACAAGAAGGCACGTGTGGGCGAGGAGATGTAACTGGGATGCCAGCTTGTGATGAGGTCCAGGCGGCTACAGTGGGATGTAGAAAAGATGTGTTGGATTTGGGCTGGGTCTTGAGAAGATGCTCTCTCAGTTTCATTCTGGACATTCCTTTTTGGGGGGGAGACGAATTTCTTTTCACCCTCTTATTTTGAATATTGGTTTTTAGTTTTGGCACCGTTGGCCGAAGTTATTTGTAGTTTTTGCATAGTCTGTTGCTTACTCGTTCATTGAAAAGATGTCAACTTCCAAGTTTGATGATTTGCTATTTTGACGTCGTTCTCTTGAAAGTGACCAGTATCAATATAAATACATGCGAGTATTATAATAATTGCAAGTATTGTTAATGTACAGAGTAATCCGTCCTAGACTCTTCAGCTTTGGAGGAATTGATCACAGTTGGCCGTTCTAGTACTAGTGCCGTGTTCTTATCGATAACAGCGACCTCCACTCACCAATTTTTTTCGCCCAGGGCCAGCAGCGCATCACGGAAAACTTCATCCTCGCTCCTCGCCAAGCATACGAATCAGTGACCAATTGGTGCGCCACATCACGTCCTGTGTCCACCATAATCCCCCCTCTACTACCGTCTCATCGATCAAATCCACCTTCGAACCGTCAAATCCAACCGCCCACCATGCATCTGATGTACACCCTCGACGCCAGCGGCAACCGCCTCTACACCCTCAAGAAGGTCGCCCACGGCCAGGTCACCAAGTCTGCGCACCCTGCGCGCTTCTCGCCCGATGACAAGTGGTCTCGCCAGCGTGTTACGCTGAAGCGCAGATTTGCTCTGCTCCTGACCCAGCAGAGTGAGTGAAGCCTCGTGCAGTTTTTGCTGTTGCAAGAATTTAATTTTTTTTCTTTTTATTCGTTATTTTTTTTTTAAACTCCTTTGTCTAACGCTCTTATGTCCAGAGGCTGAGGCTATGTAAATCTGCGGCATTGAAATGCCATCGAGGCAATCAGCAAGCCATAGGCAACTCGCTTGAGAGAGAGCCCATAATGAGCACATCTTCTTTTGAAGCAACTTCAATCACCGACAACACTCTCTACGGCTTCCAACAAGAGATGAACGGGCTTTGATAGAATACGCGGGCGAGCACTGGAGCAGGAGGAACTGCACGACAAGAGACTGCCTCGGAAGTTGCAGGCAAGTCTGGCAAAGAAGAGCTTTTTTCGACTGAATGGAGGGGGGAGGCAGTTCGGGGAAAAAAAAAAAAAAAAAAAAAAGACCATCTGGGATTGGATAAACTTCTCTTTTTTCTCCATGATTGGGAAGGGAATTTGGCGTTTCTTAGGCGACTGGTAGTGGGAGATTCTATGTTTCATATCAGCTGTTTACGTATTTCTTGGGCACATTTGCATCTACGCAAGATTAAAAAAAAATACAAGCCTCATCAAGAGGAACATACAAGCAATTTACTGGCTATTTTTTCACCTCGTCTTGAATTTTCACCATCGTGGTTATTGAATTTGCAATTGCTTTTTTTTGCCGTCTATCTTGATCCATTTTTTCCCCCCAGTCTCATTCATTACTCTTTATATACAAGTCCAGCCAGCCAATATCCCATCTCCATTTACCTCTTCCGCCTCGAGTTCACGTTTCGCCCAGCACCAACCTTGATCTTACCACCCGCCCCAGACCTGTGACCAGTCAAAAGGCCCGGCAAGAAATCATCGTCCATGAGGTCCTTCTTCCTCTGTCTGCGCTGTTCATCCAAGGCCTTGGTATGCTCCTTCTGGTCCTCAGCCAAGATCAAATCTCTGCCCCAGTTATTCTTGCCGCCCACGTTCTTGGGCAGTCTTCCGTTGGCGCTGCCATGGACCGGCTTCGGCACGCTAAACACATTTCCCCTCGTGTTCCATTGGAAGCCCTGCTTGAGGTGGATCTTGAAGTTTCCATGCTGGTCCGTTGAGCAGCTCGTCCTGGTAAGAGTGCTCTGGCCGCACTTGGGGCAGAATTGCTTGTCCATGTCCTTGGTGATGTTGAAGCAGCCATGGCAGCGTAGCACCCACGTCTTGAGATATGTGATGCGAGATAGGGACGGTGTGACGAGGTTGAGGTTGATGCGCAGCGCAACGTTTTGCATGGCGTAATCGGAGGTCAGGATGGCAGCCTGCAGAGTTTTGGGAGGGCCATTGTCGTTGGTGCCATTTGCGCCAGAGTCCTTGGCCTGCTGCTTCTTGAGATTGGAGGGAGTGATCCAGCCTTCGTCATCAGAGTCTTCTGACGCCTCTTCGGGCTGTTCTTCAGACTGTGCTGCCGGGGAAGAGGCCTCAGGAGCGTTCTCGACGGCTGCTGGTGTGCTGGACTCCTCAGCTTGCTCTTCACTGCTGCCCGAGGCTCCCAGGCTCAGAGTCTGCATATCATCGTTGAGTTTTGTCTCGGCATCTAGCTGAGGCTGTGACTCTGTTTGGACATCAGCGGCTTCCGGGCTCTGTTGGGAATCAGTCTGCTGAGCTTCCTCTGTTTGCTCCGGCTTCTTTTGTTCTTCTTCCGTCGTCTGCTTATTTTGCTGTGGCCGTCCGTTCACACTTTTCTGACCCGGTGTATTCCTCAGTCTCCAATCGCCGCCATTCCTCTCGCACTCTAGCTCGTATCCCAGCGCGAGCACCTCCATATCTGGCTTGCTGAGCACTCCATAGTCACCAGTCTTCTTCGCAAAGTCGGCAATAAACTTTAGGCTTTCTGGTCTTGGGGATCGTATAGTGACAAACGGTAGCAGCGTCGTTTCGACTCGAGAGCGAGTCGCGGCGTCGCGGATTTCGCTGATGATGTTGGGGAGGGTGTATAGCTTTTCGGCTTTGGAGATGAGGACGCTGGCAGGAGGATCGTTCTTGATCAATGGACCGGTATCCAGGACAAGGCTGTGAATCGGTTTGAACGTTGCGACAGCGGGAGTCGCAGATGGCTCGGTGGGTTGAGCCGGCGGAGTTGCCATGATGGCGTCCTGTATAGCGATTTGGCAAGAGATCTTCGAACCTTTTGGGGCCAGTATTTCAAGTCGCAAAGTATTTTTGAATCTATTTTAATGGCAAATTTGCACAAGGGAGCAGGATCCGGGCTGCTATGGCTGAAAAAAAAAATTGGCTTTGGAGATGCTTGTATGTCGCTTTTTTGGAGGGGCAATATCGCTACACACAAAATTTAGATGCCGATAAGATAAGAATTGTGAGACTGCCAAAGCGCCAAGCGGAAAGCACGTGCACAGGCTGAGCCGCTTCATACTGCATTCACTAGCCTAGTAGACTCGAGTTCTCAGCATGCAACGTATTCAGCTACCTACCCTATACCTCCCGTCTATTTTTTACATCTTTTTTGTATTTTCTTACAATCAAACTTGTACATAATGGAAAAAGAGGAACAGGTAGATTTACGGCTAAAAAGTCATCATTCCCCTCGAATTAGCATCTCTAATATCTGACTAGTGTGCCCTGCTTTGCGGGGGGGTCGCATCGCGAGGCGAGGTTGGGGAGACATGGGTTAAAGGGCGTGGAATACAAGATTCTAAACTATCACAGCAACCCTCCAACTTCTGGGGTGAACGCACGTAAATGGAGCTTTGAATTTAGAGAGTAGAAAACAGCAGATATGCAAGCAAGGAAGGTCTTACGGGCTTGTTTACCCGATTACACGTATCCTACTACATGCAAGGTCGCATGATAATCAGACGATGAGTTTGATATGTATCAGACAGCAGCTCCTGTAAGTGTGTCGAGCAGTCGCTTATCTGTTAACCCATGCAAATTCATAGACAGGCCTTGAAAATGATCAGCACTTGGCTCGGAATTTGCTTCCTGTTTACGGGATACGAGAGAGATAGCGTGTTGCACTAAATGCATGATTCCATGATTCCATTTCAAAGCTGAGGTGGATGGTTCTATTCTTGATGCAACGCTATTCATGCTATATCCAATCTGGTTTACTGTACTCCCTGTCTAGGATGATGTTTTACCCTGCCTCTTATCTCTGTTCTTCTCTGTTCACAGCTTGGGTGTTGGTTCTTCACTGGTGGAACTGGGCCGAGTATACGCACCGGCATAGAACCAAAAAAAAAAAAAAAATGACTGGAGTTGCCACTTCCCTGTTGCTGGATGGTCTGTTCGACGCCCTTTCATTTATTGAATGGTGAGAAAATTTCAATTCCACTTGAGACGAGCTACATATCATCGGCTGCGTATGTGTTACATGTACATGTATGCACGGTGGTCCATGCATTGACTATTGATGTCTGCCTGTCCTAGTGTAGCGATTATGCGACACACGGGATATATCGGGCAGCTTCCTTTGGCGTAACAAGGATCAAAATCATTCGCTGCATTAGCTGAGAAGTTTCCATTTGTTCGAGAATGTTTCGGGCGCGTTGCTCGCCACCCGGAAGCACCCAGATCGCATGTAACCTGTCCGGATTGAGTAAGAAAAATCGGCGAAGGATGCTTCGATCAGAGCTGGTGCAACGATCATTGTTCTGAGGAGGCTAATGCATGACGTGGAACGATCTGTGCTGCGTGCGTGGTATTTTGAAACAATGTTGAGTAATGCCCATGGGGAACGCCGGCGGAGCTCACTACTCTATCTAAGGGTCGACTCCATAGGCTCTCGGAACAACGAATGACGAACAAGGCTATTACGAAACTTTGAAAAGGCATGCAAGGAGCGCCTCGAGGATCTTTCTGGGGTTGGAGAACCCCAGAGTATCGATTGAATAATGTTCTGTCATTTGAATGCCCGCACCACGCTACCCCAACCTGACTGGAGCCCTCATTACGATTCCTCCAATAGAAGCAAGACAAAGTTGGAGCTGGAGTTGGGGTCGTCCATGTGGAGAGAGAAATTGCCTCGTTCCGTCCGCTTCTCAAAGGTAATTTGACCTCCGCCACAGTGTGTTTCCCTCGAATCTCTTTTTTTGCCTCTTGCCTAAGTCACCAGCCCCATGTAGAGGGCGTGGAGAACACGCGGTCTGCAACGCCATGTTTTACGCATCTTTATTACACGTATCTGGATGGTTCAACAGCCGGCGGCTTAAGGCAGGGGGCAGGATATGTCACGGTGCTCGTCCGTGATGCTACGCAGGCCAGGGCTTCTCGGGCCTGTGCTCAATACGGCGAAATGGCAGACATGGGATGGCGGCTGATGAAGACTGGAGCGTGCGACTGGGCCACCAATAACAAGAATGATGGCAGAATGAGGCGGACCAATGTGATTCCCGCTGTTCCGCGTCGCCCGCCTGCAATGGTGGTGGATGGGAGGGGGAGGAGACGCGCGCATATTACTGTATATACTACTATGTAACTAGTAGATAGGTAGGTATGTAGGGATTACAGCTTTCACACTCACACTCCCACTCCCACTCCCACACCGTACTCCGATAGAGTCGGGATATGCGTCTCGAAACGGGTACGGCAGTTGCTGGACGGGCGTTTCAATGTCAGCTGCTCGGCATGGCCTGAAGCTGCTTCAAATGTGCTAAAAAAAAAAAAACAGGCAAAACTAGCCCATCCATGGTGCGCTGATGAAGGTTACGGCGACTGCGAACAACACAACAATTAGGCACAGTAATACGAACGTGAGTTTGGAATAGCCCCGTTAGGCAGCTTTCGAGAAGGCGCGTGGAAGTGATCGCCGGCAGTAGCGTCGCCGCACTAGGCCGCAAAGGGCCACTGGCTGGAGGGGTGCTGCTGCAGGCGGCTGGGAGTGAGAAAACCGAGCGAGATCCATCAGCCTGCGAGCCAGCGGTGGCTGGAGATGGATGGGTTTGCACAGCGGCTCGGCCCCCGTAAGGTTCGCTAGGAGGCCCCCGGGGTAATGCTAGGCCTGCTGGAAGCAGCAGCGCTAGGCGAGGCGCTGGCCACGACTGGCTTGACACCGCCGGTGCCTGCTAGCGGCACTGCTAGGCGTGCCAGGCGGCCTGCGCGCATGTACCGGCGCGGACAATTTGGGCTCCGTTCCCACTGCAATCGCCAGGCCGGGTACAAGCCCTGCGCTGCTCATGCCTGGCGCGGCCGAGCGAGGCTTGCGCAAGGCACGAACTTGGCGGCCGGCACTCAGTGCCGCAAGGTGGTGTGCAGAAGCGCTCTGCCGATGACTAAGATCGGTCGGCAGTCTCAACCAAGGCAATTTTTTTTTTCCCGAAACAAGCCAGAAGGTTCAAGGCCGGTTTTGGCTGCGTCTAGCCCTGGGAGCGAATCTGCGTTTGCGCCACCCGCGCCGCATTACTCGCATTTGATCGACCGGACGAAAAGAGCAAGAAAAAGAGAGTCGGGCTCTGGTCCCTGCGCGGCCAGGCTCGCCATTGTCAGTCCGGATGGATCCCCCAGAGCAGCACTTGTTCTGGAGACTGTCCGTGTCTGGGCACTCATACGAGAATTCCGCGTGGTCACAGCGTTCGCCTCCCTCGACGAGGCATTATTCGAGCAAAAACCTGGTCGCCCGAGCCATCTCCGCTGGCCTGTTGACACATCGAAACTGGCCCTGAGTCGCAGCGGGCTCCATCTCGCAGAGTCGCAGCGAAAGCACAGTGGCCGGACGATGGCCTCAGTGGGCTCGCGGTGGAGATGCGATGGAACCTGCGGTGGGCTGCATCAGTGGCTTCGGTGGGCCGCGGTGGACCGCTAGGGCAGGGGGCCCGCTATTACGGCGTCCACACTGAGGGCAGGGCTGCACATCCGTCCTATCACAATGACGTTTGCGGGCTTGCGCAGAGAATGACACGGCCGCGCGAGGAACGAAGAAAAAATCTTGACGACGAGCGGTCCACTTGGCAGAAACTCGCTTCCATCACAAAACCGCAATCCACCGCGAAACTCTCGGCCGTCAGTCATTTCACTGATTTCCGCTTCTGTTCAGGGTTCCGCATGGACCCGGCACGCACGGCAGGGTCCTGCTCCCTTGAGATCACGTCAATGTGCGTGCGAGATTGATTCTGCTCCCGGTTTGTGCTGGCCACGATGGCTTCTTTTTACGTACAAGATTGCGGAGAAGCGTTTCCGACACGCCAGATGCTGTCGATTGTCGTTTTGCGGGGGGTCTGGGGTAAAGGTCCCGAGCAGGCAAATAGGGGACTGTGACGATGCATCATGTATATGGATGGATGGATGGATGGACATTGGATGCCTCGTGAGTGGAAGTGGGAGCCGAGCCGAGCTGAGCTGACCCGGACTGAGGCTGGACCGTGTGTCTCTCCCTGCAGCAGATGAGCTTCGCATATCATGGTCGGAGCACATGAGTTGGGCAAAGTGGAGGGTCTGCCAGCGAGCGACAGTCTAGATTGCCCGCCCATTTCAAAACACTCAGAATGGGTTCGCGGTTTCTCTCTTATCTATGGAGAAGAGCAAGAGCCTGCAATACCGAACCTCGGAGCCCTCGCCGGGCCAGGAATGTTGGCAACGCCTCTCCTTAGGGCATCCATCGTACGAGGAGGAACCGACTCTTCGCGAGATCCGGTGGCCGGAGGCTATCTGGGAGGCGCCCATCTCAGAGGAGCCTATCCCAAAGCCGGGATTCTGTGATACGCCCACCCCGGACGTGGCGTTTCTGCGCCGACACCACGGCCACCCCGGTTTCGCCTCTTCTGGCGCTGCTCAATGCAGACTTTGGCAACTCTATGCTATTAGCTTATTCGACGATGGTTGCTTGGTTGTTTGCCCTTGCTCCATCTTCGGCCCTTTGTGGACTGGGCTGGCCATTGATAACGAGCCCTTACCAACTTGGACGTGAGCAAAAAAGGGCACGTAATGACTGACTGGCCGCTCTTTGGGGATCGACCTCGGATCTGCACAAACCACCTTGGCTGGGTATTAAACTTCCCTCGTTCGCCTCCACCTCCGCACTTTTTTCCCATCTCGCTTCCTCTTTCACTCTTCCAACCCTTTCCTCAACAACAACGGCGGGCTATATAGACCTGGGTATCTCGTCTGTTCTTGGCCTGGGATAGAGAGCCTCAGCTTGATTTTCTTTTCTTGCTCCTTTCCCTTATACCTGATACCCAATCACAGTCTTTACTCATCTCTCAATCTTTGATACCCCAGTATACCCTCACACACACACACACACACACACACACACATCCACCATGTCTGATACATCCATCACCTCCCCGTCGGGGTCTGAAAAGGGCCACCGCTACGATGACAAGAAGAACCCCACCTCTAACATGTTCGACGATGCACCCATCGCCGGCGAAACAAGCGATGAGTTCCGTGAGGATGTTGAGCGAGCCAAGGCACAGGAGGGCGAGCAGAAGTTTCATCGTCTGGGATGGAAGCGTCTGACTGTTGTCCTCATCGTCGAGGCTATTGCTCTCGGTAGTTTGTCTCTGCCCAGTGCTTTTGCCACTCTCGGCATGGTCGCTGGTGTCATCTGCTCCGTCGGTCTTGGTTTCCTCGCCATCTACACAAGTGACCTTGTCGGCATGGTCAAGATCAAGTTTCCCGAGGTTGCCCACTACGCTGATGCCGGTAGACTGGTTGCTGGTCGCTTTGGATACGAGCTTGTTGGAGCCATGTTTGCCCTGCAACTGATCCTGCTTGTCGGTTCTCACTGCTTGACCGGTACCATTGCCTTCCTCAACATCACAGAGAACGCCACTTGCTCCCTCGTCTTTGGAGTTGTCTCCGCCATCATCCTCTTCATCCTGGCCATTCCTCCGTCCTTCACCGAGCTTGCCATTCTTGGCTACATCGACTTCGTCTCCATCATCCTTGCCATTGGTATCACCATGATTGCCACTGGTATCAAGGCTAACCACTCCGCCGGTGGACTGTCGGCCGTTGACTGGTCCCCATGGCCCAAGGAGGATCTGTCCTTTGCTGATGCCTTCATCGCCATTACCAACATTGTCTTCGCCTACAGCTTTTCCATCTGCCAGTTCTCATTCATGGACGAGATGCACACCCCCACCGATTATAAGAAGTCTATCTGGGCTCTTGGTCTCATCGAGATTGCCATCTACACCATCACCGGCGCTGTCATTTACGCCTTTGTCGGAGTTGATGTCAAGTCCCCCGCTCTGCTGTCTGGTGGCCACCTCATCTCCAAGATTGCCTTTGGTATTGGTCTGCCTGTCATCTTCATTTCTGGATCCATCAACGGCACCGTCGTCGGACGCTTCATCCACGGACGAATTTACAAGAACTCCGTCATCCGATACGTCAACACTCCTATGGGATGGCTTACCTGGGTCGCTCTCATTGCCGCCATCACCGTCTTCGCTTGGGTTATCGCCGAGGCCATTCCCTTCTTCTCGGATCTCCTGTCCATCTCATCGTCCCTCTTCATCTCCGGCTTCACCTACTACTTCCCCGCCATTTTCTGGTTTGTGCTCCTCAAGGAGGGAAGCGTCTTTGAGCGAAAGAACCTTGTCCACTTCATTCTGAGCAGCCTTTCCATGGTTGTTGGACTTGTTGTGCTGGTCTGCGGAACTTACGCCAGTATTGTTGATATTGTAAGTATTGATTCTCTCTCGGCATCCTTTACACGCTGTAGACCAAAGACTAATTCCACCGCTACAGATGAACCAATACAAGGCCAAGACCGTCCGTGGTCCTTTCACCTGCGCGCCTCTTGAGTAAATTAAATCTGCTTGCACGGCATTGCTTTTATGAATCTGTATATTTATTTATGAAGACATGTATTTTATTTTCTATATGATGATTTCCATAGAGTAGAGATACAATGGATAAAGCGCTTCTAATTGTTTACCATACGAGACCCTCTATAATCTACGCTTAATTTTTAAGATAATACGTTCCGCGTAATTGAGGTCGTTAAATTGTTTCAACAGGCGAGGCTTTCGTTGCGTTAACCTTTTACGCTACCCCGTGTTTTTCATGCAATACGATGCCGCAAATCGTACCGATGATACCCGAGGGTGGATATTAGCGGATCCCAGATCTCACACTCCCTAGATTCTAACGTCCAACTCTATCTTGCGCCCAATTTAAGAAAATGCGGAGGCTTATTAATAAATAAGCGAAATGTCGTGCATGTCCCGTTTCCATGGGGGAAAAAAAAAATCTCGTGTAAGTGGTGGTGGTGGTGTTGAGCGAAAGAGATATCGGCTGCACTACGGGATGGCGTCGAAACATTTGCGCGGCGTCGAACTAGCTGGACTGGCTTTGCGCGCTGCTCGGCTATGCCTTGAAGATCGGAAGAGGGGTTATTAGATAGGGCTTAGAGGGGTTTATAGGAAAATATGCCGTATAGCTTAGGTGAGGCGTTTATAGGCTGGAATTGACTACCGGTGCTAGAGTAGGCTGAGGGCTAGATCGAATGGAACTGCTTGAGCTATTTGAGCTATTTGAGCTATTTGAGCTATTTGAGCTATTTGAGCTATTTGAGGGATATATTGGTATGTGATGTGAAGAAACATCTTGACGAGCATCTATTAAGAGCTGATACTCTTCGCTTCCAATGGGTTGGCGGAAGTGAGAGTATATGGAGTATAACATTAAATACGTATGGTGCGCTTTGGCGCGTTGAGTAAACAGCGACTCAAACACCATAAAAATGTCCAAAATATATACAAAAAATAGCCCAAACAGACAAGATAGCTCTGGTGGTAGCATCAACACTAGACCCTGTGACGGATCTTATGTGTGGTGCACGCTGCTGTGAAGATAATGCCAACCCTAGTCAGAATAGCTCCAAGGACGCTCGCCCGTCGAAGGCCAATGCATGTCGTGGCAGCAAAGGCGTCTAGTCAGTCAAGATGGAACCAACGATTGAGCAGATGATTGAAGTAGCCGTTAACGTCGTTGTCCGAGTGGCTCTCAACGTGATTGCCAACGTAGCTGTTGGATTGCACGTTGCCGAAGAAGTGTCAGAGGTTGTTATTATAGTAGTACCGGAAGTTATTGTTTTAGAGGTCTTTGTTGGGCCAGAAATTGTTGTGATGCTAGAGGTTGTTACTATACTGGTTCTAGATGTTGCTGGTACCGAAGAAGTGCTGGTGGTAGGAGACAATGGCGAAGATGATAGTAGTGGCTGCGAAGCATTGCGTGAGTGATAATGAAACCGTGGCTGTGACTGTGACTGTGACCGTAATTTGACTTTCTCTTATTAGACACAAAGACAAGGACGCGTGTAAATCTTGTCTCTAAAGCAAGACTGGTGCTATGTCAACTCTATCAAGTTATTGATCTTTTTCTGTTGAACGAATTAATGCAGATTTTATAAAGGGGTAATCACCCCTTTGAATATGTTTACTAAATTACTTGTGAGCAAGAAGCAACAAAGAAAAGAGATTTAATCCATGGGATACCTTTTTTTTTATTTCTTGCTTCGACTCTTCTTAAAATACATCAACTTGGGGAGCATCATTCCGGTCTGCTACATCGCTGCAACTATTAGACAGGGATTACAAAATTGTGGTAGCCGGAATCACCCCTAGTAGCAATTTGAGGCACCCTCTGTCTTTTCATAGCTAGATTCTCGAAAAGATGACTACTTGGTAAACAATATCGTCATTCGATACAATTACCTAAAGAAAAGGATGGAGAAGAATACAAAGAGAACATTAGCCAACAGTGAAACGCTAACTAGCACACACAGGTAAAGGTACCTGTATCTCTCGCAGAATGAAAAAATAATGATGAGAAATGCTACATCCAAGCAGTCCATGTTATCAAAGTATCCATTACATAATCTGTGCCGGATCCGTCGCTACATACATTAATTGAAACCGGGGAAATCTGTCATGGCGCACTGTTATCGCCACCACAACAAAATTACAACTAAGTCTGTAGCAGTCTTATTTTATCTTTTATTTTTCTTTTAACAGTGAATTTATTACGATATGGTCAATTCATTCACTTGCTGCTACAAAGGCCATGGATTTGGCTTAATGAAAGCTCCTCCGCATATACAAAGACTTGGAGCGCTTGACGGGCTATTATTTTCGTAGAAACCCCACCTCATTCCTTTCGGCAATTTAAAAAAGGCGTACTCTGTAGTAGCCTACTTAACATCAACTACCTAATAGATAATGTTACCAGCGCAGATGCCTCAATAAACATTAAATGCCATCTTAGGTTTTTAATTTAGCAAAAAATTGTATACACTTGATCTTGAACTGATACAGTGTCGGCCTTCGCTCTGTCTCCTCCTGGTGCGTACTGCATCTCGTTAAAATGTCACTTTTACACCCAAGGTTTACCAACTGCAAGGTCGCCCAAAAACGCTTCATATTTTTCTATACACATTCCCATCGACCGTCTAAATTAAAGCCTAATAGCTCTCATATCGCGCCGCATTTTCAATCTTTCCAATGGCGAAATGTAACCACCACACGCAGCAAAAGCCTGCCTTTGGACGGTGTTACAGTAGTCTCTTTGGAACAAGCCATCGCAGCGCCCTTTTGTACTCGCCAGCTGGCTGACTTGGGAGCTCGAGTCATAAAAGTCGAGCGTCCTGGAGTGGGCGATTTCGCTAGAGGCTACGATACGCGTGTTAATGGAATGGCATCACACTTTGTATGGACCAATCGTTCCAAGGAAAGCTTTGCACTTGATTTAAAAAATCCACGCGACTTGAAGGTTTTAAAGAAAATCCTGCTCCAGGCGGATATCATGGTACAGAACCTGGCACCAGGCGCAGCAGAAAGATTAGGACTCTCGCATGAAGAGCTCCAGAAGACGAACTCAGGTATTATTGTATGCGATATCTCTGGTTATGGATCACATGGGCCATACCGTGACAAGAAAGCCTACGACTTGCTTGTGCAGAGCGAAGCAGGTATGCTCTCTGTAACAGGCAGTGAAGCTGAGCCAAGCAAAACTGGTATATCCATAGCTGATATAGCAGCTGGAATGTACGCCTACTCGAATATCCTGGCAGCATTACTGGAGCGGGGGAAGACAGGAAAAGGGCGCCGAATTGACATTTCGATGTTAGAGAGTATGGCTGAATGGATGAGCTTTCCCATGTATTATGCTTTCGACGGACAACCGGGCCCAAGCCGAGCAGGGGCATCCCATGCGACAATTTACCCGTATGGGCCATTCGAAACAGGCACCGACGGAGCTTCCGTTATGATGGGCGTGCAGAACGAACGAGAATGGGCCATTCTATGCCGAGATGTACTAGGAGATGCGAGTTTGGCAACAGATGAGCGCTTTGTGAACAACACGCTTAGAAGTCGTAATCGAGAAGAGTTGAAGAAGATTATTTGCGCTCGCTTCTCTGAGCTCTCTGCAGACGAAGTTATTGAAAAGTTGGACAAGGCGGGTATCGCAAATGCTAGTATGAATGACATGCAAGGTGTATGGAAGCATCCTCAGCTTCGAGCAAGGAAGCGTTGGATAGATGTAGAAACACCGAGTGGCCTCGTGACTGGGCTACTACCCCCTGGCGTAGACGATATTTCGCAGGTCAATATTGCAGAGGTTCCAGCTGTAGGACAGCACAATGAGGCAATATTTGCTGAGTTTGGTCTCTCCGAAGAAGAGTAGATAATAATAGTATTGTTGTTCTACGTACACGCTACCGATGAGTGTGGCAGTCCATAATCTGTCATGCTATCCATTCCGGACAGCATAGTTAGAATGAACGTCAACGTCCTGTATCCAGAACGAAAGCAAATGGATCTATCTTTGTCTCTACCCCATATCTCAGTGCAGGTCTCCAATGTCTCGAGGATTGTCTGTCTAGGCGGTATGGCAAATCCGACTGCGAGTGGTGCATCTCTCTGTAATAGATAGAGACTAGCTGTCAGCGCGGCGGCGAAGAAGTCAAGTTTGTATAGACGGCCTAATAAATCCTGATAGATGGAATTACCGCGGTGCTCACAGAGATTTCGATGATGAACTAGTATGGCCAAACTGCACTCGAGAGAAGCCCAGTAAGAGACAGGATATAGTTCCGGAGCATTGGGAAGTAGAGCGTGACAGCGATGGAGTACCATCAAGACACGGCGAAAGAAGATGTCTAGGATGGCACGTAACGAGTCGTTGCACTCGGGGTGATCCATAGAGGCAGCCATCAGCCGTCTGATGGTGGCGTTGTATTCGAGTATTTCGTCGTAAGATGTTGCTTTTGTACCGGAATTGACTCTCGCAATAATTTTGCATATTATTGGAAATGCATCGCATAACGAGAACCACGGGCCAACTCCCTCAGCATGAGGTAACAAAACGTCCTGCACATCTGTTCTCTCCAAAATATCATCAGAGGAGAGGAGAGTTGGCATACCGGTAACTGCTGCTGTTTGTATGCAAAAGTAGACTATTGTTATCCATAAGATATGACCAGATTGCCATTCAGAGTAAGTCACCGCGTTCTCCTCGACAGGGGTTGAAGTCGGGGGCTTGTGAAGACCTATGCAAACAGCGAGGCGAACAATTATACCCAACAGTGTCCAGCTCGCATCAAAAGACCAACATGTGCCGTTCGAGAGCTGTTTAACGAGAACAATTAGACACAACGTTCGCATTACTGACATGCTTGGCCGGACCAAGAATGCCGTTTTGGACAGACAGGCTTCGGCCGCAAGGCAAAACTCGACCATTAGCTTTGTATCTCGAGTCACTGTGAAGCAGCCCAGCGCCAATACCATGAGAAATGACGATAGCCAGGAGATATCAGCCTGTGTTGGGTCGTCCCAGAAACAGTTGACTTCATCAGCGAAGCCAACAGGGTCGATGATTGGATGCACGGGCTGGTATAAGGCAAAGTAGCCATCAACAAAAGACTCGCAGTGCTCTCTATGGCCGTGGAGGAGACTGTAGACTTTATCGAGAGAGGAGAATTTGGCGGCGCCAGGACTATTGAAAGGGAAATTGCAAGGAAGAGCAATGTCGGTATGGCAGTCAGCATGAAGCACTGTCATGTGGACGCCGTGTACAAACACATGTCCAAGATTGCGCGCTGAAGCCTCAATCTGAGGTCGGTTTGATCAACTATTGTTAGCAAATACTCTCCTTTATTAACACGATGCTTGGGATCTCATGGGATCAGAACTTACCCGTGACACAAGGGTTTTCCAATGAGTCGCGCCCCGGCGTCGCGTATGCCACGACGTATAGATGTGTTTGGGATCTTCATGTGCCGCTGCGCACAGAGTATCTCGACTTGAATCGCTAGGTGAAGAATCCTTCTCAACCCGATGTGTATAGGTGCATAGCTTGCCCCAGCCAGAACCGCGACATCGCGAGCACGGCAGCTCCTTATCACAGCGGACTTTGAGTCGATGACATCGCGTGCAAGAGAGATGTGCGCGATTCCTCCTCTTCACTGTTTTCCGGATTTTCTGGGCGGCGATATCGGAAGATGGTACAGATTCATCACTTGGAGATGATGACTGCTCCGAGCTTGAGCGCGTAGAATTGAGATGTTCCGCTTGTACAACTGACTGTGGCGAGTGGCTGTGGAGAAATGAACAACTGGCTTCGGCCTGAACGCATCTTTCGCATGAGGGTTTGATTCTGTCGCAGCGAAGCTTCAGGAGGCGACACCGACTGCAGGTCTTTATCTGTCTGATGTTGGGCATTTTGAGAGTCACCGTCAACGCTGGCGGCTTCAAGAGACGGGCGGATACGTGGAGGAGACCGAAATGGACGATTTTTGAGAAAACTTGCGATGAATTATTCTATGCTGGCCGCACGTTTGTTAGGGTGCCGTTATTGCAGCGTCTGAGATTCAGCTCTCGAGTCTCTCTGTGCTTAGAAGCGGTGCTCAGCCTGCCCTCGGACTTTTCTGCAAAGAGCGGAGGATGCTCGGATTTAATTCTCAGAGGCACAATTAGCGATTATGCTATGTACCAATAATGGCAATCTTCAAGACCATTGAATAATACGATGAGTCTCCCGTCAAAATAAATCCGAGCTGAATTCACATGAGAAGCTCTGTTGGACAAGTGGAGGTGCATCTCTCTCGGCCGAGGATACCACCCGCTAAACACCGACTTGCTAATACACGCTAACGATGCCTCTCATCCTAATTTGCTGGGAGGATGAGGCGCATTAACATCGCTCAATGTAGTAAAGAATCGTTCGTCCGATTTAGTAAAGGTGGTTATTTCACTTGTGATTAAACCCCATCTCAAATTTTGATCGGATTGGCGATGGTGGCGCTTGGTTGGATGCGTTTTCCTCGGTGTCTTGCACGATGTATGTAAACGACTTTATATTGAACAGTATGCAGAGGTGCATGCTTGGGCTTGTACAAAAGCCTTGATATTTAATAATTAAATACATTGGCTATTCATTGAATATTGAACCTTGCACGAACGTCAGCAGGTAGACTGGCGATATACTCTGCTTCTTGGCCTGGAGGAGGCAAGATTCGTCCGTATTCTGCCATTTTGGGGATATCACAAATGTAAACCCAAAATTTCGACTCAGAAACTCCAGTCACTTGGCTACCCTCCGCGACTATGCGTTCAATGATACGTGCCTTTTGCTCCTCTGAGCGGCCGGCCCTGACATCTCCACGAACCCAAATTTGGTCAACAGCCACAGGTTCCGCGTTCAAAAATTGCTGGCTGGGCTCAACGTCTTGGAACACCACCTGGCATAAATAAAAGGGTATGTTTGCATCTTCGCAGTGAGTAGCGGTAATAACTCGTGCTAATGCTTGTTTCGCCTCTGGCGACAGGGCATTTTTCGAAGCCGTTACAACATATGTTGGCATTGTCGGGTTTGGAGGACTAACTTTGCGAAACCGTTTATGGCGAACCTCACTGTTTGACTTATGCAAAATAGACCGTTTTGTGTGATGAACTCTGCCGTCAATCAATCTTGGAGTTAACAGCCATTGGTCCCTTTATATATCTCGACTCGAGCTTTTCTAAGTTCTAAACGTAAGACTGCAATACGACTGTAGTGTAAGATTGATTCCAAATCAACGCGTCTAGTAAACTGCCCTATCGCATTTTGTTACGCCCTTAAATTAGGCCCTGGTAGCATATGCGCATATATTTGGCAGGACAAATACCAAACTGCAGCGTTCAGGCTAGTATGACATCAGGCTGTGTCCCGCACTTGATCAAGACCGAGGTTATTACAATCGGCACAACGGAGAAGGCGCAGATGTTGCATGTAGGTAGGCAGAAAGTGAAAAGAGGGCAATCGAACAGAATCTCTCGTAATTAAAATGCCCCAATTACTTGTGTTGAAGATTCTCCGAATAACACAAGTAGGCAGAGGGACAATATTTCTCTGGTGTCGCATGAGGAGGCTCTCCAAGAGCTGTGCTAGAGTTGATAGCTTCTAGTTAGCTGGAATAACGAAAGGTGGAATACAAAGACTTTCATTCTTTCTTGGACAATTCCAACTTATCATTCTCATCCTCGAAAGCCCTCTCGAAAATCACGATATGCTTCTCCATGTTAAGAGTTTGAATCAATATGCGTTCTCAGTATTTGGCTCATTTATTTGAGAGTTGTGCTCGGTTCAAAAGCATTCAGTTTTAATAGTTCTTGCAAGGTAAACTTTGATTGACCCTCAAAGCATTCCTATCAATTATATTAGATAAGCGCATGCTTCAACTGATTCGACCAAGGGCTCTGGAGATTTCTTGCAAGAGACGATAAGACTTGATCATGATATAATGATGTCGATGTATACGACACGGCATATATTTACCTAGTAGTAATGCCATGTTGATGGTTTAAGACACACTGGCAGATAACGTCGAGTGTCCATGAGTGGACGAATCCCGTTTCAATATATAGATTGTAAGCTAATCCGTTTCTATATGTTAAGGCTGTTTGTATGGATATAAAATCAATATATGAGACGTAAGGCACATTAAAGCTCCGAAAGATGGACAAACACAAGCAAATAGCAATGCAATAAGCACTGCTGAGGCAAAGACACTCTGCAGCAGACAGCAGAGGATTAATGGAGATGGAATCGGACATAAAGGTATCGAATGAGTATCTACGTACAAAGACCTAAGAAGAAGAAGCAAACAAGGTAAAATCTAGAGGTACCTTCTCGCCCATCCAAATGGCCCGCTGTGAGTGGTCGCGGAATGCAGACTCGGAAGATGGCACTCCCTCTTCTGGAATCGTGTTGGGGTGGATAAGAGCCGAGAGGGGGCCCCGCCAGATGGCTAGCCAAGAAACAAATGCGCCGAATTGAGCAGGAGTAAAGACGTTAACTTCAAACATGGCTACCGGGTGTGGGCCGACTGGCCCATCCCAAAAGGCATAAACTCTCAGCTCCGGGACTTTGAACGGCAGATTCGGTCAGTATGTTTATCGAGTAGATGGATCGTACTGTAGTATAGTAGTCTAATTACTTACACTCTCTTCGGATGCGCTCCCATAGCTCACGTGCATATTTGGTTTGCTCCTTGCTGTGCTGGAAATAATAGATGTGGATATCACTTGTTGGAGACAAGTCAGCGCTTGATCACCAGTAGCCCAGGCGCCGCAATACGAAAAGAGAGCATGGCAAGATGAGAAACTCACAAGGCTCCTCTCCGGCCGTTATCCAGTGGCTCAGTGAAGGTGTTATAAGCCTCGCTCAGACCCTCACGTTGGGGATTCACAAGGCTCTTTCCATCTTCATTCCTCTCTTCTGAGAGCGGGGGCGCGTTTTCGAAACCAGCTAGGGGCGAAGTATACTTGTATTTCAAAGGGTTGGCCATTTCTTATTGATAAATCGAAGAATATTCGGTGGATGAAAGTAGATCAGTTCCGATGCAATTGGCGTTGGAAGCTCTGCGAGGAGCTAGATTGCGTGCTTAGTTGCAGCGAGGTGAATGTGCGTACTACTTCGGAGCACGTCGTAATACCGAATGAGCGGGTAGTGTCGGTGCGCAGCGACTACTCTCGGTCACTGTTATAGAAGTGTAAATAGGTTGATTAAAAGAGTTGGTAGCCGACAGTTATTATCCAATGATCTTGATTGAACTGTCGATTATCCTGAGATTGATAATATATTTCTTTAAGGACTGGCTTAATATAGCATATCCTCAAGGCTGTCGTAGGTTCAGCTTTATATGCCGTCGATTGTACTAACAAGCTCTCTTGGGTTGGAGCGTTGTTACAAATCAGCATTTGTATACGTCTAACAAAATTGTGGCGCTTCTCGTTGTCTGCGTCATGAGTTCGTGAGAGATCTTGATTGATCCACATAGATTGATAGCTGAACTCTTGTCTTATCAATCTCATTGCTTTTTTCATGACGCAGCAATTGGGATTCCTGCTGCTGTTTGTAGGGATCCCACTTTAGCGCCGTTGTGTGGGATGAGCGTGACGCTGGTTAGTAATGACGAGATGACTAATTAGAAATTACTCGCCGCTATGAGATTGAGTTGAATTATCTAATGGGGCTGGCTTAGAGTGCCATTAGTTGCGAGTTGCTCTGCTCCTCGTTCTTGCAAGACTGCTTCGCTGGATATTTAAATGCGTATATGCCTCAGTAAGATACTCGTTAAATGGCTCCCATTAATGGTGTTAGGCCACGAATTCTTGCCGTCGCGATGGAAGCTACTTCTTTGCCATGCGCTTCTTAAGGATGAGGATGGCGCAAAATCAGTATGTCCTTTCGGGTAACATATACAATAGCCATCTCTTTCATATGTTTGCTATGATATTGGTCATAAAATACAACAAAAAAAAATGTACGGAGTAGCTAGAATAGCTCTTTTAATATCATACTGTGTGTTTCGTATGATAAATAGCCTTGGTCTGTTCAAAGCTGCGACCAGTGTGCTAAATTTACAAAAACTTAAGTTTTTCAAAAAAAAAAAAAAAAAAAAAAAAAAAAAAAAAAACCTCAAATAATTCTGAGAGATCAGAAAACGATTCCAAGTAAAGGGATGCTTTAATGGTTTCTCGAGATTTTATACTTGTTAGTAGATAGAGAGCTTCATTGGATGGGCTATGAAGTCATAGGGGGGCTGATAGCAATCGTCTCCTACATTTTGGCGTGTTCTCAATTGTTGAGCCTTATACAGAGGTGGGCTTTCTACCTTTTGCTGTACGGAGTGTTTAGGGTGGAGAACGCCATGTTTACGGGCGCAAACTACACTTTTAGAGTTAGTGATCTGGTAAATATAGGGAGTACGAGCCCACTAATTGGAGCATCACGGCTATTGAGAAGCCGTCGCTAACTCGGTTGATTAGAAACTCACAAACGGCTTAGCTGGCGGAATGTCACCGAGTGAAGTACATAGTAGAGTGCCGAAAAGGCTGATTGGCGGTTTGTACGACACCCTAAAGACATATGTTGATGAATTTGAGATTATAGTAAAACTTCTTAAACATCTATATTCTCACAAACAGGTGAAATAGGAGGCTAGGCGTGGCTTCTTTCTTTCCCATGGCCTCGAACATCTTTTATGGTGACTACTTGCTACAGCATAACCGAGTATTAAAGTAGTGGGCCTAGGAGTGATCCCCGTATATTTGGATGGTAATTCAGGGTACGTCGGAGACTTGCCGCCTCAGCAAAAACGTGGCAATATTTAGGTACTAGCTATAAGCTCTGTGCCTTGTACTTGCAGATGTCAAATCCCGTGGAGCTGGGAATTTTCTGGGGAAATGTGCCATTAAACTATTTTTGTATGAGCATTAGATGCTAGGAACTCATGAATATAAGACTGAAACAAGCAGGCTCATCTCCAGAAACGATAAAACCGTGTCTGTTCCTGAATACGCAGGTGCAAAGAATATCGACATGTCATAACAGCATGTGGATATGAGGTCGCATGCCGACACGGGGAGACTCCGCGTTTGTCAATAAATCGGCTATTGCTTTAAAAATTCTTCATTTGCCGCAAGCCAGCGAGTCAGCTGAATAGCCGCGTCCAAGCTCTCACTTGTTGCTGCTAATATTTTAGCACGCATTGAGATTAGGAAGCACCATTACCCGTTACAAGGTTATTGAAATGTGACCATTCATGTGGTGATGATTCACCTAATTCAGTGGAGATTTGGCCTAGCACAATAGGCTAAATGGGCAAATGCGGAGAGCACGAATACATATACATGACCCTTTTCTCGTTAGCGAGTCGAGTTTGTTCTCAAAACTTCGGTCCAGCCAGTCTAGGGACGCAGAGGCGCTCCATCGCCGGCATTCCATCGGCGAAATGGCGACCATGACGCCAGTGCCGGCTTTCCGACGAAGCTAGGAAGCGCATCCGCGGCTCTGGTTTGCTCTTCCCGGCAGGGATCCATGGCCCAAGTAAGCGTGGGGGGGTTGTGATGCTCCCCAAATGAGGGCCTAGGACCAACGACTCGCCAATCATGTGGACAGAACTAGCAAATAATGGTCCGAGGCCTTGCTCGCTTCTGAACCGACGGCATGCGGAAGATTGAGAGGACAGTGGTTCGACTTGTTTCTCACCGGCAGCTGTCTTTGTGTAAAATGTCGAGATGTCTATCCTAATAGAGTAGGCTAGACATGTGGCTTAAGACGGGGGAAGCACCCGGGGAAATAGAAAAAAGGATCGCCCAAACCCGGTCGGAATAAATGTGGACTACTGACTCTCAAACTGTTTGTACAGGTATTTTTTCAGTGCGGAGAAGAGAGTTAGAGAGCGCCTCATATATGTACTTGATGGCATCGGTGTGCCAACCAGTCTCCAACTTTTTTTTTCTCCTTGCTTCTTGTCCCCCCGCCTAAGGAAAAAAAGTTGGCACTCGTAAAAGTGACATGGGTGATCTGCAATCTAGAAGGCAAAGAAAAGTAAAGGGCAGAAAAGGCGTCCCCACATAGGGCGGCGGCTCTTGTAGCTTGGAGAGAAAATGCCGCCAAAAGTGGCGTTATCCCCATTCAAAGAAGTTTCTATACTTCGCGTGATCTATACAAGGAAAAGAAAAGAAAAATTGACATCGTACGTTAGATGTACGCTCTGATTGAAACAGCGACTCGTTCGTATTGGATCATAAACGTAATAAGAAATTAGAGCAGAAGAAAAATCTTCTCGTTAGCAAACTCCATCAGCTCTTGCAACCCCAAGCTGGCGCCAATAGCTGCCGAGCTTGACTCAGCTTCCCTTGACGACTCCACCGTCGTGATGCATCCAGTCCATCGTTCCTCACGAGGTAGGCTGGGGGTTGTCCCCCCAATTCCCCTTTCTGGGTGGCCTATGCTCGAACTAGGCTGCCTAGAAACGGGGATCTCTTCTCCATGTCTCTCCATACCTCCATACCGCCGGGGAAAGTTTGGGGAGAACATGGACCGACAGGCTCTCACTTGGCGGGGGCTGGGGTTTGGATACAACGCTGTTGCCGTCTAGATCGCTATTCCCCTTGTCCGGGCCGGCCATGTGACACTGTGAAGAAGTAGCTGCACTGCTACGAGTACATACAGCACGCGTCTGTTTGTCATATAAAAGGCTCTGCCCGCTTTGCATCTCACAGAGGCCTGGTCTACTGGTTGTCGTCTAGGAATCGTTGTTTTGATACCCCCAAAGCTCGTCGTTAGTCTTGCTACACCTTCACAATGACCGACGATATTTCCCGGGCCAACGAGCCGGCTTTCGACGCCGAGAAGCAGAACATTGAGAGCCTCGAGCACATTGCATCAAATGATTTCCCACAGCCTCACCCTGCGGCCGCCATGGACCCTGCGCGGCGAGCCCAGGTTGAGAAGAGCCTCAAGCGCAAGCTGGATGCCCGATGCTCGCTCTTCATTCTCATCTACATCATGAACTATCTGGATCGCAACAACATTGGTGCAGCCCGTCTAAAGGGCTTGCAAAAGGACCTCAACCTCAATGATACCCAGTATGCGACGTGTCTCAGCATTCTCTATGTTGGGTACATTCTCATGCAAGTCCCCTCCAACATGTTCATCAACCGCATCCAGCGACCATCTCTATACATTGCTTGCGCCATGACTGTCTGGGGTCTCATCTCAACACTGTCTGGTGTTGCAAGAGACTTCAAGGACCTGGTTGTCATTCGATTTTTCCTGGGCTTTGTCGAGGCTGCTTTCTTGCCTGGTGCTCTGCTTATTCTGTCCAAGTGGTACACTCGCCGCGAACTGACCACCCGCAATGCGCTCCTCTTCTGCGGTAACCTCATCTCCAACGCCTTCTCTTCGCTTGTTGCTGCCGGAGTCTTGTCAAACATGCAAGGCGTCTTGGGACATGCCGCATGGCGATGGCTGTTCTTCATTGAGGGTGCTGCCACCATGGCAATCGCCATTTCGGCCGCTCTCATCTTGCCTGATCTGCCCACCAATGCCCGTGGCTTCACCGAAGAGGAGAAGCAGGTGGCTCAGCTGCGTATGCTTGAGGATGTTGGTGAAGCAGACACCGATTCCAGCGGACAGGGCGTCTTTGACGGTCTCATTATGTGCGGCAAGGATATCAAGGTGTATCTCATGATGCTTACACTGACTGCTTATGTCGTTGGCCTTTCTTTCAACGCCTTTTTCGTAAGTGCATCTCAATTTCGCGCCCGTGTACGTTTTACATGAGAAAGTGCTAATTATTCTCACAGCCAACCTTGACTGGAACCCTTGGCTTTGCTTATGTCCCCACCCTTCTCATGAGCTCCCCTCCATGGGTCTTTGCCTGTCTCGTCTCTCTCGTTGTTTCGTGGAACGCCGATCGTACACAGGAGAAAGTGAGTCGCAGTTATTTCATACCCTTGTACATGCAATTTTTGGGCCTAACATTTATCGTTCTAGTTCTTCCACATCATTTCTCCTATTCTCATGGGCATTGTCGGCTTTATCATCTCCATGTCTACCCTGAACGTCGCCGCTCGATATTTCGCTCTCTTCCTTCAAGCTGGTTCCTATGCCGGTTTCATCGTCTTTTACAGCTGGATCAGCTCCTCATTCCCTCGTCCCCCGGCTAAGCGTGCTGTTGCCATCGCCATGGTCAACGCTTTCAGCCAGCTTGGTAATGTAGCTGGTTCCTACGTTTGGGATTTGCCTGAGAACGGATTCCGTAAGAGCTACGGCATCGTTCTGTCCATGTTTGGTGTCACCATCGTTGGCTGCTTCCTGTTCAGACTGATTCTCCAGAACTTGAACAAGAAGCTTGAGGCTACTGAGGTAGCTGTAGATGCAGAGAAGACAACGCAGACGGAGCTTGAGGATCTGGATGAAGCTTTGAGGATGAGGAAGGGATTCCGCTACCTTGTATGAATTTGCACGATGGTAATGATAAGAAGTGTCTCGGAAGATTGCACGAGATGGCGACATATGTCATGATAATGAAAAGAATCTTGTAATATTAGGAAACATAAGCACTGCATTCTGTCTGACGCTGAGATTTAAAAAAAAAAAAAAAAAAAAAAAAAAACGAAAAAACAGTTCAGCATTGATCAACAGAATAATAACAATAAAACAATAACATAACTTCATTATTTATTACTTGCTAATTTTATAGACCGCTACTCCAGTGGAATTCGCCATTATAGCTTGACGGTGCTAGCCTTAATATTTTTACCGCTGACCTGGATGCTGTCGCCACTTTTATCCCATCCTCCTACTTCAAGCTGCAGCTTCTCATGTGGCCAAAGGGTGACATAGTTGTCGGACCATGAAACAGGGTTCACATCGTTGCCACTCTTATCGACAAGAGTTAGGCGAATAAAGACGGCCGGTACGGAAGACTTGTTCTCAAGCGTCACAGTACGGGTTTGCGTGCCTGGAACACCAGGCGTGGACTTGCCAGGGCCAGTGGTAACAGAGACCTGAGCTGTAGACAGCTTAGTGAGAGGTGTGTAGTCGACAAACTTGGTGACTTGGGTATAGTACCAAGTCGAGTTGTCCCAGTCGAGCTTATCAATGGAGTTGGTAACCCAGTACACGTTGCGGCTCAAGACATTGCCTTTATTATCAGACAGGACCAAGCGTAAGAAGGCAACGCTTGAGAGTGTGCCAATCTGGCTCGAGATATCAACGACTTTAAAGCCCGAGTTGGCCTTGGTATTGAAGTTGACAGACTTCTTAGCAAGTTGCTTGCCGCTAGTATTAATAAGCTCAATGTCAACCTTCCGCGGGCCATTTTTGTCAAGCGAGTGGTTGATGCCCCACACTTCCTTGGTTTGGTAGTTGTACGCGACATGCTCAATACGGGAGCCAACTTTGGTGCCAAAGTAAGAGCCTGCAGGGTGAAGATAGTAGTCAAACTGGTTCCAGTGGAGACTTGGCCAAGCATTATTGAGCATCCAGTAGATAAGGCCAGTAGCGGGGCGATTGGCATTCCACATGGCCCCAAAGCCTTCATATTGAGCTCGCGTCGCTTCATAGTCCATCATCTGGGCCTTGATGAGGTAGTCGTCCAGAGAGCTTGGAGCGCCGTAGCGCTTCCAGAGGCCTTCGTTGTAAATCTGTCTGTTATAAAACGAAGAGAGGTTGGTTGACATGTGGAACAGATTCTTGTTGGGGTGTTTCCACAGATCATCTAGATCACCCTGGTTGAGGAATCTCTTTAATGAGCCAATTTCAGGAGTACCAACGCCAGAACCCAGCTCAGAACCGAAACCAAAAGCGGCACCTAACCGATCAGCAGAAGGCTCAGTGTCGTACCAATAATTGGGAGGCACCCAGTCATATGGACCGTCCATCTTCATGCCAGAAGGACCGAGAATTGCTGGATATCCACGCTTAGCTGCAGAAGCAATGATGGGTGTCTGCCAACCAGCATTCTTTAGAGCATCAACATACAGCGCAACCGCCTGGTCATTCGGCCAGAAGTCGCTTCCAACAAGGAATGTCAGCACACTGGGGTGTGGTTGAAGCACAGAAGCCTCATGGATCATGCTATAGTTGGCAGTTTCGTAGTCTCCATCATCCCAAATAGGTGGTGGGAAAATCGCCAGTTCGTCATTGTAAGCCCAGGCTTCCCATTTATCGCAGCACTCCCAGCCTGGCATGACCATTAAGCCATATTTATCACAGATCTCGTAGAGTTCCGGCTGTTCCATCTTTCCCTCGAGACGAACGGTATTCTGGTGCATGTCCAGCATATACTCAACGATACGGGTAAAGCGTGCGCTGTCCCATCGCAAGAACATATCAGCGCCATACCCACCACCAACAACTTGGAAAGGATGGCCGTTGACGCTGTACTGTGTGTCGTTGTGCTGGTTGACAAAAGAGGTGACTTTACGAACACCAAAGTTGGTCTGGGCTGTGTCTGAAACCGCATGGTTAACAGAGAAGGTAACTTTGGCGTTATAAAGAGGCTGATCCCCCCACTGCTTGGGCCACCAGATCTTCGGGCTTTTGAGAGTTTTCTTGAACTCGACTAGTTTCTTTTCGCCGGGGCCAAGCTTGACGGTTTGCTTGATAGAATCTCCAGAGCATGAAGCATCGCCAGCCACAACTGCCTCGGCATCAAGAGTAACTGCAAAGCTCTCCAGATTCAGCGCTTCAGTGCGGATTGTAACCTCTGCGGGGCTACTCTCAACTGGAACATCGATGTCCACCACCACCGAGATTGGGCCCATAGAGACAGAGCCCGTCTGTTTGATAGTAATATCTCGCCAAATGCCACTTCCATTGTCACTCGGGTAAGGGTTCCAGTCGACAAATCCGAGTCCAAAGTCATAAAGGTAGTCAGTCGGGTAGACTTGGACGACGAAGGCGTTTTCTTTGGCGGCGAGGTTGGTGATGTCGTAGGTGCGGCCGCCATAAGCACCAGATTGATAATTAGAGTCGGCAATCTGCTTGCCATTGAAAAAGAGATCGGCTTTAGAAGTAATACCGTTGGTTTGGAGGATAAAGTGCTTGCCCTTGGCCGGAGACAGTGCGAACTCATGGCGATATATCCAAGGAACGAGGAATTGACCCCAGTTGACGTCATTGAGGTTCTCAGAGTACCACAAGTCCTCGTCATTGTAAACTCCAGCGTTGATTAAGCATGCCATGATGGTGCATTTCGACGTGCCTGCGTGATACCATGATGAGGTGTCAACACCGGGCTTTGAAAGCCCCTTAAGATCTTTGCTGACGTCGGAGGATGACTTGAGGTCCCAGTCTGGGATTGCAACCTGATCACCAGCTTTGGACGTTAAAGGACTGCCAGCTGCAGAGGCAAGACCACTGCCCAGCAATAGGGCGGCGACAGCGTGGCCGATCATGTTTGTGGCCGAGGTGTTGCGTAGACGCGACCAGAGTTGCGATGCTCACGTTGACGTCTTTCTCTCTGTCTCTAATCCTGGACTGTTGGCCCTCTTTATAAAAACGAGGACGTCAATTCCTCTTTCCCTATAGGGCTAATTGCATGGCTCGCCCAGCAACAGTATAGCTTTTCCAGCAAGGCGGTCCTTCCTTGCAGCATTTTTTCGACTCGCTGCTCCATGTCTAACACGGAATGCCTTTTCCATAGGCTTCTGGGCGGTAAAAAATGCTAGGAGGTAATACAACGTTACCTTACTAACTGGGCAAAGTACACAAAACCTCGGCCGCCCACTCAGTGGGCGAGGTTGCAGCTTGAGAGATTCTGGCAGCTTGCTTGTTCCTGATCGAAGCGGGGAACCAAGCCAGCACAGCACAGCCAGGGACAGGGGTTGGTCATTATCGTATATTAGCTGTTTACCGCAACTGCTTGCTCTAACCTAAATCTTCATGTAAGTAAGCATATCAGACGATGTGGGTTGACAAGGTTATCTTGCGTTGGAAACAACACATCCTTAAACAGGCAATTGATTTGTTTCTTAGGAGAATAGATATCATCAGCCCCATTGCGCTGTAATAAAGCCATTGCAGCGAAGAAGCAAAATTCGATGCCCAAGCTTGCCAAGTCACAGCTCTCTTTGTTTGCAGATCAGTTACCCATCCAACCATATCTCTGCTCTACTCCGCAGTGGATCCTTCGCTTGATAGCAAATGTGCGGAGTAGCTAGCCTGAGCCTGAATTTTCCACCACTGGATAAGCTTAGTTGGGCAAACTATCGGCTGACTAGGATCGCAAGTCGCACCCGGGATACGAAGCTGCAAAGTCTGGGGTACCGTAATGCCCTCGAATGGCATGGATGTACGGAACACAGAGTGCTCCCATAGCACTATTCTATTACTAGTGCTTCCTACGGAGTACTTGAAAACCACTTACAAGTATGCGTAATGAAGCAAGGGCTGAGCTACCCCAAAGAGAGCAAGCAGAGAGAGACAAAGGAAGCAATTGAGTGAGTGCCCTTTACAATTCACACTGTTTAGTCATCAAGCCGTCGGCACGACTTAAAGCCCCCCCACCTGTCGAAATCCCCCTGTGATGCTTCCCAGCTTGATCGTGGATGCCAGGTCCCCTTATGTTGATGGCTTCATCGTTATGACAAGCGCTTTTCGCCTTCTAATGTTGCATCAGCTATACGATCTGCGCTTAGCCGTTTCCTCGCGACCATAATGTAGGGCGCAATGGACAAGATCGTGACTCCAGTCTCTCGCCTTATCTCAGCGACCCGCGATTCGCCGATCGCAACTGCAGACTCAAGACCATCAGATACCCCACGTATCCGCAAGAAAAGGACTCCGGTAAGCATTCCGCTTTAGCACTGCATATCTGCGTGGAGGCTTCGGCCCGCCACCATGTCACGTTAATGTCTGCGGCTCGGAATGCTCCGTAACTGACACATTACACATAGAAATCGTGCGGTGCATGCCGCCGCGCCAAGGTAAATGCAACTTCAAGTGTGCACTTTGTAATAGAGAACAATAGCTGATAGCTAGCCTCAGGCTAAGTGTGACGGCAAAAGGCCGTGCTCACGGTAAGTTTGCCGGTGGCTTTGAGGAAGGGGAAGGGTGACATTCTGTCTGTCTGAACTCCCGCTAATAGATGCATTAGATGTTGCTACTTGAAAAAGACTTGTGCCTTTATTGATCCTCCGAAAGAGGCCCATCAGCTGTACGTGTTACACAATGAGTAGCCCCTGATCAATCTGAACATCAACTCCCTGGCGCGTATTCATTGGTGCATTACTGACCATCTCATCAACTGTCACAGCCGGATAGAGGAGCTTGAGCAGGAGGTAGCAGCCCTAAAGGATCAGCTCCGAGAATTGCCAATAGCTCAGATTGGCTCCCATCTTGAGACTCATCATGCAGATATCGGAGCAGCCTTGCATAACAGCCAATCGGGTGTTTGTGCGCCAGCTCTACATGATTTGGAGCATCCGGCAACGCCCCATGATACTGTCCAACTAGCACAACCATGTTCCACGCCGAGAACTACAATAGATCATATCCACTCCAATGGACCAACGTCGTTCATCCGTCTATCAAACACACTGTCTCCTACGGATAGTGCGTTGTCCAATAAGCACGGAAAATCACATTTCGAAATTGGGACTATTACGTTGCCCGATTGCGTTGATGCTGGCCTACTTAGCCTTGAGCAGGCCAATCAGTATTTCGCCGTCTTTTTTCAAGGATGCAATCATTATGTCCCAATCTTCGACCCTAAACATGACTCGTTTCACAGCATTCGCGAAAGAAGCAGTCTGCTTTTCAGCGCCATATGCACAGTGGGCTGCCGCGTCGTAACGGGGACCGACACTCAACAATGGCATATGCTGGATTTCCATGTCAAGAGAATGCTAAACTATGCTTTGGCGAGGCCTGATATGGCCTCGCTGGAGACGATTCAAGCATTTTTGGTCCGCTCTTGTTATGCTTCTGAGCGATCTCTACTCGTCGCAGCTGCAACCCGCATGGCACTTGATTTGAACTTTCCTGATTCATACGATGCCATGATCAATCGATCTGTAGTACCAGCAACGCGAGGAAACACTTTGGCAAGTGTCGATGAAGAGACACTCGTTCTAATGCGAAAAGTGAGGACGTGGCTTCATCTCTTTGTCTTGGGGCACATTTTACATGTCGATGCCTCGGACCTACCAACGTTTAAATTCGTGGGAGATTCTCGGAGGTCTCGAATCATTTTAAAAAACCCTGCTGCGACTGAACTCGACTTGTTTTTATTCTCTCAAGTCGAGCTGAATGTCATTCGTGGAAGAATCTACGACTCATTAGCTAATCACATGGATTTTGACGATGAAACTATGATGGACGCAGTCCGTGAGGCTAAAATCGACATTTCCATCTGGTTTGACGATTGGGCGCACATCTTTGACAAGCACAAAGTACAATCGCCGTGGCTCAGCACCAACCTTCGAGTTCAAAAATGCTGGGCTGAAAATATGGCGCTTTGCCGCGTCGTGCGAGCGTCTGGAGTTGAAAATGTCGATTTTATGTCTCCCGCTCAAAGATCGGTCGTTGCCATGGCAAAGGACGCGCTAGAAGAGCATCTAGACATCATGATTGAGGAAACGAGGTTATATATACGTAATCTCCAATTCGCGATGGACTTTGTCTGGGCAAAATGCGCTTTTTGCTATCTACTTCTTCTCAAGCTTTCTATCCTTCTACCTGAGAGTAAAGGGCGCTCTAGCAGAGAGCTGGTGGCACACGGGAATATCCTTCTTACTGAACTTAGCGAAGCCAGCGGTGGTGGCCATAACGGGAGTCGAAGTAATACCGGAAAGCAATATCTACAGCTCCTCCAAAGCGGCATTGAAAAATTTAGCAGCGTGACTTACGAGACTCAGGATGTGGCCTTGGGTGCCACAAATGACGAAGGCTATTCATCTCGACGAACGCCGGGTTTCGGTATACAAAATCGCGTGGAATTGGATTCATTTATACCCGAACAGTTCATATTTGAGTGGGACTTCCCTGGCCTCACCTTATTTTCCTCGTCGGCCACCGGTGTTGCCTGGCTTGACGATATTCTCGTTGAAGCGCTTAATGGAGGGGAAGACATTTTCGGATGGCTGCCGGCAGATGTTGAGGGATGAATGTAGGTGGAAATAATAATATGTATATGTATTCGATTACAATGAAATCTATTTGCGTTTTTATTTCTTCCTAAATTAACCAATCTGGAATCTTCTCTTTCCCTCGTCATCCGTGCCCAACCCATGCACCTGTAACCCTTCGCTTGAGATAACCACTCGCGAGTCTCCCGGAGGGAGCACAATAACAGGCGCTTTCCAAGGCGCCACGAATCCTGATGTCTCGTCCCTAGAAAACTGAACCTTGATTGCCGACCCTTCGACAGAGTATTCGATGCTATATTTGGAAACCTTGTTCTTTGCCACAGCCGATACACCATCGTCTTCATACCAAACTGTCTTGTACTTCTTCGCACTATTGGACCCTTCGCGAGGCGGGAAGATTTCGACTGCGCGATAGTCGTCCAATGGAAGGCCTGCTACGTTTTCCTTTTCGCCAGGCGACAGAACTTGCACATCTCTACCCACCGGGATGGCGGTTCCCACCTTGGCGAGCACCGGAATGCCAGCACCGTGCCACTCTGCATCTATCGTGGCCCATTGTCCTGCTTCCAAATATTGGTAAGGAGCTTTGAGATTAATGTAGCCTTCGTCGCCATCAGAAGCCTTGGGGAGGTAGACCCGTGCTTGGGTTGCACCAGGTTCATATACGCCGCCGATTAAAAGCGAATCGCCAAGCCAGTATTGCGTTTCTCCCTCTGTAATCAATCCTGTCCATACTTCTGGATCCTCCTCGTAGCCCCAACCGGTCCATCTCTGAGGCGGAATAGCCGTTTGATGGCTCTCCAGCATCAGGGAATAAATGTAGGGAATCATGGCATATCTTCGCTTAATTGCTTTCCGGACCAGATGCGTAATTTCAGGGTACATCCATGGCTCGATGACATCTCCAATGCTGTTTTCATTAATGGTCTTGAAACAGTTGATGGCAAAGCGCTGTGAGTAGGTACCCAGCTGTATCCATCGAAGAAGAAGCTCGGGCGATGGCTGAGGGCCCTCAAAGCCTCCAATATCATGGCCATAGCACTGCAGCAAGGACATGCCCGCATTAAGAGCAAGAGCATTAGAGCCTTTCATGCTGGCCCAGCTGGTGGTGTTATCTCCGCTCCATGAGCTGCAGGCATATCTCATAGTGCCGGTCGTGGCGCTGCGAGTAAGGACAAACGGCCGCACATCAGGATTAACATCAACAAGGGCATCGTGGGACGCTTTGCCATGAAGTTCTGTGTGTAGACTGCGACCCCATAGACCTATCTGGGGCGTATCTTTAACATCGTCCCTTACAGAGAGAGAGGGATCATCCAGCGCACAGATCCATCCGTCATCAGTAACTGTGTACTCATTGTTGTCGTTCCAGATGCAGTCAATGCCTTCTTGACCCAGCCTCTTGACGCCTTCGTACCACCACTTGAATCCAGCAGCAGAAGTGAAATCAATGTGTCCACCCTCGGCGCTTTCGCCACCGCCGGCGCTCCAAAGTCGGGTTACGGCCGTCTTCTTTGTGTGAGGGTCAATGAAGAGTGCATTTGCTGCCTTGAGTTTCTCATACTCTGGGTGAGTTGCGATGACATATGGCTTGACGTTGGCGATGAGTCTCATGCCAAGTTTGTGATATTCCTTGATGAACCCCTCTGGGTCAGAGAACCGATGACGGTTCCAGGTAAAGACATTTCGTGTTTTCGGAGGCTTCTCTGCCACCGTGTAACCAGACGACATTTGGTATGCCGAGCACGGGATGTCGTGCTCCTTCATCTTACGCGCAAGATCAAGCAGTGCCTCAGAAGCTGGAGGATCGTCGAGCATAGAGTACTTCATGCCACCCGAGAGGTAGCCAAATGCCCATCTTGGCACAAGAAGAGGGTATCCCGCTAGGTCAGCGTATGTCGTGACAATATCTTTAAGAGTTTTGCCAACGATGATGTACTCTTCCAATCCGCCGTAGTCCTGTCGATACACCTTATAACGACCCCACATACCGTCCATCTCAGCTCCTATGGAATATGAGCCCCGCGCATGAGACGTTGAAAATAGAGCCACGCAGCCGCTGGGCGTCGCATTTATGAGAAGCGGAATGTTTTTGTACAGAGGATCAGTGCGATAAACATCGTATCCAAAACTGTCTGTTGCCGAAAGCTCAAATTTTCGCCCAGCCAAGTTCATTGGCGCAGCCTTCTCGCCCAGGCCAACGTACAGGGTATCTCTGTTGTAGCGCGAGTAATGGGCAACGCCTTCGCCATCAACAACGTATGAGCGATTTGGCAGATCTTCATGGAGAGGCCCCTTCTCGTGGCCTTCCAAGAAGACAGATAACAAGGGGGAGGACTCAGTCCAGTCAATTGCAACTGTAATTGGCCCGATTTTGATCTCCTTCTTGGTGCTGGTAGATGATGACCTTACAGCAGCGGCATCTACCTGCTTCTCTGGCAGGGACACGCTTGGATGAGGAGGCAGAGGATGCGTTTTAGACGTGAACGTCGTCCGAAATACATTGTGGCGTAGGGCATCTAGTGTGAACTGGAAGGGGAGCTGAGAATCTGCGGAATCAAGCTGCAGCAGCTTGCCTGAGCTAGCTGTGCTCTCGACCCATGTCGACGGGACGCGCTCTTGTTGAGGCATCGCTATGATGTAGAACAATAGAGATGTTTGATAAGTAAACTTATGACAATAGGAAAAGAATGAAAGAAGACAAAAATAACTATTTGCAAAGCCAAGAACCAAAGGGTGCTGGAGGCTGTTTATATGTTCGTATTACACGTGTATGCATCTGGAGATTGCTACTGGCGGTCCCTCACTAAGGTGGACCAAGTTGCACGGGAATAGAGACCGATTTCGGGTCTGGATTCCCCGTAATTTTTACAATTATTTCCATCCACCAGTTGTTAGCATACGATCCAACAATTCTACTACTATAACCGTCTCTTAGAATCCCCCGTTCTGGGCATAAAGATGTGTCAAGCGGATAATTGTGAAGAATGTCCGCTGAGGGGGGTAATCTAAGCCGGAGAAAGCTTCGTGAAAGCCGACGGACAAAAATCACCATGTCCGGCTGACCTATCAAGTAACACGAATCCTTCCCCGCATTCTACCCTCCAAGGGCCCTGTGGTTCCCCCCATGGGGTTGAGTGGCGTCTTCAACGGCTGATGCTTTACCCTTTTCATGCAGTCTTGGGGAAGAAACATGAGATGTGAGCATTTATAAATATCATAGAGTGTTGCCTTCCGTTGAAGCGGTCAAGTATGGTGATTGAAGCTGCATTCACACTCATATAGGCTTCTATAAACGTTGATTGTATTGTATTGATCATACAGGATCATTACGATGGCTACTCAAAAAGATAATAACCCTGATATCATCCATCTCGAAACTCCCCCTACACAAGACAACTCCAAGAATATCACCAGCGAGATCACTCCTGTCCCAAAGCCCAATACTGAAATTCCCCTTGCAGGCAGAGACAAAGCTGCCCAGTTTCTCAAACAAGCCAACCAATCCGCAGTTGTCGTTACCCCCAGCGAAAATGCTCGCATCCTCCGCAAGATCGACCTCCACATCCTCCCCATCATCCTCTTCGTCTACTGCCTCCAGTCTCTAGACAAGACCACCCTTTCTTATGCCTCAGTCTTCGGACTCATCGACGACACGCACCTGGTGGGCGAGCAGTTTTCATGGCTGGGCTCCGTGGTGTACGTCGCCCAGCTGGTCTTCCAGCCGCTGGTGGCGTACGCACTGGTGAAGTGGCCAGTGGGAAAGTTTTGCGCAACGATGGTGTTTTGCTGGGGGGCGGTGCTTTGTGGGATGACGGCGGCAACGAATTTTGGGGGGTTGATGGCGGCGAGATTATTATTGGGTGCTTTTGAAGCCTCAGTTGGTAAGTCTTTGAAGACGAATGACTATGACGATGCACGAGATATAGACTAACGATCTTTCTCTAAACTAGCCCCGACGTTTATTGCGGTCGTTCAGATGTGGTATCGACGAAAGGAGCAGACAACCCGTAATGCATCTTGGTATGCTATGCTTGGAGTTGTCAACATGGTGAGACACAAGCCGCGATGTCGTTCAAAGCCAACTGAGTCCCTTCTAACTATCGAGCCATAGCTCGGAAGTCTCCTCGCATACGGCCTAGGTCACATCAAATCGACTCTCCGACCATATCAAATCATCTTTCTATTCTGTGGCTGCATCACCGTTGCTTTTTCAGTCGTCATGTTGTACGTTGCAGGCAACCCCTCCTTGATTTTTCCTTTCCCAAAGCAAGCTTACTTATACTTGCACAGCTTCTTCATGCCTGATTCACCCATGGAGGCCAAGTTCCTCAAAGACGACGAAAAAGTCATTGCCATTGAGCGTCTCCGCATGAATCAGATGGGCATTGGCTCTGGTGTCTGGAAATGGGACCATGTCCGCGAAGCCATGCTCGACCCAAAGACGTGGCTCTGGTTCAGCCTCATGCTCACGATTTCGTAAGTTGCATAAAACCTCTACTCTACTGCAAAGAACGTCACTAATGACGACATTCACCACAGTATCCCTAGCGGTGGCATCTCTACTTTTGGTCCTCTCATCATCCAGTCTTTCGGCTTTGACTCGTTCACCACGATCCTCTTCTATATCCCCTTTGGCGCCGTCCAGATGATTTCTACTCTTGGTGGTGCCTGGGTCTCGGACAAAATACACATGAAGTCCGCCGTTCTATTGTTCCTCTGCCTCCCCCCCATCGCAGGCTGCGTCGTACTCCTCGTCACAGGCCGTGCTCCAGCTGACCGAGCTGTTCTCCTTGTCGGATACTACATCATTTCCGTGTACCCGGGAATTTCTCCTCTCATCTACTCTTGGTCCGGGCAGAATACCGCCGGTGATACAAAGCGAAAAGTAACCACCGCTATGCTCTTTATTGGAGCGAGCGTCGGCAACATTGTAGGCCCGCAGCTTTTCAAGCCCAGTGAGAAGCCGCGCTACGACCGCGGCCTGCGATCAAATCTGGCCCTCTTTGTGGTGCTGGCAGTTTTAATCGTTCTAGGCATGCTTTGGATCAAGATCCTCAACAGACGACAAGCGGCTAGACGGCGAGAGCTGGGCAAGTCAGAAGTGTTACGCGATCTGAGCATGATGGACAGGAAGAAAGGTGGCAGTGAGTATGACGAGGAAGTTCTCAACATGGGAGACGAGAATGTTGGAGACAAGGCATTCGAAGACGTGACGGACTTGCAAAATGAAGATTTCATCTATGTTTATTGATATGCACTAATGAGTGGGTATAATGTATATATAAATACGATTCCAATAATTTCCCAGTATTTTCGAGCTCTATGTGACATAATATGAGTGGATATATGAATTATACAAGGTATAAGATAGTTATATTTGAAAGACAAGGCGAACCTGTTTTTGCCAATTTGAGTCAAGTTGAAATGCTCAGGTCAAAGTTAGATTTTTTTTAACTTGCAAATAGTGGTATTGAAGGGTCACTTTCGTCACCACTTAAGGGTGTAATGGGACCTCTGTTCGACAGCATCCCACGGCCGCCATCTCCGCTACTTATGTTGGCATCGCTGCTAGTCTTCCATTCGCTCATGGTCACACCGCGCCGAAAGTGGGATGTCAAGTGCTGAACTCTTTCGTCCCAGCTATGTGTCTTGAGCTGGCAGAAACCGCACACGCTCTCAAACTTGTCTTGCCGATGCTGTAAGAGATGGAGGTCAGGCTTCCACCCTTCCCACTTGCGGCAGCGGTGGAATTTGTGCAGATGCTGCCATAGGTGATCTTTGCGAGTAAAGGTTCGCTCTGACACGGGACGTTCTGCACACGACTGAAACTCGTGAGATTGGAGATGTTCGTCTGTTGGCGATGTTTGTCCACAGAAGATGCATTCCGGCTCGCTATGATTGACGCGCCAAACGAGATATGACTGGTCTTTGGGTAGAGGCACTCGGCAGATCCAAGAATCGAGACCAGGTAAGTGAATAGATCTCTCATGGCGCACCCAGTCGTACTTCTTCTTGAAGCCCTGAAGACAGAAAGTGCACTGAAACATGAGTGCTTTTCCACGCTCAATTGCAGCTCCCGTAGGAATGGTGGTCGCTGATGGGCCGGACATTAGATCGCCGCCGTTGCCGCTATGGATGGAACTTTGCGCTGATAGGGAGAATATGCCTGCATCATCGGAATGATAAAAGGAAAAAGCGGACGAGCCAGAGTTGGACGACGCCTCGTAGCCGCGGGCAATGTTGTGGTTGAAAATGGCAGACTCGCTACTGGCTGAGGAAGCGGCGCCATCGGTGCCATAATTGCCATCAGAGTTGTAATTGTAAGCGTCTCCGCCATCAATTTGACTATTGGAGATGGCCTTTTCAATAGCTGCAGCTGAGACGGGTTCCTCGTTTGGCGGAGAATGTCTCCATCGTTCCATCGGAGACATGCCGGTCAGCAAGGTCTGGGGCATGGGAGATCCTTGCAAGAAGACTTTGCTGCTATTGTTATGGTGCGACTGCGCGGTCAGTCGGTGTCGGCGTCTAGCATTGGCGAACCAGTTGATGACCTGGGTCTTGCTCAAGCCGCTCTGCTCAGCAAGGTTGGATTTTTCGTCTTCGGATGGGTATGGGTGCTCTTGATGCGTGGCGAACCAGTTCCTTAGCACCCGAGTCTTCTTGACGGACCGAGTACTATTTCTCTTGTATGAGACAATAGATGAAGATCGAGTGGCAACCTGGCCAGCACCTCGCTCGATTCGCCATTGCCTCGTCCCATCGACGGCAGTAGCCCCGTCTCCCTCTTCATTCACACCATGCAGATGGCCAATGACAGGGAGCGCAGTCTCGTAAGCGGAGGCTTCTCTCTTGCTGCGCTCAGCAAGACTGCAGTCACGGTAGAGGGCCACACAGGCAGAGCAAGAGCTGATGGGATTTGGATTTGCAGAGGTGGTCTGAAGGATGAGGCACTGGAGGCGCAGTCGTCGACAGTAGTTGCAGGGGACAGGCGGGCGATGGGCGCCGTTCTTGATGAAGAACTCGTCGATGGCGTTGAGGTGGAGGCTCCTGGCGGCATCGGCATCCTCGCCTTGCGATGTCTGCTGCAGTAACTGCTGCTGTTGCTGATGAGATGCTTGCTGGCCGGATGCCCAGAAATCGTCGCCGACGAAATTATTCACCGAGTCTGCAGCAGCAAATGGCAGCGGTGCGGTGCCGTCAAAGGGAGAGCTGGAGCCGTCGCCAAGCAGGAGCCCGTCGCCGGGGCCGATTGCGGGACCGAGCTCATACTGGTACTCGGCGGGAAAGCCGGGGCCTCTTCCGGCAGGGCTGGCGTAAGGGCTGGCGGCGTAGGGATCGGAGGCAGAGAAGAAGGAGGGCCCAAACTGGTCCATGGACACGGACGTCTGCAGCTGACGCGGGTGCTGGTCTGAGGCCTGTGACGGTGGATGTGGATGTGGATGCTGGTGCTGGAACGGCAGCGGCTCCGAGTTTGAAGGCTGAAGCGGCAAGGCGGCCGCGTGAGGCTGGAGCTGGGGCTGGAGCTGGGGCTGGAGCTGGGGCTGGAGATGAGGCTGGAGATGAGGCTGGTGCGCAAAAGCGTCGTCCATCTGCATCTGCATCTGCATCTGCGCCGCATTGCCGACGTTGTGCCGACCTCCGATCTCGTCTTCGGCCACAAAGGCCAGGACGCCGTCATCCGCGGGATCCATCTGCCCAAAGGTCTCGGAATTTGCTGTAGTTCTGGTCCCGGATCAGCGCCCAGTGCTCCGTAAGCGCCCACCTTGACTCGCCTCCTCCTCGCCGTCTCACGACACGGCAAAACGCGCCTTGGCTGCGAGTCGTTGCGGAAACCGCCGTCGATTGCGCTTACACGAGTACACGAGGCCGAATCTGTGTCGGTTGGTCGACGCTTCTGCTGCTGCCCTGGCCGGATGGATCTGGAACGGATTCTCGTGCCACTGCCAGCGCCCAATCGCCACGCTGGGGCATGGATCGACAACCAGCTTCACAGCCCCGTGGTGCGGTGCGTGCGGCCACCAGCAGCCAACGTCGAGTCGGTGTCTCGGCCCTTCGGCGCGGGCCCCTTCGCTGGAGCTGCTGTTGGGGTCTCCGTTTGGGGTCCCTTTTTCGCTCGTCTGGCCGAGCACAGAATTGCGGTTGGCGGGAAGCGGAGAAGGCGCACGCTTGGAGGGTGAAGAGTGCTAAGATGGAGCGACATGGCCCGGTGGCTCTGCCTTGGTCGTAGCAGGAGGGCGCTTTTCTGGGCAGATGCAGCGGTCGAGGTACATGTATGTAGTAAGCGGGGGCCCAGCACGTGCGCCCTCTGATATACTGCAGGCCCATCTGCGCCCATTTTGCAGTGTCTGGCTTGGTGCCTGTTATCTACGGAGTACTTGTAGGTACGATATGGACGTGGGCTCTGGTACCACTGACTTGAATGCTTATACGAACGTATTAATGGCGCCTTGGGCAGATTTGTAAGACCAAGTGTATCTAGATGGCTATAATGCCAGGTGCAGTTCTTTGGCAACATTTATGGAATACTAATCCATGTGGCGACATGATGACTGAGCAGTACGATGGCAATGATGCCTTACACAAGTAGGGTATAGGTATATAGGTACGTTGCGCGAGATGTATGAGATGTATGCACATACGAAGCACGCCTTCTTCTACATGATATCCGGGCCTTTGGTGCTTTGCTGCGTCAGATGGACACGATGCTTGAAATCAACAACAGCGCCTTCCAAGGACAAGACCGGGCCAAAAGAGATGGAGGGAATTTCCAATCAAGCTGGTTTCAAGGTTTGCGATACGAGCTGCGTGGTGCTTGATATGAAATCAGTTACCTGCATGGACGACCCGGATTCGATCTTGGAGGGCGCTTTCAGCGCGCCCGAAATCGATGTTCAGGCGTGCGTGCTCATTTTTACAGCGCGTGTGGACGAATCAGGCCAGCAGCTCTCCGTATTATAGCGTCAATCTTACAGCGCTTTTACAGCGGACTTGTCGAAGAAACGCGCCTTCTGCATGTAAAGAGGGGGGCGGCGCTCGAGATTAGGTGCTACAAGCATATCAGCCCATACATGCACGCAAAGTACATGTACTGGGTACCTGCATGTACCCTCCAAGCACTCTCGTGTAGATGAAGCAGCGGCAGCATCAGCAAGCAAACAACACGATGAGACAAAATCAAGCAGCTGAAGCAAAAACCCAGCCAGCGCTGCGGATGTCTTCCCGCCCGCGCCGGCGTCGCCAGCACTTACCGTCTTGGGCGAATCTTGCAGGTAGAGCGCCAGCGCAAAAGATAGCTCCGGGTACATGTATAGGTAGTGTCTGTGCATGTATGGAGATGGAGATTGGCTTTTTGCGCCATGCCACGCCTGGGGATCGCCCCAGGGATGGCAAACCACACACAAACAGCGAGTCAAGCAAGATATAGGGCCTTTGTGTTAGTTAAAAGGGAGGCGAATCCCCTCAGTCTCTCTCCTCCCCATCCGCTCATCAGCGTCTCTTCTCCTCGAGTGCCTTGGTCAACTGCATGTCATCATCTCATCCTCACCCCCTTCATTCCCGCCTCTCCCTCGTGTCTGTCTCCCTTTCCCTTTCCCTTTATACATCGCACAATCCTCCGCAGCAGCCATGACTCGTGCTGGTCGCCGCCCCGTCTTCTTCAATCCCGCTGCCAAATCGTGGACGGCGCCGCCGACAGATTCCCCAGAGTTGGCGTATCGATTCCACCAACAGCTGCCGCAGTATAAGCCAACCAAGTTGATTCCTCTCGAGGCCCTGGCCAAGCAGCTTGGCGTCCGTGCCATCCACCTCAAGGACGAGACATGCCGGCTTGGACTCCCTTCCTTCAAGATCCTGGGGGCCTCGTGGGGCACCTTTCGAGCCATCGCCCAGAAACTCAGCCTTCCTCTGGACGCCTCCCTAGAGACCGTCAAACAGGCCCTATCATCCACCAGCGTCTCCCTATACGCAGCCACCGATGGAAACCATGGACGGGCCGTGGCTCGCATGGCGTCCATCCTGGGTGTCCCAGCCCAGATCCATGTGCCCAGGTGCATGCACAATGCTACCATTGAGCTGATCAAGTCAGAAGGCGCCCGTGTTGTCGTCTCAGATGGCTTCTACGACAAAGCTGTGGTGGATGCGCGAGAGGCAGCTGCGCAAGATGACACCGCCGTCGTGGTTCAGGACTTTGCCTCGGGGGACTATCTTCAGATTCCACAGGCAAGTATCCCAGTCCCGCCTATGCAACCCCCCTCTCCTCTAATTCTATCTGCCAGTGGATCGTCGATGGATACCGTACGATGATGCTGGAGATTGATAGCCAGCTAGGAGCTACTACCCCTGACCTCGTCGTGGTGCCAGTAGGCGTCGGCTCCTTTGCCCAGGCCGTCGTAACGCACTTTAAACAGCAGGGAAAACGAAGCGCAGTTTTGACAGTCGAACCAGATACGTCTGCTAGTCTCTGGAAGAGTCTCAAGCGCGGAAACTCCTTGACAATATCAGAAAAGGCGCCTAGTATCATGTCCGGTCTAGATTGTGGCACTCCTTCATCCATCTCCTGGTCAATGCTTCAGCACGGAGTCGACGCGAGCCTCTCTATTTCGGATTTTGAAGCCCATCAGGCTTGCGGATATTTGGCGTCCCAAAACATACCCGTCGGGCCTTGTGGTGCCGCCCCTGTTGCCGCTTTGAGGAGGCTGGAGGCCTCGGATAGAGAGAAGTTGGGCCTCACCGGGGACTCTGTTGTTGTCATCCTTTGCACAGAAGGCGTGAGAGATTATGAGGTCCCTCATGACGTGGCCAGCGATGACCCCGTAGAATTGACGCAAACATTGGTTAGGATTAACTCAGCTAGCCCCTCCTTAGGATCTATCCCTGGCCCTGGAGAGACAGCCATCGCCCGCTACATTACAGCCTGGATGGAGCATCGGGACATTGAGACCCACTGGATCGAGCCAACGCCGGGGCGACCCTCTGTGGTGGGAGTTGTTCGAGGATCTGGCGGCGGCAAGAGTCTGATGCTCAACGGTCACACTGATACCGTGAATATTACAGAGTATGAGGGTGATCCACTCAGCGGCGATATCCGAGATGGCAAGCTCTATGGGCGTGGAGCTGCCGATATGAAATGCGGTGTTGCGGCCGCCATGGTCGCCCTCGCCAATGCGAAGAAGCAAGGCTTAAAAGGAGACGTCATCTTTGCTGGAGTAGCAGACGAGGAGTTTGCCAGCATCGGCACGCAGCAGGTATTAGAGGCAGGCTGGACCGCCGATGCCGCTCTCGTGAATGAGCCGACCAACTTGGAAATTATGTACGCACACAAGGGCTTCATCTGGTTCGAGGTAGATATCCATGGCCTTGCATCTCATGGATCACGATATGATCTTGGTATCGACGCCATCTGTAAAGCAGGATATTTTCTCGTCGAGCTGGATAAGCATGCAACCCATCTTACGCAGCAGGCTGGCGATCCCACTCTTGGACCAGGAAGCATACACGCCTCCATCATCAACGGTGGCGAGGAGATCTCATCTTACCCTTCCTTTACGCAGATTCAGCTGGAACGTCGAACCGTCACCGGCGAAACACAAGAGTCTGTTGAAAAGGAACTGCGAGAAATTCTCGATGGGCTAGTTGAAAGAATTCCCAACTTCAAATACGACATCCGCGCAACGTTCCAACGCTCACCTTTCAAAGCCTCTCTTGACCATCCATTCACCAAACTCGTTCGGAAACAGATCACTCACACTCTAGGCGAAGAAGCAGTGGTCGTTGGAGCTCCATACTGGACCGATTGCGCATTACTGGCCGATCAGGGTATTCCCGTGCTGCTTTGGGGACCAAAGGGAGCTGGACTACATGGAAAGGTGGAATATGTCGAGGTTGATTCAATAAATCAGGTTGCAGATACACTGACAGCAATTGCTGCAGAGTTCTGTAGCTAGTATAAACCAAAGCACTAAATGGATAAAAAAAGTAAAATATTATTATATAGATCATCTGCATCATTGCGACTTTAATGGCATCCACATTTTGAACATGTGCATACAAAGTCTGCTACTACTCCCTAAAGTTCTCCCGAATCGCTGATCAAACCCATATCCTCAAACGTACTCCTTAGCCTCTGCTGTCATTGCCTCAGCCTTTTCCGGAGGAATCGTTGCTGTCAGACCAAGAGAGGCCGCAATTGCAAACAGCCTTTCCTTTTCCTGTGTAGCGGCATCATCGCCAAACACGCGATCCATATCCTCCAAGGTTCGTCCTTTGGTCTCGGGCACGCAAAAGTATGTAAACACCAGACCAATCAGACAGAAGGCCGCAAAGAAGATGTAAGTTCCCCACTTGAGGGTTTCAAGCATATCTGGCGTCACCAACCCGATGATAAAGTTGCACATCCAGGTAGCACTTGTGGTGATGGCCATGGCCTTGGATCTGCTGCCCAAGTTGAAGATTTCCGAAGGATAGACCCATCCGATGGGGGCAAAAGAGTACGAGAAGTTGATGTCGTAGATGTAGATGAAGGCGATGCCAACCCATCCTGCAGAAGGATGATCGGCAAGGGCAGAGCCGTACTTTCCGACGATTGAACCGACAATAATGAGCGAGATGAATGTGCCCGTAGCACCACACATGAGCAATGGCCGTCTTCCGACTCGGTCGATAAGGAAGAGGGCAGGCAAAGTGCTCAAGGTATTGACAATGCCATACACACCAGTTGCGAGAAGAGAGGTGGTGTTTCCCGAGAGTCCCAGCTGTCCAAAGATAGTCGGAGCATAGTAGATCAGAGCGTTGCATCCTTGGAACTGCTGCAGGAACATGATGGCGCTACCGATGAACACACGCTTGAAGCTGGGCCAAGATGACAGTAAACCGTAGTATTCGGCGAAGAAAAGGCTGACACCGCTCTTGTCGGGATATTTTTCTTTTGAGTGAGCTTCATCGAACAACACTTCGGCCTTGATGGAGAGATACTCTTCTCTCAGCGACTCGGAATCGGGGTGGACGCGGCGGAGACGAGCCAATGAGCGAAGAGCTGCTTCTTCGTTCTTTCGCATAAGATGGAAACGAGGTGACTCGGGGTAGAAGATCATTCCAACGCCGAGAACGAGGGCGGGAACAATCTGCAGAGCAAAGGGGATTCTCCAGGCGGCTTGGCTTTGTCCAGTGCAGCCGTTGGGGCCGACGTCGTGCGCGGGATCGAAAGTCGGCTTATCAGGCGTGCCTCCTGTGTAGGGGATATCGGGGGCGCAACGAGTGCCGCCGATGTACTGAGTGCCGTATTCAAGCCAGTAGCTGACGAGGATACCCAGAGTAATGCTCACTGTATAAGTGGTTTCTTGTTTAGCAAGGTGTTTGGGTAGTCGGAACAAACTGGTCATCATGACTTACACTGCTGCAGCACCACAAGAGTTCCTCGAATACCTGCGGTAGAGACCTCTGACATGTACATGGGAACAATCATTGTGAGCATACCAACTGCCAGACCGGCAACGGCTCGTCCTATTCAAATCGTTACCAACTATAGTCCTTGGGAGATTTAACGCCATGGCTTTTCTCTGAGACTTACCACCAAACAGCATACCGATGGTGCTTGCGCCAGCTTGCAGAGAGGATCCAAGAAGGAATACGACGACAGCAGCCAGCATCGAGCCTTTTCTGCCAAAGCGGTCCGCAATCGGTCCATTCGCCAGCGAGCCAAACCATGCCGTCAGAAGCAGCGTAGAGACGAACCAGCCCTTGAAACCGCTGTCCAAGTAAATCCTTGGGAACAATGCGCCAAAATTCTCCATCCCCAGAACGCCCGAGACGACGCCCTGATCATATCCAAAGAGGAAACCACCAAGAGATGCAAACTATCATGCATGTTAGTGGATGTTGCCATTTCTTTCAAGAGCATGTATAGCTTGAATAGATCCAACTTACAGCTGAAAGGCCAAATACATAGGGGTTATCGCGAAGTTGGCGAAACACGCCCTTTGTGGGCTGCAATGCAGCGCCGTCAGCTGGATTTGACGACATCTTGAGTCTCGTTGCTTGCAATGTTCTTCCAAAACCGTCAAAAAGGCACCTGAGAATCCACTGCAACAAGAACACTTTAAGACATGTCGTTCAGAACCCGCAAACTGCAGTGGATCGGCAGACCTTTATACTTGATCCTCTTCCCCAGCTCCTTCTTCCCTTTTTTCCTTGATATGATTCCACAATAACGGGTCTCCCCATGTTTGACCGCACTCAGGGTGACAGTCGCCCTGGGACCCGGCACTCGCTCTCCGCATTTTCCCCTCCTTGTGCAAGGCTACCAAAAGCTAGCAAGGAAGCTATTTCGTCGCGCCGACAAGCCTTAGCCCCAGCCAAACACGTTCTATGTGGGGGAGAGATCGTCATCAAGCCCAATGAGTGGCTTTACCATGGGGATATCATTGGAGAAGCGTCTTACGCATCAGAACTGTAGTTGCACGCTATTCATTCAAGACCGCGTAAAGAACGGATACCCGCCCTTTGTTACTTTCGTTATGGCAAAGGGTTCACATATGCCCTATGTGGGGGGGGGGGGGGGGGTTGGTCTCGGGCGATTCAAGTCCAGGTATCGGAAGTTGCACGAGCGTGTTTCTCCACATTGATACCACGGCAGTGGAGTTTAGTGCCCGCAGAAAGCAGGGATGGGAGTTTGCCGTCACACACACACACACAAAAGAAAAAGAGAGAGACGCTCAAGTGACGTGAGGGTCACAGCCATGCGGTGGGCTAGCCGTTCGACGTTTGGTTGTTTTACGGTTAATGCACGAGTCATGGCAGCGGATCTTGCCCCCCTCCCTTTTAGCAGAGACAGAGAGCAGAACGTGGATGATTCCAACCAGGAAATGATGTACTTTTCTCCGAGGAGCGGCCAGGAACGGACTGCCCTAGTGATGACAATGTTGGGGAAATTGCGGAGACGAAAAGCCTGCGGCGCTCCCCAATTTGGGATCTTGACTTGTGCACAGGCAAGTTTTGGCGCCACAAGATCTTGAACATTTTAAAGAAATCATCTTGGCTGGAGGCATGGACAAGAGAAGACGCAAATAATTGAGAGCGTAATAAAGTATTTTGAAGATGCTCTTATAGATCTTAATCTAGGGAATTGCAGTTTTAACTGAGCATCTGCAAGTGTATTAATAGATGATCTAAACCGAAGATGGCTAATGCTTAAAATCGGCGGCAAATGCAAGACTGGGAGAGGCAGTCGTCATTTCCAATGGAGGAATGTTGAACAATTTCGACGAGTGCTATCATCTGTTGATTCTCATGTCTGCAACCACCTCTCTAATGATACCGGTAATTTATAGATATATAGACCATTAACGCCAAACGTAGCCCAGCTACTCGAATACGCCGACTGTATAATCTAACACACATACTTTCTCAATAATAGGCCCGGCGTTCGTCTTAAACGCCTGGTGTATAGGATCTTGATCAACATAGTAGTCTCTGTCTTCAACAGACGCAAATTCGACAACAAAGGCGTGCGTAAACCCATTCTAAAGCCCATGTCAGTTAAAGCAACCGGGTGCGTGCTGCATTACAATCGTCAAGTCTGCCACCCACTTGATGAGGTTCGGGCGAATTGTTTGTGCCGCCCGTCAAGGACTTGATATAAGTCGTCTGCATCGTTGGATGCAAACAGCCACTCTTCAGAGCCAGCATTTCCGAGCAAACCTGGTGTAACAAATGTTTGGGTTAGTACCGGGATAACGCTGATCACTCGCAAATGCGCACATTTTGAATAGCTTCGGCGGTGGCGGAAGATTTGTATTTAAACAAGACAACGTGGATGACGCTCATTTTAGGTGTATTTAGACGGAAATAGACACTGAGCTGTAATTGAATCGCTGTTTTTTCGGCTTTGTGGAATTTTTAGAGGAGCGCAAGAACGGAGTGAGGGGTAGTAAGAGTTGCGGGGCTGAAACTGAATTAGGTAAACAATCAACACGCAGTTGCTTCAGCGAGGAATCGGGATTTAGAGGACGTCCTTTATTCGAGAGAAGACAAGGTGCAGGTCTTTAAACATTTAGAACAATAACCCTCGTTGACTGCGCCCGATTTCGCTTAAAAAGCTAACCTAGGTCTATTGTATTGTGTTGGAATAGGAATTGCAGCTCGATAAGCCTAAATATGTAGCAGATGGCAACAGCCAGGCTCAATAACCTTTTTCTGGCTATTAAATACCACAATGGAAACCCTCTTCTCGGTCAAATACAAGGCTTTTTACATCTCTCTCAAGCACCTAATAACGGACTGTTTTTCTATTTCCAAAATATTATTGCGTGTATGCGTACAGCCAGCCCCGCATGAGCCATGAAAAGTACAAGTAGCCACATGTCCAATCACTAAATGTAGAGGAATTCACCACAATATGATCATCTCAATTCTTTGAATATACCAAGGGCTCCAAAGTCATCGGTATACGGCTTTCTGGCCTTCTTTCGAAAAACTTCTCCCGGACCCGCAAGCTGAAACTCATGCTTCCAAGTTAAACAGCCCATCTCAACGTCGGTACGAGACCTCAACCACGAAGATGTTGACGGGCAGCCAAACTTTAGAATGAAGTATTCTTTAGGGTATCCTGGTAATCTTGCCCGTTTTGCACTCTCATTGAAATCCAACCACCAAAAGAAACTGTCGGATTCATATGGTATTAAGTCGAATGTATCGTTGGAGGAACCCATGTATGCTACTTGAATTCTCCCATCTATTGCAATTATGTCGATGAAGAAGTTTTCAGTGACGTTATAATAGCGGCCGGTATACGCTGTAATATCTCGCGTGGGCTGGTCGATAGTTTTACCAGCTAAAAGTTCTTTGTGTACTGTGTTCACAGACTCAATAGTGTTTTTACTAGCAGCGATAGCTATATTGAGATATGTATCCGCATCGACTTTATTTCCTAGAACAGTCTCCACAATGACTTGGCCTAGAAGTCTCATAGTGTCAGTTAATCCGGCAGAGTTCCCTAAAACGACGACCGCAGTCGATGTTTCTGGAAAAAGCGTAATATAACCAACATTTCCGGCTATGTATCCTTGATGATGTATCATGAGGCGCGAGGCTGATCCGCTACCCAGAAGCGGTGGCGCGTAATCGACGAATAAATCAACAATGGCGGGGAGTTCTGCCCGAATCCACCCTGAAGCATAACTGTATTCTCTCAGAGATTGGTTGGGTACTCCAACCTTACCCTGTAAGAGCTGTGGCGTCTGTTTAAAAACATTTTTGGCTCCTAACACTGACCTTTGAACTACTTGAGAGTTCGCGGCGTTAACCAGAGCCTTATACAGCACCAAAAGATCGCTGATAGAGCTACGTATTGCGCCCGCTGCTCCAATTAGTAAGTTTTTGCCATGACCCCACGGCGGAACCTCATAGAAGGAACCGTCCTCCAATGTAGTATAGGATTTGGCAGTGTTATTATCGAACGGTTCCTCAGCGTAAAAAGTCCGATTTAAACCCAGTGGCTCGATAATACGCTTATGAAGTAGCTCTGAGTAGGTAGAACCAGTCGATTTCTCAAGAACCTGACCAAGAACTTCGTAGGCGATGTTGTTATAGATGAACTCGGTACGTAAGGCGCTAGCAGCTGGTGAATAGTTCAAAATCGGAATCGCTTCCGAACGGTTTAATAGGATCTGGTTATCCGAGCTAAGCCAAAGACCATCATAGGATGCGAGGCCGGTTCTGTGGCTTAGGAGATCTTCAATCGTGATGTTCGCCTGAGCATCATTTCGCTGGTATTCCGGGAAGATTTGATATAGCTGGGTTGAAAAGTCTAGCTTCCCCTCGTCAATCACCATGCCGATCATTGAAGCTGTAATAGCCTTCGTCATGGAGCAGACAACAAAGCTCGTGTCAACATTAGGCTCAACTTGGCGCTTGACGTCTTGAAACCCGTAACTGGCGGTATGAAGAATTTCGCCATCATGCAAAACACCAAGAGAAACCCCAGGAGTTCCGGTGATATTACAAATCTGCACAATGAGGGGGCCCAAAGCTTCGAGGCGAGATTTCATCAGCCTGGCGAAAAAAGAAAAACATGAGTTCAAGGTCATCAGTCAGAGCAAAGGCTGTGACATACATCGCTGCTAATTGCTAGCTACATTCGCCTTTATTAAACCCAGTGGCTAAAAGATGTAGAAAATGAAAACAGCTCAACTTGGCTGTAGACAGCGAGGATGGAGAAAGACATGAGCTAATAAGAGTGGCCCCCTAAATGCCCGCCGATAATTTTATCGAGTTGCTGCTTTTTAGGAAACTCGACTGTTATAATAATTATATTCGCATAGGGGACGCCTTGTAAGGAGTCTTTAATTATTTGATTTTATGTGCGTAGCATGGATACTGGGACAAAAAGAATACTTCAGCCAGTGGCCGTTTATTTTCTTTGTTTGAGTCACATGCGGCAAAGCTTGGCCGACTGCGATAATTCATCTAAAGCAAGCATTGAAACTCGACTGGTCCATGCATGCTCCCCGTGGAAGGGCTGCCAATGAAAGATCACTTCGGCGACAATTCGGCAACAATATGTGCTGTTGGGTATCATTTCTTATTTTGCATATAAGGAATAAAGCTAAGGCAGTGATTGGCCTAATAATATCATGGGCTCCTAAGTTCAATTACAGATAAGCCTGTGTGCCATCTATAAGGCCGGCTGCATCGGTTCCATCTGGATATCGCTGAATGACTCCCAGAACGTAAAGCATGATGACTCGTCTAGTAAAGCGTTAAGAATATCGTCATTAACCAGAGGTACCATCATCGCATCGTTCGAAAAAGACCCGCGAGGTTGGGAGAAATCAGTTGAGTTTGATTCACTCATCGTTGAGCTGGAAGAATAGTTTGGGTGTAGCTGGCGGATTGCTTCTAAGAAGACGCCTCGGTAAACAGAAGCTGATGTATACATCTCTTCTAATTCTTCCATAACCATCATGCAAAGCTCAAGCTTATTGAGGCTAAGACGCCGAGATAATGCATCTTCAGATTTGCAATTAAGAAGATGCACATGCATGGCCGATACTAATAGTGGAGCACTACCAGGAATTAGATGCCATGGCCGAAATTTTAATGAATGAGATAGAAACTCACGTCATAGGACTAGCAAAGGGGAGAAGCTTGTCCCGGACAATATTGTCCACGATAGCGTTTGAACGGAGAGCAGCGGAGTCCATTTTATTTCGTACATCAACTTGCCATGTCTGCTTATTCTCAAGAGGCATGTCTGATGGAGCGTTGGCAATGTAAGGACAATATAGAGTGATTAAAATAGCACTGTACCATGTAAGCAAGTAGTATTGTGATACAGAGGGGAAAATGGAGACTCACTAATAATTTAATTGTAGGTGGTATAGATAGAAGGATGACAGACGACTCTGCTCGTTGCCATGATTCTCTGGAATGTGGAACTGTAATATTTTTGCTTCAAGAGATTGTATCTGTTGGAGCATGGGGCTTGGGCCGAAAGGTTGATAGCATAAAGTGAGAACATCACCCAAAAGCTTGTTTAGCTGGATTAAGATAACCCAGTACTCAGCGAGCTGAGGCAAGTCATCTGGGATATATCCCTTGGCGACTGAAGGTGGTATCTGACTTAGATCGCTGACGACATCGACGGCTGAAGCCATCGGCATATTGCAGTCGTTCAGGTTGATCCTCATTGGCCGCCCCAGTGTGAGGCTTAGTGATCGATCTCGGAAGAAACAAGACCACCAGAGACGACGCCAGAGACGACGCCGATGGTTAGAGAAAGATGTATTGAACTTGACCGAATCTGGGTCTCGATGCAAGCCCAAAATTTGGGCAAGGCTAATGGCGACTCCGGTCCAATACCACGGCTGTGAGTGTCCATCCCATTTCGAGTGCCAAAACCCCATGAGGAGAGCCGATTGTAGGAGAACTAGTTTATCTGTCTCGCCACCATTGTCGTACATGCACTATGATGCCAAAGAGTATTAGCGAGATAACCAACGGAACAGTGCAGCGAGAGTTAGAGAATGGTGATTATCTACCTTTGCACGCGAATACATGGCAGATTTCATCTCATTGCGCGAAGAATAGCCCTCCAGAGTCCACACATGGGCGTCGACGAACTATGAGACATGGTTAGTAAATAAATTAACATTACAAAGGAAATCTCGATGTCAAGATCAAGTGTACTTACATTTGCTGCTACGAAGAACATGCTCCATAATAATAGCAAATTCCACTCACTGGCTTTGCCCGTTTGATGCAATTTGAGGAGCACCGAGGCATCAACAACCGGCATGATTGGGTGGACATGATGAAAGTACGCGCGTAGGAGTTCATTGCATGTACTTTTCTGAGGTAGAGTGAAGACTCCCTTGCACCGGAGATACTCGCGGTCCTCATCTGACAATGAGACGGGTGCTTCTGATATTAGTATATGCCGCGCGGCAGGCTGCTGTGACGGCGAACACGCATCGAGAATGGATGTGAACCCCGGGGCTTCCCCTAATTCGAGCATAAGCATAATGACCTGACAAGGTTGCAGCATAATGGCTATACCTGTATAAAACGGAACACGGGCAGCCTGATTATTTTGGCCTAATGCTGTGGAGGATATCTCAGTCCCGGTACGCTGTTCGTCTTGGTTGCCGCGAATATCAGTGCCAGAATGAGAGCTTCGGGCTTCTCCGGCTCTCTTGGACTCATCACTTGGAGATGTATAGCTTGTGGTTGCGCTGAGTCCCTGTTCTACAGAAGCCGGAGACCTTGATTGCTGCACTCTCCTACAAGAAGCCGGAGACATTGATTGCTGCACTCTCCTACATTCAGCTTCTGGAAGGCTTAGTTCAAGGTCAACAGGCCCACGAAAGGAGTCCTGATGACCAAATGGCTCCTTTGGTTGCTGCCGCCTAGAATCATGTAAAACAACATAAGCAGGTGTCTTTCCGAAATCAAGCTCCACATGCCGAATCTCACTTTAGGCCTTGAGTCTGATGGACAATGCAGTCGATGCTATCTTGGGTGCATCCGACACACGGGATGCCGGTCACTGAGACGCTGCAGCGCACTTTGCGCCGACGACAGTTTTGGCAAGCAAATGCCGAGCGATGGCGGCGAGGAGTCGACATGGCGATGTAGCCAGTTAGATCAAGGAAAGGCGAGAACATCGTATAAGACAGGCCACAAGGCCCTTTTTACTCGGATAGCTGGGGCGGCGGTTCCGAGGTTCTCGGCGAGAGGATCACGTGATTTACCGAGGCAAAGGATACTTGTGGAAACTGATGGGAGCTTGAGGGTTGCAGGTCTTTTATAGCCCTAAAGTTGAGATAGGGCAAAAGGGGTTACTGGGTGCGATATAAACGTCCTTGATACGCCTTCTGTGTGGAGAATGAAGACTCGCCCTGCTTCAGGGGGCCAAAGCCCAATCGCGAGAATCTGTCAGATGTTACATGTACCAACGCAGCGAATAACACAACTGCATGTACTGCCAAATTGCAAGAGACTCCCAAGCCATTTACAATCACGGTGATGAAGCTTTAATGTTCTCATTTGAAGAGATAATGTGACATGAATATGTGGATAGACCGGAGCAGTGCCTGACTTAAGTCCATACCCCTTGTATCGGAGTCTCCAGTCCTCTATTCGCAACTAGCCATAAACGCTACTTTCAGGAGTTCACAATCCTCCAATTAAAACCTGCTTCCATTATCTCTTTACTCGGATCATGCAGCATGAGTCAATTTTTGTGGTTCTTTGAGTGAATATCTCACCGTTGTACATCTATATAACTCAAAATTCCCCATTGTTTTGCTTCCTGGTCAACGTTTTACTTCTAATTTTGATCTCGTAGACGTTTGACTAGAGGTCCCGAGGCACTGATATTCAGCTTCTAATAATATCAGGTCTGCATTGTCTGTATTGTCTCTATCGTCTACTTCTGTATGGTGTCGTATCTGTGCTCCATGCTGCCTCCCCTACGACAGTTCTCTAAGAGGGCTATTCGGGCCCTATAGTATCGATTGCAGCCAACAGCAATATTCTTCCTGCATCTCCTTGTCGCCCGAAGTGCCCTAGCTAGCACACCACTAGTATTATTGTACAGGAAAGAGCCCTTTTCAACCCGCGACACTACTAGACCATCGCAAAATCTCCAACGCTATCCACTGGTCAAATTCTTTCCCGTAATACGGCACTACCCCTAGAAGCTGCTATACTCTCTGTTATGTAGCAAATTATTACGAATATAGAAATTGTTAGAGACGTTATTGTCGGAAAGATACTGTATAGGGTTGAATATTAACAAATGCAATACTCAAAAATATAATTACCCAATTTCAATACCATTGACGAGATATATTTACCTGAGCCTGGTCAGAGCTATAAATAAAGATCACTAACCCTGGTTAAATGTAGTTAATTCACCCATGAACAAAATTGGAGAAATATTAGCCATGAGCCTACATTATGGTTGATCCAACTAAACATGAGGTATCTAACGCTAATTGGAAAGTTGACACAACACCATACGATTAGCTGCAAGTTTAGCCGCCATTATACTGCGAAAAGACCTCCAATCAGACACCAAGGCAGTAAATATGAGACTGTTCTAGTAGATGGTTTGCCTCATAACACAGAAAAGAACTTCTCGGACCGCGGAGATTTTGCAATCTATGTTAGACGCCCCGTTCTAATACTAGTGATACGCCCTGCTTATATGCAAATAAACTACATGCTGCCTACTTTAATAATGTTGTATTGCAACGGGATTACCTGTAAAAGATCAAAGCAGGTCATTGGCCAAAAGAATGTGCGTACAAGCCCCTGATCACGACCTATATACGTGTAGACGAGTCGTGCATTGACACGGGTTACCCGAATCGACCAGGACTTTCTTCATTGAGTATGGCCCACTTGCTGGTCCTAGAAGGCGCGAGTATTAACTCTAATCAAAAAACCAAATCCTCAATAATGAAAAAAAAAAAAAAATGTTAATCTTACAGGAATTTAGGTACCGTGATGTATTACTAGATGCTGTGTATATGCCATCTTGCCCTCAAATCGGTCTTCCAAGTCCATTATCAACACCTTCCCCAGTTTGAATACAAGAAACCCTCAACAAACCAAAGTAGATACGCTCCATTCAGCCAATCATAAGTGTCCCATACTTATCTGAGCAAAATTTCCTGCGTCGAACTTTCCAGGACTTTCTGATACATATCGGCAGCAGTGATGCAAATCGCCTCTAGATCGATTATAGGCGGACTCACAAGGTAACGGCGGCTATGCATCTGAGTGTGCTGGAGCGATTCTGCTCTAAGTATCTACTGATTATCTTTCGCAGTGGAACGTTCAACCAAATATTATGAATAAAAAAACTAGTTAAGGCTAGTCAGTGCCTACACGTCTGCTGCCTGCAGCCTGTTGCTTCTCGCAACTATGTCAACATGTGTATACTCGTCTCTTCCAGCCCGAAGAAGGTGGCCTTCTGCGGAAGACAAATCCCACTGTGGGCCTTCTAAATGCCACTGCAGCTGGTCATGGCGCGGGAAAAGCTGTCTCAGCACCTCTCCAGCGACGACTATGGTCAGACGGACCGAGAAACCCCCAGAAGCTGGACACTTCATCCCTCCAGCGGCAAATGGTATCCACCCATTGCTTTGACTGAGGACCGAGCTGTCAAGGTCTCCATCTGAGTGTAAGAATCGAGACGGCTTCCATTCAGCAGCAGCCGGGCCCCAGTACTTCGAGTCTCGAAGGATGGCTTCGGCGTCAATAGTTCGGTCAACGTCGGAGGTTCCCCCGGTGTTGAATGTTCGCTGGGCGTTGGCCTTTCGGCTCACCCGCATCCTTCGAATAGGCGGATAGAGGCGCAGAGACTCAAACACAACTGCCTTGGCCTGCGGTGAGGGTCGTTGACGTGCTGAGCAGTCGCGAAGAGATAGCAGCTCATCGACTCTTGATGGACGGTCCTGCAGCACGGCCAGCAACGTGTAAAAGACGGCTCGCCAGGGCACCTCGAAGGCGGGCATAACCAGGTCGAGGGGATTGAACGTCTCAGGAGTCCCAGATACGGTGCAGAGTAGCAGTTGCGCCAGGCCGTTTTTCTCTTTGGCCTCTGAGAAGACGCCACAGAGGCAGCTTATCAGGCGGTTCATGTTCTGTACAAAGGCCTCGGGAGCTGCGCCCAGTTTAGATGAGGCAGCATTCATGTTCTTTTTCCATACGGTGAGCCGATGGATTTCGGAACAGATATACGCAAGCGTGCTTCTTGGGATATGATCAATGTCGAAAAGTGCTTTGAGTACGGCCACCAGTGTCGCACTGCGGCTGATTTCCATAACATTGGCCCTTAGGATGGTACTTCCATCTGGAACGTTTTCAGACAAAATTAGATTCTGGACTGAGGCGGATACGGAGCGTGCAATGGCATCCCAGGCATCGCCGTTCGTTTTGGCAAAGGCCTTTATGAGAGCTTGTCTGTACGCCTTGCGCAAGTCTTCCGACCCGTTTGTGAAAGGGTTATTGAGCCTAAAGGTTTCCCTTAGAGAAGAAGCCCCGGCTGTGGAAGCTCGGGCAGCAACTGAAAAGTTGTGCATGGCGTCCAGTGCCTCATCAAGAGGATCAAAAGCGCGATCCAAGCGACTGTTCACGACTTTCCATGCCCCGGGTGCCGCAGTCGCTCTAAAACTTCAGAGGAAAAAAAGAAAACAGCCAGGTTAACAGAGTTCTGAATCTCGCTCTCTCTGATCTAATCAGCTAGCAACTCACACAAAACGTAGGAGCAACCAGGTGAAAGCCCCAATCAAGAGCAGCCATGCGGAATAATTTTCAATCATCTTTAAGGAGAGAGCCGCTATTTCTTTTCGTCTCTTACTCTTGTAAATTGGATGCGAGAGTATATATTGCATTTATAGATCATCGCATGTATTATTGCATGGCCCAATATATTACTAAAGAACTACTAAGAGAAGCTGTACTGGATCCCGTTTCTTTCCCGCCACACGACCCAACCTCTCTCAATGCTCGGTAGGTAACCTCTCCTGCATAGGTCCAGCAGCTATGGTAAGACATTTCTGACTCTAGGCTTCCTATATGTAGCAGAGAGAAAGTGGAGATGATGGCATGTGCGCATCCACCGTATAATGCTACATCCAATTAGAGTCGGACACGTTGTGTAAGGCTACATATAACCTGGCGCCTAATTATACATAGCTAAGATGTTTTCACCCTGCAGAATACAAAGAAATTAGACAGTAATACGCCATAAAGAATACTCATTAAAATCCGGCACTAGGGACTATGGATTGTCAAGACGAGAGTGTCTCATTTCAAGTTCACGTTCTTTTCTTAGGTATTACGCTCATCCATATGCCCCGTTTCATCGAGTTTTATGGTATCACTGCTCGATGGACCTGTGGGTGATAGCTTCAAGGAACTGTCTGAACTATGTAGGGAAACGCCCTACGTCTTTGTTGTTTGCTGGCCTTGCCTTAGCTTGCCTCGGAATCCAACTTCACCAAGGCAATCAAGCACAGCAGAAGATGTATCCCAGGCCGATGATGAGCCAATCCGCTCTTCATAACGTAATACGCTCAAAAGATTACATTATGACGTAGCACAGCAAGACACGGCACGAGGAGACACCGTCATACCTCTCTAAATGATTCAAGCCTATACCTCATGTCAAAAGTTTAAACATTCTAGTCTAGTCGATGCCATCGCTTACCAAGATCAAGATTGACTCTCCATTCCGCAGCAATACTAACTAGGGCTGAGGTAGTTCGAGAATATTCAAGCTCAACCACCGAAAATATAATACATGTAAATTTTCGAACCTGTGTAACATTCGGTTTAATCACTTCGCTGCATGGGCTGTTGTACGAATGCATTTAACAAGTGTATCTCGTCAAACAATTATTACCATACCGATATCTTATCGGAGCTCAAGTGGTGCAACCAGGAAGGAATAGTCACTTTTGTATTTTTCACGTAGATCACGCTGGGGAGGTTATCCACTCCCTGCGTTAAATTAGTGAATGCGTTTGTAACTAATGAGATCATGAATTACATCCCGCTCAATGCAAAACTCGATATTCATCTATCACTGCACTTTAATGCTACGTTCCCCTACAAGAGCCGGACACTTGGGTGCATTGAGCCTCAAAGAGCTGTTATAAGTTGCCTCTCGTCACCAACTTCGCCCAAATAGATGTGTATCTGACACAAGGCATTATCATAGCAGCACTGTAGGGACAGGCTAGCGAGTTAGCTTCGCCGTTGCTATTTCCTTGTCAACACACGCCATTCCTTGGTTAAGCGTTGATTGTCGAAGCCATCGAAATTGGCGAAGTTCTCGCCAGATTTTGGAGAACATAGTTCCCTAGATTTTGTGTAAAACACCACGAGAGTTAGAAAAATATTTGATATACAGTTTGTCTAAGTCTAATGTTGGTAACTAAATACAATATTTCTAAGATGAAGCAGTCGTTGTAGTCTAATGATTCTTCAGTCTAAGCCCTCTATAATATGTAACTGAAACAAAAATATCCTTAGAGAAGTGATAGCAAAAGGCACAGGTGATTGTCAAGATTTGACATTCATCTCAGTCATACAGTCTATCAGAGAGTAGCCGAATATCCGTAACAGGCTTCTAGATTCAAGAAGAAGCGTTAGAAGTGGTGGCTTTCGATTTTGGCGGCCACTTGACACGCCTTTCAGCACGAAGGTACAAGTTGTTCGGTCTGATTAGCTGGAACATCGGGTCATATTCCACGGCTGTATCTCCTTCCTGAGTAAATTTATATCGATAAATCAGCTTTGGCAAGAAGACTTTGACCTCCTGCAGTGCGAAGTTGAATCCAATACACATTCGTGAGCCCACAGCGAATGGCAGATATGATCCCTTGGGCCTATTCTTTACCTCCTCTGTGTCCCACCTATCGGGATCAAATTTAGCAGGATCGCTCCATATCTGAGGATTGTTGTGAATATGGTGCAAAGCAGGTATTATGACAGAGTCTTTAGGCATCTTATAGCCTCCTGGGAGAATAAGATCGGTTTTTGCTGTGCGTCCTGGCTGGAAAGATGGGTTGTGTTTGCGCTGCATCTCTTTGATATATTTGTCCTGGAAGACTAAGCGATCGGTATAGTCAGAAGTAAGTAGTGCTTCCTCATCAAAGTCGTTGTCAACCAGCTCCTGGAGAAGTCTCTCTTGCATTCCTGGGTAGGTAACCAGCCCATAGAGCAGCCAAGAGAGCAGCGAACTAGTGGTTGTGAAACCAGCGGCAGTGGCGACGATAAGAGCCCAAACAAGACTAGACTTTGGCAGCTTTTCGCCTTTGTTGTCGGTTGCACGAATTGCATAGTCTAGGTAATTTCCTACATTAGCGCGAGAATATCATATAGAGGTATATAGTGCTACTCACCAACCATGTTTGCTGCCTTCAAAGCAGCGTCTTGAAGTGGGAGGTCTTCCACACCACCACGGGCGGCTGCCTGAATAGATTCTTCGACCATTTCCTCAATGCGACGCTTTACCTCCTTTAGACGTTGTGGATCGCCAAAAGGTAGGTTGCTATACCAGTTGCCTTTAGACGTCACTTTCTTATTTAAGGACAATAGCTCAGCGATCAAAAGGGTCATCTCGTGCAGCGGTGCATCGGGCGAAGCAAAGTGGTTAAAGTTGATGCCTAAAGTGAGCTTGCCAACGGCTTGTGAACCAAGCTTTAACATGTATTGATAGGCATTCCAAGATTCACCCTGCTCATCGAGCTCGTCAAACACTTTGATAGCGTCTTCGATTGTTTTCTGCATAGTAGGTGCATAGTGACGGACCGCTTTAGGGCCAAGGGCAGGAGGCAGAAATTTATGAGCGATCCTCCATTCCTCTGTATCGGTGTCGCCCAAAAAGATACCAGCGGCCGGAGTTCTCAATGCATAAAGAGGATGATCCTCAGTAAGCTTCTTCGTGAAGAAGTCAGACTCTGCAAAAGCAATGGTAGCAATATCCGGGTCGTTTGTCTGGTATACGGTTCGACCCATGGTGATAGTCTTTATGACGGGACCATAACGCTCAAAGAGACGTTGGTGGTTGCCAAGGTGATCAGGATATATCTCAAGGAAGTTTCCGATGTAAGGCAAGCCCTTCGGGCCAGGCACATCACGGACAGCATGTCCGTCAATAGAAATAGCTACAGGACCCTCAACAGAGGAGACGTCTGAGACTTCTTGAAGCGCATTTTCTTGACTCTGAAACCCAATTCCTGTTTAGCCATTAGCAGCTGACTATATAAGGCGGGCTAAAAAGCGCGTCTCTCGGTTGCACTCACCACTGGGGTTAACAATAGCAAAGTAAGACGCAACCAAGTGTTTGAGTCCGTCAAAGTCTAAATTTGAATCGATCTCAATTGCTCTTGTAGCTGTTGCCGGTTCTCCAAGGAGAAAAAAGTGTTGTATCGCCATAATGTTTGAATGTGTTACGCTTTACTTTGAAAATGTGTGTCTGTGTTTCTATAGACTTCAACCTGTGCGAACCTTCATCCTTATAACTAAAATTCCCCATAGAATTACTGTACTATTCCAGTATCATGCACATGCCCCATCGCGATATTTTCATTGCTGTAAATAACGGCATACCGGCAGCTCAGACTTACATTCCACTCTCGGCATCTTCCAGCTTTCCGAGGAATCGGCTTCTCCGGATCCATTTCATTGGTTCGGTAAGCCCAACCAGGTAGCTATCAATCTTCGGGAAGAAACCCCTGACTCATATTGCCGCGGAAACTAGCCGTTTTAGGATAGCTCCAATTTAGTGGGGCAAGTCTGCATGATGGTGATTGATTGCAATCAGAGTGCTTGGGCTTTTCTGCATATATATGGAACAAAGAAATCTGTGAGCAAATGGGCTTTCGTAAGATCCATAAGAGAATTCTCTATTTATTTATATAAGCCCGATTTTTATAATTTTGAGGTTTTTCATTCTCTAATCTTGCCTCATTAAATTGTCTCGTTATTTTTCGGAATAAAACCTCCTGGGAGTCTTGCCAGCCTTTCTACGTAACAACATCCAATATATACCGCCTCATAACCATGCAGGAGTACACATTGGAAGATGTTGCCGTGCACAAAACAAGAGAAGATCTGTGGGTTGTAATCCAGGGAAAAGGTAACAAATCTTCATATAAATACACTGTCGTTCGTTCTTTGCATTTCTCTAACAAGGCCTCATTAGTCTACGATGTCTCGAAATATGTGCGAGATCATCCTGGCGGAGTTGATGTCCTTATTGAAGTTGCCGGGACAGATGCAACTGCTGCATATGAAGAGGCTGGACATTCAGAAGATGCAGATGAGATTTTGAAAAGCTTTTTGGTTGGCACTATCAAGGATTATGTTCAAAAGAGCAGCCCTGCCAAAACTGTTCGGCTGGTACAGAGGACTGTCGAGGATACAAAACCTACCAAAAGTTCGTCCTCCGCTCTTGGCATAGCTACAATGGCAGCTATCCCGCTAGCAGGTGGCCTTGGTCTTTCTCTGCTGCTTGCTTCGGATAGACGCATCAACCTTCCTGCCGCCTTGACCAATATCTCTCATCTCCCTCAGCTATCATCACACTGGCTTCCGGCCGCTCATTTGCCACAAGGAGGATTTGCAAACGGATTTATTGCCGCTTCCCTCTTTTGCGCCACTGTTGGGGGTGTTATTGGATCTCAACTATCTAAATTCACTGAGATTGAGTCAGGCTTCACCAAATATCCCCCGCACATCAAGAGCAAGAATATGGTAAAGCCCAACCCAAATCTCGCCAGAGGCTGGTTGGAGCCTAAGGGATACAAAGGTCTTCCTCTAATTAGAAAGGATGTGTTGTCACCAAACGTCTTTCTCTTTGTCTTCCAATTACCCAACCAAAACGATGTTATTGGTATCCCTATCGGCCAGCATGTAGCTATTAAAGCGACTATCGATGGAGCAGATGTCTCAAGGTCATATACTCCAGTTTCAAATAACACCGACCTGGGAAAACTGGAGTTGGTCATCAAGTGTTACCCGGACGGTCAACTTACCGGAAAATACCTTGCAAATCTTAAGATTGGCGACAAGGTTCTCTTCCGCGGTCCAAAGGGCGCAATGAGATACAAAAAAGGCCTTTGCAAGAAGATAGGAATGATTGCAGGAGGAACTGGCATTACGCCCATGTATCAACTTATTCGTGCAATCTGCGAAGACGATACAGATACGACCGAGATCAGCTTGATCTATGCCAACCGCACCGAAGAGGATATTCTTCTTCGTAAAGAGCTTGATACTTTTGCCAGAAACTATCCTAAGAACCTCAAGATCTGGTACATGCTAGACCAGCCTCCACAGAAGTGGCCGTACGGCAAAGGTTTCGTCACACAAGCTGTCATGACTTCTAAGCTACCTAAGTCGTCTCCTGATACCAAGGTTATGCTGTGCGGGCCTCCTGGAATGGTGAATGCCTCAAAGAAGGCATTGGTGGCTATGGGCTTCGAAGCGCCAGGAGCTGTTTCAAAGATTACAGATCAAATCTTCTGCTTCTAAAACTATACTTATAGTGAACGCATTTATGCTCTTGCTATAATAGACTTTTATTTTCCTGACACATATATAGATAGATACATATATAGACCTTTTTCTTTGAGTGATATCGACAATTCCTTTTCTCCTAACACTACATTTTACATTTCCCAGCTATGTGCTCGATATAAACAAGTATTCAAGAGTAAATAAAATCTAAGTATATTACTCAGTGCGACTATTAATGGAAAATTCACACTCTCAAGCTCATTTACCAAGGCTTCTCATAGTCTGCAATAAATGCATCACGTATGACACCCACGCCTTGCCGTACCCTATTCAAACCCAGTCTCGCATCAAATGGATTAACAGCGTGTCCATATAAAAACTCATTAACCTCCTTCTCGAGCCAAACAGCCTGTCCATCTCTATAATATGGTTTGCGAGGCAAGGCAATCTTGAATCTGGGTCGAATCTCCCGTTCTTGCCAGCGGAGAATTCGGCGTATATCACTGAGCAGGCTGCGATAATCTCCATTATCGGAAAATATTAAACGACCGAGCTCAAGTGAAGACAGTGTTGGTGGAATTTTGGCTAAAAATGAGAGCAGTTCGACCTTTTTGACAGATAAATTCCATAGCCTGAGATGCTGAAGCCGGGGCCAGCGATCAATGGGAAGATACGTCTCCAACAACGGGGGCGAATCTCCTTCATCGACAATGTCCGGATCTGTGTCAGCCGCAAAGGAAAAATGCTCCAAATCCACAGCCTTAGCTAGAGCACGACGCAACAGGCCGCTACGAAAAGCTGGCCAGCTCAATTGCTGCTGTCCGTCAATGTGGAGTGAAAGATCGAAGCGCCGAAGGCCAGGATGCTTAAGTACCGACACTATGTCATTGTACGCTTTGCATCGTTGCTCAAAAAGACGACAGTTAAGCCCAGTGAGAAGCTGATTTGAGTCAATGAGAAACTCGGACACGTGGTGGTGCCGATGCTCTTGTGCGAGAGCGCGGGCAACAATCTGACAGCCACGCCACATACCTCTAACCCGCTCAGCCCAGATGGTATCTTCTTCGTTAATCCATGCAGCGGCTCCGAAAGAAGATTGTCCCTCGTGACGTGCAGGCCAGCCGCGCGGGATAGGATAGTTAAAGCCGGGAGGGAAACCCCGAATCATCGGCGTCTTGTACAGCGGGCTGAATAGTAAGCCGTGAGCAGCTGGAGTAATAATAACGGTTTGCAATGATGAGAACTGCCGCAGCCCATATCGCAGGGCCTCTAGGTCAGAGTCGTTTGCAATTACTTCGTCCTGCTGGCGGACTAGATCTTGATAGTATGTCCACGATGCCTGCATTGACATCTCAGCGGCCGCTTGCTCCACTCGAGCAGGACTGTCCCACTGGCCTCCGGTATGGAACTCATGACGGCCAATCTCCTGAATGTTTTGTTGGCGCTCATTGTTAAACCAATTTTCATTAGTCTGCACGCCTATCTGCTCAGAGCCGCTATAACGTAGCAAGTCGGGCCGCCGTGCTGATGCATCTTCATACGCGGACCGTGGAAGCCGGGCATCGTCGTAGATGATTTCGATGACGCCATGACGAAAAGTCTCGTGGTCGGCGATGGCGCGGAAGACTTCAACATTGAGGGGATTCGCGGACAAGAAAACGCGGCTGATGCGCAGCGTTGATGTGCTGGCGAGAAGCTTGCATGCCAGACGAAGATTCTTGATATCGCTATTCCCAAGACGATTCGCGATATCTACTAGAAGCTCGATAGGAAGCTCCGTCAGCTGTGGGGAAGGCGGGTTATAGTAACAGGGCGCGAGTTCGCGCTGTGGGGAGAGCTTGCTGACGCAGGATCTGGCCGAGAGTAACTGTTCAGCCATCTCAACGGATACGCTCTGCGTGCTATCTCGATCAGCTCCTGCGTTTTGATTAAGCGAATTTGCTCCCGTGAGATCACAGATATCACAGATAGTAATAGATGGCGGTGAAGGGAGATCAGTTTATGTCCATGAGATAGACAGCAGATAACGCGTCGGAGAAATTGGGGCTGAACGCGTGCCAGCTGAAAAGTATTGCTCGGTAAGCACCCATGCAGCGCCGATAATATAGCACGGTAGATAACTTATAACGGGCATGTCTCAGCTCTAAGCATGCGGCCTAGTAGTAATATCGCTGTAGTACAACGTCGTTCTCTTGGAACGTATTACTCAATCTTGCTGGTAAGCCAAACAGAGAAAAGCAAAGCAACAATCAAAACTACAACAGCAGAAATTGTAAATGATAATGAAGTCTATTCTATTCTATTCTATTCTATTCTAAAACTGTCACAAAAATAGGAAACTCTATTCTATGCTCATACATAACGGAGATTCTAAAGCATCCACCATCTACAAGAGACCAATGCCAGTGAAGGCTCGGTATTCATCAGAATGAATCACCTTCTTATTACCACCATTGAAATCGCACTGGTAAATGTTACCGCCCAGATCAGCAATGTAGATGCGACCATTTTTGGTGTCTAGTTTGAGGCCAATTGCCTCCTTAAGATGTTTTGTGAGGATTTCATATCCCCTGGGAGAAACAGATTTCTCCAAAAGTCCCGCTTCATCCAATTGGACCTTATTCAAGGAATTTCCAAAGGGCATTTCACCACGATCAGTCCAATAGAGGGTATTCGTCTCTTCATCCATCTCCAAGTCAATTGGCTCAGGAAGACCGTTCAAGAGACACACAATATCATCTCTTGTTTGGGCAGACTGACCTGCGGGAGTTGCTATATTGGCCGAGAAAATGCGACCTTTGTTGCCCTTGGAGGGTCCTTTCTGAGTCCAATAGAATTTACCCAGTTTAGGAGCCACAGCGATACCAACGCACCACTTGGTATGGTCCCCCTTATCCTCTGGATTCTCAGAGTCTCCAGTCTTGATCAAGAGTTCTAGATCGGAACCATCGAAGTTGCATCGGAAAACCGAGAGGCCCTCACGATCAGAGAAGTAGATTTTTTCCGACTCACGGTCAATAGTCAGCTGTTTGGGAGTGTTGATAGAACCAGGAGAAACGACGGTACGGATATCGGTACCATCAATGTTTGCAGAGTAGACAGCGCCGTCATTATCTCCCATAACACCCATACAAGTCCAGAACATACGGCCATTTTCACGGTCTATATAAATGCCATCGGGCATTGACGTTTTGTCGACTAGAACTTTTTGAATCTTTCCATCTTGGCCTATTTGAAGGATTTGGCCTCCTGAGCTTATGTCTAGCACATCAGCGGCCAGGCCGACATCCAACACAACAATTTTGGGTTCGCTCAAGTGGGCATTGGTGGTGGTGGGCTTGACCTCTGACGAAGGGTAAAAACCGCCTTTGGCGCATTTAGCTCCCAGTTTACCGTGGTCCAAGTAATTCTTTTGCAAAAAGTCGACAGTCTTCTCAGGAGACAATCCACGCTCTGCAACGTAGTGGCTTTCGATAAAAGCTACTGTATCAAGGCCGACGCCTAACATCCCTAGCGTTAGCTGAAATCTATTATCAGAGTGCGTAAAACGATGCTGGAATTACTTACTATCCATCAACTTGCAGGGTGTTGCGCCGCCATTTATGAACATTTCTGTCCATAGGGAGTCGATTTCCTCTGGAACTGAAACTCCTTCAGCTAAAATAGTCAAAGTTTCGCGCTTAATAGCGGCCCAAAGGCGGTTAAAAATGAAGCCGGTTGACTCTTTTCTCGCAACAAACGGCAAAGTTGCGGCCTCCTTTGACCGCTCAACCATGAATGGGAAAATATCTTGCGTTGTGAAACCGTCCGTCATGAGTTCCACGATCATACACATTGGAGGCATATAGTAATGCATATTCAAGATTTGAGTCTTCCTGGCAGCGGAGACCTTCTCAATCATTTCAGAAGACTTGTATGAGGATGAATTCGAGGCCAGGATGCAGTCCGCTGGTGTAAGAGCGTCCAGCTCAGCAAAGGTATCAATCTTCAGCTGAATTTTTTCTGGAACAGCTTCTATGACAAGCCAAGCATTTGCAACAGCTTCTGGTATATTCTCGAACGCCTGGGTCTTGCCTGGCGTCTTTCCAGTCTTCTGAGCGTATGCGGCTACATTTTCTTCGACGTAGGCGATGCCGTCGCTTCGCTGCTGTGCACTGGGGTCTCGCATCCGCACATCATATCCTGCCGATGCCCAAATACAAGCTATGAGAAGTCGTTAGTATTTGCTTTCAAGATGGATAGATCCCACATACCTATTCTACGCCCCAGAACTCCAGCGCCCAAGACTGCGACAGGTCTGTTTCTGTAATTTGAAGGAGGCTGCCACGTGATGGCCATTATAGCGTATATTTGGCTAACGGTTTCGATTACTATAATTGATTCAAGTATGGTAGTTGACGTGCTGAGAAGTGTGGCGGATTTGAGAACAACAAAGGGGATACTCGGGCTTATATGGTGGCGGCTGAAGCCTATTCGTTTTTAATCCCTCTCTGTAAGTCCTTATCTCGCAAACTGATACAACTCCAGCAAAGCTGCGATTCCGGTTCGGAAAGCCCTGATTGGCGATAACACCATCATGGCTGGCGAACGACAATGCTCGAGGCTCTCAAGGTACGTACTTCGTACAAATTAGGAAATCCCTACACAGTGAATGCCGTTTCCGAGCCTCGCTATGTGGATCTTTCGTGGAAGCTTCTATAGCGGCTTCTATAGCGGCTTCTATTGACGTAGCCGTGAGAATACTAGCCTTCGATTGGCTAATACGCTGCTTGCCGAGGTTTGTATTAGCGTCCCGGCACTTTGCATGAGCCACTTTGGCACTGCCGGCATACCACAGATGAGATCGCAATATGTTCGGGACGTTGATGATGTAGGAAGATGCGTCAAACTGTTAAAAAGAATTATTTCCTTAATACAGGCCGCGTAACAACTTTTTATGCTAGCCGGATGATCCGAAGTAAGGGGAACCTTGGCAAGCGTACATACATGAAACTACGCAACGTACCTGACTAACTTGCTAAAGACATACTGCTTTCTTATTGCGAACTTGGCAGCGAAAATCCTCAAATAATTGCGCTTTAAGTATTCACATTGAATATATCATAGATATCCTTATACCACATTATATGTTATATTTATCACAATTATTACAAGAAATATACAGCGGATATGCACTGTATAAAGATTGAACATAGGTTTCAAAATTAATATGCTATATCAGTACAGAACGCTCAGCTAACAGTATTAGTATGGCTCTTAATTCACCCTATGTTGTATAATGACTTGGCATTAATGATCCTATTTTTAGATATCGCCCGACTAGTTCTGTTTGATCTTGGTAGATTCGGTACGGCTTCCGGGTGGTGGGTTCACAACCTTTTTGCCTCATCTCCCGAGAAAGACGACTGCTGGCAAAAACCCATTCACTGCCGAGTTCTACAAGCTGAAGCATAATCCACATCCAACTTCTTCTTATTCTTTCCGAGGTACGGAATCGTCCAAAGTCCCCATTTTGAGCCCGCGTGTCTGTAACCGCCTTATCCGAGCATGGCGGCAGCAAGAGCTCAAAGCTATGGATTCCATATTAGGTAGTAAAAGCTAGTCTAGCTCCAGTTCTATGTCGGTTCAAGTCGAAATCTTGGATACGCGTATTATTTTCCTTCTAGCCGAAAGAACCAACCGATATGGACTTCACTGTACTCCGTACTTATCGCTCACATAGCTCGGGAACCCCCCCATCCGAGCCTTTTTTTTTTTTTTCTCCTTCGGCAAGATAGAGCAGCCTATGATGCATATCGGAAAAGTAGGGTTTACGAACGTATTAGCTATGATATCGGACGAAAATATATCGCATGAGAAAAACTTAATAAGGAATATGGAAAGTCATTAGCTAACTTCAAGCCACGATCCTTACGCGCATTGATAGGCGCCCGCGGAAGTAGGATATCTTGTCAACTGTTTAGGTAGAACCTAAGCCAAATACAAAGTAAACAGAAATGTAAAGAATTGCATACTCTCCTTCCTCCGTCTAGAGACACCCTGTATACATGTATGTATCTATGCATCACTCCGGCCATCCCACCATCCCATATGTACAAAAACAATAACTGAATAAAAACAAAGACGTCAAAAACCGTACATCTTCGTCAGGCAATGCCTCATTGCACCTCATACCTCATTGCATCTCATACCTCATGCTAATCCTCATTCTCGCCCAAAGCCTTAAAAGGTTACGGTGGGCAAATCCGACATATGCACCTTTGCTCCTCCATACGGCACCAGCCTGTACGACCGCCTCGGCCCCACACATGTCCTACCCTGGGGTGGCACATCCGGCGTGACGCCGAGATACAACGGCCAGTCGATCTGGCAGCCATCAACGGTCATGTAGTTCGGCGGAGCGCCCTGCTCGAAAATGGGATCTGGGAGGGTCGCACTACTGCTGACTCCGTGGTATTGTATCGTAGAAGGATCAATGGCAACATTCCACGGCTTGGTGCTGTTGATATAATAGTCGCGCAGCTCTGAAAATGGCAGGCCCGAAATGCCAGGACCAGTGGGATTGTAATACGCATGCGGCAGTGATGAAGTCTCCGCAAAGCCAACATCCAGCGCATAGAGCAAGTTTCCATAAAAGACCGCCACGCTGTTGTTAGGTCTCTCTTCTGTTCTAACGCCCGCGACAATGATGTAGGTGATTATCGTCTTGCCGGCATTAAGATTGATCCTGGTCATGCCAGTTGTCCCATCAGCATCGAGAGTCAGGCGAGACGAAGAGGCGCCAGACTGTGTCAAGGTCGACATCTGGCCGTCAGCCCACTCCGGCATACGCAAGTATAAAGTGAATGGCTTATCAGCGTTAACGTAATATGTGAGAACGTTGCTAAACGGATAGTTGGTGTCACACTCAACCGTTACTGAACCTCCCTTGACAACAGTCGTCACAGTTGATGGACTAAGCAAAGCGTGCGCCAAACCACCGTTATACAATACCCAGCTGTTGGCCACAAATTTAGGATAGCCCTGAGGATGATTCACCGTGCAGCACGGATACAGTGGCTCCATGCCATACGTCGTGGCCACGCCGCTGTTTGCTGTCGTAAACACCTGCGGCACGCTGCCGTCGGGTTGGATAATGCTGAGAGCATATGGCTGATTCGGGCTATCCATGTATTGGTGGGCCCATTTATCGCCAGTAAGCATGACGGGGAAGGCGTTGAAGATGGTTCTTTCGGCACGATCAGCATAGGCATTGTTGCCAAGGACCTGGTACATGTAGGCCATTGAGTAGGCCGTCTCAACAGCCGTGCAGAGCTCGCTGCCAATGTAGGATGACAAGTCACGTTCCCTCTCATCTGCGAGGATAGAACCAGAGGCCGAGCCGTGGTACTGGAAGCTCCAGTCTACGGCATTCTCGCTCTTTGTAATCATCTCATCGTCTCCAGTCATTCTGTATATGACCGAGGATGCCTTAAGGCCTGTTATAACGCCATGAGTAAGTCATCTTTGCCCCGACATAAGATGGAAACATACCTTGGCCAACATTCACACCGTGGATATAAACAAAGTTGGAGGAATTCGTTGGGTCCACTACTTGCTGGAACACTCCCTCGGTATACCAATCCGCCCACTTAAAGTTGGTCTGCGAGTAAAACAGATTCATATTCTCCCACAGCAGGGAATCCTGATCAGACGGGTACTTCTCCAGCAGCCACTGGATAGTAATGATCAGGTCATGCACGCGCGCCTGTCCCCAAGTGCAGTCCACATTGCTCGCGCAGTTCACAAAGCCCTGGCTGTTATTGTTGAGCATCTTATTCGCCAACGTCATGAAGCGACGAAGTGCCGTGACAACTCGATCTTCCCACGAGCTATCCGCCTCTGCAAGCTGCGTCAAGCCGAGGAAGAAAGGCGTCCGCGCCCAAAAGTTCCTCGCATTGCCAACCTCTGGCCCGATCCAGCCGTCTGTAGCCTGGAATCCCAAGACGGTGTCGGCAACATCCTGGACCTGCGCCTTGAGCCTCGCGTCGTCAAGCTGATACGCCAGTGGGACAAGCCCGTTGAACCAGTACGGCAGCCCTTCGTTTAGAGAGCTGTACTCGGATCCACCATTGCCAGGCGTGTTTAGCCAGCTAGACTGGTTGACGTAGACGTAAAAATCGTGCTCATGGCCCGCGAGGCCATTCGCCATGGCGGTCATCTCACCGAGCATCCATCCTCCAGGCTTGACTGAGCCGAGGGGAAGCGGAGAGAATTTCCATGGCCGAACTATTTTGCCAAAGTAAGCATGGGCTTCATGAAGGAGTGTGAATCACCATCACGAATCTCGGCAGGCAAGGCTGCGATAATCTGAGGCGATGCGGATGGAAAGGCTCACGAGTTGCGGTGGCAGCACCACTGAGCGGTATCTGTGCTACAGCTAAAGCAAGGGTCAACTTTATGTCTGATATCATTTTGATTTGCCTTGTTCTCTCCTCTCAAGATTGTGATCACCGCCAAAGAGAAACAACAGGCTGGAGAAAGGGGGAGAAAGGGAGTCTTACAGTCCCATCCAGAGCCGATGTGTATTTCCATCGTCTCCTTAGTTCTTTTTATCCTTTATTGTCCTATGCCTGCTCTCCCTGACGTTATACAAACATCTGCCGGCTGGAATTTTGGCAATTTAATTTCGAAACCTCCACTTGCACGGCAACCGGGCTTTCTATTCGATCCTTGTCTCTTTTCTCTGTCGTCTTTTTCCTCTCTTCCCCTCTTCTCTCACTCGCTCTCCTCTTGTCTATTTCACGCTCTCTCTCTCTCTCTCTGAGTCTCTAGCTCCGTCGTCTCCCTCCTTTGGCACGCGCCTTGAGACAGCAATCAAAAGGGTGAAAAATGACTTCTTTCTTCGCCGCCGTCACCAGGCTGCGGCCGCGTGACGATCCCGTTGCTATGGCCGAGCCGCGGATAGAGGCTGATTTCACGATGGCAGATGCTGTGATTGGCAACTGCGTCTCGAGATGTAAGGGACGGAGGTCACATCGTGTATCCTGAGCGATGGCCGGTGCGACTCTCCGGCGGGGTTTTTGGGTCCTGAGACGCCTAAAAGCAGGGAGGCTGGGCGCCGGGGCCAATAGCGCGCGGGTTGCTCCCAGCAGGCGCCGGCTCAGAGAGAGGCGGCATCAACAGGTGGTGGTTGATTGTGTGCGATGATCCGCGTCTGCGCGCGGCGGACATGACGGCCTCATCACATGGCCGGGGCGGGAACAATGCGGTGCTCGGCGAGAATAGGCGCAGGGCATGGGCATCACACGAGGCGGCAGCTGACGAATGGTAGCATTTTCCATTCCTCAGGTACCAGCAACCGCTCATGGGCCTGCTTTTGAGTTCTAGAGCGCCGCGCAGAACAAAGCAGCTGAGACCTTTTAGTGTTGCATCTGTTATCCGACACAGCCGGTTGCTGCTGTTAACCGAGTTATATCAGTCCACGCGGTATTCCCGTTACTTCAACTACCAACACAAGCTACAGACGCCATGCTGTAGACACTACCGATTTAGACCGTATTCCTTTCCACTCACATAACCGTACTCCTCCATTTAAGCGCCGTGCGACTCTCAATCAATATTAAACTGGCTTTTGTCACTACGTCATAGTCCCATATCGCAACCATGAACCTTTCGCGTCAAAAAGGCCATCCTACCCTGGAGTCGACGTATTCTCACCCGGTCTCTATATTTGCCGCGCTTATAAACACCGTCATCTTCTCATGTATAAGCCATCTGCATGCAATCTGTATAAATCCTTACTACGGAGCATCGCCCAGATTCATATGCATACTCTGCTTGTTCTATCCTCAATCCAGCTCCTCCTAGGCCTAGAACGGTGCGCTCCCAAAGGAACAAGCATCAGCCCAACCACCAGATTAAAAGCCAAGATGCGGGGAAAGCGGAGCAGCTAAACAGGCAGACAAGATGGTCACAGCATGGAGCCGAGCTGCCTCCGTCCAAGTCTCCAGTTACCATCCCATACATTAGATTCGGGCAAAAGAGATGATCTCGTGCCATTTCTTCAAGGTCCAACAGCCATCCAAAAGTGATAGTATTTTATTCCCGCTCCAATCCCAACAATGCTCGGCCGAAAATCCTGCTTTTTATAACTAGTCACAAAACATCCTTCTCACTCTCTTCCTTCCATATCCCACCTAGTCCAGCAAAGGCAGTGCGTTTTTCTCGTCTCTCCATTACTGTAGCGGATGATGGGGTCAGAGGCGTTGACGGAAATGGAAGGTCGCCCAGTCAGGTTTTCACAACAAGCCCAACCAACCGAAGGACCGCCGCAATTTTTTATTTTCTGGGACTCGCCCGGTTGGTGATGATGCCAGTCAGTAGTGCAATGTACTGTACGAAATGAGTAGTATCATTGCTCATAAGACCGCAATAGCGGTGAGCCAGTGACCTGCGAGGAGAGAATCTGTACAGAGTCCTGTCCTCTCTGGTCTATATTTGGGTCTGATTTGATTCAAATGCAACAAAAACCACTTATACGGGCCGAAGTACTGAGTACATGCCCTGCTCGCCCATCACCCAGCGGGATGTTGTAGCTTGTTCATCCCCCAAGTCCACCATCCATCCACCCATTGCCGCGCAATCCGTTTCAAGATACGGAACATGCACACTCGCAATCATTTTCCTGCTTACCCGTGGCATGTAAAAAAAAAAAAAAAAAAAAAAAAAAAAATTGTAGATGAACCATCTAGACAAAACAATACGGAACACAGCCGCCCCCCTTCTTCTCCCTTGCCTCCCTAATTCTGCTCTAGAGTACCTGTACATATCAGGCATTCAAAGTTCACACCCCCTCATCGCGCTCCATCACCGAAAACGGTTCAAACCAGCCATGCAAGGCGCAAGGTTCCAAAATCGAACTCAAACAACACTTCTATAAATGCAGAAACTATGTATATTTTCTCAACTCTCAAGTCTCAATTGCCTTGCCCAGGCCGTAAATCTCATCGTAGCAAGCAGCCTCCATCTTCCTTATCGTGTCGTGTCATCCTCATTCTCAACATAGCCCCTATTTCCCAAAGCCATTCGTATCGCCGTCGTATTGTGTCGAGTTAGTAACATCTATGTAAGAAAAAGTGCCCGTAAATGGGTGATTACAAACAAATAAAACGGAGCTTCTCCGTTAAAAATACAAAGTACGAGTGACGCGCTCAACTCCACCAATCGAATCCACCATCATGAACGTCAGCATGGTCTGAGTATTAGAAACTAAAAAAAAGGGGATCATAAGGTTCCGTCCATCCAGCCCGGCGTAGCGCCATGCTCTGCGCACAGAGATCTGACAGGATCTGGGCCTGCTTCTACTACTACTTGTAGTAGTGCCGAGTGGTAATACCTACTCTACTTCATTTAATAGAGCCTCTTGGGCGCATGGGAAAGTCAGTTACTGTTTACGCCGGTTCTCTCTTTTAGGAGCTAGTAGAATGTCCATCTGCCGAGACAAAAGTATAACAACGCCATGGGCTGAGCCGAAATTTCCGTGTCAAGATATCGATGAGCGTCTCACTCTTCATCAACGGACGCGGTTGCTCCATCGTTGTAGACTAAACAATATACCGAATCAAGGGAAAAAAAAGGAGGGGACCTTTGTAAAACATGTACTTATTTGATCGCTAGATACATGGCGAATTTCGCCGTATTAATCTATAACTGCAATGTCGTCGACCAAGCCGAACATGCTGTTTAATTACTTTAAATGTCAAGTCAAAGTTATTCACGTGTTCCGTCCCGTCTATGTTCATACATATCCCATACGCCTTTTACCATCGAAAAACAAAGGACAAATATTCCATCAGAAACCCCTCGATTGGTTCGTATGCTGCAGCCTCCAAATTCTCCTTGATGCCCGCTCGGGCTATAAACCCTTACTCCGACGTTGTAGAGGGCTAAGAGACACGTGAAAATGTGCATTTGTGTCTCTCAAGGTCCCCCAAAATGCTTTAGAAAAGGAAAGATAGGACAAATATAAGACATGTGTACAAGGTTGAGAACGTGTATTCGAACTCGAACCAGGCGGCCTGGCCGCCAAATGCAATCTTCTTGCTCTGGGCCGTGGGGTGTGCAACCTTGGTCTCGGCGTCGCGTATCAGGAGATCTTCTCGGTCTGGCATTCGAGGAGGGTCAATGGCGTAGGCGACGGGAGTCCAGAGAGAGCTGCAAATGAAGATGAAGGTAAGAGGTGGCCAGAAAGCGTGTGTCACTAGGGCTATCAGGATGTCCCTGGTGGTGTGACTTTGCTGGAAGAAGCAGCGGTACGTGACGAGGGTGACGGAAACGAGAGTCAAGTAGACAAACGCGAAGTGGAATCCAGCCATATAGTTGACAAGGATGACCCACAAGCGACGGAACATGTTCTTCTTCAGCTTGGGGTCGCGCTCATTCAGAGCCGAGGAGATGGAGCCAGTGGGCTTGAAAGCTTGCGCTTGCCCTCCGAGCCACTTGGGCAAGATGAAGGCTCGGACAAGACAGAGAGCAATGTAAGGCGACATCCAGAGCTGATAACGAGAACCACGCTGGCCAGTGTGATAGCCAGCAGGAATGAAGAGAACAAACTCGCAGAGACGGTTGATGATGGTGTTGGCAAAGCACGCACGGATGAGCCATCGCAGCTGTGTATCGTTGGCGTATGCGACAAGAGGCTTGCCCATGATCAAAATGATGGGAATTGCGAAAAGCGAGACGGACAGCAGGACGGTGTAGACACTAAGGGCTGCGTAGAGGAAACCAGAGAAGCGCTGAGCAAAAGTCATTTCGCGGACCTTTTCGCCCCATAGACAAAAGTTTAGCTTGAAAGACGTGTCCACAGTACCAATGGCCCATCGAGTACGCTGCTTCAAGTGGCTGCCGTAATCCTCAGGAACAGTTCCAAACTGGAGGGGTTCGTGGACGTAAGCCGTCTTCCATCCTTTACCGAGCATAAGGGTCGAGGTAGCCACATCTTCAGCCAGTGAACCAAGAGGGAAGTTGCCGATTTGCTCCAGAGCCTCTCGTCGAGCTACGTAGCCGGATCCAGTGCACCAGGCGACGCCCATGGCGTCTTTGATAGGCTCAATAACGTGGACGAAGAAATCCAGGGACTGCGCCAGGGGATCGGATGGCGGCGTGTTATAGAACAACTGGGGAGGACAAACCAGAGCCATTTTAGGATCCATCACAGCATGAGGAAGCAAAGCGCGAAGCCAGTCTCTCTCGGGAATCTGCGGCGTTGGTTAGCCAAAACTAAACAACAAAACTTGGCGATTGAACAGCCTCCCGCCCAATTTTATTCGACCAAGTGCAATTTGTTTATTCACGAAAAAAGAACTTACCATATCAGCGTCCAGGGCCGCCATGAATTGGCCAGCGCCCCCGGGTAACAAATTAGACTGCTCCAGGCCGTAGTTGAGGTTTCCTGCTTTGAAATGATGGGGCTGTCCAGGAATTTTTGTTCGGGCCATGTAGTAGAGGTTCGGATAGGTGTGCGAGAGAATAGCGCAAGATCGCTCCAAGCCAGCCGATTTGGCGTCGTCCAGGACAATAACTCGAAACTTGTCAATGGGGTAATCCTGGTCACAAGCGCCGCGAACCGTATCCATGACTAGTTCGTCATCTTCACCGCAACAGGTGATAAAAGCGTCGACAGTGGGTACGTCGTTTCCCGTCAACCTCATCTTAGGCCTGTTTCTCTTCTTGAGGGACCACATGGTCCAGGTGTTGTGCATGAGTGATGGAACGGCAACTGCTAGTTCTACGGCAATGAAGACCCAGGCGGCGGCGAACGTAAGGCCAGACGCCTTTTGCGCCAGAATAACACAGGCGATACGAAGGCCAAGGTACGTCAAGTAGATTCCGGTGTTGAGCAGCGTGAGAAGAGGCGTCAGGGTGTAGAGATACCTCTTCCAGCCCTTCCAGATGTCGGCATCGTCTCGGTCGTGCAGAATAGCGATTCCATTTTGATCGTCACTGTCGCTACTGCTAACCTCTTTGCTCGGAGAGCGCCCGGTCTGTGGCAGAAGCGCTGTTAGGCTTATATGACTTTGAATCTGCAGTTTCAACGAAGAAAAGGAGGAGGGACGTCAGCGGCGACTTCGCGGCAAGAGTCAAGGCTTGGGAATATACGCATGCGATACAAACCTAGAGCATGTATAATTGACAATTGGGGGTATAAGTGAAATAAGGGAGACGCTTGGGATGGGGGCAATGGATCTCGGAGAGTGTATAAGAAGGGGGGGAGGGGGGGTTTAGTACCATTGGCGTGGACGATCTTGAATCGGCAAAAATTAAGTGTTTAGACGAAGACATGTGGTCATACGGCGTCGTGGCACCACTTCTTAACGTTAGGGAAGGGGAGCTTCCAGTTCCTGCAATCGACGGCGGCCACTGAGGCGATGCGTAGTCGTCAGGATTGACCCGACTGGAGCGGTTGGACCTCATGTTGTCGTTGAGCAATCGAGGATGGGAGTCATCGGACGCAGTGTGTTGATGGTGCCGGAAGCCACCAATCTCTACCATCTCCTCGTACTCCTCCTGGTGGCTTTGCATCATGATGGGCAAGCTCCAAGTTTATGTGGCTCGGCCACAAGCGAAAGAAATGTCTGCAGCTGCAGAGGCCTTAACCGGGGCTTTAGCGAGGCAAACACCGTCAAGGCCGGGCTAATCGAGCTTGTTTTCGGGACAATGGTGAATAGCGTTTGTATATATGCAGGCAGGACTCCGTATTAGTTGTGCTAGAAAAAGTGTATCCTCGGCCAAATAAACGAAGGTTGGCGGCAGAGGCCTGCGGTGGGCAAGCCGAGCTGGTGTAATTGGACTGCTGCCGGAGGAGAGGCTGCGCGGGCTTTCCCCCTACGAAAATTGATAGGTACTAAACGAATGTGAGCAGCGAGGCAGTTCGCCGCAGATGACGATGTGGGAGGAGGAAAAATAGCAGAGGTTGAGGAGCGAAAGAGAGAGAGAAGAGAGAGGTGAAAAAGGAAGCGGCCGAGAGGGAAGGAGACAGGACGTCGGATACTAGTAGCGATGGAGGGTGTGTGGTGTGGCACAAGTAGAGGTACCTGGACCCTCTGAGGCACCGATCTGGGAACTTGGAGCTACCACTAGCCCGTGGTACGAGGTTGGTTCTGGGTCGCGCAGCTTGCCAGCGTGGGCGGGTGTATACTTGCAGTACGAGGTACCTGTTTCTGCGCCAGCGTGTGCGCACTCCGGGCTGGCTGTGCGATGCACAAAGGCAGCAGAAACACATAGAGTTTGGACATGGTAGAAGAGACTTGGAGGATACGGCATTCTGCGAAAACTCTCGTCGTTTGCTTTTAAAATTCACAAGGCCGATAAAGTAGATGCGCCATCAGCCTCCATCCTGCAGGTATCGAGACAAAGCCACGGTACTTTGCGAGATGCAGCAGCGCTGCGAGCCCAGCGGGAACAGCGGGTGCCGGTGGGCTGTCAGTGGCTCGCGCTAGCTGCAGCAGCTCCCAGTCAGTGCTAGCACCAGCCAGCTAGGCCCGGGCAGGGAGCGCCGTAGCAGGTGCCAACAGGCTCATGTTTCTTTGTTGACTGACGGCCGTGTACGCAGGCGGCGGTGCAGCTTACCAGTAGTGCTGCCGCTAGCCACAGCTCTTTAGGTTAGCGATGGCGCCCCGGCGGACGCAGGTACACAGTACTTGCGACCGCGGGCGTGCACAAGCGCAGGCTGGGCCGTGCGCGGGCCCAGTTTTCGCATCGTATCTTGTACTGGATACGCGTGCAGCCGACCAGGGTTCGCACCATTTTTTTCTCGTGTTCTGGCGCTGGCGCTGCGGCTTGGGCGGATAAGGCAGAGCAGGCCAGCGTCGTCATAGGCCCAGGCCTGAGCCTGGCCGGGGGAGCAATCAAAACGGGCTGGTGGCAGGCTCGGAAACTGACCAGATGCAGCACGACGCAAGCAACGTTGACACACACTGAATACTGTAAGACACACTACCAGTCAGTCAGCACCCTCTTTTTTTGCCGTTGCTCTGTTTCCTGTCTCTGTGATTCCCTTCTTGCTCCTCCAATACGAGGCCGGAGTGGCGTGACGTGGGTCTGAGGAAGGGGGAAGCATGCACAAGTACTTGTACAGACGTCGCTGCAAAGAGTACAAGTACATCCAACACGTATGATATGAGACAGTTCGCCTCTGTTCGCATTCGTACATGTACCTACTCTCAACTCCAGCTACAGCCGCCTGGCAGCAAAGAGGAGCATGCTGCTAAATTTGGCTCACACGCCAAACCGGGGCATCACCAGTTTACACTTTACGTCAACTTGTTTGACATCGACTTTGACATGCGGCAGCGAGGAGAAGGGCTTGCGGAGACTTGAAAATTAGGATGTACAAAGAACGAGCGTTACCTTAAGCTACAGGATATGCTTGAAGCCATGGATTCTAGCTTACTGGTGATGCTAAATTATAAGTCTCTCTGCATGCGCTCTTTGTTTGTGTCTCTGCTTTTCATTGTCTAAGCCGCCTCCCCTTCCCCCCAAAACAGCGAGCTGAGGAGTGCAAAAAAAGAAAAAAAAAAAAAAAAGGGTGAGCAGCTTCTTGCACAGTCAGAAGCAGCCTCGAGATAAGCATTCCAGAAGGGTGNGATTGGACCGCTGACTGAAACTACCTGGGCCGACTCAAGGTACCCGTTCCCACCGTCCACTTTTAATCTTTTTTTCTTCCATGGCAGAGATTTTCTGTGCACGCGTTTCACCGCAGCCGTGATCGTCGGGCGTTCTGTGGTGAGACTTGAGAGACGGGATGGTGTTGGCTGTCAAGTGGTTCGTGCTGCTGGCTGATTTTCATTATCTTGTCTTGCTTTGACTCTTGTTTTCAGCGTAACATGGTCTGGGATCGAGAAGAGGGGCCATCCCTGGAGCTCCATTCTTCGGGATAAGGAAAATGGATTAGGCCATGATTGGCTTAGCGGTACGAACGGCAAGGGGAGATGCAGAGAAGCAAAACTTGTAAGAGTACAGAGCCCGTATAAAGGATGCATGTACAGGACCGTGTTGGCTAGAGACAGCGAGACCAGAAACAAGGTGATGATTGCGCTGACAGCGCCAAACAATAAGAGGCTCTTTCGTGAGAGTGAGCCAATTCCCGCGATCATGTGCCCAATATCACGGTAGCGATTCGTACAGAATGGAGCCCATGCCATGCGCACTTCGGGCCCTTTGGCCGATTGGGACTGGGGACAGCGAGTCGCCTAAGTGGGGAGGGTATTTTTTTTTCCACGACCGTGGTATCGCATCGCCGCAATCGTGGATACGGCACACGATGGCACCCAGAAGCTTTTGGCGGGAGCTCCGTAGCGAGTCCAGTACATTCTGGGCTGAGGTTGTCACTGCACGCTCTCGGCACCATGGCGGCGAGCCCAGCCAGATGCGTAAGGACTGCTTGTATGTACCGCTACACGGCGTGCTGCTCGAACAGCGCAGGCCTGGGTGAAATGATGCCTGCACCGGTAAGGCGGCCGGTGTCAGATTCGGACTTGGTCGAGCTGCCCATAATCATCCATCGGGGATGGCCGGTCGTGGGCCGCCGGCACGATCGGCTTCTGTAAGAGAGACAATAGCGAGAGGGAGCAGCGAGGGTGACGAGGCTGGCCGGGATATTTTCCTGTTTGTTTGTTTATCTGGCCCTCCATTTGCTTCTTATCGGCGTGATACGGCACTGTTACTGCTACCGCAGCTTCTGCCACACACTCTGCCACACACTCTGGCACACACAGGTGACGTCTGATTGCCCATGGCGATGCAGCCGCGCATTGATGTTTACATGTAGTGCTACTCACTCGGTGCCCCGAGACCCAATCGCCCGAAACTCTGCGAAGCCGCCGCCAGCAGCTGTGCGACATGGCTGCCCACATGCCAAGTAATTGACATCTTGATTGATCGTCCATCGCCCCTACAGCACAGGACAGAGAAACTCTCCTCGCTGACAACGAGCCGCGCTGTGTGCATCATCCCCGTCTCGGCGATCCACCGTCGCATGTTTTGAGTTTTTTTATTCCCTTTCGATCCTGGCGATCAACGGATACAGCTAATCCATCAATGATACTGTGCTGGCTGTGCGTGCTGTGGCGCTGCCCACTTGTCTCAATGTTTCCAGTTTTCTCCTCAGCGAATGGAGCACCTGTATTTTGAATTGATACGAGTACAACGGGGCCTTCGGAGCTGACCATTGATTGACCTGGGCTGAGCACCGGCAAGTACCTGTGTATACGAGCAGACAGGCACATGTTCCGCTACTTGTGCTCCAGAGCCGCTAGAACGCTCTGCCCAGGCGCTATTCGTGTGCTTCTTCCAGCTCTGCGTCGCGGAGGCGCTGCGGCGCACTAAAGCCCGCCCACCGCGCCCGCTAGTGTGCACTGCAGCTGGCAGCGCACCGCCGACGAGACGGCTGTTCGCGCTCGTACCAGCATCGTACCTGGTGTACTTGCGCCCCAGGCACCCGGTACATGTACATGCGCTGGTACCTGTACGAAGCGGCCTCGTATCGCTGACTGACTGACAGTGCCTGCGAACTCGTCTCTCTTTTCTCGAGAAGGCCTGAAGCCTCTCCCCTCCAACGATTCCGACAAAAACCATCGCCAAATCTTGCTCGGCGGCGCCATTCCAGCGACCCTCGACGACGCTCGCTCGTTCACCATCCGCAGCTCTGCGGTTTAGACGCTCGTTTCTCCTTTCGTTTTCGCCAGCCATGACGATCCGCATCCTCGTCAACGCTGCGCTGCTGGCCATCCCCATCGCCGTGACGCTGGGCATCTTGTTCGGCCTCCAATCGCACCGAGATGCCACGGGCCAGCCGCCTTTGTTTGCGCCTCAACCGCCGCCGATTCCAACTCCTGCACCGCCGAAACCCCCAAAGAATGGCGTCACCAAGACGAGATATTGCCAAAAGTCGTATGGAATTACACCAGATACCACTGGGCAGCAGTATATATGTAGGTGCCGAGCTACTGTATTCTTCGCAATGTCACCGCAAGCAGAGACAGCAATCTTCCGGAGATGTCAGCTGGGCATTTCACAACTTTTGGTGTAATTCAACATCAGTCACAAAAAGGGTCTTGATTTTGATCTGGATTGAAGCTTGTATGGTGGCTGTTAATATGCCACGATACCTCAGCGTTAAGACTTTGGTCACGCTATACCTATCTATGCCTTTTCGCCCATTCGCAGTACGCCCAGGGTCTCAGTCGGCGGATGCCCGACGAGATATCCGGTCTCCGACTGCCTGCTTCTTCATTCTGTTCTATTTCATGTCCCTGGACTCCATCTATGCAAATATTGACCCAACATGTCCAACTAACGCTTGCTGCTCTTAGTAAATCCTAATCAATGGAACTGGAACGTCGGCGATCCTGGACGCCTGTGTATGAATGTACGTTTTAGAAGTTCCACGCCCGATCTGATTCGACATTTAAAAATGTCCCGTGCTGATACTCAACGTCAAGGTCACCACGTTTAACAACGGCACATATGCCACAAGCACTACCGCTCCTCAGTTTATGGTTTCATGGCAATATCCCCGTGGCCCAGAGGACAACCCTGTACACGCTTTCCCCAACATCCAGATTGATACCGACGTCATTCCCGCCACTGTGAACAGCATTTCCAAAGTCGACATCGACATCGAATGGTCCTACGGCGTCGGCAATGAGACCACAACGTCTTCTACCCTCGCGGATCTTACTGCCGACAATCTCAACACCAACGTTGCTGTCGATATGTTTATTGACAGCGATAAGACGGCCGCTCAGAACCCTGCCAAGGCCAAGTTCGAACTCATGGTTTGGTTTGCGGCCTATGGTAGTTCCACTCAGCCCATCGGTTTTAGCAACGGTGCTGTGTCCACCCAAACGCTTAATGGCAACACATTGTAAGTACCATTTCTTTCTTTCCCTTTTCTTTCTTAGATACTCCTGTCATGTACGCATACTGAAAACCGTCTGTCTCTAGCAATCTTTATGCTGGCATTAACACAGCGACCAAGCAAAACGTCATGACCTGGTACACCGACACGCCTATACAAAAGTTCAATGGAGACATATCTCCACTCATCAACAGCGTGTTCAAGCTCACCACTGTTACCGATATTCCCAAGTCTAGCGACTACTTGGGATACCTGGCTCTGGGCTCCGAGGCCTTTTCCGTTGACAAGACCGTCACGCTTTACGTACCCCAACTCTCGATAGATATAGAAACATCCTCCACCTAGGGAGCACCTAATAATATGGCGGCTTGATTTTTTTTTTTTCCCTTTTTTTAACCCCAGATCTCGTCTAAATCAACCGTGCCGTCCGACAATTGCCTTATTCGTCCCATCGAAATCTTCCGATTCGCTATGGCGCTGGTACAAGATTTAACCGTTGAAATCAACGATATCCGGCTGAAATGAGGCTGCCGCGCCCCCCCCCTGGCTGCAACCTCTCACCCGGCAAAGTGGCGATGGGCAAAATTCTCCTAAATGGCGAGCATCGGGCCCCGGGCAAAATACAACATTAATTTATCGATCGAGCATGGCATGGCATGGCATCCACTCCGATCAGATCAGATCTATTCATTGTGGCATGTACTCGTACATAATGGACTTGTCATGGTTTCAGGGTCTTGAGAACTAGGGTGGTTTCTACACGTTGCATGGCGTTTTCTGCCAATTGCGTCTCGGGTATGGAGTTTAGGCGGGCTTGGCTTTCTTCAATATTACGTGTACATAAAGTCTTCGCTGCGAACCATGTTCATTCAGTGACATCTTTTCCTCAATTTTTTTTTTTTCCTACTCATGCTTTGCTTTGAATGCCTAGCGTTTTCCTAGAATCTCAGTCGTTCCGACTATCTGGTAATAGGAGTGGGGAGTTCGTGAGCCACGGCCAGGCCCCTTCATGGCAAAATTCTTCGGGTAAAAACCTGCTCTAATTATCCTGTCGCCACAGCCCGCCTCGCAATTGGCCAATCAGAGCGGGTTTTCGGCGAATTGGATTTCTTTTTTTAGAATAAGGAATTTTTATTATTTTTTTTTTTATTATCAGCCGCGTACCGGCTTATACTATGGAGGCTAGTTGTTCTGGTAGCTGTAGACTAGCAAGTGTCAGCAAGAGCTTTAACATTGAGTGTCCCTGGCTTTGTGTTTGGGTGTGCGGTTAATGAGCGACTGATGAATCATGGTGAGTGCTTATCAAGCATAATCTCGGCCAATTTGTCTTTGAATAACAAGTTGCGAAGAAACATAAAGTAGAAGCTTATGCCTACTCTCTTACACTCTTATCATGATTAATAACCAGAGAGCCTGATGCACTACGATGGAAATACGCTAAGGGAAAAAAAAAACCTCACTCATCTGTCTTTTTGCCACCCGGGGTCCATCGAGCTCAGTTGAAACGCTGCTAACAGCGGGACTCTCTGATTTCGCCGGTTCTTATAACCTGACTAGAGCTGTTTATTTTTAGTTCACCCCTGACTAGCAGATGGCAATGTGGTTCACGGTTGAACCCTGGGCTACTGTCAAAAGAATGACATTACTCGTAGTAGCAGTGGTTGCTAGGCGGATGCCTGTCATGATGAGATAGTTTGATGGGTCGCCTTTTCCCTACATCCATATCGATATGAATAGATCAGTATTTTTGCTGGTAATACATTTCTTATGTTTGTAGCTGGCAGCCAAAGACTGCATACGAAAAACCTTTAAGACAAACCAAAACGGAATGATGCAGAGAAATCATTAAATCTGCGATGTGATTTAGCAACCTAAATCCGAGACTATACTCATTGGATGATCTACACTCTTTCGTGATTGAAACATCTGTGTAGCAGTTATCTTGTCTCTGGACTTGCATGTATCATACTACTACGTAGTAGAAAACTGCAGTGGCCGGTTAAGGCTAAGAGGCAGTATATTGGTTAAGCTGATTCATTACACCCTCACTCATGTTCTTTTTCTTGCCGCCCACGAGAGTGATGTCTGGCCATGCACATCTTTTACATCGATCTTGGCTCGGCCTATGTAGAGTAAAAGCCGGACAATATCCTCCTGCCTATTTATCATAGCTAATATATAGAATCATTGAGTTACCCAATTATATATAAACTACGGCCTACTTTTAGTAGGTAGTTAGCTGAAAGATATCCCATCCTAGCCCTGATATGTAAGCACCGACATATAACCACAATAAGTAGCCTCCTCGCGAACAATGCTAGTATCTGCCCGATTTCAACTCTTTCTCTATTAGGTCAATGGTTTCGAGGTATGCTCCTGCAATCTTTATTTTAGTATACTGACTCAGACAGAAGATATCAAAGGCGAATTTGGACTCACCTGCAACATTCCATCTTTGGTTCGCTTTTTGTAAAAGATCGAGACATAGAGATGCCTGGGAAGGATATCCCGACGCTTCCACGGCGGGAGATGTAGCCATGAGATAAACAATATTAGCAAGACATTGGTATAGACTATCTAAGAACCAAGGCGACAAGCTGGCGAGGTCTACAGTGGGTTCTTGGTCTTGTATCATTTCCCTGAGGACATTTAAGAAAGACATTGCCTTTACAATGCAGTCCTTCATTATGCTCTGGCACATTAGAGCTATCTCGCGAGCGAGGGCTAATTCCGATACATTCAGGGATCTATCGTTATAGATAGCGAATGAGTCGCAGGAATGGTAGTCGCAAAGCTTCATCAATGCGCTATGAAATGAGTCTTGATCTTAGCTTTGCTGCCTCATGTGAGAAAAGAACAGCAAAAATTCACTCTTACCTTAAACAAACACCGACAGAGCTATAAAAATGTATCATACTAGCTCTGTCTTTGCTGATGACTTCTAAGAAACTCAATAACACTTGGCTGAGCACTTCTACACTATTTTTCACGTGTGATAGACTCTGTGTTTCGTCGTTACAGTGCTTAATGACTTCTCCCTGCAGGTGGGATGCTTGAGCGAGACGGGCAAATGGACTTGCAGAGAGATGTTTCGACGAGGACAGAATGAGCCGTTCAGGATACATTGCTTGCTAAATAAAACATTAGTTCTGCGTGTTTTGCTACATCGCCAAAGGAGTTTTAACTTACGCCAGAGTCCCAAGCGTCATCGTCAACAGGTAAGTGAGATGTAGTCTGCGGATCAGCGGACAAAAGAGGCCTGTTATCTCCTACAGAATTGACGTATCTGTTTGTGGTTAGGTCTGCGATATTTTGCGTTGCGTAGAAATTAAACATGGAGGGGCATACCGTTCAAGTATTACAATAAACCACCAGATTCTTTGTCTCTCTTCCCAGTCAATCCAAGTACGCGGCGGTTCTAATATCTGGGGTGCTTCTCGATTATGGATGCCGAGGGCCATGGCTTGGGTAACGCAATAGCCTATCGAAACATAGGCAGCCGGGAAAATGCCATGACCCATCTCATAAACAGCAATGAGGAGTTGAGCCTGAAGTTTGAGTAGTGTATATACGCCCGCAATATCTAAAGAGGCTGCGAATTCTTTGGTGCATATGTACAAAGGATCTCTAACAGCGTCGAACGAGCTTCCCGGCACATGTTGGATGAGTTTCATGACCAGGAGTAACAGAGCAAAATCAGCTCTGGGGCGGCTATTAAGCTCTACATCGGCTAAAGAGGTTAAGCGAACTCGACTGATAATGGGCATCCACTTGTGGACAGTTTCAAAGTACTGTGACATGGCGGTGGCGCTCTGTGCCTGATCACTCAAATAGGAGAGAGCAGCAACAGGGATCATGTCGCTGGACGGCGGTGGTGGCGCATCCGGACGGGTCTGAATATCTGAATCTAGAAAGAGCTTCTGGAAGCGTAGGGAAGCTGGATAGAAGGAAGACGCCGTCTGCGAAGTTGGCAAGCTGCCAGCGCCTTGGCTGGAAGATGCCGGCGTGGATAGGGTCTGAGGAGAGAGCTTTGTGACATGGTTAGTGACGAGTGACTCGAGCTCCTGTATACGAGTTTTGAGCTCATTCTCGGATTGCCGATTAGTATAATCACAATGCCGGCGCAGTCTATTGATATGAGCAGTTAGCCAATGGGAGTGTAGAACGTCTACAAGATAGGAAATAGAGGTAAGAATCAGGCCTGGAGCAAAAGCCTGTAAAGCGATCGCTGGAAGGCAACAGGCCAGAAGCGTGGATTTGTCGGTGCTCTGAATCAAGTTCCAGTGGATGTAAGACAAATACCTGGTGCATAAAGAACAGCTCGGCAGCGCCTTATCGCAGCGCCGCTTGTACTTTTGACAGGCTGCGCAGGCTCGTGCAGCCTTTTGCCTGGATGGAGACGATACCTCGCTCATATCGGACGAGTCGAATCTAGAGCCGCTCCCATTTCACAGCGCTGGTCAGTAACACAGACATGGTGGTTGATGGCGAAGTAGCCATAGTTCCGGGAATGATGTATGTATGAGCGGCCGCTCAGCAGCCCTACAGATCGGGATACGCGGAAGATCGGTCCACTCACAGCACTTGAAACATGGGCAGCGGATTAGAAGGCGGGAAACAGCCCGATGGCAAGTCGAAGTCGAATGAATTGGTTCTATTAATTCCACAAATTTCATCTGTTCACTTTGGTTTGCCTGTGTCCTTTTGCGAATGCCACGCTTTGCACAAGTGAGAATGGCTCTCGTCAGTTAATAATTGAGAAGAGCAGAAGATACCCACAACGCTGAATTCTGGAGCTGGAGCGGCCGCTTCTGAGCGGGTTTTTGCCGCTCGCCCCACAGCCTATTTCGTTTTTGACGCAGTTCTTACAGGGATTATTCCCTGGGGGATTTATAGGGAAAGGTGAGCTAACATTTAGCAAGATATTCAAAGGGACAGCCTAGGCAGTTTAAACGTATTGGGTAATTATCACAGTAGCTCTGTTATCAATATAGGCCCTTCCCCGAAAAGAATGCTGAATCATGATGCATTTAGGCCTATGTTCTACCAAAATCGGCCCCGCAAATCGATAGAAGCGACGGCGGGAGCTAGTGATATCCCTCTCAAATTATCTGTGTTATTAATAAGTGAGGGCTACGCCGGAACTAATAACATTAGCTCTTTCTCAACTTGCCGGGCTGAATAACGAAAATTCCGATAACTATAATCTCATAGGATATTCCCATATTCATAGTACCGCAGCAAAGATATACTCGACAAATATAGGAATCGCTAATCCCATAGAGGTATATGAACCAGGGACCCAAGGAATGCCCTCACACAGGAAATAAGAGCCCAGGTGTCAGAATGGGATACAAGCGCTGCAGTGGGAAATATACTAGTCAGTAATCTGGAATTCGCCAACAGGACAAATAGATTGATTAGAGGTCCGACACGGGCCCATACACAGAGCAAGTTCAGGTTGACGCGAGTTCACATATTGGCAAATATAAATATGTATGTATAAAGAGAAGTTAAAAAAAAAAATAAACCAAGCCTTAGATATTTCTCTTTGCATTATAATATTATACTAATACATAAATATTGATAACGATAGATGCAAAGAGCTCTCTTAGGAGACTATGTTACTGTTGGTATTGCTATTGATCCAACAGCTATTAGTATATGAATGTGCACGGCACAGCATACATGCAAGCAATATGTCGGTAAGAGTCGGTGTTAGTCTTAATCTATCATTTTTACGTGATCTTATTTCTTCGAGTCCTGCCTAGCTGGACAGCAAGTCTATCGACCAATAGATAGCTGGAGGTAATGACCTTTATTCGTTACGTTTTTTGTATCAAGGGAAAGACAATTCTTTGTCTTGAGCCTAGCTAAAATAGTTACTGCAGCACCTGGACGACTCAGGACTTACTGTGTCTTCTCAAGCTGGGGCTTGCTTGTTGGGCGTGTTTTTGTACATAAAGGTTAGCTATTGCCAATGTTAGGAACGCTGGGAGCTTTAGCGTGGTAGAAGGCACGAATGTAATGACTAAAATTCAGGTCCACGTGGTGCCGCGTTTGCTGGCTACGTCAGTCGTGTAGGAGAACGAGCCCCCCAATGGAATGCTGTTAAAGGGAGGAGATGATCATGCACTGGATGGTCTCAAAGAACGGATACCCAAGCCAGATTTAAATGACTGCTTTATCCAGTGAACGCGCATAGGGCCTACCAGACGCGTAGGCACTGCATCACAGGGGCTTAGGATGCTATGTAACTTGTCTTAGCCGTCAAAAAAGGACCATATTTCGTTACGCTTCTCTGTAAATCGCAGTCTCGTATAGCACCTGGAATGAAGATGGCTAAATCCAATACTTTACAAGTTCAAATCCCAGGCCCGCGACACTTCGGGTGCTATCTACAGTTTTCTTTTCTCTCTCCATTAATGCATTTTTTTTTCTAAGAGCGGGAAAGCATAGCCCCTACCGAACTTCCTGATAATAATCCTTCCAAGTTGTCCCTGTTGTTCCAATATACTATGAAATACTACATCTACGGCCACGATGTTCATACGGCAAGTTGCAGATAATCAAGTTTTCACAAGCACTCATGGCCAAATACTTGTATCCATTGTCAATATATCAATACGCAATTTTATATCAGTCTTTATTCCAACAATATTGCGACAATTTATTAGTTACACCACCGAAGCTGGTTTTCACAAGCTTAATTCGTCAGCCAAGCTGAAGTCGATAATTGGTACGCTCTTTGGCACCGGCATAGCCTTGATGGCCCATGCAATTGGGACCTGGCGGGATGAGAAAGCAGGGACGGCAACATCGACAAGTCGCCGTTCGCGAGCTATTATGGTCAGTACAGTTTTCGCCGCAGGCATGGGTGAATTTTATACTGGCGCCGCCGCGGGCAATGCTTCAACACACGTTGCCTTCACTCTCTATACAGCGATGCGTGACCTAATGGTACAATCACGGTTGCGGCTGCATAATCCAAACACATCTGGCACAAAGCCTGACTGGATACACTTCAGCATTATGATGACCCTAATGACTATAATTTCGGGTTTGGTCAACTTTGGCATGTCAACATTGGCATCACCTTCAGGACAGGCCGCCTGGCCTGCTAGACTGAGCTTTATAGAGCAGCTTCGGTATGCTGTAATACGCGGCGGTTTAAATTTGATTGGTGAAACCGGTGATGATTTTCTATTTCAGATCATCCCTTCTATACGCTCGCAGTTTAAGGGTGTTGAGAATCCTCATGTCCTCCAGCTAAGTCTCAAAGATGTCGGCTATCACAAGGGTTATCTTACCAACGCGGCATTGGGGCCATGGGCTGCGCGGACTGGCCTCCTGGCGACAACTGTTGCTATGCTAGGTATTACGGCGCCATACCTTGAAAATAACATGCGGCTTTTAGAAGGAATTTCTGATTTAATAGTCGGCATTAGCAACGGACCGCTCTATGAGCCCTTTGCAAACTCGGGATCAGGACAGCCGGATCCCGTCCGCACCAAATGTAGCAGTGACGAGGAGAACCAGAAGGATTGTAGTCAATTCAATGACGCTGCTAGTATACGCAGCTATATGCACCCGAATATTGATATGACGAATAGTGCAGAAATCAGACCGTGGGACGAAAATCTGGGGCATCATAGGCCGAATTCCCCAGATACCGAATTTACCGAGTCTTGTAACGAAAAAGCCTCGTCTATCCAATCACAAGAAATTGTCCTATCAAGAGCAGATGACTGTGTATTGGTGCAGTCTTTTAGCTCCTCCTCATCAGAATCAACATATCCTTGCAACCTAGAGCAGCCCCCATTGAGTAGCGGTAAGATCACTTTTTGTGCACATATTCCAAGATCAATCTTCTGTGGTAAACTAATGGGGAAAGCAGTCCAAATCACGAATACCACGAATACCACAAATATCACGAATGCCACGAATAATACGAATAATACGAATGCCATGAACACCACGAATACCATGAATACCAGGAGTAGCTGGAATGATGAATATGCTGCTTCTGAGGAACAATCCGGACATAAACAACAATGCGCAATAGCCGACAACATTGTGGCTATTGGAATTGCTGCACTACAACGCAATCCTCGCCTTGGAAAGCCCATGCTAGCCACCCCAATGTCAGATATTGGTGGTACTGGGATATTTGCGTGTATACCGCGCCAAGCACGAGCAGCCGCTGCAATAAAGGCCAATGCATACAGGCTCAGTGCTAATATTATACGCAGAGCTTTACACTTTGAAGGTTGCTGCAATTTCTTTGTCGCCCATATTAGTGAGGCTACTAGGTTGCAAAAGGTGCTGCAGCCTAACTGCATGAATAAAGTGGCAATTAATGTCTTTGATGGCAAGCTGATTGGCGCTGTTCAGCAACAACTCATTAAATACATGTACATTTACAGAGTTATCCCTGCACTTAATAGCCTGAAGCAGGTGCATCAATGGTATATGTATGTGGCAGATGCAATCCAACAGCTAGTTGTTAAGCTAAGCAGGGGCCAAACAGAACCCCCACAAACGATTATAATAAAATAGCAACAGGATAGCTACTTGAATAGAAATAGGGCTGGTACCCAAACAATAACTTGGAGATAGCAAGGTAGACCATAAACCCGCCAAGGATCATAGAGCATAGTGCGACTGCAGGTAGAATAACCTAAAGGAAAGTAGAGGGTTCTGACCACCAAGCGATGAATAATCTCGAGTTTGGTAGGCCAGAGAATCGTGAGGAGAACGACATTCAAGAATACTCATTCTTGGCCCATGGCAACAACGAGGCTGGCCATGGATGCAACACTAACAGCAAGGAAACAGATGGCACCAGCCTGCGGCAAGAACCGCAAACTCTGACGAAAATCAGCTTTACAGCCTCGAAGGCCAAGTAGTGAATCGGCAAGACGAAACTCATCAACAGCGAGACCCCGAATATAAAAGATTCGGTGGCGAGCAGATGAATGGGCTACAGTAGTGATTATTTTAATCAATATGGCGAGTGCTGAACGCTCCTCATATCCCTCAATCTCCCAAAGCACAACTGCTCCCGTCCAACCCATTTGCATTAACTTTTGCGTACCAGAGTTTGAGCTTCTTGGCCGTTGCTTAACAGTATATTAATTCTAGCATTGAAAAATAACAAAATAAACGCTGAAACCACTAGTCCACAGATATAGTATGGATAGAGAAGACCCATCGGCAAGTCAGGTCAGATGATGTGTGATAACTCCTGATACTATGGGTCCAACACCTGTATCGCAAAGAGCAACTTCCAACAAACTCACCGTTACGGTATTGCGGTTCCTAGCAACATGTATGCTGTTAATTACACTGCCAGAAACGGCGATTGAAAAGGGCTAAAAAATAGAGCTCTAGTTACCAGCATCCCTACAAGAGAAGTTCTCAAACTTGAACGAAGCTGGCTAGTGATGTAAGAAATGTCAGCCACGACGAAGAGCAGTAGTCTCACAGTGAGATCCGAGAGCGAGCTAGAAACATGACTAACTTTTCATTCAGGCTGATATTGAGGCAGGCCTGCAGCACAAACACTAGATGTATATGTCGTAATGAGGTTGTCGAGGCAAGCAAGCGAAGTGACGGTTAATTGTAACGATGTGACCACCCTTGGGGGTTTTCATACAGAGGCAGTGGCAGAATTCGCGCCAAGCATCATGATTCGACCATCTTGTTCGGTATAGAAGGCCTGGCTGGTGCTGTGAGGTCAATTGAGAATGTAAAATATAGATGCTTGTAGTACTAGGCTATGTTGCTTCTCTTGTGGCCGTTGTAACATTTTTTGGGATTTGCACCACAAGAGTTACTTCTATTAGAAAGGTGCATATGATGAAGCCATTGTTTCTCGAGTGACAACATGCCTTCACGGAACATGGGAAAAGGAAAAGATGATGGCAAAGTAGCTGAGGGGAGGGAAAAGGTCATGCTTGCTCTCTCATGTCTAAATAGTCGCTTCATGAATACTGTACGATTTGGAACACAAGTGTAATATGGTAGAGGACTAAGGCATGCTTTACCATAATGGCTGCAATTAATAAGAAAAGAGTTTTTTCTGTTTTTGTAGCTCGGAGTAGACCAGAAATTATACATTTCAGTAACTGTATATGCAAATGGGCTTAGAATTGCTTATACCAAATGCTGGATCATCGCATTTAAGTTCATTTTAAAGTCCAGATTCTGAATCTAATCCGTTTCATTTGACAAGACTAACATTATTTTTGCAATCTCGTTTACAAATGCGATCATATCTTTTTTATCATGACATCCCTCATTATAATCTATGGAGAGCCTTACACAATCTCTCCAACTAGATAGGCGAACGGAACTATGATTAGTGTACATATTAGCATATTGATTGCTAGGTAGAGATATGACTTCATGGAAATGGTGAATCCAACATACACTGTACATAATGACTGATTTGAGAAGAAATATACATCATCCACATGAATGGCTTTCTCGTTTGAATGTGCGTAAAATTCTCGAGGAATATACCGTTCATTAATTCCATCGCTGGCAAATACCTAGATTTAGTTAGCAGGAGAGAATTGATTACCCTTAAGAACATAATATATTCATATGAAACTTACTGGGCTTTCTATCTGGGGCGGCGCTAAAGGCTTTTGGCTCCTAAATATCAACAATGGTTAGCAATAGAACAACGGGTAAGAGTATTGGTGACTGCATACATGGCTGCTAACACTGCTCCAAATTCCATAACTGGAACGGACATGGAAAGCTTACAAGGCGTAGCTACATTGCTGATGAAGGAATTTTTCGCGAGTCCTGCGGCCTTCACTAGTTTATCTCGTAATTCTCTTTTGCTAGAGATATCGCCGATGGCTAATTCATTGACATTCTCAAATAATATGATGGCTGGAGCTTGACAAGAAGCAATATAGGGCTTTTCGCCCTTTTTATAGTCCTCTTTCAGATACCGCCGACCATCTATGACGGATATACTGCTGAAACTTGTGGCGTTTCGCGCACTATCGGCCTTCATCAGAGCCAATAATACTGCACCCATCGCTAGATGTGTGATGCTATGCCCAGGCTGGAGGCGAGTACGAATACTAGACAACATAGACTGACTTTCAGCTTCTGTGAAAGTATAAAACTCCGTCTGTGGCCTTTTAGGATTTGACTGCAGTGGATTTAACCCTAAGGTACTCTGGGGACGATTAGCATGCCGTCTTTAAATTATCAAGGACAATTATAGTGGATTAACCTTCTTTTTCATGAGTGCCATATGGTCATGCACAGTACGATCGAACCTAGGGCCGCATAGATCCTGTTCAGAGTCCATCAATTCTACAAAAGCAGGGGGTAGATTGTTTGTGCTTTGCTTCCAGTCTACATCTTCATATTTATTGAATGAAGAATCAGACATCTCGGCAACCAGACTCTGAAAAAGCATGGCCACTATCTGCCGTGCAGCGATCCCATCGAATAGACAGTGATTGAAGCGGAAGAGATAATGCACCTCAGAATTCTCCAGGCCCGCATCCAATGCGGTTACGGGCGAAGATATATACACCGTGATGGCGTTATTATTAGATATGCTGGATTCCTGGTTTTTCTTCTCCTCCACTTGATCTCGCATATCGATAGGGCTATGTAAATTCGCCTCTGCAGTCACAATACTGGCTGCCCATTGGTGTACTTCATCCACGACTTTTGGGGTTCGATATTGGAGCATACATTTACCCTGCTTGTCCCATGAGAGAGTCACGGCTACTTGTGGCTGTGACACCCTGAGCTGTACTAAGGAGGACTGAGTCATCCGTTCTAAATCACGGAGTGTGAGTATCTTAGAACCGGCAGACGAAGCGTGGAAGCGAACAGTAGTTGCAATGAAGAAGTCATTTTCGCCATTATGATTACTTGCTTCAATGCCAAACATGGCCTCAGTCGCACAGGCACGGCGTACTCTCAATCTTGTGTCATTGGGGGGTGATCGCCAGCGATACTCATCCACCTTGATGGGTGGCATTCTCCTCACTCGAGAAGCCATATTGGACAAAGATTTTGCGTTGATAGTTGAAGGAAAAGTTGAGAAAGAATTCACAAGAGACCTACTCTCTACAGACTGTCCAATTTGAACCTCGGCTTACTGTACCGATGATCACTTCTTACCGCCATTATCCCTTAGTATGCTTGGTGGCAAAAGTTCCATGCTACAGCTTACTAGGTAGCATGGCGGCATGACACCTCCGAGACTCGGATCCAACTTCTCACACCAGGCTCGGAGTAAGTAACACAAGTCCATTTACGAAGCACTATTTCTCTTCCTCTAGACTTATAGATACTTCAAGCTGATATTGCCTATTTAGTATTAGAGGTGTCAGACTGCTTTGTAGTTCAATGCTCCGCTGCAATACAGCCGAATTAACTATATTGGCGTTATGGACCATAAAGGGGGTGTGCCGGAATATTTTTTAGGCTATGGAGCACTCCGTAGGCGTTGTTCATAATCTTTCTAGTCTCAGTTTGTATACAAGCGTTTCAGGGCTAAGCATTTCGCGCTTACATGCTTGATGCATATGCAACTAGTTGAAATGCGAAAGAAGCTCCCGTGAGTAGCTACGTCGCCATAATATGGAGTAATTTGAGCATCATTGTAGCTGATTACTATTCAAAACGGCATAAACCGTTATACTACATCCTAGACCTAGGGTATGGATTCTATCTACTCCATATTTGATGCATTCTTTCAAGCAACGTAGCACTGGAGCCATGCTCAAGCTATGACGCGGCTGATTTCGATTTCGTCCTTTACTAAAGTTAGTGACTAAATTCACTTTAGGATCAAGCTCTTACCTCGAAATCCCCAGGTTGGATTAACCCTTTCACCCCGGTGCTCTGTAATTTTGAATGGCTTCTGACCAATTTACGATATTCAGGGGCACCTGGCCGTTCAACATTGTCCGCGGCAATAACCGTACCCTTGTGCAAGAGGCCTAGCTCCTCGCAGACTTTAAAATCAGCAGGATACAAATCCTCACCATGGTCCAAGAACAAGAAATCAACGCTGGTTAAAGTGCCTTGTGCATGTAGTTTGCGAAGAGACTCTTCTGCGGGGCCGGTGACAACTGTTACAATGTCAGACAGCCCTGCAAGCTGGATTAGCTCTCTAGCGATAGAAGCAAATTCGGCGCTTAGTTCAAGGCTGAAAACGCGAAGCTGTTGATATGGGCTACTGCGACGCATAGCATCTGCAAATAAAATAGCAGAGTATCCCAGGTAGCCCCCTAACTCAACGGCGGTTTGAGGCTTTTCCTCAGTAATCAGATTGGATAAAATCCCCGCCTTATGGCCACCAATGCTGATAAGGAAGTCATGATTGGCCGAGAAATCGTCAATGGCCGAGAGTATTTTTGTGGGAGAGCCTCGTAGATTGTCAATGTCGGGGTGCGAAAGGATGAAGGAGAGAAGTTTCTCTTCACGGCCATCGTTGGACTAATTAGCGAATGCTTAGCGATGCTTACTTTACGGCTATCTTGAGAACAAATGCTTAGAAGATTGGAAATTACCTCGACGCCCGTTTCAAAGGCTTTCCTTAATACAGGATATTTCTCTAGTAATGCGACGACTTCCGGAGGGTGGTCCATTCTGGCGATGAGTGCAGCTTAGAGCGCGCGACGGAGTGCAAGAAAGAAGTGTAAGTGATTGTGTAAACCAGAATCTCACTCTGTGGGAAACTTTCAAGGAAAAAGCAACTGTTTCTTCTCCGCCGTGGCTAGCTGTCAATTGCCACTCATGGAAACAGCTTCGATATGACTTACTGATGACCTACTGCAGTGTGGTTCCTGTTCAAGAGGCTGCACATCTGCGGGGCACAATTGATACTCCAAAGAGTTTAAAGTCTCACTTTGTGCAAAGGTGGGGGTTGCAGTTATTAGTCATCTGAAGATAATGTGCATCACCATTGCTTGTCCCCAGATGAAAACTGTTGAAGAAACAAATGGAAAACACACATATTTACTTATTTTGTCATATGTGACTCAAATTCAATTGAATGATACATATACTAGCTGTATTGGGTACGATGTACAATTTGATACACAAGCCACCAACGTGTAAGCAGCGGAAAGAACTACATACATGTAGTATAACCTGCATTCCTCCCAAACAAAAAGGAGTTACTGCCAATGCTTGCAGAGCTGCATAACTGCTACCTACTACCTACTCGTATACTCGTATACTCGTATAGTGGATCGGAGAATCATCTGCACGTATCGGTCCATGGACGCCCGTCAGCGGCAATCTAGCCAAGGACGGTGTTACTTGAAAAGCCCGCCCCTAGCTTCATCTACCAACCCCATCCCGCGAAGACTGAACCTTGCACTTACCATTAAAGGCTATGTGGTCGTGATTCAGCAAGGCACTAATAGTGATTTGATGTTCTTTTACCTGTCACGTATCGCGAATGACGACCCTTGAAAAGGTATGTAATACGGATGGGAATTATCTGATTTGTAGTTAATTCCGAGAACACATTTACCCCCACTCGGGGATTCACGCTCAGGGTCAGTCGCTGATAGCAAGCGAGCAAATGAACAGACATAGTATAGCAAGGTAGACAGCCCGTGTTAGTTCGGGGTGTTGGAACTTTTGCTCGGTGAGACGTGATAGTGCCACCTCTTTTCTTTCATCATTGCCGCAACTGCCGGCCCAGACATTGGGACTATTTGCTCCACGTGAAAGACATTTTAAGCGGGATAAATCTGAGATTGATCTATAAGATTTGCCTAACAGGATCGCAAAGGGCTGGCGGAGTCGCGTATTTACAAGGGTTTACGTGCTAGGTTATGAGCCTGGTATAAGCACTATCCACTTCTGGAGGAACGGAGTAAAGTACCTATGTGTATGAGGCTATGGAGATATACTGGCTGCAGAATGTAACACTTTTAAAGTAGGAGAAAAAAACTAATAATTACATAAAATATATAATTTTTTATAGTTTTTCCTTTAAAGAAAATGTTAATAATTAAAAAATTATAATACCCTATAATGTTTGCTATATTATAAACACCAATTTTTTATTTATTTATTTTATATATTTTAAATTGTATACTAGTATATATTTTTAGTCTTGTTTAACTATATTTTATATAAAATACTTGCAAGTATACATGAATTATATTAACTTAAAAGCTAATTATATATTTTTTAAAAATTAATTTAGTATAAAATAATTTTTATTTCACTTTTAAAATATTACTTTAACTAACAATTTTACAGATAGTTTAAGCATTTTCCCAAGACGCTTCTCAGTGACCTATTCATCAGCACCAATAGTGATGTCCTACCATATTATTTAATTTTTGATGTTCCGTCATTTTAAAAGCTCTCTTGTGTACTTGTCAAAGGGAGTCTTACAACAATCATCATTGGACTTTCCCCCCCTTTTCTCAGGTTCCCTTCTCGTTCAACCATGTCTTCCATCAACTCAGAATATGGTCTTCTCTTGATCGACATCCAACAGGGCTTTAACGACCCAAATCATTGGGGAAGGAAACGCTCAACGCCCAATTTTGAGGAAAATGTCAAAGAGCTTCTGGCCACTTTCCGTGCTGTTGCACCTAACAACATTTTTCATGTTTGCCATCTCTCAACTCTGCCGCATTCGCCATTGCATCCAGACAATGGTGCAGTAGATTTTCAACCATACGCTGCTCCCTTGCCCTCTGAGCCAACCTTTCCTAAGCATAAAAACTCGGGATTCTACGGCACAAATCTCGAGGAAGCCATTCGTGAACGCAAAATTACCACCCTCGTTGTCTGCGGTTTGATGACGGAACACTGTGTTAGCTCCACGTTGAGAATGGCCTCAGATCTTGGGGTTGTAGACGGCGTCGATGGAGAAGATAGTAAAGGGCGTATCTTACTTGTACAGGATGCAACAGGCTCTTATGATACTACTTTCGGTGGGAGATACTACGATGCTGAGACTGTTCATGCAGTTCATTTATCAGGCCTGGATACCGAATTTTGCCAGGTGGTCAATCTAAAAGTTGTTTTGAGGGAATTGAAGGGTCAAAGAGAGAATAGGTAGAGCTAGAAGCACATTTTGCAATCGCGAGGCTAGGTCAACAGCACACAAGAATTGAGACTGTATGAAGAAAAATCCTATCACGCAATCCCAACAAAGCGAGTTAATGACTGCTATCGTTAAAAATGGCGTCATTTTCTACTATGAGAAAGGAAAGCATGTAGCCATTGTGACGGTTGATACTATGTCACGTAATTGGCAAATAACGTCTCTCTATCAGAGCTAGCTTGTACGACACCACCTATGCAAAAGTCGACGTCGCCGTGCTGCCCAGCAAATTCACACTTTGATCAGATGTTGCTGTCTTCAAGGTTGTTCTCCCCCCGCAATATTTTCCCTATTCACACCGCTTAAAGTGGTGTTGCGTGTGACAAGCTATAAGTGTAATCACACTCCCCCCCTCCCCGATATCATCACCACCTGGAGATGCCGCGTTCTGCCGCACCAGTGGATTATAATTTAATAACGATTATGCCTCTACTACTTACTAAAACTAGTTAAGTACCTAATAAGTCTTTAATTAGTGAAACAGTTTACGTAGAACCCTCTTTTAGTTGAATCCTGGGACTTAAAGCCGGTATTACACCTATCTGAGACCTTTTGCGGCGGATACGAGATTCTCACCTTAAGCCTATTGAGATAGGAGTAGGGTATATGAGACTAATCCGAGGGCTTACTATTGCACACAGACATGTACAAGGTACAATCCATGGATCAATATTTGGTATCACATTGTAAGACTTGAAAGGATTGCCACTATGTTTTGTGGATCATCTACGCTTTGCTATCCACACTCTTCGCTAAGTAATTGACAGGCGAGAAAGCAAAGATGGGATGATCAACCTGTTTGTTAAATCACAAGGTTTGCAGCGCAATTTGTATGACAAAATTAACCGAATCGGTATCGTAGTGTAAGAACGATTATAACTCGGGAATTGGGATAAAATAACCCATTCAAACCCCCCACATTGATATAGCTTGGTATAACTTGGGCAAAGTGGGTTATCGTTGATACCATCTGGTTTATAAGGTGGTATAGGTAAGTGTTCTTTACGTCTTTTTTTTTCTCTTTGCTCTGCCTGTTCTACTACCATTTCTCTTCAGAGCACAGTGTGCCGTTATTATACTCGCCCAAGAGAAAGAAATGATAGCTGCAATTCTCATAGTCTTGGCAGTAGCCTATATGCTGTGGAAGCTCTTAGCATTCGTATGCTCCATCTTCTTTGCTTTATGTTTATCTCTTTTCTTCACTGTTTCAAACGATTGATGAATGTTAATATAATTGCTACAGAAACAAGCTGAGAAGCAGACGTCTGAGGGATGGAAAAATGATACCAAGGATGCGGTCCTTGATGGTTCGAGAGATTCAGAAATCGAGCCACTGAATGATCTTGATTATACCAAAGTGCCTCCTATCCAGTACAGGCCATTCCTTACAATGCCTCATGTTTCAATGGGTAAGTAGCCATGAACACACCTGCTTTAAAATCATTATATTGACTTTTGAAGGAATCAAAAAGATGTCTCGAAATGAATGGATTCGCATTGACCGTGGTTATATGAATCGCATCAAAGAACGGCAGATGGTGATGCGTGAGCATGCTGCTGATGCGATTGGCACCAGCGATATAGTAAACCCCGCAATTGCCGAGCTCTACGAAGCAATTATGATTAATCATCTGCCAAATAGGTTCCCTACGATGTTTCGTATTGAGGGAACCAGGTTACTCAACCTCGTCACAGGCAGATCGCACTCAATCAAGATGCAAGAGCTCAGCCACGCTGAAATGTTACAAAACTTGGGCGAGAGCGTTGAAGAGGACTTCTATATCATGTGTCCCGATGAGGAAGGTGAGATTCGCCTTCAAGGATACATTGCTTGTTTTCCAGGTGGATTCCTCAGCCGTGCAAAAGTAGGGATGTCTATGAGAGAGATCCACCAGCCGGTTCCCGGATATGCAGAGAGAATTGGAAAAGGGGCCGACCGTCATTTGCAACGACTCGAACCAGGAAACTACATTGAGCGCATGAATGTAAGCTCTGATGCTTTTAAATATCTCTTCCTCTTTTTCTTCTCTATTATGTGGAAAGACGATTGCTAACTGCTTGAATTTTTCCTAAATCTAGTGGAGTCTCCAAGTAGATGGCTCAGACCTCTTCCGTCTTGATGGCAATAACTATTACCCCGAACTGGGAGAGGAGATACCAGAGGAAGAGCAACGTGTTGATCTCTCCACATCTTATCTCAGGGTAGAGCACCAAACTTTGAATCGGTTGCCAAAATCCCTGGCAGTCATCTTCTGTGTGCGCTCATATCTTACTTCTTTGGAAGATATCAGGAATGAGGGAAACGGTCCGTCTCTTCTAAGTGCTATTAAAAGTATGCCTGAAAAGCTAGGGGACTACAAGAAGCGTCCGTTCTGGTGTAAGGCTGTGTACGAGTATCTTGGAGCCCAGTAGAAAGGCTTTTAGCTGCGACGGAATCGGATAATGCAGGGTTTCATCTTACATGTCCACATTTGGTTAAAACATCGATGGCTATCACAAATTATGCAACATTGAGATATTCCGTATTATAATGCCGATATATCGGTATCACGTGTAAGGCAGTGATACCCAGCCGCCCTTTTTGCCCAACTTGAAGATGATCCTATTAGCTAGGACGTTAATAGAAGTATAGAAAGATATATTGTAACTTTGGCTCTACGCTGCTAACATGGTGATTACTCTTGGCTTAGCATGGGAATGTTTTGCCATTCTCTGAGCTACACAGTCCCCCTCCCGTGGGGGCTATATGTGTTTTCATTATACCCATTCAATCACATGCAAGGAATGTCGAGAGTTCTTAACAAAGTGCCAGCCTAAAAGGGTAAATGGAGGGTCATTTAAGCTACTATACGGAGCATTCCTTTTCCACATCTGTACGGCTCTAGTCAGCAGCTATAGCTTATACGATACGGAGTATATTAAGTGCTATACAACGGCGCTATGCCCGCTTAAAGCCTGCATTGGAAAATAGTGCAATTAGCTTAGGTGGCCTTTGTGGAATCTCAATAGGTCAAAAATGTATATATCTCCATCGATCTAGTTTCCTATTACGGTAAGCAGTAATGAAATAAGTCCCTTATGATTACTGAAAGGCTGTAGGCGTCGAAGGAGTGCGAGGATGCATATGTCATAGGGCTTGTTTCGCCGCTAAAATCCTTCCCGGTGTTAACTACTGTGGTAGTACCAGGGGTTGCAAAGATTGTTTGTCGTTTGTCGTTTTTCGTTTTTTCGCTCTTCGCGCTTCGTTTCGTTTCCACGAAACTATTTGTGTTTCGTTAACGAATAACAACTCGTTTTTAGTAGCTCATTTACAACCTTGGGGATTGCATATACTCTTAACTATTAATATATTCTATTGGCTGGTAACGAAGACAAATGCTCCATTAGCAACCGCTGTGGTGGCTGGCACGACCCGTGTGCCGTCCGGCGACGATCACCTTGCCAAGGCGAAGCAAAAACAACCAAGGATGCAGTAAGACTTTAAAGATAGCCCTCGTCAGCATAGGCGTTATCTTGAGCAAGTATTATAATAATAATTTAAAAAAGAAAAAACTTTTTCGCCTTCTTCTTGTTACAATACATGGACAGCGTTAACATTTCCCCCGCTATAAGTCGGACCACATACTAAGTGGCCACCCCTACTAAGTGGCCACATAATTACACCAAAACTTATAGTTTTTAAAATTTTATAATTAATTATAAAAAAAATTAAAGACATAAAAAAAGTAATTATATAAATAATATTATTAATATTATAAAATAAAATAAAATTATTAAATGTTTTGTAATTAATAAATATATTACTTAAATTATAAAAAAGAAAGGTAAATTTATTAGTATTAATATATAATTTATATATAAATCTTAACAGTAATAAACTATTAAATAATATATATAATATTAATAAATAAAAAAAAGTAATATTACTTTTATAACATAATATATATAGTGCTTATATTCTAATAAATAACTATTTATAATTTTTATTAGTGTTTATATTATTATTAATATTGTAAGAGCCTTTGTAAACTTATATGGAGGTGGCCACTTAGTAGGGGTGGCCACTTAGTATGTGGTCCGACTTATGTACTTAGATACTAGTGTGAAATCCGCAGAGGTACGGGTGTTGTTTGTGTATGCATTATACTGCTCGTTCAGATGCATTCCGTCGTTTACTATAATATTAATTGCACGAGAACTCTATCTTACGGCGAAATATTGATTTTTAAACTAATAGAGTGAGGGCTATTCTACTCGTACATGTTAAGATAAATCGAAGTAATCACCATGTAATCTATATGTACCCTAAACCCTAACAGATCTCCCCTTTTCCCCTTGCAAGTGCAATTTCACCCAATGGTTCCTAGGTCTTACCGGATCTATATTTCCGTCTCATCAGCCTTGGAATCGCAGATCTTCTCAAATTCTGCAGACCCCGCGGTTGGGGACACATGCTTCTCTTCCTGAGCAACTTTACCTTTTTTTACAGATTTCCATTCTACCAATAGGGCTGCTACGACTGTGGCGCAACCTAAGGCCGTAGGAACAAAAAATGTTCGTGTGACGGCGGAATTGTATACCGTTAAAACCTCGCTCAGAATCGTAGCACTGACCTTGTCCCTCCACTCTGTGGCTCCGGCTTCTAGGATAAGTGCGGGATCCACTGCCGGGACGTGTTGATGCAAGCCTTTTGACAGCTCATTGGTGAAGAGGTTATTAGCAACAGAGACAAATACTGCACCGCCTAAATTGTTGGCAAAGATGATCGCCGTCGTCCCTATTGGGATGTCCTTTTGCGGTAACACAGTTTGCACAGCTAGAAAGGACTGTTGGAAACCCATGCCCACTCCGACGCCAAATAACACTTGGTAACCAATCCAGCTGCTATGGTTAGTAGTAACTTTAAATGTTGTCATCAGTCCTGCCGCGACTGAAATGCATATGCTGCCGGCAATCATAAATGGTGCGTAGTAACCTAAGGCGGTAACGATAAAGCCAGTCATCACCCCCGTTAGGACCAAGGCGATGAGAAGGGGCAACAACATTACTCCCGAATGGCCGGGAGATGTATTCTTAATTGATTGGAACCATAGAGGAAGCTAGCAGAGATTAATCCATTAGCGAATTCATCAATTTTGAAAGGATGCCGGGAGAAAAGCTTACATAGTATTCCACCAAAAATATAGAACCTCCCATGCAAAATGCATACGCGATACTAAGACTGACGGAGCGCTGTCTCAAAACTCGAAGAGGTAGAGTCACATTCGTCTTTTTATATGCCTGAACAGACATGAAAGCACTGAACAACGCTGCCGCGAGGATCAGAAGCACTATGATTCGCGTGTTGCCCCAGGCATATGTTGTTCCGCCCCATTGCATAGCGAGAAGCAGACAAATAACGCCAGGTACGAGAAGGAAGAGCCCCAGCAAATCCATAGACCATAGTTTCTCTTTAAACGTCAATGGGGCAAGCTCTTGATTCTTAGGGTTTCGGAAGAACAAGATGATCACTCCCAAAGAGAAGCCACCGAGAGGCAAGTTTATATAAAAGCACCATCGCCATGTGACATGCTGGGTGAGGGCACCAGATATAAGCGGCGCGACGGCCATTGCAATGCCCTCCATTGCTCCCAGAAGACCCCCAGTCGTGGGCCGGAAGCGAAGAGGAATGGCATATGACTGGATTCTATAGCAAGGGTTAGTTCGATGAGATGGCTCGAAGTATCGAAGACCTTAGGGGATGAAATCATCATGAAATCTCCATACTCACATAAATACGCCTGATATAACACCCCCCGAACCTAAGCCGGCAATTGCACGCCCTATAATAAGCGCAGCTGAGTTCGGTGCAACGGCGCAAACCAACGACCCGATTTCGAAAATGAAGATTGAACTAAGAAAACAGATCTTCACAGGGAAGATAGTATACAGCCTCCCGTAGAAGAGCTGCATTCCGCATGTAGTAACAAGACTATAAATCATTAGCTAAAACATATAATAGGCTGCAATGAAGAGAATACGAAAACCTACTAAGCAGAGCCATACCAACCCACATCATTGAGCTGCTTGAATTCCTGAGTGATGCTTGGAATGGCTGTTCCCACAATAGTACCGTCCTACTTCCAAGGTAAGCTTGCTATCTTGACAAGAATACTGTGACTTACCAGCCCTATGAGAAAAATGGATAGCGCAAGAGCTATGAGGATTAAACCAGTTTGAAGAGGACCTGAATCAGAAGTATCATCTGCATGGCTGTCTACAGCATTCTGGCTTTCTATAGGCAAGTTGTCGTTAATCGCTGTTGGTGACTGCGCGGATTCAGTTTCATGGCCTAGCCCTGAATCCGGGGTCTTTGAACTGTCATCCACCATTGGGGACAGCACTTGGAGGCAAAACCCTAATACTTGAGAAGAAAACGGGATTCCTTAGACATTTACGTATGGTATAGGAATGGAATACAAACTACAATAGATCGCAGTCAACAAATTAATAAGGACTTATTCCAGCTCTGTATAGGTGGAGTGCTATGTCAGCATAGTGTTCTGTGTCCAGGTAGGACTGCAAAGTAGTACAAAAGATTAATATTAACAAATATTACCTTTAGCACTAAGACATTATAAAATTCTTTATTAAACCCTACTGCAATATATATATATATATATATTATGTTGTAATATCTTGAATATATTATATTGCTTCATTTTGTTAAGTATACTAATCCATTTATTTTGTTTATTTCTTCTTTTCATTTATTAAATGATTGCATTTAAAATATTTTAATTATGAAATATACCATATGGTACTAAGATACTGTGTCTTAATTTTGAACATATTAGAAATATTATAGAGTGTGATAGCGGATCTAGTACCAGGTACTTTATCAGCACTTTTGTCAAAATCCTGGCGGGACAGGGGTGCATCTTACTTCCCGCCTGAACACTAGCTTTAGTACAAGTAAGATCAAATTTATCTGAATTTGTTTCTAGTAGTACCTACCCATTAGTCCCAATTCCAGTGGCCAACCAATGGGCAGCTGCGGAATACGAAAACCATTTCGCAACCCTGCAGGCGGAGGCAACTACAAAGTATCCCCCCCCTCCCTGAATTTGGTAAGTCTTTGGCAATACATGATCAGCAGCTTATTGATGGATGACGGATGAAGCAGCCGCAGAGATGACTGGCCCCGGTTTATGAGTAGCGCGTGACCGGGGAAAGCAAATAACACGGTGATGGCTAACTAGGGCATAAGCGAGACAAGTAACTAGTTATGAGGCTATCACATACTGCACCAAAAAGTACGATTGGTGCGGCCGGTACGGCGTACAGATAGCAAATTCGGCAAATGATAATACATGTTACCATTACGACTTAGGTAAGAAAGAGCGACAACACAGATACATAGAGGTAATCAAAAATAATAGCCATTATTGCTACTATTACAATATAGGACAAAAATAGCGAGGGCAAGGATACACGATATGGCATCCATAGACACCCCACCCCCTGGGGCGCACATAGAGCTCCCTCTACCATTTATTTTGGAGAAATGAATGTACAGAAAGAATATTAAAAAAATAAAAAAATAAAAAAATAAAAAATAAAAAGATTAATTTTCAATACATTTACCTTTCATTAAAATACCTACCCTTGTCGGTACCTAGCACTGACTACCTATTCGGCCTGCATACTAGTCAGTGTCTGTAACAAGATGCGCATGAATAGAGGCAATTAGATGGCCGATACATAGATTTATCGTTGCGATTTCGGCGGGTTAAACGAACACACAAACACGTAGGAGAGAAATTCCTCCTCTAGAAACGGCCATCAGAAGTTATTTGACGGTTCTCTTTGGTTAGTCTTACGCATTATAAGAAATTGGCTACTTGTGGCAGACTCTGTTCTAATTCAACGATAGTAACTCATACCTAAACGGCAAACGAATGTTCATTTATATCTTCTTGAAAATCCTGGCCAATAACATATATCATTCAAGATACGATGGGCGATGCAATTTCTCCTTTGGGCTCTCCGTTAGAACTGAATGGAGGTGTGAGTCTCTTTGAGACAAATGATACGAAAAAGACCAATCCTGCTGGGGAAGATATTACTTGCCAGCGTGTTAGAAGCAAGCTGTTAGAAGATCTCAGTACTACTTTTCCCACGTTGCCATCCGCAAACTACCAGCCCCGTGCGAAGTCACGCTTGGCTACTGACTTCGGATTCGGAACTTCTTCCCCAATTCCAAGCTCAAATGTAGTACGAATTGCATGGGCACTTATTCTTGCTCGCTATACTGATCAGAGAGACGTGATTTTTGAAACATCTGGCTCTCACTTTCCAGCCCGAGAGAATATTATAGGCGATGAAGATGAGATACTAGTGCCTCTATGGGTACGAGTCAATCATGAAAAGCCTATAGACCAATTTATTCTGGATTTTGAACAAGAGTTCCAAAATGCCACCTGTGTACAGCACTCCGAAAGAGAAAAAGTCAGCAACGGGCACGAAAATTCCAGCTCTGGGCTGCCCAACGCCCCATTGAGTGCGATTTTTTTCAGCGAAAATGGTTCTCAGGCCAAAGCCCTGTCCAATACGTGGATGAAACGCGCCTTGGTCTTGAATTGCAGCACTACTAGCGGCATTCTACACATCACTGCCTCCTTCGATGAGAACGTAATACAGAGAGAACAGATGGAGCGCATACTAAACCAACTTGTCCATATCATACGACAACTACACAGCCATGTGCCGGAACAGAAGCTGAAACATATTGATATGATATCTCCTCAAGACAGGAAAGAAATTCAAGAGTGGAATTCAGTGGAATCAATTGTTGCGGATACCTGCGTTCACTATCTATTTGAGCAGCGAGCACAGAAATCACCAAATGCGACTGCAGTCCACGCACACGATGGCGATTTCACTTATAAAGAACTCGATGATCTCTCGTCTCGCCTGGCTCAGCATCTTAGCAAAAGTGGTGTTAAAAATGCCTTTGTTGCAGTTTGCTTCGAGAAATCGAAATGGGCCGTTCTTACTATGATGGCCGTTTTGAAGGCCGGAGCCGCCATAGTGCCGCTAGATCATTCGCATCCAGTAATGCGATTGAAGTCTATCATAGAAGACTCTGATGCAGAATTGGTGCTCTGCTCCCCCGCCCAACAAGAACTACTCAAACAAACTGGAACCACTGTTTTTGTAGTTGATGCTACTTCATTAGGCAACATCCCTCTGGCCACTTCTACGACCCGAGAACGTGTCTCGTCCAGCTCTGCTGCGTTTGTTTTCTTTACGTCTGGAAGCACAGGACTACCTAAAGGAATCATTATAACTCATACAGCATACTGCACGAGTGCTAGGTCACACTCAAAAGCTCTCCGGATAAACGAGGAGTCTAGGGTCATGCAGTTTGCGGCTTATACGTACGATGTAAGCGTCGGAGAAATCTTCACCACACTCATATGTGGCGGCTGCATATGTGTCCCATCAAACCATGATAGGGTTAACAATCTAGCGGCAGCGATTCAACGGATGGGTGTAACTTGGATGTTTTTAACGCCCTCTGTTGCCGGTCTCCTACAACCTGAAGATGTGCCTAACTTGAAGACTCTTGTGCTTGGGGGTGAACCAGCGACGAAGCAGAACTTCATTACTTGGGCGAATGGCGTGTACTTGATAAACAGTTATGGGCCTGCAGAATGCTCAATTTGGACTCACTGCAACCCTGGCGTCAGCCGAGACACGTCGATTGGATACATTGGCAAAAATATTAACGGAATCAGTTGGATTACCGACGCTGAAGATCCTACCAAGCTTGCTCCTATTGGAACAGTCGGTGAACTTCTCATAGAAGGCCCCGTTCTAGCAAGAGGGTATCTGAATGACCAGGCGAAAACGGAAGCAGCTTTTATAGAAGCTCCGGCCTGGTATTCTGCCAACACTGGAAGAAAAGCGCCAAAACTCTATCGGACGGGAGATCTTGTCAAATATGATTCAAATGGTGGAATAATAATTCTCGGCCGAAGAGATACACAAGTCAAGCTGCGGGGTCAGCGTGTTGAGCTGGGAGAGATAGAATTCCACATCCAGCGATCTCTGCCAAAACACGTTGAGGTTATTGTCGATGTCATCAAACACTCAAACAGTAACCATTCAGTTCTTATGGCTTTCATCTGTGGGGGCCACTATGACGGAAAGATGCAACAGCAGGATAGTGAAAACCTCGCTGCACCACAATCTTTGCAGGAAGTGTATCCAGAAGTTGGTCTTCAACTCTCAAGCTATCTACCAAGACACATGATACCTTCTATTTTCGTGCCCATTACTACCATGCCTCTAACGACATCTGGGAAAATCAATCGAAAAAGGCTGAGAGATCTAGCGGCCAGATTCTCTATAGAGCAATTGATCTCTGTGCACTCAACAAATGGAAAAGCACTACCATCTAGCGAGATGGAATTACAGTTACAGGGCCTCTGGGAGAAGGTATTGGCTATACCAAGAGCCCTTATAGGAGCCGAAGATAGCTTTTTCCGCCTCGGCGGTGACTCTCTTCGGGCAATGAATTTGGTTTCTGCAGCAAATGAAATAGGAATACATCTCTCTGTCGAAGACGTCTTCAAGAAGCCTAAACTTTCCGACCTTGCACAAAACATTTCTTGTGTTCCTGAGAGCAAGACAGAAGGCAGGGTAAAACCATTTACTTTATTGAAAGAAAGTTGGGCAGTGAAGGATTTTAAACAGCTGGCTGCTGGGCTATGTAAGGTTGATTCAGTATTGATTGAAGACGCCTTTCCTGCAACTCCACTTCAAGAGGGCCTCATGGCACTCTCAACTAAGCATGTCGGATCATACGTTTCCCAGCAAATATTAAAATTGAGCGTTGATGTCGATATAGACCGGTTTTGCAAGTCATGGAATTCGGTTGTATCACAGAATCCTATACTGCGAACTAGATTGATCCATACGGAAGTTGATGGTACAATTCAGGTTGTACTCTCCAAAGTGGCCGAGGTTCAGATCACAAAAACTGAATTAGAGAGCTTCCTCGAGAGCGATAGGCGTACCCCAATGGATTTTGGAGATAGCTTAAGTCGCTATAAAATAATCCATAGTGAGCCGAGGGATGAGTATCATTTTGTGTGGACTTGCCATCACGCCTTGTATGACGGTTGGTCGCTGCCAATGGTATTCAAGCATCTCAAAGATGAGTATGAGTCCGGCACTAGTGGTTCATGCCAAACGCCTCAGTTTCAAAGTTTTGTGAGATACTTGAAGCAAATTGACACTGCTGCTCAGCAAGAGTACTGGCGAGAACAATTTTTTGGATCTTCGCCATCAGATTTGTTTTCGTTCTCATCTGCGTATGAACCTTGTGCAGATGAAACGCTGTCAATAACAGTACCAGTCCTACGCCGGCTACGCTCTGAAACAACTATGTCAACGCGCATACGTGGTGCATGGGCTTTGGTAATCTCATGCTACACAGGCTCGTCAGATGTTATCTTTGGTTGCGTTCTGAACGGCCGTAACGCCCCTGTGGTGGGTATCGATCGGATTGTAGCCCCAACTATCGCGACCGTTCCAATCCGCGTTCAACTAAACAGCGCCCATGATATTTCGAAATACCTTGAAAGTCTCCAGAAGCAATCCAATGGAATGATCCCGTATGAGCAAACTGGCTTGCAGAATATTCAACTAGCGTCCCCAGAGGCTCGGGTAGCGACCAACTTCCAAACCCTACTCGTTGTTGAACAACAGCAGGTAGCTGTGGATGAAAAGGATTATTCTTTGCGAGTAGAAGACATCTCCAGAAACCGTCTAGACTTCACCCGATATCCAGCCACTCTCGTATGTAATTTGGGGGCAGATGATATCAAATTCGACATCAAATTCGACTCAGATTTAATTCCTGCCGTTCAAATGCAACGAATGATGAATCATTTTAAAAATGTATTTGGAGCACTCTGTCATGAAGATCCTCGATTGACCATCGAAGACATCAACAGACCTAGCCCGGAAGATTTGGCAGAAATAGTCGGCTGGAACGGAACACTCCCAAACATAGTCAACTCTTGCATACACGATTTCCTAGACCAGCGCGCCGTAGAATATCCCAACGCCGTGGCGATTGACTCTTGGGATGGCCAGTTGACATACGAGGAATTGAGGCTACAATCCTCCAAATTAGCAAATTATTTAACAACTTGTGGAGTCAGCTCCGGAACCATGGTCCCTCTTTCTTTCGAAAAGAGTGTATGGGCAGTCATTGGTATGATAGCAATATTGAGAGCTGGGGGAGCTTGTGTTCCCCTCGATCCTTCATACCCACGATCTCGCCTTGAAACAATTCTTGCCCGCCTGAAGACTCAGCTATTGCTTACATCACCTTTACATGCGCCAGATTTCAAGGGTCTACATCAAAAAGTGATAGTATTGGATAGAAGTCTACTGGAACAGGCACCAACCAAGTCTAGCTCTGTCTTGATTCAACCTGGCGACGCCGCATTTGTCCTGCACACATCCGGGAGTACGGGCATACCCAAGGCCATCGTTCTAGAACATAAATCTCTTTGCACTAGCTTGTATGAGCATGGAGCTGTTGAATGTTTGGGTCCTGAAAGCCGTGTGGTACAATTCGCGGCGTACACTTTCGACGTGAGCATAAGCGATATTTTTGCGACATTGATGTATGGTGGCTGCATTTGTATTCCATCAGAACTGCAGAGGCTCAACGATCTGGCTGGGTTTATCAACAGCATGCAAGTCAACCAGGCTGGCCTGACTCCAGCTGTAGCAAATCTATTAGATCCTTCAGAGGTGCCTTGCCTCAGGTATCTGAAACTGGGTGGAGAGTCAATGACGCAAGATAATATAGTGAAATGGTCAACCAAAGTCAACCTTCTAAACAGTTATGGCCAGGCAGAATGTTCTGTGAAGTCGGCCTATAATGCATGGCTGGGGCCAGACTCAGATCCTTCAACGATTGGGAAACCTGTGGGAGGATCATTATGGATTGTCCACAAGGACGACCATCGCCGGCTTGTGCCTATCGGTGTTATAGGAGAGTTGGTCGTGGAAGGCGATATACTAGCACGAGAGTATCTTGAAGATCCCAAGAAAACAGAAGAAGCGTTTCCAACTAGTCCGAGGTGGCTTCAAAAAGCACAAGGTCGGCGGAGTGAGCGAATTTTCAAATCCGGCGATTTGGCTAAATATAATTCCGATGGCTCTATCAAATATATTGGACGAAAAGACACGCAAGTCAAACTAAGAGGACAGCGACTTGAGCTTGGAGACGTGGAATATCATCTCCAGCAGTGCATCCCAAGCTTTACGAACGAAGAAGTGCAGCTGGCTGTGGAGCTAATAACTCCCGTTGATGGGGAGCCAATGCTTGCAGCTTTTTTGAGTACAAGGGACGAATCAAGCTCCAGAGAAAACAGTCTCTCCGATGTTGAAGAGAGAGACCTGGCAAATGGGTGGTTGAAATCACAATTGCCGGCAATCAAGGCTATGCTATCGAATGCGATACCCCATTATATGGTACCATCCGCCTTTGTATCTCTGAAACAGATGCCTCTTTCAACTTCGGGGAAGATTGATCGCAAAACACTACGGAAACTTGCGTCCAACATGAATGTAACCGAGCTTCTGGCCTTATCTGCCTCGTCTCAACAGGTTAGATCACCTGAAACGGAAATGCAACGTCGTCTGCACACTCTCTGGTCAACGATACTCAATATAGCCCCAGATAGCTTTGGAATTGAAGATAGTCTCTTCCAGCTCGGTGGCGACTCCATTACGGCTATTAAACTTGTCACCGCTGCTAGAGTCGCCGGGATTCTCCTTTCTGTACACGATATTTTTAAGCATCCCCAACTCTCAGACATGGCTTTGGCAGCACGCGGAATCCAAGAAAGAGATGTGTCGGAAATATTGCCATTTGCACTCATTGAAGACCGCAATATACTTGGGGTTGATCATTATCTCGAAGAAATTGCTGCTTTATGTAATGTCAAGAAAGACGATATCGAGGATATTTACCCATGTACACCATTACAAGAGGGTCTTATGGCGCTCTCTTTAACTGATCATGGTTCTTATATCGCGCAATTGGTGTTTGAGATGCCCAGTACGCTAGATACTAATCGTTTCCAACAGGCTTGGGAAGCTGTCTTCAAACATCACGCAATTCTTCGCTCTCGGATGGTACAAGCAAGCGAGCTAGGTACTGTTTTGGTTGTCATGAGGCAATTGCCTAGTTTCTTCTCAGGAAACATGGAGTTAGATGCATATCTACAGCAGGATAAGCAAGTGGCCATGGATTATGGAGACAGTCTTGCTCACTACGCTATTATTAGCGATAAAAAGACAGGAAGCCAATATTTTGTGCTGAAAATACATCACGTCTTATACGATGGGTGGTCTCTGCCTAGGATATTACAAGATGTGGAAGATGCATACACGAATGGTACTCAAAGCAGCGCTGTGGGGTTCAATCACTTCATCAAGTACCTTCAGAACACCGAACGAGCCTCTTCTGAAAGATTCTGGAGCGAAGAAGTTTCCGATGCCCCTGCGCAGAGTTTTCCAAGTCTTCCATCTATTAACTATCGCCCATTTGCAAGTGCAGAGTTCCGACACTCTTTTCCCCTGCCTATTAATGTCTCAGTATCAAATTTCACGCTCTCTACTAAGATCCTTGCTGCGTGGTCTTTAGTGTTTGGGCGGTATTCTGACATGAACGACGTAATATTTGGCACCACTCTTAGCGGGCGAACATCATCTGTGGCAGGCATAGAAAACATTGTTGGTCCAACTCTTGCGACCGTCCCTTTTAGAGTACAGTTTCAACCGGATCAAAACGTTTCAGGTCTTTTGCGGGCAATACAAAAGCGGAGCGGTGATATAATGCCTCACGAGCATATCGGCATTCAGAACATCAGAGCACTCAACGCCGATGGCCGTAGAGCATGCGAATTTCAAGTCCTACTGAATATTCGAAGTTCAAGTGAACAAAGCTCAAAGATCGTGTTAGGGCTCCGTGAGTTGAACGGAGATTTAGCCAACTTTCATACGTATGCCATTAATTTGCTTTTTAGTGCCTACCCAGGAGGATTGGAAATTCATGCTCAATTTGACCCTCAAGTCGTGGACTCTACCAAGATTGAAAGGATCTCCAAACAGGTGGAACATGTCATTCTCCAGCTACATAATGAATCCAACGGCGCAAAAGTTGGTGATATCAGCTTAATAAGTCCCGCCGACATGCAGCAGTTGGAGAAGTGGAACCGTGGCCTTCCTCCTGCGGTCGATTCTTGTGTTCATCATCTCATTGAAGAGCGAGTGCGGTTGCATCCTGATAAACAGGCTGTCATTGGATGGGATGGTCAATTCACATATGAGCAGCTTCATAAACTGGCTCATAAACTGGCGCATCATCTAGTTGGCCTTGGCATCAAACCGGACAATATGGTGCCAGTCTGTTTCGAGAAATCCATATGGACAATTGTGGCCATACTGGGTGTGCTCAAAGCAGGGGCGGCTTTTGTTTCGATGGATCCGTCCCATCCTGTGAACAGACTTGAGACTATAATCAACGATGTTGAGGCCATAGTTGTTCTCTCCTCAGAGAAAACTTCTACAATCTTCTCTGAATCGATCAAGAAGAAGATATGCGTCGTCGACGCTAAAACGATAGCTAGTTTTGCTGAAGTGGACGACATTCTTGAGACGGGAGTCATGCTTCACAATGCAGCATATGTAATATTCACGTCTGGATCCACCGGAAACCCTAAAGGTGCCATTATTGAGCACCGAGCATACTCATCGAGCGCGGTAGAATGCGCCAGGGAGCTTCATATCCATAGTGGATCTCGCGTTCTGCAGTTCGCATCATACAGTTTTGATGTCAGCATACAAGAAATATTGGCTACGCTCATTGTAGGCGGATGTATATGCGTGCCAGATGAAATCGACAGACTCAATGACATTTCGCGACTGATTAACGAGATGGGAGTTACTTGGATGAATCCAACCCCATCCTTTGCAAGGATGATTAAAGCAGAAAGCATTCCTAATGTGGAGACCATGGTCTTGGGAGGCGAGGCCCCCAGGAGAGATGACATTGACTACTGGGCAGCGAAGTTGAGGCTAGTCAATGCTTACGGTCTGAGCGAATGTTCTGTAACCAACGTTATAAATGTTGGGTTGAGTGTGGGAGCAGAATCAAGGAATATTGGCCATGCGGTTGCTTGCGCAACTTGGGTTGTGGATGCTGACAATCATGAACGTCTCGCACCTCTGGGTTCGGTTGGAGAGCTTCTCATTGAAGGGCATGTGCTTGCAAGAGAGTACCTAAACAATCCTGAGAAAACAGCTGCGGTATTTATAAAAGCTCCAGGTTGGCTTCAGCGCTTTAGACCAGAGTCGACAAAGGTCTATAAAACCGGAGATTTAGTCCGCTATTGTGCAGATGGGACCATCTACTACATAGGACGCAAAGACAGTCAGGTAAAACTGCATGGACAGCGCTTTGAGCTCGGTGAGATTGAGCATCATCTTCGGGTCTGCTTGCCCTCCACCGAAGTTGCCGCAGAGATCATCACTCCAGTCGGAAGAAGTGTCCCCATGCTTGTCGCATTTATTGTGGTAGGCAACAAAGACGATTCTGCAATAACAACTGAAGAAGTTGCATACTCTGGAACAGGAAGAGAGGCACTTTCGTTATTGACAACTGGTTTAAGCTCTCGCCTGGCACAATCACTTCCTTCGTATATGATCCCGTCGCTCTTCATTCCTCTCTACCGAATGCCACTTTCTGTGGCAGGGAAGACGGATCGTAACCGACTACGATGTATAGTCTCAGAAATGACCATCGAGAAGATAAGTTCCTTTACTTCGGCCATGGATGGAATTAGACAGCCTTCTATGATTTCCGAGATTACGGTCCGTGACCTCTGGGCGGAAAATCTAGGCTTGGATCCAGACTCCATAGGACTGGACGACAACTACTTCCAGCTAGGAGGAGATTCTATCAGTGCGATGCTGTTGGTGGCAACCTCACAAGCTGAGGGGGTTCAACTCACCGTGGCAAGCATCTTCCAAAACCCAGTATTGTCCGAATTGGCACTCTCTGTGCAACTCACGGATCAACCTGACATTCCTGAAATTCTCCCTTTCGAAACCGTTCATAATATTGAGGAAGTTGGTGAGCTTCTTGAAGAAGTTGTCAATCAGTACGGATATTCCAAGTCTACAATTGAAGATATATATCCTTGTACACCACTTCAAGATGGGCTGGTAGCTATCTCAATCAAAGAGCCTGGAACTTACCTTGCGCAAGCTGCATTGTCATTACCCGAATCATTAGACGTAGGCCGATATCGAGCAGCATGGGACACTGCAGTCCAAAATATGCCGATTCTTCGCACTCGCATTGTTGAAACAAGCTTGGGCTTGATGCAGCTCATCTTGGATACCTCGGTTGAGTGGCAGGCCAGCAATAGCCTCCAGGGTTATTTGAAGAGTGACAGGGAGAAAGTCATGGGATTGGGAGACCCTCTCATTCGCTTCGCCATTATAAATGAATCAGATAAGCGATATTTCTCTTGGACCGCCCATCATGCCTTAATTGACGGATGGTCAGCCCGGCTGATTCAGGAAAATGTGGAAAGGGCATATCTTGACATGAGCCTGAAACCAACTCTTGGCTTCAATCACTTTATCCAGCACATCAACCAGGTAAACTTGGCCGATGCAGAAGAATTTTGGAAACAAGAGCTGGCAGGCTCGCCGTTACCAAGCTTTCCAGAACTCCCATCAGATAACTACCAGCCAATAACAAGTGCTGGCTTAATGCATACGGCTCGGTTCTCGAAAAAGTTTGATTCAGAAATACCTGTATCAGCCATTATCAAGGGAGCATGGGCTCTCGTCCTCTCAAAATACTCCGACTCTGCAGATGTTGTATTTGGCCATACCACCAATGGAAGGACATCGCCTATACTTGGCATTGATCGTCTTGTCGGCCCTACTATTGCGACCATGCCCTTCAGAGTTCGCTTTAATAGCGACTGGCAAGTAGCCGATTTCTTGAAAGAAATTCAGCGCCTTTCGACGTCGGCAATGCCGTTTGAACAAACTGGTCTGCAAAATATCAGAAAGATGGGTGCAGGGGCTCGCGCTGCGTGCCAGTTCCAGAACATGCTTCTCATCCAAAATGCGGTGGAATCGGGGACTACTGGTGGCGAATGTATCGCGTGCAATGACGATGAAGACCAGGTTGTTATCCAAGGCCTAGAGCCTGTTGAGGTGATTCAAACCAAGTTCCACGCTCATGCGCTCGTTGTGGAATGCGCTTTGACTTCTGATGGCGCATCGGTCAAGGTGGAATTTGACTCAGCGGTCATAGACGATGTTCAGATGTGGCGGATTGTCAAGCAATTTAGCCATGTGATGAAACAGCTCTCTGAGCGCAGTCCAGAAACAAATCTCCGTGATATCGAAATGATCAGTCCAGAGGATCAACTCGAAATCTCCAATTGGAACTCTGAAATTCCTCAAACGGTTAACTTTTGCTTCCATCAACTCTTGGATAGCCGAATTGAAGAATATGCAGATACACCAGCGTTGGCCTCCACGAGCGAGCAGCTATCCTACAGAGAGCTCGCCCAGGCATCTAATAAACTTGCGTATCGGCTCATTGAGCTTGGCGTCAGCACCGAGACGTTTGTACCTCTATGTTTTGAGAAGTCAGTTTGGGCAGTTGTTTCTATGCTTGCTGTATGGAAAGCTGGAGCGGCTTGTGTATCTCTGGATCCATCTCATCCCGAGAGCCGGCACAAATCTATCCTGGAGACTACTTCCGCGTTCGTCGCCCTGTCATCATCAGCCCATAGTTCTTCTATGCGATCTCTAGGTCTGGATGTAACCGTTGTAGACAAGGACATACTGCAAGACTTATCACCCGATCTTTCATCACCGGCAACCAATGTCTCCCCCTCTAATGCTGCGTATGCAGTGTTCACATCCGGGAGCACAGGCGTGCCCAAAGCCATCGTTGTTGAGCATTCTGCCCTCAGTACAAGCTCGACTGCATTGGGAGCTGCAATGATGTTGAACAAAAGCTCTCGGGTACTCCAGTTCGCAGCTTATACTTTCGATGTTAGTTTTGGAGACATCTTCCCAACTCTTTTATATGGAGGCTGCGTATGTGTGCCCACCGAACACGAGAGGTTAAATGACCTTGCCAACACCATAAGGTCTATGAAAGTGAATCAAATTCAGCTCACTCCCTCAGTTGCGGCTCGACTTGAACCTTCTGATGTCGGCCAGCTACGAGCACTGGCGGTCGGTGGAGAGGCTGTAACAAAAACGGTGCTTGATAAGTGGGCGGAAAATACTCACCTTATTAACATCTATGGTCCTGCGGAGTGTACTATTTGGTGTGCAGGTCAGAACAATGTTCAACGTGTTGACGATCCTGCAAGAATTGGGCGCGGCATCGGCGCTGTAACTTGGGTGGTTGATAAAGGTGACCACAACAAGCTTGCTCCTATTGGTACTGTTGGAGAGCTAGTAATTGAAGGCCCTGGAGTCGCTCGAGGATACCTTAATGATGCACCAAAGACGAATGCGGCATTTATCAATAACCCAGAATGGACCTCGTCTTCAAGCGCTGTAAGACTTCCATCTCGGATATACAAGACCGGAGATCTTGTCAAGTACATGACAGACGGAACGTTGAAATACATAGCTCGAAAGGACACGCAAGTGAAGCTTAGAGGGCAGCGAATTGAACTTGGAGAGGTTGAATTCCAGCTGAAAAATTGCTTCACTAACATAGTCGACCTAGCTGTTGAAGTTGTCACTCCTGTAGATTCGAAGGACTCTTCACTTCTTGCTGCTTTTATAGTTATAACTGACGAACTTGGAGTAGCAACTGATGCTGATATTATTGCAAACTCGGAAGCGTCCAGAACCAAGCTGAAACAGTCTGTTGCAGGGCTAGAAGCGCAACTACTTCACGTGCTGCCTGGATATATGATTCCCTCGGCTTATATACCAGTAACCAGGTTACCACTATCAACCTCCGCCAAGTTGGATCGTAAATACCTGCGAGACACCATATCGAGACTTACTAAGGAGCATTTATTTGCATTTATGGCCACGGAAAAGGAAAAGGTGGCTCCAAGCACCGATGCTGAAATCCGGCTGCAAAAACTATGGAACAAAGTACTAAACATTGATACGGATAAAATTGGAGCTGAAGATAGCTTCTTCCGTCTGGGAGGAGATTCTCTAGATGCAATGCATCTATCTAATCTTGCCCAAACTAGCGGCGTTCAACTCACAGTCGCTAATATCTTTAAATATCCAAGTCTTGCTGCCATGGCTAAAAAGATTGAAGCTGTCGGACAGGAGACAGTCGATGAAATTGAGCCCTTCTCAATTCTTCAAGAAACACAAACATTTGACACCATTTTTGCAGCGGCGATTGAGCAATGTGGAGTTCATAGGAGTGAAATTGAGGACATATACCCCTGCACGCCGCTACAAGTTGAATTCATGCAGAATTCTTTGGCACACCCGGGCTACTTTTCAATCCAATTCATCTACTCTTTTGCCGATGATTTGGATCTAGAAAGACTACGCCGAGCATGGGATGTTGTTGCTGCTTCCAACGCAGTTCTTCGCACACGGATCATCCAGTCATCGTCTTGCTTCTACCAAGTGGTCATGAAGTCTCCAGACTCATGTGACATTGCGCAGAACCTAGAGTCCTACCTGTCGCAAGACATGAACAAACCCTTAGGCTTGGGGCAACAGTTGACTCGGTGTGCCATAGTCAATGAAGATAAAACTGGTAAAAGATATTGGATATGGACTACACATCACGCCACATACGACGGCTGGTCTCGGCAGCTTCTCCTTACTGAGCTTCAGCGCGCCTACCGCGATTCCACGCCGTCAATTGAAAGAGTGAAATTTAATAACTACGTCCGTTACGTAACACAAAGAGATCTTTCTGATGCGGACAGTTTCTGGCATACTCAACTAACTGGTTCGACCTCCAAGCCCTTCGGAACCTGGCCGGCCTCATATCAGCCTGCTGCAAAGTCAACCTTGCGTTACGACATCAGCTATTCCGAGAAGACGAGTCTAGATGTCACAATCCCCACAATATTACAGGCAGCGTGGGCAGTAACCGTCGCGAACTCTATACACTCAAATGAAGTGACGCTGAAGCTGACGTTGACGGGCCGTAATGCACCAATCTCTGGTATTGAACAGATGATGGCACCAACGGCAACAACGGTGCCACACCGGCTTCGAGTGGATGAGAAGCAACACACGCACAGATTTCTCCATAATATCCAGAAATGGTGGGCAGAAGTATCCCAGTTTGAGCATATCGGCTGGCACAGAATCCGAAGCCTTAGCAATGACGCTGCGACAGCGTGTGATGCCGCTATGCCAATAGTTATTCATCCGCAGACTGGCAGCAGCTCCACTGAGTTGCAGTTCGATTCTGCGCGCTTGTTCCGCGCAGCACCTTGCCAGTTCTTGATGGACTGCTATCTTACTGAAGCTGGTGTGGCAGTTTCAGTCTATTTCGACGACATTGTGTTTGGTGCAGGCGAGATGCAACGGCTGCTGGCTCGGTTTGGTTTTGTGTTTGAACAAATGTGCAGAGCAGGGCCAGAACATAGGTTGCAGGACATTCCAGTGGGAGAGTTATAGGGTTCTAATTGCTAGTGGTTCCGATGAGAAGACAAAAGTGCATGTAGGTCGAACCAAGCTTCCTGCCGTGTAATTGAGCTGAAAAATAATGTCCATAGCATATTGTAAAACAACAGTATCAGATAAAGCCGAGATAGGATTTCGATGGGATGTAATAGAGGAATAAATAGTAATATCTCTGCTGAATAAAGCACTATTCTTTGAGTATTAATTATTAAACAATCAGGCTTTCCAAAAACCAGGTTCCGCATAACGTGCTTGTAACTTGCTAAAAGTGGGTTGGCGGAGTTCTGGAGCTGAGAGCGGCCGCCGCCTCGGGCGGGTTTTTCCCGCTCCGGGGATAGCGATTCTTCAAGATGCTCGAGTTGTAAATCATCATACTCACAGCTAAAGCGTAGATGATGGCATCTTCGTCGGAGTTAAGAGAGGGGGTGAGGAGTTTTGAGTCGATTGACAGATATATAAAGGTGAGGACGATGCCACATAGATTGATGGAAGAACAACAAGCACAAAACATTATCATCTCTACACCCTAAACATCTCTGCAGGGAGAGGACACGTCGCCCATCAAGATTTATAAGTGAATCCCGCAAACAAGCATTCAGATATACCGTCATGGCTCGCATTTGGTTCGTCACCGGTTCATCCAAGGGCCTCGGCCTTTCCATTGTCGAAGCGGTCCTGGCTGATGGTGATAACGTCGTTGCCACTGCCCGAAATCCTGACACGGTAAAGCATCTTGTTGAGAAGTATGGGCCGGATCGCATCCTGCCTTTAGCGCTTGACGTCGTCAATAACGATCAAGTTGAGAGCACTGTCAAGGCCGCAGTCGATAAATTCGGCCGCATCGACGTTGTAGTCAACAATGCCGGCTATGCTATTCCACGAGCACTTGAAGATACATCCATTGACATCTACCGGGATCAAATCAACGCCAACCTTCTCGGCACTGTCTATGTCACCAAGGCTGTACTCCCCATTTTGCGCAAGCAAAGGTCCGGCCGCATTCTGCAGGTATCCTCTGTCGGCGGCCGGCTAGCAACTCCCGGCCTATCAGCCTACCAGGCCGCTAAGTGGGCTGTTGGCGGCTTTACCTCCGTTGTGGCTAAAGAAGTTGCACCGTTCGGCATTAAGCTGACAGTGCTGGAGCCTGGCGGTATGAAGACCGATTGGGCTGGTTTTGCAGACGATGAAATCGCCATCAGCGAGCCGTATCAGCAAACAGTCGGAGCATTCCAGAAGCTGCGGGAACAATACAAGAATTATCGGTCTGAACCGGCTAAGGTGGCTGATGTAATTGTCAAGATTTCGAAGGAAGAAGAGCCGCCCCTGAGACTTCTTCTGGGTCCTGAGACAGTGGATCTGGTAAAGCAAGCCGCGGAGCAGCTCGCGGTGTCGGACGATAAGTGGAAAGCTGCAACATTACTATCTATCTAGATGGTTATATTCGGACATGAAAACGGGCCAGCGGGTCTTGATTAGAGATTATCTAGAAATATACTTAGCGTGTATCATCATTACTATGGCTCTTAAGAAGGATGTGCCTCTGCTAGCATTTGCTAGTTACGGCAAGTCTGTGATAATGTAATGGTCCTATCTTCCACCTTCTCAATAGCAATTGCCAATTCTGTGTCTCTACTAACGTCCCCTACCTGTGGGAACGGGCAGGATTATAAAGAGAGAGAAAACCAACAGCTTCTCGGCGTAGTCAGATTTGCCCTGCCAATGTGGGGACGCAATCATTACAGATGTACTTACAGAATGCTAACCGCCTTATTCTGCATAATAGCTAGCATTAGTGCGTTGTTTCTACTTGATACTTCATATTAGGATAGAGTATATAAGAAATATCATCAAGAACCAATTCAAAGCCGAACATGGTGTATAATTCGGTATATCCTAACTACTAGACATATTTAGCGACGGCAGCGACTTATCACTGCAACGGCTTAAATAAAGAATAACTGAAACATGTCAAGTATTTTTTTTCTCCTTCATCTTTGCAAGTTTTAATGAAAGTAAAGTTTTAAAAAGTGGAAATACGTCTAGGCGAGGAGGAAACTTTACACAGCAACGAGACGCGAGCTGGTGACGATGAGTGGGTTCGACAAAAGCACAGCCAGCTGAAGTGCTTTTGTCTCAGCAGTTGAACCTCTACGGAGTGCTGGCAGCGACGTCATTTGCAGATGTCATCTTTCTATTCATGTGCCTATATGTGTACCGTCCGTTCAAGGGAAAAGCCTCATATGCTATAGAGTTACAGCTAAAATGTGTACGCACGCCATCTATAGGTAGTATCATTGGGTAGCATCTGAGTATCTCAGCCGCTGCACTCGCTCCTTTCACTAAAAATGAGCATCATTCTCTTGGGTCAGATGCCACAGCACTTGACTGCGTGCACCGGGTAAACGAGACAGTATCTTACACCAGATAAGCAATGCCGCGCACCAGCTGCCGGTTTTCTTGTGCACCTGAGGCTGGCCTGAGGATGGGTATGTGAATACTGAATAATTGTACTTTGTTGAAAAGCGACAAACTGCATACAAGCAGTGGCGTCTGCGAAGATGATTACATCGAGCAAATCTTACGCTCGGTGGAGGCTGCACTCGCATAAGAGATTGCCTCTCCCGCGCATGCCAGCTATAGCGACTTATACCATAATTTCGAAAAAGAAAAAAGACTTAGGCGATTTAATTTGATTCACTAGTCAGTGTTTGTTATCTTGCTCCAAAAATGAGGATACCAAGTGTCTTTATCTTTCTGCCCGCCCTGGCTGGCCTTTCTACGGCTGTGTCAAACGGCAGTGCCCGCGAACTCACAATTCAAGCTGATTATGATGCGATAATCGTCGGAGGGGGCCCTGCAGGTCTCAGTGCAGCCAGTGGTCTGGCCCGCGTCCGCCGAAACGTTTTGTTGATCGACTCGGGAGATTACCGCAATGCTCTTACTCGGCATATGCACGATGTTATTGGATTCGACGGTAAGTGATCTCTTTAGAAGCACAGAAACCGTGGTACACATTTGCATAAAATATGCATTTCGTACACGCTAATGAATCCATCAACAGGAGTTACACCAGCATATTTCCGCTGGTCGGCTCGCAAACAAATCCTCGATTACGGCACCGTTGATTTAGTAAATGGCACCGTTACCAAAATCCAGCCAGAAGCCAACAATTCTTATTTCACAGTATCTGCAAATTATCCTGGCGATAATGAAGTCACTTTCACTTCGCGAAAAGTGATTCTCGCAACAGGTTTACGGGACTTGCTTCCATCAACGCCCGGACTTAGGGAGAATTGGGGCAAAGGGATTTATTGGTGCCCATGGTGTGATGGACATGAGCATGCAGATCAGCAACTTGGAATACTCGGGCCTTTTTCTAAAGGTCCTGATGCAGTTCGAGAAATCGTCACTCTAAACCGAGATATCATCTTGTTTGTCAACGGGACGGATACTCCCGAGCAGCGAGCTGTCGCAGAAAAAGGATTCCCAGAATGGGAGAAATATCTAAAGCTACACAATGTAAAAATCGAAAACCGTATTATTTCGTCCATCAGGAGACTTGCCAACGGAACGGTAGGAGATGAGGATCCTAGCCTACCATCTCACCCTGAGCACGATCTCTTTCAACTCAACTTCGAGACTGGTGAACCGGTGCTTCGCGCGGCCATTTTGACTAATTGTGATACCGCGCAGAAGTCAAATCTGGGCCAAGAGACCGGTGTGGTATTATATGGTGGTAGACTTGCCGCAGATAAAAATAATGGCTTGGTTACCAATATCCATGGTATATTCGCCATTGGTGATGCCAATTCGGACAACGTCACAAATATCCCACACGCCATGTACAGTGGGAAGAAAACAGCTGTCCATATTCAAGGTGAGGGATGGTATCTCTGCCTTGGTAATTTTTACTTATGTCTCTGACCACTATTTTCCGATTAGTTGAGCTTGAGATTGAGAACGCTGAGGCTAAACTTGCAGCTTCATCATCTAAGCGAGATTTGCAAGATCATATGCGGATCCTGTGGTCGCGCATGAATGTACCAGGAGATGTACTCTACGCTGGAGAATTTGACCCATGAAAGGGGGTGAAGGCTAACATGTTGAATCCACTGTATATATAAATATCTACAGGTATTATCATCATATCCTACAGACAAGATAATGCCTCAAAATAAATCTGCACGAGTGTTTATCAGTATTCCAAGTATAAAGTGCTGTTTATAGCTTGTATCGTAAAGATGCAGAAAACACAACAGTAAATGATCATAATATAGTACTCCACATTATCTAGATGTTGCCATATCTCGAAGCTTCCACTGGCTGAGCATTCGCTGCGCTTCATCCCGCTGCCCATCTTCCAAGGCAAACTGAGCAACAATACTTATAGAGAACTTTGTACGGAGAGCGTCGCCACAAAACGGATTGACCATGTTGAGATATAGGGCAGCATTGAAAACGCTTGTTACATACATCGAAATTGCGGCCTGATGAATATCAACCGCCGACTGACCTCCGGGCTCGATCGAGCCTGGGGTCCTCGATAATGAGATTATGAGAAGGATAGAGTGAAGAATGATGTGGATAGAACTATAGATAGAAACCATACTCGAAGTGAGCGTTTCTTTATTGGCTATCATCCACGGCCCAGATAACGGGAGGACGGATGAGGGAGAGGCAGCAGCTACATCGGCAGCATCAAGAATGGATGAGGTTCCAGAATTTTGAGCACTAATCTCACGGTGCTCATCTTGAAATTCTAACCACCAGTTTTGTAATTGTTCTTGGAGAACCGTTACCTTCTTTTCAATGACGTTTTTGCGAGTTGTGGAAAGGTCGTGGATGCGGTGTATCGAACTTCTCAATTTTGCACCGCGCTGATTCATATGGGGAAGATGGAGCGTCGTGGTAAAGGAGAGGAGGATATCAATTAATCTGTCATAGCAAATTTTGTGCTTTTGCTGAAACGGTACAGACAGCCATTCAGGCGAAGAAAAGCTTGCAGATCGGTTTTGCATAATAGAATGGAATGCCTAGTGGACAGCTAGTTAGTGAAAAAAAAAAAAAAAAGTTACAAGCCTTTACATGTATAAGGATATATAATATCTAACCTCTTTGACTCTCATAGACCGCATCACGCTATGAGCAAGGCCATCAACGCATTTCTCGGGACCACGAGCCTGCAACATCTCTATAGCTACTGAGTGATGGAGCAGCTCCGCGTCAGATCCAGCATCTTGGAGCGCTTCATAGAATGAGAACAGTATTGGGCCACAAACTGCTACAATATTCGATGCATGAGGCATTTCTGTATCTAAGTCTTCTCCCGATATCGAAAGCATTGGCGTTTCTTTTGCTTGGCTGCCGAGTACCATAGAGCGGTAGCTCTCTATGCCAGCCACATAAAATTTTACAGCGGGTACTTCAGCTCTATAATCATGAGTGACGGCATGGTACAAGAGCGCAACGGCGTGTAGCGCATACTTGAGTGGAGAGGGTAATGAATTCGTTGCAACAAGGTAGGGAAGCTTGGGTATCCAAGATTCTGGTCTAAGACTGGAGTAATTTCGGCGAGAGCTAGTAAGCAGCTGAGTGAAGTTGCTCACAAAACAGTATTCATCGTAAGCAGAGGTGGCTAGAGCGGGCGGAATAGATGCGTCGTAGCTAAAGACGTCTGCGTCGGAGAATTGATCGTTACTGAGAGAAAACGAGAGCTCAGTATTTGATCCGTTCATAATACTACTATAGCTCATATCGTCTCTATATTCATCTCCAGAGAGACAAAATTCGAGAGACGTATCTTCATTTTCCGCCGTAAGACCGCAAGATGACAGGGGGGTTGTTGGGCAGTTCCTCTCCTCGACGCCGACATGGCATGTTGCAATGTCATCTCCGGTAACAAACTCATATACCTGATCTTCGGTAGCTTTGGGTGTGCTTGTCGTCTTCTTTTTCCTTTTCTTCTGTGGCTTTCGCTTGTTACAGGATACCTTCTCAGTCATGTCGAGGAAGACTGCACCGCGTACTGCCCCTGAACAAGGCAGGCCAAAGCGGGTGCATTGCCTGCAGCATCCAGCTCTTTCATCGCACTACGCCAATCGAGTGAGTTTCAAATACTCAATAGATAGCCATAGGCAATCATATCATGAGGAAGCGTAAATAAAAAGATGGTATGGACGTTTTAGTTACCTTGACGCGCCGTAAAATGCACTGTTCGCAGCCTTTGCTGCGCGGTGGGCAGCGAACGGTTATAGCAGACATCGCCCTGAAAACGGAGGCTCCAGTGGTCTCGGCCTCGATCGGTCTGATCTATTCTGGTTTGCAGCTCTCGTTGCTCTGGACCGTGAACCTTTGCAGTGTACGGAATGCCTTTCTGTTTCTGTTTTTACTTCCGGGAAGAGAGTCAGAAATGTTACAGTGAGATTAACAAGTTGCCAACAGAAGGTTAATGCACTGCTTTAGCAGCCTAATGGTGGGGTGCAGAATACAATAAGCCACAGCAGTGACGACTGTTCAGTAATAATGAACTGTTTCGTATTGTGGGTTAACCCTTGCAGAATGGCTGAATGGCCAATTTTAGCCTGGAGCCGAACTTTAGGTGGCGCCAGACTAGCAGTGTTCTCGCCAAATGCTTCGCGTCCCAACTTTGAAATTCAGTCGAGAAAGCGAAACATCTCATATTGAATACTCCATATAGCGGAAGATGAGGAGAGCCATGGCGGCATCACAGCTGCAGCACGACATGGTAGCTACATTTTATTGCTCTTACGCTTTACACTCTGGCATTGTATTAATCACAGTTCTTCTCATTAGCATAGACTACACATGCTCTCCTTACTTGTTTTGGAGAAATGCGATTACGAGGCAATTGGGCATAACAAACAAGAGGCTTTATTTCAACTCCGCTATTTGCAGTAATAACTGATCATAATACAGAAACTACACAATTACTCTACCAGGGCCCTCAATTACCTCGAAGCATACAAAAGAAATTCACGTCTTACTATCTCTATTCTCATTCAGACTGCACCAGCTAAACCGAATATGACAAGAAGACCCAAAATTCCTAATGAAGATGCTCTTGATTGCTCTATTCACAAAATATAGCGGAAATTAGGATGGTAGTCGTATGCCTCCTCAAGAGAATGGGAAGACTTTGGATCAATAGTCCCAGCTGTACGATGGTGCTCCGCCTCTTGATCTTTCTTCCTGTTAAGACGCCGCATCAAGAACCACAAAATACAAGTCGAAAGAAATGCTACGACTTGAAATGCCAAACAAATGCTGTGGCCTTTGAGGTAGCGAGGAGGATCCGTGTAGATATGAGACGCCATAATAGAAAAGCACTGGCCAACCACCTGGGTGACAGCCTAAGTAATGGCCCTTTTGGTAAATCCTCCAATGTTAATGCCTGTCCAAGCGCCAACTATGGTTAAAGAGGGGAAAACTCCAGTGGTTATAAGACAAGTCCCGAACATCTTGACTTCATCGTCGGTTGCCAGCATTAGAATAATATAGCCTGCGATGCAGATAATATGACAAAGCATTAAGAATGGTCCTTTCATATTCAAGCGATCGGAGGCAAAATTGAGAACGAGAAGAGTGACGAAAGCGCATGCGTATGGGATGATAGAGAAGAGTTGGGTTTGTACTTTGGATTTATTAGCAAATGCAATTTTAAGCCTAGAGTTGGAAATTAAGAAAGAGTCTTACCGGGTGAATAGTTGAAATCATTGATAAATGTTGGCAAAAAAGAGCTTATAGAAGAGAGAGAGAGAGAAATCCCGATATTTATCAACGAGAAAAGGTACAATTTAGAATCTTTAAAGGCAACCAGTACCTGTACCCAATCAAATCCAGCTCCCACCGTGTTATAAGCTACTCAGAGTTAGCTGTTTTGTTTCATATGAATTGTCACCAAATTCGTACTCTTGAGACGCTCAACAGCAAGTTCTATTTCCTCTTGAGAAAAGATCCAATGTTTCTTGCTCTGGATTTGATCTGGAGGATTAGGTAGCAATATCCAGGAGCATATACCAACAAAGATACCAACACAGCCTTGGATGATGAATAACCACTGCCATGCAGCGTAGCCCAAAGCTCCGTCCAGATTGTTTTGTATGGCGTATGCAATAAGACCACTAAAGCCCCCAGCAATTGTTGAAGCAGAGTAAAAGACGCCTAACCTCAATATCAGTATCGTGGCTTAAACCGTTATTTTTTGGCGAAGGTAGAGTGATGTACCGGAGCGAGTTGCTATCTCATCTCTTTTATACCAAAGGCTCGTGTATAGGCTTAGAGACTGAAGAAAGGCAGTAGCAGCTCCAATCAACACTCGAAGTGCAAGAACCGCAGCAGCGTTTTTGGCTGCTGCCGTACAGCACGAAAATGTTGCAAACAAGATAACACAACCGCCAATCTGTCGATTAGCTTTAAAGTAACGAACCGTAAGGTAGGCAGGTACAATGAAGACCATATAGCCGACATCTTACTTTAGTTAGCTACCGCAAGAGATATTTTGAGGATATTTACCGGCTCGGGCTTACAGTACAAAGAAAGAACATTGTAAAATTGTCCATTCGTTATATGGAGATCAGATTGTTGACCCATGATGCGAGCGTTTCCAATGTTTCCTCGATCCTAAGTAATCAGATTATTAAAAGTGATATTCCCAAGTATGATAAGATTTAAGGCTACTCACCCATTGGTTCACTAACATGATTAGAGATATCATCCCAACCAGAATGATATCAACTTTGAGAAGCAGCCCATTCTGTAGATTTTTCTTGTTGAGCGTTTGAATTGGATCCGTCGCTACATATCCATCTTCAACGTACTTGATCGAAACTTCATTTTTATCGATGACGCCTTCATTAGAATCCATGTTGGCATAAAGCTCAAAAGACTTTCAACATATAATATGAAGCTATGAATTTGACTGGTAAAAACAGAACTTCTATAACTTTTATAGGAAGCCACATCTTGCTTGGTAAAGATACTGTAAACGCATGGGGGGAAAAGTTTTAGGAGCATCGAAAACGCGGGGTTCTACTACGGATGCCGATATCCCCAGATCCGAATTCCGCATGTGAAATACAGAAGCGGCCGGGACTTGAGGCAATGAAACTCGACAGGCCAAGAATAATGATCAGCTTAGCGCTGCGCTACGATGTTCATGGGTTTGGCTTCTTGCCGGAATAGGAAATTATCGCGATAGGTGCAGTAGCATTAACAGGGATTCCCAAGGATGCCCAAAGTGGCAATTTTCCCTGTCAATGATATGTTTTGGCGGAAAGTAATCGTCGAAACTCAGATGTACGTTAAGCGGGATATTATCAACCTTTGTCAGTTTAATTAGCATACGCCCCCTTTAGGTGTAGAAACTGTGGGAACATGCCAAGGCGATGCTTTTCTGCGTGACGAAGACAGGCGGTCTACGTGCTTCCTTGGCCATCTAGCAACTCACAGCCTGGACTCTCCACGTACCTGAATTCCATAGGAATACAAACACTATTCCGCTACCTATCGCCTGTATCTGACACGGATTTCGGAAACTTCCACTCAAATCCATCTGCAAAGATGTTAGCCGCACTGGCGGAGCTTCAATCAGGTTGAAAGAAGAAAATATATATTGGTGCTAACTCTTGGTCAAAACTCTGCCCTTCTTTCTCTTTAGTATCTTCATCCATATTATCACTGCGGCTTCTAAATACATAATGCCCATCTCACTCACGCCACGCCAACCTCCCAGCTTTCGGGACAAGGAAAGCGAGCTTCAGATGCGCATCAAAGAGCCTTTCAATGTTGTGGCTGTTGGAGATATCATTCAAATGATGCCTTTCTCTAATAGGAATGACTCAAACATACAAGCTCTCGTCCAATTGATGCAAAATGCCGACATCACATTTGCGAACAACGAAAACACAATCGTGGATCGCCTCACATTTCGCGGCCCTATTGCCCACATGGAGGCAGACAAGCACGTCGCAGATGACTGGAGAAACATGGGCATCGATATGGTCACAAAAGCTAACAACCATACATTCGACTGTGGCGACGCTGGTCTTGTCCAAAATTTCGAGCAACTTCGCCGCGTGGGTATTGAGTATGTTGGCACAGACTACAATACTGCTGAGGCAAGGCTTGCCCGCTTTAAAACCACGCCTAAAGGCATCGTGGGTTTCATTGGTGCCTATGCCGAAACAGAAGATCATTCTCAGCTGTTTGGTATACCAATGAAAGACCCAATTGTTGTAACACCAGCCCAACTTGCGCAATTGAAAGCAATGCGCGATAACATTCTTGCCCGGCGTGCTGAAGTTAAGACGCCAATTGAGATGCCTAATGCAGACCCTGAAGGATCTATACTTGTTTTTGGCCGCCAATTCAGGATTCAAAACGCCAGTGCTGACGCCGATGAAGAGATAAACAGTATTAAAAGGCGACTACAACACCATCTAGAGTCAAAGGGAGAAATCACATATAGAAATAACTCAGTCCGCTTAAACGTTTACCATAGCGTCACCGCTGAGCAAATGCAGCAGCTGCGATCCATTGCTGGCGTCAATACAAATGACAGCTCTGAGACTCTGGACGCCTTTGACGTTCACTTTCGAGTCGGTTCAAATATAGGGGAGTATAGCTTTGTGATGGAGCCCCAAGATTTCCGCGATATTCTTCGTGAGGTTCGTACTGGGAAGCAGTTCTCTGATTTCCTCAGCGTTACAATCCACTGGCATCAGAATCGCTTCTCTTTCCAGCACTATTCGTTCGACCACTATCCGGCAGATTATCAGATTAAGTTCGCTCGCGAAGTCATTGACAATGGCGCCGACTTTTTCTTCGGCCACGGTGTGCATACACTCAAAGGGGTTGAAATCTACAAGGGAAAGCCGATATTCTATGGAATATCCAACTTTGTTTTCCAAAATTCTCAGTTTCGCTCTTGGCGCGATGATGCCGCTGGACGAGCTCCGGCCTCTCTAGAAGGCCCTACCGTTGGGGATGGTGAGACCAATGAAATGCGCTGGGCTTGGTTAGATGAGCCAGAAAATAGAGAAGCGTTGCTGGTATCAGCTGATTACGCTGACGGAAAGCTATCTCGCGTGCTGGTCTATCCGGCAGACTTGGGGAAGACCGGTCGTAATGGTTCTATGGTTGGAACGCCTACAAAGCCCACCCTTGAAGTTGCCAACGAGATTCTTGGCCGACTTTGTGAGTACTCTGAGCCGTTTGGAACAAAGATTACGATTGAGGATGGCGTTGGTGTGGTTCATGTACCTTCAGGGGTTTAGCATGAACTACACGCACTTGTGGATCACAGCAACAATATACACATTGATCTTATTCTTCAACTCCAAATCACATGCTTCGCTTTGAATACCTACTCAATGATCTGTTATGCGATTATTATTATTTTTCCAAACAAAAATAATAACAGTAATATTATTCTGCTATCCATATGCTCTACCATTGTTCTATCATTATAATAGCATATTTACATGGTATGTGGTATAAAATATCAACTAGTAGCTAATATTCAGGTGTGTTAATGTCCGTTGTAAAGTCATTTAAGCGCTTCCGTAAAAGATACCCCACAGGTTTCCATCATTGGATTGTTCCATATCTGTCATGACTTCTCATCGGGTATACACGAGACTCATGGATCCGCACTAACCTATAGGATTGTAACAAGTTCGACGTTGCGCATACAACTGCTGAAGAGAAGAGAACGAGAAGAAAGAGGGGATATGAGTAACAAGAGTGAGAAGAAGAAAAAAATAGGGAAAGTAAATTGATATTCTCAATTCAGCCAAGCCGGCTACGACAACATCATTCATTGGTGGTTAATTGTGAGTCAGCCTATCATGTCAACGAGGATTTAGGATTCATAAGTTAATAAGCATTATTCAGCAATGCTTCCATAATAGACAGGCACACTTACATCAGCACCCACGCAACTGACCATATTGTATATTTCAGTAATTTAAAGTCATATTAAACCCGGAATAAGTTTAATTTGATACCCGTATTCTTCTTGTTCTCTAGCAGTGTTGAATGCCACACGCTGGGCTGCTGGATCCAGTACCCGCATTCAGGCGTAAACGTAAGCGCGCTAAGGAGCTCGAAACGTGACTTCGAATTGATGCCTGGGATGCCTGGTCATGGACGGACTCAATGCCGAATGTCCTGAAACATCGCGCGCTAAACGTCTTTAGAATTCGCGATGTCTTAGCCGTATCTTTCGCTACTTGGCTATAAGACTATTTGAGGCCCACGCAGCGCGACATCACTGCAGGGATCGGGAAAAGTCAGCCTAAGAATATGAACATCCGCAACCAACATGTCATCAGTGGACTCAGCAACGCAGCGTGATGCCCAGGAAAAGCTTCAGAAGACCAGGAAGCCCTTATCTTGTATTTCCTGCAAAGTCCGAAAGCTCAAATGTGACCATGAAAAGCCGATTTGCACTCGGTGTACCAAAGCCGGCAGCGAGTGCATATACCCAGAATCAAGACGCAAGCCGACCATCCAGCGAAGCAATGTCAAGGAACTGGAGGCTAGACTGGGTACGTATCAAACACGGCGATCCATCGCACTATGAAGTAGTATACTGACACTTATACGCATAAATAGCCCAAGTAGAGGGCTATCTCAAGGAAGCTACCGAAGATAGTCGAGACGTGAAAAGAGGCAAATTCGATGGCAATCAAGATGGTGATGATTGTACAGAGGATCGACCGAGAGCCGCGACGTCAACTGATGAAGAAGACTCCGCCGCCCTGGATGAGCAGACTATCCCACCAGGAAACTTTACCCTTCCCAATCATTTTGCTGATCAGGCCAAATCTGGTGATAACCTTCCTTTCGAACTACCAGACTTCGAATATCTGAATGGCCAGAAATTCGGTAATGACGAGCTGATAGATCTCAGCATGTCAGAATCACTGCCCCCTCTCGAAGTTATAGAAGAATTGTAAGCTGTGTTATGTCCCTTGTTTTCTTCTTTTTTTTGTAACTAGACTAATGTATTGGGTAGGCATGAACATTTCTTTTCCACGCAATACCACTACATGCCGGCTATACACTCTGGCCGCTATTATCAGGCATTTTACGGTGGTCCTCTGAAGAAGCCGGCCATGTGCCTGCAGTATGCTATCTGGGCAATGGGTGCACTGTGGCACCCCAAGTACGATCGATGCGCCGATGTATTCTATAAGAGAGCTCGATTTTATGCTGAGGCTGACGAAATGAGGGTGAGAAGCCAACGTTATCGGCTCGCATCTCAATCAATGAACCATCAAATGACTAACTAGCGCTCCAGGAATGTGGAGAATATTTTGTTACGATTGCGCATGCTCAAGCCTGGGCCCTCATATCTTGCTATGAAGCGAGAGCCATGCTTTATACCAGAGCGGGAATGAGCTGCGCTAGGTGCTGCCGTCTTGTGCATATGCTGGGCCTTGATAAAATCGACGGGTTAGATGACAGTCCCCCTGCGACCTTGGGCCCTCCACAAGATTGGATAGAGCTAGAGGAGCGCAGGAGAGTCTTTTGGGTGGCATTCTCATGCGATTCTCAATCAAGCATCGCCACTGGCTGGCCTAGCTATATTAGTTCTGAAGACGTAAGCTTGTCCTTTCTCAATTTAACCAATATATGGCTTATACAGAACTAACTTGCATAGATCATGACTCGACTCCCAGCCAGCGAAGAGGCTTTTGCGTCTGGCCAGGAAGAAGATTGCCCTTTTTTAGATGATGTTATGAAAGGCGCACCTTATAGCGGCTTTTCTGGCTCCCTTGTTCTTAACAAAATTTTAAAGGCGATCATGGCTCATGTCCATTTGATTAGACCATCTGACCGACCTGAAGATGCCACTCACGGAGAGTTTTGGATGCGTCATCGTCGTTTAGATAACCAGCTGTCAACTCTGTTTATGTTCATGCCAGAGAGGTTCCGTCTTCCTGAGAATTTACGGGATCCTCTAGCAACTTACATCAACCTGAACTTTCATGCATCTGTTATTTGCTTGCATCATGTTGCCCTTGAGGTGATTGGAAAGCAAGGCCTTGGCGATCCTTTGAGAAGAGACAGTCGATACCTATTGAAAAATGCCGCCGACGAGATTGCTAGCATTGTTAAGATGGCATCCCACCATTCATCACTATTTGTAAGAGCTTTTTCTTATATACGTTGGAGACTCATAGGACTAACAGAGCCCATAGAGCAACCCCTTGTGTGCCTTTTCGCTATATAGCGCGACAACGGTGTACGTTTACCTGGCCAAAGAGGATCCATCTACAGGAGTAAATCCTATCGACATGTCCAATCTTGAACTTATAATCAATGCCATGGAAGCTATCGGACGAATTCATATGACCACATGTGCCTTCTTGCAGCAAACTTGTCTTGATATCGACAATAACGGCCTCTCATCAATCATCAAAATACCAGTCCTCTACCGATATCGCAATTTCTTTGGCGGCCCTGCTTCCAACATTCCCTTGCTAGCTCGAAGCCCAATCTCAAAGCACACGCAAATGAGTTCTCCATTGCCCGGGCGACTGCCCCTTGGCAAACCCCTAGGCCACTTACGACCAATGAACATAAGAATGACAAAATCCGTTCCATTATTGACGGGTGTGACGGCACAAATGAGCAGAATGGGCATCACAGAGAGCTTCCGGCCTGCTCTTGGTGCTATATCTAGAAATTTGGCACCCCGGTCCACTGATAGCATTCACAAAAGGAAGCGAGAATCCCCGAGCTCTCAGTCCACAACAGGTACGGATACAGAGATACTTATGGCAGCGATACGTAATGGATGTTTTCGCGGCGCACCTACATCAGGAGATTTTACAACTCCCCATCAGACCAATTCACCACACTTTTATTTCTCACCCGTTGGCCAAGGAGCGGGCAGCGATCCGGGATCCAGTAGTAGCAGCGCATGGCCGGGCAACGCAGGAAGTGACCCAGAGCATAATTTAAGTGATTTCCAACAAGATCAGAGCGGCCAACCATTCGCTGTCTGGCAGCTAGATGATGATATGATGAATTTTACCGAAGGCTTCTCTACTGATATTCCGGATATAAACGGCAACTCACAGGGTTTTTTCTAAAGTTGGAATTTTGGTTTATTATACTTGACCGGCGCATATAGAGCCTCTCTAGAGGACTGGATAATGGATTAGAAGAACATCTTCCCTCACTAACGAAAAAATGTTTCTGAGGATTGCGATTTTGAGCTGCGCTGGAAACGTTTTTGTATTAAATCACACTCCATCTGGCGCTAAAAAGGACGATGCTGATTTAAGCATATGGAGAATCTCAATATACACATCTTCCCTTTCTTGATACGACAGATAAAGTCTACAAAGCGACCTGGCTTCTTTATATGCTATTTTCTTATTTCTCATCTCTACCCTCGGCATCAAAGAGCATGACTAGTTCCGCGATGGACGATAAACGTTATACAATATTCTCACGAAAAGAAGGTTTTTAAGACTGTGAATTACAATCATGTATATCTGTCAGCTGTTACAAATAAAAACCTATTATTGTCAACAATGGACGAGTTTTTCATCTTCATTCTTGGCAATATTCTCGTCACTTAGGGATATCGCTGCCGGACTTCGGGCTTTAGCCGTCAGCGACCAGAAGACGAAAGTGGCGCCACCTCGTCAGCGGCCGGCTCTCGGGCTTGGTAAATACCGGCTCATATCATGATGCTATCTATATGTATAAAGCGTTGCGCAATTGAAGCGCAGGAAGAAAAATGAAATGGCTGAAAGAAATTACCCACAATAAAAGCAATGGACTCACGCTTCTTGACAGGCAAAAAAATAATTGTTGCAGACGCCGGGATCTCGCGTTCGTCTTTCACTCTCGCTCTTTGACGGCGATGGCCCTCCAATCTGGCACCTCCACACATTGACTATTTGCGGACGCGATTCCAACGTCGTCCTTGCTGGACGGGAAGGATACAGACTTTCGATTGCCGTCTTCGACCCAGCCATTCATTGTTCTCGCTTCACGCAGACCTAATAAGCCATCCAAATTGCGTTTGCTATTGTCCCGAATATATGCATCAAGTGCGCCCTTTCTTACCATCTTATCCAGTGCTTTTTCGAGATTTGGATGTTCTTTGTAGCAAAAGCAATTTTATGGCATTTCCTCCGTATGTTTCGAGTGAGCATCACGATCGAGTATGGCCACACCGTAGCCACACGAGGTTTGAACCTTGTTTCAAGGGTCAGTCTCCCGCCGAATAAATCCAAGGGTGTACAAATACACCAACCTTGAATACCTCAAGCATTACAGCTGCTCTTGGTCTAAGAAATTTGTCTGGGCCTATAGATTGCATAAGCTTGGAGAATCTTGAATCAGTTCGTTCAACAACTGAACCAGTGCAAAAAGCCGCATTATTTGAGACTTTCCATCTAGACTACAAAACATGAGAGTGACTCTCCTATTCTCGTATATATGAGAAATTGTCTCGACGCCTGAACCAGCAGTATCTAAATACGCTGCATGATTTGAGTCGAAGATGTGAAATGTCGATTGTATGAGACCTTTGGTGAAAGGTTGATATGTTAGTCATTAAGAGGGGCTGATGCGATGAAAAGCATTTGTTGTAGTGCCCACATTCTGAGGTCTTCAGAAAGATTTGTAACGGTAAACCATGATATCTGATGTGTGATGACGAAGAGTTATTGAAGCAAAAGAGGAACTGTTAAAACAAATATAGTTGAAAATAAGCCAGTGCCCCTCTGGACCATGCTTATATTACTGCAAACTAGTGTAGCGTCCATGGCATCGTTCATTTGGGCAACACATTGGTTCTTTTTGTCCCATAGCAGCATATGTGAGACAATTTTGATGTATGATCTGCATGGCTCCGCCAACGTAGGTATTCATCTGATTAACTATACTCTGTAATACATCATCTGTGAGAAGGATGCAGATTTTGGCACCTATCTTTTCTGTTATGACGTTCAACAACGGAAGTAAAATTAGAAGATATATGCCTATATGGAATCCGAAAAAAGTATATCAAATGCTACAGAGCAGCCGTATTAATATAATGTTGGTGGTCTAACCAGCTACACGGCAATTACGTGAACCATTGGTAGTGAAGGTCACACTTGGACAGAGATACAACCCCGCATTTCTAGTGTAAGATTTTACAACACCTGATCTGAGAGATTCAACATACGGTTGGCAGATAATAATATACGTATAACAAAAGTGTATGCATGGACGGAGACTATCTTTCAAAAAAAAATTTAAAACACAAAAAAAAAACTATAATATAAGACGATATAAAAAGCCTCTCAGCTGACTACCTAATATATGACTCCGATGCACGATTTAGGGCTTGATTTGAAGCGGGCACCTATCATATTATTATGCGATTCGCGATTGGAAATTACATAAGTTTGAAGGATGCACGATAGCGTGCCACGCATTACTCCAGACGATAGACAAATGACCAGCCATCGCCATATGAGCATCTATCAAACTTAGGGTTCTGTTGGTCCACTCTTGGAGCCGTATTTCCGCTACCAATGTCACCCAACACATGGCCGTATGTTATAGGTGGAATTCCTGAAGCGAGATGAGGGTAGCATTTTAGCTAACGATGGACAAAGGGGCCGAGCGTTTCTTGTATTTCAGAAATATCCTAGGTCTTTATGCATTAGAAAATCGAGTTGTTGAATTCTACATCAGATTGCTACTAGTTGTCACGATAATTTCCGAAATAAATACATAAATAAAATTCTGGTTTCATTGCGTTCACATCTTTCTCTATTCCCTGGTTCGTTGGTTCGTTGGTTCCTTAGCTTCTTCCTTCGCAATATATTTTCTTCCTTCGCTCCCTATTTTTGGATAGTAAACCTAGTTAGCTTCGCGTTATACCGTATTTCATCATTCTGCACCCATGTATGGTATGTAGCTAGGCTTTAAGATAGCTTAGCTCTTAGCTTGCCTAAGCAATGACATTAAAAGGTGAATTCTTCAGCAATACTTCTGTTTACCAACCGCGAGACCTTCTGTCAAATGCAATCCGACTCATTCTCTAAAATCATTCTCATATTGGGATTGTATTTCGCTTTTCGCGTTAGTTTCTTGAACCAACCCTAACATATCCCCAAAATGTCATCCAAGACGCTTCCTGTCGTTATCGTTGGTGGCGGACCAGTTGGTTTGTTGGCTGCTCACATCTTCGATAAACTTGGTCAGGATTTTCTACTCCTTGAACAGCATCATAACTTGACCCCAGACATTGGAGCATGCATCGGCATGTCGGGACCTACGCTGCGAATTATTGATCAACTAGGGATGTGGGATGCATTTGAACCTCTAATAAACCGAATGTGTGACAAAATATCTTTCACGCAAGCAGGAGATATCATTCACTCAGGTTCAATATTTTATGTGAACGAAAAAAGGTGCTGTAGTGACTTCTTTTTGCCAAATGACCATGGCTAATTCGGATTAGATTTGGTTATAAAACAGCTATTTTCCAACGGCACAGCCTTCTTCAAACGCTGTACGACTCATTGTCGGAAAGTTCTAAGCAGCGGATCTTGGTAAATAAGAAGGTCGTCGCTATTGATATCAAAGAGGAGAGTGTCAGCGTCCGCTGTTCAGATGGAACTGAGGTCGAAGGATCAATCATCGTCGGTGCAGATGGGTCGCAGAGCGCGGTGCGAGAATGCACAAAAGAACTTGCTCGTAAAACTTCTTCCGAAAGCAAAGCTTTTGGAAATAACGAGGCGTTCAGAACAACATATCGACTCTTGTTCGGGAGCGCTCCACGTTTTGGCGATACTAAGCCTGCCACCGTTTACGAGTGCCATAGATTTGGAAGTTCTACCCAGGTGTTTGTCGGTGAGGAGAAAATGTGGTTTTTTCTTTATGAAGAGCTGGATAAACCCACGTCTGAGCACAGGTCATACACGCAGAAAGATGCTGATGAATTCGCTGCCCGCTATGCAGACCATCGCGTCACGAAAGATCTCTTCTTTCGAGACGTGTATAAAGGCCGAAGTAGCTCGGGTGTTACTGATCTTGAAGAAGGGCTTCTTGACCAATGGTGGTGGAATCGCATTGTTCTCGTCGGAGACGCGGCACATAAAGTGACTCCAAACGCTGGACTGGGATTCAATAGTGGCGTGCAAGATTTGGCGGTGATTGCAAATGGCATTCGACGTCTTCAAAACAAGGGAGGAAGTCTTCATGATAATGAAGCTATCAAAGCGCTCTTCTCCCAATATCAGAATGAGAGGATGGAAAGCATGAAAACATTCAGCAATCTTTCCGCTAAAACAACACGCTTGTGCGCCTGGCATTCGCGCTTTGGAATGATATGGGACCGCTACGTCGCGCCGGCACTCAATCTTGAGTTGCTGATGAGCAGATATATCGTGGCACCAATAATCGCCAATTCATTTGTCCTCGATTGGTTGCCTGAACCGCATCATCGCACCGGCTCAATTCCTTGGAAAATGGGTCCGAATCATAATCTGACTGACGAAACGCACTAGGGAACTAAACATCTGGCCTCAGTGGGTAACATAGAAGAAGTTCCGGCTGTGGTAGAGAAAATGCGTTTAGATCGGTTGGCTTATTATCACCTGCAATATTTAATAATACCATTGTTACTATGCATCGATCTTACCTTTTCTTTAATCTCATCTATGCGTTGTTTACTTTCTATACAAATGATGAGCTGAACTGCAAGCCAAGATAGAAACTAGTGAAGCTGAGTGCAAACCGAAAATTACTCAACCGGTTTTTACATCTCAAATTAGCCTGTTGCCCCGAAGCCCATGATTTGGTTGACAACAGCTGTTTCATCTCGAGTCTACAAAATGTCTAGATCCATAAGTACCAGCCATACACTAGCGCTTTCAGCTCGTGTCGCTATTCATCTGTTTATACTCGCCCGAAGCTGACGGTTACAACAATCCCTAGATTTGACCTCCATCCATGTCGTTGACATGTATATCCTCGAATTTTGATTAATTGTGTGCGCACAAATTGCAATTGAGCCTGTGCGCCATTATATATGCCACTTATGCACTGTGCCACTGTGCCTTCTATAGCTGCAATTGGGGTCAATATCTTTAAGGTGACTCTGGAACTAAAGCGAGGATGCTTGTTTACCAAGGACAGCTGAAAGCCAACCCCGATGGAGTTGAATCGGTCACGGCTATTCTTCCCACAAAGGCTGGAGCTGGAGCGCCATGCATAGTCTTATGGCGCAAAGCCACTACAACATCGACGAGTTCAAAAACTGTTAGCAGGGAACCGCCCAATTTTGGAGATTTTGAAGTGATTCTGGAGAAAGATGACAACGAGAATATCAAGTTCAAGTCGGCTACATCGAAGTTGGAATTAGAGTTCACCGGAGATCATAAGATTGCTTCTCTCAGCTTTCAACCAGCAAATGGAGGTCAAATTCAGAATATATAGTTTGTCAGCTTCAATTCATAAAAAAAAAATACGACTTTGGCTGTCTCTAGATCTCCGTGAATAGTTAGGCAATAAATATGCTTTCAGTAATGATTGAAGCCATTGTTCCGTCATGTTTAGCTGTCTATAGATCTTGGATTGACTTCGCTGATAAATACCACTGATCTGCATGTCATTCGTGACCAGGACAAAATGTTTTGCATTTTACCACTCGAAGCCATGTGGCTTCATTGTTTATGTCCAGTGGCTGCCAATCATCAAGCTTAAGCCTAGTCATTCCAGTTCCTCGTACAGAGTCCACCTATTAGACAGCAGAGACGCCCATCAACGATACGTAGTTGAGAACAAGAAGGCGTAAGAAACAAGCCACAATGGTACGCAACCCAAGCCCAACTTTCAAATGTGATTTTAAGGCGAAAAGAGTCAGTTCAATGAAGCACAGAGCCCGATACGCCTTGGAGAATACCTACGGATCAGCCTCAAACAGGGCAGCAGGCTGACACGCTGCTAGAAATTATAATCAGGCACCAACTGGAAAATGTGTGTGGAGACCCAGCAAAGTATTCCACTGATGTGTGCCTGAGCGCCTCGTAGATTTGACATTTTGTTTTTCAAGTCAAAATTTAATATGATGGTGTCACAATAAACTGGTTTCCCAATGCGCCAATCAGTAACTGCCTGGACTACGTGAGAATGGTCTGCAGGCTCATGTTATAGGTCAGCTTATGCTGGTTGTGCCCAATCACTCCCACCGCCTATCTAATCATCAACCACAGGGCTACGAATTATACACAAATTTTAATCGTCGTCAGCAGTGAAAAAAATTTCATTGCATCTTGCCCTACAAGTGTTATATGGGCCATGGTCGACAATATATTGTAATTGAGTATTGGAAGCAAAGAAGCATAAGCCCGCTCTGTCTTACAAACATTGAAGCAATAATAAGCAGCCCCACCGCGAAATGCCAACGAGAGGCAGTGCTTCAACAAGCCCTTCTTTTCTCTCCAAATTCTTTTGGAGATTTACTTCATTATTGGCACGAAATTTGTAGATTTAGTGAAGTTTCACCCAAAAAAGCGTCACCTGGTAGAGGTCAAGTGAAACATTATCCAGGGGTCTGTCTGCTCTAATGAAGAGGCCTCACCTACCTCGCAGGCAGGGCGACGGAAACCCATACTCTGATAATGGCGATCATTCATCCCAGTAGCCATATAATAGAGTCCAGTTTCTCATAATAGACCGACAGTAAAAAAACCACTGTTCACACATTTTTCCTCCATAGAATCTCACGCAAGAAAAGCAATCATGGACAGCAAAAGTTACGCAAACAAAGGCTATAAAACGCCGGCTAGCAGCAGCAACTCCGCGGGTAGACAGCATGGGGAATCGTCATCCAGGTACGAGAGATGTCAAGTCAAGAGGAGAAAAGTGCAAAGTTATTAATATCGTGTTACAGCTCTAAGAAGAATCCACAAAGCTACTCCCTGAACAGGTACTTGAACACTCCCGAGCGTCATGAAACATGGGACTGGGAACAGAAGGCCAAGCAGAGGAACGACAAAAACCACCGCCTCTAGATTATGATTTTGCACCCATGATTAAGTATGAGCCCCAGTCTATCATGCCATCGTATAATCATTTCAAAGCATCATCTGCCTATCGGAGAAGCTAATTCATCAATGCAGCTACAGTATACCACCAATACGCCTTTGAAGCAGAACCATTTCCGCATACCAGCTATTTAACACACATGAACCATCGCCTTTGCATCACATAGCCCTAATTCTCGCAATCATTAATATGACTGGATCACATATGATTGGCCCAACTTCCCATCTCTTTTCGTTTGAATATCCTCAAGCTTCACTTTTAAAATCAGCTCGTTGTAAGCCAAGCCAGTCCCACAGCTTCGTGTCTGCCTCCACTGGCGTAGGCATGCTTCCCCAATATTCCACCCCCAGGACAGAGTTCTCCGCAGACCATGACTTGTCCACTCCAAAGTATTTCTTGATGATCTGACTCTTGATAGGTTTTTGCGAAACTGTTTGCGGCATCTCTTCCCCAGGGCCAAGAATCTTGACCAGCACAGGGAGCATGTATTTCGGCAGTGACTCGTTCATATCTCTTCGGAGACGTGCGAGGTCAATTGTCTGCTCGGCATATCTGCTCTGCAGCTGCTCTTGCTCCGGGGTAAGACGAACGACGGCGGCGCATATTTCCTTGGCTTCGTTATCCGGCACACCCAAAACGCAGGCTTCAGTCACGTAGGGGAGAGCTGTAAGTGCAACCTCGACTTGGACGCTGGGTATTCGGTAGTGTCGGAACAAAATATCTAGAGAATACTAATCAGTATACTAGGCAACGCAATGGAAAGCACTTAGGTATGGGAGCAGTTGCGAGCAAAGACGTACAGTCGGTATTGGCACGGCCAGAGAAGATGTACTCGCCGTCCTTTAGTTCCGCAAAATCTCCCGTCTTGAAATACCCTTCGTCATCAAAAGCGGCTTTTGTTTTTTCTTCATCTCCAATATAGCTTTGATAGCCCCATTAGTACAGTCCCAATTTCTTACAATCATACTGCTATTATCCAGACTTACTGCGTAAGCATGAATGGGCTCTTGACACAGATTTCTCCATGATCGCCATCCGCCAGCTTGACTTTGATGCCAGGAAATGCGACACCAATTGCATCCTACATACCGTCATGTTAGAATTTTCAGATGATCAATTGTAAAATGAGAATGAAAGCGAAATGAAATGGAAGAGTGAAAGGCATACCGATCGCTCTGTGCCATCAAGACACTTGAATGTTGCCAGGCCGCCAACCTCCGTTGAGCCGTAGACATTGTTAAACGGCAATCCAGTTCTGTTCTTCCAAAATTTCAACACAGACGGCGACACCATGGCACCGGCGCAATGAATGACACTGATATTCTTGAACGCTTTGATATATTCTTCTTGCTCATCCTCGCTCCGTGCCTCTAACCACTCTTTCATCTCACGCAAGACGCCTGGTGTAAATCCCGTTCCAGTGATGTGGTGACTGCGCAAGACTTCCCAGATGCGCTCTACGCCGGCCCGCTCCTTGAGTATGTGAAGTTTCTTGCCGGTGAGCATGGGCTCGACTAGACTGATTGCGCCGCCAAGCCAATGAGGAGGTCGAAAGCAAACAGTCTGGCAGTTTGGGGGCGCGTCTGGCTGGAAGACCATGCAGATTCGAGGAAGGACAGCGCCCTTTGGTGGCCCAGTGGTGCCAGACGTGAAAATGACCAGACCAGGGCCGTGAGGGTCCATATTGAGCGTCTCATCAATGGTGATGTCAATTGCACCCACTGGTTCGGCGTCGCATGAGATGGGTATAGCAACAGGCCTGAAATCGGTCAAGTTGCCGGAAATGGCAGCAATTCGCTCGGCTTTCTCGAAGCAATCCTTCCCAGCTAGAATACAGAGTGATTCTGCGCTGTCGACAAAATATCGCGCCTCTTCCGGGAGAATACCAGAGCCTAGACATTATCATGTTGGTTAGATTGAACACATTCAAATGGTACAAAGAGCATGCTATGCCATGCTACCATGCTATGCGCAATATACGCACCAAATGGAATCGCTGCTCCCCCCAGCACTCGAGTCGCAAAGAAGGCAACGATAAACTCATAGCCGCTCCTTGTCAGCACCGCAACATACGGCGTCTCCTCTTTAAAGATGCCTCGTTCGCTAAACGCAGACGCCGGTAATTGCTGGCGCATGAGGTCGCGCATGCGCAAAATATCTGCTATGAGCTCCTCGAGCGTTTTCTCAAACCCGAATTGGTCATAGATGCAAGGCCCTTGGCCGGCGCATCTCTTGGCTGATCGAAGGAATTGCACCAGAAGTAAATCGTTGGGGAACTTGTCCCTTGCAGATCCGACCGCCATGGCTACGGTTGTGGCTGTTGTTGTTGCTGTCGATATACACCTAACCGGCTCTTTGCATAAATAACGGTTGGAGTAGCAGCAATGGTAATAGTGTACAGAAGGGTATCAAGTATATATATATATATGTGTGTGTACTATTTCGTGCTTGTCGTGAATGAAAGTCGTATATACCGTACTTAATCAGTCATCAACACCAACAATGGTGCGTGAATTAGACGCTGGAAAACGCGCCAACAGCACTGACAGAAGCAAGAGACAACCTCTGGCTAAAACGCAGCATGGCGACTGGCCAATGCCTGGAATTTATCGTGCTCGACCTCGTCCTCATCGCGAGAGAATTTCAAGTCCGAATTCCAGCACATCATTCAAGCTCTCGCCCTCTTCCCACCCAACCCGCAAAGACGCCTGCGCCGAAAGAAACAGGGTCATCGGACTCGAGCACGGAGAGCGTCCGAAGGCCTGTTTGCTTGGCTTCATCCTTGCACCATGCAATGCAACCACGCTGCTCTGACAGGGTCTGGGAGCCGCCCGCGGCTCGAGCCCCAATTTCCGCAGCTCTAGCCAGGTGCGGCCGATCGTCGTTATCGACTCTCAAAGAAGCGTCTGCGTCACGGTAGCACAAATCCAACGCCATGGCCCCCGAGTGTCGGATGTCTCGTCCCTCATGGGCCTATTGTCTGCTTCTCCGCACGTCTTGCGGCCGTGCTGTAGGGAGCCGGATCGGGGGAGCGTGTAAGCCTGGCTCGCGGCTTATACCAACGCCCGAGAGAATCAAAGCCAGTGGCACACAAGGGTGGAGAGGCGCGCATTTAACCACTAATTGTGGCGCCCGGCCGTGGATCGAATGCAGTAACGCGGCAGCCTCATTGTCCCCGCATGCTAGGACGGCGCACAAGCAGCGCGACGATGAGGCAAGACATCCGAAGCCCCTGTTGCATCGCGGCCGCGGAGGCCCAGCTGAGCGCCTCAAACGAGCCCCAGCCCACTTCCGATCTGCCAGCGCCGTGTTCTACGAGTATAAGCTAGCATAACGCCACCGGCGCTGCAGCCCATGGCACATGGACACGACAGGCCGACGCTTTATCTATTGCTTCATTCCGCATTAGAGCCTTCTGGAAAAGCCAGGCGCCCGGCATCGACCTGTGACCGCCATTCTGCATGCTCAAACGCCGCCTTGACCAGCTGAATGAGCATAACATCGCTTCCAGCCGGGCCCATGATGGAGCCGCTAAAGGGACGGCTCTCTGTCCTGTCGGTTACTCGCGAGTGATATGTCGTCTGTGCGACTGTTGTAGTAGTTGTTGGTTAGCCCATTGACATTAACTGATTCGGAGAAAAATGAAAGATGAAAGGGAGAAGAACAAGTAAAGGGGGGGGGGATATGTCAGCAAAGGGGGGAAAAGGAAGCTCACAAGGCACGATAAGATGTGGCAGTCCCAGAAGAGGAGCGAGTGTCCCAGGCCCAATGCCATCGATTCTGCTCGGTGTTCTAAGCTACATTAGCTGCATGCACTGAATCCTTCATGCAATTTGGATAATTGTCAACACACTGTGGTAAGTCGTCGCGGTAATGCACTGTATGATGAGACCCGAAAGGGAGGATCATGATGCTATCGGAGCCCCGGAGTGTCGACATGGCGTTCTCGGCGAACCACGTTTTAAAGACTTCAATGCGCTCGCGGTGACGCCTGTCGTCGTCTGCGGACTCGTTTTCGCCGACGCCCCTAGTCATGGTAATCCACTATTCAGCATATGCATCTTGGCTTGCTGCCCGTCTTATCAGACGAACTACTGGGCTGCAGGGCAGTTGTCTGACTCTGTCGAGGAGACATACCATCTGAAACGGGGAGTTGCTTCGACATATGGCGCACGCCCAAGTTTCTCTTTGTAGCTTCGGCGGAAATCCTCATATTGGTGATAGAAATCGGCGCAAAAGGAGCTGAAGGGAGCCTGAGTCATATTTAGTCATATTGCCGTAGGAGATAGTTGGCAGATATGCAATGTAGTACTCACCTGCCTCATGTATTCTTCAAGGCTCTGTCCATCGGCCTCGCTTGGCGGCTTGGAATCCCAAATCTCTGATAGGCTTACCTTGTCGGCTTGGATGCCAAGGAAATGCTCCAATGTAGCGACAAATTTGTCTGTAAGAGCCTGATTTCCCTCAAAAACGGAAGCAAAGTCCGAAGGATAAATGATCCGTCTGGGAAATGCGACGCTGTCATCCGTCATATTCGATGCCGCCTGCACAACTTTGAGTAAGTCTTTCAGGCTACGACTCGAGAAGCCAGCCGCAGCATAATTCCTGTATATACACATGAGTATAAAATTCATCACCATAACTCTTCGACTATTCTTTTTTTTTTTTTTTTTTTTTTTTGTCATTTTATTTGACTTACTGGGAATCAACCTGCCATCCATCCAGAAGTATAGCACCGGCTGACGGTCGAATCGAGTACACGCCATGGACACGGGCTTGCTCACGGATGCCGTCAAAGCCTGGACAGTTAGCAGACTCCTTATTCTTGAATCTCAAAAAGAAAATACTCTGGCTCCACTTACCATCTTGCGCAATAGCATATTCCATCCAGTCGTAGCCGCTCACGCTAGCCCCAGCACCGGCTGCGCTTCCACCTGGATCTTGATATCCATCACCCCTCGGGTTCCACGGAGCTTCGACATCGATCCATTCTCGGCCGGAATCAAACTGCGACGATTTAGTTTTGCCTACAATGATAGCACCCCTGTCAATGAGGCTCTCGATAAACTTTGCCGTCTCGGTTGCTTCAGTGTCGTGTAGCTCAGTCCAGGCTCGGCTCGACATGGTCGTGCGAACACCTTTCAAGGACGCCACATCGGTGATAGATATTCGGACTCCAGACAAGGGTTTGCGAATAGACGGTGCTGCATGGTAGAGGCGAGACGGTACGGCAATTGACTTGAACGAGCCATTGTCTGAGAGGGATGACAGCGCTTCATATCTGGATTCTCGTATTAGATCGCGTAGCCAACTGGTTGAGCACGAGACAGAGAGCATACATACCCATCATCAGTGCCATTTATGCTATTGGGGATTACTCCAAAGGTAAATGCATCCAAGACGTCGTCATAGAGTCTCCACGCCTGGTAAAGGTTCGGCCCATGAAGGAAATACGGGCCAGAAGGCAAATCTCGAAAGCCAGGCGCATCACCTTCAGCCCTGTCTTCAACCTCACTTCGCTGTAACCTGACCACAGTCCTGCTGCTACGGGGGACTATATTCTGAACGAGGCCGATGGTGTTGTCCTTCTCTGGCTTTTCTACCAGGATACCGCCAAAATCAGACTGAAAAACGTCATCTACGGCTGCAAATAGATCCAGAATGCCGTCTACATCGCTGTTGATCTCGCTGGTCGTGAGAAGTGTGACTGGAATAAGTGCATCAGGGTTGATTGTCTGTTCAATCGTGCCCTAAACAAGGTTGCCCAATGTTAGCATAAACAAGGTTTGCCCGAACCCTGAGCCAAGCTCTCGCAGCTTGCAATTGATGCGTCTCATCATACCAATTTTTGAGGATGCAGCAAATACTGAGAACCTGCAATGACGACGGTGAAGAGATTCTTCATTGTAAGGTTTGGTGCTGGTTCTGCGTTGCTCTTGGGCCACCAAAAGAAGTGAGGATAGGATAACTGGGGATCTGCCTTTAAAGCAAACCCCGCGGCCCCATCCGAGGTTTTTATCCCTCTTATCCCAATGATGACAACCGGGAGAAAACACGTTTCAGCTATGCTACGATGGCAGAAATGGAAAAGGAAAAGGAAAAGCCACAAGAACAGGAGACACGGGACAACCGTTTATTGAAACTCATTTCCTGCTGCTTTATATGCTGTGTCTTACTCTGGGCGCGGTGATTGGCTGGGAGCGCCCCAATCCCTGTCTGTAGGTCGCACATTTCCAGTTCGGATGCTACGCATAAGTAAATTGGAGGAATGACAACCTAGCCCATCTGATATCTGGGGCGCTGAAAATTCCAAGGCAAAAGCATACACGCAGCAGTTACCAATGACTAATGTAAAGCATGCGTGCATATCATTTACACACAATGGGGTCTGAATCATATGCATGCGGTGAGCACTGCAGTCAGTGGCCTCCCGATACGAGAACCATACATGTACTATAGCACACATTATATTACCTTGTACCGCTTATGTATCATACAAGTGCTGTATTCGTTGACTAAAAGCATTGACGCGTAGGTGCATGTCATTAACAAGGCGGTCACGATTGCCGTTTATTCGCTAATCATTTGTCATCTGCTCATACGCAAGCTCTCCTGTATGATTCACCAACAGCTTCTTCCCATCAACAATCTCCGACGAACGCTGCACAAGCTCATCAACAGACCAATTAGCGCTGACATATCGTCCATTCAAAAAGGCCGCTTCCTTGGTCGTCAGCCAGAGCGCGCATCCCGCAGCCAGTGCTGGCGTGTCCTTGGAGAACCGGGCCAGCCAAGGGGGGGTTATGTCCGTCATGATGGTCCCCGGATGAATACTGACGGCTCGCACATTGGGATTCTCCATTGTAATAAATTGAGACAGCTGCGTCAGGGCAAGTTTTGATAGAGAGTAGCTGGTCGATCCGGGCATGACGATGAAGCCCATTGCAGATGAGACATTGATAACGGTGGCCCTTTTCGTAGTGCCAACATGGTTGAGAAGCTCATGGACCATGAGGAGGGAACCCTTCAAATTAATTTCCTAGAGAGACATTAGCACTCGTAAAATCGACTTGCAATCTTTGCAGTGCTTACAAATCCCTCCCAAACGGCGGCTATCGACGCAGAGCGCAGCGGCTTGCCCTCATCATTAGCTCCCGCATTATTCACCAGCACATCAGCAGCGCCAAAAGCAGCCCGGACCTGCTCAAACACTGCCTTGACAGAGGTCTCACTCCGAACATCGCACGCAAGAGGCAAGAATTGAGTCTTTGGAAACTCCTTTGTCAACTCTTCAGCTGCCTCTTGCAACTGACCGAGGCTGCGGGCAACAAGCACAACTCCTTTAGCTCCAGCCGCAGCGAAGGAACGGGCAAATCCCTTGAATACAGAATTAGTGAGATACTCGCTTCCAGTTGATATATGGCTCTATACCTTTCTCCCTATGCCTTTGCTTGCACCAGTGACAATTACAACTTTTCCTTTCTGTGATAAGGCGGGATTTGATGGATCAATGGCTGGATATACGTCTCGGTAGACTTGTTTGGTGAAGGCTTGAGACGTGACAACATAGTCATCAGGAAGGCCTTGAAGCGGATCTGTAGCAGTCATATTGCAAGTTCTGAAGTGAATTTGTATAGTTTAGAATCGATTAGAATTGTTTGTTGTTTTTCACGTCAAAGGTGGCTCCGGACCTTATATACATGCGTTGTTCATCGAATATCGCCCCCCCATGACCACCTATTCGCAGGCAATTGCAACTGATGACAAACGCAACTCATCTCTTGAGCTCCGAATTAATATTTTACTTTGCTTTTTACATCACAAATCAAAATAGCAATTTACCATCCGGGAGATGGTGGAACTTTGCGGCTTTATCATCGCAGAAGATTTTCCGCGAAGCCTTGCGGTCGTATAACCGCCTTGGTAAATTTACCGCAAAACCCCGAATAAGTCCGCCTAGGAGACTAAAGTCGGCTTCAGCTATCTCGGCTATCAGCGAAAACTTCGAATTGATGATAGTGGATGTATTTTAACAGTACATAGTCTCAACACTGCCATGATACTGAATTGCATCTATGATTTTAAAAGGATGATCCACAGACAGGGATATGTCGAAATAACATCAACCTAAGAAAAATGCTAAGGAAATAAGGCTCGCCTTACTCCATAAAATTGATGTATTAGCGACAGTACAGACTTGCGGTGAAAAGTCGAGTCTTGCAGGTTTCAATCTAATTACGAATGCTACGAAAAGAGGCTGCACCGCGGTTGAGTTAGCCATGACCACCAATATGGCATTTTCTTCTCCTACTACCACGCGACGATAGTTAAGGGCCAAGAACATACTTTTTTTTCTTCTCTTTTTTCTTTTTTTTTTTTTTAGACTTATTGAACTCTTGCCCACTAATTCATGATACACACCATGTGTGCTAATGAGGCTGCAATATGTGAGTGAAAATCGAATCCATCTTTTTCATTCTAGTCTTTCTAATTCTACTCTATTCCTAGATACACTCTATATCCTTCACAATTCTAATAGCTACACAGGAGGATGTCGAACAATCAGAGCGCTCTGCAGTCATGGAAAATTCATAGCACCGGAAGCTGGTTGACCATAGGATTGGCCGCATCGAAAGCCTCCTGTGCGATTGCCTTGGGAGGGTATATGACACATCCATTGATCCAGGCCTTGATCTCCTTTGCCGGTCCAGCAGACTTGACGACTTTTCGATCCCATCCATCGCATACGACAGCACCCCAGCCACCAAGATCCAGGCATGTCCCATACGAGGGCTGGAGGTAGGGCTGGCCGGGAAGTTTGAGAAGATCAGCAGCAACATTGTAACCACAAGAGCGGCCAAGAGGGATAGCATGCTGGCACGACATCATTGTACGGTTACCCTTATCGTCTGTCTGGGCGCAAGCTGCATCGCCGGTGGCAAACACGTCGGGAGTTGATGGAACACGAAGGTCGCAGTCGACAATCAACCTTCCTCGGTCATCCGTCTCGCCAGGAATCTGCTTCGTCAACGGCGTAGCCTCCACTCCAGCGGTCCAAACAACGGTTCGGGCGTCAATGCGCTCTCCAGAAGCGGTAACGACACCGTTGGCATCAATCGAGGCAACGGCAGTGCCCAGCTTAGTTTCGACTTCGAGATCACCAAGAGCCTGGGTGATAACCGGGCGAGGGTTCTCTCCCAAGTCGGGTCCAATTACATCTGACTTCTCAATAACAACGACCCTCACCTTCTCCGCCATGCCCAGAATAGCCCGTAAGCGCCGAGGCAGCTCCGCGGCAAGCTCGATACCAGTGAATCCGCCGCCACACACAACAACAGTATTGCGTTCCGGACTGGAGGGCAGAGATGCCAGGCGTTTAAGATGAGCCTCCAAGTCGGCGGCATCGGCGATATTATCGATGCTAAACGCGTGCTCCCTAAGACCAGAGATGTTTGGCTTCACTAGACGACTGCCAGCAGCCAAAACCAGTCTGTCATATGAAAGGTTCGAGCGTTCGCCCGTAGGACTGACCACCTCCACTTGCCTATCCTTAGTCCGGATCACGTCAACAACTCCTCGAGTGAAACGGACACCGGTAGCGTTCAAAAGTTCTTCCAGGGGCGCGGACATGCCAGCGGCGTTGGCCTCGTATAGACGCGGCTTAGTCACGAGCTTAGGCTCAGGGGCAACGATGACAACGTCGATGCCATTGCCAACGCGGTCCTTGTTCTGCTCGATGAGTCTCCTGGCGGATAATGCGCTGTAGAGGCCGGAGAAACCAGAACCAACGATGACAATTTTTTGAGACATTTTTTTGAGTATATGACAAATGAGTGAGCTAGAAGGCTGTATACAAATCGATGAGTTGATGTAGTTTGATTTTATTCATAGAGTAGTTTTCGACAGAAAGCTCCAGCCAAGTCTCTTTTTATAAAGAATTGCTATCACACTGCAGCCTGCCACGGGAGAGAGAGACGATTTCAAACGTATCCCGAAACATTTCAATACACGAAGAATTGCGCAATTGAAAAGCCTTTGCCATTCTGACGTCTGTAGTCTCCCAAGCTAAACGGATACCCGAGCTGGTGGCCATTGTTGTACTATGGGCCCAGCCAAACAACCAGATTAGTTCATAGCCGCTTTGTCAGTTTAGAGAGGACCCATTACGCAGTTTAGCTTCCGGGAGGAGTTGGCTTCAGGAACAGGTAATGTCAAGCGCTCGCTCGTGCGGCGGTATGTGATTATATGGCTATTTATGAGTGTCTTGTTTTTCTCGCTCTCTCAACAAGTCATGACTTATTTAGAGTGGCCTGTTTAGGTAGTATTAGTCATTGGGTAATTTAGCAAGGCTTTGCAACGTCGGAACCCGGCCCCCGAGCACCTGAACGACTGTTCGTGGAATGTGAATTCCGCCGTTAATAAGCCGGCTACGGCGGTTGTCGCTTGGATAATGCCGTTGTGGCGGACATTGATGCGTAGCCGACAGGCGAAATATGGAGTACGCGGACCAAGGGCGTTACCTCATTGGGCGTTTGTAAAAGCCATTCGAAAATGTCTCGAGACGTGAGTTGGGCAATACAAAGTAAGTGAATGGGCAGGCGAAATTTGAGAAATAAACAGCTATTACTATCTTAATTTAACTCTGTTGAGACAGATTTTTACGAAGCTACTTTATTCTTTTTTTTTTCCAGCAGCGTATTACGTTAAGGACTGGTTAGTTGCTGCTGGGGTTGTCACGAGTTCTTAACTCACTCCGCGGAGACTCGCATACTGTCCAAGTCGGCGTGAATACGACAAAATCAAATACTCTCCAGCACGTAGCAGTTGCCATGGATAGAATATCTCATTCTCAGCACTAATAGAAAGTTTCAGGAAATTATTCAGCCTTCCATCCTACTTTTTCCGAACTGTGACTCAAATATAACATGTCAATTGCGCACAGTACGCGTATATATATATCACCAGGTCCTACGCCGACAGCCCTCGCAGCAAAAACGCCATATTGGGGGCTTCCATTTTTCAACCACCTTTTATCAATCTCAGCGAAATTCTTCGCCGGTCGGCCGGTCCGCTTCGAATGCTTCCGCGCTTATAATCAACGGTCAGCCTAAAATTTGCATCTCCGGCAGAGGGAAAAAGGTTGATATAAGCTTCAATCGCTGGCGGGTAATCGGCGGTTGCGGATACCCGGATCGGATACCCGGCGGCTCCAAAACGGTATACAACGTGCTGGATCCCAAAGTCGCTAATTGCCCTCTTCATATCCCCATTGTACTTGGACATCTCGTAGGACTGGCAACGCATTGCCTTTCTCTCTGCTTAGTGGGTGTCTGCCCGCATTATCGTGGATATCCGGCCTTTTTATGGTTACCAGCCCCTCGATCAAGTGTCTTGGACGGCATCAAATTGCCGCCAGCAAATCAAATCACAGTCCGCCATCAACCCAGCCTGTCATTAATCATGCCACGGGACAAGGAGAGGGAATCAGATGCAGAGGCCTCACGGCGACCGTCCGTGGACAAGACTGACTCCCCAAAAGGAGGATCCGGATCCCGCGTATCACTAGCCTGTCTGCCGTGCAGGAGCCGCCATGTCCGCTGTGACGCAAAGAAGCCGCGGTGCAATCGCTGCTGTGAGGAGAACAAGGAGTGCAGCTATACGAAGTCGAGGCGAGGCGGCCTTGACAGAGCAGCGCTGGCAGCTCGCCGTAGCCAAATTGCCGCGCTGACTGCAGCCAAGAATGGCGGCCATCTCTCTCCAGCGGGCAGCGTTGACGGGACCAGCAGCACGCCGGATGTGTTGATGAGCAGGGATGATCCACAGGCGTCGATGGATGTGCTTGAGGATAGCTTGATGGCACATCAGCCGCTGGATCCTAGCCTGTTTACTCCTCCAGACGATTCATGGTCATCGTCCAGCGTTGTTCTGCCCGCATCAGACCTGCAATCCATCGACATCACCAGAGACGCCTTCATCGATGTCTATTACAACTGCTTCCACCGCTACCACCCTTGTGTGCTTCCCCGGCAATTTTTCGAGCAGTACTTACAGGATCCAAACCGGCAAGATGAGCTGAAGCCGCTGGTGTACTTGATGCGCTTCGTCGCCAGCATCTACCTAAGCTCCCATCAGCCCTCACTGCGACCAAAGTGCTCTCAGCTGGAAGAACTGGTGTCCTCGACACTTGCCCAGATGCCAACAACGTCGATGAATTTCTTCATGGTCCAGTGTCATCTCATCTTTTCCATATGCTTGTACTGGCGCGGAAATGTCCCCAAATCACGACTGCATATGGGCATGGCGAGACAGCTCGCGCTCGACGTAGGCATGCACCGCCGTGAATTCGCAGCAGAACACGGCAACGGCGATGCTGTTTTGGAAGAATCATGGCGGCGGACCTGGTGGCAAGTGTACATTGTCGACGCAATGTATTCCGCTATCAAGCGGAGTGCCGATTTCCCGTCGTACCGTGTCGAATCAACAACAGACCTGCCCTGCGAGGAAGAAGACTACGAGCGTGGGGTAAGAAATTATTGTTTTTTTGTTTATGCATAGATGCAATGACTAACTAATCTATCCAAGACTATTCCTCGGCCAAGGACGTGGGAAGAATTCGATTCTCGGGAGTTTCTCGCCGAAGACATTGTCTTTTCATCCTTTGCCTACCTCATCGGAGGCATCCGCGGCATGGCTTCAGCCATGTTCAGAGCTCTCTCTTTGCCAACGAATTCATCTGAGGCTGGAGGCTCTTCGCCCAAAGTGCTGGAATCCGTCGATTCCATCATCGAAGGGTGGCTTCTGCTGTTGCCAGAGTCAAAACGAGACATCTTCTCAGCAGACGGCCAGGTTGACGAGCTGCTTTTCCAAGCCATGATGGCTCTCCATGCGTTCGTATTTGCTGCCCGTCCATCAAGGGCCCTTATGCTAACCTTGCGTGTTACTACTGCAGAACAACCGTAGGACTCCACAGACCATTTTCAAACTGTGCATTCGATCCCCTAGAATGCATCTCGAGCTGCTCCACGCCTCCGCCAGCAGGATCTCACTCCGATCCCAGCAATGAATTCAGAAGCATCCATACAATCAAATGCATCCGCGCAGCCGAGGCACAAATCGGTCTTCTCGCCTTGCCCACAAAGCCATGCAGCCACACGCCATTCGTAGTTTGCATGCTCACCACAGGCACGCTTGCGCTTCTGGCTGCCTGCCGATACACCCTCCGAGGCCAGAAACTCGCCGTGGCGCGAGACCAGATCCGCATGAGCATCGGATGCCACAAGGCAATGGCAAGCGTGTGGTCTCAAGCCGGAAGCAACTTGCACGAAGTCCAGGCCATTGCCTGCGAAGTCTTGGGGCTGCCGATGGGAAATCATAATAATCATAAACAGATCAAACCACCACTAAGTCAGGTATCTTCAAGCCCAGAGCCGCCGTCGATTCCAGAGCCGAATTCTCACGATGCCTCCTGCGGCAGTGACGCCCTCAACTCAATGGCAATGGATAATTTGCAGGCATACTGGAACATGGCAGCCACACAGCCAGATATGTCTTTTTCATGGTGGGCGGGTGGAGATGAAACCGTATAAGTAATGGATATAAAATCGAAATCATTTTTTTGTTTGCATTTTGGCGTTGGACGAGATGGAATAAACACTCGACTCTCTATCATAACATGGCACGGGAGCAATGATTTGCCAGGAGAAATGGCCACGAATACGAATTAAGAAAATAATACATACGGTATCAATTATAGAGTTCATACAAAGCGATAATCTATGCATTTTGATTCAGCAAGAGAATACTAATGCTTTCATCTCCCTCTCAACTCTCTCGCATTGGATGATGCGCGCAGACATTCTAAAATGTGGCCTCTATACAAACAGACACATCATTTCCATGGTGACACGCTCTAAAGGCGGCTAAAAATCCTAACAGCAGTGACGTTCCCCACGGTCATGATGGCTGTAAACTGGCTCTCTCCAAATTGGCGAACAATAGTAGTAACCTTGTCGCTATCAAACGGTGTTTGCACCTGAGTCCACTTGTCGCCATCTTGAATGATAAGACTTTTGACTTTATCTCCATTGAAACTGGTATCCTCAAATTCCTCTCCCATCTTGAATTTAGTATCTTTGCTTCCTAATGCAATTTTCGTCGTCACATGCCATTCATCTACATCCTTCTTTAGAGTGATTTCTGGCGAGGCGGCTTGGAATAGTTTGCGTTTTATCACGCCGACGCCTGCCATACAGTAAGTACAAGCCCAATATAAGCATGATTCCATAGAAACGTTACCTAGCTCTGAGAGGAACTCTTCAAAGTTATCGCTCTTTGATAGTTTATAGCTTCCACTAAAAACGTCGGCCATTTTTGTATATGTTAGAATGGACTTGCTCTGGACAATTGGGTCTAATCAGCTTAGTGCAAAGTACATGTATAAAGAAGACGCAGCTATCATTTCTGGCACGACGTCTTCGTCCATGCTCATCTACTTATATAGAAACAATAGTAGGTAGGGAACCAGAGTCCTTGGTAACACTTTGTCCAGTCTGTAAGACAATGCACCTTGTTGACTTGCACTGACGTAAGCAGGGCCAGGCTGAGACAGCATACATGTACATAATGCATCACCACCTCGGTGTAGTCGCCCTGCCTTGGGTACGTGGCAGCTTTCAGCCATGTTGGGCTAGACTAGAACATGTCATTCATCAGCATGTGGATTGTAGACAAATGAGAATTGGACACCCTTGCGTGATCTCGTCCCTTTGGAAGGACAGGGCTGAACCCGTCTGCAGGGAGAGGCTTGGCTTAGGTCAACTCAGAAGTGCTATCGGCTATCTTCTAACATGGTCTGCTTGAACTGGAGTTGGTTAAGAAATACCATCTTTTACGCACTAATGCATGTTATCCAAGAGTATAAGTAGTATAATTTAATACCAATCTGCGGCTTTGTTCTTGAGAACGAGTACATCCTGTCTAAATCACATTGTCACACTGCTTGTTCTCGCCTCGTGGTTCCAATAGCAGCACGACATTGAGGCTAGGATTCCGGGAGTAAACTAGTTCAGATGTGCCCTCCCTACTGGTTAACAAATAATGTACTCTCCAAGTATGTACTTGCCCAAGAAGCAATAATCTACGTCTTTTGATTTAGCAAGAGACCATTGAATATCCGTTGCCAGAATGCTCGAATTCATTGGGGACCTTAATAGTAGGGTATGTAAAGTCGGTACGTACCTCTAGGCATGTCACTTTCCAAAACCCCCCACTTGCCGCCTCCCACAGCGGTGGATTGCCGTTCCCGTTAGTGGGGTCTTATCGGTTATCGATTGCCCGCCAGCATCGAAATTTCAGTCACAAAGTCGAAAAGTAGACCACCAAATCCTCAAACCCGCCAAAAACATCCAACTCCTCCTTCTCCTAATATAACCTAATCTTGCGCCATGGCAAAGACTCAGAAAACAGGTTCGCAACAATCTCCAACCCTCAAACTCAAAGCCACCTAACACACCCTCAAAAAGCCCCCTCAAGGCGCTCCCGCGCCGCCCGCCGCGCAACATCCCCCTCCATCAACACCGACAAGTCTCTCAAGAACGCCACCCTCCCAGCCTCTTCAGCGCCCGCCGCCCTCCCCAGACCGTCCGTCCTCGCAGCCCGCCACAACGCCGGCGTCACCAAGAAAACCAGGCGCGGCCGCGCCGTCTCCGCAAAGGGCCGCCGCCGCCAGGAAAAGGGCCTCGAGATGGCCGAGGCCGTCGTCGAGCGCACGAGCAAGAAGCTGGAGAAGAGCCTCGGCAAGGCGCGCGTCGTGCAGTCGCGGGCCAAGAAGTGGGACGACATCAACAAGGACGCGCAGAAGAGCAAGGAGAATGCCTTTGCGGTGCTGATGCAGGACGGCGATGACGAGGACAAGGAAGAGAGGGAGTGGGAGACGGACGAGGAGATGGATGGCGAAAATGCTGCAAAGGATGCCGCTCCTGCTCCTCCTGCTGCTGCTGCTCCCCAGCCGGCGATGGCTGCACCAATGCTGGATGACGACGATGACGAGATTCTATAATGGGCTTTTATGACTGGCGAACAAATCATGGCGACTAATGGCTTTTTCTTTCTTCTTCTTTTCTTCGTGGGACTTGGGCGTTGTTGGCATCTGAAAAAAAAAAGGAGGGACTGGCATGATCATATCGGGAAGATGAATGTGCAGCTCATCTAGAAAGTTATTGTCTTTTTTTTGTGTGTTGTTGGGAATATAGCCTGGGATAGATTCTGCTGTCAACGCTCAAGGCTATATATATGGGCTCTACACTTGGACACACTCATACATACATACATGTACATACCTATATATACTTCTATTATACAGAGGATACCCCCCCAAGAAAAATAACACCAAATGCCACCAAACCTCTTCATCTATCCATACAATGCTCTGTAAATCCACGTCTTCTTCACCTCTTCACCCCCTCCAAATACAACCGCATCGTTCCCCCAACCTGTCCCTCCGGCTTCTTCGTCTCCCTCGCCCCCTGCGCCTCAATCTCCTCCTTGACCTTCTTCAGCACATCTTTCGCCTCATCCATCTCCACCGCCCTCCCGCCCTTCTTCTTGCCAATCATCATCTCCACCTTCATGCCCTTGTTCAAGAACCCGCCCATCTGCCTCAACTTCGTCGCCAAGTCGTGCCCGCCAATCGCCCATGTCAGCTCCATCTCCTTAGTCTTGGCCTTTGCCGCCACGGCGGTCTTCTTCTTCTCCTTGAGCTGCTTCAGACGCTCGTACTCGTCGCGCTTGTTGACAATCTTGCAGACGGCGTACTTCGCAGGCGTCTTGTTCTCCGCGTTGGCGGGCACGTACGGCGTAATCATGCGCAGCGACTCGCCCTCCTCCAGCTTCGTCAGGACGTAGCGCGTGGAGAGCGGGCCCTCGGCGCTGCCGTTGTCAATCACCATGATCTGCGGATCGGTGATTTCGTGGTCCCATGGCGGACGGTCTCGACCCGATCGCTCAATGTCTTTCTGGGTGGTGAAGCGACGGTCGTAGCCGCGGTCCTTGTCGTCGTCTGCGTTTTCGGAAGAAGCGCTTGTCGGGCCCCTGTTGCCACCTCTATAGGGCCGAGACGCACCAGCATACAACCTCAATTGCCGCTGGACGGGTCGGAATTGGAAGGATGAGGACGGAGAAGAGGACGAGGACGATATCGCGGACACGTTCGGGACCAAGCTCGGCCGGGAAGCTTCGCAGGAGATTCGTGAGGCGACGGGTCGGGAGAGGAAGAATCTCGCAGAGCCGCAGACGCAGCGCGAAGTGGCCATTGTCGAAGAGCCCTTGCCAATTGATGCGAGGCTGTAGAGCAGAAACGAATCCCTCCCTCAGTTCAAAGCTGCACTGTAGCTGTTCCACGGCAGATGGGATGGAGGGGAAGAAGGATAGTTTAGTGGTTATTAGTGCCTGCAAGCAACCGTGCAAAAAATAGCGTCATAGCTTACTGGACCCCTGGTGCACTAAGGCGCAAATGGGCCAATTAGAGGCGCCCACTGTGAGAGGGTCCATCAGGTACACCCATCTCGTACTTGTGAATGGCCTCATATCGTCTCAACGTCAATTTTGCTTGCACACTTACAAGACCTCCGCCTCATCGTAGACGCACCTCGGCTCAGTTCATCTCATCTCATCTCATCTCATACAAACATAATTGCAACTCATCCTCACTTCTTCCCAACAAAACAATGAACCCTCCACATCACCGTCTCTCACCACCATAGCACGCACGCACGCACGCACGTCTCCGAAATGATCTCCCACCTCATCGGCCACCCCGTCCGCTTCGCCATCTCCACACTCAAAATCACCTGCCTCGCCCACCTCACCCTCTCTCACCTCCTCCAAGTCTCCCCCGCCCAAGGGCCTTCCATGCTGCCCACCTTCACCGTCGACGGCGACTGGATTGCCGCCGACATGACCGCCCGCCTCGGCCGCCGTATCAAAGTCGGCGACCTCGTGCTCTACAAGATCCCCATCTTCGCCAGCCAGAACGGCGTCAAGCGCGTCATCGGCATGCCGGGCGACTACGTCTCGCTGGGCACTCCCGGCGAGAGGGGCGAGGAGCAGATGATTCAGGTAAGAGTCCTAGATTACAAAGGCCAAGGCTTGTCGAAAATAGAAATGCATGGACAAAGAGACTTATTAGTGTCACAGGTTCCCGAGGGCCATTGTTGGATCGTTGGAGACAATCTTCCAGCCTCCCGAGACTCACGGCAATTCGGCCCTCTGCCACTTGCTTTGGTCCAGGGAAGGATCATCGGCAAAATCTTGCCGTGGAAAGACCGTCAATGGGCCAAAGACGGCCTTCTCAAAATAGACTCATAATATAACACTCAGCCACTACGATTCATCATTAAAAGATAAAAGATATCCAACTACATACACACATAAGGAGGGGCACACGGCATGGTTGTACCAAGTAACGCATAGCATCATTAAAAAGTCCAGTCACCAGCATCTAGATAGACAAACGTGGGTCAAACAGGCGAGCATTTGGGTGTCAAGCGTGTAAAAATATCCTTGTCTAAGTACATCTGCTTCGCTCAAACCCTAGCATCTCAAGTCCACCCTCGTCATTGTGTTTGTTGTTTCTACTTTCATTCCAACAGGCATGCTGAACCGGCCGCAGTTCTTGGCTGCGTAATATGTTTTGTACAAAAGAAAAAAAAAATGAAATGAGAAAAAGAGAAGAGAGAAGAGAAGAGAAAAGCCAAACATCCGTCATCTTAGGAACATGGCACTTTGTCTTCCATGCCCCCCAGAATTGCCTTTCTCCTTCGGATGATGTTATACGACATCGTGGTCGTCTTCGTTAAACGGACATCTTTTGAAATAGCACACGACCTCGGGGAATTCTTCGCTAAGTAGGGAGGTGAAAGTACCAAAGCAAAAAAAAAAAAAAAAAAATCTCAAGTCAAAAAAAGCCGCGGAAGCAAAAAGGGAGGAGGGTTAAAACCGCACAGGCTTCTTCCCAGGAGAATTTCGAAGCTCGGATGTGAAGGCAAAGAGCCTCATGGCTTAGTCTGGAACAAAAAAGCTTGAGACGCCTAAAACACCATCGCCCTCGCCATGCCACGCTGATCCTCCTCGCAATCTAGTTTACGGGATTTAAAGCAACACTTGCAAAAGTCAAATACCATCGTTCTCGTGGGATCGGGAAAAAACAAAACCAGGTCGGACCATTTAGCCTTCGATGTGTGCCTTTGATTGGCTGCTCTGGCCCAGGAGTTCGAGGCATCGCTGCGCCAGGTTGATAACTTCTCCTTCGTCTTCCTCCTCTGCTTCAGGGTCCGCTTCAACTTGGCGGTTGGCAATGCCTCGAATGTTTTCGATAATGTCGTCGGCCTTTCCGATCTGGCCAATCAGGGTCTTGTCTTCAGATTCGAACAGCTGCAGCAGTGTCCAGACAGCAATGTGCTGGAAGGTGGCATCGCCAGACTGCAGGAATCGGCACAGGTATCCGTGAACGCCACCGTTGGGCTCGTTCCAGTTCTGGACGAAGATAGAGTAGTCACCAACTGATGATCAATGTTAGCTTGACAAGGCCAGGGAATGATAGCCAAGTAGCAGCGATTGCACACTCACCTTTAGAAGACAGGTTACCCAGGGCAGCAGCACTGTTGCCCTGCACTTCGATGCTCTCGGAGTGGGTAAGAGGAATCAAGACGTCGCACACTCCCAGGTTCAACAGGTGGGACTTGAGGTCGTCGCTCAGGGCAAGGACAGCAATGGCGGCTGTCATTTCCGATTGAACGGTAACGGGAACATCCAACACCAGTTGCTTGCACTTCTGCACCGCTCCGGCTTCCAACACCAGCGCCTTGTTGCGATCCGAGCTGGCAGCCAGGTTTCGTAGCGTTGAGATGGCGTGGCACTGGATTTCTTCGTTATCGGTGGAGCCCAGGAGATCAACCAGGGGCTTCAAGAAGTTGGCTTCGATGATTGGGGACTCGTTCATGGGGTGGATGGAGATGTTGCGGATACAGGCGACGGCGGAGAGGATGAGGGGGAGATATGATGACTGAAGGAGGCGCAGAAGTGGGTGTAATCCGTTGGCTCGTACAATATCCAGCTGATACTTTTCGTCCGAGGCCAAGTTGCGGAGAGCCAAAGCGGCCTGGCATTGTACCTTGGGCGAAGACGAGTCCATGAGATTTACGAGGGACTGGACAAGCTTTGGTTCTGAAGAAGCCAGTTTCCGCCTGTTGTTGGAATCAACGGCAATGTTACTCAGAGCGGTCGTACAATAGTATTGGACGTCGACATCTGGAGAAGACAGAAGCTGGACAAGGACGGGGATGGCGCCGGCGTTGACCAGCTGTTGCCGGTTCTCGTCTATTGTTAAGGTAGATTCGGTTAGCCCGAGTACATGTCCCTCCGCACCAACAAAAAAAAAAAAAACATTCGAAAGCAAAATGAATTTTGTTTAAAAAAAAAAAAATACGCACCAGAGTGTGTCATGTTTAGAAGAGCGCCGGTGGCATTCCTCTGAACTCGCATATCCTTGGACTTGGCCAGTCTGGTCAAGGGACCCAAAGCCCCTGACCGGGCAATCTTGGCCTTGTTCTCTTCGTGCGTAGCCAAGTTTGTGATGCATCCTACGGCATTGCACTGGACTTCGACATTTGGCGACAACATCTGTCGGATTAGAGGAGTCAAGCCGCCAAGCTGGACAATAAGGACTTTGTTTTCGGCTGTACATGCGCGCACACAGCAGTTAGAAACTTGCCCAGCATTGATGTAGAAGAACTCTCTTACTGTTGACCGCGAGGTTGCCAAGTGCTGCACTGGCTGCTCTCTGTACCTCGATATCGGGGCTCTGTAGCAGAAACAAGATGGGCTCGAGGGTATCGCGATCGACTTCGCGGACATCTACGTGGTTTGGTGTTAGCAAATGCGTCACCGCCCTTGCGTGGCAGCTCCGGAAGCCGCTGCGAAAGCTGTCCGGCGACGCGGCATACCTCGTTCTGTGATTTCGGCAAAGGTCAAACTGGCGCTGCGTTGTAGATCAATGTTTTCGGAGAAGACCAGCGTGCTCAGGGCTCGGAGTGGTTCGCCAGAGAAGAAGTCGGTCTCGCCGCGCTGCAGACGGGGGGAGAAACAAGGTCAGCCTCAAAACACAACAAGGAGAGAGGAATGACGGCCAACAGCATCGGCCATCATCATCGCCATCAAAGCCGTGGATGGACGCACGTTTTCGAGATACTGGAGAAGGTCGGCAACTGCCTCTCGCTCGCTGTCGGCGAGAGCAGGCTCGTAGAGGCCATCGCGGGCTCGCCCTAGAAGCACGGAATCGGCCGTCAGCAAAAGGCGACGAAAATCAGGGCCGGCGCCAAACTCACCTCCGCAGCACGTCGAGTGGCAAATACCCATGGCGGCAACGGCTGGGGCTCTTGGTCGACTGTAGAGCGGGCGGGCGCAGAGGATGGAGGGAAGAGAGAAGACGGGCGGAAATTGATGTTTTGGGCGGTTCTTTGTTGACGCTGCTGCTGTGCTTAATAGGCGGTGGTGATGGAGCTGCTGCTACCGCTAGCGGCACCTCTAAATGGGCACAGCTACGGCACCTAGCCTAGTCACGGAGCCAAAGTACCTCTGCTGGGAGTGGATGGCGCTAGGGTACTTTTGGGCGAGTACCAGTACCGGTCTGGGCCACGGCAACGGGAGCGTGACGAAAGGGCGGGTCCTCGGGGCAGTTGCTTTTGTGCTTGGGCTGGCTGGGCCACTAGAACTAAAGGCGCTGCAGTGGAATACTTGTACTGGGCCTTGTAATTGTCGATAGCAGCAGCAGCAGCCTGCAGAAGTCGAGTAGTAATTGGATGCCCGCTGTATCGCCGTCTGGCTCAATGCTGGAGGCGCGTGCAGAGCTGGTCTCGCAGCACAACAACAAAAAGACGTGCTGGAAGCAGGAGAGGGGGCGGCGAAATGGGCAAGAAGAATCGGAGAAGCGATGCGGTGACGATGCAGCGATGCCCTTTCTTAAGATCCGATCCAAGGAAGAAGGAAAAATAAAAGAAAAAAAGGGCAAGGGCTGGAAGGGACTGCTGCTGCATAACGACCTGTTAGGCACTTTTTGGGTTGCAGGGGGCGATGGAAATCGTCAGAAAAAGAGAGGAGAGAGAGAGACATGGGGAGAGGTCGGGCCTGTGACGGATCGCCATGAAGTTCTGTGTACTTTTAATTACGCATGGCAACAGGGCTGTCACCAGGTACAGTCGACTACGCATCCCCCCAAATCATCTTCACCTCCCCCATGCTAGGCCTTGCCAGGCGGTCCTCCTGCTTGGGCGCCTTTGGGGATAGTACGGAGCCTGCTGGCAGCACTAAGGCATGAGTCAAGGGCTCAGATAGGCGGGCTCTGGCGATAATGGCTGGCCCACTTGCGGTAAGAGTACGCGCCTGACTTCGTACATACATGGACGGGGACGTTTACGTTTATAATGCCTGGATGAGGATGCCCAGATGGGGTCTTGACAGCAGCAGAGTTTGGATCTAGCAGGCTGAGTGTGGTGCTGTATTGCTGTATCTGCTTGTACATACTTGGACGGACTGTCGATAACGTCGCATCAGGTTCCCAGATGGGGCTCTGGACGGTCATCAGGCATCCATCGGTTGGTGATGGCGAGACTACATGCTATGTACATACATACGAACGGAGCATACGTGCGTGCATTGGTGTGTTAGTGACTATTGGTGAGCGGCATGATATCGATGAAACAAACCATGCAGCCCATTGTTGTACAAGATATGCTGCATATGCACAACAGAACAGCAAATGCTCTCTCTCCTCTCCTCTTGTCTCCTCCTGTCTCCTCCTGTCTCCTCCCGTCTCCTCCCGTCTCCTCCTACATAGCACTTCAAGGCTCCCGTCCCAAGCAAATCGTCCATTGGCCTGTTGACCGGCCGCATCTTCTGAAATCTCTGCTCTGCGGCATGATTAAGTGCTCGGGATCCTACGTGTTCACGCCATGCCATACAAAGCACAGCCTATGCAAGCAAGGGTCTCTGCCAAGTGCCGTCTCATTCGCAGCGCTCGGGGCCTGATGAGCAGCTAGCCAGCAGAGCACCGCATCGATTGGAGGGGAGGCTCCGCAAACCACGTATGTAATGGCACAAGTATGTATGTACACAAGCGTGTGCGCAGTCCGTCTGCGTTCATCAATGCAGCGCAGCCAGCTCGGCTGGGCCCTGCGAGTCCAGCTGTCATGGAGCCCATTGGTGCGCGCAGCCGTTTTTCTGATTTTTTGTGGTAAAACGGCGGCTACGACGATAATGGCGGATGGGGCGAGCCACCGTGATGGCCGAGAAAGTCATTGCAATTTGTCAGAGTTTTTTTCTCCGACACGCCATGCGTAGAAACATGCGTACATACATGCGTATACAAGCACACCGATAGTCTCACGTTGAAGCGCATACATGCACTCCAATGGTGCTCGTATGTCGGCTAAAATATTCGGGGCATGTTCGCGAGCCAAAAAGGCGGAGGTGCGCAATCGCCAGATGAGGTGGGCTTGGCGGTCGAATGTTGGCTGCACCGTGTGACCACTAAGTTTATGGATGTAGGTACCTGGACGTTCTTGTTGGTCGTCTGCTTTCCGCTAATGGCACAATCAACGTGGTCACACAATACGAAGTCGTGGGCAGCGAGAAAACAATGATACTGCTGAAGGTGCCGCTGAATCAAGCCGTTGTTGGGCTGATGTTGTATACCTACCTAGCACTGTACCCATATCTGGCTACCCTGGAGACCCTCCAAAAAAAAGTTGCGATAAGCCCCAAATATGACTTCATGCGACATAATCGATAATTGCTGTACCCCAAGAAACTAAAGCACCGCACCCTGCATCATCATGGATACATACATACATGTAATCAATCCTACTAGGTATCTTATCGCTGCTACGGGAGCGGGATGGCGTGCTGTGCATAGATCAGTCAGCATGCGGCTGCGCGGAACGACATCACCTCACTTTGGGCCCTGCAGGAATACGAGTATTCACTACTTAGTGGATGGAGGCTTTTAAAAAGAAAAGAAAAGAAAATAGAAGAAGACCATCAAGGGTCTGAGGGTCCCACGATGAATCCGGCATGGTGACGTCAGAGAAATCGGCCATGGTTCAATGGCGACTCGTTACGGGCGTAGGAGGAACTGGCTCTGTCGGATATCAATTGCGTATAAGTGATAGAAGCATGAGCCTATAACGATATCGGTGGCTTTTTTGGCCTCGATTAGGGCAGTCAATCGCCATGTAGCCGGGCACAATGTGAGAGCAACACTCAATGTCCAATGCTTGAAATGTGTGGCTTTATATGTAGTTACAATTGTACACCTCCCAAGGTAGAGACTCTGGGGCATACCTTGGTGCTCTATCCACTTCATGTTCAGAGTGTCCATTCTGACGAAGAGAAGAAGCGATTTCAACGGTGACGGTAGGCATCCACCAACCAAAGAGATGCTGAAATAAGACATAGAAAAACTTATAAAAAAAAAAGCATCTTCCGTATCAACGCTACCAGGCAATTGGAACGAGCAAAAACAAAATACCGCGTCCAAGACCACGCCACTTGTCTCGGATTAAACAAGTCCTATTAGCGCTGTGGCCCAAATATTTGCGCGGAATGGAATAGCCGCAGCCGCCGCCTCAGAATGTACAGGTAATCAAAAAGTTGATGGAGATCTGCCAGAGGGCTGCCCGTTTCGTCCAATTTCGCATCTAACATGACAATTAATGTCCGTGGCGTCCAAAAACACCAAAACACCAAGCCTGCCGCATGCAAAATACATCGCCGCCGACTTACGAGCCCTCGCCTTTGCAGCAAGCCGAGCTGACGCAATCTGACCGTTTCTGGGGCGCGCCTCTTCAGGGCCTGTGAGACGCTGGAATGGAGGGAAATGCAGAGGCCGTTAGCGCTCAGCTGCCGGCGGCGCAGCGGCCAGTAGCAGCAGCAACAATCCCCGCACCGGCTGCTGCTGATAGCGATAGCGGGAGTGGCAGTGGGAAGGGCGATCGAGCTTTGGCAGAAGCAGCTGAAGCCGCAGAAGCAGCAGCAGTAGTAGTAGTAGCAGCAGCAGCAGCAGCAGCGCCATCTGAATCTGCATCTGGGCCAGGCAACGACAGCGAAAGCAACAGCAACAGCAACAACAACAACAACAACAACAACAGCCGGTTTGCTGCAGCGTCGACAGCCGGAATAGCATCAGCATCAGCAGCATCAGCGCCGGCACCGCCCTCTGCATCGGCATCGGCATCACCGCCAGCACCAGCTGCGGCCGCATCAACCGTCGCCGCGCCCAGACCCGAGCCGGAGCCCAAATCTGCATCTGCATCTGGCCTCGCATCATCACCATCGCCTGCATCTGCATCTGCGTCCCGCAACAGCCCCGACGCCGGCTGCGACGAGGCTGATTCCGCCTCTTCCTCTGCGACGACTCCCGCGCCGGGCCTCAAGCAGCAGCGCCCGACCAGCATCGCCTTGCCGCCCTTTGTCGCCCCGTCGTCGTATCTGCGCTCCAGCTCCCTCTCTGGCGGCGTCATGGCCGATGCGCCAGACCCCAAACCGCAATCGCTGAGTCCTCTCGACAAGGAGCAACGACAAGGCCTGGTGCGTCTCGCCGTTTGAGCTTTCTGCTTAGTTGCACTGCCATTCTATTCCATTCCTCAGCGCCGGCATCAAACACAGACAGCGGCAACCTGCTTGCGGGTGATGCTGTGCTTCCTGATGATCCCGAGACTTTCCCTCCGCGCCCAAATCTATCCAATGCATCTCTCCAAACCACCATTCATGTGCACATCTGCCATTGCTTTTCCTCCAGCCGCCTGCTGACCAGATATCTCTCCCTCTCCAGATAGCAATCCGAGACTTCCTCCGCAAGCGCACCAGCTACGATGTGCTTCCGCTGTCGTTCCGCCTCATTGTGCTCGACACCGATCTGCTGATCAAGAAGAGCCTCAACATCCTGATCCAGAACTGTAAGCAAAGCAAATGAAGAAATTTCGGGATTATCTGGCCAGCTCTGCCATGCCCCGCGCTCTTCCCCCGCGCTAGCTGGGCGCCGGCATTGGGCTGGCTGTTGGGTGTCACGATGCTGACAAGCGAGTCTCCTCTAGCCATTGTATCTGCCCCTCTATGGGACTCGCACGCCTCGCGGTTCGCCGGCATCTTGACCGCGACTGATTATATCAATGTGATTCAGTATCACTGCCAGTTCCCCGACGAGATGAACAAATTGGACCAATTCCGCCTGAGCAGCTTACGAGGTGAATATCCGCCCCACCCAGCACTGTTGCACTTAAAAGGCTGACCATGATGGTAGACATTGAAAAAGCAATTGGAGCAACCCCCATTGAATCTGTTTCTGTCCATCCTTCGAGACCGCTCTACGAAGCTCTTCGACGCATGCTCAAGACCCGCGCACGAAGAATTCCCCTTGTCGACGTTGATGACGAGACTGGGAGAGAGACTGTCGTCTCTGTCATTACCCAGTATCGAATCCTCAAATTCATCGCGGTCAATAACGAGCACAATACCATTCTACTCAAGAAGACGCTTCGCGAGCTTCATCTAGGGACATACACAGACATCGCCGTTGCGCGCATGGCATCCACAGTTCTCGAGGTTATTGACCTCATGGTCAACAGGAATATTAGCTGCGTGCCCATCGTTGACTCCGAAAATAGAGTCCTCAACGCATTCGAGGCTGTGGATGTCATTCCCTGCATCAAAGGAGGGGCTTACGACGACCTGAATGGGACTGTGGGCGAGGCGTTGTGCAAAAGACCGGAAGACAACCCAGGCATCTTCACGTGCAGCGAAGACGATAGGCTGGATTCTATTTTTGACACTATTCGCAAGAGCCGCGTACACAGGCTAATCGTTGTGGATGACGAAAATAAGCTCAAGGGCGTTATTTCACTTTCCGATATCCTCAAGTACGTATTGCTTCACGACGAAGACGAGACCGCTGAGTCATAAGCCCCTCTTTTCTATTTATGGTACATTGCACGATGGCAACGAGAGAGACTATTTACTGGAGAAATGGGTTGGGGATACGGAGGCTTCAAGGGATGCATCTGGTGCGGCGTACTCGTGATTTAATGACGATGAGGAGAGGCATGCCAGGAGAGCTGCTACGATTCTGCTATATATATTTCACCCCCTTTTAATTGTTTGAACTACTGATAGAATGCTGGAAGGTAAGTTTCTTTTCGCTTTCTATGGGCCACTACTTCACTATTTTCAGGAGGTAGTCGGCGACTTGTTGGGTAGAAATTGAGTCAAACTTTTGAACCTTGTAGAATGAGAGAGTTTTAAGCTGGGATAGCTTCAACCTATATATTTTGTGTTACACTTTTTTTTCTTCTCTGACTTTTATTTGACCGAGGCGTGAGTTACCTGGGCACTGACTCTATTCTAGCTCTTTCGTATTACTTTGTGCCCTCAAAATAAGTTCAGCCTGCTCCACGTGCGATAACTTCAGGGCCAGTATTACCGAGATCAGTATTGCCGAGATCTCTCAGGATCCAATTTATGCTTAAGTAGCACCAAAGCATAGGCCGGGACCTTCCTTTAGCTTTGCAGCATTTACTGTTGAGCACCTACTGAATAGGATGCGTGGACCTACAAGGCTTGTACCTGATACAGTTTATTTCGAACCTTGCTTGGGCTTTCCTTCTGCCTTGCCATGAGACTCGAAATCATGTTTAAGAAGCCACGAGCCCTTGATTTTGGACACTTCTTTACAACGTACAACTTGAGAAACCGGAATATATATCTTCTAGATTCACGAGGCTGCTCTGGTTGAGGCATCAAATTATCCCACCCCGTTTGGCTACATTTAGACAAGCATCGCTAGCCCATTTTCTAAATCACTGGCTCGTTGAATGATCAAGGGCTCTATCGTAGCCCTCTCCGCCTCTCACCATGGAGCCCCAGTTCAGATCGTCGGCATCTCAGCCTCTAAACCGCCACCCAAAACACTGTTTGCAACGACGAGCCTGTATTCGACGGAACCAAGGACGACCAGCGTCTATCAACCTAGTATTCGCGATTCCTCTCGATCCAGACGTTCAAGCATTACTTGATGTACGTCCACACGACCCCAACGGCTGCAAATGGACAACAAGCAGTGAATCACTAGCCTTCTCTAGTGAAGCCGACGAGGACCAAGTTCGGGCGGCGTTTTTAGACGAATACAACAGTCTGGCAGAGCAGGTATGGGAAAATATACAAAGAGAATGGGTCGAATTATGACTAACAGTTATTAGCATGGAGTAAGATCGATTGTCGCTGGTGACACTACCTTTGACCCTTCACAATGGGTAAGTAATGTATCGCCTTATAGAGTTGATTAATGTTTTCTGATATTTTTGTCCTTATAGGAAAGCATAATTCCCAGTCAGAAGCATGGATGGCTGCATCGAATCTTTCATGGAGCGTCCGGCCAATTAGCACCTAATAGGCTGGATCCAGCATCACGAGCTTTGTACAAACGGAGCGTCTCAGACTTGGGGCACCTCCGCTCTAGGACAGAGATGTACAAGCCAGTTGATATTCCAGACATGGTACGGCTGACTAGGGAAAGCGTGCTACGTCTGCCTCCGGAGTACGCCCCCTTCCCGTTGGTCTTACCGACGAGCATACGTGCCAGTGCACATTATATTGCTCAGAATGCCAATACCCGGGGTCTATTTCGAATACCCGGCTCCGAAAAGGTCGTCAAATCTCTCGTGGAGTACTACTATTGCCACGGCTACTATAGCACTGTTGTGTCTGGAGTCTGCCGCTCTACCTTGCCGACCCACATTCCATACACAATCCACGATGTGGCTTCCACGTTCAAGCGCTTCCTATCCCTCATGCCAGGAGGCATCTTGGGATCTTTACCACTGTTTGAAATCTTTGTCGAAATCCATTCCCGGCTAAATGGCCCATCTGAGCTTTCAAGCACTAACCGCGACAAGGTTCGTGCACGACTTATAGCACTCGCCATTGAAACCATCGAGTCACGGCTTCGGCGGCCTCTAATTTGCGCTGTCTTTGGCTTGCTGAATTTGATCGGAAGAATTGCTGAACTATCGCCAGACTGTGACGGCCGGTCTGTCCCGGCTAATCATCAACTCATGGATTATAAAGCTCTTGGAATTTGTTTCGGCCCGCTGCTAATTGGGAATCCTTGCGAGCGCAATACGATGAAGTCGGCCACTTCAACCTCCGGCCTGCTTCCTTTTTCATTGTCTTCAAAGCGGCATCGTCGACAAATGCTGAAAATGAACAAAGAATCCAAAGCTGGATTCTCAGAAGTGAAGAATGTCATGCTTGCAGGTAGTGTTGCCGAGATGCTTATTACTTATTGGCGAGACGTGGTTCATGAGATGAATGACTTGAATACAAGTGCTCGCCATGCTTTGTCATCACTACGGATGTCTTCATCCGTTTCTGAACCATGCATAACTAGCCTTCTTGTGGATTCGGATGTTTCTACTGTAGCAGATTCTGAAGATCGAGTCGATCAAGACGACAGCCCTGAGCCGAGAACTCCTACGACAGCGCCCAGGAGGGAAAGATCATGGCAGTCAAGCCGAGCAAGTGGCAGAGAATTATCTACCAATCTGGCCTACATACACTTGAGCCCAACTTTGGAACAGGGCAGTCTGGAAAAAGCTTGTTCTAGCCCTGAATTTTTTCCTACAGTACCTGCTGGTGCAAATACTCAGCCAGCTGCGACGAGTGGCCGGAAGGCTACCCCGGTTTCTTGCTCATTGTCTCGCTCAGGCGCCATCCGACGAATGGGTAGTACTCCTCTGACACATTCGTGCAGCTTTCAAGAGACTACTGGGCTATCAGCTGAAGATGCTCCCGATGGCTTTACTCAGAGTATGTCCATGGGTGCTATCCCTCCGCGCATATCTTCCCGTGACAGCCGCCATTTTGGGGTCTCCACAATGTCGCCGACGTTTGAAGCTGAATCGAAAAATATGAATAATGACCAAACAACGTTTGTAACTGTACGCGAGGAGCCTGTTGAGGAACCAATTCACCCAACCGTTAGATCTCCTTTGTCGGAGAGGCTGCGCGAAAGAGGAGGTGCGTTTAAGAATCTGCTTACTCGCAAGCAGCCAAACCGCCCTTTTACTTTACAATCTCGGCCATTGGAGCGTGAAGCTTCCATGAGTCGTCGTCAGTATCGTCTCCTGCCACCACTTTTTTCAGATGAGGAATTGGCTGGTGACTATGACCTGCTAGGTACCGAAGAACGACCTCGGTACCTGGTAGACTTGGCTAAAAATCATCCTCCCATTGAACAAGACCAGGGGAATAACGAAACCAGATTACCGAAATTGATCTCTAGGGGCAATATGCGCAAATAGCATTTCGAGGGTAAAACCCCTACGAAGCGGAGGTCTGTCAGGGCTTTGGCAGCAATGTTTGAGGGCCAATACGATTCTTCTCCTCCTTTGACTCGAAAGACTTGGACAGGCGCAGAGTCAAACGATGTTGCCGACTGGGTGGAAGGGAATGGTCAAGATAGGCCGACGTCTCTTTTCATACAGAACAGCCCTCCAAAATCTTTACGTTCGGCTACGACTCTGCATACCCACGCCGAAGCTCCTGGGGACACTGAGACGGGTGGGGTGGCGGGTGGAAAATACAGTCCATCTTCAAATACATGGTCAATGACTCCTCAGAAGCACGATACACAGCACTCATTCAGTAGCAACAGCAGCAGGCAGCGAGATACGTCTACAGTTGCATGTGAAAAGGGCACGCAAACCAATATGACTGATGATGAAGCAATGCCGCAGTCGGTATCCTCTTCTACACAATATAGCTTGGCGGATCACTTGGCCGTAATAGGGGGCGGACTAGTTTCACGTCCAAGCGGCTCTACTACTACTGCTAAAATAGAGGATGCATCTCTGCCGTCGGGTGAGGAGTCGTCGGCGAGGATGATACTGCTCGAGGCGCAAGTGCAGCAGTTGAAAGAATACGACATGTCAGCGCTGCGTAAACAGCTGCAAGACGCAAACAGTGACTTGGACAAATGGAAAGAGAGAGCCTTGGCCGCTAAGAGAAAGTCGAGGCTTTTTCAAAAGTTTACGACGAGGGTCAGACGCCTTCACGGCTCTCTCATGATTGATAGCTCACGGCACAGCGGATGTGACGAGTCGGCTGTTATAGAGGAGAGTGATGCGGAAGGATCCTATCTGATTCATAGCGTTCGGTTCAACAAGGCCCTTGAGGGTATTCAGAGAGGAGGAGGAGGAGCCCATATCTCTGCAGACCAAGAGATCAGAGGTGTAAAAGACGGGGATGTCGTTGCGACGAAGATGTTGCAGAGTTTGTATTCCGACGTGAGTACGATGGCGGGTTCGTCACCTGGTGATTCTATGACCATGGCTACTGGTGACGGTGAAGCGCTACTACTACAGGGTATGGATGGTGTGGCGAGTCCCAAGGACGATGGGGAAATGACAAAGTTTCGGCTTGCGTTTGTGGAGCTGTGGATGGCTGTGCAAGAGTTGTTGCGGATGGAGGACGAGGAGGCGGCGTCGTCGTCTCAACAGTCGAGCACTTGTTTTGAGCATGAGAGTTTTTCAGAAGATTAGTATTTGTAGTTTGTTTGTTTATTTGCTTATTTGTTTGGGTTGATCGGATGGATGGATGGATGGATGGATGGATGAATGGATAGATGGATGTAGTTTTATAGTACAGATTCAGGTTGAATTGTGATTCGAAAAAAATGTTGTTAGCATGCAATAGTTTTAGGATAGAGAGTCATGATCTATTTCGTCATGATATATCTCGTTTTTCTTTTACTCCTTTCTTGACAATTTACTATTTATATCTACTTTTCTCTTTTCCAACGCTTCATGTCCATTTAATCTTCTATCCTATTCTTAGTACTGCAAATTCCTCTCATTCAATTGCCATCTCGCGGAACTGGGTGCTCTCTTACCACTAACAAGGAGCGCCAGGCCGCCGTGCAATCCTCCACCTCCCTGCCGGGTCCAGATTCATATTGACTTGCATTCTCCCAATACCATCCACAACCGCGTTGAGCGCCTGAGCATCGACATCCTCTGGACTCCGAGCATATCTGCTGCCGCTGCCGCCACTGGCTCTGTTTTGGGGTCTTGGTATGGGACTCATAGGTGGAGACAATGCCCAAGAAACGCCCTGACGGAGGGTAGGCTGAGAGTCGGCGACGGAGAGGGGGGATTCAGGTCGTTCGAGTTGGGAGGTTGGTGGTGAGGGGAGAGAAGTTGCGGCTTGGGTAGAGTATGTGGACATGTTGGTGAATGGGGGTGGAGAAGACGACGAGTGAAAGCTGGAGCGAGGTTGAGCTGAAGGGATGGCTGTAAAGGGGTGGATGCGAGGTTCTTGCTGTAATTCGAGTGGCGAGTCAAAAGGGTTGGTGGTGGATGGCGAGTGACCATGAACGAGACGGAACATGTCTTCTTCCTCGGAAGACGGGGAGCCAACTTCGAAGTCGGAGTAGTAAGACCCTGGCATTTGGTTGTAGCCGGGAGGGATGGCGGTTGAAGGCATTGAGGAAGAAGAAGATTGCTGAGTAGATTCATACTGATGCTGTGCAAGCGGAGGAGAAGGAGTAGGAGGATCGTAGGGGATGAGATCCAGCCACTGCTGCTGGCGGTGATGTTGCCAGTCTCGTTGGCTGGAAGACGAAGCAGAAGAATCGGAGTTATTGTTGGAAGAAACGCGAACAGGAGACGCAGTGCGATGCAGACGGCCAATAGACAAACGACGATGCGGTACAAGCGAAGACGACGGAGTTGCTACATTTGGTGGTGGTTCAATGAGTTTTGGCGCGGGCCAGACCATGGCGATTCGCGGTTGGTGCTGGGGCTCGTAGTTGTGGAGCGACGAGACGCCGTGGCCTGGCTGAACCCGTCAGTTTTCGGAGACGAAGATATCCTTGTGGCGGTGGGTGAGTTCGGCGACGGCGGAGCAGAGGGCCATGTCTGGATGAGGGATTTGCGTTAGCAACAAGTTGGTTTGATGGAACGGAGTCGTATGTTCATTCTCGGTGGAATGGGGGACACTTGAGGGCAGACGCACCAACTCCAGAGCCGACGTCACGCGTGCTGAGGGCCTTGATGGACAGGTCTGGGTTGACTTTGCCAATGATCTGGGCGGCATTGCCGTTGGCGAGGTGGGAGTCCTGAGAGAGAGACTGTCAGTGTCGGTATCAAATCACGGCTAATTGCAAAGAGCCATACGCGGTTGAGGAGAATGGTGACGACTCCATCGGCGTCAATGGTGGCCTGGTCGCCGCGCAACTGCGTGACTTTGCCGACGATGGTGACGGTGCGGCCGACGAAGCTGTCGAGGTAGGCGGCGGTGATGCGGGGGGTGGACATTTGCTCAGCCATGGTTGGCGATGATGGTGTTGCTGCTTTGAGGCGTGGTTGAAGCGGTGTTTGTGTGCCTGCAGGGAAGTAGAGCTGGAGTAGTAGCAGAATAGGTAGGTAGTAACCAGATCTTTGAATCCAAGAAGAAGAGAAACAGTTGCAAAAGAAACAGTGCCTGTGCGTGTGTTGTGGGATGCTCAGCTCAGCTCAGCTCAGCTCAGCTACGATCACGAACCCCTCAACGCGGTGACACGAGCCTTGCGGTCGCGCTGAGATCGCGAGATCAGGTGACACAGCACCAAGGCGCGTCACGTGCGGCAGCTTAGCTACTGACGGGTCTCCCTGGCCTCCGAGATGGTAGCGCTACCGGCTATACCGGCTATAGCAGTGGTCGGCTCTTAGCACCTCTAAGTACGAGTACATACCCTGATTACCTAGTACTAGCCTACTAGCACACTACGATGGCAACTCTATCACTGCCTTGTCGTGGCCCTTGGTCGCCTCAATCTTGACGCCCCAGGACCTCCAGAAAGCTTGAGCTTGGGAGCTGGGAACAAGTGGGAGTGGCAAAAGACTTTCAGCTCCCACCTTGTGATTATCGTCTGATGCTCGCCAATTGCCCACCGAGTTGGCCGAGACGAACCGCGGGCGGCCAATGGCCAGCCAGCCTGAGCGCATCGCCTCCCACGGGCTTTGATGGCTTGTCGACGGCCAGGATTCGTCACCGGCGGCTCGGTTCCCAGACATGGTGCTGTAGATCATGACCCAGGCTGGGATGGATGGATGGATGGATGGATGGATGCTGTGCGTGCGTGGGCCGCGTGAAAACTGACTTGACAGCGAGCCTCTTCTTCTCGCAGATATCAGCAGGGACAAGGAATGATTGCTGGATGCTGCTACTACCGACTACATACCGGTACTTGCCTGTCAGTCCGGGCGATCCAGCCCTTGGGGCTTTAGACCCGGCGCGAGATATCGGATGCGTGTGTTTTGCTTTTCCATTCGCCGGACATCAAACACACAATATGCACACACACCTGTTCGTACATGACTGGCCTGGACCGCAGTTTTCTCCATTCCGCATCCAACCTGCCCAAGGAGAAAACAGCTCGCCTTACCGTGTGAGCTCTTGCCGGCCTGGAAAGCTTTCCCATTCCCCCAAAAAGGTGGGACACCCATCATCTCGCCCGACGGCACCAGACTCCCGCAAACCTGCGTCTCGTCGTGCTGCTCCATGATTGGTGCCCTCCTTTGATAACGTTTAGGTAGCATTGGCGCCGACCTACGCCAGGCACTGGGGCCGGAAGCATTTCTCTCTCTGCCTCTTTTCTTTTTGCTTGCCCTCGCATTTTCCCTCGGAGAGCCGAAGAGTGTGGGAGAAGGTCCTGATAGGATGTCTCTCGAGTTGAGCCACAGAAGCTTGTCCTGTGTAGAACGGAATGCTACCGAAGGGATGTGGGCGAGAGGGCCAATTGGAAGAGAGCGAAGTCGGCGTCGGGACGGGATCCCACCTTATACTAGACTTTGTAAAGTTCGCTTCTCTTTTTTGTGACTTGTAAGTGAGACCCGGCTGGGCTTACAGAAGGAGGAGTTTTTGCTGCTGTACTTCGTATCAGCCTCGGCTCTGCTTGAGTCTCGGCGCCGTAAGATGTTCTTTTTCTTTTTTTTTTTTTTCACCTAATTTCGGAGCCCGCGGCTCATGAAGGCCCAAAAGCTGTTTGTCATATTTATTTGATCAATCTTTTTAACCTTGATGGCTTTTGCCAATGCCTTGGCAGAATTGCCGACCGACTTATATTCAGTGGCTTACATCGGAGAAGGCTGTCCGGGGCCTGCAATAATAATACCAGACTCTGGGTATCACAGTCTTAGCTTGAAAACAGAGTGTGCTCAGTTGCCTGTCAACGGACATTGCCCCTCCATATTGATGCTAACATCACGGCAAAGGCGAAACTAGAGCTGCAACAGTCCGGAAAAGGGCTGATGGGAAAACAAAGGGTTCTGTCGCCGTAGTGTAGGAATTGGATGCCAAGAACAAAATGGTGGTATGATCGACTGATGGAGTGTCATATTTGCCATCGTTAGCCCATTTTTCAATCAGCCAATCTGGACGGTCGTTAGAGTTGCCACGATCTGCCACTCTTTTTTTCTCAACTCCATGTTACAAACGAAACGAGCAAAGAAGCTTTTGTGTCGTGTACTCACGCTCTGGTTGTTCTACTGTTCTTCCTCAGCGTTGAGTAAGCCAAGGCTACTTTCGGATACATGGCCTGGGCATAAACCAACTATCAATCAGTCGAGACACAAGAGCTCCGCTTTCGTTATGCTCAGCTCCGTCCCATCCTCAGGAACGCCCGCTTGTTAAACTTCAATGGAGCTGTCTAGCGGCTGAGAAGCTGTCGGGGGAATGCCCCAGAATATGGATGACAGAGGGACCGGCGCCTACGGCATTGGAGAGGAAAAAAAAAAAAAAATCTAATCCGCTTCAAAGTAAAGTTTATAGTAGTCGAGCTTCTCCCTCCCGCTGTTTTGTTACTTGGCCCTTTTGTGGCAGCACATGCTAAAAGGCTAAAAACCTGCTTTGTTTGAAGGCAAAGCCGAAGCATATACCCAGTAGCCAGGGGAGCCATGCCTCGAGTTCGAAGCAGGATGGAGCATCACCAAGCTTTTGTGGTACTGGTGCGCCACGACCAATTGGCGACGAGAGAAGCCTGGCAAACCAGAGACACCGGCATGTGAGTTGCGTGTCAGTGTGCATAATGAGCACAAGGTGCCACTGCTTCATGCTCGGCGCTGACCAGGGGTGTGTCTGCCCGTGATATGATGGGGAGCTGCATGGACGATGCCCAGATATTGAATTGTTGCCTGACGGACGGGCCTGGATCTCGGCGAAAAGCTGCGGGTGCATTGACGGGAGGACCCTGTATCGCCCAGCCCGTTCGTCGAGCTCTCTTGCAGCAAGATGCACTATTTCTTGTTAGCTCGAGCTGCTGAAGCAAACGTCCTTGATGTCCTGCACTTTGCTTTTTGCGACCCAGTCCAGACCAGCCTGGTCCAGCCCAATCCAATTTCAGCTCAACCGCCGTTTGTCTCGCTGCCCAAAGCTCGGGCTCTGCTGACTATTCACGCAAGAGGAATGGGCAGAGCGCGGAGATGGACTGGGCCGGAGGCGCAATCGTCTAGAAGCTCTATCGTTACTAGCCAGTCAACCACTCAGCCCAGTAAGCCAGAGCGGCTTCGGGGGGGAATAGACGAATGGCCGAGAGCTGTTAGAGGTTAGAGGGAACCTTGATAGTGGATAGAGAGGGACTAAACCTCAAGCTGCCTAGATGTCGAGGCGTGGCCAGCGGGGAGTGGGATGGTGGTGGAGAGGGGAAATGTTTGAAGTTGCCAGCCCGGCCCAGCACGGTTGAGGTGCAGAGCCGGTGGCGTAGCTGCTGTGGCTTGTTTCGAGGCCGCCCGTGGGCTCCAGCTGCTGCCGCAAACGGCCTCCCCCAGCACGCTCCAGGTGATGTGAGCGCCAAGAGGGGCCCCTATGGAGCTCCATCTGGCGCAGTTCCAGCCAGGCCAGCGCCGGAGCGGCCTCCCAAGGACAGGCCAAGGACAGGCCAAGAACAGGCCAAGACGTACATGCCAAGTACATGCCAAATGCCTAGCAGAGCCCCTGCGAGGCTCTACAAGACAAGACAACCTGCGGGCGTGGCGGCCTGTTGTGGGATGAGATGAGGGGACAACTGGAAGCTCGAGCCCAGGGCATGCAGCTGCACCTGCATGCACGCACTGCGCATTACAACGACTAAGGCAGGCAGCAGGTAGTCTAGCTGTTACAGCAGATGCGATTTGATGCCTGCTGGGCGCAGAGGGTTGCTGTGGTCCTGTGGGTGGGCGCGGTACAAGGGGGGTACCTGTGGGGGCCAAGATTCGGGTACCCTGTCAAGGGAAAATGGATCGGAGCTCGGATCGCGATCGCACTAAGCAGCAAGTTGCGAGAAGGGCAGAGATCGCCACAGAGGCCCAGGACGGCAGAACAAGGTTCAATTTCGCTCAGTGTCGCTGGGAATGCGTGAGTCAGACAGAGGAGAGGCGAATGGAGAGGAAAGGAGCGGGAATAGGAATAGATAGCGACTGGAAAAAGGACTGTAGTGAAACTGGGCATCTACCGCACCGACGAGGTACTCGCAAGCCATCGCGCATTGCTTAATCAAGGCATCTTTGCCACAGGGGCGTTTGTTTCTTAATTGCGTGAAGCGAGCCAATGAAGCCGATGGATGCGCCCAATTGGCTTGGGAGCGACACGGAATCGAATCCGGCGAGGGCTCCCTGCTTGTCTATTTGGCACGGCCGGTGCTGCGGTGCGACTCATATATAAAACGCTGGTGTGCTTGAACGGCTAAGCATGCGGTGCAAGGTGTAGGAGACGCACAGATTGTATGCTTGCTAGTGCGGTTGCCAGCAGATTACATAGATAATGCCTAGTAAATGTATGTTATAGCAGTTGAGGCATCATCACAGGCACAGGCATTGACCGAGGTAGAGCCTAGGCTAGGCAAGGCAAGGCCATCTTCTCTTCATGTCCACCGACCACTGTAGAAGCGTTGGTGAGCAGCAGCAGGCATTATGAGCCAAATGTCCTTTCAGCTCGAGGAAAAGCCAGAGGGAGCATGTGAACACTCATCGTTTGTCCCTAGCGGCGCGCCTCGTCCAAATTCTATCGCACTTTTTCTCGGTGTATACATGGCCGTAGTGCAAAGGCTAATCACCAGGTTACTTTTTGCGGCGCATCCATTGCTTGCGGTGCTATGCTGTAAGCGACTGTAAGCGGTTGCCAGTCTTAGACCTGATTGCATGCCTCCAGGCGGGCTCGATTGGCATTAGCACTGCTTGCGTGGCTTTTGCCGGGCAGGGCTATCCACTGCAGCGACGGCGGGCGCTGATTCGCCGCCTGTTGAGCAATGCGGCGACATGGCCTGCTATTCCCCTTGTGGAGGCATCCTGAGCCACGGCGCGCAGTGTATGTGTATCATGATTGCTGCTGCTTCTAGAGCGAGTGACAGCGGCCGATTAAAGCAGCCGGATTGCAACCTCCCAATGAGTTTCTCCATTGTCCTTTGTCCTATATATTTTTTTAATCTTGTCTTGCGGTGCTTCTTCTTCTTCCCTTCTTCTTTTTCCTCTTCCTCTTCCCGTTTCCAGTCTAGATTCGTGACTTTCTCTCCCGTATCAATCTCAGCTGGACGTCCATCCCTTTCTACAAGCTGCAACGCTGCGTGTAATAAATACCTAGGTACCTACATAATATTGCTGCCCGGCCTGTTTCTGCTTCCGTCAACCCGCGGCTTGGAAACGTGCATCGGCCGGTCCGCGAAGAAAATACCACTTGCGGCCTAAATCAATAATAATACGATAGCGCTGCTGCTACTGCTGCTGCTGCTGCTACTACAGCTACAGCTACAGCTACAGCTACAGCTACAGCCCACTGCTGCCACTCGCCATCGACACACTACCTCAGGTCGGCCTAGCAGTACTTGGCGGTACATACTTTGGCACCCACGGCCACCGACTGGACTGCTAAGGCCTCGCTGCGAATCCCACTTCGCCTTGGCTGCTTTTTATCGCCTGCCGCCCGCGCATTCATTCTTCCACTTCTTCCGTCCTTCTCTTCTGCGTCGCCCTCCACCCCATCCTCTCAATTGCAACAATTCATTTTCCTCCCAATCTCTCACGTCTCTCCCATCTCCTCGTCCGAATCGCACCAAACCATCCTCGTCGCCGTCGTCCTCGTCTTGTCCACCACCGCCAGCCGCCCTCGTTATCGTCGCCAGTCCGGCTGATCTGGATCTGCTCTGCCGAAGAGCTCCACCCCAGCTATTTTTGCAAACCTGCGACACGCCAGCTGCTGCGCTTCCCCTCTCCAGATCAGCGATCAGCCCCCCCTTGCTCCTGGATTCCCGTGCTACGGCCCCGCAGCGACGGCGCGAGCAACGGCTTTTGGAGAGCTCCAGCGACCCCCTCACCAGAGCTGCCAACGCCCCGGTTGTATCTGGGCCCGGACGCCAATTGATCCAACACCTGCTGCTCTATTTCTCGCAGCAGCTGCAACCGAGACACGGAAAAAATAAGTAGAAACAAAAAACGTAAAAGAAGCGAAACAGAAAGAGAAAGAAAGAAAAAAGAAAAGAAAAAGAAAAAGAAAAAGAAAGAAGGCGACAATGAGCGACAGTCCTGTATTCGCCGAGTACGGTGGCCTGGGCATCCACAACCTCCCAGGCCCGTTGTTCCCCTTCGATTTCTACAAGGAAGATCCCATAGCTGTCGATCCGGGACTGACGCTCTCTCCATACGCTACCTCACCAGACTCGCCATTTACCTCTCCAGAACCAATGCCATTGCCTTCGCCGCCGAGCTGCAATGAGTATTTCGCCGACCACAGAGACAGCATTGGCAGTCTCGACACAACAACCATAGCCCCTCACGAGACTGTCACTAACACTGTCGCCGTCAAAAACAGCAGTCACGGCAGCCACAGCAACAATGCCAAAAGCAATAACAACAGACCGAGCAAAGCAACGCCCAGCTCAGCATCGGCATCGGCATCAGTATCAACATCAACATCAACGCCAACGGCAGCTCCTCAACCACCCACCAATACTTCCCCCATGCTGACAAGGACAAGAAAGGCCTCTTCCCAAAACGTGGATGCTTCGAGCTCAGCAGCTCAACCTCGCGCTAAGAAGCAAAAGACGGCTGCTTCGGCTCAGTCCATCACCGTCAAGCAAGAGCCCCAGGAACCTCAGCAACAGCGGCAACGTCAGTCCCCGCCACCGCCGAAACGAAAACCCTCGCGCAGAGGCTCAACGGCAAAGAAGGAAGATGTTGCCCAACGCACCAAGAATCTGGAGCGGAATCGCATAGCCGCATCCAAGTGTCGCCAAAAGAAGAAGGAATGGGTGGTCGAGCTGGAGGAGACCAAGACCAGCATGGAGCTACGCCACAACACTCTGCGCATGGAGTACTTCCAGCTGCTCGACGAAGTCACAAGCATAAAAAATCAGCTCATGGCCCATGCGACGTGCAATGATCCTAACATCAACTTCTGGATCGAGAAGGAAGCGCTCAAGTACGTTGAGAGATGCATGGACCCCGCTCAGGAGCGGCGTCCATCCATTGTTGCCAATGGTGAGCTTGCCCAACGATACCGAGGTAGATACTCTGAATAATGTCCAAACACCTTGTGCTGACCATAATCTACTATGCAGCCGCATCAGGATCTTGCACATTGCCTTCACCGGCAGAGTCTAATCGGTCTCAGCAGGAGTCACCACTACCCAAGCCCGAAGGCGGCATCAATCTTGACTATATGCCTGACGAGCTGCTAACTGGTGACTTTGTCTGAGGAAGAAGAAGACAAAAGAAAAGAAAAGAAAATTTCAAAATAGGGCAGAGAGGAGCTGTGGCGAGAAGCTAGTTCGGCGTGGATTTCTATGGCGGAACTAATGGGACGGGATGCGCAAAGCATTTCAAGCTGAGGACAAGTAACAGCTCCGCGGCTGTATCGCACTGCTTTTCTTGACGAACAAGAACGGTTGGCAGTAATGGAAGGGGTGGCGACATGCCACGGTACAAAACATAAGCAAGGCGGAATGGGAATTAAGGAGCTGGGCGCTTACACACGTATTTACACTGGAATGGACTCCAATCTACAAAGTAGGTTGCAGTGACGGTTTGATAAATGTTAGCTTCTGCGGAGCAAGAAACCTATATGTATATATTTGAAAAAAAAAAAAAAAGTAAAGAAAAAAAGAAAAAGAAACGCACACACGGCTTGTGCCTTGGCTTTTATCCCGAAAGCGCAATGAAGAGTAGATAGGTGAGATACTATATGGTCTCAAAAACAGACGGATATTGAGGACTCGCCCTCATGTTTGCAATTTTTAGTATTGGGAGTTGATATTTTATAGACAGATCTTTAGCCTAGGTATATCATGTCCTTGATAAAGTTGGGAAAGAAAAAAAAAAAAGAACGAGAGAGAGGGAGAGAGAGAAAGAGAAGGTCTGTAAGTAAACATGAATGTTAAAGGTACGCACTTCTTCACGTTGGGCATTGTTTTGATTATTGAGATGTAATTTTTTTTTTCTTTCCCTCTCGTAAGTACATGCAATCCTTCCCTAGCCCATCTACCCACAACTACTACATTTTTTATACACATAACAAGAATATCGTACAGATTTCATGACTTCTATTTTGATTTTTTTTCTCCTTCCTCCCCTGAATTCTCCTCTCCTTTTCCTTTACCTCCTCTTAGTCCATCCCCGAGCATTAGACAACCCCTTGATACGCTTCGTGTACTTCCACAGATGTCTATACGCAGGACCCTGTCTCTTGGCTTCCCAACCGCGCGGCTTGACGGGCGGCTTCAAGCTGTGCACGCGCGTCGGCCTGAACTCGACGTCCGCGCCGGCAATGCCGTGGCGGGCCATGACACCGGCAGTGTTGTCGTCCCAGACGCTGCGGAACATGTTGAAGCCCACGGGGGTGAGGCTGAACTTGTCGCGGAAGGACTTGAGGGAGAAGCCGTCGCGGGAGGCGTACAGCTCCTTGAGCTTGGCAACGTCGAGCTTGGTGTCGGGCTTCTGCTCCAGAAGGTAGATGCCCAGGCGGTGGTAGGGGGCGCCCTTTTGAGAGGTGGGCGGCAGCCAGGGCACGGCGAGCTGGTCGTCGGCGCGGATCCTGCTCAGGGGGAGGGAGGTGTCGCTGGGGCTGAGCGAGATGTTGGCGGCGAGGAAGTGGCAGCGCTTGGAGAAGGCGTCCTTTTCAACGTCGGGCACGTCCGAGTCGAGCACGACAAGAGAGACGAGCCGCGGGCCCTTGTCGAAGACCTGGACGCGCAGGCGGGGCGGGTTCTCGCTGATGAGGGAGTCGACGATCTCGCCGGGGGGGATCTTGGCCTGGCGGAAGTAGAGCTGGACGTCGGCGACGGGGTCGAGTTTGGGGAGGACGTCGGGGACGATGTTGAACTGCTTGATGCGTTGGGTGATGAGGCGGTAGTCGTAGGAGCGCCATTTGCGCTCGGCGTAGTGGCGATAGATGGGCTTGTTCATGTCTCCTAAAGGGTATGTAGTTAGCATTTCTTCTTCTTCTTGTATTCTTCTTTTCTTTCATGTTTTCATAGAGGTGTAAAATGTTCTTTACCTAGACCGTCTTCAAAGCGCTTCTTGACCAGAGGATCGTTAATGTCCGCCTGGATCTTGAGCTGCTCAACATAGCGCCTCAAGCTGGCCAGCTTCGTATCCTTCATTGCCTGCCCGCCCTTGACCAGCGATGCGTCCTTCTTCTCCAGCAACGAAATCTTCTCCAGCTCCTCCTGGATCTTGGTCACCTTCTCCTGTCGGTCCGCCGCAAGAATGGCCCGTGCCTCTTGGAACGCCTGGTACGGCAGCTGCTCAAAGGGCAGGTTCGCAGTGGTGCGCATGGCGACTCTTCGTCTCCGGGATCCGATGGGCATCTTGCCCGCTTTGATCAGGTTGCTTTCGAATTCTGGCAAGACGCTGTTGGGATCGAGATCAAGAGGGCTGGGCTGTGCCGCTGCTGAAGAAGAAGTTTGCTGTACTTCCTCGGTGGCAGCCGCAGCGCGGGCAGCACCCGTCGTGAAGGGCCGGATTGCGCATTGCTGGCGCAATTGCCGTGCCAATGGCCTCGCAACAGCCTGGCACCGCGACATGGTCGACGCTGTGTGTGTTGCTGTTATGCGGAAACAACAGAGCTTGTGAGTATAACAATCCCAATGTCTGGAACTGAGGTTGGTGGTGGTGGTGCAAAGTTGCGATTTAGCCCCGCTAAAATTTTCGGCAGCCGGAGGCGGAAAACGCCGCTGCGCTTTTGCTTGCACCACTATCGTTCTTTTTCGCTTCGCTCCCAAGAGCAGCAGCAGCAGCGGCACGATTTGAGGAGCCGAACAGCCTGGATTTTCTGGGGAAATCTCGTCTTTAAAAATGGCTGGAAAGGGAATTGGGTGTCTCAGCGAGGCGCTGGGTGCGCTGAGGATATCTGCGCCCAAGGTATGTGTCTCTGCGTTGAGTTTTTTGCGATGGGGTCATTGGCTGACTTGCGGAATAGCTGGCGACAACGACAGGCTTCAGCAGACAGTTTACACGATCAATGGCTACCGAGGCACCGGCAAAAGACATCACGAGATCAGCGTCCAATGCGCAGTCCTTGATGCAGTCTTGGAACCCGAGTATGGCGACCTCACGAGACCTTCATGACAAGCTCCAGCTAACCCCTCCATGCAGTCTCAACCGTCCCAGTCACCATCCATAGCTTCCCGTCTCTCGAGCCACAGTCCCTCGAGCAGTGGTCCGTCCAGCATCTCTACCTCCCCCTCCGCCGCGATCTCCTCCACCTCGCCGTCGTCTACGAGGGCGACAACACCAGACAGGGCACCGCATCGTCCAAGACCCGCTGGGACGTACACGGCTCGCACCGCAAGATGCGACCACAGAAGGGCACAGGACGAGCTCGCCAGGGCAGCAGACAGAGCCCCCTGCTTCGCGGTGGTGGTAAATCGCACGGCCCTCACCCCCGCGACTTCGGAACCAGACTGAACCGCAAGGTCTACGACAAGGCGTGGCGCACGGCGCTGAGCTACCGATATCGACGGGGCGAGCTGATCATCTGCGAAGACGGCATGGAGCTGTCGATGCCCGAGGATTTCGAAATGGTGGCGGATAAGTACATGAAGGACGGCCTGAGGGAGGCATATCTGAAGAAGTACATGTCTGGCATGCTGAACACGCTGGGCCTTGGTCGAGAGGACGGCCGCACACTGTTCGTCACCGGTGACAGGAGGGACAGACTATACGAGGCCATGGAGCAGGTGCCATGGGAAGGACGAGCTCTTGACCTGGAGGATGTCGACGTCAAGGACCTGCTCGAGACGGGCAAGGTGGTTATGGAGAGGAGTGTGCTGCGGGAGATGATTGAGCAGCACCAGAGCGATTTGGTGAGCCGGATTGTCATTAACGGATTTGCTAAGGGGGGGCCAGCACTGGGAGAGAAGGAGTTGTAAGGGTTGGAAAAAGGAAAAAAGAAAAGAAAAGTTACACAATTTCTATGGCAATGGGGGTTATAGATCTGGTTTGTGGACTGAGACGACAGGATGATGGAGAGATATGTACTCAACAATAAATGTATACTAGTCATGGATGATATATATATCAGTGAATATCTATAAAATAACATATATATATATATAAGATTTAATCACTGAATCCGAAGCTGGGTATAGTCTTTTCTTACGCTATTGACTACTGTCTTCTTCAACTACCTGCTGTAAAGGACGTAAGCTCTCATAGAATCTCATAAAGTCTCATCAATCATCAAGTCTCAACCCCCCCATCAGGCTGTATTCACATTATCATGCTGCCGATCCCGCCACTCCTGAACAGCCTCCAGAAAGCGCGTATTAGAATGCTTCTCGGCGTCCTTGATTGCGCTCTCAATTTGGAGATCGCCCATGGTGGAGCCAAGATCCGGGTCTGCACCGCGGTCTAACAAGAACCAAATCACCTCTCTGGCATCTTTGCGGTTGTTGCGCCTCGCTATATAATACAGTGGTGTGCCGCGACATTTGCCAGGCCACGCCTCTTGCGAGTTTACATCAAGCCCAACCACATCCACGAGGTGCCGCACCATGTCCACGCGCTCTCTAAACAAGGCGACGTGGGCAGGGTCGGCAGCAGAACCATACGGCAGCGCGTATATAGCAGCGAACTCGGCGGCCTCGTGCAGTGCCCGCCGTTCCAAAGGTGCGCCCCTCTCTCGCAGCAGCTCAAACGTCGCCACGGTTGCATGCTTTGCGGCGCACACAAGGAGCGATTCTCGCGGCGTCTCGCCCACGCCGTTGGCATTCCGCGGCGGAGTATCGCCAGGCAGGTAGACGCTGGCGCCTTGGGCGAGACACCACTCCACAAGGTCGGGATACCGCAGCACGCTCCATAGCAGCGGCCAGCTCGTGCGCGGGTGCCGGGCGTCAATGTCCCAGCCGTGGGCGATGAGCATCTCGAGCATCTCGAGCGACGGCTTGCCCGGCTCTTCACTGGGCCCAATCATATGGGCGTATACGGTGCCGACGTCCGCGCCATGGTCGAGCAGGTAGGACAGAATCTTGGGTGCGGTTCTTCTCAAGGAGCGGTTGAGGCCGGCCTGGATGACTTCTTGAACCGTGTTGCGCGACTCGGGCTTGGATGCCAGTGAGATGGCCAGTACCATTAGGGACACGTCGTCATTCTTGCAGGCCTCGATGGTCAGTCTCACGGGACGGACGGCCGGGTCGTTGGCATTCTGTGCCTGTGCCATTTGTTCCTGTATATGCTACAGTCTCATGGGTTTCTGCGCGGTTGGTGCCTGTAGCCTGAAGGATTCAGGAGGGGCAATTTTGGGAGCGATATTTCGGGGACGGCTTGTTTGGTTTCCAAGCAGGTGTGGTTGGCATCTAAATTATCCGGTTTTGTGCGGTAGTCTCCAGCTTCTAGAGGGATTCAATCACATGCAAGATACTTTTTGGATCAAAGTCCAAGTAGATATTCAAACGGGAGCCACATTTCAGCATAAAATCATCAACAAACACCAAAAATGGCCATTCAAAACACCAGCATCGTTTGCCGAAGAAAAAAAAAGTTCCGATTCATAGCTTAATGTACCTGGCCGATGCTAGATTACAAGCCCGATGTCATTTTGAGCATCACCAAACGCCACCCTTGATCATAACAGTGGTTTCCGAGCGAAAATATTCCAAATCACCCATTCTCTAACAGCCGCAGATATTTTATTTCTCCCTTTATATCCCGGGATATCATATTGGACCAGATTGCTTTTTGCGTGGGTATCGCAGAAATTAGAGCCAGCTTTCAGCTTCTTATCGTCGAGGAGGGGGGTTGAATCCAGGGGGAGGAGGGCCTCCAGGAGGGAAACCCGGAGCGCCAGGGAAGCCAGGAGCGCCGGGGAAACCAGCAGGTGGAGGGAACTGGCCAGGGAAGCCAGGAGGAGCTAAAGTGCACCAATTAGTACCAATGCAGATTTCGATGAAATACAGAGAGTGGTATAACTTACCGGCACCTCGTCCAGGGAATCCAGGAGCACCAGGAGCGCCGGGAGCACCAGGGAAAGAAGGGAATCCCGGAGGGGGAGCAGCTCCGCCAACACCAGCAGCTGGGCCGGCGAGAGAAATCGGAGCGGCAGCACCACGTCCGGCAGGTCGAGCAACGCCAGGGCCAGCCTGAAGAGTCGAAGCAATTCCGCCGGTGGTGGCCTTGCCGAGTCGAGCGCTAGGATCGGCGGGAGGCGGTGACTCGACGGTCAGAGAGATGATGTGAGCTCCACGGACAATCACCAGGCCCAGCGTTCGCTTCTCCTCCTGGACCACGGTCTGGCCGGCTGATGAGCCGCCGGGAGCAGCTGGCTTGTTCTGCTTGCGCTTGATGCGGCGGAATTCCTCGGTATCGGCCAGAACGAGGTTCATGTGTCGGTCGTAGGCGAGCATCTGGCCAACCAGCTGTCGCGAGTCCTGCAGGGTCACACGCATGCGGTAGTTGATCTAGGAGAAGTCGTCAGTGCCTAATCACGTCAAGTTTCGATGGGCAACCGAGGGGGGTATCTGCGTACGTAACCGGCCTAATTCACGTTTCGTTAGTCTAACCATGTCAACATGTAACGCTCCAAGAGAGGGCTGGGAGAGAGGAAGAGGGACTGACCATCTTGCCAAGCTTGTTGGACGCCATGTTGAAGATGAGATGCTACGGGAAGTAGCTCCTCTGGTTTGTTCAAAAAATTGATTGTGTGTGGGTTTTGACAAAGCTGGTGCTCCTCAGCCTCGTCGTCGCTGCTCTGGTGCCTCGTGGGAAGCTTGAGAGTCTGCGATGGGTTGGTTGGTGTTGAGATGTTCGGAAAAAAGCAGCTCCACGTCTGAAATGGCCCAGACTGCAGCGGGTGGAGCCTCGCGCGGCAGGTCCTCGGTACCAATTTTTACGCATCAAAAGAGCCGCAAACACATGTATAAAAGACTTTGCACGTGCGACATCACATGACAGCTCTCAGGCATCATCCATCTCTTCCATCGACGGAAGCAAGGTCAAATTCACAGTTCCGATGATGCTTTCTATGGTGATTCTTTAATGATTTTGTTAAATTATGAGTTATTCTATATAGTAATGACGTGTTTCGCTCGCTAATCACAACTTTTGACTTTCAATGGATGGAATACCAACAGCTCCTATCATCCCCATTCTCAATCACTGTGTGGCTTGGACTCGCCTTATCCTCAACATTGGCATGGACACGCCAGTTGAGATACTTCTGCTTTGAGTATATCGCTGCTCAATCTCTTCCAGGCTATGCCCTCTCGTCTCAAACATACGCAATGCCACAACGACTGTGGTGAAGAGTGACGAAAACGCAAAGAGATAGTAGGCTCCATACGTCGTCTTCGAAATGAGCACCGGCGTGATGAGTGCGACAACATAATTCGAGAACTGTATCCATTAGCTTTTTTTTCACGGCAAACTAACTGAGACTCTTCAGTTACATACCCAATTGGCACTCTGAGCAAGACTTGACGCGCTGCTCCTGGTCTTTCTAGGCAAACTCTCAATCAAGAAGATTCGGAAGCCAATTGCCCAAGTTCCGTTGAATACTATGGCGAACAGATAGATGGACACAATCACCACCCACTTGCCGGCTCCTCTATCCGCATGAACTTTGTCGGCCGCATACAAAGACCCCATCAACAGCATCAGCGTGGTAATCAGGACACCGCCTAAGAGACTGGAAGTCCTTCGGCCCCATTTGTCTGCCAGGAAGGTAGCCGGGATTGTAATTCCGAGAATAGCCAGTGCAGAAACGCCAGAAGCCAAGAACGACGCCTGTTCGCCACTAAGACCGGCCTTTTCGAAGAGAATCGGGGCATAATAAAAGACGCCATCAATCCCCGCCAGCTGCTGCATGCCCATAATGAAACAGCCAAAAATGGTTCGAGCACGGAAGGGAGCTGAGAAGGCTTCCCTGAATCCTGCAAATGTCTGTTTGAACTCTTCCCAAATTGCTACATCATGGGGGTTATGAGCCTGTACTTGGGTCATGGACTCCTCCAGCAGCTTTTCACGCTCAACCTCATCAAAGCCAAGGCGAATGAGAACATCGCGCGCCTCAGTGAATCGACCTCTGGCCAGCAACCAGCGCGGAGAAGCAGGGACAAACCAGTACGTTCCCGATAGCAGAAAGCCGAGGGCCGATGAGACGACCAGCGGAAGTCGCCAGCTAAGCGTTGTCGATGCACCCAGACGTGAAGTGCCGTAGCAGATGAAGAAGCCACAAACCAAACCCAAAACGATTGTGAACTGCGGAAGTGCTGTCAACGTGCCCCTGACTCTGGTCGGGGACATTTCTGAAACCTGCACCCATACATTGCTCACAAACAGGCCCTCACCTATGCCTTGGATAAGTCGCCCAATGATGAAGGCGCTCAGCGATGTAGCGGAAGACTGGATGGCTGCTCCAACGCCATAGATGAAGGACCCTATGGCGAAGATGCGGACCTGGCCGAAGCGGTGGCCAAGGATGCCGGCGATGAGAGCCGTAAAGGCGCCGGAAATGAGTACAGATGAAACGACAACTCCATGAACGGTTGGTGAAAAGTCACCAAAGGTCTTGCGGAAGGCGGGCATCGTTGTGACAGGGCCAATGTTGCCCGTATCCAGGCTATATCGGAAGATTGTCAGTAATCTCTCAACCCACGAAGAGGAAACATCAATTACGATGGTGTCACAAACCCAAAGAGTATAGAGACGCTGGATGCCGCCAGACTGGCCCATACGTAAAATGGCGGTGCTTTTAACCACTTCATCTTACAGGTTACGCGCCTCAATTTTCCAATGGCTACAATGTTTACAGAAGTATTGACTTTTATCCACAGGGGTCGCTGGGTCTGAAGCTGTAGCTATCAGGGTGGTGAGTCCCTGATATCAGTTTAAATACACGTTAGACACATCGACTGGCTGCCACGTGTATTTCTCATCAAAAGAGTCATACCGACCTTTGCAACTATCAGGTCGCTATCCGGTCGAACGATTGCCGGCACTAACCATCGTGTCTGGCGCCAGATCTCAACTCCGGAGCTTAGACAAATTAACGACCCGGAGTTAGAACTGCGGAGATGCCGCTTACGGCCATAGGTTGTGTACTTCATTGCGCGCTGGATACGAGAGCACGCTGGATATCGATTGCATAATTGATTACTAGACCCGTATATTGTCATCACGGGGATTATCAGAAATTTTTGTGCTTAAGTTTTAGTTTCAACCACCCCTTGATTCTGTCTTGTAAAGCGTAGAGCTGTCGTGAATTAAGACGGTGCCAGAAACTGGGCCTAGTTAACGCTTCACCTCAACAGCCCCGCAACTCTGTTCTCATCTGATTTGTAAATTCTTTAGCAGGGCTTCCCTTTCTCGACTTTTTTCTGCATCTTCATTTCATCAAACAGCACCGTCTTCAATGCTTTTCTATTTCTTGCTGGAAAGAAATAATGAAGGCCAAAAAATGCGATATAGTTTTATAGGGTAACTTGCGCTCCATGAAAAACAACAAAGCTGTGGCCGAAACAGAAGATTGCGTGTTTGTCTGTTAATAATACATATTTTCTTGTCTAAAGTTAAGTACATCCAATTAACTATATAAACTTCACCACCGCTCCATTGCCATGTGTCGTTACTGTGGCATAGGACCATTCGCCCTGGTCTGTCTTTAAAATAGCAATTCTTGGCACTTCCTCGGTAACAACCTCGGTATGGTCTGATGACCCATCCGAAGTCTCTGAGACTTGAGTCTGAGCCTTGACACTCTCTCCTTTGAAGACTGCCGTCATGAATCCCTCCATAGTAAGCTGTGATTTTACCGCCGTCGACTCCTTTGGGTGCGTTCGAATCATCGCAGCTGCAGCTAGTAGTATTGTACACAGGACATACAATGCATTGAGCCCGATCAAGATATAAAATGGTATGATTGGGACCCGTGTGAGGAACACTCTTGAACGGGACTGCTCGACCACGTTCACTCGACTCTCCATTGCGACATAGGATAGTGCCAGCGCGCTGTGAGAGAAAGCAGCTGCGGTGAGAGGGACAGCACTCGAGAAGTTGGTGCTGAGTCTGACCATAGAAGAGATTACGGCCTGCTGTGAGATGTTGGCGTTGTCGTTGATGAAAGGGGCAGACATGATGCCGCCGAGAGAGCCATTCGCGGGGGTCATGTTGAATTGGGCTATGGATCCGTCCACCCACGCATAGGTGGTGTCGAAAATTGTGCTGGAGCAGCCGAATTGCATCGTGCCCTCCAGCACGTCGGGTTGCTCCGGCTGATGGAGTTCCCCTATTAAGATGTTGGTGGTGAAATACAACGGATTCTGGAAAGGATAATTGGGGTAAGAAATGGCGTGCGTCAGGCTCGAGTCGTTGTAGAAGCGGAAAACAACTCTGGTCACTTGCGTGATCTGATTTAAAAGATCACCCGGACAGTCGAAAACTTCACGATTGTCTTCTGAGCATCGAACGGTCATTATGTCGCACTTTGTAGAGATGGCGAATGCGCTCGCCTTAAAGTCCAGGTCTGATGACAAGCTTGCATCTGAAATATATAAGAGAGACTGTGATGAGTTTGAGGAGAGATCAGATACAATATTCTTAGTGGAAATATTGTTTAAGATTTTGAAAGCCTCAGTGTCGGCGGGAATATATGGTGTAAAGGAGCCGTCAGCCCCATATCCTTTCAACGCATCGCATGGGTAATTATAACCAGAATAAATGCAGTCATTTCCCTGTAAAAGTCCTCGACCGAAGGAGTGGTTTGAAGGGGCGGTGATGTTTAGTTGTGTTTGCTCGCTTGGCTTGACAACAATGCCAAACCAGGTATCAACTGCTGGAATAAGGACACTGTATACGTTAGCGTTTATTTATGACGCCTTTGTGTGAATTACTGAATTTTCTTCTTGATCAATTGCAAGATTTGATACTTACCTCAAGACCGTGATGATAATGAAGATGGCAAGTGTATATGAAATTGGGGCTACGAATTTCCCTCCCATGTTCGCCCGAGCACGGGTAGCTTTCCATAACCCGACCAACCCACCAGACAAGAGACCCATCAGCACCGTCAATTGATTTGGCGTCAGGAGCTTGTCATTCTGCTCCTTTTGCGATGCTTTCAGAACAAAATCTGCAGCGAAAAGTGCCACTAGTCCCATGATGGCGCTCGATAGGTACGGGACAAATTTCCCAGTAATGGAAGCAATTGTAGTCAGAGTAGATGGGTTGAGTCGGACATAATAGGCATTGGTCCCCCCATCTTTAACAAAGTCGGTCATAGTCCTCGAAATTAAAGACAGATTGTCTGACTGATGGGGGACCTGTAGTTCGCCTGCGCCATCGCTAAGAGTCACGCGGTTGCGGAACGTGAAGACGATGAGAAGTGCGGTTGCTGCTGAGAGAATAATGGATGGTACGGCGGCTAGCAGGACTATAGATATGTATGCTTTGACGCTGTTGACTTTTCTGGGTTCTTTGATGCTGGGGGCCTTTTGAGTCCTTTGCAAAGGAGTGTCATCGGATGAAGGCATATTACGTGATGTTATGGCTATTCGTTTCTAGCGGGAAGTGAAAGAGGGTATAAAAAGAAGATAAAATAAATGAATAAATAAATAAATAAGTGAAATGAAATAAACAGCTTGAAAGTAAAAATGACAAAGACAGAGAACGTCAAATATTAGGTAGTGGTCAATGATCAGGATACTGATCGCGGCGCTTTATGTTACGGACACGGCGCCTGAATAGTTGGTGCATTGTGCCTAGCAATCCTAATTTCGCCCCACGAACAGGGTAAAAAGCCTTGTTTATTTATATACAGAGAGAGATGTGGAATACCATACAAGATGCAGGCAAACGTAGCCGCCCGTAACATGTTCGCGGCTACGAGGACTATAAAAGGACTAGGGTGGGCGGTTAAGTGAATCCTTGCAGCCGCGTCGCAGAGCAAGGCTGTCTCGTGTGTGCCCTTTCAGAAACGAGGCTTCGATTGAGAAAATAATATTTATCAAGATTAAAAAGGATCGAAATCAGTAAAAAAAACCAATGTCCAGTAGTTTCGTGAAGAAGAAGAGCATTCATCAATGCATGTAATGGTATGGACGGCCCGACTGCGCTATTATCGCCAGGGGACTGCTAAGTGGGCATTATATCCGAGAAAGATATATTCAAGGCCAAGCTTATTCATATATAGAAACGGACGTTTCATCTATGAAATAGCTCAACACCGCCGGCGCGTGCAACCAACAACATAATAAATATGACATGGGTACCAAACCAAGATGGACCACCTTTGTAGTAATACATACAGACTAGACTGCGTTCACAGTCGACGATTTTATAGCTAAACGTATAGGTACTACTGATGCCCAGACCTAACCGTACAACAACCTACGTAGACTAGACGAGAGATGCGATGCAGGGTATCAGAGAATATCGTGATGCAATTGAATTAATAAATAAGTCATGGGAGAAAAAAAAGGATACGTGTAGCTAAATACCACTGATAAACTGCATGGATGGTCATGGCTCAAAGCGCAAAAAAAGGATGCCCCCGGCCAGGATCGAACTGGCGACCTTAACATATCTCCAAGATACAATGCTGGATCTATAAGAGTTAAGTGGTAACCACTCCACCACGGGGGCTTGTGACCTCCAGACACAAGAAGTCGGTTTATGAAGCTTCGTCAAGGTCGTAGTCCGAACCGCTCGGTTTCCAGCTGCCGCTTCCTTTGCCTGATGGATAGCGCAAGGGGTGGTTTGCGCTGCACGATTTAGAGTGGATTTAGGAGTTTATATAAGTGTGGATGGGGTGGCAAAAACTGGCGCGGTATACTAGCGTTTTGTAAAAAAAAAAAAAAAAAAAAAAAAAAAAATTCCTTCATATCGGATGCGCCGAATTCTCGGCGTTGGTACTTGTTTTGCGCAAAAAGTCGCTTGAGAAGCGGCTATTCTGCAAAGTAGGTGCGTGTATCAATTGTATGTACTAATCTATGCATAGGTACATGTAGATGAGAATGAAGTTTTTGACAGCCTTGGCCCGCTATCCGTATACAGCACAGTAAAGTATAACTACAGTAACAACAAAACATTACATATACCTCGATTTTCTTCCTTTTTTTTTTTGTCCGACTTCTATATCAGGAATAATAATAACAATAGTGAATGCAACAAATTTTTTTTAGAATATCGATGACTAGATGTGTTGTGCGATCAACTGACGGGTCTCTCTGCTCCCAACTACAAGTATATCTTGCTTTAAAAACAGGTATTTAAATGCTGTGCGCGCTCTACCATTCTCCAACGTTTGAGTATGTGGCAATGTAAGAAAGCAGAAGTTAGTTTCCGACATCTCTATTTGTTTTATCCTTGAATTATTACCAAGATGACCAGTCTGTATCATCGCCTGTATCGTCCTTTGCGTCGTCGTCTGTTTCTGATACGTCTACAACGGGTCATGATACCAGCGACTCCTCGCCTCTCTCCTCTTGCTTCCAGCCAGTGCCGTTAAAATCTGGATAAAAGCCGACTACAATAATGTAGAATCGCCAACCGTACTATGAGTATAGACGTATCTGTGTCTTGCTTGACAGCAAGATATTTTTGCAGTCAAGTTACTCCTTTACTTATTGTAATCTGACCCCCATCCTTCTACTGCCATTATTTTTCTCTACATATTTCTTGATACTTCCATCTACCAAGGCAAAGTCCCTTCTTTGTTTGAAAACGTTCCTGTTTCGCCGTCATCTCCCAAGGTTGCCAATCTTACTGCGTTCAAAGCCCCGTCTGCCGGAGTATCCTTGCCAGAAAAGCCATTCAGATTGGTAGCGCAGTACCCTGGACAAGTCGCATTAATCTTCCACCCAGCGTCTTTATACTTGAAAGCATAATGAAGCATCATCATATTAAGCGCCGCTTTGCTGCTGCAGTAGATTGGCCAACCGGCTGGGTATCCCCACCGCTGAGTGAGCGAACCCATGGAAGAGGATACAAAGACGATTCGAGGTGCAGCAGATGCCGTTAAAAGGGGAATAAACGCCTCGGTTGTGATTGTAGCGCCAAAAGTGTTAACCGAAAACGTCTCGTGGAAATTACGAAGCGAAGGGGCAGAGGTCATTTCGTCGTGAAGGCATATACCGGCGTTATTAACTAATACATCAAGACGGCCAAATTTCGATGTTACTTGTTGGACAGCTTCTGCAATAGACTTATCAGAGGTGATACTAATAACAGATGTTAGCATTGTTTATTTTCCATGGAATGTTTCTATAAATAGGACGTTGAGCCGAGGAGGGCGTTTGGATGTGCCTTGATCTGGCTTTAAATACACACTGTCGGCGCATAATGCTTGCCAGATGTATGTAAGCCATTCCAAGGCAACACATGTGCGCCGAGAAGTTTCATACAGCATAACCGAAACTTCAAATTCCTGATTGCGTAGTACTCTATCCCAACACAGTGTATCCATCCTTGAGGGGTTATTTTGGGGCAATACAAGGTAACGTACTCAATGGCAATGGGCTCGGCACTAAAACCCTGCTCTTGAAGCTGCTGGGCCGCATCAATTCCACGCTGAGTATCACGACTGCCCACAAGAACATGGTATCCTGGCTTTGACGACAGAGATTTTGCTATCTCGAAACCGATGCCTTGGTTGGCACCCGTAACTAGGACGATCTTTGAGGAGGAAGAAACAGTCATTATGCACTTGTCAATAGGTCGAAAACTGTGGTTGAAAACGATTTGGAAGAATCGGTAAGAGGGAGATGACAAGTGAAACTGTTAATGTAGAGCACATGGATATTATAGAGTCTGATGCGCTCCTCTTTATATCAATAGTTTAGGTCCTAGGGAGCGGATTTACACTCGGATTTATTAGCTATCTCCATCAAAATGCCACGATACAAATCACAGATTTCTAAATGTACTTCGATTTTGACAGAATATGAACCAAATCGTCTTCGAGATTTAAACATGTGCCTGTGTTTGCGTGTATCCCTATGGATCGACAAGGTGCTTACTGGTCCACTCGCGCAAAGCCTAGCCTGTTATAGAATAGATATTTCCAGGCTACTAACTTCACACCCAGGCCTGATGCTAATCTACCTTATTATTAGAAGGTACGCAGCATAATGCCCCCCGCATGCCATCCGTTTAGCGTACTCGCGCAAAACCTAACTCGTTGCAGTATATATGTTGGGTTTGCCAACTTCGTTTGGGTGTAGTGTCTTCCACTCTTCTTGTTCTCTCAAGGCAAACAATTAGCCCGTGATATGACAAAATGGTCAATTATGGGCCATCAGGAGCATGCCTCGCATGCAAAGAAAAGCGTAAGAAGGCATGTACACCTCATTCTAAATGGTTGTTTTCAGCATGCTGACGTATTGTTAGTGTGACAAAGGGCGTCCTGTATGTGCTGCTGGTCACCGTTTACTAGGAACAAACTTTCGGCGGCCATTTTCTTTAAACGTGGTGTTAATACGGCTACTTGGTGCTAATTCATTGTCTGAAATAGTCTTGTCTCAGGTGCGGTCGAGCACGACGCACTTGTCCTGGGTATGCGCCCAGAAAGGAGCGAAAGTTTATAAACTATATTGGAAAAGAGGGCTTCAATGTCTTGCATCATCCGCCTTCTGAATTATCGCATCGAGTAGCAAGCTCCGACAGACTTGGATCGCTAGATTGGTCTGATGTTGAGCAGAATGCTCGACTGCTGTTTTTCAATGACTATTGCATTATCTCATCGAATAGGAGTCTGTCCCGTGGATATCTACATGGACTCCAGGCTATGATCTCTAAAGCCGACCCAAACTCCGAACTTGTACAAGCGTGTACCCTCGTTGCTTTGGCAAATATAGGAAACAAGCTCGGAAGTACTATGCACAGACGTAGGGCGGAGAGCCTGTACTCCTCATTGTTACGGTCTTTCCGCCTGCGTATTTCAAATGAAGCGATATTCGCTACAGTGGAATCGCTAATTACTGCTGCATTACTGGGATTATACGAAGTAAAGACTCACCAGTCATAAAATGAAAGAGGCAAGCTGACAATCACAGATCATCACCAGTACTGGTACGTATCTTGGCTGTCATGTAGCTCATGCCAAGGGAATATCGGCTATTCTTGTGAGCAAATTCTCGCCATTTGATCTTCTGTGTGACGGCCAGCTATTCCAAATTTCAAGTCCGATACCACTAGAGGATCTGGAAGTGGAGATTTCTCAGTCTCCTCCATCCCATTCACATTCCCCCAACAAAGTGTCACAGAAGTTCAGTCTTCTGTGTACACCGCTATTCAACCAGTCAAGCTCAACTATAGATTTCATTTACGGACGTACATTATCTTTAATGCGAAAAGCAGAATCCCTGTTGGAAAATGAAGCTACCGTTGACCAAATTTGTCAACTGAAGGCTGAGGCTGAACTATTAAAAGAGGCTTATAACACGTGGCCAGAAACCGCACCTCACGCATGGATACCAAAACCAATTGGCGTTATTTCACCCAACAATGAAGAGATACTGTAAGTATATACTAGTTGTTGAATAACATTCGATTTTCGTTGATTCGTTAATCGTGTCATCCGGACATAATAATTTTATATGATTAGTTGCTGACCTTGGTACCAAAGGCCCGATGTAGGCTACTGGCCAACAACCATCTTTTGTTATTACGATTGTATGTCATGCTTCATGCTTCAGATACCTCTATAATTATTAACATACTATAGTTTATGTTGCTTCGTTATGGAACAACTATCGGAAAGCTGCTCTGTTGGTCTTAGATGTCATATTAAGATGCCACCGTCGAATCAATGGCTATTTCAGCGACCAAATATTCCAAGATTCAATAGAGAAGGATGCAACAAAACTAACAGAAGGAATTGTTTCTTCAATTCCGTATCTTCTATCAGAAGATGTGGAGGTGTTTGTTGAAAACGCTGCCAAAGGATCCCCTCTCATTGTCCCCGGTCGACCAGTCGGGGGATTGCTGTCGATGCACACTTTATTCGTTCTATCAACAGTATCTACGACCGATGAGAAGCTAAAATCTTACATAAGGGACTGTTTGGCGTGGGTTGGTTCACGCATGGGAATCGCTCAAGCAACTGTCTTATCCAAGGTGAGATACTAATAATACTGTCATTTTCAGGAAATATTGACCTTCATTGTAGTACACGACAATGAATCAGTTTCAGTATGCCATGGAAACGCGTGTAATTGTCTGGGCAGGCATGCTTATATGAAGGGAGTATCATCAATTCAGGAGTACAAGTCTAGTAAATAAATTGTGATTTGACAAACCACAGTGTGCGAATATCGCCAGGAATATAGGCACACTTACCAAAGCATGGAGAAGAACACGATTTATAAAATGTCTTTAGAATCTCGTGTCGCAACTTGGCGCACTTGGCCCATTTCCCTCTGATTCTCATGTATGTGATTGATACCATTGTCGGTGTTATATCAATCCTAACATTGTCATCGATTGCTGCTATGGTGAAATATTTGTTAGTAATGTCAGTGACGCTTATGTAGGCTTTGGTATTGGGGAAATCTCCAACTAGAGCTGCCTTTGCTCTGATAGTCTTCTCCGTCCTTCCGCGCAAGGTTATACTGGATACTCCAGATGTTGTAAATGATCGAGCAACAGCGGGTCCTAAGCCCGTAACCGCCCCCGTTGACGACAACATTTTTCTTTCCTTTAGTTGACATAGGGCTAGTAGGTTAGCAGGATCAATGAATTTGTATGTCTGCCTATGGAAACTCTTCACATGAAGTAGGATCCAATTTCTTTCTTTTCTTTTTTCTTTTGACGTGTCTAGTAATACTGACCTGTAATATACGACATATCGAAAGCTATATATGTAGGGGGAAGAAAGGCTGTGCTTCCTGCTTGCCGCACTATGGCCTATGCTTTCAATAGCGTCTGGATCACACTAGGAATTATTATCTAGAGTGCTACATAACTATTTTACAATGCACTAAGATTATAAATGCGCTCCCGACGAAACATATTTCCGCCCTAATATTCTTCTGTGCTATCCGCTTACTATTCTACGTTACTACACAAAAAACCAAATGAATAAAAGCATTACCATAAGAAGTGAATTATTAGAGGAATTAATTGAACACAACCACTATAGTATAATACAGGCACTATCAGCATCGTGCTTAGGCTTATGCTCTTTTAGGTATAAGCAACATGCGGGACAGGGGGGAGAATCAATAGCGTACCCCTAACCTGGAGTTCAGCTGGCGGATATGCTCATGTGGATTCAATATTTGGTTCAGCTCTCCCAGTTTAGAATGGGGTGCATTAGCACCAGATATTGCCACTGCAATTGGAGATGGTATAAAGATGCTTCTGTTTTCCACTCTTCATCAATCACCAATCTCGAATAAGTACATACCTACGTACAATACGCTGTTTGCATCAGAATGTCAGAAACCGTCAAACCCATGCCCAAGCGCATCATCATATGCTGTGATGGCACATGGCAATCTGCTGTTTCAGGTGAAAAGAACAGCCCTTCTAATGTCACACGACTGGCTCGCTGTCTGAACCGTGTCGCCGTCGAGGATGATGGCAAGACTTGGCAGCAGATTGTGTGGTATGACAGCGGTGTTGGAACGACATCCAGCTGGCTCGGAAAGAAGCGAGAGGGTGCTATTGGTGCCGGTCTCGAGGGAAATGTCATCGAAGCCTATAATTTTGTCGCGCTCAATTGGTCGCCGGGTGATCAAGTTTTATGCTTCGGCTTCTCAAGGGGTGCCTACACAGCCCGGTCGATTGCTGGACTTATCTCGGATATTGGCATCTGTGAGCCGAGGAAGTTGCAGGACTTTCACGAAATCTGGGAATTATACAAGGCCAATAAATCGGGCAAGAGGTTCCATGGGAGCCAAGCATGGTTCGATTACCTCGATGGTATTCCAGCCGACGACAAAGATCAGCCTGATGATCTTGGCTACAGGAAGATGAACTTTGTTTGGAAGAAGCCACCAAGGGGCGATTGGGCAATTAGCCCAGAGTCCAGGGAGATTGAAGTTGTGGGCGTGTTTGATACAGTCGGCGCCTTGGGCTTGCCAGATGTACAAGGTTTCAAGTTGGAGTGGGGATCAGACAAGTATGGCTTCCACAATGTGAAGCTGAACCCAAGTAAGTACCACTACTACAGTATTTGGTATTCATTGCTTAACCTCCCCTTTCTCTGACGCGCTTGGCAGATATCAAGCGTGCCTATCATGCACTTGCTTTAGACGAGCACCGTGAGGCATTTTCGCCTACCCTTTGGTACTTGCCGGAGCATATAGATATAACAGAGGAAGACCTGGAAAAAAAGGAAAAAGAAGTCGAAGAAGCACTGAACAACTGGTATTCAGTAGCATACGACAAAAAGACTCCTCTGGGAGAGAGACAAAGACTCAAGACTATCTATAATGATGCCCGACGCGACTTATGCCGTATGAGGGAGTATAGCAAAGGCCAATCTGAACTGCTTCAAGTTTGGTTCCCGGGAGTCCACATCAACATTGGTGGCGGCTCCAGCGACACGCTGAAGAATGAAGGCGACCTTGAAGGTAACATCTCCTTATATGATCGCTGCGAACAAAGAGCTGACTAACCTTTCTCAGAAATGGCCAACATTACTTTTGCTTGGATGCTCGATCAAATCAGCCCCTATGTCTCCATCAATGAGACAGTTGTATATCAAGACTCGCGAGTCCGCCAAGAACTTATTGATGACCTTAATGTGCAACAACGCAAGTACGAAGAGTTAGACAAGAGCAAAAAAGATGAAGCCAAACGAAGCTGGGCCAAATGGGCGAATCAAACGCTGAGCACTACCGCAAGCGCACTCCTGCATCCTTTGAGCAAACCTAAAAACCCAAATGAAAATCGCCATGATTTTGGTTGGGGTACTGGCACTATAGTTGACAGCTACATTATGATGTACTGGCCAAATGGCTCCAAGCCTCGTACGCCAAAAGCCTACGAAAAGGACAAAAAGCATACCGTTTCTGGAGAGACTAATGAACAAATTCATCCTACAGTTGGATACCGAAACTTTAGCTTTCAAAAGCTTAAAGAGGATCTCCAATACACTCCCATGGGCTTAGGAAGGGGGAAAAACAAAGGCCTTGTCTATGCCAGACGGCAAAACAGCGAGGGCAAGTTCGAGTATCAGCTTGACAAAGTTGTTTTGCCAGAGTATGTGATGCCGGCAAAGAATAAGAAAGGGGGAGTCAGCTTTGAGAGATTTGCTCTGGCGTTGGCATGGGAGAAAACGGAAGAGTATATTAGGGGCCTGGATAAAGGGAATGGCATCCCCCATGAGAATATACCTCTCAAGCATGAGTATATACCTCCCAGCCATGAGGATATACCTCTGTAAATATGTCCATCTATATGTGTGTATTTACATGGTACTTTTTATATTGTCATTTGACGTCGTGATATAGGAGCAATTATCAAGACAGTAAGGGTAAAATGACATAGAATAGTTTGTCTTTTGAGACTCTTGTAAGTTAATGCACTTATCCATTATTGAAGTCCATGAATAAAGTAGATAGTAGATGAAGACACAACCCCATACATTTAGGCATATCAAGCCGAGTTGTTTTTGTCTTCCTGGGTTTACAACTCAGAGAATAGACCCGCAATCAACCACAGCATTGGCTCCTGTAACGCTTGAGTTTTTCACGAATGAACACACCTGCTCCGCAACATCCTGTAACAATTTGTCAGCCAATGGGAAGTGTCTGTATACATTTGAGTTAATATACTTACTTCAACCTCTGTCAACCGACCTAGCTTGGTCTTTTTAATAGCAGCATTGCGCTTGCTTTCGGGAAACGATGATGACCATTCTGTCATCATCATTCCTGGTGAGACGGAGTTTACTCGAATGTTACTGGCGCCAGAAATAGAGGCGAGGCACTTGGACAAATGAATCTGCGCTGATTTTGTGACAGCATAAGCCTATTGCCGTATCAGTCTAGAGCACACGACTCATATGGCGTGGGAGAATTGTTATGATCTGGGATCTAGGATTAAACGCTCATTAGAAAATGGACATGATGCTTGCAAACATACCAGGCTGCTACCCATTACGCCAACCCCAGCGACAGAGCTGGTGGTGATAAAACAACCACCTCCTTTCATAGAACTTTGCTCTAGATAGCCCTTTGCAGAGTTGAACAACCACAAATGGCTTTTGACATTCATGTTCCAGCATTTATCCCAATCTGCCTCGTTCACGTTGTCTGACAGATTCGAAAAGTTTGTCAACCTTGTCCATCCATGATTTGAAAACACAATGTCTAACCGGCCTAATTCTTGAATTGTAGTTGATACTAGCTTATCAACTTCGGGGCGAGAGGAGACGTCAGCTCTAATAGCAACAAATCTTCTGTCGTTACTAGGCCCGTCTTTCACGCCACGTTGACCGAAACCTATCGATGGGGTAGTTTCTAGCTCAGAGATGAGTGCATTGGCTCGAGATTCATCAGACGAATAATTTATGGCAACTCTCAGGCCCATGGCTGCGAAAGCCCTTGCGGTGGCGGCACCGAGGCCTGCGCTTCCGGCAGTAATGAGGGCAACAGGACTTGCCATGGTTCGTTTAGTTAAATGTCCAAATATATCAAATTGAAGGTAGTTAGCCAAAAGAATGCTGAACAAGATGAGTCTCATTATAACACGTTCCTAGAGTCTTGTACGGCACACCTATTTCCGCAATACCCGCCCAATGACCGTGGCGGCATCCCTCCGCAATAACCGTGCCGTCCCAGTTAAGCTCGGGTTGCTAGGTGTAGTTTTAATAGCATATTTTATTTGGCATATTTGTCTACTTTTTCGATACTAGTCCATGTATTTAGGATAACCTGACGCCTAATATATCCGTCATGTATAAAACCGCAGTTCTTCTTAGTCAGACCATACATGTGAAGTTTGGAAACCACTATCTCCGCTATTGAGGCTTGTAGCATGTTATGAAGACATGAAGACTTGAAGGCATGTGCAAGTGAACACTTATTTTTACTAAAAAACTGATGGGTAGCATGGAAATTAAAGAAGAAGGCTCCATTATTAGAATTATTTAATGCCGTCTATATATTTGCTCAAGAAGCTCCTATATATGCAGTATATTACCTGCACTCTAGGCAGGGAGCCTTTACTCGGAAATAATCAGAGCACTCTTGCCCATTCCTGTACCAATACACATAGAAACAACGCCAACAGGTTGTCCACTCCTCTTGAGCTCATGTAGAAGCGTCGTCAACTGGCGCGCCCCAGTAGCACCAAGAGGATGACCCAACGCTATGGCACCTCCATTAGGGTTCACTTTGTTCATGTCAATGCCCAGCTTGTCAACACAGTAGAGCGCTTGACTGGCGAAAGCTTCGTTAATCTCCCAAACGCCGACATCACTGGCCAGAATTCCGGCTGATTCGAGCATCTTGGGAATAACAACGGCGGGACCAACACCCATCTCATCAGGGGCAACACCTGCCACTGCTGATCGAGCCCATTTGCCCAGAATGTAGTCCGAAAGCCCTAGCCTAGTAGCAGTGCTGCGGCGAGCCATTAGGACGACGGATGCGCCATCGGAAATCTGAGACGAATTTCCAGCAGTGGACGCGCCGTCTGGAAGAAAGGCAGGCTTCAACTTTGCCAATTGCTCCAGGGAAGCGTTGGGTCGGATTCCGTCGTCTTGAGTTACGGTGATGGCGTCTCCTGTTTCTGAAACCAGCTCAACGGGTATGATCTCATTTTTAAACCGACCTTCGGCCTGCGCTTTTGTAGCTTTGGCGTGACTGGCTAGAGCAAAGGCGTCTTGATCCGTACGTGAGATGCCATATCGCTGCGCAACATTCTCGCTGGTGATGCCCATCGGAAGCAGACAGTCTCTTGCTGCCTGTACAGACGACTCACGTAGTTCCTCCCACACAATATTCGGGATGGCTTTCGAGCCATAGTTTCTCGTCATGCTCTCCATTCCGCCCCCAATGCCCATATCCATACGGCCAGCCGCTATTGCCTCTGCAACGTTAGTCACCGCTTGTAGACCAGACGAACATGCCCGATTGACGGTGTAAATGGCTGCTGAGTCGGGGTATCCAGCGTGCAAGAGAGCTGCCCTACCAGCCTTTTGCCCACCTAGCTCTGAGAGAACAGTTCCCACTGCTACATCTGATACCTCAGAGAGATCTAGAGTAGGCAACTGAGCCTTTGTAGCTTGTAAAACCTGAAATCGTAGAATTAGTAAATCGTTTTCTGTTAAGTCAATGATCATTGAGACTGGAGCTCTTACGGTAGCAAGCAATTGCTCAGCATGAGCATTCGCAAGCTTTCCTTTAAAAGATCGCGTCACAGGAGTTCTTAGCGCGGACAAAAACACAATGTCATCCGGACTTTTTTCAAGTATAGCCTTTAACCCCTTCTTTAAATGTGCCATGGCGAGTAAAGTATCTGAAAATGTGAGAAATACAATGAGTATAATTCTTGTGGTGGAAAATATGGATGTTTGAGATAAATGAGTTTAGGAGAATAGAGCAAGTCTCTGAGAAACTTTGAAACCAAACAGCTTGTAATTACATACTCAGAAATGAGAGATATTTGATGTTACAAAGATTATATACGGATTAAAGTTGACATACTCTCATATCAAACATATCAATCGTTGTGCGGATTTTAACGGGCCGCAGCATCCGCAATTCGCCCCGGCGAGCTATTCAGGAGGTGAGTGATCGTGGCTTACAATACATGTCCAATGATTTCAATTTTCATTACAATATAGGCTGCATTGGGCAATTTAGTAATACCTTTAGTGTACCGAAACTATCCGGAACCAATTTGGATTGTCAACGTTGCTGCCTTGGCAGTCCACAACATGCAACGCATGCCATCTTTTGCACATTTTTTATCTTGTGGACGGATTTAATCCTCTTATTCATAAACAGGCTATCCAATGCAGGCTCATTTATGAGAGTTATCAGAAAACATACGGGCATAAGTACATGGGGAAAAGATATGACATTTTTATCTTATTGTGATATAGTCGAATTTTACTTTATCTTTAATGATTATTAACATTGGAGTGAGTAATTATTATGTACAGATCATTAGCTGTATGAGCAACAAGCGTCTAAATAAGGCGTTAAGTGTATAAGCTCTAGCTGTCCATTGTCTTGAGATCTTCAGCAACTTTGAATGGTGCTTCAGTCTTGCTTTTAATTTCATCAACTGTCACTCCACTTGAAATTTCCCGCAGTGTCAATCCTTCTTTCCAGTCCACGTCAAACACTCCCTGGTTGAACATTAGATCTCTGGTCTTAATATTATGATGAGTAGAAACACATACCAGTTCCGTAATAATGGTTGAAACACATTGCCTACCAGTTAGCGGGAATGTACACTGGCGAACAATCTTGGGGTTTCCTTTTCGATCGGTATGCTCCATAGTCACGACCACCTTGGTCTTCTCAGGATTGGAAACTAAATCCAAGGCTCCGCCAAAACCTTTGACTTTTCCTGGCAGCATCCCTATGAAACTTATTAATGAATCATCGCTTAACTCCACTGGAAAACTTACAGTTAGCGAGGTCACCAGTTGCGTTTACTTGCATGGCACCGAGAATTGTAAGGTCAATTCTGCCAGATCGAATCATGCCAAAACTCTCATCACTTGAAAAGGTGCAGGCTCCCGGGATAATTGTAGCAGTTTCCTTTGATGCGTTGATCAAATCAGGGTTTTCTTCGCCTTTCTTTGGATATGGTCCTAGTCCAAGAATCCCGTTTTCGGAGTGAAGCAACACCTCGACCTCTGGAGGAACAAAAGTGCTTGCTAACACTGGGATGCCAATTCCGAGATTCACATACATGCCATTCTTGAATTCTTTTGCCGCGCGAAGCGCAATCTTTTCTCTGTTACTGTTCTCTGTTGCAGAGTGGGTCGATGAAGCTGGATTTGTAGAGGTGTCCAACGCTTTCGAATTAACGTATTTTTCAATCGTTTTGGGAACTTGCGACTGGATGACGCGCTTGACATATATCCCAGGCAGATGAACGTCGCTTGGGTTTATTTCCCCAACTTCAACAATATGCTCGGCCTCAACTATTGTCATCTTGGCATTGCGTGCCATGGGACCGTTAAAATTGGCCGCGGATAGATGAAACTGGCAATTGCCTAGTCTGTCTGCTTTGAATGCCTTGATGAACGCATAATCTCCATTGATTGCCTCTTCGAGAAGATACGGCTTTCCATTGAAGATTCTGACATCCTTTGGCAATGAGAATTCTGCAGGTGTGCCATCTGGATGGTGTTTTGTCGGCAGCTCACCAGTCTGTACGACTGTGCACATGGCGGCTGGCGTATAGAATGCCGGAATACCTGCGCCCCCTGCACGACACTTCTCAGCAATTGTGCCTTGAGGAGTCAATTCCACTTCTAGTTCTCCATTTCCGTATTGCGATGCAAATATCTTGTTATCTCCAATGTAACTAGCAATCATCTTCTTAATCTGCCTCGTCTCCAATAGTAGACTTAAGCCGGAACCGTTAGTTCCTGCGTTATTGGAGACCGCAGTAAGACCATTGATACGCGATTTGTTTACGCGCACTTCGTTGATCAAAGTATCTACAGTTCATCCTCTAGTTAGTGATAGTTATCCCTATTTTCATACTCTGATACTGACTTGGGACGCCACAGAGACCAAAGCCTCCTACCAGCACAGTGCTGTTGCTTTTCATGTCTGCAATTGCCTCTGCAGCTGAGGCATAGATCTTGTTTATAGCAGGACGCTTGGCAGATGTCGCAAAAGTTCGTTGACTACCAAAAGAGAATTGCTTCCATGAGGCTTGTAGAAACTTAGATTGTGTCCTACTAAAGCTTGATCTAGATTTGAGAGAATGCCGCAGTAAAGAAGACATTATAGCACGTCATAAAATCTCTAATAACTCAGAATGGCGCCTTATGCTCAACATTGAGAGCGCCGGATCCAAGGTATATATCTGATACATTGCTGTCTCTTATAACAATGTATTACTATCCTTTAAGACAATCCGGTCAATAATTTGAATGGCATCCGCGCTTCTAGTGCAGACAACCGGTGCGGTGCGGGTATTGCGGAGGACTTGCACGTCTCGCTACCAGTAACAGAGCGACTCCTAAACTCTTGGCAAGGAGTTCCACGCTTCCTTATACTATGTATATCTTGGCGAATATGGAGTGAAATATAGGAAATAAGGCTTACAGTTCAGTTCCACCGAGAATCGTGACTATTGTATCGCCTTGTGCCATTATGGAAATATATTGTATCTTAACGGCTATTTGCTTATACTCAGGTCGAAACTTTGACTCTTTAAGAAGATCTATTACGGGTAAATCGAAAATCTCAATTAATTCCCGGAAATACAAGCTAGAATTACATTCTGGGCCTCAGCTGCTCTATGGCCCAAGAGCCAACGACCAGCATATGTTTCAACTACTGTAAAACGTTCAGTGATTCACCGGTAAGGCTTCTTCTTTAGATATCGATACGTAACAATTCCATTTAATATGAATACCTTGCCCCGTAAACGCGAATCGTCACTATTGGTCGAGTCAAGATATGATTGTTCCGGTTAAGGCGGATCGGTTGCTGCGGCCCGCTCATGCCGGGGCCCCAAAATCAGCAACTCAACTCATACGGCAACTGGTACGCAGCAGCTCGAACATACCGATCACTTGATGTTACACTGCAATGGTAGTAGTAGCCAAACCCGGAGGTGACATAAAAAAGTGGCGAGTCATCCCATTATCCCCGCATTGGAGAACACGGCGAATTACGGGGTAATAAGAACAGAGTTTCTATAAAAGGGAGCAAAATCTTGGGATAATGCAGAAGACGCAATCTGTACATCTCTATTTATATTACTCGTCTAAGACTCCTTACATTTCCCATCAGATTCGTTCATCTATCTATGTTATTTAGTATCTCACATCCTCATCAATTCAATACTGTTGTTGCAGCCATGGATCCCGACCAATGCGATTTTCCCCCTATGAAGGACTTGACTGCTGACAATATCACGGAGAATGTTAATACCATCAATAGCGGAGCTAAAAATCCTCGCTTACGATTTTTAACTGAGGCAATCGTTCGCCATTTACATGACTTTGCTCGCGAGACAAGGTTGAGTATGGCAGAATGGGAATATGCAGTGGACTTCCTAGCTGCATGTGGCCAGAAATGCTCTCCTACACGGCAGGTTTGTTGCCATTTGGTTACTCTTGTGTTATAAATAGGAAAGAAACATTTAAAGTAAGCGGATTATTAATCTGTTATATAGGAGTTTGTTCTTTTGTCCGATGTCATTGGCCTCTCGCTTCTGGTTGACTCTATTGATCATCCCAAGCCTGAAGGTGCAACTGAAGGCACAGTGCTCGGCCCATTTCATACCCACGATGCGCATCACATGTCTAATGGAGATGACATTGGAACTGACCCGGATGGCATCCCCATGTTAGTCCACTGTACTGTCAAGGATCTTCAGGGGAAACCAGTAGATAACATGCAAGTGGATGTTTGGGAATCGGACTCCAAAGGTTTCTACGACGTGCAGTATAGCAACCGAGAAAACCCACATGGTCGCGCAGTGTTGAAAACTGATGCGAACGGTCAAGTCTGGTTCAAGGCTATTGTGCCTGTTGCATACCCTGTTCCAACAGATGGCCCTGTTGGCGATTTTCTGAGGGCCATGGGCCGCCATCCATACCGACCGGCCCACGTTCACTTCATGTTTGACAAGCCAGGATATGATCACCTTATTACGTATGCCCCCATCACTAAAGCTATAGATTAGTATAATTCATGCGCTAACCTCTTCTCCTTTTAGAGCTCTTACAATACGGGGCGATCGATTTGAGTCGCATGACCCCGTCTTTGGAGTTAAGAAGTCGTTGATCGTCGATATTAACGAGGTCAATTCCGAACTAATGGCGAAAAAGTGCGGTATCCCATTGGGTATGAAGCTATTGGAGCATGAATTCGTTGTAGTAACGAATATTGAAGCCACTAAACTTCGAAGAGAAAAAGCGCAAGAAATTATGGGACGCGGAAGTAGAAAGGTGGAATTTTATAATGATTTGCCGTTTTTGGCACTTGATTAAGGCGTATTAGCTGGCGATATTAGTATTTATAGTCTTAGTTTAGTCTTCCATATATAAGACTTGGGTACAATATAAATAAATAGTGTCTTGGATATTTTTTGTTCTTGGATAGACATAGATATGGAGTGAAGACCAATTACACAATGATATTCGCGACAGCCATGCTAGTATTCTAAGATATCTATCTAGCTCAATATGTCTCCCAACCAGCCTAGCAAGTATTCCCGTATTACTGCCCTGCCTCGCCTTGTAGACAGACCTACTAATTAATCCGATTAAGTGGTCTTATCCAATTTGTCAGTTTATTTTATCTTATAATTCTCAAGCCGTTGTCATCATCTATAGCATAAACAGCATTATGGTTCCTACCTTCTAGGCAGTACAGCTCAGCTTTAGCATCGCGGAGTGCTTTAAGACAGTAACGAGGTAAAAGCCCAGTCATTTGTGACAACAGAATAGACAATTCTGCATGGTAGACCTAGTTTTATAATTTACACTGCTAGTGCTGTTCTAAAAACGTCGATAATATTTGTCAACACACGCAGAGACACATGGTTAATACGTATATCAAGTACGCTATATCTCAGTAGTCAAAGGTAATATAATACTGCTTAGTACTCCAGTACCAGTGTTTTGGGAGGTAGTAAGCGTAATGCTTACAGTCAGAATTTGGTGTTATGCATACGCAAAAACCCCAGAGATGGCGCCAGCGGTTGCCAGCCCTGTAAGAGCTCGCCCTGCTATGAATGATGGGAGAGTTTCGGCGCAAAGCCACCCAAAAGGCTTCCAGCAAGAAAATATAGCCAAGCTCTCGAGCAACAGCAATTTAGCTGGAGACATGGTATAAAGTCTTCCAAAGAGTAGCCGGAAAGAGCAGGTCATATGTCGACCGCAAGGCAAAATATTACCACCAAGCAAACCTGGTTATATAGTAAATGCACTCACTAGACTCATGCATATCATCCCATCTTTTGTTGTGCCAAAGAACTAGTCATCTCTGGAATAGCAATTGCTGGAATCGTGCTGTCCTAGATGCAACATATTATTAAGCAATATGATGTTATGTAAGGAAAGCTGGAGCTATGTTGATTTCGGTCACTCATGCTCTCGGTCCTCACCTACCAAGCCAATAAGAGTGAAGGTCAGACAAGCAGAAAAAATCGTGATTGTAAAATTGAGCCTTGACATGTAGTTTTTCGGCTGCGGACCTGGTCGGTATCCGAGAAGCTTTCTCTGTAAATACCTCCGTGGAGGATAGACTCCGTAGACGTCTGATAACTCATATTTCTGCATGCTGTCCAAATGTGTTAGAGTTCCATTTATAGTCAGGCAACAAGTTTTGGATCTTCATACATATGCAAGTATCATCCGATATGTTGTGCAAAACGGAGCGTTGAGGGGGTCACCGATTTCCATTTGCGTTGTCAATGCAGTTGGGGGGGGGGGACTGCAAATGGATGGTTTCGGCCCCACCTCTGGTAGGGCGTTGAGTGACACCTCTGGTAGGGCGTTGAGTGACACCTCTGGTAGGGCGTTGAGTGACACCTCTGGTAGGGCCTTGGGTGAGACTCATCGACACGACATTTTCAACTACCTAAACATGTTGGCGAACTCTTCACTTCGTGTTTCTTCTATACGCTACTGACACCCAATCTCAGATCATTACAACTCTTCTGTCGGATACAGTCTGAATGCAAACTCCCAGTCATGTCCGCCAAAATCCAGACCCAGTTTGGTGAACCAGTTCCACCTGCCTCTCGCCACTCGGTTACCGTTCATATGGGTGGTTGGGATAATGTCGAGCGATATGGTAATAACTCCTCCAGCGTTATTGCTCAGTTCAAAAACGTATATCCTCGCATGAGGCCCCATCCATATATTGTTGAAGTGAGACTCACCAGCGTCAACCTGGATTTTAAAACTAGTTTGCTAAATTATCCTTTAGTTAACTAAGGCACTATTGGAAGAGATTGGTCAATCCGATGTAGGCTGTTACCTGTTCTCATCATTACAATCTGCCAAAGAATGTATCGAGTACGCAACCTCCGAAAAGCGAAACAATGACGTCGACAGACGACCCGTGGCAGTCGAGCACATCAAAATTCGTACCTTCTCAGTGAAGGACATGATTTTTGCAGTGACTTTCCCACTTGACCAGGCGTCTGTGGTTGCGGGGTTCTGGAGCACCCCAGGTGTGGGAGTCTCATCTCGCTTTGCTGAGGCCAACTTGAGTCATCTACATGAGCTTAAACAAATTACCATACCACCAAACCAGGATCAAGATGCCAGGCCAAATTTTGTGAGTCCGGTCCACAAGTTATTACGCGAAAGGGTCATCCACTATCTTGAACGGGCGCCTCTGAACCCGAGCCAACAACCCCATCCGTCTGTCACCGATGTCTACTTTTATCAAACAGGCATGGCCGCAATTTACAAACCACACACATACATGCTCAGTCGTTACCAAGGCACCACGGTGCTCTTTGGCATGGCATTTATGAACACCTTGACGGCATTTGAAGAGTTTGGCCCCGGATACAAGTTCTTCGGCCTTGGCACAGATGAGGACGTTTCTAAACTCAGGACTTTCCTTGACGAAGAGCGCAGCTGTGGTCGAAAGGTGCAGGCGATCTGGGCCGAATTTCCAGCCAATCCACTTCTCGTAACACCGGATATTACCGCGCTACGACAATTGGCTGACGAATATGACGTTGTCCTCGCGATTGACGATACCATTGGTAGTTGGTCCAATATCGACATTATTGCCTATGCCGATTTGTTAGTCACGTCCATGACCAAGTCTTTCAATGGCTACGCGGACGCTATAGCTGGATGCGCTGTACTCAATCCTACGTCGCCAAAATACAACCAGTTGAAGGCTCTGTTCGATGAAAAATATGTCCCAGAACTTTACGTCGACGATGCGGAAGCGATTGAGCGAAACAGCCGTGATTATCTCAGTCGTACTGACAAGATGAACAAGAACGCAAACGCAATAGTACAGTATCTTCAGAAATGTGCAGACGACCCGACAAGCGCGGTCAAGCAAGTACACTACCCGTCCGTTAATCAGTCAGGGAGCAATTACGAGCGCTTCATGCGAAGGCCGACGCCTGAATTCACTGCTGGATACGGCTGCCTCTTTAGTGTTGAGCTAGCCGACATTCCGACGACGCAAGCTTTCTACGACAATTTAAATGTCCATAAAAGCGTTCACCTTGGAGCGCCGGTCACGCTTGCCTTTGCATATACAATGTGTACATATAAGAAGAGATTGGACTGGGCCGCACAATATGGCCTGAAACCGACGCAGATCAGGATATCTGCGGGACTTGAAGAAACAGATCTGCTTTTGCAGGACTTCAAAGTTGCCGTCGAGGCATCGAACAAGTGTTGGGATCGACAGTAATGTCTGGTTTGAAATTGCCATCAACAACGACTTCATCGAAATTCTCTCACTCTACGATTATATCAGCCTGGAAAGACTAAATTGGACTTTCTGATGTAGTAGACTTTAAACTAAGACACGGTGTTTACAGCATGCTATGCTGCCCACACTCTGTTTGATATTATTCTAGTAGGCGAATATGACGCCTATCATGGAACGCATTTTTTTAACCAATAAGAGGCTACATACTGGAAGAGCAATACATACTCTTGAATTTATTACATGTGATTTGTGATTCGGTGACATGTTCGACGATTTTTGCCAAGTATAATGGTTTACTACTGTCTGAAAAATAATGGTTTATCGCAATGCACGCAAACAGAGACCGATGTTATGTCATCTTCGTACAAGCACACTACTATGGAATGCTATGTAAGTAGGGGTATAAATGTGGATATTTCAAGTAAATTCTTATATTAATAGTATAAACGCTAGAATACCAGCATTGGAACGCAGGTAACCATGATGGCGTCTCGGCTTGCTCTCGCCTTTCATACCGACTCTTATAGTCACAAGAACGGCAGGGTAGGGGACATCGGATTAACTTAGGACAAATGGACCAATTAACAACGGGTCGAACAGAATTATCATCGATTTCACACAATCCAATAAATGGATTGATGAGAATTACTATTAATCCAATACGATCCAGGAGAAACTGAGTATATAAGTTCAATTTTTATGCTTATTCAGATAACTTAAATAGCCAGTTGTTACTTACAGAATTAAGATTGGAATACACTTGTAATTCTTACCTACTGGTGACGCTTATTACTAGTTGCATTGCCCATAGATCTCCCAACCCAACCCATCCGCCAACATAAACCCGAAGAACTCATTCCAGGTTTGTCTCTTGGAAATCTACCTCTTACTAACGACATATGTATCTAGTGTATGGTTCGTCACAAGTATATTATATTACAATATTTTATTGACTTGCACACCGCCCGTCTTACTTCACAGACCTTTTGACGAACAACATATAAGTACTCTCTCTACACAAGACCTAGTTTCGGCCAGCACGGACCAGGCGGCGCAGTGCGGGGACGTGGCCACCCAGGGGTGAGTGTATTCTTCCACAGTACGAGGTATATTGAAAAATTCACTCAGCGGCGTTTTGAAGCACCCTTCCTTGCTCAATCTTACCCTCCCACCCCAACTTGCCTAGTCCTTGCCGAAATCTCTGGACTGAGCTCTAACTGAGATGTCCATTACAGTGGTTTGGGTGATTGAAAGGCGATCTCTCTGAGCAAATCATGGAAACTGCGTATCAGACTGAATTGTCCGAAGATCCAAGCAGGCGAGGCAAGAAGAAGCATAGACACAGTGCTTGGTCAACCAAGGTATTGAAAGAGTGGCTCTCGTCACACAGAGCACATCCGTATCCTACCGAAGATGAAAAGACCGAGCTTGGCGAAGCCACCGGCATGACCAGACGGCAGATTTCGTACTGGTTCGTCAATGCTCGTCGAAGACACATAGTATCAAGATTGGACCAGGCGGAGGAACAACTGGCCGAATCCCCTTCTAGTGCATTGCCAGTTACGGAGACCCCTGATGTGAAGTCTTGGAGCGATATGGCACCGCTCGAAAGATGGCGACGCTCACCTCCAGAATTCGAACCAGTCCCATGGGAAGTCATCAACGACTCGCTGAAAGACAGCCTATCATCGTATGCATCAGAGCCAGATCTAAGGCAGGCTGTGGCATCAAGATCTCTCAATTCCTCGGATAGTTCGGGCTATTCTGTTTCAAGCGAATCTTCAGTAAATTCGTTTAGCTCGGAGTCACTCCTAGGCTTACACGGCTATGGTTGCCGCCCTGAGCGACGGCCAAGACGAAGACGCTCAACCCTCCATCGAAGTCGACTGACGAGTTTGAAAAATGACGACGGCCGCATCTTTCAATGCACATTTTGCACGGATACGTTTACATCACGGTATGATTGGACAAGACATGAAGGGAGTATTCATTTAGTCCTTGAAAAATGGACTTGCCTCCCACTCGGGCCGCGATATAGCGACCCCGGCGAGGATGCTATACGATGTTCCTTATGTGATGAGGTGAACCCTACTGATCAGCACCTTGTATCACATGGCGCTGGCCAATGTTATTCTAAGCCCTCGAGCAAACGATCTTTTTATCGTCGTGATCATCTTCGTCAACATTTACGAACGTCGCACCATGTCCATGACATCTTGCCGTCAATGAAGCAATGGAAATCCAAGGTGACTAGAGTCAAGTCGCGGTGCGGATTTTGTGATTCTACTTTTTCCCTTTGGTCTGATCGCAACGATCATATTGCGGAGCACTTCCGCGCAGGTGCGAAAATGAAGGATTGGAAAGGGTGTCGAGGACTGGAACCCGCTGTCGCCCTGCTCGTGAAGCATGCGATACCGCCGTATCTAATCGGAATTGAATCAAATGATATAGAGCCATTCAGTGGCTCACGAGCTGCGCTGCAGGCAGGGAAAAGTTGCGCAGAGGCACTTCCCACACCATTTGAGAGCCTGACTGCCCGATTGGGCGAGTTTGTGCAGACAAAAGCTGCGGAGGGCAAGTCAATTAGTGATGAAATGCTGCAGCGTGAGGCGCGAATAATTCTTTACGATGATGAAGACCCTCTAAACAACACACCAGCCGATAACTTGGCTTGGCTTAAATTGTTCAAGCAGGGCTATGGCCTGGATACTCCAACCAACTTGCGAAATCTCCAATGCTCCTTAGAAACGTCGGCAGATTCAGCAGTTCAGGTTTCCACTCAGACAGAGTTACCATTTTCGCTAGAGAAGATGCAGCAAGCAGCAGTGTCTAACTCTACACGTATACCTCTGGACTTATGTGCTGGCTCCTCCCAATCTCAGGCTGACGGTAATTTCAGTATACCTTGGTCGTGGCAAACTCCGGAGTGTCTGGCAGAATTCAGTCAAATGTGCCAGATTCCCAATGAAGAATCAGCTGCAAACCCTATCAACGGCCTGTTAGCCACCCAAAACGAGTGCCTACCAACTTCTTCCGGTCATGATGTTGGTTTAAATATGTTATTCGAGCAGTCTAGTGCTGTATTACATAATTTTACTACACCAGCGTATTTGGATGATGGACAGCCAGATGATACATATATAGACAGGCATTTTCAAGGCGATAGTTTTGAATTCGCATGAGTTGAAATACTCCTGTACAAAGTGGATGCCGTAATATATTGAATTACACACTTTTGTCTGTGCACCTTAGTCCCCTGGACTGCACTCTTTTCATCAGTGCATAATTGAAGGGTAAAAATAACCTAATACGTATAATAGCGGTCAATATAGTACAGGCCTGACCGAAACGAGTGTCGGCCTTCTTGCTTTGAAACATACTGCTATGAAGCTCGAAAAAGAGAGAATTAAATTGTCAGTAGTAAAATAACCATTCCTAAGCCGACTATGAATATCTTTAAGCAGACAATCCATAAATTCCATAAATAATAGTACAACGGCTGGGAACTATATAGTTATTGTTAATAAACTATGCCTAGAGCTATATTGCGTTTTTCTTTGTGCTTCAAGTATGCTTCGATGGGAAAACAACGCAGTGGCCCGCATTAATACGGACTCAAGCAAGCTTTTAATCATTTTTTAGAAAAGACAGCGTTCTTTTGTAACCCAAACTTTATTTAGTCGCCACAGTCACCGAGTCTTAACAAACGCAGCAGTAAGCCTATGTAAGCCCTAAGAGGAGACAAGTATATATAAAGAACATATGGAAGCAAAAGAGCTAACATAAATTTAAACTTGACTGCCACAAGCTTATTTTCTTTTCACAGAGTTTCAACGCGCTTTTTGGTCTAAAGATGCTGGTCCAGGCCCCAATTTCGCTCGATTATACTCTGTATGATCTATATGCTGTCGACAATGATGGGAGCACTCGTCCAGTTTTGTTCTATTATCCGTTTGGATTTAAAGCTGACGAAGGGTTACCTGTCAAATTCGTCTATAACTTCGGATTAGAGACAGAGATGAAGTCGACAGCTGATCCTAATGCTCTGATGGAAATGGTTGTAAGGGGCTTGGCTCAGCGATATGGCTTCTTCGCTGGCAATCTTCACATCATTTTACCCACCTCAACTTTTGGAGAGAAAGGGGAGAGCCCGAATCAAGTGGAACTCGAGAAGACTTTTTCGCAAATAAAACACGACCAGTCGCCTAACTTGAGCTTCGTTACCAGCCCTGACGACATCATCTTGAGCCCTGAAACTGGAGTCGCAGTAGTGGTACCGACCGATAGCATATTAAAACTCCCACATGCGGTGGATCCTGATACTCATTATGAGCTCTTGTCAAAACGAGGACTGGCATTTTCTGGGCTCCCAACGCCACCCACGGTTGTCATTGATGCAGAACTTGGCCCGGATGATGTCCAGGATCCCCAACGGCTTCAGCAAGCGATGCGTCGAATGCTAGAGCCTCTCGACACCTACCAAATCCCTTTTTTCGTCAAGCTCAATCAATCAGTTTCGGGAAAGGGCGTCTTTGCTGTAACATCTGAGGCTCGCCGAGCACAGATCAAGAAGATTCTTGGTGTGCAGCTTCAAGAAATGCTTGGGCAGATCAATCAAATAAACACCCACCTATACCCCAGCTCCTTTATCTTACAAGACTATATCCCTGGCGAGGTGGTGGCTCTATCTATGTTTGTCACGCAAAAAGGCCAAGCGATTTTCAACGCTTGCTGTCGACAACGGTTCGATAGCAAAGGCTACTGGATCGGGGGACAAATTTCCTATCCGGATCAAGAGACATTGAAGCGGAAGTACTTTGGAATCATGAACCAAATCGCCGAATTTTTGCACCAACGCGGCTACTATGGACCAGCAGGCGCGGATATTGTGACAGGCGATGACGGGAAGCATTATACAATTGACCTGAATGTTCGTGTTACTGGGACGCATCCTCTAGGTCCACTTGCTGGGCATTTTACACAGCGCGGTTTGACCAATGCCACGATAATAACGGAATATTTCACATGTTCAAGATATGACTTTGAAAGAGCATTCAAAGCTGAAATAGCAGATGGAGCACTTATTATCTGCAGTTGGGTACGCGATGAGGCCATTGGACTGAGCCATGGCGGCATTACAATAGGAGGAGCTGATAATGAAAAGCTAGAGAAATTAATGGCTAGAGTTCTAGCTCTCTCGGGCATCCCAGAAGCTGTACCTGATGATTCGTATTAAATACACTCGCCTCAAATAACTCTCACGGTCTAAAGATTATAAGAAATAGCAGGAGCTGGGGAGAAAGCAGGCCTATATAGCCCACTCTCTCCTTCTCATATCTATTAGCAATTAATTTCTCTTCTTTTCACATGCGGTGGATGTTGTGATAGAATACGCAATGCACATGTGTATAAGGCAGAATCTTGATGTGTATGTTGAGTACATGTGATTAATCAGGCGACATCAATATATCAAAAGCACTAGTAAGACGATTTATTATGCTAGCATTAAGATAAATTTGTATTGAGATTAATACCCAGCTTTAACAATGTTCTGGTATCTAACTAAATGGTAAGCAGGTCTTCTGGCATTATCACGTCCATATTTTTTGCCCTTGAAAAGTATCGGAACGCTCCGCAAAAGTCGCCACCAAATTTGTAGAATCGTTATGCCTATGGCTATGGAAAACCCACCAGGACTGGGAAGCCAACTGCTAAAGGCCAAGGCGGGGAGACTACTGTAAAGCTGGGACATAATGTGCCTTGTCAGACGAATAAAATTTATACATTAAAGTGGCCAGATGGTTTGATGGCGAAGGTTATTGAATGGCATACTCAGGATCACAGCGTGCTTGTCTAGTAATAAATATACCTCAGTATTCATAGAAAATATGAAATGAGAAAGTTGATAACGAGCGTATACTTGGCACAGCCTGTCTCACTAAGAGTAGCCAGAATGCCCATGCCCATCCCCCTCTTCTCGAGGACGAAGCACATCTTCTCTTGCAGCTTCTTCCTCTTCATTTCCTTCTTCTTCTGCCTTTTTTTCTGCCTTCTCCACGGCCATGTTAGGCCAAAAATTTGCATTATCCTGTACAAGTTTCTCCAGTTGGATTCGAGCCTCCTCCTCACCTTCAGCCGCTTTTTCTAATTGTTTCTTAGACATTTCAGCTATAACCTCGCCTTCCACTTCCGAATGCATATCTTGTTTTTGGCCATTCATATTTTCCAACTCTTTCGTCGGAGGAGGATTATTACGTCTGTTCATTGGTGCGGGCTTCTTTTTAGTAGGAGGCATTCCAGTCAAAAAATTAAGCATAGACGCTTTTTTCTTGCTACTGTTAGTATCGTTCTTTCTCTTGGGCGACGCCGCGTCCACGATGTTAATATTGGGAGATACACGTGGTGGTCCGCGAGGAGGTGGTGGCGCACCACTATTCCAGCCAGGAGGTGGAGGAGGGATCCTAACACCAGGTTCTTTTGGGCTCAATCGTCGGGATCCTGGAGAGGGATAGGGTGGAGGGTCTTCAGGTTTTTGCGACATCCCTATTCTCCCTGGATCCTTAAATGGTTTATCGAGAGGCCACATGGTCATAGTGACGGCCCAATCTGGTTCAATGACTTTCTCCCAAATCGACGGAAGAATAATCTCGCCATTAGGACCAATTATATCATAGTGGCCTTCTTGGACACGTGGCCCTAGAACATCGACATGCAGAAACGCCTGCTTAATCAATTCTTCCATTGCCTATTTTTACAAGTGTTAGTTTATCATGTCCAAGAAAATACCAACGGAGATAACTTGGAGGCATTAAAACCGTCTTTGAGAACATACCTGCCAAGTGTTACATAGATGAAATGGGAAACTAAACTTTCGGCCAACGGCATCTTTAAACTTAATAGGAGCTGGTTCTGTCTCTCCCCTTTTAGCAGACTCATTTATCTTCATGTTCACTGCTTCAACGGGCGCTGTATGATCTGCCAAAGTCTTCGTGTCCAGCTCTTCGACCTCCCCAGTCTTCTTCTTCGCCGCAACGGCCTTGGCCTCGGTCGAATCGGCTTCTTTCCCTTCGACTATTAACTCTTGCCGTTTTTTTCGATTTGTTTGTATTTCTTCTATGGACTCCAACAGATATTTCGGACTCAATGATCTCATTTTTTTTGTCAATTCCTGTGCTATTTCGATTTTCTGTGCTCTTGGAGCTTCCTTTGTGTATTGACCTTCCAACTCTTCGACTTTTGATTTCAGAATTTCCATTTTGCGTGCCAAATCTTGTGCTTCTGTTATACCTTGCGCTTCTTCGATTTCTAACACTTCTTGTTTGTTGACGTCATGCCGCAATGCTCTAAATGCGATGTTAAAACGTTGCATTTCTGCTTCTATTTGATCTTTCTCCTCTTGCGCTTCTGCGTATTCTTGCAGGTGTGTGCCATCCTGAGTAAGCTCAGTCGGACTCCCCATGTGACCAGATATCTGTGACTGATGGGTATGATCAGATCCAGTAGCTATGCCATCCTCTAGACGGCCAAGAGATGACCTGGCTTGGCCCGGCGGCACCTGTTTCTGTGGTGTGCCCAGGATGGTTTCAAGGTCCACTTCTTGGAGAGCCACCCAGGCCTCCTCAAACCTGAGTAAATTTTGTTCATAAATCTGTCTCAGCGCCACAACAACATTGGGGTTTTGCGTTTGAAGTCCTAAGGTTTGGGCCATGGAACTCCAGCCATTCCCAGCGGTCAGCGTCTTGAAACCGCCTTTTGCCTGCACGGCCTGGAACAGGATCACCAAGCTAATGGGCTTGTCTCTGATCATAGGATTCGGATCTAATGGGAGGCCCTTTTCACGCATAAATCCCATTAGATTCTTCATAAATTGATCCGCGTTGATGCTACCCTTGGCTCGGTGTTCGTTTTGTGTTTGCCCTCGAGGGGTTTGGTCCTTAGAGTCCGGCAGAAACTGCTTGAAATCCTCCAAAAGGTCAGGTGCAGAGTTGAAGAGGGTGGCCATTTCAGCATAAGCATCCTGTAATGGTGCTTGTTGTTCTTTGATGTTCTGAAAGATCTCAATAAACTGTTCGTAGACTTCAGGTTTATCCTGAAAATGGTCCTGCGTGACGATACATTAGTCAAAGCCTTATATGTAAACTCCTTGGCAACGAATGCTTACCTTAACTTTATCTAAATAATTAAGTGCGTCATCCATATTGGGGGAACCACGACGTTCCATATTTTCTGGATCGGCGGGACTGCTGTCAGTTATATCCAGATCATACATCGGCATTGGTTTGTAGGCATTCTTTGCATTTAGTTCGCTAGACAGGCCAATATTCTCCTGCATTTGAGATGAATCATGTTGTTGAGGACTTTTGGGACTGCTAAACGCAACACCCTGGGCTGTTGCCCGTGTTGAGGGTCCATCTCTGTTTCCTGATTCTTTGTCGTTATTATAATCAGCAGCGATGTGGGGGGTTGGAGGCTCCTCTCGTAGATGCGTACCATCCTGGGTCCGCTCAAGAGCATCGTCGAGTCGGTAGACAACTCCATCTTCGTAGACGGCGCTGCGTCGGCGGCTTCCTCTGGCAGCAACCTGGCGCAATGGCTTCTCAAAGCGAGCGGACAGACGCCGACGCTCGGCTTCGTATTCAAGGCGCCGGGACTCTTCCTCTTCGCGACGCTTCTGTTTATGAGCGAGGTGGCGGGCCTTTTCCTCGCCGCGCTCCTCCGCATATTTCATGCGCCCTCCGCCATCCTCGTCCTTGAAACTCATCAAGCAACCATCCAAGTGATCGTAAAAGACTTGAGCATTGGGGAAAGTCTTTGGGCAAGTGCCGCACTTGCCAGTGGCGCCGGGGGGGTAGTCAGCGAGTGTCAGGAGTGCAACGTTGGTCCCCTTACGCCTGGTGGGAGGAGTCTGCTTAAGCCTATGAACGTCTATCATATGTCTTTTTAAGTCATCAATATGGGCGAATGTCCTCTCAGCCGTACAGAAGCCACAGATGAAGTCCCCCCTAGGTAACTCGTCGTGATATAAGAGTATGTGAAGCTTGAGCTGCTTGAAAGATTTGAAGGTCTTGCCGCACCCGGGGACTTCGCATTGCTGCGTCCCCTTGCCCTCATCGCTGCTGTTGTCTTCGGCGGAGACGGGGAGGATTATATCCTGTTCCAGATTGGTAAGGTTACCAGATTGAGCATCCCCGATTCCATCAGTCCATGTCGACTCCACATCTGGATCTTCATTGAAAGATATAGAGTCGAGTTTAGCGTGATTAGAGTGACTCCCGGCCTCGCTTTGATCATCATTATCTATATGCCGTGGTAACGAGAACATGGCAAATCGCTCGAGGTGGAGAGCGATATGGCTTTGTAACTTCTCTATAGACCCCAGTATTATCGAACAAACAGGACAGCTTCTATGGACATTTTTCACGGTTGATGTCGCAAATTTTGAAAACTCTGCTTCGCCTTTGTGGTAATTCTGAACGTGTTCTTTGTATGCTTCCAAGGTGGTGAATATTTCTTCCTCGTGCTTGGAACATCGAAATATCCTTTGATGTGTCGATATCTCGTGTTGCATCCACTCATCACGAGTGTCATATAGCTGCTCAGCATTTGAACATTGCTCGTAAGTACAGATATAGGGTCGTAAATCACGTATTATGTGAGCCCTTTCATATCCAAACATTAGCATAAATTGACCAAAGGATGGATGTAAAACAAGATTCGTATTAACTCATAAAGGGAGTATTACCTCCAAGCTTTTTCTGAGAGTAGAGAAATAGGACAAATGGTATAGCAATATGGACATTCGAAGAAGTTATCAGATGTAGATACTTTGGGCGGCAGAGGAAAGCTGACAGTGTCTTTGCTGGGATTCCACGCGGATGGGGCATACTCAGAGACGTCAAGCTTAAGCACACCCTCTTTTTCGAGAATTTCCTGCCCAGCCAGCTGTGGAATCCGTAGCTGGGTAGCTGTGGTGACTGATAAAACTGTCTTTGTCTCTCCGATAAGGCCATTGATGATATGCTCTGCATCTGAAAGTTGGCGTGCGGGAGCTTCTACGAACATCGACGCATGTTCGCGAAGCTTGTCTTGATGCCTTTTCCAATAAGCAAACTGCTGTCTCCTGCGTCCGTTGGCACGAGCTATGCGGCGAACTAGGTAAGATTCGCTACAGTGTAATATTCTTTCCTTATGCAGTTTCAATACTCCCCGGATGGGCTCCCAGACGTGATCCTTGTCGTCAGCGTCTCGATCGCCGCCAACTGGGTTTTTGTCTTTACATTCGACTGCTGGAGCTTCTTGCAAAGCTTTATGTTTTTCATACTCTAAGAAGAGAGAGCTAACATAGTCGTAGTCATGATTCTCATAAGATTCGAATAGGTCCACGTTAGATTCTGGATCGATCTGCTTGAAATTTCGGGCTTTAGAAGACGTCAGCCTTGTCGCAGGGTTACGGATCCAAACGGCTAGCTTGTACAAGCGATCGATTGGGTCTTTAATGCTTCCAAGAAGCAGATCTATATCCGATTCAGACTCGGAGTCTATATCGGAGTCGTCATCTTCTTGGCCGATGTTGCCGTTGACATAGTCTAGAACTGTAACATCAAAGTTAAATGGCGCCTGAGAGAAAATACTTTCTTTTTGGCAAATGAATTCATCAATTTGCTAGGAAAGGTCCATAGATAGATTCTTACCTTCGTCAAGAGATCTGTTTAGATTTTGTATCATCATGTACATGCTCTCTTTCATACTTTCGGAATCGCGGATTCTATAATCTAGCGACCCATGCCCCATAACGAAAAGACCAAGATTTACTGCCCAAAGTTCAAATCGATCGAACTGGGCAAGGAACATATTCTTTGGCCATTCTTGCAATTGATTGTCTGCTGATTCCGGCTGGGTTACTTCTTCGAGACGTTTAAACCGCTGTACGGTTGAGAGGCCAACAGCAGCGAGTGACTCCATGAGAAAAGACTCTTAGGCATAACAGCTTTTAAACTGAGACTGGAATAGAATTACCTTTGGGGATATCGATGTTAAAAGATGCAGCAGCGTGTTTTTTAAGCTGTGCAGTAAACGCCTGGATTAGTGATAGTTTGGACAATGCAATAGTAGGGTCCCATGCCAACGTGGAACAGCGCCATTTCTGGCAGCTTGAAGCGGGGAAAGTAAGCCAATTGGAAAATCGACAACAGGATATAATATGCATCCTGCAGGAAGCCGAATATTAGCCTGAGACTTGGATATTGATCGTGGGCAGAGTTCCAGGCAAGCATTACAGAGAAATAATCGAATGCTGCGTTGCGTCTAGAAGCATCGCTATTCAATCTTGATAAATCAAAGCGGGAGCGGTAATCTAAGAAGCACTTCTTTTTTACACTTTCAAAGAATTCTCTCTTCCTCATTTCCAATTGATGGAGCCTTATGCGTTGTATCTTCCTTACATGCTTTGAGGGGTGAATTTGTGACAGCCCTGTCAAGCCTGTATCCCATTACTTAGAGCCTGGTCAGATAAATCCCCGCACAAAGACCTCATCGACCAAACAGTTGATGCACTCGGCAGTGTCAACGTTTTTGACAAAGAGATGGCGAGATATTTACAGGTGCTATAAAAGATAATACATGTCGACGTTTGAAGTATTTGGGCTTGTTCTTCGGACAATACCCATCCTCATCTCTGGAGCTGGCTTTCTCGCAAGCGACAAAAGCCTCGTAGCGTTTCGCAAGCGGCAGTATGTCAACAAGCTTGCAAACGCTCTCCTACTCCAGCAGCAAACAGTCCGGGAAACGGTCCGGCTTATTATCACGCGAAGCGGCTGTGATCATGATGAATCGCTGCTTAACGAGGACCCTCTTACATACTTTCAAAACAAGAACATTCAGGCCCAGGTGCTGGATTTCTTGGGCGACGAGAATTATAAAGCTTTGATTGGAAGGCTACAAGATATGCAAACTACTCTGGAAGAAGTAGCTAGGCATTTAGATGGCGTCATTCCTACTCACAAGGTTCGTCAAGCTTTTAGTGAATGTTCTCTTGAAGGCATCTGCTAAACGGCTTTGCCAATGCTTGCAGGACAATCCATACGACCTCGCTGGAATCATAGAAGCAAATCTCACAGCAAAAAAATACAGGCCAGATTTCCTTCCTCGTCTCAAAGTTGCTCTCAAAAGCAGCGAGATAAAACAGAGCATCGGTGAACTTGATACAGCCACCAGCACTCTTCACACATTTTCGCAGACAATATTGATGAATCGACACGAACCAGTCAATTCGCTTCCATCTTCTAATCATGTCAAGCTTGCCAAGGCTTTCCGCCAAATTCATAAATACTCAAAAAGCTTATACACTGCGCTTTCTTGTTGCACTCAAACGTGTCACAGCGAACACGAACATGATGCGCACGTTCTCCTTGAAGATCGTCTAGATGCGGCCGCTAAACTGCTAAATCCCAAGCTGCAGTGGGACAAAGAAAGCGAGACATCGCTAGCTTTCCAGCTTGTTTTTGCTGCGAGGTTCCAGGCGACGTGGCATGAGCTATCAGTCAAATGTATACAAGAAGATGACAACTTTGATAGCACTCAGACGATGAGGCCATCTCTGGTGCAATTTATCGGACCTAAGCGTAATGAATCTGCAGAAACAAACTGTCTTGCGAAATTTGCTCCAGTGAACGACTTTTGCGCCACCATCGTAACAGCTCACGATAAAGCACAGCACGTCGCCTTTGTATTGCACGAGAGCAGCCGGATGAGTATCGTGGCAGCGAAAGAAAAGACCATTATGCAGAAAAATAACTGCCAAAAGATTACGTTGAGAAGCGTACTTTCGGGATCACATAATCCACGCGCAATGAAGCTGCCTCTGCGCTCAAGCATGCTCCTCGCATCAAAGATAGCTTCAAGCTTGCTGCAGTTCTCACAGACACGTTGGTCTGGCCAAACATGGTCCAAAGATTCAATATACTTTATGCTACATCCAACTCCCGAGGGGATAGCTCCTCTTATTGACTTCAGTCGAGCCTTTGCATATGCAAAAATTGAGAATAGCGAGGTCGACGGAGTAAACACTGCTGAGCCAAGGTCTATTCTTCTGGAACTTGGGATCTTGTTATTAGAAATATGGCACCAAACCTCATTAGAAGACCAGTTTTCCGATAAGACTGCCGATCTTTCCGGGGGGTATTTCTCTCGTCTATCCCTGGCTGCTCAGTGGTTGGATGATGACTATAACACTCCGCCGTTACTATATGAGGATGCCATACGATATTGCATCTATGGAGTTTCAACTAAAAAGGGAGCTGATTGGAATACCAATGAATTCTGGGGTGAAATATGTAAGGAGGTCATCAAACCTCTATCAGAAAACTGTAAGCAATGGAAATGAATGCCATATTCTAATACATGTCCTTGGCGTCTTTACAATCAGGCTCCAGTACTCTCTAAAAATAAGGGTGCAAGAGAATAAAACATCAAGGCCAGCATATTTCTTATTGGATGTTGAACTCCCGTTTCCTTGTAGCCCCACTTCACTCTAAGCAATACTAGAAACTTATTCCCAATAGTTGGTTGAGCAACAATTGACACCATCCCAGTAACCTCTTGAAAGTTGCTATCGCCTTTCAAAATATCAGCATTATAGTCAAGCCACGAGACAGCAATACACTTACTAGCCAGAAAATGCCAGTGGTTTAGTTACTGGCAACGCTGAGCGCAATATTACCGCATTCAACAACCGAAGGAAACTCCCAGCGGTTGCCTCTAAATTTCTGGAGATAGTTCACAGTCGCAATGAGGCTTGGACAATCGCTGAGGCTGCCAAGGACACATAGACGTCCATACCCTGATACGCATCCACCAACTCCACCTGCGTTGCAAATGTCCTGAATGGTCACTGTAGGCGGCGTTTGCAGGGAGCCTGGGGGCTTCCACCAAGCAGTGTCTAAGTTCTGAAAGCATTGAACGTCTGCGGCTCTAGGTTCGACGGGGTTGGTCAGAGCAGGGATGGCAAACATAGCCAAAGGTGCAAGTTGAGTGAAGTGCATATTGTTGAGACCAGTTATATCCAGTGATAGCTTAGCAGTGCTAGAAAATTCACTTGCGAAATAGTAGTGTTGTGTGTGTGTAGAGGCTCTATATTCCTGCCCAATTCTCGGACACAGAGGGCCTACTTATACATCTGTGTACAATAAGCAATTGATATACCTCAACGCCGAAATTATGGATTGAAATAGATAATAATTCGAGCCTTACGATGTTACGTTGTGCCCATGATGTCTCCATCATTTACCGTTCCACTAAACTGGAGTGATATTGCAAAGGAGTCAGAGATCAAGACATTTGGCCAATATTCTCTCGTAATTTCGATTTCTTGAATATTCTCCCTCATTGATAATAACTATTTCCTGTTGTACGAGTATATTTTTCGCTTACAAAATGTGACTCCCTTGCCCGCCACCTGATCTCAGTGGCCCGAAGTACATGTTTCACTCAGCTACACGATACTATAAACCAGTAAGATTGTTAGGGGAGCGGGAATGTAGTCGCCTCATTATTCTAATTACTACTAAGGTTCCGCAAGAAATTGTGAGGATCTGGTCTAAGCAATATTCATGGCTGAGCTGAAGAATAGAATGGTTTGTATTACATGTCAGCACGGCTAGCATTGAGATATAGAAATGAGACAATATTTTAACCTTAATTTCGTGGTGGAAGAGTCTAGAACGGCTTGAAAACGTTCTGGATGCTTGTTGTCTCAAACGAATGCAAGCCTTCGGACCTCGTGGAACAAGAGAAGGATTCAATCAGATATCTAAATACAGTAATTCAACTCATAGTTAACCATAAGCAGAGCAGCAAATTTGCATCCTAGAACAGACGGCCGAAGTTTACTGACAGTAATACGTTGAATGGAATAGTATATCTAATAATAACTAGTTTCTATCTTCCTAGACTGAGTAGCGATAGTCATATACTTTTAACAATGGCACAATTCCTTCCAGCACTATTCTTCGCAAGGCGCAACAGCAAACCCATGTCTCTGAGCATGAATCCTCACCAGTCCCCCATCCTCTGCCTTGGCCTCAATAACCACCTCCTTATCAGTAACGCTCACCAGCTCTCCCAAGTCTTTATGATTCGATCCAGTATCCGTCGGCCACATCCTTACGAGTTGCCCCTTCTTCAGTTTCTGGTGTTGAACCAGTACATCTGCTTCGTCAACATGTCCATCCGCTTCATGATAGTCTGAGCTCAGTATCAACTTTGCGGCTTCTTCCCCACTCAGTGTCGCCAGTTCTCCCAAGTCATCTAAACTCTTCTGCGCAGTGCTCTTAAATCTCTCCATCCAAGCGAACACCTTTGGAAACTTTGCTTCCGAAATGCACTCCTCAGGCCTCGCCCCAGGCACCCTCTCCAGCCACAGCAGCGGCCAAGCCATCTCAATATCACCAATAGTCGGCCCCGCTGTCCCAAGCAGCCACTCCCTCCCATCACATAGCAGTGTTTGTTCTAGAAACTCAAACCCATCCTTCACTCTTCGTATCGTATCTGGCCTCATCGCCTCCAAGGCTTCTGGCGGAAAAAACGACGCACCGCTCATAAATTCGGTGCGATCTTTGATAAACTCCGGATCCATCATGCCTCTGGTTTTTTGTAAAATCAACTGCACGATACATCTCGAAAGGCCAGAATCTATCATGTATGCTTGTAAAAGACGCTGCAGTGCCTTCTGCTCGGGAGTTGTGGCAACAGAGAGACGAGCGTTTTTTCCCGGTTCCAATTCGCTGAGCTTTGAGATGATGTGTCGGGTATCCAGATAAATGTCTCTGCCAATGGTAAGAACAGGAATTCGTCTATACTTAACGCCCAGACGACTAAGATCCGGTCGGGGCATTATTCGTGGTTGTATCTACATTCCGTGATCAGATATTATTCTCTCTAGAGAAGCCGGGATCTTTTTTTTTTTTTTACATACGCATTGTTGGAACTTGAGTCCTTTAAGAGCAAGATACCACACCACTTTTTTTGAGTAAGGAGAGAGTTCATAATAGTATAGAACAATAGGTTTCTCTGATGAAGTCATATTGAACGTTGGCGATGCTCAGATTGAACGTGTAAGTAGTAGAGATGGCTGTAGTGCGGGGCAATTCTAGTCTTAATAGTGTCATGGAGTTTACATTTTTATATCCACGAAGGATTCGAGCTGTTTATGGGTACCTTAGGCTGCGACAGGGCAAGTTTCACTTGAATCTGTGTTTTAGATAGCCCCTTGACATTTGATCCTTGCAACTGGAGACTCAGAATACACGTATCTTGCAAAATGACAGGTGGTATTCGGTGGAAACCGTCAGAGTTGTGAGCGCAACATCTTAAATGCTCCGTGATTCCCTTCATAGCCGCTCCAATGCCTCTCACGTATATCGTATCCCCTTGAAATACTGGACTGTGGGTCCTTTTCATGAGTAGGTGGTTCACTAGCTAATTATTCACTGATTCTGGTAAGTAGTAGAGGATTTTCCATCAGAATCTACAGTTGAATGCTCCAAAGGGAATACGGCATAAATCAACAATCCTTCGTCCCATAAAATCGCCCCAGATCTATTCATCCCATTCGGGTATCTCATATTTATATAGTCTCCCCCTCTAATTGAACCGACCCATGCCAATCCCATACAATCACGCCGAGTTTTTTTTTTTTTCTCCCCTCATTCAAATCACAAAGCGCCTCCCACAACCTTGACAATCCACATAGCAATCCGAACCTTCAGACTAACTCTCCGCTCATTTCTCGTAAAGTCATCCATCGTAACTCCAGCCGCATGATCCTGCAGCCATTTCTGTTCCTCTCCCAGCCGCGCCTTCAATGCCTCATTCCGAGTCACAATCAAGGTTCCAGCCTCTAAGTCGAGCGAGTAGCTTCGCTTTGTGTAGTTGGAGCTTCCAACAATGCTCATACTCGGGTTCTCGTCGCCAGGCATTGTTATCCACAGGCCCTTTGCATGGTATGTCCACCCGCCAGGCTGGCCAGTCGTGCCGAAGCGCCACTCTTTCAGTGTAATGTCCCCATCGCGACCACGCTGTTGAACGGCATACAGGAAGCGGCGCGCCAGTAGCACATACGCATCTGGTAATAACCCAGAAACTCCCTTTGACTTGTAAAAGCCGTTGGCCTCAGGCGCTGCGGTAATGACAACATTGTTGTTGGAAGCCGTGTTGAGCAGCAGCTTTGTTAATGAGGGAGCTGGGTTAAAGTATCCCGCGGTAAACGTCCAGGATGATCCCGCATATGCTGGCTGAGACAGCCTCTCGAGAATCCGCGTCAATATAGGAAGTTCCGTTGATGTGTCTGGTCGCATAACCTGAGACATCTGGCCGAGCATATAAACCCGAGTATCCTTGAACTCGTTATCCGGTACCTTTTCAGGCGCAGATATCAACGCCTGCAAGGTAGACGTAGTGCTCTTGACAAAAGACTGCGGCTTCTCCAGAGGCGATGGAGCAGAGTTCTTTGCTGGCCAGGTAAGAGTAAAGCCAGCGGCATCTTCCTTTGACGGTTGGACAAGGAAGCTAAATGACGTTACTCCGTTATAAAGCTTCCAAAAGTAGTCCGTCACCTCCTTGGATGAAAAGAGGTGATATCGATCCTGTCGATTCGTAAAATAGTCCATCGATAGATTCGCCCTTTCAACAAGATGTCACGTCAACTCAAAGCCCGACAATCGCATGTTCAGCAACACCAACATACCCAGACATGATAATCTCATCATCCACGCCGTAGAGCTTCATATGCTGCAAACCCCATCCCTCGTTGATCCTCTTCGGCACATACTGCTTCTTCAGCCCCGTCAGATTCGGCGTGTGATACATCCGTATCTCCACCCGATCAGCCCCAAACTCCTCCACCAGCGGCGCAAGCAGCGAAGCGCACGAAGGGTTCGGTGACTCGCGAGTGCCGCGCAGCGCATCCGTCAAGATGCTAAGCTTCAGGTCAGGGTTCTGCCTCAGCGCCTCTCGCAGCGTCTCGATGAGCTCCTTTTCTGATTTTCCAATGTACAGCGTCGACAGGAAGATCCTCTTTTTCGCATTTCGTATCCGGTCCTACATCATCAAAGCCGTCAGCCTCTCAGAATCGCTTCCCCTCCATGATGCGCACTTCGTACCTTGAGCGTCTCGTAGAACTCCGTCGGCGTCTTCAATATCCGGACCTGGTCTCCCCGAATGTCGAAGCTCGGCGCCATGCGGTCCAATTCGCTCACAAACGGCGCCAGCAATCCTGCATTTCCGCTGTGAATTGGCGCTCCGGGAGCTCCATGCGGCGTCGCATAGCTTCTGAACTGGTATCGCGGTGGTGAGATGCTCGGCTTCGATCGAAGGACTCGCGCTCTGGAGGCGCAACGCGCGCAGCTGCGCACAATCATGCTCTATGCTTCCAATTCTAGAATCACAAATAGAAATACACAAAGAAAGAAAAAGAAGAAAAAAAGCAACATTCCATCGTCCAAGTACATTCAAAAAAAAAAATTCCATCGGCATGCGGCTATCCATTGCATCTAAAGCTCAAAGTATATCAGTTCTGCCGAACTTTTGCCGCGCTCGCGGGAATCTTCAACCCAAGCTTCAATGACCTCTTCTCCCACCCGAGGCGACGATTCCAGCGAATACAACCCATCACCGGTAGGAATTGCCCGTTACCGCCACCATGTCGACCATTACGAGGACTCTGGGCAACCTGCGCAAGGTTGGCATCAAGGTATGTGTCGCGCCTCTGTCTCTTCAATTGCCACCAGCTGCTAACATTTCCCGCGCAGGATTACTTCCGCCAGATGCTGGTACGTCTCTGGACATTCTGACTTCTAGCCCTTCCGACAAACGACGACGCATGGCTAACATGTAGCTCTCACAATTCTCCTCGAACAGTACATCGGTATGCCCATCTTGATCTATCTCAACCCCTCAGCGTCACGGCCTCTGACCCCAGCAAACAGGTGACACCAAGGCCGGTACCCTCATCGGCACCGATCGCACCGGCAACAAATTCTACGAGAACCTCGAGGAACTGCCCCTCCGAACCCGCTGGGTCGATTACGCCAAGCACGACTACGACGCCGGCCAGATCGAGCCCGGCTGGCACGCCTGGATCAGCTACGCCGTCGACAAGCCCCCGACCGAGGACCCCTTGATTGCGACGGGCACCAGACACTTTGAGCCGGCGCTTCCCAAGCCCAACTATACCATGACACGGGGCGCTTTCAAGACGTACAACACGTGAGTTGGATCCTGGCAGCACGAAGCAGGAGTTCTCTACGGGAGGCGATGGGTTATATATGCAGAGATGGGATCTGAGCTAACGTTTAAGGGGTTACAGAACGAAGCCGAAGCTCAGTGCTTGGGAGCCAGTTGCCAAGGACCGGGTATGAGTGGTTTTTGTTGGGGGTAAAAGATGGTGTACATATTTTAAAATCGCACAGCAGCAAACACAAACAAATCCAACAATAGACACAGACAGATGTATGCATTCCACGGTGATTCCATCAGAAGAGAGACAACGCTGGAGACTTGGACGGTGAATTCGAACAATCATTTTACTTGTTTTAAATCAGGCTAGAAATATCAACAAAAAAAGACTCTGTACTATCTAATCCCATCTATTGCGGCGCAACAAATGATCAAATCAAGCCCGGAATCCCTACGCCTTGCCACAGCGTCTACATCTTACAATTTCCCTTCTACGGCTGATTTAATGGCTATGAATATTATTAGCAAATCAAAAACCTGAGAGAAGTAAAATTGTTGTGAAAAATTGATACTTACCATCACAAGAAACCTTTGCATCGCCAAACAACATCTTAGTGTTTGGCATATAGAACATGGGGTTCGGCACATCGGCTATTTACCACATGTCAGTTTCACTTCCAATGATACACATTAAAACGAAGGGCGGTTACTCACCATAACCACTGGCCAAAGTCCGCTTCATCACAATAACTTGCTTGGCCTTCCAAGCATGCAAAACTGGCATGCCTTCAATGGAGCTGCCCTTCTCCATAGCAATCGGGTTAACGGTATCGTTAGCACCAATGACCAAGACCAGATCGGTCTCAGGGAAGTCATCGTTTATCTCGTCCATTTCCAGCACGATATCATAAGGTACGCTTGCTTCCGCCAACAGCACGTTACATTGCCCAGGCATGCGACCGGCAACTGGGTGAATAGCGAAGCGAACAGTGATGCCTTTCGATCGCAGCGATTGGACAATGCTTGAGAGTGCATACTGTGCCTTTGCGACAGCCATTCCATATCCAACCACTATGATAACGGACTCGGCGTTTACTAGCTGGTCGGCAACATCTTCCACAGACGTTTCAGTAGCTTGGCCCTCGGGCTTATACTCCAAGGCTTGTGTCGGAGTCCCCAGGCCTCCGAATAAGACATTGGTTAGGGACCGGTTCATGGCAACGCACATGATGTACGACAGAATGGAACCAGATACGCCTATCAGAGCTCCCACAGATGTCAGAAGAGGGTTATCCAGCATGAACCCTTCGGCCACCAGAGCGAAACCACTGTAGGCATTCAGCACGGTAATGACGACAGGCATATCAGCGCCTCCAATTGCAGCAGTTGTCGTATATCCCTTGATGAAACTCAGCGCCGTGTTAGCTGCAAGTGCTCCAGCAGCAATCATCGGAGCACCAGGGGCCATGGTGAGGAAAGCGCCAAAAGTAGCAGCATTGGTTGCCAGCAATCCAGTGTTGATTGCATGTCGGCCAGGAAGAAGCTTGGGGCGAGAAGACATGCGGCCTGCTAGCTTAAGGAACGCAACAATAGATCCAGTAAAGGTCACACCACCGATGAGGACACCAAGATATGCAGTTACCATGTGCAGAGTTGTGAGGTGGGAAATGTCGCCCATTACACTGCCAATGCTGGTTAACACGGCTGCAAGACCAACAACTGAGTGCAGGGCAGCGACAGTCTGAGGCAAATCAGTAGGCGTAATTCTCTTTCCAATCAACATGCCTAGGATACTATTAGCAGCTTCAACGTATGCATGGATCACACTGACTTACCAGCAATAGCTCCTACAGCAGCCAGTCCGGTGAATTGTGTCAAGACCTCGGGAGAGAAGCCCACGGCAGCCAAACTAGCCAACACACCAGTGCCAACACCGAGGATGCCGAGCATATTACCCATACGAGCAGTTGCTTGAGAGGCCAAACCAGAGAGAGATCCAATGCAAAGAACAGAACTGATGAGATAGCCCGCCTGGACAAGGCCAGCGGCTCCAGTCGACGCAGCGGCGATGAAGCCTCCGCCAAAGAGAGCAGCCGGGATAGCGTAAAGCCAGGGATACTCAGGGGGGTCAGTAGGTCCTAACTTCTTATTAGCATGCACTTTTACCACACTCATTGACGGTAAACCTACGTTTGAACATATCGAGCATTCGTTTGGTGATGACAAAGCCACCGCCAACATTCACAAAGGCGAGCAGCACGCTGAGAGCGCCAAAGGTTTGAGGAATTGTCTCAGGCAAGTAGCCTCCGCCGAGAACGAATAGACCGCCGATACCAACCATGCCAGAAATCGCATTTGTAACGCTCATCAATGGAGAGTGCAGAGCGGGTGCCACGCCCCAGACGACACGATAACCGATTAAACTAGCCAGCGCAAAGGTGAACGCATTAGACATGAACAGAGGTCCAGTGAACTTTCCAAGAGCGAGCATGCTTGTCATTCCGGCAGTCACAGTAGCCACTTCTCGAGTCTTTTTCTGCCAAGGAGTGAGTTCTACAGCTTCAACTACGGCAGCCGCTGCGGGTTTGGCTGGTGCTGGAGGAGGTGCAGGACGAGCAGCGGGTGGCAGGATTTCTCCCTTTTGCATGACGATGGCGCCTCTGACAACCTCGTCAGACAGGTCAATTCCAAATTCCTTCTCCTTGGGAGACATTGACAGCAAGAGCTTGGTGATGTTGTTCGAGTAGAGAGTAGACGATTGGGTTGGCAAGCGAGATGGGAGATCAGTATATCCTGCAATTGTATATCAGTATGGAAAACCCTCTAGCAGATATAGATCTGTTCATAACTTACCAATGACCTTGACATCGTTGTATGTAATCATTTCGCCAGCTTTGGTGGCCTCACAATTACCGCCAGCCTCGGCAGCGAGATCAACGATAACACTTCCAGGTTTCATGACATCAAGCATATCCATTTTGATGAGCTTGGGAGCGGGCTTTCCGGGAATCAGAGCTGTAGTGATGATAATGTCGACTTCCCTAGCTTGTTCCTTGAACAGTCTCATTTCGGCCTCGATAAACTCCTTGCTCATCTCCTTGGCGTAGCCCCCGGCGCCAGAGCCATCTTCATGCATATCGACCTCGATGAATTCAGCGCCGAGGGACTCAATCTGCTCCCTGACCGCAGGACGAGTATCAAATCCGCGAACAATGGCACCCATGCGACGAGCGGTTGCGATTGCGCTGAGACCAGCTACACCGGCTCCAATGACCAAAACTTTGCAAGGCGGAATCTTGCCAGCAGCCGTGACTTGGCCGGTCAAGAATCTACCAAAGACGTTGGATGCTTCCAATACAGCCTTGTAGCCGGCAATGTTTGCCATGCTACTGAGGGCATCAAAAACTTGAGCGCGAGAGATACGGGGGACCATTTCCATTGCAAAGTAAGTCGCTCCTCTGGCGGCAATCTTTTCAACCAGATCTTTGTTCTGGCCAGGCTGGAGGAAAGATAGTATCGTCTGGTCTTTCTTGATAGCATTGACTTCAGACTTTGAGGGTCCTCGAACTTTGAGAACTATATCGGCTGCAGACCAGATGCCATTGGGGGAGTCGACAAGAGTGGCGCCAGCTTTTTCATAGGCCTCATCCAAGAATTCAGCCGAAGCACCAGCTCCGCGCTCGACCAAGACCTTGGAGTAACCCTTCTTTAGGAGCAGAGCCACATTGGCCGGAGTCAATGCGACGCGGCGCTCGCCCGGAAAGGTCTCTCGCGGCACACCAACCGTGAGCTGACTATAAGGAGTCGTGGGTGGCACCACAGTGGTCGCGTCCGTCGAGTATGCCTTTGGGAAAAGAGCGGGAACTCGTGGAACCGGAGAGTCACGGCGAACCAGCGCCAATGATTTTGCAGCCGCGGCGACAACTGCAGTCTGCTGTTGCGCCCCCGAAGAGGCGTGCCATTGGCGGTGGCAGCTTACCAAGGGCTTGACATCTGATGACAAAGGAGTCAGAAGCTGTTGCTTGCTGCTGCGCACAAAACACAAGTAATTCGCGCATGGGAGGGCCTTTGTCTCTTACTTTGGATTCGAGAGCGCAAGAAGCGCGACGAAGAAGCAGTAGAGGGCGAAAAGTAGAGCTCGGTGGCCAGTGGGCGAAGCACAGAGGACGCCATCACGAATCGACCCTCATCTGAGGCGACTTATACGCGACGCACACAAGGATTCTAGCTATAGATGAAGCTGTACGGGAGACTGAGTTAGACGAGAGGCAGTTAGTGATCATGCGCCAAAAAGACAAACATACCGGATCAGCTATACGAGCTCACATCGGTCGATGACTCGACAGTCGTCAGCAGAGCTCATGCGAGCCGCAGCAGTGAGAGCACTTTGTATGCGCCGGTTCTGCCAACGCAACAGAGATTGCGATACAGCTCAAAGAGGGATTCAGAAGAAGCAGAAGAAGCAAGAAAGAAGACGAGCAAGAAAATCACTCGATGGCAGCGCGTGCGCATGAGGAGAAGGTGGCCTCTACTCTACAGAGTGTATTCGGTGGTGAATACCCCCGCTCTGCCGACTCCAATTTTTGCACGACCGGGTAAAAAAAATCACATAAGAAAAAAACAAAGAGTGGTGACATCTTCGGAGCATCTCAGCCTCCAGTACTCGATAGATACGAGCCTCGCAGGCAAGACTACGCCGACTAACAAGGTACTCGCCTCGATCTTCGCGTCCACGGACAACCTTCTCTTTTCTGACGTTACCACCAAAGAGGCGACCATCAGGTGCGGGGTCCTCAGGGGGTCTCTCCAAGACTTGTGCCGGCTTTTACAGGGGATCAGAAGAGCCTACAGGGGGGCGTGAGGGGAGTTTAGGCGGCACGGCCGCTAAAGATCCCCCGCAGTGGGGGGCTTATCGGCGCTAAAAGCTGGGGAAGGACGACATGCGGTTGCGCAGGCGGCAGCAGCCCGTATTGGCAAGACGAGCGCTGAAGGAGGTTGGAGTCGTGCGTTTTGTGTGGTTGCGATGCAAGGCGGCTCCGACGCAGCCGAGCGTACATACGAGCTTAATTCCATGAGGGGGGGAGTCGTGCAGTGCGGTGCAGGGCAGAGCTGAGCTGGGCTGGATGCGCGGGATGTGCGGGAGGGGGGAGGATGATGATCAGGAGATTTAATGTGGGATTTTGCCGAGAGGATTTGCAAATGGGACGTTGAAGAGAGGAACAGTGAATGGATATGGATTAGACATTATTGGTGGTAGCGGCTACCTAGCTATTGATGTTGTTAATACTATCCAAGTTTTACAGCAACTGGTTGTAAGACAGTTGTCAACTCTCAACAACATACTTGCATCTAAGCAGTGGTCAGTCTGTAGCATTAGTTGTCATTCGACGGTGTGGTCCGCGGAACAGCATTTAACAAGCATCCATCCAAAGCAAGCACCAATGCATTCCAAAGCAAGCAAATACAGCAAATCGGCGCCCTGTCCTACAATTCCATCTGGCAGTTCCCGCCGTGGCAAGGAGTCTCACAACGGCCCCGGAAGTCGGGCCCAATATTCAAGCACTTGTCACACCCGCAAACGAGATCCAAGTGCGTGCCAACCTTTTGGTCGATGTCGTCGCAAAGACAGATGTACAGCGCAGACGAGGTGTTTGTAGCAGGGACGTTGTCATTGCACGAGGCGTGGGGAGTCTTGCAGTATGCCTCGGCCAGCTGCTTCTGAGACCAGGGCTTTTCTATACAGAGCATCTTAATCAGCCAAGGACCAGGTTGTTGTATAAAATGCAGTCAAACGGGCTCGCATAACGTACTCATGCCCATTAGCACAGACGCGCAATAGGTATAGCCGCATTCACAGATGGGCCCCTCCGGCACGGGAGGCTCCCTGGTGGGAGCAGGAGGTGGCGCACCCTTGGGCGAGGTCGAAGTGCTAGTCGTCGTTGGTTCCGGCAACTGAGAGGAGAGTGGCGGAGGGGGCGTGTCGGGCGTTGGAATCTGGGGTCTGGGATTGGCGGCAGACAGTCCAATCAGGGCAACTAGAGCCATGGCCAGCTTCATTGTGGGCAGCGTAGTTTTTGCAGGTTGTTAAACTCAATTATACAGGCAGTCTAGTGCAATGTTGTTGGTAGATTAGATCAGATCAGATCAGATTCAGATGTGAGATGTTATCAGTCTCGAGGCGGCTGAAGACGAGGCATTCGTTCGCCATCCCGGCTTTATATAGACATGCCCCTTGAGGATAGATGATTCAATCCAGTTATGAAATAGCACTACGATCCAAATAGGTGATACCAAATCATAGAGATCGACAGGAATCTCTAGCTCTTAATCCTGACAAGAAATCATGCTTGTGTTTCCAACTCGGCTCAATGCTCTGCTTTCATCTTTCATATTTCGTCACAACACGCCATCGATCCTTTACAATCTCACAATCACCCAATCATCACGTAATAGACTCTTCACTTGGACACGGATTGCAAACAAACATGCCAATTAATACACAATATTCGAGCTTGACACTTGTGCTGACCAATTGCAGAAGTAGCTCTTATTAGCAGTCTCCGAATTTACATCTTTACCTCGGATCGTCGGTCCCGATGAGCCGACAAAACAATTTCATGCGTGACAAAAGCCTTAAAGATATCCTATATTTGACAGTTTTAATTACAATCGGTTCATCAAGCAGGCAGTACTCGTATATATATAGTCTGCACACATATACTTCCTACAAGTATGTGATCGCCTACCCTGCATATCACAGTGTCGCATCTCAATCCACACTGGCTAACACACCTGTGCAAGCTCTGCACAGTGCTAATACCCCGCCAATGCAATGCTGCTCACTACCCCTCCATCGGCATTCGGAATCCTTCATCGAGCCATTATCGCCTCCTACGAAAATTGGACTCTCACACGCAACTCTCCTTTTCTCTCTCACTCTCTCATAATCAACAACCTTTCCCAAAAAGCCCCCCCAAAATGGCCGACGACAAATCATCAGGCCTCGCACAGGGCCCCACGACCATCAGGGTCGGCACGCGCAACTCGCCTCTCGCCCTCGCCCAGGCCGACCTCGTCGTCGCCGCGCTCCAGGCCGTGCTGCCCGCCTACTCGTTCCCCATCCACGGAATGACAACCACCGGCGATCGCGACCAGACGACGGCGCTCTACAACTTTGGCGGCAAGGGCCTCTGGACGACGCAGCTGGAGGATAAGCTCGAGGCAAACGAGCTCGACATCATCGTCCACTCGCTAAAGGACATGCCCACGACGCTGCCCGACGGCCTGCTGCTCGGCTGTGTCACCAAGCGGGAGGACCCTCGCGACACGCTGGTGCTGAAGAAGGAATTGGCCGACAAACACGGCTGGAAGAGCCTGGCCGACCTGCCGGCGGGGAGCGTCATCGGCACCAGCAGCGTGCGCAGAATCGCCCAGCTCGCGCGACGATACCCGAACCTCAAGTTCAAGGACCACCGGGGCAACATCCAGACACGGCTGCGCAAGCTCGACGAGGACCCCGAGCTCACGGGCATCATCCTGGCGGCGGCCGGCCTGCAGCGAATGAAGCTCGACGCTCACATCTCGCAGTTCCTCGAGCTGGACAACGGCGGCATCCTGCACGCCGTCGGACAGGGCGCGCTGGGCATCGAGTGTCGCGCAGGCGACCAAAAGGTGCTCGACGCCCTCAAGCTGATCGAGGACAAGGACGCCGCTCTGGCAACGGTAGCCGAGAGGAGCCTGATGCGCGCGCTGGAGGGCGGCTGCAGCGTGCCCATTGGCGTCGAGACGAAGTGGGTTGCGCCGGGCCAGCTGAGGCTACGGGCCACGGTCGTGTCGGTGCAGGGCACAGAGGGCGTGGACGGCGAGGCCGTCGAGGCGATTTCCTCGGCCGAGGAGGCCGACCGGTTTGGCGAGAAGATGGCCGCCGATCTGGTGAGCAAGGGCGCAAACAAGATCTTGGACGACATCAACAAGAACAAGCCGGCACCACCGGCGCCAGCGAAATAAAAAGAAATGCTGGTGTTTGCTGTACGACTATGTATGAATGACAAGGAAGGACAAGGACAATGGAAAAATGAACGGGGGGAGAGGAGGGAAGAAGGAAAACATTTGCATCATCATCATCACCATAGCTGTTTGATATTTGATATTCTCTTTTTTTTTTATGACGCCGCTGATAAACCGGCACAGCAAACCAAAAATGTATACCCTCTCATCTGATGTAAAATATGAGCAGCCCACGCTATGGCATGGTAACACCAAATGCGAACTTGTTTGTTTGTTTGCTGCAAAAAAATATACAAGATTCAAAAATCCCTTGCCTCCGCTGATTACCAGGTTGAACTGTTTTGCTTGTTTTGTTTTTCTACACCATATGTCCGGGCCAGCTCTTGTCCCATCGTCCCATGAATGAAGAAGAAAAAAAAATATTTCTCTTCTTCTCATATGTCTTCCCCCCCTCTCTTCTCTCTTTCTTGTTTAAAGTGTCCATCCAGTCCCCATATTTCCAACGCCATGTCTGTCAAATCGTCTAATCTTTTAGCCGCCCCTCATTCTTTACTCGGAAGTAAACGCCTTGTAGGCCTCGGCATCCAGCAGCTCGTCAAACTGCGCGGCGCCCTCCTCGTCAACCTCGACCTTGACGATCCAGCCGCCGCCGGCGCTGTCGTCCTCGGGCACCTGGTTGATGGTGGCGGGCTTCTCCTCCAGCAAGGCGTTGGTGTGGGTGACCTTGCAGCGGATGGGCGCGTTGATGTCGCTGGCGCTCTTGACGGACTCGACGGCGCCGATGGAGTCGCCCTGGTCAGTCCATTCGCCCGCGGGGGGCAGCTCGACGTAGACGACGTCGCCCAGCTGCTCGGCGGCGTACTCTGAGATGCCAATGACGCCGGTCTTGCGGTCGGCCGAGAGGTCGATCCACTCGTGGTCCTTGGTGTACTTGCGGGCGAGGCCTGTAGAAATTAATGCTCAGTTAGTATTCGTTACAACGAATAGGCTATTCGAGGAGAATGCTATGGACACATACTCAGACGGGTGCTGGAGAAGCTTCTGAAGGGCATCGCCAGCCGAGCCATCGGGGCAGCTCGGGGCGCAAAGCGCATGGCCACGGGGCGGGCAGCGCGCAGGGAGCAAGCAATTGAGGCCATTTTGTGTTTGGGGAGAAAAGAGATTCTCTGTTTGCCGAGGAAGCCTTTTAGAGAGAGAGAGAGGAGGTTGAAGAAAAAAAAGGAGAAGACAAAAAGAGAAGATCTTCAATGACGCCCCCAGAGACGAAAACGAAGAGTAGCCGGTTAATTGTTTGCTCTTATCGGAGGCGCTAAATGGGCTGTTCGGTACGTACAGATGTGGGGTTGATTTGCAGAAAAAAAAGAACAAAGAGCTTGGCTTAGTCACGCCGCCATAAAGGTGCATCTGTGCTGGACGTGCCAATAGAGGAACCCGATGCAAGGCGCCGGCACCCGCATCGCTTCTGCTCTACAGCCGGGGAGGACCAATCAGGTGCGGCAGGCGAGGCGATTTCGCAGCTGGTGCCCTGGACTGAGAGGTGCCAATTGGGTAATCATTACCCTACCGGAATGGGGGAATATGGGGATGCTCTGATGGTTGATAACGGGCGGGTCGAGCCGGGTTTACGGAGGGAGAGGCGTGAGATTTGCTGTGGGTTGGAGGATTGCGTGACACGGCATGGGATAACGGCAAGGAGAAGAGACGGAATAGTTCATATCACTGAGATGAAGTTGCATTAGAAAAAAAAAAAAAAAAAAGAAGCAAAAAATAAAATAGAAGGGCGAAAAAGGGTGGCCGAAAACTTCATATCCACCATAATCACGATAGTCTACACACCGCGAGAACGGCCTCAAAAAGAGCAAAAAAAGAAGATCTCCAGAAGCGGAATCGAACCGCTGACTTTTCGATAACCTGAATCAATTACAGTCGAACGCCATGAACCAACTAGACCACCCGGAGTTGTATCTTCTTGGAAGAAAGCCGCTGCGTATTCAGTTTATAAGAGAACTCTGATGGCATATCTCAGAACGCAATGGGTTTGTGCTGCGAAGTTTTTTCCCACTATAAAATAGCTTTTCCCACTGTAAAAACAGCTTAATTTCGCGTTAGTCCCGCCCTACAGCTGCTAGTTTGGAGCTCTTTCTCTCTTCTAGCGGCGCCTGGAAGCCCTAAAAGCGCAGGTGGTTCGGGCTAGTGGCTTTTTTTGCTTGGGCTGGATCTTTCGATTTTGCGGTTTGTGATGCGGCGCGACGACTCATGTTAAGGCATTGCCGAAGTAGATCCGGGGGATTGAGTACCAATCAGGTGCTAAATCTGGGTGCTCGTATGATTGAGATTACTACTATTTGCTGGAGCTATAGCTATGGAGCTGTCGATATTTTAGACAAGATGCGAGTAGAATCCATTATTTATTCTACAGTTGGGTTAATTTGCTGTTAATCACTACCTGGTGCTGTCGATACAGGTAATATTGCCTGTGAAAGGCCTCCTGGTGAACAGACAAAGTAGATATTCCAGTCTTGATCATTATAAGTCAACTTTCGGCTCATTCATCTGACCATTTTCATATTCTTGCAATAAATTGATGGTCATGAGAGTGTCTGTTGCAAAAAAAATAAGAAATTATGACCATATATGGCACATACATGTAGTTATGACCCAACTTGACCTCGTCGAAAACTCCCCCAATCAGACGCTCATCTCAAATCCAAACATCTTCGAGCCATGACATTACCAAAACTAAACAAGACGAAAACGTATCCAGCATGCATGCCAAACAACACATCACATCACATACATCACCATTACCCTCACCACCCTCACAACGCAGTCCTCACCACCTTGCCCATCTCGCCCATATCAACCCTATCAACCCTCCCCTTCACCTTCCTCCAAATCGCCTCGGCCACATCCTCCACCGGCCTGCTCGCATCCACAACCACCAGGTCCTCCTCGTCCTGCCTCCACGACGGGCCCTCAATCCCGCCCAGCTGCTGCAGCAGATCCTGCCCCTTGATGTCCTTGCCGCCCATGCTCAGCGCCCAGAACAGCTCGCGCACCGTCCGCTGCATCTCCTCCTTTTCGTACTTTTCGCTGCCCCAGCCGCCGCGCGACCGGGCCGTCTCCTCGTCGAGGTCCAGGAAGAGCACCAGGTCTGGGCGCGGCAGGCCGACGTCCGGCGAGCGCGCCCAGGCGAGCGGTAGATGGGGGTTCTTCTTGGCGGCGGAGTAGACGATGCCGGAGTGGTAGAAGCGATCTGAGACGACGGTGATGCCGGCGGCGAGGTATGCCCTGATTTGGTTTCTGGAATGGATGGTTAGCATCAGGCGATGAGCAAATGTCTTGTCTCGAGAGGTGCGTTTTGAATGCTGGACGTATATATATATATATATATATATATGTATGCATTGATATACAGGGGATTGTGATGATGATGAATAACCAAGACAGACGCAGAGAAATCAACTCACGCAGCTTCCCAGCGGTTGGCACTAAACAGAAGATGAATGGCATGATCATCCAGCTCAACATTGCTCTTCAAATAGCCATCAATCATCTGCCCAATCGCCGTCGTTCTATCTGCACACATACAATCAATCAGCCATCATTCAGTCATCACAATCAAGCAGCCTCCTTTTCTCGAGAAGCAGTAAAAAAAAAAAACAGATCATCATTTCACAACAAGAAAAAAAAACTACTCACCAGGAAACCTCATCACCTTGGCCGGCCTCCCCTCCTCCACAAACCTCTGCTCCAGCAGCTTCACCTGCGTCGTCTTGCCGCTGCGGTCCAGCCCCTCCAGCACGATAAAGGCGCCCCTCTTCTTGGCCGCCCCCGTGCCGTCCTCGCCCGTCTGGCTCGACGACGCAGAGCCCGCGACGGCGGCTGCGGCCAGGTCGTGGATGGAAGACATTTCTTTTCCCTCTTCTTTCTCTAATGTGATTATTTGCTTTATGAACCCCCTTCCTTGATGAAGATTTTACTGCTCGGTTAGCCGTCAATTGGGCTGTAGAAATAGGATGAAATTGAGAAATGAGGAAAAAAGCAGAGCTGCGGGCTGGGGGAGCTGCATGAGAGCTTTCATCATCGCAGAGATAAGATTGGACGCCCGCACTGTGACACTGTGGCTGAGCTGAGAGATGCGAGGTGGCTGGTCTGAAGCACAGTGTAACTAATTCCAGCTTAGATCGGGCATCGCTTCTCAGTTGTCACATTCATACCAAAGTGGCTGGCTGACATATCACACACAAAAAAAGACGGATGTTTATAGTATAGAGTTCAAACAATACGATTAATCGTGTACGATACTTGCTACTCTGATCAAGACTCTAACAAGGAACGGCCACAGACCGGCGCATCAAATCAAGCAACAACTCCTGGTATCACCAATTCCGCACCGAAAACCAGATAACGCCGCCCAGCCCTGAAGGAAGAAAAAAAAAAAAAGAGGGCAAAAAACTGATGCGCCAAAGTCACGGCCTTTTTGAAACAAGGATAAATAAAAAAAGAGAGAAAAGAAAAATACAAAAGAGCAAAACAGGCCAAACACAGTCAGAGAAATTGTTTTTAAAAAGAGGAAGATGAAAAAAAAAAGGCTCAAACAGAAAGGCTCAAATGCTTGCTTGCTCTTCATCCAGCGTTAGAAAGCGTACACTCATTCCCTCGTTGATTATGCGAAGTCGATTGCAAACACAGCTCCTTACGGGCTTTCAGCCTCATCCTTGGCGCTGCCGCTTTCCCATAGCTCAAAGCTCTCGCCTGTGCCTTCAATGGGCTGTAGGACAGCGGCCTTGGATGATGAGTTGTCGGGTCTTGAGATGAGGTCATCGATATCCTCGTGAATCTCAAGCTCGGGTTCCTCGTCTTCTTCGGGTTCCTCTTCCTCTTCCTCTTCAGGAATGTTTGAAATGGCATGAGGGGCTTCCGGCTCCTCGTCATCCTCGTGGATCAGAATCACCGACGTCTCATCACAGCCATCGGCGTAAAAGTCAGCGGCATTCATCTCTCCGAGCGCAACTCGCTCCTTTTCAATAACCATCTCCTCGCCCTTGGGCTGGCTGGTCTGCTGGGCTGAAGTCTGGGAGACGTCATCGGGAGGAGGAATGTTCTCCTTGTCACGGCCTTCGGCACCATCTCGCTTGGCGCGCTGCTCAGTCTCCTCATCAGATGAGATGTCGAGTGTGCAGGTGCTGTGCTGGAGAAGGTTGGTCATCTCTTGTTCAGGGGTGTCTTCGTGAATGTCGAAGAACCAGCTGGACTTGGCCTCAGGCTCGAGCAGGCTAGACATGGGCTTCCTGGCAGCAGGCTTGGGGGTGTACCCCGCGATGGTGCCCTTCAAAGCAGCATCGAGAGAAAAGGGGGCAGAAGAAGCGCCCATGAATGAGGGAGGGTCCAGGCGAGTGGTGCGTCGCCGGCTCGACAGCATTCCTAAGCGCTTGCCACGAGTCGGTGAGCGACCGGCTGGAGGAGGGCAAGACTTGGGCGTGGCGTTTTCAGAGCCGAGCTTGCTCAAGCATGACTTGGCACTGAGGATGCGTCGAGGCGTTGAAGCAGCCTTGACTGGAGTGGCGAGAGAGGACCGCACGGGAGTGCTGATCTTGGGAGTGAGAAAGTAGTTGGAGGGCTTGAGGCCATCCTTGGCAGAGCTGACGCCCTTGGAGCGCTTGGAGAAGAGCAGCGGATCGACATTCTCGCAGTTGTCAATCTCGAGAAACTCTGCTTTGCGCTTTGGAGAAACGGGTGCGGCTGAGCGATGGAGTTAGCCAGACGTTATTCATGTCAAGGCTGGGAAAATGCGCATCTGATGCTGCCGCTGCCACATTTTCATCGCACAAATTCAACGCAACAACATACCATTTTGTCTGTTCTTCAGACTGGTTAATGATTGAAGACGAGCTCCGTCCAGGGGAGCAAACGGCTGGCGAGTGACGGCGGCCATGGTCGATGGCGAATTAAAAAAAAAAAAAAGCGATTCAACTTTGCGATTTCGATGCGATGCGAATTCGATGTAAAGCGAAATGCGATGATGCGACAAGTTGCAGTGGTTCCACTCCGAGAACCGCCCCTTCGAACTGGTGTGGAGGGAGGGCAAAACAGAAGATCGATGGCAGAGATTTGAGATTTGATGGCAGCAGATGATTCACAGTAAAGGCGGTAAGGTAGAGATGAGTATCAATTAGTTGGAGATGAGGCGAGAAACGGGCTTTGCAGATTAATTTTTTTCTTCTTTTTCTTCTTTTTTTCTGTGCTTGTGGTATGTATTCGCTTCAAAAATCCCAGGAATGAATCGTCCTCTCTTTTTTTCCTTTTACACCAGACTTAAACGAACGTGTTGGTGTGTGTATGGCGTTCTGAGAGAGTGAGAGCCGGAATAAACAAAAAGGATGAGGGGAGGGAAGAGGCAGCGCGAGAAAAGCAGGCCCAAGTGGGACACAGCGAGTACTAATAAACAAGCAACGAACACGCCGCGAGATGGACGTGAAGCGAGAATGAGAGGCGACGAGGGAGGGCTGGCCAGGGAGGGGCGCAGAGGGCGGTACAAGTCAGACGCCGCAGGGCTCCGTCGCTGGCATGTGTCTGCGACACTGCCGCCCGCTGCGCCGGTACTTGGCGGCGAGGTATCTGGGTTTGTAGCCCTGAGGTACCGCTGCGGGGCGGAATGTGTGGCAGAGACACGCAGCTGCGGCTGGCGAGTAACCACTGCGCACCAACGGGCGTTCCAGCAGGCGATGGTACACAACGCAGTCGCCGGTACCTGGTGGTTCGTGCGCGGATTGGCTGAAGGGAGGTACCGCAAGACGCGCCTCACACGCCGATGGGTTTTCACTTTAATGGGACGGGACGGATGGCCCTGAAGAGTGGGGGAGGCCAGCAGTAGCTTCAGGGAGCTTTCAGGGGACGATGGAGGGAGAAGAGAACTGGAGGAGCGCAGTTTTACAGGAGGGCATGGAGGGGATTGGAGGGGAGGGGCAGCTGCTGGAGGGATGGATTTGACGGGAGCCGAAGACGACGAAGAAATGGCAAAATCGATCACTGTGAGTGATGCTGCAGGGCAGACGGAGAGCGAGATTCTCGTCTCATCAGTCACTCCAGCCCCAAAGACATGGGCTAGACAGCGCATCCACCCGCACGAAAATCTCAAACTCTATCCTGCACTTAACGCGACTCTGCCGCCAAACTGTCACGAAAAGCACTGGCCACGGCCGCCCGCGCTGCAAGGCCCAATCGACGCGTGGGGATGCGCTGCCGCCATGGATGCGCCCTGATGCGGACCCCTGTCGGTGATGCAGCGGTGCATGTCTGGTGGGACACGCTGGGGAGGCAAAGAGGCAAAGAGGGCTGCAGATGGATCGAAGTGGATGCAGCGCCGGCGGGTTGAGAGCTGGGACGCGAGCTGGACGCGATGGCGGCGGCCGGGGGGGGCTGCAGCGGTGATGCGGCATGGATGGATGCAGATTGTATGTATGTAGATATGTAGATGTGGCTATATTTATCTTGATCCTGGCGGGAAAGCCTGGATGATGGGCGATTGCGTCTGATTGGCGATGCAGCAGCAAGATTGGCCTCGTGTAAGTGGTGGATGGATATACCGTAGATGGCTTCGGATGTCGATATGCCTACATGGCACAGACGGACCTCGGCGTCCACGATTGCCTCGCTCAGCCGCTATACTAGCATCGCTCAATAGTAATTAATTAATCTCGACTCTGCCTTGGATGATGTCAAGCCACTGCCAGGGCCTTCGGCTTGCCCCGATCACGCCAAACCGACGCGTCCAGTCCCAGCATCCAATCTGGACCACCGCCAATAGTCGCCCCATGCTAAGAATCCAATCCAATATCGCTCTCCACCCAGTCAGCCACCTATCTTCAACTATTCAACCCCCCAGTCGCACCAAGCAGATGCATCTCCGCCATCACGACCTGCCATTGGCTGCAGATCCCGCCTCTTGCATTGTCTTTTGAGGGCGGCCATGTTGGACATTCTGCGTGCTCTTCTGCAAGGCCTAATGGGTTTGTGCGACATGCGGTACGGCGTTCTTGGCTGCTGATTGCCTGCGTGGCACAAGTATCTGGTGTCTGATATGATACATGACTCTCGGCAAAAGGGACGCATAAGTGCACTCTGGTTTCAGTTTCAGCTTGATCTCGACGATGGCATCCCTTTGCCCTGTCTCTGCTGCATCTTTGAATGCTTGCATATGAATGAGCAGTAGCAGATCGTATTACTACTAGGTATTACTATTACAAGCCACACACACACACATATACACAGCACAGACAGGCCTCTTCCAACCTCAATTTCTTTCCTGTCCAATGCCCTTGCATTCATTCATAGACGCCCTCTATAATAATTCACAGCGGCTAACAGCACCAACCACACGCACCTCCATCCACATCCACAGCCTAAGCGCTGCCCTTTTGTAGCGCCAGCTGCTGGTCTATCAACCCGCCCAGCGTCTCTCCCAGCGGCCGCCACCGCATCCCCAGCACCTCGTTGTCGACCCTGAACGGCACCGGCCCGTCCTCGTCCAGCCTCGTCTCCAGCTGCGGATACGTCGCCCTCGTCCACTCGCCAATCTCGCGCCAGCTCGTCGGCGCCCCCGAGGCCACCAGCTCGGCCTGCACGTCCATCGCCGCGGCCCTGATGCACAGCTGCGCCACGTCTCGCACGTCGACAATCACGGCTGGGAACAGCGGCGCCGCCAGCTGCAGCGACTGCCAGAACCAGGCGTTGATGCCGTCCAGGTCGGCGGCCGTCCTGCGCACCAGGCTGGGGCCCAGCACGAATGTCGGATGGATCGTGGCCAGCGTAAAGGCCGGCGAGTGCTCGGCGACCCAGTCCCGCGTGGCCTGGTGCGCGACGATCTTGGAGGCCACGTACATGCGGCCGTTGTCGCCCTTGCCGCCGGGGAAGACCTTGTCGAGGTCGATGTCGTGTCTTTTGCCGGTGTTGGCTGCGTTGGTGGTTGTCATGTTAGCTGGTTGGATGTGATGTGATGTGACTTGGCTTCTCCCTTCAATCCTATCAAAGAACTACTACTAATACCTATGCATGCACTATATATCCTAGGAACTCACCTGCGACAAACGTGTCTGTGTTGTAAAACAAGTCGACGGGCCCAATGCCCAGGATCGAAGACATGACAATCACCCTCTTGATGCTGCCCACCTTGCTGGCACTCTCCAGCATCGACAGCGTTCCATTGCGCGCTGGCTCGAGATAGTCCCGGTGCAGGTCGCTCCCCTTGCCAGGCATGGGCGATGCCAGATGGAAGACGACCTGCACACCGTCCAGAGCACTGTCAAACGCCCCGGGAACTGAAATGTCCGGCACAACGACAAACTGCAGCCTTGAAACGTCGTCGTGGAAGATGCCCTTGAGGGTGTCCATCTGCTCTGGCTTTCGGACGCTCACTCGCACGGTGTAGCCGTCTTGCAGAGCAGATGCGACGACCTGCGAGCCGATGAAGCCCGTTGCGCCGGTGACAAAGGCAAGCTTGGAAGGCATTATGCGTAAACGTAAAAATCGACAGAATTGTGATGCAATCTTCACTTCATTAGAATGAATGGGTATAATATTTGACTTTGAGACTTGCATAAAATGGCCTTTCATGCGCTTCATATATAATTGAACCCCGTCTTATACATGGCCCAAGTGCATCCATATTGTCTCCTCCAACGCATCACTAATCACCCCGTCTCGGTATCAACAACTCTGATTTTGTAATCCAACAGCGACGTCTAATCAGAAAATCAATCCAGACAACCCCAGCATTTGCATCATAATATTCTGCATCCATATCCCAACATATGCCAACATTTGCCATCAAAGATGCTTATAATATTTGGCGATTACCTCACCCCTCCGACCCAGCGCCACACTTGATTTGTCCTCCCCCACCAGAGTCATGCATCTCATCGCCGACAATCATACAACAACTGGGCTATACTGTAACAACATGGATAAGATGTGCATGCATTCGGCCTTATATATATTCGTCGATCCTCGGCCCTTTCCTTGTAGATCCCCTTTCCGAGGTATCAGTGCAACATGGGATCCAAAGGCATACGCACCTCTCTGAGCAGCATTTTGTGATTAGTATATCGAAATGCCGAGATGAACGCTAATTGTCTGGCCCATGGATGCAAACGATTATCCCCTTTCGGTATATCCAAGGCGTAGCATCCTATTCGACTACAGCCAAGTCCTTGACTAAGGTCGTCATGCTTGTGGTGTTGGCAGTCATTCCTAGACGGCTTATAAGAGAGAGTGTTGTCCCTCAAAGATGAAAATGAAAACCATCACTCACCAGCTTCTTCTCGCTACAATCTCGACTTCTCGACATTGACACCTATACTTCCACTTACACCATCATCTCCAACACAAACCGCAAACATGCCTCACTGGCTCATCTACCACCCCCCCTCCGCCTACCAGGACGTCGAGTCCAAAGACACTTTAGCAAAGGCCATCACCGCCTTCTACACCGGCGTCGGCATGCCCGCCTTCTACGTCGTCGTCCAGTTCATCCAAGTGCCCCTTGCCAGCACGTACGTCGGCGCCCAGACCCGCAGCGCCGGCGACAAGCCCTTCGTCCGCCTCGTCGCCACGCACATTGCGCACAACTACCCGGACGACGATGCCGTGCTCCGCGCGGCGGGCGAGACGTTCAACAAGCTGCTGACGGCGCAGATCAAGCCCATGGGATATGACTGGGAGTTTCACATTGCCGAGACGGACCGGCGGCTGTGGAAGGTTAACGAGTTTACGCCTCCGGAGAGACACACCGATGGGGAGGCGCTTTGGGTCAAGGAGAATAAGGCGGTGCCTTACTGATTGATGGCGGTGTCTCGTTGAGAGATGTAGAGATATGTGGGTGTATTTGGAGGCTATTGACAATAAAATACAATACACTACAAGATGTTACTCTATACTGACTTATACACTTATACTGCTTGCCTCTGTGTCAACCCTGCTCTGTAACATCTGTAAAGTAGGCAATGAGTCTATCAATTCTTCTCTATCCAGGGAGCCTGAACCCGAGTCGAGAGCGAGCACCCTGAAATTACTCCTAATTAAAAGACACAACTGCCAAACATGCATTCCATCACTTCATCAAAAGCAACTTTCCAGTCCCTGCTATTCAAAACCGATAGCTTACACTACTGTAAGTTGAAGCCCCACAACTTCTACAGTAGCTCCTGTCATCTCAGCTTTAATGCCCCTCCAAAAACTTGAAGGCGACAAACTTCCGCACTATATTTTATTTTAGCGGCTTGTTCTGCATACCGTTTGCCATTTTCAGAATACGCGATATTGATATCTTTATGTGCGTGATTCCAAAGAAGAGATTCCTTAGATGAGTAGATTATAATGCAATGATTGAATTAATCAGCAGCGTTTGGAAAAGAATTTACAAGGCGTTGAGTCCCTGTATTTGATCAACTCCACATGCAGTCATGTTCTTGCTCTTGTTAGCATTTTTACATTACTAATTCTAGGCGCCTGTAAGTGAAGAGGGCCCGTCGAGAGCTTATCTACATGTGTTAAACTCATTGTTGCTATATCATTTCTTTAGCATCAAGGTCTATACTATGTACTCCAGACATTATCTTGCCCGAAATCTACCCTGCGTCGTCTTTGGAACATCTATCTCTCTTCTCACACTTTATACATCACAAACTTTTACGGCGTGCTTGGGACGAAAAGTGCAATAGCCATTATTAATACTTCGTCTCATATATTTCTCTCACCATATCAAGTCGATCATGACTTCATCCAGGTACATCACATGATATCAGCATCGGTGATCTACTACCTACCTAGTATGTAGTATGTAGGCAGCTCTCGCCAAGCTCGCTACCAACAAAAATACAACGATCTTTAAAGGCATTTTAGCACTCAAGTTGCCAACATGGCACCAGACTCAATTAACAACCTGGCTGAAAAGTTACTCGCTTTTGTCGTACAACTAAAGCACTCAACTCAACAGTTCACAACTGGAGTAAGCCGTTCTCTAACAAACACACACACATCGTGAGAATTACCAGGATCCACCAACTAGGCCCTCAAAAAGCATACTTTATGCTTATTGGCGGCAAGACTAAAGCACTACTCGCAACGATTGCTATTTTTACACCGAATTTTACATAAACAGAGGTTTAAAAAAAGATATCTCACTTCATTCCTGGCTAGCTTACTACCCACTGCCCATACATGACAAGTCATTGAAACGCCAATCATATAACATGAAAAGAGCCTCATCTGATAGCCAGGCCCACCGCATCAGACAACCCCATCTACACCGATTCTTTTTCACGTCTTTCAGAAAAAAAAGCCCATCTTCCAGTAGAGCGATACAGCTAGTAAATCAAAAACAGCGCCAGAAACATGTCCAAAAAAGTCTCCTGGCACGACCATATCCTCCCCCCTCTCAACCACTCCAACTCAGAAATCCGACTCCTCCAAATCAAACCAGGATTCCCAGACTCGCCCATCCGCTGCAAATTCCACGTCACAACTCTCGACAACATAGACGTCTCCTATGAGGCGCTCTCCTACGCCTGGGGAACCGACAGCCAAAATTCCACCCACGAGGACATTTACTTTGGAGACAACGACGACGACAACGACGATGCCCACAAAGTCGGCGTCACCCCTTCGCTGGCCAATGCCCTCCGCCGGCTGCGTCTGCTCAATGAGCCACGCCACGTCTGGGCCGACGCGCTGTGCATCAACCAGGCAGACGACCATGAAAAGTCACTTCAGGTCAGCATCATGGGCCGCATCTACAGCACCTGCACGCAAGGCGCCATCTGGCTCGGCCCCCTAGGTGACACTCCCCAAGATGATGCCCGAGCAGCGCTAGACACCATCTCCTGGATCGCCGGCGAGCAAGAGGCTCCATCTTGGATGGAAGTCAGCGAAAGCGATGAGGATGAAGATGAGGATGAAGAAGACGGTGATGAATGTGACGGCGAAGATGGTGATGCAGATGACAATGGAGTCGAGGATGAGGATGAAGCTGGCAATGAAGAGGAGGATGGAGACGGCAACCACAGCGAACAAGACAAAGCCGCAAGCCTAAAGAGACAAGCCGCCGCCGCCGCCTTCAAAACCCTCATCAACGTCCCCTGGTGGTCCCGCATCTGGACCGTCCAAGAAGCCATCCTGCCCCCCAAAGCAATCATCTACTGGGGCCCCTGCGAAATCCCCTGGTCCACCCTCGACAAGGCATCCGACAGCTTCTTCGACGACTCGGCGCCAAACGTGCCCGACGAGTTCTGGCACAACGGCTGCCTCGAGGACCTGACGTCTGCGCTCCGCGGGCTCAACGCCTCGCGCGAGGAAGAGCTCTTCATGCTACTCTGGCGATGGAGACATCGAAAGGCCACGGATCCGAGAGACAAAGTATACGGCCTCTTGGGTTTTCGGCATGACGTCTCTCTCCCCTCGGTGACAATGTGCGACTACACTGTCGACGTGCGCACGCTGTACCAAAAAGTAACGATAGACCTCATCAACATAAGCACCGATCTCCAACCCCTAATGGGTCGCGGGGGTGAGCGCTCTGAAATCTCAGGCCTCGCCTCCTGGGCCGTAGACTGGGACGGCGTCAAAGATCCCGCGAAGCGCACCAAATGCAGCTTCTGGGACCATCACCACTGGTGGCACTTTGGCGGCTTCACCGCTGATCGGGGCATATATGGCGTGGGCGAGGGCTTGCGGGTCGAAGGAGACGGCGATGTCCTCCGCGTGACCGGTCTTCGACTGAGTCCGATTGCCATGGTAGAGAACAATCTCCCAGAAGACATCGAAGTGTCAGAGGATGTCACAGTCGCGGCCCTCTACCGTTTGTATGGCGACCGATGGGGCGAACTCATGACCCGGTACCACAAACAATTTCCGGATAAGCTATTCAACGGCGGCATGACTGCTTTCCTCAGCCTGATTACTGGTAATCTGGTGTCAGATGGATCCGAAGATAATAACGAGTTCGCCGAATGGGTTCAGAAAATGCTTCGGACAAAGGCCTTCTTTATCACCGAGGATGGGCGGCTTGGACTGGGCCCGCGGAATATTCGCCCAGGGTTAGAATTGTGGATTGTAGGCGGGTGTAGAATGCCTATAATCCTGAACCCTCTACCAAAAGCATCAGACGAAGAGGCTGATGTGAGTCTAACATTTCACAGCGAATGCTTTGTGTACGGTATCATGACGGGAGAGGCTGTAGAAGGAAGAGGAGGCCAAGTAATAGAAATCCTGCTTCGATGAAAATTGGCATTTGATAGATGATAGATGGCAATCTCACGTGGACTGCAACAAGAGCAAGCGGTATGTTGAGCGTATAAAATAATCTGATATTACTATTTATAATCCTATAATGCCAAGTCAATGCACAGACAATGCCTCTTCCGCGCTCTAACCATCTTTATTGCCCAAGTTGATGAAGGCGAGGAAAGCTTGCAATTGTATTTACTTGATCAACCTCAATATGATGTCCCGATCCACCGGCAACGGTGTGAAGAATAGCATCAGCATGCAGAGCCTTTGCAAGAGGAGCGTCGAAGTAGAGCTCGTAGGAGTCTTGAGAAAGATTGGAGTTGTTGTTTACAGTGATGACGGCACCGGTCTGGAAGAAATGAGCAACGCCAACAGCAGGATTTTTTGGGACAATGGGATCCTACCCAGTTTCATTTTTCAAAGGCCCTATTCGTGATGCTGTGGCCCCCAGCTCGTGGGGGGTAGGCTCGGTGGGAGCTGCGCTCTCTACATCGTCGCCAAGAACATGTTCTTGCTGTTTAGCTCTGCTCGGCGTAGCAAGGTCGTCTTCTAAGGTGTGCATGGGCCGTCGGTTGACCTTGGCCGGCTGTGCGCGGGCCTGCAAAGTTTGCGGATACAAATAGGCTTTGCCTTTCTGTGGAGCGGCCTCTTGACGAGCTGCTGGAGTAAATTGCTCTTGTTTGGTAGGATAGGCCATTGGTCCGTAGCAGAGATACTGCGTCTCTTCCAGCTTTTCACCTTTGCCATTTCGGGCTTGCTCGCGAACGATAATCTCTCCTTCAACTCGCACAAGTGTTCGGCGCGGAGAACAGCAGGCATCGCAATAGTCTTGACAGTCATCGCCATCAATGCTGTAGTGCCTGCGGACGGCCTTTTGCAGTGAACCAATACAGAGTGCGTAGACTATAAGCCACTGTTAGCGGGCTTGTCCGAAGCTAGTGTAGAGAAGACATACATGGCAGGCCCAGTGCAAACTGAGTACAATCGGAATTACAAGACCGAATCTCGGGTATGTTGATTGCATCTTGGTCAGAAGCAGCTATCTCCAGTCGAGTCCACGCCCGCGAATAGCTGTAACAACCGCAGAGAACGGTCTCGGATCCGCATCCACAACAGCAGCAGGCCTCGTCCTCATCTCTGCCCCATACCCATGGGTTCCGTTCCTCCGTTTGACGAGCGCTATTGACTCCTTGGACGAATTTGAGGTTGTTTGGGAAAGTGTCCATCCGGGTTTGCAGGTCATTGGCTCCCGGGTATGGACACATTTTGACGAGCTGCTAATTGATCCATACTCAAAAAGCAGACGAGAGGCAACAGAATGGGAGCAAGGTGGCCCAAGAAGAGTGAGAGGTCAAGCAAGTGAAGTCAGTGCAACCAGCGAGAAGCCAGCACAGCAAATGAGAAGCTAGTGGATAAAAGAGAGGTGGTAGCTGAATGACTAGAGTATAGCGAATGGCGATGATGATGATGGCTGGGTCTGTAAAGCTGGTAACGAGAGCGATAATGTGGTGATGAAAGCGATGATGGCGAGGGAGAGAGCAGTAGAATGTACGATTTGAGTAGAAAAGACCACAGAAACACGTCTACGAGTTTGATGCTTACGGAAGGAAAGAGAATTAAGCGAGTGGAAGTGGCAGCCTCATATCTGAGGTAGTCAATAAAGTCTTGGGAGTGGTTGCCCAAATGATGGTCTCTAATGTACTTGCAGTGTACGTGGATCATTACCTTTAACTCTATATCGCCTAAGTAGCTGCCAAGTTCCCATGTTTCGACTGCACCTGCACTGGCTTAGTATATTTGGTTTGTAGCAGTAGCGCACACTTGATAGAAAGTACTTTGCCTCGTATCTACCTACCTACTATAGTAGTCAATTATTGTCATGCCTAGATGTGAAGAAGGAATAAAAAAAAAAAAAGAAAGCTACAGGTAATATTAATAGGTAAGGCACCTTATGGAAGGCAGTATGGCTCCTGGATTCAACTGCTAACAGCAATACATGTTGGAGGTCCTGATAATTCTTGGATGCCTTGAGCCTAAAGTCGATGGTGTTGTGGCAAACATAGTCACGCAGACCATCACTCTCAGAGACAGCAAACTAACTCTCCAACGACTGAGACATTTTAGGGAGTGCCAGCGGAGACTATGGAGTTTTGGGGATGCACTTGTCTGACGAGTTGTCGGTGAGATGAGACGTTGTTTTAGCTTCTCTTTGTTGTGGCGTTGATGCTCTTTTGTTTGTTTTAGCAGTGCTGGCGCAGGTATTGACTCGTCTGTTGAAAGAGGTATAAAGAGCAGCCGGGCGCTAAGGGGCCGAGATCCGGCTGGGGGCAGGAATTGCTCTAGCGAGAGCCACTGGCGGATGGCTGCATGTACTTTTGCTCCCACAGTGACAGCCGTTATACGCGTCGCATGGAGCAAAAGCAGCAAAATGGCGCATGCATGTCACCCTATCGATATAGGACGAGTACTATTTCGTAGCCCGTTTGCTTGTTGCCCTCAACCAACAAGCAAAAGTTACTTTGCGCACTAAGAAGCCACATCTCGATAGTCCGAGATGCTAACAGCCTTTAGCAGCGCTGCTGGCCAGCCCAGAGCCTGGAACAAACTGCCGAAATGGGCACCTCAAAACGCGGGGATTGGGCCACGGCATCCACACCTGGCGCCACAGGCCACGCCACAGAGCGTCTTTGAAACTCGGCCCATTGAGGCTAGGGACGAGTCGGGCCCCTGAGCCTGCGCAATGACTCGCCTAGGCTCCTTGTCTCTAGCGGAATAGGGCTTGGGGTTCTGTTGAGTTGAGCCGAGTTGCGCTGAGTTGCGCAGAGTTGCGAAGTGTAAGTTGCGTCTGTAGGGCAAGCGTACAATCGATATGGCGCTGTGCGATATGGTGATCGGGCTGGAGAATATGGTGCCATGATTCGTGCAGAGTGGCCCGTGTGCCAAGCGCGTATCTCCATGTCGTCAGTCATTTAATTGGCAGCGCTTCGTTATCAAAGCCAGCGGCGATCCTCATGGGCGGCAAGGGGCTGTCTCGTTCGTTCAGGGGGCGGACGGGAAGCAATATGGAGGCACGCAGAAGAGAAGACGGAGAGAAACTCGTAGCTGGCCAATAGTGTCTGTCGCCAGTCGATTGAATGAGGAGCAGCCTTAATGTCATGCAACGTTCATGTAGCCACCTTTCACAGGCCAACGATCCATTGAACGAATTCGATGCGACATGCGAGGCACCCCCAACCTGGAGCCAACCGGCGCAAGTACTACATGACTAAGGACACGGACTGCGCCGAACGGATACAGCCTCTACTGCAATAGCGCTCTAGCATAGAACTAGATAGACGGATGAGCATGCTAGAGAGGACCGTTCGTACTCGTAATGGCGCCAGGCCAAGAAAGCAGATGCCAGGCAGGCGGCCCAGTAGCAGCATGGCAAACGGGCGTGGCCGTCCAGGATTTGGGTCGTATACAAGAGATCCTAGCTGGCCAGCGGAAAGACAGCGGGGACGGATTGCTGGTTCGCCTCTGATGCTCTGGTGCTAAGAGGTTAGCACGGGGAATATCTTCCAGCATTGCGAACGTATCTGTATACATGCTCCGTCATGGCCTGCAGCTCAGCAGGAATAGCCGTGCCGACGTTGCGAGGTAGCGTTATCTGGGCATCATGCCATGTCGCATCGCCATCTGCAGCAAATTGATGAAACGGTTTGGTGTGTTCGTACTCGCCAAGGGGGCCCGTTGCTGAAATGATGGGCCGAGACATGTGGAAAGAGGAGAGAGAAGAAAGAAGAGAGAGACAGTTTGGCGTCACCATCATAGAAACATCAATTACATGTATCTAATACGATATGAGATCTCGTCAACTTCTTCACCCGTCTGTGTTACAGCTGTATGCATCTCAGCGTTTACCCTCTGAGATTGGCGCAATGCCGCCCAAACTCCAGCAGGCTGGGAACCACGAAATCAGCCGTCATCTGCTTTTCTTATGCGTGCAGGCCCATGCCCACGCCAAATCCTTTCATCTGGGCACGTTTCGCCCGACGACTGGGCCCCATCCCTGCAAATGCCCCCCAAATCTGTGCCCTTGTATCTGCACTAGTCCTGCCACTATCTGGTGCTTTCCCAGCACTAACAGCATCGGCTGCGAGCTGCTGCAGGGCACCAGGTGCGCTAGAGGCAGGCCCCAGGCGGCCCAGGGGCGCTAAACGTGGCGGAAGGCCGACCGTTAGTGGGAGCTGCTAGCGTCGTTCTAGGCCCTGCATGGCCCAAGCGGCACCTGCGTTGGGCGACGCAATCTCGCTGAGAGGAGGGAGCTTGGGGGGCCTGGCCGCTGCAATCACATACTGCTAGGTACTTGCAAAGTCGAGTCGAGTCGAAGCGAGTCCTGATCGATTTGTATCTGTACCTGATATTCAGACTGGCGAGAGCACGAGGTCAAGGCACTACCCAGTAGCAGACATGGCCAAGCACAGTCCGGCGGCTGAAATGATGCACGAAAGAGATACTTGGCGAGCTACAGTCTCCTGCTAAGTAGTACCTCTTGTATGAGATACAGAGAATCTCTACCCTCAAGGTATCAACTGTACTAAGGTCCGCTAAGACAGACTCGTCCCAGCCGCAAACGCTCTGGCTCTGTTTGCCCCATGCAGCCAACGCTAGTGCCAGCACTTGGACCTGCTTCCAATCCTTGTACTCGGTACCCCGTACTTGTACTGCGTTTGCCATCAGCTGCAGAGGTACCTCCTACCAGGCCCGTCGCCTCCCTCCTTTCCAATATCACTGCCGCTCTCGCTCGTCCTCGACCTCTTCATCTCCACGATTCTCTTGTTTCTCGGCAACCCGAGTTGGATCCAGGGTTTCTTTGTCTGATTGCACGGGATTCCCATTTCAACATCAAGTTGCTTACCTATTCAGCCATTCCTCATTGTCTACTCCTCATTGTCTACTCCAGAGGTCCAAGCTCCGCCCAATGTCCAGCGTCTAAATCGCATCTCATCCATCGTGGTTGCATCGCACCACATTCTCTCCTTCTCTTCTTCAGACACTGCCGCAAACTGGCAGCACCGCTCGAAGCTTGCCATTCTTCCACGCCACTCGAGCATCTTGGCGAGCCCAGTCTCCAGCTTCCCACGACCGGCATTGCGCAATCTCCATCCAGACTTTGTGCCACGCTACTCAGAGGTATGATTTTCCGTATGCGTCCATATCAGATGGAGCACCCCCTGTGACCCGCGAAGTGTGGCTGCAGTCAGGCGCTCTCCATACAATTAGTTTTTTTGCCCTTTTGTTGCCCACATTTTAACGTTGTGTTTCCTGCCGTGCTCTTTCTCTTCTTAAATGCAAAAAGCTAACCTTTTCCCCTCCAGATAATATTCCTTGGATACTCTGTTTGCTCGCCTACACGATTCTCGGCGTCCCTTGATCTGGCAGGCCTCATTCTGATATTACCCCCTCCTCACACAATTGTTCCATTCTCCTCCCATCTCTATTCGCCATCATGTCTTCTCTCGACAAGAGGCAGTCTACTGCCAGTGTTGTCCTCACTACTGAGGTCACCGTGGAGGTTTCTGTGCCCGACAAGGCTCTGGCCCCTACCGTGGGCGTCTACGCTGTCCCAACACATGCCACCTCTGTCACGAGCATCACATCCAACCCGCAATCCGAAAAGACAACGACCAACCCCTTCGACGCAGACATTGAGGCGCTCAATTCGCACAGCTCCCTCGATAAATCAGGCCGGAAAAGTATGACCATGGAAGCCGCCGCGAACTGCCCCGTATGGCCTGGAAAGGACCACTGGAAGAAACAGGCTAAGCACGCCAAGATGCAGCGCACGCGCTGCACCCCCATGGCCAAGCTGAGCGCGCGCAACAAGATCATCGTCAAGATCTTGATCATTGTGTTAGTCGTGGGAGCCGGCGTCAGCATTGGCCTTGGTATCAGCAAAGCGGTGGGCGCACCGGTCTGGGGCAGCAAGAAATCAGACTGAAGGCAAACATGATGCCCGCGACGATGCGCCTGACTACGAAACGTCACGCCACCTCATTTCTCTCCAGCACCTCAAGCACAATGACAAAGGGTCAAGCCCGCATGAGTAACACACACCTCCAAGACTCATGTTGCCATCAAACCACGAATCTGATCTGGCGTCCCATGCTGGCATCAATCTATCCTCTCTACCGGACTTGCATTCCCTACATTATGTCATACATTTCTCCCATCTTCTTATCTTGTTGTGTTCTTTTACTTCTTTTACTTCTTTTTCCCTTTCTTTCTTCTACTTTTGTTGAATTTGTTCGTCTTTAATCATGTACTGTCCTGCAAAAGCAGCGGCAAGGAAATTTCATATCATAGCCGGGCGTTGATGGAGTTGTGGATTTGAGCTCCCATGCTTGGAGTGTAAACATGGTAGATATGAACGCAGGAGAGGCAAACTGGATGGAATTACGCCTCTTGTACGAGCTCCAGCCTCGAATACGGGTTTTGTTTGTCAGTTTACCTAGATCAAGGGATACATTAAGCGCAGAAGCCGACGGCAATAAGCCGGCCACTCTGTGGTTCCAATACTATCAAATACGAGCAAATGCGAGACGATGCTGCCTACGAAACACATACACATGACTTTTTGCTTTCTTTGTTGCGTATTTGTGACCGTGGCTTGTGCTCTCATCATTTTGCGACTGGCCGTTTCCCGGCTGCGTTGGTGCTGGAAAATGAGGTTACATTGCGCACTGACCCCAGTAAGGGGCTTGCTTGCGTCTGGCTGTATTACGACGCTCCGATACGACGATTTGACGATTTTTTCATCCAGGCTCGGCAACTGCTGCCGCTGAGCTGGGCGATGCAATTTGACGGGACAATGAGACCGAAAAGCAGGCGCCAATTGACGCAGCGGAGGTGCAGAGCGCAGAGCCTGCCTGTGGTGTTTTTACATGTGACAATAATGTATGGCCGCATGCAGCCACAAGAGACACAGCCAAAGTGTTGGTACTTGGTACTTTGCACCTTGGTTTGCACCCCAAAATTTCCATTGTACATAGACACATACTATTAGGTACTATACTAGCCCCGTGGCTGGAAATTCGTTTAGGCAAAGTTTGCAGAGTCTGCAAGTCTAGGCATATGCATGGAATGTCAAAATACAGAGCAGATCTGCAAAAGATGGAGAAGAAGTAAAATAAAGGTCCAGGTGTCGTCCATGAATACACGTATAGAATAATTACCGAGAACAGGCTGGAGTGCCCTGAAAAAGAGGACTGGGTGGGCTGGCGTATACACGTATTCTTGGCGGAACCATTTCCATGCTAATAGGTAGTGGAGGGGATGCCGCTATTGGTGGGAGCGTGAGAACCGGTCGGTGGAGGATGCAGGGATCTGGACAGGCAGGGTACGTACCTTTATACCTGTACATACTATGCTGTATGCCTATCGATATGAGATATCGATATGATGTAACTTGGGCAATGGTTTGCAAACAAGCAAGCACAGAGAAGACGGCATTTTATAGAGGAAGAGTGCATTTGCGCTGGATTTTCTTTAATTACTTAGGTACATAATCCGCTGGAGGTACCGAAGCCAAATGCCATGACGCAGCTCATCAGTCCACCGATACTACAACTTGGTCTGCAGCAACACGTAAAGGCATTGCTACAGAACAACAGTGAATGTAAATCTTATATTAACTCTAGTTTTATGATAAATTCACATTACTCTCGTATCTTGCAGTATTTTCCTCACAAATAGCTCGATTCATTCACCTGACTTGACGCATATCGTGCCAGCTGCCATGCCATGACAACAGGCAAGAGGGCTGTCGGCCGGTCCTGCCAGCTGGAACTTTGACCAAGGTCCCCCGACCACTGATTCTGCAAACGCAAAACGAAAACTGATGTTTCGAGTCTCATCTACGCGTTCTTGATTTCCCCCGCTTCCGTGGATTTCGCCTCTCCAACATCTTCTCTTGAGGCAACCAACGCTCTTTAGACCCTCATCAGCCGCTTCTACTGGCTTCCAATACCCATCAAGCCCAGACATTTGTCGCTGTTTACTCATTCATTCATTCGATCAAACCGATATCGGTAATCCAATCCAACCCAACCCAACCCACCCATCATCATGGCTTCCGCAGACGACAATCACAAGCCCGTCTCCGTCCACCTCGTCATCGCCATCATCCTGGCCGTTCTCATCTTCCTCAACATCCTCATCGGCATTGTCTATCTCCTCATCCCCAAAGACTGGCTCGAATGCCACGGCGCTGCCCACCGACGAGCCGCTGCCGCTGCCGAGGATGGTGGCGGATTCTACCACCGAGCTCGCCGCAATCCTCACCACGGCTATCACGTGGCCAGATCCATCTACATTTCTGGCTCCGAGGGCCAGCAGGTGACCATCATCAACGGTGTCGTCGAAGTGGATGACGAGCTTGATGTGTGGGCGTACTGGGCTACTGATTCTGAAGAGACCCTTCGAGGAATCCCTCTCAACACCGCCCAGCCGCAGTATCAGCCTCAGAACCAGTACGGCATGCACAACGACGGCGTAATCGCAGCTAGAGCTACGCCTGCTGGTACCGTCATGGCCTCCAACTACGACTATCGCCACAGTTACGAACAGGATACTCCCGAAATGCAACTCACCTCTGACGGCATCATCACCAGTACCCCTGGCCAGCGAGGGCTCGTCCTCGATCTGGCAGGATACGATGTCCAGCCGCCCATGGAATCTGCCCCTGACCGAGTCGTCACTCGCGCTCCTCTTGCTCGTAACATTGATGTCTTCCCGCCCCCACCGCACACGCCATCCACCGTTCGCACTTGGGGAAGAGATAGTGATGCCACTATTCGCCCTGTGGTAGAGAGTCCACGCAGAGAGATTGCTGGAGCGAGAGACAAGAGGAACAGCAGACAGGCACAGAGGGAAGAGTGTCTCTGAAGAGACGTGCGAAATGCAGAGAGAGACATATTCTTTTCAACAAGAGGAGATGTATCAGTAGCATCTACCTGGAGATTCCCACTCTGCTATCCAGACCGAGGAGTCTGATCGAGAGGTGGGACGTTATAAAGACATTGAAAAAGCACACAAAAAAAAGGACCATCTCACCATCTTGCGCAAAGAAAATAGCAGCCTAAAGGAGAGATCAAATACACTTGGGAGATTTCTAGCAGTTGGCTGGCTATTAGTGTACATGTACGGATTATATAAAAATCGGAAGGATTTTGGGAGAATGAGGCAGACGCCCCTATACTACTCTAGACACTCTGAATTGAGCTTATTTGATACGCAAGACTGGGCATCAGGCTCAAGCTGAAAGTGGTTGGTGGCGATGGTCTCTTGGAGTGCTTGTAAATGAATGCAACTTTTAAATCATGGGCAAAATAAGCACATTTATAAGTTTGCAACAAGCCTTCAATAAGAGAACATTAATCATATGAACGACATGGTTCACACAAACACAAATATAAACATCAACATCAACATGAACATCAGCATTCTTCATGGGACCATCACATTAAGTCGAAAAGTATCTAGATAGATCAAAACAAGAACCTGGCCCAGCCAATGTCCTCCTCTGCAACCCAAAAATGCATTGATCGATCCATCCCATCCCTTCCATCTTAAAACTCGTAGAAGAAGAAGAAAAGAAAAAAAAGGGGGCCACAACACTTTTGTATAATAAAGTAGGAGAGACACTTTTACAAAAAGACAAGGCCCTTTTTTTTTCTCTCTCTCTCTTTCTAATTCTCATTTATTTGCCCCCCTTTCCGTCGAGCGCCCTTTCAAATAGAGGTCCCTGTTGAAGAAAAAAAAAAAGAAAAGAAAAAAGGAGCAGAATACAAAAAGAATAAAGGGTTTAAAATGAGATAAAAGCACACGGTTTCTCCCTCCATTGTATCATTCTTCCAAAATCCAAATCTTAGTAGTAGTAGTTAGTAGTGAGGAGTGGGTTGCGGCTTCGCTCTCACACCATGTTTGCGCCTCAGTAAGCCATCGCCAATGTGTATTTAAAGTTAAAGAGGGCCATCTCAAGTAATGCTGTGCTCTCATGCCTGCTGTGCGATTGGTAAAGACGCAGATGATAAAAGCAACTGAGCAAGATTGTAAGGCACTCTTTTTTTTTTTCAAAAGGGCATGTTAAAAGTACACGATTTGCTATTTTATCGGCTCTTTTCTCTGTGGCGACGGCTGTTTTGTATTCTCAAAAAAGATGATGCCGTCATCTGCGTCGCTGGTCTGGAAGTGCGTAATATGGGGCTATGCGAGTTATGCGAGTTATAGCGTGTGCAGCAATTTAATGGTTTAATGCTGATATCGTAAAACAAATGATTGGGCGGGAAAAAAAAGAAATGGACAAGTGTCGAGTTAAGCTTTCAAAAAGTAGAAGCGCCGCCGAATGATGCATCAGACAGACTGATATAATAATAAAGGCTCGCCAACATTTTCGATTTCGGGAATGGTGCATTTGAGATCAAATGCTTTGGAAAGAACAATTTTGAAAATCTACATTTTGTTAGCTATTCGCCTGCAGTGTACGCCGTATGAAGATGAGAAAAAGTGCAGCCAACCTTTTGTACGTTGATGCTGTGGCTTGTACTTGAGAAGATCAATGACGCGCGCATAGCTTTGGCAAACCGTCTCGCCTAGAGTATGCAAGTCAGCAACCCTGCCGGTTACAGCGAAGAGTCTTGGCTACAGCCAGACAGCCAGCTCGCGGGCTTACCTGATTAGAAATTTCCTCCTGGTCCTGGATGGGAAAGTTGACAAAGTGGTCGTACTTGGTGCCGACCAAGACGGGGATAGCCGTCTTGTTGAATCCGCGACCCTGGCGATACCACTCCTTGATGCTGTTGAGCGTGCTCTTGCGTGTCAGGTCGAACATGAAGAGGATGGCGACGGCGTCGTTGCAGACCAGCGGCAGCATGTTGACAAACTCGCGCTGGCCGCCCAGGTCCCAGATGGAAAAGGTGATTTCGGTGTTGCGGATGGAAATGGTCTTCTCCATAAAGTTGACGCCCAGCGTCTGGATATAGTCCTCGTCCCAGCTGCCCTCGACGTACTTGACCATGAGCGACGTCTTGCCAATCTGCGCATCGCCCACCATGCCGACTTTGATGACCACGTGGTTGCGTCCGTTGGCCTGGTCGCCAGAATTGGGCCGGTAGTCGTTGTACGACGCAGGCGCCGGGTTTGACAGGCCGCTGGCCGGTCTCGAGAGCGACGAGGGGCCTGCGACGGGCGGTGTCTGCCGGCTGGGCGAGTCTTCGTCGTGCCTGACGCTGCCGGAGAGGCTGTTGTCGAGCGACGGGGTCTGCTGGTGGTGGTGGTGGTAGCCGTTGCTGTGCGCGGCGTCGGATGCGCCGTCGAAGCCGCCCATGGTCTCGTCGGGGCCCTGGCTCATGTCGGCGTCGTGTGAGGGGAGGAAGTCTTGCTGCTGGGAGAGATCCATCTCCAGGCTGTCGACGGCGGCGGGCGTCGTGGAGCTGAAAACGAGCGGGCCGCAGTAGGTTTCGACTAGTTCAGCTGCGAGGGATCGGAAATGAGATTTGGCGGGCGTCGGCGATGGCGGTGATGATGCCGATTATGATGCCGATAAGAAAAAAGGGCAGGCGGTATTAAATGAAGGTGCAAAGTGAGATTAAAGAAGGGCGGGTTGGTTGTTGTTCGTCTGGGTCTCGGGCGGGATCGTGGAGGGCATCAAGTTGGGCGTCGAAGTGGGCACAGAGGCGCAAAGTATTACAAGAAGATGAGGCGTCAGAAGAGCGAAAACGAGAGAACGAAGGAGAGAAAGCTGCGATTGCCGGCAGCAGAACAAAGGAAAACGGGTCGCGGTCAGAGTCCAAAGCGCAGGTCGAGGGCTGAGACGAGAATCAGTCAATTCGGCGATGATGAGGGGTGCTGTACAGCAATTATGGTGGAAAGGCTAGCAGGGGTTTTGGCTTTTGGCTGGGGGGGGGATTTGGCGGCTGGTCTGGCCTCTCCAGAGTCCAAAGGGAGGGCGCGCGAGCTGGAGCAGGCCCGGGCCGGAATTATCAGGCGCCGCGGGCTGTGCGCTGCCCGACGGGAGCCCTATAGCTGGCTGTTGGCGGACCACTAACAGGCCACTGATGCCCAGCGAGAGGGCAATGGGCGGGTGCGGCTTTTAGGGCCGTCTGTTGGACGTGTCGTGTTGCGTTGGGCACTGCAGGCTGGCAATGGCCACAGGAAAAGGGGACATGAGCGGATCGCAGCTGGTGGGAGCAGTAGTATTGACGGCAGAACCCGTGACAGGATAAGATGAGATGGAGATGAGATGGAGATTGAGGCGGAACGGGATGGGGGGGGCTTTTAGACAGGAACGCTAAGCAAGAATGCTGTAAGCAACGAAAGAAAAAAAAAAAAAAAAGGCGTGCGTAGCGATGCTGATTTGTTAATCCTACTCGATTACATATGCTGCAGGTATTGATAGCAGTACCATCTGTAAGTGGTGGGTTGCTATGCTATGAGGGATGCTGTAAACAAAGAAGCAGTGCGTCCATCAACATGCCTTGTTTACTGCACGGAGAGTTTGCTGCTTATTTTTAGCACTCGCCACATACTTTTGCACCTGCATTAGGCACGACAATTTGTTTTTAATTTACAATGTCCGCTGCCCTCAAGGTTTCTCGTGTTTGGCGCGCTGACAATTGTTAATCCCCAAACGGGTCCGGGGGTTGATGTCGTCGGTGGCCAATCAGCGCTGAGAAGCCTATGCCCAGCAGAGTATCAACAATCGAGCTTCACAGAGCGGCGGCTTGAACCATGTACTTGGTGGCTACCCACCACTGGGCTGGATGCAGCGCAAGCGCCAAAGTCAATCGATGTCGCGGCTACAGATGCGCGGTAGGCAGGACAACGCAGACAGTAGATAAAGCAGATTGATCAAATCAAAGCAAAGCAAATCAAAGGAAATCACAGCACAGCATTTCTAAGCAGTGGAGGATTCAACAGGACGTCTAATTTGCTTCGAATTGGTTATGTCATGTCACGTGATGATATCTCAGTCCGCCTTATCGCTGCAAGCCAGCTTTGGAGCTCCATCACATGTCATCGCAGGGCCTATCTTTGATCCTCAGCTGGGATATATACACTCATTAATATCCATTCATTCATTCATTCATTCATTCATTCATTCATTCATTTGTACATGTATATCAATACATATACGTATACATATAGGCAAGTACATACTCATACCAAACTCTCCAGCTCCACCAAGGTATATTCATCCTCACCATCTCTTCCACGCCTCAAACCCCATCCACGCCGCCGTCCCTGCACCCGCCAAAATGCCCACCCAGACAAGCATCGCCGTGCGAATCATCTTTTGCGCAAACTGCTGCATGGCTTCGCTGTCGTTGGCGCGAGGAAACGGCTCGTCGGGAACTGGCTTGCCGAGAAACTTGGCCAGCGGCTCCCAGCCCTGCTTGAGCTCCATGGTGAGCAGCCTCTCTGAGGCGATGTTTTTGCGGACCCAGTTGTTGTATATGGACAGAGAATCTATTGAAAGGAAAGAAGAAGGGAAAAAAACATTAGTATTCAAATTGGTAAAGTATATGAAACATGATGGCGAATTGCTGCAAGACGATGATGCACTTACCTCGAGAGAATGGCTCCCCCAAACGCTCCTCGTCACTATCCCACCAGAATACATCAAACAAGTCAGAGCCCCATTCCCAGACACGTCGAAGCACGACTGATGATCTGATCAAACCAGACAAACAAAAAAAAAAAACTCACCATTGCTGAATCCCGCGTATCCAAACACCCGCCCATCGCCACGTCGGGCACGGCCAGAGCAACGTTGTGAACAGCCGCCACGACCCGTTGACGCTGCCCTGCTTCGTCAAGGTCATGATGCTGCTCCACCAGCGGTCGGGGTCGCGCTCTACAAGTACCACCTTGGCATCGGGATAGAGCTCGGCCAGCTCGGTGACGAAGCAGATGGCGGGGTTGTCGGTGACGGCGACGAAGCCGGCGGTGGCCTGGCGGAGGAGCTTCATCAGGATGGGCTTGTTGTGGCGGTTGGCGAAGATGTCGCACCAGAGCTTGGCATATGCTTTATATTCATCCCATGAGTAAAGTATCCAAGTCATATCATGCCACATCATGTATGTATGTTTTGGCTTATAAGCAGAAATGATGTTTCGACTCACCGTCCTCTCTGCCCAGCAGCTGCGTGCCGCCGTGCAGCACCGGCCCGTCAAGCAGCTTCTCCAAGGCCAGCGACATGGACACGGTGCCGGTGCGCGAGTAGCCGGCGCCGATGACCTGCACGGTCCGCGTCTTGTCGGTGGGGATGGACGGCACTCCGCCCATTTTGCTGCGATACAGTAGTAGGTCCTAGTATGTTGCCACCTGGCTGATGCGATGTGGCCGAGGATGCTCGCGGCGTATCCTGTGAGCAGAGACTCAACTCTCACAAGGCGGGAAAGGAGGCGGTCCTCCCCTTTTACAGCGCTGGGCGTGGCCAAGACGGCCCTGCATGTCTTGGAACACGGCGCGAGGGGCCGATGACCGACATCCGACATCCAATGCTACCTTGCCCAAGGGTGTTGCAACGATGTGCTACAGGACTGCTATAGCTACTGCTAGGTAGGTAGCAGTGCTAGCAAGACTATTGGTAGCGTGTTGGATGATTTATAATCGCGCTGCAAATCTGAAACACACGAGCAGTAGGGTTGTAGAATAGATGGATGTGGAGTCTTTGCAAAAGTTTCGACTATCATAGTTATGTACAGATGCCCATTCATCATCATCAAAGCCACACTATATACACTCACTCACTCACTCACTCACTCACTCACTCACTCATTCTCCTCAGCCACCAAATGGTTCTTTTTCTTCTCTTTCTCTCTCTCTTTCACTCAGTCATTTCTCTCCCTTTTCCCCTTTTCGGTCTTGTCTTCGTTCGTTCACGCCCATTCATTTAAAACACAACCGTCTTGTGTCCGTTCAAAAACACTCTTCCCTCGGCATACCACCGCACAGCCGCGGCCAGCACCTGCGTCTCAACCGTAGATCCCTCCTCAGACAGCTTCTTGGGGTCCATGCTGTGGTCCACCCGGGTGACGCGCTGCTCGATAATGGGGCCCTCGTCGAGGTCGGCCGTGACGATGTGGGCGGTGGCGCCGATGATCTTGACGCCGCGGTCAAAGGCCTGGTGGTAGGGCTTGGCGCCGATGAAGCTGGGCAGGAAGCTGTGGTGGACTATAAATAAGAGGTTAATATTAGCAAGGCATACATGGATCCCGAGAACAGAACTCACTGTTGATAATCTTGCCCGACATGGCCTCGCACAGCTTGGGCGACAGCACCTGCATGTACCGCGCCAGCACCACCAGCTCGATGTTGTGCTGCTTGATCAGCTCCAGCACCTGCGCCTCCTGCTGCTGCTTGGTGTCCTTTGTGACGGGCAGGTGGTGGAACTCGATGCCGTAGCTCTTGGCCAGCGCCTCAAAGTCCGGGTGGTTGGACACGATGATGGGCACCTCGATCAGCAGCTGGCCCGTCTTCATGCGGAACAGCAGGTCGTTGAGGCAGTGGCCAATCTTGGACACCATGATGAGCACGCGCGTCTTGCGCTTGAGAGGCCGGAAGTTGTACTCCATGCCGTACTCGGCCGCGAGCGCCTGGAAGTCGGGCTCGAGGTGCGCCGTGGACGCGGCGTCGGCGGCCGGGGCCGGGCCGAAGTGCACGCGCATGAAGAAGCGGTTGGTGTCCGGGTCGGAGAACTGCTGCAGGTCGAGCACGTTGTGGCCCTTGGAGGCGAAGATGCCGGTCACGGCGTGGACGATGCCGGGCTTGTCGGGGCAGCTGAGCGTGAGGATGTGGCCGGTGGAGGACGACATGGCGATGGTGTTTTGTTTTGTTTTGTTTTGCTTTTTTTTGTTGTTGCTGTTGAAGCTGGCTGGCAGCAGGGGAGTGTTGAAAAGGTGGGAGGAAGTAGGAGAATGGGAAGGCAAAAAAAAAAAGTGAGGCTATCTCGAAAGCTGGGTCCAGATAAGATGGCAGGTGAGCTAAAGATTTAAAGTTGGGCTTAGTACAGACCACCAGCGATTCAATTGGAGCAGGGCACAGAGTATTAAAACTCCAGAAAAGAACGAAGAGAAGGAAAAATAGAGGCCAGCTTAGTATTTTTTTTTTCTTCTATTGGTTTCGGAGTCATCCCCATCCCCCGGAAGTAGCTCGGCGAGTTGCCAAGTCGACGGTCTGACTCTTTTTCCTAGCTTGAGACCCGGCCCGGAGTCTCCACCGGGTCTAGATGCTCCAATTGAGCTTCTATTTGCTTCCAGCCAATATGTAGCACTCGAGCAGGCTGGATCGCATAAGCCAGCGTCGCATTCTATTGACGAACTAATATCTGCTGAGCTGCGATTTTACTATCGATATTCTTGGACTATTCCCCCCACCCTCTGCTATTCGCCAATGGCTGTCAGCGGGTAAATTCACTGATTGCCGATTACGGAGTCGGTCCCGGGCCGGTGGGGCTCCGATTTGGGCATCTGCTTCGCTTGACAGCGTCACTCGCCGAAGCTGAGTAAACTGGTGGTGAGCAGTGATTGAGGCTTGTTGCTGTTTTGACCTCATATCGTTGGATGTGGCATGAGATTAGATGATTTAACTTATGTAGATGAGATGATGAACTGATTGGGCTGGAATGTAGAAACAATGCTTTGTTGGTGATATTCCGAAACCATCAACAATGGGAAACGAAAGCCATAGTGATTGTATAGATAATTATATTGAGTATAAAGTGAAACAGGGTATTATCGTTAAAGCATCAATCACAACAATTCATCATCTTCCACCATTATACGTATGCAGTCTCTCATCCTCCTGCCAACCAGTGAACAGTTCTTTCACGTTTCCAATCTCCCCCTCACTGAAAATTGGCATACAAAGAGAATTGAAAGTGCAGAGCCAGTCGGCAAATCAACCAACAACCATCTACACCATCTGGTCTCCATGAGCATGCGTCGTGCCCCCAACCGCCCGCCGAGGCACCGTCGGGTTCGCATACTCGCCATTCACTCCACTGACACCTCCAGCACCATTATGATATCCATTCACTCCACCAACACCATTATGATATCCATTCACTCCACCAACACCGTTATGATATCCATTCCCATGGTGTCCATATCCATTCGACGGCTCCATCTTCCCATTACTAACTCCAGCACCGGCAGCACCAACTCCACCCCCCGCAAAGCTCTCACTCCCCCACCCCACGCGCCTCGTAAACGTCGCCCCAAACAAATCCCCATTGCCAACCGCGTAGGGAAACGCCACGCCCCGGTTCAGCGGGATGTGGTTGAAGCGCCAGTCCCAGATGGCCGCGTACGTCATGCGGTACCCCGAAAAGGCCATGGCCGTGCCGATGATGGCGCCGGCCACCACGTCGTACCAGTTGTGGAACTCGTCAATGGTGAGCGCGCCGCCGATGAGCACCGCGCCGAGGATGGGCGCGTAGAGCACAATGAGCTTCCACATGGCGGGGTGGTAGTTGGAGAAGACCTTGAGCTTGGCGTTGAGGTACAGGTAGAGGAAGACGAAGCCTGCAAAGGCGGCCGTCGTATGGCCGCTGGGGAACGACTCCAGGCTGTCGTCAATCTGATCTGGGTCTCCGGTGCAAATGTCCCGTGTAAAGTAAATCTGCTGGAACCCGGCCCTGTCTAGGCCCTGGGTGGTGACACGGCTCATGTCCGGCTTGCACACGTCCAGGAAGTGAGGCCGAAGACCGCCGATGAGCCATTTGCAAAACACCTGGAATACGGCGGCAGAAATGAGGGAATACAAGAGGCCAAGGACGCCGTTGTTGACATCCCAGAATGAGCGGATGCGGATCTGCATAACCAGGATGACCGCAATGGGGATGATGGAGGCGAGAAAAGCGGCCAACCAGATGGGGACAATCTCTTTGCGATAGGGATAGCCAAACTCGGGCCAGACAATCTCGCCATCGGAGAAGGTAACGGGGAACGATCGAGTCGGTGCAGGTTTGGCCTCGTAAATCTATTCAAATTAAGCCAGTTTAGTAATCGTCTCATCTCCGAAAGCGTGCAACCATCACTTACACCAAGACCAATAGCTCCCATAGCCACCATGGTCAAGATATCCAGCCAGGTAAACTTGAGCCACTGGCCAAAGCTGGGCCGCGTGTGCATCGAGTACGCCTGGTGACGGCTCCCATGGCCACCACGGCCAAATCCCCAGCCTCGTCGCGTCGTCGTCGTCGTCGTCGTATTGTCGGCGGCTGGAGCAGCGGCCCTCGACGGGGACCGAGCTCTGCGTCCAAAGAGAGCCATGGCTATCGCTTTGCTGTGGCCCTATACAAGACAAGAAAAGCTATAAAAGGCAATCGCCAGCAAATGATATTAAAAGAAGAAGAAAAATCGCTGGACAAAGCACCGCTTTAGCGCTGCCCAAATGCACTCAGAAACAGATGCTGAGCAAAGCTGGTTGATCGTTCCTTCGCCTCTCTCCAGCTGTCAACACCACGTTCTACCACATATAATATATAACTTTTTCAACACCACACTCAACCAGCATTTTGGATCGTCGCCCAACCTGACGTCAGCCATGTCACTCAACACAGCAAATCCTTCCGTCATCGTCACAACCGCTGCAGCACTGGAAGCTTCACCATCGTTGCTGATTGTCTGGCGTTGGCCCAACTCCCCCTGCACGCTCCCACAAATCAGAGTCCCTCAGCGCATGAATAGCGTCATACAACGGCAACAAGCTTGGCAGTAGAGTTGTTTTTGGGCCGGCGCCTTTATTCCGGGTGGTGGGACAAGGGGGAGCCCAATCAAAACGTCATATGCTTGTCATTGTCATCGAGATTCCGGCGCGGCGCACCCACTTTCTGTTTTGGGGAAGCTTCACCGAAAGGCTGGTCATGCCTCACCGAGTTCACCGAGTTGACCAGTCCGCGTATAATAGCGTATCAAGTGCATATAATATCCAATAATAGAAACAGTTCATTCCGGTAAATCCAATTTGCCTAAGTTCTCCATCCAAATTTCTCCATAAAAGACCGTATCAAGTGAATATCCACTCTCCCTGCCAATTGTCTCCACCTTCAAATGTAAAACATACTATCCCTCAGCCTCTCATGAATCTGCACGTCCTGCCCAGATGCCGCATGGCCTCCCTCCGCACCCTCTGCCACCGACGGTGCCGCTGAGTTGCTCGGCGAGTCAAACAAGTGACTGAGATAGCACCGCGCTCGCTCACACAAAATATCCGCATAGTACGCCGGCGTGCAGTAACTCACGGCCTTGGTGGCTCGGCCAAATATGTAACACATGCTCTGAGTCAGATCCTGGAACTCGTCCGCTATGTTCTTGCCCGGCGTCTTTGCATATTTCTGCCGGAAAATCTCGTCCAACACGACATAGTAGTGCCCTGGCCGTGCGGTTCCCTGTAGCGCTGTGTGTGCCTGAAGGAAGAAGTCCCAGTTGCGGGCTTCTGTCACGCCTCGGTCGACGACGGTGCCAGATTTAGTGTTGCCCGAGTTGTCAGCGTCAGAGGCTGCAGTGGGATAGAAACGTGTATGGTGGCGCTTTCCCACAACAGCAATAGTCAAGCGAGGCAAACCCTTCTTTTGATCAGCAACCGGGTAAACCTGTTTACAAACCGCGCGTATCAGCGGCAGCTCCTCATCCAACACTGTCTGGTATTGGCCTTCTGAGACGCCATCGCGGTAGATTATAATATTCTCCGGGAATGCAGTGTGTTTGCCCCTCTTACGCCATAATTCGAGGCGCGATTTCAGCATTATATCAAGCTCCGTAACCATCTCCTTGCGGCTTTTCTGGATGCTGAGGACCGAAGGCCACTGGCCGAGCCACCGATCTACACTAGCAACCATACCGGCTACACTAGGAGCACCCTTCGAGCCCGGAGACGGATGAGTTACATCAATGCCTACAATCATGGTCTTGTCTTCTGAAATAAACCCCAGGCGCGAAGGATCGACGAGATGGTTGTTGCCACCCAGCTTCAGGTTAAATTTGAGTGCCAGGTTTCGAAGGTATTGATCTTGACCATTAGGCTTGGCAATTTTCGAACCAACGCTGCAGATGGTATGGACACCATACTTGACATCGCCCAGAAGTTTAATACGGTTATAGAGTGGAATGGGGGTCGCAGGCAGGACAACAAAGAGCAGCTGTAAGGACGATGCAGCACGCTTGAACAAAGCCTCGAGCTGAGCGTCGTCTGTGTCATTGAGCTGCAGTCTTTGAAATGGAAGTAGCGGCGCGCTAGCGGTGATACCTGTGTCTTGCAGGACCCTGTGGAAGCTCTGTACGATATTGCCAAGGGCATCGGAAGTGAAATGCTGGGCTCTTGGGTAGTCGGGCATCTCGATGTAGACGCAAGACCACTTCTGCACGCTGCCGCAGGTGCTGAATTTTAGGCTTGGGGCGTTTCTTGGTACCAGATTCCAACTGCCCCCAAACGTTGATACCTGTTGATTCTGGCCATAGCCGACCTTTGGTCCCATAAGAACGCGGCCTGGCACAGTGATGAGGCCTGGCGAGACATTAATTCCGAATTGGCTCTGAGATACATTAGCAATTTAGGCTATTAATGAAAGCGGACATTAAGAAACAATCCTTGAAGCAACTTACCAACAAGGGGTTCACTTGAGAAGATAAGCCAGCTGTTTGCAGTCCCCGCGAGACAATAAACGTAGCATTTTCGGCCGGCCGCTTGACAGCAAATCTAATCATTTGCTGGGTCTGGGACGGGTCAAGCTTTGAATTGGAAGGCTGGCCAGGCAGTACGTGGCACACTTGGACTGGCAAGTAGGTTGGATTTTCTGTATTCCCAACATTGACGACTGGTAGCCTTGGGTCGTTTATACGGATGTTGTAAGCTATGCGACTGTTAGCAACCGCCGATGATTTATTCATTGTCGCAGCACCATTGATTGCCTACTTTTGACGAAGAAATCATAGACAGAGATATACTGTCCTGCGACCGATCCGGCCACGCTTGGTGGGTTGCCGCCTTTGCCGCCCTTTTTCTTTCCGCCAGATGCAGAGGTAGATTGAGACTGGCCTTTCTGGGGCGGTGCTTCGAGCCAGAACTCAACATCTTTCGGTCCACTTCCCAACGCTTTCACTCTAGGAGGGTGTTCATGACCATGGCCGTCATTCTTGGTGGCATAGCCATGAATCGTCTTGATACGCGGTATTGGCCTACCCTGCTTATCCAGCTTGTCCTTCAAGTGAGTAGTCCTGACCTTGATCTTCTTTAGAAACCTCTGCTGCTCGTAAGCACTCCTTCGAAAGCTGCCAAGGCGATTTACGAATTGTTCGAGGGGGCCTTCCTGAAAGAACGCAGCATGGGTAGGGTTGACGTTGACAAGCACGCGAGCTGTTGCCGCACGAACACTCGCAAAAAAGCCGCGCATGGCTGTGAGACAGTTGCCAAGATCCCAGGTATCAGCATCTGCTCCCAAAGCAAAGGTCTTTGACGATCCAACAGCGGTGAGGTTGTTGGATGACTTGGCATAATGATTGATGAAAATATTGAACGCTTGGATAAGAGGCAGCTTCTCTTCGTATTGGGCTGATGGGTTTGTTGAAGTGAGGTATCCTATCAGCTCCGAAGTTGCCAAAGTATTGGTAAGTTGAAGCTTCACATTGTATTTGGTGGCATTGGCACGTGGCTCTTCTTCCCCTTCTTTTCGATACGGTACCGTGATTGTCAAATCGGCAAACTTCTGCCGGCAGATGAGAGTAGACTTGAAGTCGCTAACGATGTCGTGGTTATAAGCCGCCAGCTCCGATGCCTCTAGCACCAGGTGAATGATCTGTGTCAGCTTTCCCCCAGTGGCGGCCGGGGTAACTGAGACGTCATATCGGTAGAGAACAAGCTTAGGAGATGCCGTCAAGGCAACATAATTTGCCCAGAGCACCACTTCTGCTCCCTTTGTTCCATAGTTTGGTCGACGAGGAAAGGCTTCTTTCAGGCCCAGAGTGCTGGGATCAACTCCCTTGCCGGACAGAAGGGCGTCTTCGGTCTTTGCCACGATCTTGTCGGGTGCAGGAACACCACCATCAGGACTGTGTAAGATGTGATGAGTGCGTGTCTTTGGCTTGTTATGAGATGAGACATGTTAAAGAAATGTGATTGATCTCACGAGAAAACTTGCGGCGGGGCACCGCCTCGGCCACCTCGAAATGGAGCTCCTCCTCCGCCTCTGCCTCTTCCACCATCACCTCGACCACGCCCGAATCCATCGCCTCTTCCTCGAAACCCATCATCACCTCTTCCACGTCCAAATCCATCGCCTCGTCCACGTCCACCACCATCACCTCGTCCTCGGTCGCCTCCATCGCCTCTTCCTCTGCCTCTGCCTCTTCCTCCCCCACGATCTTGAAAGTCTCCCCTGCTACGGGAGGACATTATGGCGGTATAAGTCGACTAGCTCGCAAGTACCTAGAAAGTCTGATGCTGGTGGAGTCAATTCTTAGCTCCGGCGTAGTACAATAGAGGCAATAATGGAGCGGGAGAGTGGATTTGCAACAAGGAAGCTAGACAAAATAGTGCTGCGGGGCTGAAACATGGTGGCGGCATGGTGTATTTGTAGGCAGTGATGACTAAGCCTTCCATCGCGGAGATGGCAGCGGCTTGATCAAAGGCATATTGATTCTCTGGTTCGCATCCCCTACGATGTAAGTCAAGTAACATTACACAGACATTATATTTCCAGCTTTGAGGTGGCAAAAGACTGTTCGTATGGGCGATTATTAAACCATCACTATTTCTTATACTATTACAATGGCCTAATGGTCCAAGTGTCACACACTCTGAGTGAGATTCACTGCGCATTGGTATTCTCCTTAACGCTGTATAAAAGTGTCAGCATTAAAGGATCTTATTTTTCTTGGTATATTATATCTTGGTGGCCCCGGTGAAGCAAAGCATGTATGTTCAAGATTGTGAGCAGACGCCGACATTGAATCATATACACATTGCATCATATACCGTGTACCTTGACATTGCATCTTGCTCTCTTCGAGCCACCATTCATTTAATCCCTTCATCACTGCCAAACGCCGATACCTATGCACATGAGCTCTAGCAACCAGCCATCATCCGTAAAAATGCCCAACCTACCGGAGCTCCGAAACAAGGATGAAACGAAATCAAATTCACACATAGCCACAATCACTCCAATCTCTTGCCTCACCTCCGGCCACGGCCAGCTCCTGGCATACCTGGCATGCCAGGCATACCACCGCCCATGCCCATCTGTCGCATCATCGCCTGCATATCCATCCCGCCAGGCATGCCTCCGCCACCGAGCATCTTCATTAATGATCCCATATCTGGCATGCCTCCAGCGCCACCAGCGCCGCCCATGCTCTGTAGTCGTTTCTGCATAGCAGCCAGTTGCTGTGCCTTGTTTCCACCTGCCATGGCCTGCTGAGCTCTCTGCATATTCTTCATGTTGCCACCCATCTTCTTAGCCATACCGGCCATCATCCGCTGCTGTGTAAGGAGATCTTCCACCTCACGAACTGAGGTACCCGATCCTCGAGCAATACGAGTCATTCGGGTTGGTTCATCGATGAAAATCTTGCCGTCAGAGTCGAGTTCTTTGTCGGTCATGGAATCGCAGATGTAAATCATGCGCTTCAGCTTCAAGCCACCCTCTTCGTCATCCATGCCTTGCATCAGCCCGCTCATACCGGGAATCATGCCAGCCATCTTCGACAGGGGTCCCATCTTCATGATATTTGAAAGCTGGTCTCGCAAGTCTCGCACCGTAAAGATACCTTCTTGAATGTGCTTCATTGTGTCTTTTTGATTCAGATTAAGGCTCTGCACGTGCTCAACAAGGCCTGCCATATCACCCATTCCCAATAGCTTCTGAACAAATCGCTGAGGCTCGAACCGTTCTAGATCTAGCATGTGTTCTCCAGTACCAATGAACACAATGGGTGTGTGTGTAGCGGCGACCGCAGAAATGGCACCACCGCCGTGCGCGTGACCGTCCGTCTTGGTGATAATGATGGCACCAAAGTCGGCAGCTTCTTTGAAGGCTTTCGCTTGAGATTCGGCTTGTTGACCTATTGATGCATCTAGCACCATGATGGTCTCATCTGGGTTGACTGCTGCCTGGATATCAATCATTTCTTGGAACAGGGCAGATTCCTGTCTGTGTCGACCTGACGTATCGACGATGATGACATCGAACTTCTCCTTTTTGAATTGCTCAACACCAGCTCGAGCAACCGCAGCCGGGTCCGTCTCCGTAAGTGAACCATAGTACGGAATCTTGGCCTTTGTCGCGTTCTGCTTCAACTGATCGAAAGCACCAGCACGGAACGTATCGGCGCAAACCAAGCACGACCGCAGTCCTCTGCTCTGGTAGTGTCTCGCCAGCTTCGTACACGTCGTCGTTTTACCCGCACCCTGCAGACCTACAAACATGATGACGTTTGATTTGCCCTTCTTGGGCTTGAAGGGCTCGGCATGGGGGTCGACGAGTTTCACCAGCTCGTCGAAAACGGCCTTTTGAATCAGACGCTTCTTGTTGACGGCAGGCGGGAGTTCTTTAAAGTTGACGGCGCTACGAATCGATTTCCGGAGCTGTCCGACAAGTCGCACGTTTACGTCGGCCTCGAGAAGAGCAGCGCAGATCTCCTTGAGCATGGAGTCGAAAGCCTATTGTCGCAGTCAGTTAGGAATTCCGCATCTACGGCGCGGGGCAGCTTGAAATGGACCGACCTTTTCATCCAGATTCTGCTCTCGCGTGAGGTTAGAAACCGCCGCGTTGATGCGACGCCCGAGATCTTGCAACACCATGGCGAAAGTTGTATCGATGCCCTCGCTGAAACAATTGCGGATTTGTCGCGGCACCGAGTCCGATGGTTGAAGCAATCGAGGTTGGCAGCTGGCAATTCGGCGTACTTGGCCAGCGGTGGGGCAAACTTTTGGGGGAGATGCATTAAACTTTCTCCGGCGCCGAGGACAAGGCGCGAATAGCTACCCTAGATAAGACACATGGAGACTGTAACAGGAATAGAAACATCAATATATGTCAAAGATTATTGGTATCAAGATTTCGTTTCCATCAATTAGCCGGAAAATAGCTGTAACTTACTGTTTCTTTAATAGTTGAAATTGCACAAGATATGCGAGAAGTGACTTGTTGCATTTATAGTTGGGTGTCCATCTATAACACGCCAAGAAGACAAAAATACTTTTAACAATAGTTTATTAATTTGCTGTACATTTGAACCGAAAGAGCCGATTTGCTCTGCTGGGCTACTATTAGGTAGTGCTCGACAGCCTGGAAGCTCACATTTCTCTTCTCACTGCCCTGTTACCCAGTCCCTGAGAAGCCCTTTCGCTGAAAGTGCGATGGTGTCCTCCAAGGCCCGAGATGGATTGGCTTGGGACGATAAAGGAATTGATCTCAAGCCAGTATGGACTCGAGAGCCGTCATTGGACGCCATCACAAACGTATGCCGTGAGAAGCTGCGAGTCGAGGAGGCGGGGACATGCCAAGTATCCTTTCATGCTAAGGGTGGCTTCAATAAGATCTATCTGGTTCGTACGAGTCAGCAACAGTTCATCATGAGGGTGTCGCTGCCTGTTTGCCCGCGAACCAAGACACGAGGCGAAATCACAACTCTCCGATTCCTTCGGCGCGCGACAACTGTTCCTGTGCCGGAAGTGGTTGCATTTGACGATTCTGCCGAGAATGAGATTGGATTTGAATGGATCCTGATGGAACATATGCCTGGTAGCCCAGCGTACAATCAATGGCAGACCTTGACCACGTCCCAGAAAATAGCCCTCGTTCGACAAGTGGCCGAGTTTCAGGCCCAAATCTTTTGCCATGAATTCTCCGAGATTGGGACTTTGACAGTCGGCAGAGGTGAAAGCAGCCAAGAGGCACGCCCTGGCGAGGTGATTTCGAACATGTTCTTCTGGGGTAGCCACTTTGATTATGACATTACTCGAGGCCCGTTTCGCTCAAGCCATGACTGGCTGACTGCATACCTTGAATTTATTGTCCAAGATCAACTAGAAGCTCTAGGAGAAGTGGAAGACGAAGAAGATGAAGAAGAGATCAACTTTGCATTGGCACTCGCTCATAGACTGATCAGTCTACTTCCAAAGATATTCCCTTCTACCCGAGAGTCTTGCAGAGCCAACAGTTATCTGGCATGAAGATCTCTCTTTGAGCAACATACTGGTGGATGACGAAGGGAAAATTGGGGCCATAATCGACTGGGAATGCGTCTCTGCCATGCCGCAGTGGTTGGCCACTCAGATGCCAAGATTTCTCGAGGGTCCAACCAGGGCGAATGAACCCAAACGCCAAAATTATGCTGATGAAGCGCTCCAGGACAATGAGGATACTATTTTGGATAACGAAGGAAAGAATCAACTGTATTGGATACATCTTATGGAATATGAGCAAACGCAGTTGAGGAAAGTCTATCATGAGCGGATGTGCCAGTTGCAGCCAGGTTGGGATGCTACAGCTAAAGAGAGTATATTGAAAGAAGACTTCTTCAATGCTATGAATGTGATTAGAGACGGGTTTTTCTTGAAGAGAACTGCTCAATGGATAGATGCAGTCGAGCGAAGCGAATTTCCCAGGTTAATGGATATTTTTGAGGAAGGGTCAAGACTACAATAATCTATTGAGTTTATTCACCATCTTCTATCGTGAAATGCTGACATTCATATTTAGTTGACTCGTCAAGTATATATATGTAGACTATGCCTTAACGTCGCTGTGATATAAATATGTTGAGGCGATTTGGAAACATTAAATACGTGATAAATAACCGTCGGCATAAAGCCTCTTCACGCTCCCACGACAACCTCATTTGTCAGTGACACTACTGACATCTACCCCAACCTAAATATCTCTGCTCCACACCTATCCCTGGTGGTTACTCCTCCGCTTCAAGCAAAAAGCTTTCCTTGCATATGCAATGATGCAAACGTAATTCGGTGGCAAAATAAATAAAATCTCCGACCCATATGGCGGCTAAATTGATCTTGGATATCCTTCAAGCCAAGAGGAGTAGAGATTTCCATCACACGCTGTAAAGGAGATTGGTTTCAAATACTCGATTACACTAGGGTATCAACTCAGAAACGACCACTATCGAAAATACTTGTCCCCAATTCGTCATGCCATTCTCTGGCTTCATTTCCCTTTTCGGTGGCATGCAATTCATCATAATGCTAACCCCCTAGCTCCCTTTGTCCACCTATATAAAGATAAAGCTCTTCGTCGTGAGCGATGATCATCCCAATTCGTCATCCCTGCGCCTTGAACGCTATACAGAGTTGATCGTAATACTGTTCGAAAGTTTTTCTACACCAATGTTAGTTTTTCCACTTTCTGTAATGGATTGTGAATATAGGTACCTGAAATTCCGTGCTCAACGTTACAACGCATACTTCGTGCGCTCGGATGATATTCTCGCATGCCTGCGCCACTGATTCGTTCGGGCCCAGCTGCGGCATCCTATCCGCAAAGAGAAGAAGGATAAAGCTTCCCTGCAGGAGATATATGCCAAACAGATATGACATGAAGGTGAGCTCTGGATCGATCGTTAAGATGGTCGAGACAGACTGCGACGCAGAAATGGCATGTGATGCGCATTCGTTGAATCTCTTAGACGTGATCCAATCGTCGCCATCGTCCAACATGGATATAGCGTCCCATTTGCCGTGTAGGAGTACATGCAGCACATGTAGGATATGCGTGCTATAGGCCTTGGCTAGGCGCATCTTGGATGGATCACCTGCGTTGTATGGCGCTGTAGAAGGTGGGTATGGATGAGACATGGATGACCTCGACGGCATGCCGGCAACCATGCCCTTTGGAGTGTGGATAGGCAGGGAAACTATGCCGTTGTCATTTCCTTCTGATGAAAGCGCCGCGAGACTCAGTTCGTATGTCGTAAGTAGTCCTTGGATAATAGATACGGAGTGCGAATCGTCCAGATCTCCAAGTCTTGGATGGCGGCGCCTGTGATGGACTTCTATGATGTCTCCTAGTATGGCCATGAGCGGTAAGAAATATTCGAAAAAGGCGGATCCTGAGGCAGTCGTTGGTGGTCCAATTGTTCGAACGGGCATCTCGTTTGGAGGAATTGTGTCGAGGTTTTCCCAAACAGCTTCAGGCAGAGGGGCTGATTGCAAAGGTTGGTTAATCAAGCACAAAAGCAGAATGGGTTATTCAGTCCACTTACAATAAACTTCACAGTAAGAATCAGGGATTGTCAAAGCCGAGTTAAAGGACAAAGCCAGATGCCTGTCCAGAGCGTAGAGAAGCCAAAAGACTCTCCGGCGTTCCTCTCGATGCTCGAGATTATATAAACTGCCGTCTTGCTCCTTTCGACATGAGCAGAGGGGGTTTGCGCATGGAGTTACAGGTCCAGCACACTGCTCGTCTTCTCGATTGAGGCCTAGCGAAAAGGCCAGTCTCGTTGCCTTGGACCACCACTTGTAGCAGTCAGATTTGAAATCAGATCCAGAGACGGCAATGGAGAGGAGAATAAAGGTCAAGACGTCGTCAATTTCGCCAGCCGGCTCGTTGATTACGGTGGTTTTGGGCACTGTCGCGGGATTGGGGATCCTAGGATGGGGAGTCTCGTTTTCTGCTCGGAGACCACCTAAAAATGGGAAATCATATCAGCCTCACCGGTGTTTGTTGATAACGACATGTATCAATCTAGCTCACCATGAATTCGTCGCCATCGGTCTGGGTCACGTTCAGATATCAGGGACGTCGCCAAATCGTACAAGTCGTTGACAATCTTTGCCCTCGTGCCGGGAACATGGAGCATCATCACATCGGCAGTTTGCGCCACACACCACAGAATTGTCGCAAGCAACGCGGGCGTGGTATATCGAGGGTTGGTCGGATGCGTAATTGACTTCTTGCGGAAGACTCTGGTCAATATATACGGAGAAGCAACGCGAAACAGCGAACTTCCCGGGTCCGTCAGGAAGATCTCCAGCAAGTCGCACGCAACAGAGGCGGGAATGATGTTGCGAATGTAGGGCAAGATTGGCTCAAGAAACTTGTACCAGCAGTCGTCGTTGGGCGCCTTGTGGAAGAAATCCAGCATCAGGCCTCCTGCATCGTGGCTGTTTGTGCTGAATGACTCTCGGTTCCGCTCAATGCTGGGAGTTGACTTGAAAGAGCCTCTGTGTTGTCGTGAATTGGCAGCGGCCTCGACATGGGATCGCCTGTCGACTGGCGATGGATAACCAACACTTCCGTCAGACAAGGCAACTTCCGAGTCACCAAACTGTCCTTCAAACACATTTACAGACAAGGAATTGTTTATGGAGGAGCGCGGGGGCATTGGTGGCTGTATTCCGACCTGGATGAGAGACGGGACGCTGAGCGGCGGTGCTGGCCGACTTTGAGGATAGGGTTGACTGATGGAATGCAGCACATCTTGTCGAGCGTCCTGTAGAGTGATTTGATCATCTTCGGTAGTAGCCGTGGTCACATCCACTGGATCAGTGAGCGAATGTCGTGCAGGCGTGCTGGAGCTGATACTGGCCGAGGTGGCTGATGGAGACGAGACAGATGCCCGTGAGATACCATTTCCATTTCCATTTCCATTGCCATTGCCGCTGTGTCCTATATTAGAATCACGTCGTATGATGCTCCCTCGTCGAGCTGACGAAGCCCAGGAGTCTCTCCGAGTACTGATGCTACCATTGCTATTGTTGTGGTTGTTTGCTGTAGCTGAGGCCGGTAGACGCCCACGTTTCTTAACTTCGCGATTATAACGGCAGGTATATCCGTAGTCTTCAAACAGCGGAGAAAGAGAGAAAGACACAGCATGTTAGAGATGACAGTTATGAAGATGACGTGGTGACGTGGGATGAAGCCATGGGGTGGAGATTGGGGGCCGTTACTATCTCCATCCAGGAATGGAGCCCCCGGGAACAATAGAAGGATCCCACAGGAGATGGTCGTGAGAGATAGTGTTAGGATTTAGACTTTGCTTACCTTCGCAACGACGACATGGACTTTTAACACGTATCATTTGTATCAGTCAGTCAGGTTCGACATCAATCATCAATCAACCAACGCCTCACAACACCCTGGCATGAGAGACTCACTATTCTCCATCACAGCGAGTCCTCGAGGCGCTGCACTTGTCGCACGCTCTTCGGGTGCGCTTCCGAGGCCTGGCGTGCTCCGCATCGGGCGTCGAGCCGCGGTCATGGCCAGAAGCGACGAGAGGCTGAGGGCGATCCCGCTGTTCACCGTCGGCTTCGGTTGCCATGGCTCTTTTTGAGTTGCTGTCCTATCTCTGACTGACTCTGTTCGCAGGGCTGGCTCCCGAATCGAATCCACCCGCTATCAGACCATAAAAAAAAAAGAATGGGGGCCGGTTGGTGAAATATCCGGGCGTGTGGTTATAGCTGGTAGCAGTACATACAAGAGAAGTAAAAAGGGGGGAAGTCCTCCCAAGAGGGCCCAATGCAAATTGGGGGACCCGACGGATACTGGAGCCGCGCACGGCCTTTGATTTTTTGACAAGCAGGATGAGATGGGTTTGCGTTCAAAACGAGAGCAAATGCCGTATCATTTAGTACTTGGCCATTGATTCGGAGTCGAGTCTCCAAATGCGGGGAGATTGGGCTATTCGTGAGGCTTTAGCCATTTGCTCCAGTTCCATCAGCCCTCGGCCAAACTAAAGTGCCGCTAAAGGCTCAGGGCTTGGTGCCTGCACTGTCTCTTAATTTTTTATGTTATTTTTTTTTCTTATTTTTTTTCTCGTGTTTTTCTCGCTGTCAGAGCTGCAGGGATGTGCCGGCAAAGGGCCGCTTCTTACCCCAGGTTTGGGATGATGAAGATTGTGGAGATGGTGGATCGCGGCGAAGCGGCCGGACCAGCTTTTGGTGCCGACGGAATAATGCTCCAACCAGAGAGAGCTTCGTCCCCTCTTGGGCGGCTCACATGATGCCGATCCCACAGCACACCTCAGTGGCAGAGATGGGATGTGGCTGGGACGAACAGCGCGAAGTAACCCAGTGCTGCGCTTTGAACGCACACTCTGGGACTATGCCTGGATGCTGGTGTTTGCTGACTCTAGCAGCTGTGTGTAGCAATCTCGGAACGTAGGAAAACAGGAGTGGAGTCGGCTGGCCATCGAGATAGATTGTTCCTTGTGCCCGATGATTAGTGAAATGTGAAAGTAAGGCCGAGTTGTATATTCAAATGAAACCGTGGTTTACGACTTTTATTCAGCGACTTACCGAATTGCCTATTTTGTCGAATCATTCTGGAACAATTCCATAAGTAGACGGGAGACGCATTAGATCAGATCTTGTCTCTTCTAGTCATGAGCTAGCTACACTAACTACATACGAAGAATTTGGTATATGAATTGAACTTTCCGATAATCAACGAAAGACAAAATGCCACTCCAATTCTGGGAGAAAGAAACAAACAATAAAAAAGTCCACCAGCAATGTAACGCCGCAATACAATGCAAAGTCACGCCTAGCCAAGTAACCAAGGGATCGTCTCTCCATGGCATCAGCCAGCATGTTCAAATCCAGGCTCCGTCTACCTTGTACACACTCCCGCTCACAAATGTGCTCTCCGGGCCCAACAGGAAAGCAATCACATTCGCCGTCTCCTCAGCTGTGCCTTGTCGCTGGAAAGCCGTAGGATCATCAAAGGGAGCGTCCTTTGGGCGACCGGCAAAATCCCAGTTTTTCTGCATCAATGGCGTGTAAATGGCACCTGGGGCAACGCTGTTGACGCGAATCTCTCGCTCTCCATTTTCGAGCGCAGCTGCTCGTGTGAGGCCGACAATGCCGTGCTTGCTTGCATCATAGGCTCCATGTCTAGCAAAGCCTACCAATGTTGTGTTAGTATAAACTATCTTCAATGAGCCCATCGATGTGTTGAAGCATAACTCACCCTTTAATCCGTGAATAGAAGAAACATTGACGATGGAACCGCGGTCGTTCATATTCCTCAGCTCAGCTCTCATGCAGTACATGGTTCCGGTAAGGTTGACACCGATGATCTTGTCCCACTCGTCATCTTCGAGCTCCGAAACTGGTGAAACGCCGTGATATTTCCCGATGACCCCTGCTACGTTGGCAGCACCGTCCAGCCGGCCGTGCGCTTTCACAATCGACTCGATCCAGGCATCGACCTCCTTACTCTTGGAAACGTCCACTCTTGTGACCATGTGAGGAACTTCCAGTGAAGTGAAATAGACTTCGGCAGCCTTCATTGCTTCCGGATCTACGTCGGCAATGCAAACAGTTGCTCCTCGTCTTGACAACACTTGGGCGGTTGCCAAACCAATGCCGCTCGCGCCACCGGTGATGGCGAAGACCTTGCCTTTCAGAGCCAAATTTCCATCAATGACAACAGGTGGCGGTGATAACGGTGCTGCTACCACCTGCGGCGCTTTTTGGACCATCTCGGCTTTTTGGGAATCCTTGTTCACGAAGCCATTCTGCGTTGCTCGAGAGCCCGAGGACTTGGACGAGGATCGGAGGACGGACTTTGAGTTGCCCATTTCGCTGAGGGAAAATGGAATCCAATTAAAACGACTGCGGGTTTATAAAGAGTGTGAGGTGAAGAATCTACGAGTCTCTCAGCTGTTGCGGCTCACGGCGATATATAAACGTTCGAGATAAGGCGACCCGAGAGTTAAATCTCCGCTAATCAAGGAGCTGAGACTGGACACATCGCTCCGAGGCTGGCCATTGTTCTCACGGGTAATAATCCGAATAACTGAATTACGCAGCAGCCAGCTTTTCCCTCTCATTTGAGTCTCAGAGAGACTCCAACACCCGGTGATTAGCATCTCGAATTTCCGTCGGGGCCAAAGCGGGGGGGGGGGGGGGGCAAAGAAATTAGCCGACGGCTTTTTAGAACGCTGCCGATTACTGACTGCCAGTAACCGTTTTGGCTGTAGTAGGCGGGAAAATATGGGGATGGCTGACGATGATGTGGGCTTTGGGGAAATTTCATATGAGCCGTACTGATGACGCTCATTGGTGGGCTCGGGCTTTCACGCATCTGGAGATTGGAGAGATAGGCGATGAAGATGGAATTGCTAGGGATAAGAGATTTTATTGTAATACTGTACAATTTAATCGATACGGCTAAGCTCAGAAAGATGACGATCATTTCTGAAGCTACAAGATGCACAGTAAAGACTCTCCGGCTCATGGATATTCTGCGTAGCATTCAAGTTAATAGATGGAGAAAGATATGAACAGCGAAAGAGTGAATGGGCAAAAGAGCTTCCTCTACATTTCGCTGTAGAGAAATAGACGGCTTTAATTATTATTTTCATTTACAGCCATTTACTACTATAGATGAAAAGAAAAAAAAATTAGAGCCACTGGTTCGAGAATTACAGTCCTTTTCAACCACTCGACAAGCAGCTTATCAGACACCCCCATATAGGTACAGCCAGGCCACGCCCATCACGCCGATATGCTGTATCAGCGTGCAAATAACTAAACAGACCCCAAATTGGGTCCTTCTACGGTACCGAGTCGTCGAGGCGAATTTGCCTTATCCGGCGAAGTAACGCGGCTCCGGCTTGCGACACGCCGGCGCCGATGACACGGGGCTTCGGTCCTTTGTGGGGCCTGATGTATGCTGAAGAGATGCACTTGTAATAACAACGCTTCTATCAGGTCAAGGCAATCATCGGGCAGCATTCTTGAGGATAACTTTTTCATCTATTTTCCATGATTTATCGAATGACAAACACAATTCAACTATTCAGAAACTCTGACGTTCGATCCGCACAGGTTTGTAGAAGGACTTGTCGCAGCTCTTTACATTGGCAAGTACAGCATCACGTAGCTATAAGTCGCCACCAGAGCTATCCTCGACACAACATCACAAAAGATGCATCAGTTGTATTTTGCATTAAAATTAAAATCAAATAAAATCAGTTCAAATCCCATCCAGCAATCTAATCTTATCAAAAGACCATAACCTCCCTGCCTCCCTCTTCGCCAAAACGTTCATGAGCCCACTTTCCATCCGTCACACCACACAACATGCCAAAACCAATCCAGTCCAAATCCCAACTCCCGCCACAATCACCTCTCGAACCCAAGAAGCCCATTATTTCTCCTCATCCTACCTTGCCTTTATGCTTTCTATGTGAATTCGCTGCCATTTGCGGGACACGCTGCAGTGCCCGCAGCCCGCACGTCATGCCCACATCATACCGCCACCTCGTTGAAGTCATCGGAGATCCAAAGGCACTGTAGCAATAAAAGGGGCCCCTCACTGACACAACACAGTTTATATATTTCCAGCACACCATCTTCTTTTCTAACCAATTCTCACATCCCAATATTCAAATCAACTCAGCTCTACAAGTCTAAACAAACACAGCTCAACAACACCATGTCTGCAAGATCGTCCACCGCCCTCTTCCGCACCGCCCTCCGCCCAACCTTTGCCTCTCGCTCTCTCGTTGCCCCTTTCAGCACCACCGTTTCGGCCCGGGCCACCACGTACGGCCACAAGGACGATCTCGGCGGTCCCGGCGGACAACAGCAGCCGCCGCGGAATCCGGGCGGCCCCGAAGCTCTTAAGCGTAACTGGTGCGTTCTCAATGCATTTTATAAAAGACATGGGATTGTTGTGGAGTTGTAACTAACATGGGGATAGGTTGGCCATTGGCGGTGCTGCTCTCGCCGTCCTTATTGGCTACAACTTCTTCGCCAAAGACCCCGAGGAGGCGAGGAGGCAGCGTGACAAGACTCTTGGCGAGATGAGTGGGAGGACAAAGACGGAGATGGGAGGCTTTCGACATGACTGAGAGGGAAGTCTGTCTGCTGTGCCCGGGACTGTCAAAATGAAAGTCATCGGAACAAAAAAGGGAAAGAAAAAAAGAAGAAAACATGATACTTTTTGGCTGTGTAAGAGTAATGACGGGGATGGGAATCATCAAAGTGTATAATGGATATCGAATTACTATCTATACGAAAACAAAATAAACATCATTCAAGTCTAGTAAGCTCCCATCTTCCCAATCTGAAGCTTCAAAGGGTATCTCACATCCCGTCTCCAAGATGCACACACACACATCTATTATATACTAGTTAGTCTTCGGTGTCGCCTCCGCCGCAGCAGCCACCGTCTCCGGGCTCTTCTTCTTCCCCTTCTCCTTCTGCAGCAAGTAATCACCTCCCTTAACCGCACTATAAAATCCCCTCAATCCCGCCAACGGCCAAAGGTCCCAAAATGCGGCGCTACTTCTTGTCTTCCACGTTGCGTTTCTCGCCCTCTCTTCGCCCTCCACATCAACCTTGACCTTGTCGTACACGCTCGGCAGATACTCAGCCTTGTACTTCTTTCTAAGCGCATCATACGACGTCCTATCATAGTGTGACCAGAATTCTTCCTCGGTATAATATGCATGAGCGTACAGCCACTTCTTGCCATTCAACTCCTGCACTTTGCGTTCCAGAGCGCGGTTCTTTTCGATGACTTGTCGGCGATTGCCCTTGACACCGCCCCAGACACCAAAATTCATCAAATCTGGCACATCCGGCTTCGCAAACTCAGAGTGCAAGCCGTGGCCTGAATCTGGGTCGTCGCGGCGGATGCGCAATGGGCAGATCCAGAGAGGGTAAATGTGCAGCTCCTTGTCGAGCCAGTCTTGGAACTCAACAACCTTGTCGTATGGAACGCCAACATCCTGGACCATGTAGTAATCTGCAAGACCGCTCTTGTGCACAGCACGATACATGACGCGAGCGTGCATGAAGGAATCCAAAAGGTACCTGGTGATCCTGTTGAAGGGCGTGATGAAGTATCGGTAAGCGTACACGGCGGTCCAGAAGCCGCCGCGGTCGTACCGGAAGAGATAATCTTCCAAGGGGACAAAGTCTGTGACGAGCATTTCCTTCACATTGCCCAACCCCGTCGTCTTTAGCCGCTCCACGACCTCCTTGGCCCGAGTGTAGAACCAGGGATCGCTGCGGCCGAGAAAGCCAACCGGCTTCGTTCCCGTTGGCAGTCCATCCGTCAGTCTTCCCGTACAAACAACGGCCGTATCCATCGAGAACACAATGGCGTCGACATAGTCGTTTTCCGGCACATCACAAGCCTTTTGAACCCGCTTCAGCATGGCTGCTGGTCCCGACGCAAGCGAATACTCCAGCTGCACATACTTCTTGGCCTCCTTCAGCTGCACCTCCAGCAGCGTCACCACGCCCAGCGTCCCAAACGCCGATGCCGCGCCCCAGAACAGGTCCTGCCTCTCCGTCTTGGACGCCCGCACCACTTCGCCGTCCGGCAGCACAATCTCAATCCAGTTGATATTGGCGTCAAACGCGCCATATCGGAACGAGCTGCTCTCGCCCGAAGTCCCCGAAAAGCCCCCTCCCACCGTAATGCCCGGCAGCTCCATCACCACGGGCGGCACCAGCCCATGGCGCAGCGTCTCGGTGACGAGAAGATCCATCGGCACGTTCGGCTCCACGACGGCCGTCTTGGCCGCGGCATCAACAGCGAGGACGTGGTTCAGCTGGCTGGTGTCGATTGTGTTTTCCGAGCTGCGGTGGGAGCGACGCGTGCTGTTGGTGGCGCCATGGTAGATGCGAAACGGCTTCTGCAGCTGATGGAAGTGCTTGACGCGTGAAGATATGGATGAGACGACTGCATCGTGAGCCTCCATGGTGGTGACGTCAGAGGTCTGCTCCAATTGAACGCTCTTTCTATAGATTAATCGATAATTGATGTGTGCATACGAAAACAAACGCTTCAATTGACAAAAATCCAGCAGCGCCAAAACCAATTGATGTGATGGGGAAAAGATGCATGAGTGAGAAGAGATCGGCGAAGCATCCGACGTTGGGTGATGTTTGGAAATTGCTGCTTACGTTAGTACCGAGCTCAGCCACATGCAGCGGTTTGCGCATAAAGAGTCTAATGGCCTTGGCGATAGGGCGATAACAACAGAAGGGAGCATATTTGGGGGCTTCAAACAAACAATAGAGAGGCTTTTAGTAAAATGTCAAATGAATTGAACGAGAAATGTGGATAATCTTGTCTCAATGACTGAACATCTCAGCCCTCAATCTTCAACAATTGCATGTCACTGCGCTGAGAAAGCACCTCGGTTCAAGCCATGATACGCAGATTCTGGCAGCAACGAGTTCTTATAAACAAAATACGCCTTATTAATTCCCACTTTTATATACCACGCCTTATGAATAAATTACACTTCTAATTCCTCTTGTCCCTCTTGTACTTGCCCACCTGTTTCGGCTGGCTACCATACGACCTCCTCGCCTGCACCTTGTCCCGTCCCATGCTCGCTCCCAGCTGGATATCCACTCGCGGGGGTGTAGGGAAACCAAAGCTCTTTGCAATCTTAACCAGGTCCAGCTTCTGCACGTCATAGACGGATCGCAGGCTGTGGCTGGCGTAGGCGTGGAGGTAGGCCTTGAAGGCCTCCTTGGCGCTCTGCTGCAGATAGTAGTTCTTTCCGATGAGCTTCTCGAGCTGCGACTGGACATTGATAATCTTCTTCCGCGGGAACTCGAATTCGACAACGGGGACGCGAGCGGCCTTGAGGTAAGACAGGAAACCGACTTCATTGGGCTATTTGGATATGTTAGTGGCCAAGGAGCAAGTAACACAACTATGCTGATGGAGATTGAGCTTACCTGAAGGAAAAGCAGACTTCGTCCCTTGGCATCGGTACCTCGGGCAGTTCGTCCGACTCGGTGAATGTAGTCACGAGTGTTGTCCGGAGGGTCAAACTGGACGATGAAGTCGACGGCGGGAATCTAGAAAAGTTTTTACCAGTCAGTTTTACGACAACTTCTTGTGGCTTTCCAGTGGCAACAGAATACTCACATCCAAACCACGAGCAGCAACATCAGTGCAGATAAGGATACCGTGTGGCGCGTTGCTAAACTCGAAGAATGTGTTGGTTCGCTTCTGCTGCTTCTGCTTGCCGTGAAGGTCCAGCACCGGGCAATCAATGTAGTTCAAGAGCTCGGAGTAGTATTTAACAGAGTTACAGCTGCTGAAAAAGACAATGACCTTCTTCTTCTTGGCCTGCATTTTCCGGAGGAAGGAGAATAGTAGTAGGAATCGCTCGTCGCCCTCGCACAGGACGTAGCCCTGCTCCAGGCCGTCGACTGTGCTGTGTTGCTTCTCCTCATCGACATTGATATATAACGGGCCGGGTCGCAGAGAGATTCTGGCCAAATCCTCTATACAATCACAATTCAGTCAGCCACTAATTCCACATTATTTGATTAAGTCGGCTCAGATAAGAAAAAACACTCACCAACTTTGGTTGTCTGTGTCGCAGAAAAGAGCATAGTCTGTCGGTCATCGTTTGACAGCACCTTGACAATCTGTCTCATTTCGTCTTCGAAACCAACTTCCAGAATACGATCGGCCTCGTCAATGATGAGAGACTTGAGGTTCTTGAAAACGAATTGGGTGTTGAGAAGGTGATCGAGCAGTCGGCCGGGAGTAGCAATCAACAGGTTGACGCCCTTGGTCAACTTTTCGACTTCTGCTCTTCGGTTGGCTCCTCCAATGACGATACCATACGTCTGTGAGTGGTGCTTCATCAGCTCGCGCGCAACGCCGAAAATCTGGAGCGCAAGCTCTCGGGTGGGAGACACGACGATGACGCCGGTGCCGTTTCGGGGCTTGAATCGCAGAGAACTGAGGATTTCGATGGCGGGAATCAAGAAGGCGAGCGTCTTTCCGGATCCAGTCTTTGCTGCACCGAGCACGTCCTTGCCGGCGAGAAGAGGTGGGATGGCCTGTTTAGAAAGCAGTGTCAGTAAACCAATGAATCCAGATGCCGTGGAGGCCAGGAATTTGAAAGAGGAGGACGAACGCTGCGCTGGATGCTAGTCATCTTTGTGAAGCCCATCTCTTGAATCGCCCTCATGGTCTTTTCGGATAATTTGAGATCTTCAAACTTGTCAGACTCGGCCAGGGTCGACAGTATCGGCGCAGAGTTGGCGGGAATGACATCGCCATCGGTGTCTTTGGCGGCAGGTTTGTCTTCTAGATCGGATCCTTCGCCAGCATCTGATTCTCCGCCGTCATTGTCGTTCTCCTGCTCGAGGTTTGAGACCGCATCTTCATATCTCGACTCTTCTTCCTCTGATACTTCTTCTTCGTCTTCCTTGGGCTCGGCCGGGGTGGGGTTCTTCAGCTTCTTTGACTTTTTGGAGCTGTCGGCAGCGGCATCGGTCTGGTTGCGCTTGCGCTTGTTGTTCAATGTAGCGCCAGCCATGATTGACGATGTGGTTTATGGGTATTTTGGTGAAGGCTTGTTTGTAATGCAGCAGAAATATTTCGCCAGCAATCAGGAACCGATAAGAAAAAAAAAGTTGGTCTGCGATTTGCAAAAAAGCGGGTCTACATTAGAAGTGGGGGTTGCGCCACAGGCATCTGCCATGATCAACTGAGCTAAGAATTCACCAGCCACAGGTACGTACTCCTTGGTTCGTGCCACCCACACACCACACGTTGTGTTTGACGATAGTATCGTTCTAATTGCAGCAAAAAGAAGCAGTCTCGTCTCGTCAGCCGTCAATGGATATAAGAATTATTTATCTTAGCTCGTGTTTCTTTTTTGCACATGTTATTTGTATTATAAATGTCCTAATAGACAAAAAGCAGAACATGGCATCACGCATTAGCGTTCATCTTATACTCACTTACAAATGGCTCTTCGCCGTCAAATACGTCCCTCCCAGCTTCAGCATGTCAACTGCCTCCTGCACCATCTCGGCAACAATTTCTCCCGCGGGCTGAATCTTATCAATGGCTCCCGCAACCTGCCCCATCAAATGCGGAATGTCAATGTCCCGGCCCTCGTCCAGATCATTCTCCATCGGAATCACTCCCTTCTCCACCAACTTCTTGATCTCGCCCGGCCGGTCATGCCAGCTCTGGATATAGCCGTTGGTCCTCATACGCAGTGGCCGGCCCGTAATCACCAGCGTTCGCTCCGTGCCTTCAAAGCCGCACGTCACCACCGCCTTCTTGGCCTCCTCGCTGCAGCCAGCTTCGTCTGAAGCGAGGAATCGCGTGCCCACCCACACGGCCACGGCGCCCTGCATCAGCGAACTGGCCAGGCCCCGTCCATTGCAGATGCCTCCCGCAGCGACGACAAGAGCTGGCGAGCCCTTCAGCATGGGCGGCTTGTATCGTCGTGCCACGTCAACTACCGCTGGAATCAGGACTGAATTGGCCACGTCGCCGGTGTGGCCACCTCCTTCGCCACCCTGAGCACACACAATATCGACGCCCAGATCCAGAGCCTTGACCGCGTGCTTTGGATGGCCGACCATGTTCATCACCAGGATGCCATTCTTGTGAAGCTTCTCCAGGACGTGTTTCGGCGGCACGCCCACCGCGCAGACAAACAGCTTTGCGCCGCTGTCGATGGTGATGTCAATCAGCTCATCCAGCTTCCCGTGTGTGTAGTCGTGGTTGGTCTTGCGCGCATTGCCCCCCAGCTGTGGCAGCGCCAGGTCCACGCCGAAAGGGAGGTCCGGACTCTTCAAATTCGCCTTGAGCTCGGCAATGATCTCGCGGAGCTGGTCCGGCGTGTACATAAAGCCGCCGATGACGCCCAGACCGCCAGCGTTGGAGACGGCGGCGGCAAGGCGGCCTCCAGAAGTGCGGGCCATGCCAGCAAGGATAACAGGATGCTGAATCCCCAGCAGGGTGGTGATGGGAGTGGTGATGGGTCCGGTGGGCGCCATGGTTGTGGTTGGTGATGGAGATGGTGTATAGAGGCCGAGTACAAGTGGTGTATCTGCTGCTATGGGAGGGCAAGCATGGGACTAAATCAGACCGAGCGGCCAGCCAATTGCTAGAAATAATCAAGACCGCCAACAGTGAGACAAGATTGCAGCGAGTGGATGAAGGTGAAGAAAAACATCCGACAGCAAGAAGGAGCTGAACCCTGAGCAAACCCCCGTCCAGCCATCGGCAGCAATTGCACGCCTCCGTGCCTATTCTCCGGGGCTTTGGCGTAGCACGCGCTGCGACAGGCACCCAAAGCGGCAGCGGCTACGGCACCAGCCGCTTTGCGGGGAAGCGATCGATGCCGAGGCATCACGAATCGGCATCAAGTGGAAACTCCACGGAGTCAGGGTGCTGCTAATACTCCGAAAGCACGTGTAAAAGAATATTCGAGACTTTCAAGTCATCTAGACCAATATGGGAAATATAGTAGAATACAGGACAGGACAGAGTCTGATTACGCCGCCTATTCTGTGATAGATACTGCATCTACATCGTGGAAACTCGAACCCGAAAGCTTGTCGAGATACAGACAAGCGTTTCGCGAAGCACTCCAAAGACAGCGCAATTACATCACCAAGAGGACACAAATATATATAAATTGCGATTCGTTTCTCATTCATTCATAATATTCGTCAGACCATATTTGTTGCCCTCTGCCCGCGTTGTTCCATTACACGCTAGCAGGTTGCTGGTAGAAATCTTAAGCACGTCCTGCCCAAGGAATAATCAGTGACATCTAGGTACCCCATGTCAGTAGTACAATATATATGTCCAAGACTAAACATGTCCGAGGCATACAATCTCCTATAGAGCCACCGCGATGCTCAATAACTCATTCAAAATGCGGCAGCCGCGCAGGTATAAAGCCGCTCTTGACAGTGGGTGTTACCCTCTCTTTGGCCTGAGCCTCTAAATCATGTCCGGATATCCCGGAATCGCGAAGAGTACCTTCATCGTCACCTTCATCATCATCGCTGTCACCATCGTCTTCCAAGTGAATCTCATGTGGCTCTTCTTCTGGTTTATACTCGTCGTCTCCCACATCCGCCAGCTTCGGTTCTGCTTCTGTTTGCAGCCCTCGCTCCAGCGCCAATTGGGCTGCAGCCTCTTTCTTCTTTGCCAATTCTTCGTCTTCTTCCCTTCCTAGGCGTTCTTCTTCTAGTTCGAGGTCTCTAAGTGATGGCAAGGGCTGAGCACTCTGTGCCGAGTCTTGAGGTACTGCTCCAAATATGGCGAGGCCAAGGCCCAAAGATTCTCTGGATCCAACCGAGCCAAGGGTCGTTCTAGATACTGTTCTAGAGACGGTATGCGCCGGCCGCTTGCCTTTACTACTCGGCGTTCTTCCGCTCTTGCTGCTCCTGTCATCCTTTCTAATCATGTCATAGGTCACATCGTCATCAAGTGCTATTGCATCTTCTTCTCCTTCACCGTCGCTGGGAAACAAATCACCACGAGAACGATAAGAGTCTGATGTTGCGCCCGATCCCGTTGTACCGCTCCGCTTCCTGGACTGTGACGGTTGTAGGAATTCTCCATGGTCCGAATCGTCTTCCGCTCCCAGCAGCGGCTGCGTCTCGGTATATTCGTGTTTTCTGGCACCAGGGTGCTCTTGCAAATCCGCCGCACTAGGTTTGTATCGCAAGGTGCCGCCCATCTTCCAAGGGAGCTTGCTCAAGAAGCCAATCGGCTGGGTGCTGGGGATAATGGTGGGATCCTGCTCGCTGTTTTTTCTTCTGGCCCCTCTTGTTCCGTAGCTCATGCCTCGCTTTCGACGTGGCTGGTGGTCAACCGTCTCGGGTCTCCTCTGACTGCCAGAGCCAGCCAAGAGACGATCCCAGTCTTCCCCTCCCCAGTTGCCCAGCAGCCCGCCGCTCTCCTCCTCGCGATCCCAGTCATCGTAGAAATTAAAGCTGTATTCTGCTCTCTCGCGAGCGCGCTCGCGCTGCCGTCGAATGCGCTCTTCGGCATCGCCCAGGCAAACCGCCGTGCACTGCTCAACGGCGCCTCGTATCGACCCCAGGCACGGATTGATGTAATGATGCTGAAACGTCCAGATGCCGGCGGCGGCATTCTCAGTCACGGCCTCTGCATCGTGTGTGATCTGGTTCCAGCGCTGACGCAGGCGCGGATCCTCGAGAAAAGCCATTGCTGGCGGCTGGTCGGCTGGGTTGCTGGGTGTTGTTTGTTTGCTGCTGCGCGAAGGCGTACCCAACTGGTGACGTCGCAGACATCCAATGGAACAGCAGATGAGAATAGCGGGCAGCTCAGTGTGCCATCTCTTACAGGCTATTGCTCATAAGGCTCGGCGACCTGCAATCTGCTGCGCGCGCTCGGCGAAATAGCAAAAACCGGACGGTGCTCTGATTCCTGTTGAGGGTTGCGACAATGCAGACGGAGCCCTTCGGTGTTTATGATGAATTAGCCTGAACCGACGCATTGATGAAACAGCATCAACAATAAGGCGGTGGCACGTGCAGGCATCTCAGACAGCGGCTCGAGCTTATGTAACGCCATCCGGCCAAAGCTTCTTTAGGCTCTGCGCTATAGCTTTACGCTATAACTCGGTACTAATGCATAGAACATTCCGCTGTGTCCGTCTCATTTGATCTCTGGAGACTCGAGGCGAATTGCCTGAGCACAGATTGGACGCCACTTTCGTTCACTTTCTGGGGTGCATACGCGAAACTTACGAGACTCGGCTACAAAGCCTATTCTTTTGTTGAGAAGATTAAAATATCGACGCTGTTGGCAGAATCCTATTTTTTATTTTTTTTTATTTTCACAACATTTTTTTATTATATAGTAATAATACTGAGTAAACTTAACAGGAAAACCACTTTATTAAATGTTTAATAGTGTTAATAGTGATTAGTATGAATAAAAATAGTATAACATGTACGGCAAAGACTTGGGAATGTGTTTGAATATGTTGGTTTAATATGGGGAATAATTTTTTGCGCGTGTATCCTCAACAGCAGCAAAATAACCCCCCTCTGTGATACTACTAGGATTTTGACCAATCTTGACAACGCAGAAAGAGCCTTTATCAAAACCGTCATTCGTCGTATGTAGCACTATACTTAAAAGCATTTACGCGGGCTTTATAAAGAAATTTGCGATATACTGGTTGATACTGAGACTGTATCTGAAGTCTGTGATACGCATATTCCTCTAGGTTAGATGAAAACCCAACCGAGGGCGACACCAGCTACGGTGCCTCGGCAACTGAGCTAGCATGTCTGCAAAAGCGCATACTGCGGATACTGCCAAAATAAATACCGGATCTATTAAGCTAAAACTTTGCTAGCCGAGTTTATGGGTGTTGTCTGTCAGGGTAGATTGGTTTTTATCGTAGAACCAATATTCCAATATTGTATGCAAAGCAAGTAGGATTTGTTGAATATAGCAGAGAGGTTTGAGGAGGAAAAAAAAAAAAAAAAACTTCCTCAATCATAAAGAAGGAAATAAAAGCAAGTAAGTATCAAGTGATGTAAAGATATATATACTAATAAGTTGCGATAATATATATATATATATATATATAATAAGGTATTTAATTGGCTTCCTTGCAACTAGAGAGAAATGCCTTTGTTTCATTTCTGTTACTTTCACTGAATGGACTTAGTATTGATGATATTTTACTTCTTTCAATATATTATCTTTCATAAATTATTCTCCGTAGCTCACGCTGGCTCCATCTATGCAACTAACAATAATTATTTATACAAAAATCCTCCCATCATCGAAGGGCTCTTCATGGAGCACGGCACATTCTTCCATTGTTCGCGACCGTCCAAGCCTCACTGCCCACAAGGCGGTTGCCCCAGAAGAGAGAGTTGGGATCATACTTCTTCTTAATGGAAAGAAGAGTGTTATAGTTGGAGCCGAAGAATTCCTGCTGGAAGTTGGGCTGCTGGAAATCACCCTCGTTCATGTAGATGCCGCTGCCCGGGGTCACGGCCTCAAGCTGGGGCATATACTCGTGAGTAATGGTGTTCTGGTCCGCGACCATCTGTGACCAAGGGGCCGTGTTGTTCCAGGGGGTGCCAATCTGCAGATGGATCGTGGTGTTTCGCCATGCGGGCAGGACTGCGTTGTTGACGCCGGCGGGGCGAGCGTAGTTTGCGGAACTGCCGGCCATCACGACACCCTGGGCGGTGAGGTTCTGGATGACGGCCTGGAGACCATCGTTGTTGTTGACGAGGACGCTGCGGGGGATCAGCCTGCTGCCGTAGTTGAAGTCGCCGACATCGAGGCTTCCATAGGGGAGAGGGCCCATGTAGGTGCTGTAGTGGTCAAAGTATGAAAGCTCGGTGTACTTGATGGTTGCGGGAACTCCGAGCTCAGAGAGCAATGCGGTGAAAGGAGCGAGAACAGTGTTCTCAACGAAGTCGGCGGTAGAGTTCCAGACGGTAATCGGCTTGACCTCGAGGATCTGGTTGTTCATGAGGTAAACCACCATGGCACCCTGATCGATCATGGTAGGAATCATGGCATAGAACTCGGAAATGACTCTGTTGAAGTTCTCCTGGGTGGTGGAGGCGGCAAAGATGTCAATCTGAGCGCCACCGACGATAGCCTCGGGATGAGCCCTGACCGTCATGGAAGTGACGACACCGAAGCCGGGGCCGCCTCCACTCAGAGCCCAGTACAGGTCGCTGTTCTGGGAAGGAGAAGCAGTAAGGACAGTGCCAGCAGCAGTGACAACCTCGAACTCAAGAGTCTGATCGGCGGCGAGACCAAACTGGGTGCTGAGAGCAGAGTGGCCGCCGCCCTGGGTGAAGCCTCCGGCGACGCCGACGGTTGGGCATTCGCCAGTGACGGCGACAAATCCCTGGGCGTGGGCAGCCTCGAGGATTTCAAAGCCTTGGATTCCGGCGCCGACCTTGATGGCAGCGCCAGAGTAGCCTGCGCTTGAATAGTTCTTGATGACGGAGACGGACTTTAGGTTATGGGTCCAGATGCCCAGGGCGCCAGCACCGGTAGAGCGGCCAAAGAAGCTAGATGGAGAGAAGAAAGGTTATCAGACGATGCTTCCTGAGGGACGATGCTATAAGTAAACAAAACAAAAGTGAGGCCGGCATACTCATGGCCAGTGTTGCGAACAACGACGCGGATGTTGTTCTTGGTTGCGAACGCCAGGGCGGCGGACACATCAGCGGTGCATGAGACGTTGACGGCATAGCTGACGTAGTTGCCCAGGAGGCAGGGCTGAGACTCGGGGGTGAAGGCATCGCAGCTCTGGTTGGCGAAGAAGGGCTGCATAACCGATGACGACGTCACGTAGCTATATTATCACATTCCTATTAAATCCCCATTCGTTGCGCAAGAGGTGCTGGAAACGAGGCATGTACGAACTGTGTTTGCGGCAGCTCCCAGTTGGCTTGCAGATTCGCACAAACGGCCTGGTTGTATTTCGGGTCGTGGCATGGCGTTCCGAGAGGGACGGTGGCGATGAGTCGGCCGCCGAGTGTGTTGTTCAGCGCCGCCCATGAGGCAGCGGATGGCCATCCAGGATCGCCGGGAAGATTGCGGCATGGAGGCGGCGGAGGAGGAGGAGGAGGAGGAGGAGGAGGGCGAGCAGCTGTGTCTGCGGTGGCAGTGGTGTCTGCGTTGACAGCAGCAAAGAGCGCGACCGCGGCCGCGATGGAGGCTCTCATCTTGTCTTTGTCTGTGTTTTCCTAGGCCTCGTGTGCTTTCCTAGGCGTTGCAATGGCGAGGTGAAGCTCGGGTTTGGGCAAGAAGATAGATATCACGACCAGCGTGCGCCGTTGCGGCCAGTATATACATGCAGTATTGTGGATAAAGTCTATCGCATCGTACTATCGACTATGGAGACGTTGGAGACGCGGAGATTGTATAACAGGTGAGAGTAGCATCCCGGCGTGCCGCCTGTTGTAGAATCATGCCTCGGCTGGGTGGAGTAGTGGTCTGTTCAACGGCCAAGTCCGCAACTGGACTCTTGCGACGAGAGTCTGTGCCGATACAGTAACCACATCAGCACAATCGTGCCGGACACGTGTGGCACTAGCAACGGTCACTAGCATTCCAATCCACCCATCTCATGGCGTCTTCTTATACGGAGCAATAATATCTAGATCATACTACTCGTAGTTCTATTGCCAAGATGCTGTTGCCATATCTGCTCTATTATAGTCTATATTATAGCATTCTAATTCCACGAGAACCCCTTAGTGCTGGCGAGATTGATTGCAAAGCAAAGGTCGCTTATAATTCGAACTTGTAGGCATTGGAGCTCCAAGCCTGACATGGATATCTCGGCCCAATTCCAAGCAGATGGAGGGCCTTCCTGTGTTTAGGTCTCCCTCACCTGGCAGCTTCTCCAGCAACGGCGGACGTGTACAGCAAAGCGTGCGGCGCAGCCCTCCCAGATTGGTGTCCTCAGCCGTCCTCGGACATGCACCGCTTTCAGCTACAGTAGCATCGCTCCCTGACCTGAGACCGAATTCATGCTTAGCCCGTCTTGGGGCCAAGCCCGATCTACGATAAAGGCATGCGAGCCAACCCCCTTTCCATGCAGCTTCCAGGGGCCAGGTCGGCTACACACACCCATGATGTCGGTGGTGGCACTAGCAGTGTCTACCGCCGCATGGAGCGAATGTCTGCCCTTGGTCTTTTCCCACCTGGGCTGCCAAGAGTTTAATAGCGTAGGAACTCGGCACTGGCTCAGCTGCAGCTTGAGGCTGGAAAAAATTTCAAATCCTCAGCTTTGCCCGCGATGCCGTATTTCCTATGGTTGCTGGGAGGCAATGGCCCTACGTGGGGTAGGTTTCTTGCGTTGTTTGGTAAGGTCAAGTGGCTCTTCCCAACAGACTGGGAGATTGCTCTTCTCCATACAAGACCAAAATCCACTCACCAATCGTGGAGACAGGGATTGTTCGCCGTGGCTAGCCACTTACTCACTCGCACATTCACGCGCCGTGCAGTGCTGTAGACGCAGGACAGGGTATTTTTGTACATAGTACGTATGGGAACAGTTCCTATTTTAGGCAGATCCACCTCACCGGCATCAACTGTGGCCCTCGCGTGGTGCGAAGCAACTAAGAACCTTGGAAGACTCTGCCAAGTCCCCAGTTGCGGGCACTTTGCCAGACTAAGAAGCAGACCTATGCCTCGAGGCTCCGACACCTCGTTCCGAATATCCAGCTGACACATACTCTGGCTCAAGGAGATGCTCCCCCTGCTCCTATCATGCAGAAACGCTTCATGGCCCTCGTGGTCCCCGCGAATGTGATCATGTAAGACTTAGACAAGCTTCTTGAAGAGGGCCCTGACAGATGCATGGGATGGAAAAGGGCCATGTTCCAGAAGCCTACTGTCAAGGGAGAATACTCAAAGGTGCGCCGGATCTAAATCTTGGCCGCTTTCTTGCGATATTATGGAATGGAGAGAACGCGCATTTCAGCCTTTCTAACGAGACTTTTTTCCGCCCTAGCCAGCTGAATCTTCGGTCGGCCAATTGTTTTTTTTTCTCGCCCCCCCTAACTCACTAGAATCCGGTGAGGTTGTGTCTAGGTCTTACTTTGGAGGCCAGATCTAATTGCCATCTACGAAGGTAAATGCCCGCGCATCTTTCAGGATTCCTTCCAGATCTTTCTGCGTGAAGCGGAAATTCTCTTATCCAATGGTTGCAACCTCTTCGGGCAATACCCCGTGCCCCCTTGGATCAATTCTCGAAAATATTGGCTGCCCCCCCGGCGCCTTGCCTTCTATGGCACCCAGTTCGGGAATAAACCCTCATGCCGGTATCGTGGTTTGATTGGGTTCTCGACCACGTTGCGGTAGCAACATGGGTGTTCCTCTTATCAGCTAGTCCCTCCAGAAGAACGTTGAAGAAAAAAGTTGACCCATCAACGTGTTTGGATAGTCGCTTTTGAAAGGATTCTGATCCTGCATTTCTCCGAGGCTAGAGTATGGGGTTTGCATGATATCAAAGACCTACTACCGGGACTTTTTCCTGATATAGATGCATATATACCGGCAATGGACGGTCACAGTTCATTATCACTTTTGCTTGTTCTTACTAAACACGTTCGGTCTCAGGTGGGATACTCGCGTGACCAGTCTACGCGAAAGCAAGGAACACAAGACAATTCCCTCTCAGTTATCTGGTTTAAAACGACTGAGTACAGAGCGCAGAAATGTGATAGAGATGGCTGCAGGCCCATGTCGATGTCAACGAATCCAGGGTCAACGTTCAATCTTTATTTCCCATACTAAGCGATGCTAGATGGCTTAGAAAGACAAGGTAAGCCAATGCTGGTTTACGAGATTGCGATATTGTTTGCCTATGCTTGACTGACTAATGGCAAACCATCCCAACGGTAGCCTAAGATTCCTCAATGAGAAATCCTAAGCGAGAAAACCAAAGAGTGCGAAGAATTACTAAAATGGGTAGTCGCCTTTAGCTACAGGCAATCTTAGCACTGCTCGACCGGATTTTCCGTTGGAATCCAAGTTTCTGATTATCCCACACGTATAATGATTTCCATGTCAATCAACGTTGACAAGTTATCACAAACTATTAGCGTCGATAATTTCCGGCTTCCGAATGAGATTCTAGTGGAGAGGAAAAAGAATGAAAAGATCACCATGGGCCGTGAGCACCCATAGCGCCGCCGATCGTTTGCAGATCGCTCTCTGCACGAAGATCCGGGGCTGCTGACAGCTTTCCGAATTGCGGGAGCGAGGAATTGATCGAGCGCGGAAACCGGTGTTTACAATACCAATAATTCCTATGTCGGCCCAGTTAGTTTGGTTTTTTACTTTCTCCTGCTTTTTGGTGGGTTTAATGGTGGTGTTGTGTTGACGCTTGAGCCCGGCAGACCGAAAAGGAAGGTCTCGGAAGCTAACGGACACAGCCTCTAGCCTTGGGAGGAGCTATAACACGAGGGGCCCGTCCGGGTCGTATCGAAGGGCCTCTAAGAGGGGTTATAGAAAGAGAGAAGACTCGTATAGAGCCGAAGAATAGGCCTATTTGTAGCTTTTTCGCCAACTAGGCGATGATGGAAAAGAGTCCTAAAAGGTTGACGACACATTCGGCAAACTGTGCGATGTACAGCAGATAGCTCCTATGCCATACATAGGTAGCTTGTACAAGTAACTGCGTACAGTACCTGACGGGCATGTACCTGGGGAAGTGCATTCCAGACGTTCAGCCGAAAAAGCCAAGTCTCGGAGCATGGCAATAGAGTTGGCTTTAGGGGAATTAATTCTCTCAGACCTTATGCTGAACCGCGTCTTCGGTGTTCCATTGAGTCTAATTTCGAAACTACACGTGCTTAATCTGACAAGTTCGTCTTATCTTCATGCATCTTGAGTTTGAACCAAGCACCTGCAGCCTGTCTTCTGAATTTCAGGGCCTCAGGAGTTGTCCTGCTTGCATATTGCGCATCTCCACCAAGCGTTTCACGGGGAATCTTCAGCGTCGTACCGCGAGTCTAGTGCCTCTCTCTAGCATTCAATTCAGCTTAGGGCTCGGGACCTACATCCTGCTTCGGGCGGACGCTAAAATATTGAGGCTTGCAGAAGTCGGTTTTGAGTGACATCCCTACCATGTTCCCTGGTTTTTTTTTCCCCCCTCTCCCCCGCTTATCAGGGGTGGCCTTGTATGCGACGGGGATTTCTATCAGCTAACTTTTTTCTTTTTTTTTTTCCTCTTCTTTTGTGATGAATCACGTCGTCTCCCCTCTCACGCCCTTGCAAGAGTGCCTCCTCACCTCGCTTAGATATCCCATATTACCCCAAATAACTCGGCATTTATCACTAATGCAGCTTCAACCAGACTATTGGGCTTTTCTTAGTAGCACGAGTAATGCACGTGGGAATGGCAGTTTTAGCTTGTAAAGTGCTTGCGTTCTGCAGGACTCTTATAATTTAACATGGGAAATGCTAGTGCAGAGTGGTTGTAGAGACTAGAGGTCGAAGGCTGAATTAGACCCGTCCCTTAAGTCATTAATGCTGCGTATTAATTATACTAGGCTTTTCTTTCTATATGCTAATTGGAATGCGAATGCCGACAGTAACAGCTGCTACTAGTATATCTAGTTCCCCATCTGTGACATAAAGGGGGGTGAGATGGCGCCGGAGTTTGGAAACATACGTATAGTTGAAGCAGGCACAAGGACTGCGCGGTTTGACGTGCAACACGAGTACATGTATATGTCTACGCTGCTCGCCCTTAGGTGACGCCTGGCCTCTTTCCCTTCTACTTGGTTGAAAGATTCCTTTGATCTCGAAATCGATCTTGGGGACAGGAAGGACAATGAGGTTGTTATCTTTCCTCTTGTTGGCGCTCTTGGGAGCCTTTTCTTTGGTATTAGCAGCGGAGAGCTCGGCCGAGAACTCTACCGCTGCTGCCAATCCCCTTGCCGCGTTGCCGGTTTGTGCGGTATGCCATCCTTTTTTTATTTCTTTCCTTTTTATTCGACCTTGGACTAAGAAACAATAGCAAAAATGTCTTGCGTCGGCTGTTGCAAATTCTACCTGCAACCCAAATGACGTCAAGTGTACCTGTGAAAGCGCGTCGATTCAAGAATCATCGGCAATCTGCATCGCAGGCGCCTGCACGGTTCGGGAGTCTCTAAGTATGTGGCCTGCCTGACGCTCAATTCTCTACATCACCCCAAAGACGAATTTCCTGTTTAACACTTCATGATTAGCCACCAAAAATGCGACAAGCACTCTCTGTGGCGTCCCCATCCGTAACAAGACCCCCATCTTCGCCAATGTCACCATCGTGCTCGGTGTCATCGCCGGTTTTATTGTCGTCCTGCGTATCGGCTCCAAGATTGGCCTGAGATTGGGTCTCGCCTCGGACGACTATGCCATTCTCGTGACGCTCGCGTGCGGTATCCCTTCCTCTGTGATGAACGTTCGAGGCACTGGCGGAAATGGAGAGGGCAAGGACATCTGGACACTGCCGTTTGATATGATCACTCGCTTCGGAGTATACTTTTACACCCTCGAGATTTTATATTTCGCCCAAGTTATGCTTCTGAAGATGACGCTCTTGTTCTTCTATCTTCAAATCTTCCCCGGACCAGCCAGGAAACTGTTGTGGGGCACTGTTGTCGTCAATGGCATATTTGGAGTTTCGTTTATGCTTCTTGCGACTTTCCAGTGCACTCCAATCAGCTTTTTCTGGGACGGCTGGGACGGCGAGCACAAGGGCAAATGGTATGTCATCACTTCTCTCACGCCATGTGACCTCCTTGCTAATAGAAAAAACAGTCTCAATAGTAATGCCATCGGATGGGCAAACGCAGCAATCAGTATTGCCTTGGATTTATGGATGATTGCAATCCCCATGTGGCAAGTCCGCAACCTCAACCTCCACTGGAAGAAGAAGGTCGGCGTAGCAATTATGCTCCTTGTTGGTACCTTGTAAGTATATGCTCACAGCGGCAGCTAGCAACCTCATGTCTAACATAAACCAAAGTGTTACAGTTGTCAGTATCGTCAGACTCCAGTTCCTTGTGAACCTTGGTAGTTCCGCGAATCCCACTTTCGACCAAGTTGACGTCTCTATCTGGTCTACTGTTGAGATTAATACCGGTATCATCTGTACATGTCTGCCATCTATTCGACTGTTTTTGATCCGTCTTTTCCCTGTCTTGGGTGGCTCTTCGCATAAGAGGAGTGGCTACCAAAACTACCCTGACAGCTATGGCAAATCAGATCATGCAAACAGCAGGGCAAAGACACTGGTTTCAGCCGTTAAATCTCAGACTCGCCCAGAGCATAATGGGATTGAACTTGAGACTAGGTATGAGGTTCGGTATAGCGATGAGGATGAGGCTAGATTGGTGAGGATGCAAGAAGGGCATAATTTAAAGTCAGCGCACGAAGCCAGCGCACGAAGTGTAAATAGCGCAAGCGAGGTATCACTGTAAATTGTTTAATGTCAGCTAGGCCATCAAGGATAGAGGTCAGCTTTTTTTTTTTCTTATTATATATTGAACACTCTATAATTCTCTAAATTGCCAGATTTTGAAACAGCTGAACCTGAAGCTTCTCGCAGCTACTCAATAGGCGGAAACTCGCGCTGCGAAGACAAGTGAAAGCTAGGAACATTCGGATGACCCGCGAAACCATCCATTCTCCAACGGCGTCGATGTTGTTATGATTGAGGAGTCTTTGACCTTATCAGCACTTAGCTATGTGTTTACGATTGTTAGCCTGGATTTGGTGAAACAAGCAACAATGTTGTACTCCCCATCATTTCAGCGATTGACAGATAAATTTAAAACATTCTGAAACGACTCTGAAGCATATGCGATGGCATGCCAAAAGCACAACTGAATTTCTTTGGAGCCAGTGCTAATTAAGCGCCTCGTTGGCCTGAATTGTATGTGGCACCATGGGAAGCAGCATCTAGGTAGCGGATGTAAATTGTGGTGTAGAGATTCTAGGTATTGGTCGACTGTTCAACGATATATAATAGACTGTTCTCATTAATTATATTGTGAAGCTGCGTATAAGCGTGAAGAGTTGATGCCTTCAGCGCAGGCTATTTCGCGAACTAGCATGCCGAATATAGTTTGCTTAGACAGATGCTGGTGCTAGTTTGCCTGTCTTCTCATGGCTAGGCATGCTGTGGCGACCTCTTGATATGAAGGTTGTGAATAATTGTAAGGATGAAGAAAAGCGATTACACCATGATGATCACGCATCAATCTAACATTTTATCTAGTGATAGTAGCTAACTACTCGCAGATTGCACATTGGATATACTGAAGCTGTAGCTGGGATACAAGAGTATAATCCCAACGCTGACATCAAGAAATTGTTGCCTGTCCAGAAAGATGCAGTACTATAGAACACATTGGTCGCGGCTAAATGTGCGGAACATATGAATAACGCAACTCTATGTCTCAAGGTTACCCAAAGCCTACAGAGAAGTCTAATCAGGCATTAATAGTACAATATATCTCTAAGGCGACACGACTACTCGAACAATGATGATGATGGATTTTTTCTCTCTTAAACTTTTACGCCGAGGAAAGGCATTATAGAGTTCCTATTGGGCTTCAACGGCTTTGTTGAGAAGTATGGAGACGAATATTAATACCATTTCACCATAGATACTTCTTGTTGGCGTTTTCAATATCGTTTCCCATGTTACATCGAGTCATATATGGTTTTTTAGACTAGCATACAATTTACCGGTAACGATATGCTCTCTGACAAACGTTTCTTTTGTATTTTGTATTTGCCAAACCCAGGGATCCAGGTCTTGATCAAGGCAAGCCAAAGTCACGATAATAACATGAAGCCTGCACTTGTGCATTAACGGTCTAGCAGACTCAACTAAAGCAGTGGAATTGGTGGCGCTGGCGATCAGGAACTAGCACTGAGGCCCATTAATTTCAGTGCAATAGTGGAGGTGACGGGTATCCATTCGACCTGGAGCCAGCTGTAAGGAGCACAGTAGCTGAGTTGTCATGTCATTGGCGTCTGGTAGGTACGCAAGTTAAAGTAGCCAAAGGACTCTCTATTGCTCTACCCTTAATTCACTTAAGTTTTACCAATATCGGCTTCCATTGCCAGTTACAACAATTCACATACGCCGTCGTACATACCTACGTCATACAAGATCCGCTGGTACCTGAAAGTCACCCCGCCTTTAGTACCCCGCCGCGCCCGCATATCAGCTTTAACTTGCATCTTTGACTTGTATTTCTCAAAGCATCTACAAACACCAACGGCATCACGCATTTGCTCGTATCTGCTCTCGCAAAGTCTATTTCACCTACAGCAGCTACCATGAAATGGCCAGATTCGCCTGACGGCCTCAACGCGGACTGGGTCTTCGCCAACGGCTCCAACGTGCAGTAAAGGCTCCCAACCATCTAGAAGTGCTCGACGTGGCAAGACTGACTCTCGAGCAGTGTATGCAACGATCGGAGGTGGTTTGCCGAGTTTGTAGCCTTTCCTAGCAGCGCTGAATCAGCTTATTTTGCCTCCGAGAAGCTATCTGTCGTCGGCGTTGGAACCGTCAATCTACCCGTCAAGCGAAGCCCTAATCTTAGGGGATCACGAGCCCATCACCTCCTTCGTCTTACAGAAGTGCTTTACATACCTTCGTCGGTATGCAACATTATTGGTTTCCCCATTTATGATATCATCGATGGCGTTAGCATGGGCGGAACAGAGAAGAGCAGGGGCGTCATGACTGATGCTAGTGGCAAGCCGCTTGCCTATTTCTCCCCTGATACAGAGACCAGTTTGGCTTGTCTCAAACTTAGTGGTCCCCCTGTTGGTCCAAAGCTGGCACCTTCCAAATTACAATCTGATGTGGTGTACGTATTGAGTGTTATATGGCCGGATAATGAGAGAGCACGATGGAAGTCTCTCGACCAACATACCATGGCAGACAACCAGAAGCGCCAATGGGTTGGAGAGCAACCGTACACCGCAGAGGAAAAGAAGTGGCTGAAGAAGCACTATGGAGGGGAATTTAAGTTTCTATGTCTGTATGGATTGAGCATCTACAATGAAGAGGATCGGGCAGAAGGCCGAGCCATCATGCGCACGCTCTCGAGAGCTGACGAGAGTAACGATGAGAATGATGGAGGAGATGATGATGACCAGAAGGGAAAGGACGAAGACGAGGACGAAGACGAAGAAGAATTCTGCGAGGAAGATGACGAAGAGGATGAAGAAGAAGAGGATGACTCGGATCTAGAAAACCATCTCGCCGATTACCACTTCAACGAAGAAGAACTAGACTGGATTGAGAAACACTATCAAAACTCTGCGACCTTCATGATTTCATACGGTCTTAAGTTCTATGACGATGATGACTGCGCAACAGCTAAACAGCTGGTTCAAGACTTTTTGGGCGAATAAAAGGTGGTGCCATGCTTTGTACCGACTCAAGCCTCTGCCGGTTAGATTAACATCAGATTGTGAAGTAAAAGATGAAGAATGTAATGGAGCTCTTAAAAAAAGGAAGTTTGACATCTGATAGTATTGAACTACCCCTATTAGGTATTTTATTTGCTTTGTCTTATTTTTGTTACTACTAATTGTCTTTTCTCTTCTTATTCACCGAAAATAGATACCGTCTCTTTACGTATGTTCATGTACTTGCACCTAAATGGGGGATACTACTATAAAGTCATCTGCCGTCCTTTTAGAGCCACGATTTATGCAAAACAGCGCTTTGACATTACGATCAAATCAGCGGCTAATGCATTAAACGAATCCCTGTTCCTCGAAATACGAGAAAACGTGTCCCTGCAGGCTTACCGTGCATACTCATGCAGAGTAGGATCTACTACGCAGCATCGCATTTGGCATCCCATTCGTTAGGTTACGTACTTCGTAGGTAGGGGTAGTAACCAAATAAGTTAGCAGCCATTGCTAAGAAGCTGCCAGTACCTTTGATGTTGGGATCACACCCAAGCCATGATATCAAGGATCGAGATCTCGACGGATAAGGTCTACCCGGTCAGCACTAGTCACCACCGGGGAAGGCACTTGGGGTGCACTACGGGTTGCCCTCACGGCATCAGTATTCGTCCGTGATGATGCCGATTGAGCGCCTCACGCAAGGTTCATTTGTGACACCAAGGTGGTCTAACCAGGCAACAATCGTATTTGCTGTATGTAGTGGCCCCCCCACACATAGGCTCCCTGGCGATGTGTCAACGGCCTGGTGTCTGCATGATAAAACAAGCTTGGTGGTAGTTGATTGGTTCCTTCGTACAAAGCCCCCATCCTGTTCAGCTGTAATTGCTACTCTACATGCAGGTACAGGGCAACCGGACTCTTCGCAAGTCCGGATTCGAGTTGTTGCTGAGAAACAGGGATATTATGCAGCATTTCCTCGGCTGTAACCTGAAGGCGGAACAAGCAATTCTGCTGTACAGTATACTCCCAGCTGCTGAGATCCGTTAACCCGGCACTTTCCCTTATCTGGATCAGACGGTCCCTCAACCCGCAGTAGCCGGGCCGAGCGTCGTTAGATGAAGAAACCAGCGTACATATTCACGTCTGGGAGTATTCTACACAGGTGTATTGAACGATTGGTCTTGGCGGCACTTGCGGTATTTTCTCCAGAAGCTACGAGGTATATACACGAATATAAGGCATAGATGGAAAGAAACTTGGCTATTAGTAATTTCTATACTAATATGTATTTAACATATACATATAGTGAAAGTATAGATATCATTTATATCATTATATAAATGGATATAAATTCATTAAATTATGCATTTAAAATATTTTAGCTGCATGATAACAAAGTGCAGTCTCTTAAAAAAAAAACAAGTGCATTACTTTAGTTATACATCACTACATATTACCAAATACACATATAAATACATATATAAATACAATCATATCTCAACCCCGTTTTCATGTCAACACCCTGTGTTGAGTTAGTATGAGCTTATTACGACTATAAACAATAGATGGAATAATAATTCCCCATAGTCTTATCGGGCCGCGGACTAACCTGTTTCATGTGCTCCATGGGTAAGAGACATCAGGTTGAGAAGAAGCAGAAGACAAAATGCCGTAAATAGCAATATTTTGTATGCAATGATATTAAAACAAGGAACCGCCATTAAATTCCGTTGATTGATAGGCTATCAGAATTATCCGATATCTTGCACGATTACAGATATCACAATTAGCACACGCGCTTTTTCGGATTATGCCGTACGTCGTTGGAGGCTAAAGCCAATATAGCACACTTATCACTTATTTTCCGAATTCACCGCGTATCTGAGGCAAGGAAGTCTTTAATTGCCCTCTACAGCCATTCTGTGAGCAGGCTGAGAAATGGCGCCATGCAGCTGCTGGCCAATCATTCTCCATGTTTGCGTACCAGAAGGTACATGTACTCTGATTCGTCCTGTTTCGCTGCCATCCTTTCGGTGTAGCTAGATGTGCCACGTGCTTCTCAAAGATCTCTTGGATCACCCGGTATCCGGTCACATTCCATTCTGTCACTTCCTCTAGATCTTAGGTCGGTTCGCATGTGGGAACTTCAAAGGGCTTGACAGCACCCATCGGAACAATCCCGGCTTGAAGCATCTCGATTACCGCTTGGCCACAAGTATCCACAAGCCCAGCATAGCTCTTCACCAGCCGATCAGCACAGATATGCGCTATAAATGACATAATTAAGCCCCTAAGTGCAAGTTCAGTGACATAGGTGAGTAATCATTCCAAGTCAGAACGTGGCTTCGGTGGAGAGATGACACGAAATGTATCTACAGGGAGTCTCCATCTAGGCGTGGACATTGACAAGTGCTCACTGAGCCTGGTGGTGGTGCAATCTGCTACTGGTAGAGAATTTTGGGTAGAACGGCTCTAATACAGCGGCTGTCAGGACTGATCGGCTTTGACGGCGGCGGTATTGGGGGTGATCCCTGAACATGACGGAACTTTACTGCCTTTAGAGTTGGGGGGGTACTAATAGGGTGTGATTACATGGCAGCGAAGTAGAACTTAAGCTAGAACGAGATAGGATTGTAAGCACTATAAAAAAGAAGAACCAAAGAGAGGAAAAAAGCAAGAGAAAAAGAAAGAAATTAATTGCTCTCACTGTTCATTCTCCCCGCAGTGGAAATCTTGGGTGGTTTGGTCTTACAAGTCGTTCCCATTTGTAGGTATCTGGTCAATAAAGCGGACCATCGAAGCCATTGACTCGCATTGGCGTATCGTTGATAAGAACGTTATTGGATTCCACAATGAAACCTTGGGTTCTGGTCACAAAAACGGCTGCGCGGCCTGCTAGTGTCTCAAAGCTGGGTTTGCTTTGTGTTTACTAATATTTATCAACATGTTATCGTCATCGTCAGCATATAAGTGTCGGCGAGATTACTTGATTAAGGAGTGAGTACATATAAGCAGATATTCTAAAGGATCCACCTGTAATTTAAGTAAACATCAGATTTATGAAAACTTTTCATACGATGTATTGCTATTTTGCAGGGAGAGGATACTGAGAGGCTATGAAATACCTATATTATAGATCATCTATGAATCGAAATACTCGGCAATTTAGTAAATATTACCTTTAAAATTGATACAATTAAATCCGAAAGAAGACGGTTATATTCATATAAATTAGCTGCTTGTAAACCGTCAACTTTGTTATGCTAGTTATCTTTGTATACAAGACAGCCCCCACGGTTGAGCAACTTTTTCTTGGATGGCTTTTTATTTGTGCTCAGCAGCACGTGCATAAACAAGTATTAGTTGTCCTGTATATAGAATCCCATCCCTTCCCGGGGATTTTAAGATGTAATTACAGCCAATATATTGCCCTGTGTGGGTGGGTTCATTGTACCCTACATCGCAATCTTCCTATTGTGGTCTTAGGTACATGTATATGCATAAAACATTACTTACCAAGATACTGGACGTCCACTTATTTCCGCTTTAATGAAAGCTTCTAGAATGATATCAGTAATAATAAATATATAATACCATTTGTAGACTAAATATATGAAATATAAACTCAATTTATAAAGGAGGGCTAATTATCGATTAGTGAGGAGATTCTAATTACCCAGTATCAACGTACCATAATAGAAACGCTCTTCAGTATAAACTCTGCTTATTAATATAGATGCCGGTGTACCTATTTTACGATTTGCGTTGGAGAATAGCTGGTGTTAGAAAGATATCACAGAAATTAACGTAGCAAGCATTACAGAGCGGTAGAAAAATATTGCCTTATAGATTTCTATTGTAACACTCATTTGTAATAGCCACGAATGACCCAGGAAAAGACCGGCGGTAAGCCGTATCAGATTATTCTATTCAGGAAGGTAAAGGGAAAGAATTACAGGGAAGTTGGTGTCGCCCTTCGTTGCATCGCCGATCGTGGTCAGTAAGACGGCTTCGTTGGACTCAGAAGGAAATAGGTAGCCGTATGATGGAAGAGTTTATGTTACTGAGGAGCTAAAGAAGAAAGAAACAAGTAGCCTAATCTTCACTATCCACATGATATCAAGTTCCATTAAACAGCTCTCTGATGATTCTTTCTAATTAGAACCAAAGACCACGAAATCTAGTCTAAATAAAGCCTAAGAACGAACTCAGCTGGCCTAATGCAGAATCAAATCCTAGATGATAGTTATTAGATGCATAAATGAAGGAGGGAAAACATTTAGTAGCGCCCATTGAGATCTAATTCATATCAACACGTTGTACGGTGGTCTTGAAAAGGTTGAGCAGAGGTTATGTTAGAGAGAGACTTGACTAATAACTTACAAGCCATTACGAATAGAGGAACCTGGAGAGATGGCTGATAATTATAACAATACACAGAACCTAAAAACCCCGCGGGTCTGAGAAATTAATAAACACTCACTCTAGACCACCATCTGGCAAGAATAACTTGAAATTAAAGTATTATTTTATGTTCGCTAAAGAAACAATTATATTAACAAGAGAGAGAAAGTCATAATGACAGCATTCAATCCCGCGGGTATTGACTACATGATATATCCCGAGAAAATATTCAGGCGTTTTCCTATCTTGTTACCATTTCTTTTCCGATCTCTTTGCATAAAGAAAACACTGTAGAAGAGATAGATAGCACAAAAATATAACGTTATATATAGTATACCTAGCTTGCATTGGAATTAACCTCTAACGATACATCTAGACTTTGAGATGAGATTCAAGCTCGGCCATGGAGTTCGCCCGACTTCTCTGCAATTGAGCCGGCCTGCTATTGAGATTACCTCTAATAGGTAAACCGAAAGACGTCCCTTGAAGATTTCTTTTACCATGACCCTAGTTAATCGTGTTATTCGATATGCTCAGCAGATAGCCGGCGTTTCAACGATCCAAACGGCAGCCGCTGTCTCGAACTGTGCTGAAAATGTTCAGAATTACCCTTTTTTTTTTTTTTTGCATTTTCCTTATTGCGAATTATGCTGGTAAGGCTTTCACTTGTGGCCCCGTTGGCGGAACTGCTATGCATCGGTATATTACATCTGACCCCAGATTGGTTGATTCCGGTCAATGCTACATTACCCGGAACTTCCGTGGCGAATGCCGGAAACAAACATTCAAACGGGTGCGCAATGCGAATCGCGTCGGGTAAACATCATGGCATCTTACGCATCCAATCTGCGGCTGACAGTGAAGGAGCAATAGCATTTCTAGCACAACTAGCGGGCTAGTGTGCTAGTGTCAAAGAGCGTCGCGCGACTTGCTTAGTGGGTCACATTGGGTTTCTCATGTACGGCATGTTACGTGTTTGTGCTGTACGCTGCATGGTCCTGGACTATGATCTGACAGGTGACAACGGAACATGTACGCTTTGACTATCACCGCTGAAGACGGACATGAATTTTTGGGTCGTAGGGTGGCTAAAGCCTAGCTGTAAGCAACGCATCATCCTTGTCTGTAACAATTGTCACCCTTGTTCGCAACACATCATCCTTGCTCGCGGAATCGAAGGCTCAACTAATACCTACCACCAGGCAATTTGTAGCCACTCTTCCAAGTAGGTAAATCGGTCTTCACATCCTTGCGAGTCTCCTCACTAATTGACAACTGGGTTGGAGCTGTAGCGTTTGTAACGAAGGTTTTATAGCGTATAATATATACATGTATATGAATCTCCCACATTCCGCCTATGGGATGCCACAGGAATAAAAGGATAAAAGCCTCAAATTCTAGCAGCCCTTGGGTTACTTCACTAGGGTAGGCTTGATATTTGACCAGATCTTCACTATATGCGGGATTGGCGTTCTGATATTAGCTGCAGGAAAAAAAAGAAACAGATCGAGTTAAGCCGATTGGCCTTTTGTGAGTTGCCAAATTAGCATCTTAGTTGATCGTGACTCCCTCTAGTCCCTTCTACCCGCCGTAGCAAACCGCAAGCTATTTTAGCCTGGAAGAATCGGTTAGGAGACAAAGCAATATAAAAAATACAAAAAAACCGCGTCTTTTAAGGTACTTTACGGCCCTTGTTAGGAAGCCCCTGTTAGTGCATATGCAAGCTTGACCGTTTTGGCCTGAATAAAGTGCATCTCACCATGGATAGGTGTCAGACTTTGTTATCGAACCATAGGCAGCGTTCTCATCACTAGCACCCAACTAGTGGCCAGAGATGTAAGTCGGTAGATCCAGCGAAGCTAAAAAAAAAAAAAAAAAGGGATGAATGCTTTGAGGCTAGTGATGTTTTATACCACTTCCGCCTACACATAGGTACTGCTACCCAGTTGTAGAGAGTGACAATTGAAACAGCCAGGTTCGCTAACATGCCTGTCAGCCACATGCTAGCTAGTCGGGTATTAAAACATCCTGTAGGATCATCCTAGAAGCTTTGCTAGGATAGCCGTTTTCTGTAGCCTTTATTTTCTTACCATAAATACGAAGTACAGCTCAACCATCGGCAAGTAGCATTGATTGCCAATGCTGAAGAAGAGAAGAGGCCTCTGCTGTTTGTTGATATCCATCTCTGTTGCTTTATAATACCATTGGAGTCGTTTGGGTTGTGTGTATCGTTCCTTATTCAATATCAGCCATGTTACTGTTTGGCGGTCCTCAGCAACTTCGGCTCTCTTGTGACAGATGCCATAAAAGAAAGCAGCGCTGCACTCGCACCGCAGCCAGTGACGAAAATCCCTGTCGTCGCTGCAAAGAAGCAGGTGAAAAGTGTGTCTTTAGTCCTCCTCTCCGGCTCGGCCGGCCCAGCAAACGGCAGAAGCAAGAAGGCAAAGTCGAAGAGCCCAGCTACAGAGGCCAGGAGGGCAGTTTCTTGGCCATTTCCAATCAAGACCTCTCAGGAACAACGACAACAACAACATCAACAATATCTGCAACTACACAAGACGAGAACAGCTCAAGGCTAGAGACTTCCTCGCCCTTTTCGATTGATGGTATGGGAGAGATGGAGAACTCTCCTGCTGACCAGCACGAGCTGGCCTGTACCGCCTCTTTAATGAATCACAATATTGTTGCAAAGTCTTTTGAAGTTTGGCCACTACCTCTAGATAATTACCCCGACCCGACAATATCAGTCACAACGCCCGGCTTGTTCCGTGGACCATCTACAATCTACAACGACGAAGCGTGGTCGGATCTATTCCACGACAAAGCGCACTCAGAGCCTCCAGCCTCTTCTCACATAGATCCGTTAGATCCATCTCTGATGATGATGCCTGGAGCCTCTGCCAGCGACTCCGCAATTGGGTCAATAGACCACTGCCCTTCCGACATAGCAGAATCACCGATAATGGACCCGATATCAATGCTTTCACAAATCCAACTAAAGCTCCACGGGATTCAGACTCGAAGACCTCCCCAAGCAGCAGAGCTCCAGATCATTGTGAATCAAACTGTACAAATTGCTCAAAAGTTTATGGAGGTCTTGAATCAGATCTTACCACCACGCACAACCGATTCTAGCCCAGCATCCGTTCAGCAGCGGCAACACATACCTCACTCTGTACCCACGAGGGACGCGTCCATCTCATCTAACGAGGAGTCGCCATTTCATCTAGAATGGAATAGACGGCAGCAGCAGCAGCAACAGCAGCAGCAGCAATACATATCAACATCAACAGGCACAGTCGACACTGTGGAAATCCGATTGGCACTTATTTGCTACATACAGATCCTACGCAGCTACAAAAACCTTGTGCATATGCTAGACAACTCCATGTCCACGGCTGAGGCGCAACAATACGACCTTTCAGACTTTGTGCCTGTCCAGATCGGCAGCCTGCATACGGTGGTAAGCCCGCGGTTACAAATTGCACTGTTAGTGCAGCTCATCTCGCAGCACACAGAGGAGATCAGGCACAAGACTCGCCAATTGGCAACAAAAGTCGAAACTCGGTCGAACATGGACCCGAGCCACCCAGGAGCCCCCATCAACAACATTATTGGCAAGGATATACGGGGCGAAGAAGAAGACCTGCGAGATAGACTGGATTCGATATCAGAGAGGCTGAACATGCATTCACAGTTTCAAGACCACCGGAGTCTCGATCGATAACAGGGCACCTAAGGAATATCTTATTTATTGCATCTATCATCTCAAAGGACGTCATTTTGTCCCCTTTTCCTCTATAAATGATGTACATGTATAATTAACAAACTAAATTAACCTCAACAACGACTATGAAAACAACGCTAGCGATAATAGGGGGATTGTGTGTATTTCGATTTCAGCCATATTATCGAGAGGTTAAAGCTGCGAGGCAGGATTCACGCTAGCTACACATTATACTCCGACAGCACTCGGGATAGATATCCCCGGATGCTGAGCCTAGATATTGCGCTAGCCCGCGCCGTGGTTAAATATATAGAGATAGAATTGTATATTATAATACTTATTTCATGAAATACGTCTCATGGTACGACCTCCGTATTTCTGACTGGGCCCGAGACGACATTGTCAGCGCTAAGGGGGCAAAGGATTCGGCGTGCAGCAGTAGGATTCACGAATTCATTCGCAACCCCTGGCAGTGTTGCCTGGAGACATTGCCCCTTCGCTAATAATAGCAGGTGCAGTATTGATGGCGCAACCATTGGTTTTACATTGCAGGCCAGGTATAATACGTGTGTTCGTTGTGCCGCGGGAAGCTCCGAATACTACTCCGTAGCGTCTCCATCCCGCAGATCTACGCAACGACCATGCATGCAGATCGGTGGTCAGATTACGGAATCAATGTCTTTGAGGGCTTAATGGCAAAGTTTTCGCATCTCACTGACCGTGGACCAATTGAAGCCTCGAGAAAATCCGGGGTACTTCGTTTGAGTGGTAAAAATGTATGAGTGAAACGATCAATCCGCGAATAGTCCCTCCATGCTGGTTGCGTCAGATGTTTCATCACCGGCAATTCTCAGTTATAACAGCATGACAAGCAACTTTTAGCTATGAGTTCGCCATAAATTAAATTGTGAAACGCACCACTCTGCCGATGAACTATGCAACCTGTATCCTGGCGCTGTCAATAAGATGATGACTTTTTCCACTTTTAGTACAACTAAGAAGAAAAGTGGAACCATATCGTCAACGGACTTTCCGCATTGCATTGTCTATCTACAGCAACGTGGCATATATTGGCATAGTTTTCACAAGTGCTGATAAGTACTAGTATTGGAAAATGCTGGACAGGCGTTTATTATCCCGGGATGTCAACCGCCCTGGCGCAATCTCAAAGCAACACCTCACACTAGTACCAACACGCCCCAATAATACTGCGTAGAGCTTCCGAAAACAGAAAAATCTCTGCTTTTCGTATTCTTGCCCCCCCTGGCTTTCGTTTTCTTTATTAGATATACGCCCATGTACTTAATTGTGGGAAAAAGGAATATTGGGCGATGGATATTCCAGACGATTTATGCTCCATGTCAAGGTACGATTCTAAGCTACTCTGCGGGACCCCCCGGCCCTTGTTTGATTCCAGGTTGTTTATAGAAAACCGTAATAGACTATATTATTACGGATCATAACGTGAAAAAAAAAAAGCTGCCGATGAACAGACGCCGACAAAGCTGTCGCTGAGATTTCCCAAATCTGTCAAATCTGACATGCATCCACCACGCTTGCCTGTATTAAGCACATCCTCTGCGAGCCGCAACAAGATCTGATTATTGTGAGACATTGCGATTGATTAATACAGGCAAGTAGGGAATAGTCTATTTGTCACGTTTCTTGGTATTTTTGCTAGCTCGGTGAAGTCGTATCTTCATCGGTAGATAGGAGCTGAATGAGAAAACCTTGGGAATGCTTTGTCAGTCTCTACGTTTTACAAAGTGTCCTATTTATGATACCATGTTTGTGAATGAAGCTCATACATGCATGATGTTCTTTCAAATCGCATAGTTATGATCATTACACGATGTCGATGAACAGTTTATCCAACTTGGATATGGACACAGCTAATGTATCGGGAGTTATTTTCTCCCCCCAAAGTCACGCAACCCCAAAGTCGTATCTTGATCGAATTCACTCAATTCTCAAAGGATCGGCCGTCTATGTGCCCCTTTGCAAAGCTGTCTCAAGACTTCCAGATACATGGCAGGAGCTTGCTAATCAGCATCCTAAGATTGCTCCTCTGGAGCACGGCCTTGCCTATGCAAGATATTTTCCAACATGGCTCGAAACGGGAGAGACTTCAGGATTGGAAGGTAACATGTCAGGGATTGTCACATTGCCACTATTGACAATAATACATACTGTTCAATATGTCCAGTACTTACAGCAGACCGGTATCACACATGCTGAATTCTTACTCAGCCTACGGTCGGGAGGCGTTCAGGGATTCTGCGCTGGACTCATGGCGGCTATGATTGTTGCAGCGTCAAAAAACGAAACTGAACTCATAGAAAATGCTGCCAAAGCTGTCCGAATATCCTTTGGGATAGGGGCTTTCGGCGAAGTTGGTTCCGATCCAACCTCGTTGGGTTCCACCACTATGGTGGTACGGTTGAGATCTGGTTCTGAAGTTGAAGAAATCACACACGAGTTCCCAGAAGTAAGAGCCATCTGCTGATTTTGTTCATTGCCGCACAAACCTAGTGTATGTATACTAAAGATGTCAAATAGTCCTACGTTTCTGCCATATCCGACTCCAAGACGATAAGTCTCATTGCTCCTTCGTCGAAGATTGCTACAATCCGGGCGTATATCGAAAAGCTGGGACTATCAGCCAAGATGGTTCACATGCGAAGCAATATACATAATCCAAAGAATATGACTCTTGCGGATGAGCTATTGGGTTTCTGTCTGCGCAGTTCAGACTTACAGCTACCAAATAGTGAGGATCTCCAAGTTCCCGTACGATCAAACCGCAATGGCCAAGTCCTTTCAAACTGCTCTCTTACAGCCGAAATCATAACCACTATCCTCACATCATGTTGCGACTGGGATACTGTCATCAACAATCTAGTACATGATCTCCAACAGACGGGAAACCAGTCTCACCGCATAGCCATGATTGGCCTCGGAGACTGCATACCGCTCTCGCCGTTTCAGAAGAACGACCTCGACATTACAAAGTTGGATATCATGAGCATCACTGAAGGTTTGAAAAAGCCTCCGAGAGATCATTGTCTATCATCGCTCGATCTTTTCCCACCCAGTTCAATCGCTGTGGTAGGCGCTGCCTGTCGCTTACCAGGGGCAAATACGCTGGAAGAACTCTGGGACCTCATTTCTAGGGGAGAATCCCGGCTTGAAATCTTACGTGAGGATCGAGTAAAGCTGAAAGAGTCCTTCCGAGCATCACAAGATAAAGATTGGGCTACAGGGCGAACGTGGTTTGGCAATTTTGTTGATGGAATTGACAAGTTTGACCACAGCTTTTTTGGTATAAGCCAGAAAGAGGCGGCATACATGGACCCCCAGCAGCGTCTTTTATTAAGCTGTGCCTATGAGGCTATGGATGCCAGCGGATATCTGCATAACCACCGGCGAGAGAATGGCGATCCAATCGGTTGTTTCATCGGTGCAAGTTATACCGAGTATTCTGAAAATGTCACCGCATATGCACCCTCAGCATTCGCCGCAACCGGAACCATTCGCGCCTTTCTTTCTGGCAAAATCAGTTACCACTTTGGCTGGACGGGGCCTTCGGAGGTCATTGACACAGCATGCTCAGCCTCATTAGTGGCTGTTCATCATGCCTGCAGAGCTATCCAGGCTGGTGACTGCCCTATGGCCCTTGCTGGCGGAGTCAACATCATCACCGGCATTCAGAACTACATTGATCTAGGGAGAGCCGGGTTTCTCAGCAAATCTGGTCAATGCAAGCCTTTCGATGAGTCTGCAGATGGCTACTGCCGGGCAGACGGTGTAGGGCTTGTTGTTCTGAAACCGCTCAGCCAGGCAATTGCTGACAGGAATCATATCCTTGGCGTTATCCCTGCTTCGGCTACAAACCAAGGCGGCCTATCTCACGGGATTACAGTACCGCATGGAGATGCTCAGAAAGCACTTTACCGGCAGATAGTCAAAACTGCGGGTATAGATCCCGGGCAAATTACGTATGTAGAGTCTCATGGTACTGGAACTCAAGTGGGGGACCCTATCGAAATCGCCAGCATTCGCGAAGTGTTTGGGGGACCATCTCGGCCATCTTCTGTGCACATCGGATCTCTCAAAGCCAATGTTGGCCATAGTGAAACTGCTGCAGGAGTTGCCAGTCTTCTCAAGGTTCTCGCCATGTTCGCTCATCGAGGCATTCCCCCACAGGCCGGGTTCAACACGTTGAATCCGAAAATTCCTGCGCTTGAATCTGACAACCTAAGGATTGCAACCAAGTTGGTTCCATGGGAAGCGAAAACTCGTATGGCCTGTGTAAACAGCTACGGTGCTTCAGGAAGCAATGCTGCGCTTATCTGCTCGGAATGGATTGCGGGGAGCGAGAAGCCAAAAATTAATTCACCGTCGTCCTACCCAGTCTTTTTAAGTGCGAATACACAAGAAAGTTTGAGAGCCTACGCCGATCGACTAGCTTCATACATTCAAGACTCTGAGCAAGGATTAAACATTGGCAGCGTCGCATTCACCCTTAGTGAGCGCCGAAAACACCATCGAATCCGATGGTCTACCACTGCGCACAGTCTATCTGATCTAGCGCATCAGTTGAAAGCAGATCTTGTAAATAGTGTTGAAATACCCAAAACGAGAAAACCTGTTGTTCTTGCTTTTTCGGGCCAATCAAAGACAAAAATCGGCCTTGATCCAAGTCTATGCGACGTGTATCCAAGGTTTCGAGCCCATTTGGAGAATTGCAATAGCATCCTCCGGAGATTGGGCTACTCAGATATTATGTCTTCTCTCTGCCAGTCGGAGGCTGTCACAGACGTGGTTGCACTTCATGCGGGTACTTTTGCCGTTCAATATGCTTGTGCGAGTTGCTGGCTAGAAGCTGGCTTACAGGTAGACGCAGTGATTGGCCATAGTCTGGGCGAGCTCACAGCACTGGCTGTATCCGGAGTTCTTTCTTTGGAAGATGCTCTGCATTTGGTTGCGAAACGAGCATCGTTGATCAAGGCCAAATGGGGCTCCGACTCCGGAGCAATGCTGGCCATTTATTCTGACTTGGAGACCACGCAAAGAATCATAGCAGACTCCGAGACGGAGTTCATAGATGACGGAGTAGAAATTGCATGCTATAATAGCCCCACCGCCCACATTGTTGCTGGAAAGCAATCTTCCACCGCAAGAGTTGAGAGAATAATCAACAACAACCCTCAGTTCAGTGGCATCCGGTATCAGCGTCTTGATGTCAGCCATGGTTTTCACTCTAGGTTGACTGAACCTTTGCTCCCAGATTTGATGGACTTTGCAAAGACGTTGACGTTTAACGCGCCTCGCATTCCCCTGGAGACATGCACAGAGATGCCAGTTAGTGACATAACGCCTGGTTACATCACTAAACACTCAAGGCATGGCGTCTATTTCAGTCACGCCATTCGGCGATTAGAGAGCCGGCTTGGGCCCTGCGTTTGGCTAGAGGCTGGATGGCACACACCGGTCATCTCCATGACAAAGAAAGCACTTGAAAAGTCTGGGGTGCACACCTTCCAGTCCCTAAGTGGCTCGTTCTCGGCAGTCACTAATGCGGCAGCTGGTCTTTGGAAACAAGGTCTTTCGGTCTCGTGGTGGGGGTTCTCTTCTCCTGAAGAATCGAAACTCCGCCATGTTTGGCTTCCACCGTGCACATTCGATAGTTCTCGCCATTGGTTGGACCACGTAGATCGCGCAATCGAAATCCAGCGATCTCAGGCTCCAACTCAGCCCACAAATGGAAGAGTTACTTCCCAATCTACCCAGCTAGTGAGCTTCATTGGTAAGGTGGGAAGAGATGACGAATTCCGGCTATACACTCAGAGTGAAAAGTACAGAAACACGGTCACAGGTCATGCTCTTCGTCAACGGCCCCTGTGCCCCGCATCGATGTACATGGAATCCGCAGTGATGTGCGCCCAAGAGAGAGGGGCGGATTTTGACGGACAGACGTTCCATTTCCGTAAGATTGGCTTTCATAGTGGTTTAGGCTGTGATGACCGCCGGGAAGTGAGAGTCATGTTAGTAGAGGATACAAATGTCAACTCATGGCGGTTTTCAGTCAATAGCACTGACAAAGAGGACCGAAGGTCTTTGAAGACAAAGCATGCAGATGGACAATTTGAGACATTAGAAAAGGCGCCAGACTTTCGGATTTATGAGACATTGATACTGGAACGCATGGAAAGTTTGCTCAAGGATCGCAATGCAGAGCATTTGATGAAAAGAACTGCGTATGCCTTATTCTCAAGAGTCGTTGAGTATGCCGATCTGCTGAAGGGCATTTCGTCTATCACGCTGGCTCCCGGTCAGGCTGTAGCCGAAATAGAGGTTCCAGCAGAGACATTTGCCTGCCATGAGAGTACGGTTGATCGTTTTATGGATGCCATATCGCTGGATACCTTTATTCAGGTCCTCGGCTTATTGATTAACACAAGTGGGAAGAATGCTGGTGATGAAGTCTTTGTTGCAACCAGCATAGAAAACATGACAATTCTACCATGTGACTTTAAGAGCCAGCGAAGATGGGCTGTCTACGCCATGTTTGGTATGGATGGAGATAGGCGAGCGGTTGGGGACGTCTTTGTCTTTTCTGGTGATAGAAAGCTGGTCGTCTTTGGGTCACAAATCTCCTTCACAAAAATCCAATCCAGCATACTTGAAGGACTTCTCGACGGCACCAATCCGCGAGTGAACGTGGCCAAACCATGCACTCCTGAGAGTAGAATTGAACACAGTAGAGTTCCTGTTGTTGCGAGACAAGAACCTATCACGACCCAACTACTCGACCAGCGGGCAACAATTGGCATTTCGTCTTCAAAGGAGCCACAGGGATCTCACCATAACTTTGAAGACGTCATAGCACTGGTTGCCAGTTACGTCGGATTATCGGCGTCCGATATCCACGAAGATGAAAGCTTCAGCAGTTTAGGTTTGGACTCACTGTCTGCCGTCGAGCTTGCGGATGAGTTGCGAGTCAAGTTTAGCATCGAAATATCTGCGAGCGACATCTTGACAGTTCAAGTGACTGAACTTCGAAATTACTTTTTGTCTCATGGGAAACAGTCGAGCGCGACAACAAATTCGCACAGCACTATGGCGGGTGAGCTACCGAAACCTACAAATGGAGATAATATGTTAACCAATGGCGCCGCTGTTGAACATGAGGATAGCCACGAAAGTGTCAAAGGATACGCCAACGGAAATGCCAATGGTAACACTACCAATCACACAAATGGCTATCTAGCCAAACCATCAAAACCCCGACAACATGTCAGACACCGAGTTGAAACAGTGACTTATAAAGAGGTCGATGGCATCGAAATCTCAGCGGATGTCTTCATACCGCTGGAGCCACTCTCTGAAATCATGCCTATAGGTACATTCAACTACAAGCCTATGTATGACTATCCAATGAGCGACTAACTTTACGCGTAATAGCATTAATGATTCATGGCGGCGGCCATTTGACACTCTCAAGAAAGGCTATACGGCCTTCGCAAACATCGTTTCTACTTACACATGGAATCTTGCCAATAAGTCTAGATTATCGGCTATGTCCCCAGGTAAATATCATCGACGGGTCGATGACAGATGTTCGGGACGCCTATATCTGGGCAAGAACAGAGCTTCCATTCTTTATGCGGGAAAGGGGTATCAATGTTGATGCCTCAAAGATTGTGATTGTTGGCTGGTCCACTGGAGGACATTTAGCAATGACTACTGCTTGGACAACGCCAGCAGCTGGTCTGCCACCACCATTAGCCATCCTCGCATTTTACTGCCCAACGCACTATGACCCTTCAGGTATTTACCATGACTCCATCAATTTTATCCCGTCTGCTTTCCTCGTATTAACACAAACCCTAGACGACTCATTGAGAATGGGCAAAGAGTATCAGCCCCGCACGATGTCTATGAGCGAGATACAGAAAGCACTAGGATCTCAGACGGTATGTAATTGTTGATGGATGTTGTTGCCCGAGTTGATGCTCATGTGTTTGCAGGTCACGAGTCATGCATTTAATAGCACTGATACAACTAACATGGGCTGGGTTAAACCTGGAGATCCTCGCTCTGAGCTTGTTCTAGCTCTCGTAAAAGAGAAAAATGGGGTGGCACTACTATTGGATGGCATTCCAACTGATGGTGACACCCTGGAAGCCCCAAAGCCAGAGCGTGTTGCAGCCATCAGCCCGTTGGTTCAAGTACAAAAGGGCAACTATCACACACCGACCTTTGTCCTCATTGGAGACGAGGATGAAATCGTTCCATTCCATACTTCTGTGAACTTTGTCAACGCTCTCCAAAAACAAGGAATTAGAAATGGATTCATTCCGGTACCAGGACAGCGCCACATTTATGATCTAAGCCTGAGTCCCGGAATGGCGAAATGGGACGATTGGGTGGCCCCGGGTTACAAGTTTTTGTTTGACATACTGGGGATTAACTCGGAATGAAAGAATACTTGTTGAGTCAGTTGTTTCATTTGTAATAGTTTAATTCACAATGCGGTATAAACATAAACTCCTTCATGAGCACCGCCATTTATGGGCAGTAGTTAAGTTGGAGATCGCTCGATTGAGTAAATATAATCTTAAATCTGTAGACGAAATGAGAGGCTCAGTAAATGTGACGTGATCATTATTGAGACATCGTGTCAAGTAGCTTATAGTCAATATCATTACATATTACAACACGTGCTAGCATAGTATAACAAAGTTGTGGAGGCGGGGAGATGATACAGTAGCACGCGCGCGTGGTAACAGTTTCATGCAGCTAACGTTTAATAAATGAAATATGCGAAAAAGAAAAGTCATTGTTTACTTTAATTTTCGTTTTACCAGTTTATTGCCCTTATTAGAAAGGTGCATTTAGGGACCCAAGTACCTGTACTGTTGTTATACGCGCTTCGGATTTTGCACCCCGTATCCTATTTAGCTATATTCGCCGATCCGTTGTCCTCAGTTTTCCGTCGGCGACTTCCCATAGTAGGTACATTGTTGTCCCTTGTCAAGCTGCTGTAACCTGACTAGGGGCCAATGCATACATGAAGGAACTCATTGCCCCCGCCATATACAGAATACTACTTTATTCGAGTTCCACTACTACGGAATCAAAAAGTGTAACAAACTGGCAGCACTATCTCTAGTCCAAATACCCTGTTCTTTTCCAGTACCGCACATACCCAGCAATGACATCCTTGTCCAAGGCTGTGAGTTCGCGAAGAGTTGAGGAACTCTTGCGGCTGACATCTGTTGCCATAACAACCGTACCCAAAGAGGCAGTTAGGAAATAAAGCTTAAAGAACTCGTAGAGCTTCTTGACAGGATACAAATCGGCGTCTTTATCATCTGTAGCCGCCACTTGCTCTAGCCAGTCATCAAAGGGAAGTGACTTTGTGATCCCAAGCTCGGCTCGGATAATTTCCAAGATTCCATCCCATGTCTGCCTCACAGGGTTCTCCACGTGGGTGACCAGGCCGGGGCCAGCCGTATTCAGGAGAAGCTCAGTCGTCGCTGCAGCTGCGTCATCAACCGGGATCCAGGAAACAGTCTGCGACACAAAGTTAGTGCTTACTTAAAGGATATGCTTGTACAAGAGAGAGACAGGGTCATACCCCTTGTATTGTCGGCAGTATACCCAGGCTTTGAGACGTTCGAATAAGCATCGGGATCTGTTCGATGACATTCCAGGCACTAGTCTTCCGCGACCCCGTCAACTGGCCACATCGGGCAATGGATACCTCTAGGGCATTGCCGTAGAGCGACGATGCCTCTTCCAGCATCTTTTCGCAGACTAGCTTTGCATCGGCGTATCCAATGCCACAAGCGGCTCTTTCTACGTCTAGTGGGATTTCAGGGATGCTGTGTCCTGGATTGTCCAGCCCCATTTTTGCGAGGACGGAAATCGACGATATGAACAAAAATCGGACCTTTTGCGGCGCTTCGACGGACAGCTGCAAGAGATTCTTCAAGAAGGCAAACTGGTAGTCGAAGGATGGGAGGCGCATGTGGAAATTCATCGGCCACGCCGCATGCAACACATGAGTGACCGTTTTCGAGACCATTGCATAAACCATAGGTGGAAGCCCCAAATTGTCTGCCGTCGGGTCGATTTCCAGGGCCGTAATCTTTGTCCACTCGGACTCGCTTAACTCAATGCCCTTGGCAACAAGAGAAGCCTTGTCAACCTTGGATCCTCCAGGAGTTGGGTTGATTACGCTACCGGGGCGTTTCCTTAGTAGACAGACCACTTTGGCAACATGAGGCGACTTTGCTAGTTCTGCCAACGCATAGGATCCCAAGCTGCCTGAGCTGCCTGTCAATAGCACCACCGCTCCCTCAACAAGCTTAGTTGTGCCTTCAGAGTTGTCTGACTCTGCGGCTCTGAGGGATTTGAGGGAGTACTTTTGAGCAAAGCGTTCCACCTCTTTGCCAAAGGTTCCTCCGCTTGTGTTCGACAAGGCATCCTGTCGAAGTGCATCTGCCATAGCCTGTACAGAGTAATTAACATAGACAAAATCCCTTCTAATAACATCGGGCGGCGTTTTTGTAGCCGCGGATAGGAGAATTCTGCGCAGTGTTGTAGCTTGTAGAGAGTCTAGACCCAAGGTAAAGATGTTATCCTCGATAGTCCAAGCATCTGGTGTTACTCGTAGCTTAAGCCGCTTTTGAATCAACTCTTTCAGATCTTGTTCCAAGTTTTCGTAGTTAAGCGGCGGAACATCAGTCACGCCACTATCCAAGTCTTTGTAAACCTGGGCGATGTCTGCCTCAAGTAGCTTAAATACTTCTTTTCGCGCAATAGATCCTTTGTCTGTTCTAGGAACCACGACGCTGGATGATAAGACGATGACGGCGATAGGAGAGTAAATTCTCGCCGTGGCATCCATCCGCTCCCCTGCCTGGATAATGATGGGCCAAATCTTTTTCTTAAAGTCCTCCTTCTCATTGTCAGTAATAGACTCTGTAGGTTCTACAATCACACCAATCTCAAATTGGTTCTCTCCAAACGCAATTGCCGATTTGACCAGTCCAGATTCCGTCAGTGCAGTCTCTAGGAGCAGAGGGTTGACCTTTTCGCCGTTCGCAAGAACAACCACGTCGTCGTCGCGACCAATAGCAGCAAAATCGGTTTCGGGAAATGCTTCGCTTCGAATGAGTTGATCGGCAATCTCGAACGGCTTTTCAGCGCCAAAGGGGAACACGGTCAGCCTGAATCGTCTTTCGCCATTGTAGGGCTCCAACTCTGAAACCTTGAAGAGCATATCCTTTCGCAGTCTGAAATACTTCCAATTGTATCCATCTTTAGGCGCAAATGTCTTAGTAAGGGGACCTGTCTCTGTCGTTCCATACAAATTCAGGAGTCGAATTCCTGCAGCTGCAGCAGAGGCACCAAACGCGGCACTGAGAGCACTGCCTCCCGTTCCAACAAAATCCAGTTTGGCCAGTGTCTTCAAACCCACCTCATTCGGGAGTGCAGCCATATCCTCAAGAAGAAAAGGCACCGTCATCATGCCGGTTGCGCCAGAAGTGTTGACAAGGTCTACGATTGATTGAGCATCAGGAATGCGATCAGAGGCTGGAAAGCACACGGTCTTTCCAATTGACATGGAAAGCCCAGGAGCAAGTAGACCAAATCCGTGGAAAAGAGGAAGGGTAGAGATGACAATTCCTTGAGCCTCCTCTTCTGTATCGAAATCGCCATGGCTCACGGAGAATACTAGCTGTCGGTGAGTGAGAGCAATTGGCTTGGGAAGGCCAGTGGTGCCAGAGGAATGCAATAGTAAAATGTTGGCATCAACGTTGTCTGGATAAACAGCCTCTCTCTTGACCCTTTTATCTTCAGCCACGTCATAAAAAGAGCTATATGGTTGACCGACATGAATATCGATGAGTTTGACGCTTCCAAAAGCTCCTTTGGTGGCCTGTGCAATCCTCTGTGAAATAATAAGGGAAGATGCTTCGGTGCTTTTTAGGAGATGAAAAATAGCCTCAGGACTGAGGCGGGCGGAAAGTACGAGTGGCTATAACAGTTAGAGTTTGAGATACGTTGAATATGAACAAGGTGAGGGAGGGGGTGAACAAACGGGGATACCCATGGAGACAAGAGCAAACTGGTGCACTATAAGGCCAAAATCACTTTCCATGAGTAAAGCGACCGGAGGTCTTTCGGCCAAACCATTCTTGGTTGCGGCGGTCGGCAATTTGACGTTAGTTGCAATCCATTGAGCGCATTGGTCGACTGCTAACTTGAACTGTGCGTTTGTGACATTGATGGGGGGTTCGTTTGACCGAGCCTGAACGCAAAATAGGTGGTCGGGATTATGGACGGCATTGAAGTCGATCAACTCTGGCAGAGAGTGGACATAGTTTTCTTTTCTCTCTGAAGAGAAGAAGTCAACTTTAGCTTTGACAAATGGACGCATTGTGTTCGAGTTATAGATCCAGGATTTGACCGAATATGTGAGTGATTGTGATATACAGTATATAGCTACGCCTTGGATGTATATAGTGATAGGACAAGGCCCAGAAACGTGATGCCTGTTATTACCAAAACTTACAATTTTTATAAAATAGAAAACAATACTCACAAGTTATTCGAGTGTGGAATTAAAATAAAGTACTCATATAAATTTAGAAACCTTAGTTATTATGCATTTTACAGATGTTTTGCCAATAATTATAATCCGCCGCCTACATATTACTAACTACAAATCTGTCAAATCTCACCGACGCATGTTCCAAATTAGTCTAGTGACCAACCGATAGCTTTCAATCCCTGGCTGTTCCAGACAGAGACAGGTTATCAAGCATCTGTCATAGATTACGTAGCAGGCAACTATTGATACAGACACTTGTAAGGGGAAAGGGTATCACGTTAATCGTTATATTTCAATGTTTACCTACTACAATATACTTCGTAGTGTATCAAATAAAAAGGACAGCGCCCAGTGCCACTTCGACCACGCCAATTTCCGCTGTGATGCCGGTGATCGCTGACAAATATGCTCGTTTGATCCAGCTTACCAGAGCTATACCAATTGTTGTGAATACTTTTTTTACTTGTTAGCAAATTGAATCAGAATTCTCTCTCGTGCTTTTCTCCAAAGTCTTTCTGTTTCCATCTCCCAAATCTGAGTTTAGCGAAGGAGCTCTAGAGACGGAAAACCTATCGAAGATGTACATGGAGATGCCTACTTTGCAACGTCCTCAGTCGGCTTCTGCGCTGAATATCTAAACTTTAGACTTCAGATATGAGATTGATTATCAATTTTGATGAAAGGTTTGCTAAAGAGATAAAGTTGTACCTCTCGACTTTGACCCGCTCTCTATTGGAATTGATAGCGCCGCTAGCTGGATGTTTCTGTCATCGCTTTTCGCTCTCATGCAGCCCGCAATTGAAGATTTCACAAAATCTGATACCAAATGAGTGTACGATTGAGAAAGTGTTGCGTTTGTGGATACAAGAAGAATGGGATTGAACATGATTGACTAGCTGGTCTTCTTCCTGAGGGAAAGAATTTTTTTCTCCCTCATTTTCCTTTCTCTATATGAAATGATATGCGACAAGGAATTTTAAAAGTAAAAATGTCAACATAAAAAAAGCATCCCAATAATTAAGATAGGCATGTTGCAGTGCTTAGGCGGCAACTGGCAAAAGTCCAAGATCTCCCCGCTTCAAGTTAGGAATAAACCCACTGATTGCGTCGGTTCCGAAGCTATTGATGTTCATAGTATCCTCAGTTCTCATCATCTGTCTAGCTCGAATGTGGTCTACGACAGTTCTCTGCTGAGGAGAGAGGTCGACCTGGTATGCAGTATCTGGATTTTGGCCGAGCTTCTCCAGCATGCTCGAGCGATCTTCGGGTTTAACGGGCTCAAAGGCGTTGCTGCAAAACTCGAGAGTCTTTGTGAGCTCTTCTTGGGAGAGCTTGGTGTCTACGTCTGCTGTTCCTTGGATCACTGTGAGAGATGTCAGCAGGAGAGATCTATAGTTGTAGAATAAAGTAAGAAGTAATTACCAGGTCTAAAAAAGGCAAACGCGCGATCAAAATTATCTTCGTTAAAATCGCTCAGTACCGGTTCATTCTGAGCTCGAATTTGTCTATAGGCGCTCAGTACCACCAGCAAGAAGCGGACATAACTATCAGCAACTTTCTTGGAATGCCAGTCAGCCGCAACCTCTTCGGAACAATCTCCCCTAATGGCCGCTGCAATAGTGGTGGCTGCAGACAGGCCACCGACGAAAGCCAAGTGAACACCAGAAGAGAAGTATGGATCAATGAAGCAGCCGGCATCCCCAGCGATGCGAGCATGGGGAATAGCGTAGCCTGAGGCGCTGTATGAATAATCCGCGGCGGATTTGATGTCTGTGATGAGCTCTCCATGCTCCACAAGCTTGGTGAGATCAGGCGCCAGCTCCTTAAGACAGTTCAAATAGAATGTCTTGGAGTCAGGAGAGCCAGCCTGTGATTTTCTCTCTGCAGACATCTTCTGGTTCATAACGATGCCAATTGATACAGTGCCGTTGTGCAAGGGAATAAGCCACGCCCAGCCGCTTTCATCTGTGCGCGATATTTAGATGCTTGGAACTTCTCAGAAGAACGTTGTGAGTACAAACCTTGCAATGCCTCAAAGAATGGAGAGTTCTCTCTTGGTGTTCCCTTTCCATATGCGCCTGCACCCTTCCAGTAGCCCCAAGTAGCAACATTCTTCAAGCCTTGGTTATATCTACGATTCTTCAAATGCTTCGTGCTGAGCAATCCCACACGACCACTTGCGTCAACGATGTAGTCGAATTTAATTTCATGAGTAGTGTTGTCATCTTTTCGCAAATAGGTTGCTGAAACAGGCCGGCCGGGATAATCATGTGGCAATTCCCCAGAGCCCTTGTACGGGACATCAATGAAGTTAATCTTCCTAATTTGAACGCCGTCAAATGCTTTTGCGCCGCTCTTGGCAGCGTGTTTGAACAGCAAATGGTCTGCTTCTGACCGAACTACATTCCAAGCGTAGTTTTCAGGGCCACCAGCAGCAAGAAAATCTGTATCTATATTGCGCAGACACATGCAAATTAGCATTTTGTGTGAACATCTGACGCAATACGCGTAGACTTACATCCTTCGCGCTTTCTAGGGTTCAGCTTGAACGCTGCGCCAACCTGCAGTAGAAGAAATCGTTAATAGATTGCTTAGAATGGCTTTGCTCTCGAGGCTGAGTTTACCTTTTTTGTAAATCCGTAACTGTCAAACTCTGAGTCTACATCAATGAATCTGAGAAAGTGGCGCATCGACGCCAGCATACTTTCTCCAATGTGATATCTGAAATTAGTTAGTATTCTGTTCCTATTTGCTGTATCTAGATGATTTTTATGTAAAGGGACACAGTAAATCTTGGAGAAACAAAAGATTTGCTTACCGCGGAAACTTATCAGCCTCCAAGATGACTGTGTCAATGCCCTCTCTTGCCAAAGCAGAGGCTGCGTACGAGCCAGCTGGGCCGCCGCCAACAACAAGAACCGTGCACTTCTCAGGAATTGCCATGTTTCTAGTGAATGCTGCTTATTCGTCCAGTTTCGTAATGAATGGGGCGGAATGAGTCTGTTATTATTTCATGCATGTATTATGTACGTTGACCCTATGGGGCGTATATGTATATTTCTTATCGAACTACCAGCAGAGCGAGAAAAAAAAGTCGTACATGTTATTGTATGATACTGCAGAAAATTATGCCCGATGCAAGCAGTAGAGACGACTGGCAAGGATAAAACCCTTGCTGTTATTGGATGACCTTTGCAAATCAGGTACCCGCATCATGTCGGAATATTACGAAAAGCCAAGTAATATTCGCCGGCATATAAAACACTAGACCAGAATCAAGGATCCTTGGTCTAGTTAAACTTGGAAAAATCGCCGCAAATAGGGCCAATTGCGCCAAAACAGTGGACATGTTGGGGATTGATTTGATCGGATTTCACAGTTGGTGGAGTAGACCATCGCGGCTTAGATAGTGCAGAATGCTCTCGTCATATAAGCACCGATGGGCCGCGCCTTTCGGCAATGGGATGGGATGAAGAATATTACGGATTTTCTTCCATCAAGTAAATGATAATAAATACCATATATTTATTACTAAACTTTGCTTGTAGATTACGAATTAAAGCAATTGCTGTTTCATCTCGCTATCTCGTAAAAAACAGCCTAACTACTGCTAAATTGCCGCAAGATAATAAGTCATTACGTATTCTGTTTGCACTCGTGATACTGTTATCAACTTGTTTCATCTCCGTCAGAAATACCACTTCCGACTCCGAATAGCTATACGCTTTTGTTGAAACAATTCATTGGTTCGATTTTGCATGAGACTTTTAGGTATATAGAGACCAAACTAAATTGCCTTGCGTTTACAAGATCACAAGCTCACAAGCACCATTAAAGTCTTCCAAACTTAGCGGCAGTCTACAAACGATCAACAATGGCTCCTGGAAAAGCTTCTTCTCCTCCTCAATATCTACCTCCCACAAAAGGGTTTCTATCTTATCTGCCAGCACCATGGGTCCCCTACGCTGAGCTTATTCGTATAGACAAACCACATGGCATCTACATGATCTTATACCCCTACATCTTGGGCCTCCTCTATGCGGCTAAGATTGCATCGGCTCCGTTGCCTTTACCTCTAGTCATTAATCGCGCCATTCAACTTACGATATGGACTTTTTTCCTCCGAAGCGCTGGCTGCGCCTGGAACGACAACATCGACCAAGATTATGACAAACAGACGGCTCGGTGCCGAAACAGACCCATTGCACGAGGCGCAATCTCGACTTTTCAGGGGCATGTCTATGCTACCGCGCTGATAGCGCTCGGCTTCGTATCCTTGCAAGAATTTCCCTTTGAATGTAAGGCGGCTGCCGCCGTAGCTGTCGTGTTAGCATGCATCTACCCTTTTGGAAAACGCTTCACGCATTTCGCCCAAGTTCCTCTAGGTGCAACGTTATCTGTTGCTATAGTGCTAGCACCATATTCCGTGGGCGTGGATCCTCTTTCGGAAGCCAAAATTGTTCCAACGGCTAGCCTTGTGGCCTGCATTATCATGCTTGTCATGTTCTATGATGTCGTCTACGCGCGCGCGGATACGGCTGATGACTTGAAGTCAGGGGTCAAAGGAATGGCAGTTCTCTTCCGCAATTGGATGACGACATTACTCCTGTCTCTCATTATCGGAATCACGACACTTCTCTTCGTTGCAGGACAGTCTACTGGAATGAGTCCCTTTTTCTTTCAGCTATCTGTTACAGGTCCGGCTATCTGCCTTCTTACTATGATTACTCTACTATCTGGCCACTTCAATGGCTATGGATGGTACGCCGGCAAGTGCTATGTTTTAGCTATTGCTAGCTTGCTAAGCGGCTTTACTGTGGAATATTATAAGACACTCGTGCAGTGAGGTAGATGGCTACATTGTAGAGAGTTTGTCACCTACCTTATATTGTATTTAAATCACATGTTTAGTACCCGAGGCTAGGAATAAGTATGTTGGTTTTCTAGAGATATAAAGACAAATTTGATATGATAAGAGATATGAGATATTTAAAGACTATACCTCCAAAAACTGAAAGCATATAATGAAAGGAAAACGGTCAGTACAAGCTATTATCGCGTATCTTATGTCTTTTATACTCTTGTCCTTTATTCGCTTTCAGTGATCGCTGCTCTTGTCAATAAAAGCTACTAAGGCTACTCAACAATAACCAGGGCGCAGAATTGATCTGTTTATTTTTTTATATAAACCGAAAATGTAATAATTATAAGCTCATTGTATATATAACCAAGTATAACGGTAGATCTATGTCTCTAACACAACCAAGCAATGTGTTTCGCTGTAGGCTTTCCGATAATGCTAAGCAAATCACAATGTAAGCCCCTTTCAGTTAATAAATAGTGTAGCCGAATCGCAGTTATAGGTGTTCCTCCAAGCTCGAACAGTGTCAGATCGGGAGCAATCTCTGTTAGAGGTATAGCCAGAGCCTCAGAAAAGGCCTCACAAACTTGAGCAATCTTACTCTTGAAAGTAGGCATAGCTAGCAAGGGATTAATATGCTTGACAGTTCGGAATGAAGAAAGGATCTCAGCTGGTGCTAAGCCAGAGACAAGACCCTTGATCACTATAGGCATGTAGGAAATAATAGCTGCCATCTGCGACGGAGAGATATTAGAGGCATTGTACTCGATCCCGCAGTGTAGTCCATCTTGCTGCTCGCTAAACTCTAACTGCAGGGGGAACTTGGCACCTCGGGCTCGGATAGGTCTGCTCAAGATTTGAGCTCCAGGTATCTTGAGAGAGTGTTCCAGGGCATCCGACTGCCAGTGATAAATCACCATGACATCAAAGAGAGACTTTTTATCCTTTGCCAACTGTAGAATTTTGGCGTAGGGTATCTGGTTCTCAGTTGAAAGATTGACCTCTGATGTAATGTCATTAATGAGACGGGCAGAATCGGTCATGTTGTGTTCGTTAAGAACAAAGCGCACTGGAAGGCGGTCAAGGAATAATCCCATTAAGTTTGCCGAACCAGGCTCATCTCTGCTCATATACGGAATACCAAGCGTAATATCGGTGTTACCAAACACAGCTGAAACTGTAAGTGCTGTTGCAGCCAGGGCTAGTCGTTGTGAAAAGCCCGCACTATCTGTGGTTGGTATGACGAAAGACTGGTGGCCGGGTATTTCGATGTCAACAGTTTGAGTTTCGGGGTTATCCAAAAACTCAATAGACTGTATACCTTCAACTCGAGATTTCCAGAACTCCCGTTTAGCTGTCATTTCAGGTGTCACAGGTAGCTTGCTATTTTGCTGAAGCCATTGAGTCCATTCAATGTAATTGCCGTCGTGAGAGCTTGTATCTCCACTCAGTGTATGGGTAGTGATACCATTAACTGCTAATTGGTACTCCTCACTCACTGATTGCAATAATAAAGCAATCGAGGCCTTGTCTGTAATTATATGATGAGTTATAAGTGAGAGCGACGTCGTTGTTTTAGAATTCTCATCTTCTTGGCTCCAGATGACCGCTCGAATAAGTTGATCGTTGGCTAGATCAAATGGCTTATCAATCAAGGCCTGAAATTCCTTGTCATCTAACGAGCCTCCGGTGAAAAACAGCGGCTCGACAACTTCATCGCTGATTAAGCGGAATAATATCCCTTCTCTAAGGACGTAGCGGGCTCGAAGAATTGGGTTTTTCTGGATCACGGAGACCACAGCCTGCTTTAGCAAGGTAGCGTCTACGGTACCTTCGATGATGAACTGAAATGCGGTGTTGAGAAGAGATTTTGTGTTAGTCACAGTATGCCAAACATATAGCTCTTCTTCCAACTCTGATGGTGCTTGGGGGACGGCCAGGCTTGTCGGGGAGGATAGGTTGGATAAGAAGGATCTGAAAGTAGTAAGTCCATCCTCTAGATCTCCTTGAGCCTTATATCCATCGATAGCTTGCGCGAGGCCAGATAAGACCCTTTCTCTGATTAGAAGTGGCATGGGGATGTGATATCCAATAGACTCAGAAATCAGCCGAGCAGCCTTAATAGCTAACAAAGAGTTTCCTCCGATAGCTAAAAAGTCATCGTCTCTGGTGATGCGTATTTTATCACCGCCCTCGAAATTAAGAATTTGGCTCCAGACTTCTGCAATAATCTTTTCCGTTGGAGATGATGGAGCATCTCCTATGTCTTTGTACTCAGTAGCCATAAGCCGAAGCGCCTTTCTATCAATCTTGAGATTTGATGATTGCGGCAACGATTCGAAGGCCATGACTTGGGCAGGGCAAGCATAAGCTGGCAGTAATGTCTTGACTTTTCGAGAGACTGCTGAAGTGTCAACAGTGCTTGGTGTCACGAAAGCAACAATGCGGATGCCGTCAATAACAATGGCAGCAGCACGTTGGATAGCAGGATCGGCTCGTACAAGAGCACGCTCAATCTCTTCCATTTCGATTCGGAATCCTCGCACTTTGACTTGGTTGTCAATACGGCCCACATATGCCACCTTCATGTCTTCTGTCCAACAGCCCAAATCTCCCGTCTTGTACATTAATCTGTCAGGATGGAAAGGATTTGGCAAAAATGCAGCTTTAGTTTGGTTCGTCAAATTCCAGTATCCACGTGTCATTTGCTCTCCAGAAAGATAGATTTCTCCCGTGATTCCTGGCGGAACAAGACACTGGTGGTGGTCCAGCAGGTAAAGATCTAAATGGGGGACAGCTTTGCCGATGGTTACCTTGTCACCAGGCAAAAGCTCAGTCCCAGTTGAAATAGGTGCGCACTATTCAAGGCAAGTTAGTTTAATCGAAATGTTAACTCATATAGCGGGCGCAAGCTCATAAAAGTTTGGTTTCTTACCTCACTCGGCCCGTAAAAGTTGAACAACCGCTTGTGCGACCACGCATCAGCAAGACTTTGAGGGACGGCTTCTCCAGCAAGACCAATAGTGTCAAGATTTGGGTATTCATCCGGCGACAGAGCTGCCAGCAGTGATGGGGTGGAATGCGCTGCGTCAACCTGCTTAAGATGGCCCAGAGGATCGTTAGGATCCTTTAAGACAAGTGTGCCACCATAGCAAATTGTACCAAAGATTTCAACCAGAACCACGTCAAAACCTATTGTGCAAGTGCAGAAGAAGTGCTCAATTAGAAAATTGATCTTTCACCATATTTATTTAAGTTTCAATGCACGCGACTCACCTAGAGCGTATACTTGGCCATTACGACGACCAGGCCCAGAAAAGAGACGGGTAGGCTCATGATCAATAACCATGAGAAGGCTGTGGTTATGCAAAGCAACACCTACATCCAAAAGTTAGCTTTAATAGAGCAGGTTCGTAAAACATGTGTCGTTTACTCTGCTAGATTTCCTACCTTTGGGAATTCCCGTGCTTCCTGACGTGAAAACGAGATAGATGACGTCCTTTGGCTTTGAGATGGTCTCGAGTTGATGTGGTTGTGTCTTGCAAGATGCTACAAATTCCTCGGAGACGATAATTTGCTTTTCTGGCGTATTCTGGATTACTCGAGCACAGTTTTCGTTCGCAGCAATAAAAACAGTAGCTCCACTCTGTTGTGTGATGATTTCGATGCGCGCTGCTGGGAGATTAACATCAATTGCACAACAAATGCAGCCTGCTTTAAGCACTGCTAAGATAGCCACAACCCAGTGAAGGGAACCATCAGTAAGAATACCAACAACACTCCCTGGCTTTGTGATTGATCTCAGATGGTTAGCCAATTTATTGGCAGCCTCGTCAAGTTCTCGGTAAGTCATTGAACCGCGAGTCGACTCCAGAGCTCGCAAATCTGGCCATTTTGCTGCAGAGGCCTCAAACGCATCCTTGATAGTGTCATACCCTTGGTAATTTCCAACACGACCGCGTGGTGGATTCAATAGGCTGTGTCTTTCCTCTCCCGTGATAAGCTTCGCTCGAACATCCTGAACCATAGTATTCTTGTCGTCAAGTAGCCCTTTGATCGCACTCTTGAAGTGGTTCAACAGGCCTGTAATACTCTGCTCAGTATATCGCAAACCATCATATAGAATACGAGCCCGAAGACATCCATCATCGTCTACTTCAAGTAGTAAGGAGATACCAAACTCCATCATATCGTCGCGTTCGATTCCCCATGGCTCTGGGAGCGCTTCACAGACTCCTGCCAGCGTTGGCAGATCGTATTCCATGACCACAATAGTCTGGAATGCATTAGCTATCCTCTCTGCTGGCATTTTAGCCACTGTTTTATCGGAAGACCACTGGAACTCTAACATTTGCAAAAGTTGGCTTTGTGTAGTCGAAAGCACGTCAGCTACAGTCTGTTCCTCCTTAAACTCCAGAGGAAACGGTAATGTGTTCAGGAGTGGCCCAGCCACTCGGTCGACATTCATCGTATCAATGTTTCTTCCAGAAAACACTGCACCAAATGCCACCCGATCAGTAAAGCTGTAGTTTGATAGAACCAGACCCCACGCCGAGTAGATCATCGTTGCGGGCGTGATTCTCCGAAGACGTGCTTTAGTTTCCAATTCTTCCGGTGTGAAGCCAAGGTTAACTTGAAGACTCTTGGACCAGTCAGCCGCTGGTGTATCAGAAGGAGGCTTCGGCAGCGTCAATTGCGGCTGTGTTAAACTATTCTCCAGTAGCGCATCCCAGAATGCGTTGCCCTGGGCATCTTCTTGTAGCCGGGTTTGAGTCTTGGCGATGTTTATGAACTGTGGAGGATCTGAGAGGGATTTGCCGTCCAAGGCTAATCGAAGCTCTTCCAATATCACACTGAATGACCAACCATCTGCTATACTGTGATGCACAAGAGATAAGAGCGTAGAGCCGATGTTAGGGACAGTGATAAGTCGGTAGGCTGAGATGGGGACGAATGTATCTCCATGTTCAATATACGAAATTTTCTTGCGCATCTCCTGAGAACGGATTTGGATAATGCTTTGCAATTGATCTTTTGTTGTTTCCTCGTTACTCCAATCAAGATGAAGCTCTGGTTGCACTTCCTGTAATTGATGCTTCAGGTCAAATGTAGTGCGAAAAATTGAGTGTCGCTCAATCACGCGCCGCCATGCAGACTGGAATCTACTTCCACTCAGCGTCTTGCCTGTATGAGGTAAAGAAATTCGTAAAAGCATGTAATTCACAGTAGGATTTCGAAGTCCTGCTTGAATCATCTTGGCCTGAAGAGTTGACAAGGGCCCTGAGGTAGGGGCATCTGCCTGATCTGCTGTATCTCCTTCTCCCTCATCAAGCTTTTCTATAGCATCATGAATAGTAGCTAGGTCTGGAAGGTCAAAGAGCAGGCTAAGTCGTAAATGAAAGCCTTTTGTGCGTAAAAAGGATAATACTTTCAACCCCGCCAGCGAGTTTCCACCTAGTTCCGCAAAGGAGCTGTTATCTGTTATATCTGACAGGGGAATCGATGTAGCAAAGGAAAGCGCAGCCTTTAATATTTCCATCTTTGAATCAGTATTAGAAATGCCTTGTAGCAAACCACCATCGACCGCTTGGGAGCTTTCAGCGTCTAATAACGATTGCAGAGCACGATTATCGGCCTTGCCATTGGGAGTGAGCGGAAGAAATTCCACTGCGCGAATCAAATCCGGTATAATAAAAGCATCGTACTCCAGAGATAAATTCTTTCGTAAAGCAACGCCATCAACAGTTTCAGGCGTTACAAAGGCTACCAGTCGGCCACGATACATAAAAGCTGTAGCTGCCATGACATTGGGGCTATTGCTAAGCATGGGGATCACCTGAGCATCGAGGTTTATAAGGAATCCACGGTTTTTGACAAAACTGTCCTTTCGACCAGCGAATTCCAGTCCGTGATCTGTCAATCGGCCAAAGTCTCCTGTCCGGTAAATTCTTTCACCTTGCCAGAACACAAACTTTTCCGCTGTGAGCGCTTCGTTTTCGTAATATCCCCTGGCCAGGCCTGGGCCAGTTAAACAAATTTCTCCGTAATCAGACTCCGTTTCTCCATCAAGCAATAATACACGGCCATTCGACATTGGACGTCCCAAAGTGATCGGCTTATCAGCATGGAGTCGTGCCACAAGCGAAGCAATGGTGGTTTCTGTTGGTCCGTAGAAATTGTAGATGGTAGAGGTTGGCAAAGATTCTGCCCATTTGCGGACCAACGCAATCGGTGGTGCTTCTCCGCCGAGCACAATAGTACGCAATTTAGAACAAGTCGATGGATCTTGTATTGTCTGTAGAACAGAGGGCGTGCACGCGACAATAGTACACAGCGTTATAGTATGTAAGAAATCAGAGGTGGTTGCAATCCTCAGTTCAGCGCCATTGCAAAGAGTCGTCATAATGGCACCAGTTGCTGCATCGAACGCCGGTGAGAATATCAACATGACAGTATCGTCGGGTGTTGCGTTCAGATTGAAAGGAGTCTCCTCTCCACCTTGCTGGACATAATTCAAGAGTGCGCTGTGTGGAATCATGACACCTTTCGGTGTAGATGTTGTGCCTGAAGTGAAAATTATATAGGCCAGATCAGTGGACTGGATTCTTTTCCACGGGCGGTCCTCTTTCCTTTGCCAGTGTCGCTCTGTGCCGGGCGCAAAGGCTTCCTCAATCTCGGTATGCGAAATTTCTTCATATCCAAGATATTCTTCTGTACAAGTATTTAAAATAACTCGGGCAGATACTCGCTTCAGTGTTGACTGGATTCGGTCTTCGCTCCAAGATTCTGTATCAATAGGAATGTATGAAGCGCCAGCCTTAAGAACGCCCAAGAAACAGGCTACCATTTCCGGGCCTCTCTGCGCTAGCACAGGAATCTTGTCTCCAAGTTTAACCTGCTTCTCAGACAAAAGCCATGCAATATGAGTTGCTGCATTATCAAGTTCTGAGTATGTAACTGTTCTATTTCCAAAAGAAATGGCAATGTGGTTTGGTTGCCTCTGTGCCCACTGCTCGACAAGATCACATACTGTTGTAGGTTTTGTGATAGCTTGATCAGCGTAACCCGCCATCTTGTCTGCTGTTTTCAGTATGGTTACAGAAATGACGGGAAAATATTAAAATGGAACGAAACGAAAGAATCGTGAATGAATGAGAATGAAGATGCAAATAAGAAGGAATATTCCAGTCACGTCCAATATAAGCACGAGCTACAAATCAATACCGTCAATGATAGAATGCTCCGTCGACAATATAAGTTTCAAATACCCCATATCTTACCTATAGTCAATTTGCCAAATCGGGCTTATTCGAAGCTAGCTACCACACTTTAATTAGGAACCTAGTATTAATTCCATAATCGGATCTTTAAAATGCCTCACTGCGCTTGTCAGATTATAGATATAGGATTAAATCTAAAGAAAAAGGGTATTTTATTGGTGTACCAAAGAGTGATTAATTCTACAACTACTCTATTATTGTTAAAAATATGTGTTATTATTAATTAATTTCTATTTTATAATGTAGATGCTTTTAAACATTTACACCAGTCTTTAGCTATGCTGTCGGCGTTTAACCCATTCTAGGAACACTCTCGGCGACTATTCGTCAGACTTCTCGTCTTACTCAATGGCGCCATTGGTATACTGACTGTACTTCGAACGTACTATACCTCATCTGCAATACTACCTTATTCCTCATTTGTAACCGAATACGACATGACAGCAACCAACAGCAGCCAGCCTCCTTTCCTTCTTCCATTCTTTTCTTTTCTTGTCCTGCATTTATCTGTTTTGTCTGAAGCCTGCATGAGAAGCCACACCTCTGCAGCTGCATTGCGCAACTACGCCTTCAGGCCAGAGTAAGCAAAAATGTCGAAGCAAGAAACAGAGGGCTCTGCTCTGCCAGAGGTTCTCACTACTGGTGAGAACATTGACTCTGAAGGCGGCAGTGACCCAACGAAGCAAGAATGGAAAATCTCAAAGCGCACGCTTTTCGTCTTCATTACCATCTGTGTCTTGACCCTCATGGTGGCTTTAGATAGCACATCCATTGGTGTGGCATTGCCGGTGAGTAGATAACATTATTGAAACAAACGACGTGATTAGCTGACCGTGAAAAATCACTGTACAGACAATTTCTAGGGCTCTTCGTAGTTCCGGAATTGAGACCTTTTGGGCTGGTACTGGATTTCTGCTATGCGCGACAGGTAGGTCATTAGTTTTGGCTCAATTTGCGTATCTGCTCGACTGTACAATTACTTAATTTGATGGCGTGCAGTTTTTCAACCAAACTTTGTTTCCTTTTCCAACATTTTTGGCCGTCGACCTGTCTTCATCGTTGCCATCATCTTCTTTTTCGTTGGAGCTGTAGTTGCTGGTGTCTCGAAGAAGGTTGGCCAGTTGCTGGTTGGCCGATGCATACAAGGTATTGGAGGCGGTGGTATCTCAGCCATCACTGAGGTGCTTATTGCCGACTTGGTGCCAATGCGGTATCGAGGACAATATTACGGCCTGATGAATGCCATGTGGAGTGTGGGATCCGTGACTGGCCCGATTATTGGAGGCGCATTCGCAGGTGACGCCTCATGGGTAAGGAACCATACAACTCTAGCACTATTATTCTCTATCTCTCGGATAGCTGACATATCTTGGCATCGTACTAGAGATGGATTTTTTACATCAACTTCCCTTTCATCGGCATTGGCATATTTTGTGTCGTTGTCTTCATGAATCTCCACTTTGTCCCGACATCACTGGCTGAGAAACTTCGTCGAATCGACTACATTGGTTCAATTGTCTTCATCGCCAGCACAACATCTTTCCTCATTCCATTGACATGGGGCGGTGTCTTGTATAGTTGGGATTCGTGGAGAACACTGGTCCCCCTTATTCTTGGTATCGCCGGTATTGCCCTATTCGTCGTTTACGAAGCATTCATCGCCCCTAATCCAATCATTCCGATCGAACTATTCAACAACCGTACTGCTGGTGTTTCCTATTTCAGCTCTGCGCTCTCAGGACTGCTTGTGTGGTGTATTGTTTACTACATGCCGCTGTACTTCCAAGCTATAAAGGAATACACTCCAGTCTTGACTGGCGTATGTCTCTTCCCACAGACTTTCACTGTGGCGCCTGCTGGTGCTTTCGCTGGTGCGCTTATTACAAAGACTGGCAGGTATCGTTGGTCTACCTGGTCAGGTTGGGCTCTTGCAACTCTTGGTTTGGGCCTGCTCTGCATTCTGAAGCCAGGTACAAGCATACCTGGATGGATCTTCTTGAACCTGGTCTCAGGCATTGGCCTCGGGTTTCTCTTCCCTTCGGTCGCTACAGCCATCCAGGCAGCCACCGCTCCAGAGAATGTTCCTATGGCTTTAGCATTGTTCAGCTTCTTCCGGTCGCTCGGTCAGGCTGTGGGGGTGGCTATTGGAGGAGTGGTCTTCCAGAATCGCATGGTTGCCAACTTGCTCAAATACCCTAATCTTGCGGCAAACGCGACTGCTTATGGTGCAGACGCAGCAGGCTTGGTTGATATCATCAAGGCAATGCCTGATGGTCAGGACAAGCACGACATAAAGGTTGCTTTCGTGGATAGTCTGCGTATTGTTTGGGCAGTGTGCTGTGCACTGGCTGGAGTCGGCCTCCTCTTAAGTCTGCTCGTTCAGAAGTATGACATCAATCAGGAACTCAGTGGTGATCAAGGAATCATTGAAAAAGATCATCCTCAGCCCAACAGGGAAAACACGGAAGAGACTTAAGTCCCTTGGAACTCGAAAACCGGACATCACGTTATTTTTCTTTATCGCAAATTCAACATCCCGACTCACTCAAAACGGCATTCAACTTGGAATTTAAGCATGGGAAATGGCGCATGTAATTACTACTCTAGAAATCTTATATCATAATAGCCGGTACTTTGAGGTAACGGCGAGGAAAATGATTTCAAGCATGAGTAGGTATATAGGGAATTTAATATATTTATATACATACATGCATCTGTATATAAGCTAATTTCTAACTACGTTACATCAATTTTTGGCTGGCAGTGCTCGTTTTATAGCTTTTTCCATAAGCGCCACTGTCTCCTTGAAGACCAATTCCGGCTGCTCAATGTGGGGGAAATGCGTATCGCCCTTGGCATGAATATATGAGAACCATTCTGGATGCTTTTGCTGAAACTCTCGATGAAGGGTTGCATACTCTTCGCTACCAGGCTGGCTGTAAACATGGTGGACCAAAGGAGGATCGCTCAGTGCTTCAAGCCTCTTCAATGGGGAGCCCCAAGTTCTGTATGCTGCTTCAACCGTTCTGCCAGATCGGGCCCAGGTCTCATAGCCAAAGCCTCCAATAGCGGTAAGGCATTGGTACTGAATATTTGCGTTTTGGGTACCGCCAAGCCAGCTTTTGAAGAACGCTACGGTCGCCTGGCGCCAAGTATCTTTCCCTTGTAGAGCTTTCAGCGCTCCGTAGAACTGAGGAGAAGCATCAACCGCTAGATGGTCCAGGATCAAGATTGCTAGCAAGCGCTCACGACCCGCAATTTCAGCCAAGTTCATTGCTGCCCAGTTTCCGTGTGACGCTGCAAGAACAATAAACTGATCGACGCCTAGCGTATCCAGCAGAGCTAGGGCATCCTGGGCATGGTCATCGAACCCAAAATCTTCGACGTTATCACGGTTAGGTCCATGGCCCCTGAAGCAGATGCTAATAACACGATGATGCTCCATGAGATATGACGTGACATAAGAATAACCTCGATGGTCGGAATTCCACCCAGAGAAAGTCACAATAGCAGGCCCGTCATGGGCATAGCCATAATCTGTGAACGCAATCTCTTGGCCATTGATAGTTTTGGTGTAAGGGAATGCATCTGCCAAAAACCGTGGCTGAGTCATGATGAGAGAAAGAATTTGAGTTGTCCTTGGATAATAATTACAAGTTGCTTTTCTGAGTGTATCCAGTGGCTGCTGGTTTTGAAGTCTTTAATAGGAATTATGATTAACTGCTAGCAACTGTATTAGCAGGTAAAGTAAATAAGCTTTCTACACTGCTTCACTTCCTGATCCCATCACTATAGCATGACAATGGGCTGATTAACTGCATCAATAAGACAATGTACATAATCATATAGGCGTTCTAGTGCCCAGTACTTACCACACTTAGGCGCCGACAACACGTTCAATATTCCCCGTAATCTAAGGCAATAAGCGCCGATTGCTATGTCTCCGGCGTCATCCTACTGTCTGATCTTAAAGACTAACGCCGCTTCTTTTTACGTCTTCCCCACATAGCCTCCTGTCAGCAAATTAGCACTACTTTGATATAGCTTAGGCTAAACCACCTAGCAGCTTATAGAAGAGATATGCCAAAGCCAGTAGATTATGCTGGGGATATTTTTGTCTCTCCATATATACTAGTATTAATAATATATAGAAAAAAGGAGAACTTTATGTAAATTAAAGTTTATGAGAAAACAAGGCTCTATCAAAGCAATTCTGAACCATGATGTAAGCGTATATACCAGAAAAATCTTGCGGATATTTATTATAAATCAGAGGATTAATCCTTCTTATTTCCAGTGGTGAATCAGCTTATTTTAATTTTACTCGTGGATAACAGTAAGAAGGCCGCCTTAACCCCTGCAATAAGATACATGTATACAGGCTTGTTCGGCGGGAAACGTCAATATTTGCATTGTGGTGTTTGGCATTGGCTGATAAGTTGCAACATTGTTGTGACTAGGGTGTGAATTTTAAGCCGACAGGCATGCATGGATGGCGCATCCTTGCCATTTAGCTGACAGGGTTCCCTTCCTGCGCTCCTAATAAAACCCCCAAGTTCAATTTTTTGCTCAACCTAGCTCTCATATCGTACTCCGATTGAAATGTGGTAAAGCATTTTCTGAGTGCATCATCATGATATCTCAACTCTATGAGACATCTCCTGGCCTATTGGCTGTGGGAGTTGCATTATCATTGGCCACTATGGTCGTTTTCACTTTTCGCTTATGGGGTGAATTCGTTGGAAATGTTAGTATGCGATCAATTGGATTAAATTCCAAGAATGGAAATAAATATCATTTTACGCGGCTTTCTCTATGCGGAATTATTGGTAGCTAACTGGGTTTCTATTAGGCCATCCTCAGCACGTTCAATGGCGGTGTCTTGTCAACGGGACGAGCGGCTCCTGGTCCTAAGTGGCAGTGGCCTAATGGCCAGTTTGCAGACAAATTCTTGAATGGCGCTGCAAGATCAGAAGAATGGAGAAAATACGGGCCTGTTTACAGGATTTGGGCAGGTCCTAAGCCAGAGATGTGAGCCCTTGTTTTTATCACCTTATCTTTGTTAACATCTCTTTCTCTTGGAAAAAGGTGAATGGAAGCTAATTATAAGATGGTTGTCATGTATACAGTGTACTCACGACTCCCGAAGATCTTAAAGTTTTCCATACAGACTCTGATAAACACTTCAAGCCTAAAGATGGCAACTTTGGCTGGTTTTTTGACCAAGTTCTGGGCCGTTGTGTTGGCCTTCTTTCACTGGATGAATGGAAAAATATGCGACGAGTTGTTGATCCCTCCTTTACTCACGGCGCTACTGTTAAACGTATTAGTGTCACAGAAGCAGATGCCAAAAGTTTTGTGGAAAACTTGCATACAATTTCGAATGAGGGAGCTGAGGTAGCAAAAGCCAAAGGCCGGTTTACTGTTCCTGCTATGGCAGCATTCATGAAGTTTCCCTTCATTTTTACAGCCGAGGTTGTCTACGGAAATATGAATGAAGCTGAGAAAGAAGAACTCTGGGCGATTGCAGAGAAGCGTCAGGCACTGTTGCCTTTCTTTTTTAAGGGGAGCTTCTATCGTACCTCGTACTTGAAATGGTTTGACCGACCAGCCTACAACCAGCTTCAGGAATTTTTAAATTCTTGGGCCGAATTCAATACTCGTATGGCTAGGTCTCGACGAGAACAAGCTCTTCCTGTTCCGATTGTTAAATACTGGGACGAGTATCTCCAAGGAAATATTACTTTGGAACAGGTAAGAGACCCAGCGGGTTCTCCAAAGCTTCTTTCCTTGCAGAAAATAAGCAAAAACATTGAATACTGATCCGCAATCCTGATTCAGGTAACACATACTCTGGATGAAATGCTCTTTGCGAACCTTGATGTAACCACCCACGTCCTTACATGGGCCATCACTCTTATCGCCGATCATGAAGGTGCTAAGAAAGAGCTTCGAGAAGAGATTGAAGCTCATAAAGACAATCTTCAAGAGTATATTACCAACGTCAATACTCACCTGCACCGATGCTACTATGAATCTTTACGATTGAGGCCTATCGCAGGTAAGTAATTGATCTTCACTTCTCACTTGACGGGAACCAAATTGATCAGATGAGACTGACATTTGTATTTGCTTAGTCTTCAGTATCGGTGAGAGCGCTCCAAGTGTTAAGAACTTCCGTGGTATACACGTAAAGCCAAATGTAAGTAAAAAGATATCCCAAGATTTTGAAGTCAATGAAGTTCTATATGCGTTTCCGAAATTGGTGCTAACATACGGTTCTAAAATAACAGACTATGGTGCTTGTGGACACATACGCTATCAACGTTCGCAATCCATTCTGGGGCCCCAACAGTGAAGAATATGACCCGAGTCGATTCAAGAACGTCAAATCCACAGATGTAAGTTTTCATGTATTCGATATAGGTAGTAACATGCATTAACAAACGCTTTTCTTAATCAGTTACGGTACAACCTCTTCGTTTTTGGATTCGGTTACAGAAAATGCTTAGGGCAGTACTTGGCAGGACACATGGTGAAAGCTATCCTTGTACACCTGTTCTCTCAGTACGAAGCCGTTATCATCGATGGAAGGAAAGGAAAATCCGATTACGATATTGATAAAACCACCTGGGTTCCCGTCGCGGATGTTACCGTCGAGCTAACTAAGCTGCAGTAATGGAATTGAGGGTTTAAATATAGTGGCGAATCACTAGCTTATACAGATCAGAAATAGTTTCTTCATATAATTTCTCAGTGTATTATAGAGCATTGCTGGAGGACGACTATCTGAATTATAATATGTAACTTCCTACCTTGAATTTTGCATATTTGGCCGCCGCCTAAACATCATACTACAGCAGCTTCAAACACTAATAGTAAACAGAACCATATGCACAGCCGCCACTGCCTCATATTGTAAAATAACTAATATATATTACTAAATAGAAATTCCACTGAAAGGTTAATATTATTAACAATAATAATGCATTCCACAGATTGTTGGCCTTATTAATATCTATATTCTCTCTACTGCTTTTTACTAGAGGAAGTACACACAGGGTTCGGCTTTTTTAAGACTACCCCAGTAGCGGAAATAAGCAAACTCGCCGATGAAGGCCAGGGTTTCATCCTACAAACAAAGAATATGCTATACTCTCTTCGGTTAGTATTTTAAATTGACGGTTAATTTTCGATTCCCTCCGATACAACGAATGTTTGTCTAATGCTTACCGAGTACTCCAAATAATATGCTTAGAGTTAGTGTATTTCTAAAGCTCTTGGCAGGCTCGTTTGTCTTTAAAGGCGTATTTATCAAAGTACTTGAGCCTTGCTCTTAATTCATGTTATAAACAGTTCACGATAGATGAATGTTGAAAGATAAAACTACAATATTCCTAATTTCCATAACCACTATCAAAATTGTTGTCACGATTGCAACGATGCGTTTCCCTCCCCCGCCACGAAGTGATATAGGTTAGCTTACTGCTTGCATCAATTCTTAAGTTGAAGATAGCACGAACTGACACTGATGAAGTTTGGAATGGGCTCGCCGCGCTGACAACTGTCAATGGGCATGTCCAATGCACCTGGACCCATGAGACAGGCACATGGTCAGAGCCAAAATTTATTCCAGATCCATACCTTCGTGTTCATGGATTAGCACCTGTTTTCAACTATGGTCCGTTAGCAATATCGACTATATGCGTGTAAAAGAATGGGATGAACTAACAAGGCGGTATTTAGGCCAAGAGGCTTACGAAGGACTTAAGGGTAACGTGCCTCTCACCCCTAACGCAGTTGACGTTATAATTCAGAAGTATTTGGGATACGGTTGATACTAATATGTTGAACTTATCAAGCTTTTCGCACTCCTGACGACAAGGAGATCAACATCGTAAGACCTAATTTTCATGCTATCCGAATGCAGCACTCCGCTTCATTGGTCTCTATCCCAGCGGTTCCTGAGGACCTTTTCATGCGCTCTGTGCACCTCGCAGTAGCAAAGAACGCAGAATTCGTACCGCCAAATGGTGTCGATGGAATGTTGTATATCCGGCCTATTGTTTTCGGTTCCGGGCCTCGTATCTTGCTCAGCCCGACTGATGAATACACTTTCTGTGTCTACGTTACCCCCGCGGCTGCTTATCATGGTATTCAACCACTTGATGCTTTGATATTGGAAGATTTTGACCGAGCTGCTCCTCGAGGTACTGGCTCAGGTAAGGTTGGGGGCAATTACGCTCCGGTGATGAAGTGGGCCGACAAAGCCAAGAGTCAAGGTTATGCCCTCACACTGCATCTTGATAGCCAAACAAGAAGCGAGATTGATGAATTTTCGACGTCAGGCTTTATTGGCGTCAAGACAGAGGGTGAGAAAACCGTTATTGTGGTACCCAATAGCGCAAGTGCTATCAGCAGCGCCACATGTGATAGCATTCAACAGCTGGCCCTGTCGTTTGATTGGCAAGTAGAGCGTCGGCCTGTAAGTTTCCTCTACTCAGCTATTAAAAAAAAAAAAAAAAAGGTGCAGTGTACTAAAATATTTTTTGCTCATGCAGGTCAAATATGAGGAACTATCTGAATTTTCAGAGGTCTTAGCTTGCGGAACTGCTGTAACCGTGGTTCCTGTCAAGTCTATTACTAGGGAAACTACAAATGAGAAGTTTGTCTATCAGAATGGAGTTGCAGAACCCGGACCCGTAGCATCCAAGATCGCCAAGGCTGTGGAAGACATTCAAAAAGGCAGGATCGAAGATAAATTCAACTGGCTCACAAGAGTCACTGCTGTGTAAATAATGTAGTCCGAACGAGTGGTACAGTTGTATTATTAAAGAGAAAAGGGGGACATATGGAAATAAAAATTTAAGTCACATGTCTCATTAAGAAGCCGCGAGTTCAAAATTAAAAATTTTTTAAATTTAAAGAATAATCAAAGCATTTATAAGATTATCATCTATGTAACACTCAAGGGTATCGTAAGCTAGGTCACTCTCCAGCCCACCAAAGAGACACGGAGTCAAGCCATATTAAGGAACTATTTGATCAACTCGTGGAGGCGTTGTAGGAAGAACGAGGCCATTGTCATATCTAAGGGCAGTTTTCTAGAGGAGAACATGTGTTGTGTTTTTTCTCTATCTACTGTCAACTATTTCGGCTTTTGTTAATAGGGCCATTATACTGGCAGCCTTGTGCAAGTTGGAACTTACATCATCTAGCACGGCCGAGCCGTAAACTGTCAAAAATTATACATATAACAGTCACATGTTAACATGCTTGACACAGAATTGAATAGTGTTTGAAGCTTTTAAGATGAGGTATTTCCAGGTAAGTTAATATAATATAATCACAATCTTAACTCTGTTAATGTCATCGACCAAAGACTAATCTACCTACCTAAGCCAGAGATACTCAATAACATTAACGTTACTCATGCTCCTACTAGATGAGCGGTCCATTACAAAAGTATTTTCAACAGTAACCAAAAGTGAAAGAGTTTTGATGATGGAATGCATTGATGACATTCACATCATTGCCATATCCCATTGCCAAATTGCTCCTGATAATCTAAATTATGCTCTTTTAGGATGATCGAGGCTTGAAGCACACGACCGGGCCGTCTTTTCTGGCCGACACATGGTCTCTGAATTTGTACTCAACCGGCTTAATGTCCTTCAGCTCCCATCCTGGTTCATTATCCGCCCTTCGGAGATCAAACTCCCAGAGCAACCGGGCAAATGTGAGCATAATCTGTGCCAGCGCAAGAGGCTTCCCGACGCAGCTTCTAGATCCAATAGAGAAGGGCATATATGGCTGTCTTGCGCTATCTGCTCGGGCAGTTCCATCTTCGTTGACGGGTCGAAACCACCTTTCAGGATCAAATTTGAGAGGATCTTTGTAATAGCTCTCGTGGTGGTGAATGCTGTAAATGCCAACAGCAACGTCAGTTCCCTCTGGCACATAAGTTCCGTCAATCAAGGCACCTCCACGCTCAACTTCTCGCCAAAGAGCAGCACCACCGGGAGGCGACATTCGAAGAGTTTCATCGATAACAGCACGCAAGTAAGCACAAGAATTGAGTTTGGGTCCAAAAACAATTTCGTCCAGGGACGAGAATGTTGTGCGAACCTCTTCTGCTGCCTTACGATAGGTACTTGATGATCCTGTTAGATAATGCGCTACTCCAGCCATGCTTGCCGATGTTGTGTCAGATCCTAAAAGGAATTTCAACATTAGATGCTTTGTTTATGACATTTATCGAATGTAATGTAGAAAAGGAAATCCTTACCAGCCACAACAAGCAATGCAGTCTCGGTACTCAATTCTATGGGACTGAGTTCGGCACCAGTGTCGGGATCTTTACAATCTTTCAAGAATGAAAAGATATCTTTGCCATCGGAAATACCAACAGCTTGGAGCCGCTTCTTTAGAAGCTTTCGGAGGAATCCCACAAATTGATTTCGTGCTATGATGGATGCTGGAAAGAGGTACTTATCCAGGTTAAACGAGGTGAGTTTTGATTCTTGCAATAACACTCCCAGTCGAATGTTTGACTCTTCAAGAGCGCCGATTGGATAGCGATTCTCTGGATTTCGGATGGTGTCAAAATCAGAGTCAAATGAGACTGTCGTCATGGTATCAAAAGCAAGATAATTGACTAGCATTCACAATGGTCAGTATGTACCACTTTCGGATGTGAGGACGACTAGACTTACAATCCTTCGATATATCCCTGGCACTAGTCCAGCCTCCTTCAGCGGACTTGTCGTTGGCAGCATTACGCAAATGTTGACAGAATCTCTCCAATACCGACTGAACCTTGGGCTCAAATCGACGAAGACTAGTCTCAGAAAACGCCTGAGCAACAACGCGGCGCCTGCGAGCATGTTGCACTTTGTTACTAAGAGTAAGAGTGTTGGGTGCCTGTTGAGCCAGCACTCTATAGTTTTTGTACTTCTTAACCTTGGAACCATGACCATAAATATCTAAAATTATCATTAGTACTGAATACGCTGTCAATGTTTATGTCAAAGAAAAATATGTTACCATAGAGCGCGTTTACGTTGTTGATAATAAGCCTGTTTGGAGCGTATCGAAGATATTCACCTGTCATTGTTAATTATCTACAGAATTGGAAAAACAGATATTTCTCTGGAAAAAATAACTAACCATATTTTTGGTGGCAGCGATGCATGTCCAGATGGATGTCTCCTTTCCATGCATGGTAGGCGGAATAAAGGTTTGTGAACTTGGCAAGGAACGGTCCTGGGTATTTTGCCAGAGGATGAAAGAATACTCTATACACTAAGACATACAGTCCATAGAGCAGCTATTTTGAAGAAGTAGTTTGTTAGTATCAATCTCAATGAAAAGGTTTCGCAAAGTAGATGCGACTCGAAGAGGCTTTGCTCTGTATCTCACTTGCACATACCAGACTCGCTACCGTTGCTACTAGTGGTCCTCCTATCTTTTTCACCCATACCTGTAAAGCAGGCAAATCTGCTGGGAAGTGCAGTCCCCCCAAATCGATGGCTTTGAAATCCATTGGATGCGTAGTGCTTCCGCCGTGACTCCAACTAGCTTTCCTATACTCGTAGAAAGAGATGAGAACGAAATCAAGGCCGAACCATTTTATTGCCTCCGCTGAATCCTTAATCGAAATACATTGAGTTCGATATCTCACGACTATCTGATGATGCGAGCTGGAAACTCAATCTGGCGTCAGCAACACAATGCTCCGACAGTTGTCATGACCCACATGTTGACCATCTCGCGGGCTGTAAGCATCGGGGTTATTATTCTAGTACTGACAGCAGTGAACAATTCGAGTAATTCATCTGTTTCATCTATATGCTTCCTGTCGGCAGTAAGCTTTGAAATTGGAACAAATTGCTTATGCGGGCTGTGCGTCGGCGAGTTTCGTGAGGCGTTCCGACGGAGCCTATTTTCAATCGTAGAGTCAAACTATCGATCTAGACAGGCCTAGATATTACCCGCAATATTGGAGAATAAGCGCGAAACCATTTCTAATACCCTGTCAGTAAGCGCGTTTGCATCCAGGGGTTTACCGATCGATGGAATTATGTCGATGCTTTGGTAGTTCAGCCTTCAGTGACGGCATTGGGAACAGTAAACAAGAGGAATTTACACGACGGTCAATTTATCAGGCTTCGCAGCATTTTCTATCTATATATGGCGTTTGAGAACCAGATGTTGTTTCTAATCTTCTACTCTTTTAATCCAACTCTCTCAGCCAAGTCCCGGAGGTATTATACCGTGGTCACTCTTTTTCACCCCTGAAGTTATATAGTCCTCAACGACACTTTCCCTTTTCCAAGATGGGCAGCATTTCACAAGATATCGGGCTCAATGAGCAGGCATCGTACGACTTCAACGCCACCATCAACAACAGCCATGTAACTGAACCGGCTGAGCCTATTGCCGTAGTTGGCATGGCCATGAGATTACCCGGTCAAGTGCGCAGTGACGAGGAGTTTTGGAAGCTGCTTGTCGAGAAAAGAAGTGCTCTCTGTGATGTGCCGGATGATCGCTTCAATGTAGCTGCATTCTCTGATCCCACTGGTAGCAAGTCTGGGACGTTTAAGCCATCTAAGGCATACTTTCTCCAAGATGTCGACATCAAACAGTTCGACACATCAGTCTTCCCTCTTTCCAGGACTGAGCTGGAGAGACTGGATCCCAACCAGAGGCAGCTGTTAGAGGTTGCTTATGAGTGTATGGAAAACTTCGGAGCCACATCATGGCGAGGCAGTAAGATTGGCTGCTATGTTGGTGTCTTTGGTGAAGACTGGGAGGATCTCAATGCAAAGGAGACCCAACACAGAGGAGGATATCGCGTCACAGGTTATTCAGACTTTGTAGTTGGTAACCGAATCTCATATGAATTTGATCTTCGCGGTCCTAGGTAAGTAACCACTATCTAGGTGTGTCTTTCAATTTGATTTACAGAGCTAACCATCTAACAGCATGACCATCAAAACTGCTTGCTCTTCATCTCTAGTTGGCCTGGATATGGCATGCCAAGCCATTAGAAAAGGAGACTGTGATGGTGCTTTGATTTGTGGTGTTTCTCTCATTTTCTCGCCAACTATGTATATAGCCCTCAGCGATCAGGGCGTTCTTTCCCCAGGCGGCATCTGTAAAACATTCGATTCAGCCGCTGATGGTTACGGTCGTGGCGAGGCCGTTAATGCGGTATACATCAAGAAGCTTAGCCAAGCTTTGAAGGATGGCGACGAGATTCGCGCAGTCATCCGCGGTACTAGTGTGAATACTGATGGTAGAACCAACGGTATGCTCACGCCTAGCCCTGTTGTTCAAGAAGCCTTGATCCGTCAGGCATACCGGCAGGCCGGTATTGAGGATCTGTCAGCGACTGCCTTCTTTGAGTGTCACGGCACTGGCACTCCAGTCGGTGATCCCATCGAAACAACCGCAGTTGCTAACTGTTTCGGTGAGAAGGGTATTCACATCACATCGGTAGGAGAATTCTCAGAATGCTTGATGTCGAATATTTTTGACTGATTTTGCTTTTCCAGGTCAAACCCAATGTTGGCCACTCAGAGGGTGCAGCAGGCATCACCAGTCTGATCAAGGCTATCCTGGCTATTGAGCATCGCCAGGTACCGCCCAATATCCATTTTAATAACCCCAATCCTAATAGTGAGTCAAAGCACACATTAAGAAGAGAATAAAAGTTGTGCTAACAAGTCTTTAATAGTTCCATTCAAAGAAGCCAAGCTTAAAGTGCCGGTTGATGTTGAAACCTGGCCACAAGGTCGTGCTGAGCGTGTCAGTGTAAACTCGTTCGGTATTGGTGGTGTTAACGCCCACGTTATCGTCGAGTCTCTGGAAGAGTATGGAAAATCCAATACTCGATACAGAAATGCCAAGCGCATTGAGGGTGTTGCCCCTGAAGTTGATGTTCAAACTGGCGATGTCCAGCAGCTACTCTTATTATCTTCTAACAGCGAAGCTTCGCTTAAGCAGACTATTGAAGCCCACAAGAGCTTTGCCGAGACCACATCATCTTCGCTGAAAGATGTGGCATACACACTTGCAAACCGCCGAGAGCATAAGAGCCATCGCGCTTTTGCGATTGCAGGCAAGTTCAATGACCAAACCTCGTTTGAGGTGTTTGGCCCGGAATCTACAGAGGCTGCACCACAAGTAGCTTGGATTTTCACTGGCCAAGGCGCACAGTGGCCAGAAATGGGAGCCGAATTAATCGACTCAAACCCCATCTTCAGAAAGACAATCAGGAGCTTGGACGCTTTCCTGGCTGGGTTGCCGACCCCTCCTTGTTGGACAATTGAAGATGAGCTGCGCAAGGTCGCCGGAGACAGTCGCGTTTTGAAAGCAGAGTTTGGGCATCCTCTGTCCATTGCTGTTCAAATTGGGCTTGTTGACATTCTCCGCGCCTATGGCGTCAAGCCAGACTGGGTTCTTGGCCACTCTTCCGGTGAGATGGCGGCTGCATACGCCAGCGGCGCCATCTCAGCAACGGCTGCTATGGCTGCCGCTACCTTCCGAGGCACAACCTCGACTGATGAGCAGCCCGGTGGCAAGCCTCGAGGCGCCATGGCTGCAATTGGTCTTGGTGCTCGTGAAGTAGAGCCCTACATGGAGCCTGGAGTTGTGGTTGCCTGTGAAAACAGCCAGTGCAGCGTTACATTGTCTGGAGACACTGACCAAGTTGCCAAGATTGTAGAAAATGTCAAGGCCAACTGCCCCAATGTTCTTGCGCGCTTTTTGAAGGTTGAGAAGGCATTCCACTCACCTCACATGAAGGAGTATGGTCCTTCATACGAACAGCACTTGAAGCCATTCATTCAGAGCTTGGATCCTACTACGCCCTTCTATTCCTCTGTCACTGGAAAGAGGCTCACTGGAGCTGGGTCTCTCGACGCACACTACTGGCGATCCAACATGGAACGCCCCGTGCTCTTCAACACGGCTTTGAGATCCGCTCTTCACGACCATAGCGAGGGGCGTTTTGTGCTGATTGAAATCGGACCTCACCCTGCGCTCAAGGGTCCCTTGGGTCAGATTCTAAGAGACATCAACCGCAATGAAATCACACAAATCGCCACTCTTCAGAGAAATAAGGTCTGCAGCAACAGTATCCTAGAGACTGTCGGCAAGCTCTTCCAGCAGAATGTCAGCCTCAACTTCTCTACCGTCTTCCCCGCTGGTAAGATTGTGCGAAACCTTCCACGATACAGCTGGAAGCGTGATGTCTCTTACTGGGCTGAGCCACGTGTGGCTAAGGAGTACAGATTCCGTGAATTTGCTCCTCACGATTTGCTGGGTACAAGAGTTGCTGAGGTATCCAACGAAAACTGCTGGCGCAACAAGCTCTCTTTGGAAGATGCACCCTGGCTGCAAGGTCACGAAATTGACGGTGAAATCGTGTTCCCCGGTGCTGGATACATCTGCATGATTGGCGAGGCGATCCGTCAAATTTCGGGCGAAACAGCCTTTAGCCTCAAGAACGTGTCCATCACCGCTGGTCTCATTCTTGAGCATGGAAAGCTGCCCGAGGTTGTGACAAGACTTACTCCCCACAACGTAGAGTCTGATGAAACTTCACGTTACTCGTTCCAGATTACCTCTTACAACGGCGCCAGGTGGATCAAGCACTGTTCTGGTGAGGTCTGGGGTGGTGTTGACAAGTCCGTTGTGCTAGAGACTGAGAAGAATCAGACACTACCCCGTGCGGTTGATGCTAGCGAGTGGTATGGTGTTCTGAACCGCATCGGTTTCAACTACCAGGGTGCTTTCCGAGGCATGCGTGACATCTCGTCTGCGACCATAAACAATGTAGCGGTAGCCTCTGTTCCCACTGACAAGAACGATCTTACCAAGTACTCAATCCACCCCGGTATCATTGATCAGTGTTTCCAGTTGTTCACAGTTGCTGCGTACCGTGGACTTGGAAGAAACTGTATCAATGTGGCTGTTCCCACCTTTATTGAGGAGATGGTTGTTCGTCCTGCTTCCAAGGACCTTGACGTGCAAGCCAGCATTCACACACTTGAGCGAGGATCTTTTGTCGGTGATTTGGTAGCACAGGCTGACGGGCAGCTACTCTTGTCTCTCAAGGGCTTCAAAGCATCTGCTATGACAAGTGCAGCATCGGACGACGAGAGCCTTCCGCTAATTACTCAGTTTGAGTGGCGCCCTCATGCCGACTTCATCAAGATGAAGGACTACATGCAGCCTCGAACATTCATCCCCAACGAGTGGCCGATGCTGGAGGAGCTGATGCTTTTGAGCATTCTTGATCATCAAGAGAACATTAAATTGACGGATGATGCCGCCCCTCACCTGGTCAAATTCTTCAAGTGGCAGCAAGACTATATTGCCACTTATCACGCTGGCAAGAATCCTTTCATTGCTAAGGATATGCGACTGGAGGATCTCAGCAGAGAGCAGAAGATTGCCCGCATTGATGCCCTCACAAAGGATCTCTTACCTTCTCATTATGATGGATTCGCCATTGGTATCCACCGCTTGTTCAAGGAGGCAGAGAAGCTCTTCTCCGGCGAGACCCACGCCTTGCATGTCCTTATGCCCGATGATGTCCTGACCCGACTGTATGCTAACGGTGATGAGTTGCTCTACGGCGATGCAATTCGAGCCCTTGGCCACACCAACCCTCGCCTGCGAGTCTTGGAAGTCGGTGCTGGTACTGGAGGTACAACATCCAAGGTCCTGGATGCTCTTACGACTTCGACTGGTCAGCGACTTTACAGCAGCTATACCTACACCGATATCTCTGCTGGTTTCTTCTCTGCGGCCAAGGAGCGTTTCGCCGCCTTTGAGGGTATTGAGTATAAGACTTTCGACATTACTAAGGATCCTGCGGAGCAGCAGCTCCAGAAGGGCTCTTATGATCTCGTCATTGGTTACAACGTATGTTTTCCTGTTCGAGTCCCATGCCTTTCAATAACGATCCCTGACTCTATTATAGGTTGTCCACGCTACTCCCAACTTGCAAATTTCTCTTGGACATCTTCGAGAATTGCTCCGCCCAAGTGGCCGAATCTTCCTCCAAGAGCTCTGCCCAGGTACGTACTTTCACTAAATATCTCGTCTAGAACTCCAGGCTTTTCTAACACATGTCTCTACCCAGATGCCAAATACATCAACTATATCATGGGTTACCTCTCCGGCTGGTGGCTTGGTGATGAGGATGACCGTGTTGATGAGCCTTACATCTCCCCCGCGCGCTGGGAGAAGGAGCTCATCGCTGCTGGTTTCAAGAACCCTGAGCATGTTCTCGATGGCATCGCTCCATACCACCAGAGCGCCGGTATCATGGCCAGCGTCGACATCAAGTCCAAACCCCTTGCCAAGGTTTCAGTCCTTGCCCATGATGTCAATGGACCATATGTTCAAGATGTGAAGAGCGCTCTCGAGCTACAAGGCCTAGGCGTCGATGTCTTTACCTTTGGTCAAGAGCTGCCTGCCCAGGACATCATTTCTCTTCTTGACCTTCAAGCTGATACCGTTCACGAGTTCACGGAAGAGTCATTCAAGACTATGATCAGCCATTTGCAGACGCTAAATGCCAAGATGGTATGGGTTCTTGGTTCTGCCCAAGTCAAGTGCAGAGATCCCAAAGCCGCAATGTCCATTGGCCTTGCGCGAACGGCTCGTAACGAATTGTCAGCCAAGCTTTTCACTCTTGAGGTGGAGCCAGCTGCGGCTACTCAAGACGTCACAAGGGCCATTTCCGACATCCTTGTCCGAATTCAGCATCCTGAGCTGGATCCTGAAGATATGGATCCTGACTGGGAGTTTGCCCTGGTCGACGGTAAGGTGTTGGTGCCTCGATTGCACTGGCAGACCATGTCAGATGCCTTTGATAGCACGGTAGTATCTGCAAACGTGTCTTCTTCCAAGTTCCTCACTGTGAAGACTCCAGGCTTGCTTCACACGATCGGATGGTCTGAAGAGACGAAGAAGCCACTTGCCGAGGGTGAAGTCCGCGTTAAGACCAAGGCCGTTGGTCTGAACTTTAGAGTTAGTATTCCCCTCTCTCCACTAATTCCAATAGTTAAGATACTAATAATGCCTACAACAGGATGTTCTTATTGCTCTCGGAGTTCTTGACAATAGCACTCGCGAAGTTGGTCTTGAAGGTTGTGGTATTGTTTCTGAAGTCGGCCCGGGAGTGTCAAAGGTTGCCGTTGGCGATCGTGTGATTTACATGTCTAGCGGATGCTTTACTACTGAGATTACTCTATCGCAGGTGCTCTGCGTCAAGATTGACGATGCTCTTACCTTTGAGCAAGGAGCTGGATTGCCTTGTGTTTATGCTACGGCAGCTATGGCACTGGACGACAAGGCAAACCTCAAGAAGGGCCAGGTTAGTCTAAATCTTTCCACGCTTCAGCCCTCCCCTGTACTAATACTTTGTCTAATAGAGCATTCTCATTCACTCTGCTTGTGGTGGTGTTGGCCTGGCAGCCATTCAAATTGCTCAGATGCTGGGTGCAGAGGTCTACTGCACGGTTAGTAGCGAGGAGAAGATCAACTACCTTACAAACAACTTCAACATTCCTCGCTCCAAGATCTTCAACTCTCGCGATTCCTCATTCCTCCACAATATCATGCGCGCAACTAACGGCCGGGGTGTTGATGTCGTCTTGAACTCTCTTTCTGGAGATCTTCTCCACGCTTCCTGGAAGTGTGTTGCCGAGTTTGGCACTATGATTGAGATTGGCAAGCGTGATTTCCGCCGCCGAGCCAAGTTGGCGATGGAGGCCTTTGAGCAGAACCGCACCTTTGTTGGTCTGGATCTCTGGCAAGTCTCCCAGCAACGTCCTGAGCAAGCCGCAGAGTAAGTCGAGTCCAATTCGTCCTCTTTTAGTCACTCAATAACTAACTTGGCTCTTTCAGATTATTGGAGCGCTGTGTTGGCTGGATCCGTGATGGAAAGATTAATGCTGGCGCCATCGCCAGGGCGTTTTCTGCTGACCAGGTCCAGGATGCCTTCCGATTCATGCAGGGAGGCCGTCACATTGGCAAGATTATTGTAACCATGCCGGATGACACTACTTCTCTGCAGGGTATCAAGACTCGTCCCCTACCCAACTTGAGGTCTGACCGCAGTTATATCTTGGTCGGTGGTCTGGGTGGTCTCGGCAGGTCTTTGGCAACTTGGATGGCAGAGAATGGTGCAGGAGAGCTTATCTTCCTCTCTCGATCCGCTCAGCCAGGTCCTAAGCTGGACGGCTATGTTGCTGAGCTCTCTTCTCAGGGATGCTCTGTGCAGCTTGTAGCCGGCAGCGTCAGTGATATGGCTGATGTGCAGCGAACTGTCCAATCGGCAACGAAGCCTATTGCTGGTGTTATTAACTTGTCCATGGTGCTCAGGGATATTACTCTGCAAGATATGTCCTTCAAGGACTGGATGACAGCTGTTGCCCCCAAGGTCCAGGGCACATGGAATCTCCACCACGCCATCTCCTCTTCGTTGGACTTCTTCGTTCTTTGTTCTTCTTACAGTGGAATTGTCGGACAGTGGGGTCAGGCAAACTACGCTGCTGCCAACACTTTCTTGGATGCCTTTGTCCAGTACCGACATGGCAAGGGCCTTGCCGCATCAGTCATCGACATTGGTGTGATGGGCGAGGTCGGATTTGTCTCGAAGAACCGAGAAGTCCTCGACATGTTCCAGAAGTCTGGTATGCGCATTCTGAAGGAGAAGGATCTGCTGGATGCATTCAATTTGGCAATTCAGCGGTCAAAGGCCCCTGAGGCGCAGGGTGCCAATGGCACATACAACATTTCAAGCCAGATTCTTTTGGGTCTTGTCACCACTATTCCAGTGGCATCTCCCAACAGCCGAGTTGTGTGGAAGAAGGACATTCGCATGAGCATCTACCACAACATCTCTGGAGCTGATGACTCTTCTTCCAAGACAGAAACCGAGCAAGACAGCGTGTCCACTCTTTTGTCTGCAGCCGCCAACTCTCCTTCAATATTAGAAGAGGAAGAGACAACAGTCACCATTGCTCAAGCTATTGCTTCTTCGTTGGCCAATTTCCTCATCAGAGATGTGGACAGCATTAAGCTGGATCTCTCACCTGAGAAGAATGGAGTTGATTCGCTGGTGGCCATGGAGCTGCGCAACTGGATTCGACAGAAGTTTAACGTTGAGTCCAGTGTCATGATTATTGTTCAATCGCCATCTTTGAATGGTCTTGCGGAGCATATTCGCCTCGGATTGGTTGAGCGATTTACACAGGCATAAGTAAATATGATAAAGGGTTTGGGATTAATACATGTAAATATATATTTTCTATCTGTTTTATATTGGTTACTACATGATTTTATGTCTTATGAAGGTGCGAGCGCAGTTCAATAATACGGGCTATATCTTTTATCTTTTTTGGCCGCATTACAGGTATTAAGGTGCATAAGTACATGCAGCGGGAGGTAATCTTGCGTCCACGTTGGGCCCCAATTGCTACTGATGCGCTTAGCGAAATTCTACCAACCCTCCCCCAAAAAGATGTAAAACATGCTTGGTACTTGGATAAAAACACACAGTTTCAGCTGTATATAAGCCACTTCAGATACAGCAATAGGATTTAATTTTTAAGACTATATATCAACGATATTGTCATGCTAGCCAAGTGTCTAATGTGTTTATGGCAATTTCCAATCAGTTTTGGTTTACTTAATTATTCATTCATTCATTTATTCATTCAAACCACTTGGGTTTTGGCGTGAGCTGGCGTAGCGTCGCGGGAATTCTGCCTTGTCCGCCTTGTCTGCCTGATGTCATCGCTACTCCGCTTCTTCACTACCTAACCGTCTCACTGCTATTTTGATAACACGCAAAGCCCCAACAGTTAATTTACCAGCTACCCATTTCGTAAACATCCTTTGAACCTGATTTGATCCTAACTAGAGAGATAGAACTCGAAGAACAGGCGAAAGATTATATAGAATCTCTCGCTATAGTAACAACGTGTCGTCATATTCTGCTTCGTCCAAGGTACTCTTGATATCCCTCAGATATCTCATCGCTCAATCTGTCCAAACTCGTCGAATATCTCGGATATTTTCAAGTACGCGATCCATCAACCCAATGGCGGACTGGAGGTCTTTACCCGCCGAAGTCCGAATCATGATCCTGGATCGGATTGTTTGGTCTGGCGCTGCTGACGGCAATATTACCGGCTACGCAACTGTTTCTCGAGAATGGCAGGCATACTTTGAGCCCCTAAGTTTCCGCAGGCTCGTCTTGAACCACTCACGTGTTGCTGACTTTGGCAAATTAACCCGCAATCGGAAGTGGATGGTAAAACACATCTGGTTGCGCGTCGAACTTCCAAGGTATCACTGTCCTAGGAGCGGCCATATCGAGACGCCCGACCAGACGCAAAGAAACAACCAGATTTTCACGCAAGCCTTGTGGCAACTACTAAAAGTCCTAGGCTCCTGGGGAAATAGAAAAGTGTATGATCCTGTCGACGGCACCGGGCCTGTCTTGGAGCTCAGTGCGCACTCTCCGAGCGATATGAAGCACCGCTTCGACGCCTGTGCCATGGATAAGGATGTGTATCCGCACATCTCTGACGAGAATTGTACCGACGAAGAATTCAGTAATCATATACGACGAGAACTGCGGAAAGACGGGAACAGAGGTCACCACTGCCAAGCTGCCAGCCACCCAGATGGAACCGTCGCTCACCTATGCATGTTCCAGTACATACAACTGGATTTCAGCGCCATCAAAAATTTGAGAGTGAAAAAGCTTCCACGTGTTGATGCTATCAAGGGATTAATCCTCCGTCGGCAGCATTATCGACGATTCAGCGCCCGAACGGTTGCCGAGATTGCTAGGAGCTTTCACACTATTGGCAATGTGATTTATGAGCCTATCTTTGTAAGACCTCGCTTCGCTGATAGAGGTTCGTTCTTTTCAATTCCTTTCCCAACCTGCATTATTTATCGTTTACTTCTTTAGATCCTTTTCCAATCTTTTTTTTTTTTTTTTTTTTTCCTTATTTTAAATATGGTAGTTTGACATGATCGCTTATATATGTATACTAGTCCATCCCCAAACGTTCGAACAAGAGTATAGAGATTTAATATGCGAGACGCATCGCTTCAACAGCTTCTCTATCTTCATGGGTTACTACGCGCATCGTGACGTGGTGGTGGTGCCTATTTGGAAATTATCGGATTCATTCAGTCTGATGCTGGCAGATGAAAGCCATTCCCTGGAGCATCTATCCCAAGCTTTCGTTGGGGACGCACTGATGTTTTTTCAAGATTTCTTGCAGCCAGGGAGCCTAAAATACCAATCATATCTGGACTCATCACGCGGCGCAGTGCAGAAAGCCCTCTTGGCACATCTATCCGCCATTGGCAAGCGTGTGCCTTCAAATCGACTTCACTCACCGGAAGAATTTGAACAAGCCCTCCTCAAGGCGGCGGGTTATGAGGATGGATTGATTCCCCGTTCAATTTATAAGCCACAGTGGCCGAAACTCAAGACCCTGGCCTTGACGTCGCGCTTTCACCTTGTAGCGGATCCGAATAGAAAAGGGATGGATATATTTGAGGCCGCTGGCTTTGCTGCACTAGAGATGCCTGAGCTCCAGACGATGGAGATTTGGAGCTCGCGGTGTCATGACTTTTTCCGATACTGCCGCAATGATGAGAAAGCAGGTAGACGTCCGACAATCACTTTAGGTTCCCACAACAATGTGGCCTTCGAGCCACGAGTGTCGATTGTGTGGGATCGAGTGGCAAGGAAGCATTCCAATCATGGAATTACTGCTAAAACACAAATACTACGGAGTATAAGGGCATTTCCTACTGAATATCCATACCAAGAGATTGACAACTTGGAGCTCCGCGAGAAGATTGTGCACCCAATATCACTCTGTGAGTTCAGATGGTTTAATGAAGGCTGGGAGAGAACTGAAGGCCGGAAGACGTTTCGTTTTCTTCCGTGGCCCTTATAATTGCGAAGAGACTAAAGGCCAGCAACTCTTGCTGGTATGGAATATTTTCGAAGTGGTTTTGAATGTGGATTCGATTAGTACAGCTGCATTTTTGTAGTGACTGCAAAAGGGGATATTTCACCAGAGCTAAATGTTCAACAAATTGTGGAGAACAGGGGATCTACGGACATCCCCAAGAATAGACATCATGATCAGGCCTGAGAAGTTGGCAAAGATATGATATATCGATCGGACTTCGTGAGATGTACAGAATGCATTAAATGGTCGCGCTTCCAACAAAGTGTAAGTTCAAATTATCAAGTGGCACCTCCAGGGTGAGCAGACTAGCGATAGGTTATCGTGGCGCCAAAACTTTAGTTTACAACTCCGTGTTGACCACAGAAACAATGCGTAAGGATGAAAAGATTCTCGCATCTCTTGGGCAAATCTCATACACAAAATGACATAAATTTCGTGCAGCAAAATTCTTTAAATTGCCCCATAATTGATGGCTTGCTAGATGTGCATTATCATTGTATTATCATACTGTGCACATGTGTTTGAGAGCTACTTGTGGAGTATGAGAATGATTCCTGTTTCTAATTTTAGCTTTTTCTATTGGAGACAATAACGATAACAGCTGAGAGTGGCACATACATATAGTAGATGAGCTGACGTTGACTTGCTTTCTTGCTTGTATTCTCTCTATTCTATACATTCGGAGTGCTGCATTCTTTTTTTGCGCCCCCCCGAGAATTTTTTTTTTTTCCCTAGAAGTGGGACGTTCCTGGGATCCTAGACAAGCTGATGGCGATGCATGGGCATGAGCCAATGGGCCTGCAAATGGGGCAAAAAGACTGCTGTTCCGAGGGCGAGCACAGACTCAGGGGAACGCTGGAGTATCATCCAGCCCCTCTTATCAACCAGACGGCGTGCTCTAGCGGCTTTCTGCTCTAGAGCTCAGGTACAGACGCTCACAGTCTAGTTTGTTTAGCAGCAGAAGAGCAGAAGCTTTAGGAAACTAAATGGGTGCCACTCCGCACCATTACGGAGCAGAGATCGCCCCAAACCGGAGAATCCATGGTCCGTTCAACGCCAGTTGAGAGTCGAGAGAAATTGGCAAAATGTCACTGCACCCAAAACGGCGTTGGCACACAATCCAATCCAATCCAATCCAGCTCGGCAAGATGCCGCACATCGCCAGATGAGATTTTCCCTCGAGTAGCGTCGTGTGGCGTTCCAAATCGCCATGCTAGTGCTGCAGCCATGCCGCCCCTTCCATCTTCATCCATCCTTCAGGCGCGGGATGCTGAGCTCCAAGGAATCTCCAAAAGTCAGCACATGTACAAATACCGCTTGCAAGACGCATCGACGAGCACGGCCGCTAGCATGCTCTCCTGTTTGAGCTCCTTTATCAAGTACCGGTACTCCTGCCAGGTACAGCGTATGCAGAGCGTGCACGGCCACGCCGCATGCGAGGGCCCCCTCTTTGGCCGCCGCAACGGCGAGGCTCCGAGCATGCTAATTGCAGGACTCGCAAGGGCACAGGCGTACAGTAGGAGAAAGGCCACTGGTCCCTCCACTGCAATTTCACGAGCTTGATTATGCGGTTCCGGACGGCGATGGAGCTTCCCGAAGAGGCCTCTGCCAAAGCCCAAAAGCCAAGTCGATGACTTGCCTCCTGCATTAGTGGCCTCTGTCCAGCCAATGTAACCACTTATCTAGACAGGTGGGGTGGTCGTGCCCCTGTCGAATATTCGAGTCTTGGGATGGCGCCCCCTGGTTCATCCCCTTTCTTTGGGTGGATGTTGCTGTAGGCCAGCGTCTTAGCGGCCCCTCCCCGCGAGACTCCGCTCTTTTTGGGAGTCGAGTTCGCAGGAGTCGACGGCAGAGCAGGGCCAATGATGGGCCTTCAGGTGCTTGTCCCTGCCGACAGGCGCCGAAAAGAGAGATGCACCACGAATCCGACTGGTGCTAGCAAGTGCATACCGCTGCAGGCGCTCTGTTGCCGTGGCTGGACTCGCCAGTAGCGCCGGCGATTGGGTGACAGGTCGAGAAATCGGAGGTTCATGCTCGTGGTGATCGCATGCATCAGCAGGAATGGAGTTGAGTTCCGTTCTGAGGAGGCGTGTCTCTCCAGAGCTGAAGAGCGAGGGCGAGAAGAGAGGGAGACGGTCGGGAAAAGGAAAATAGTTGAGGCGGGAAGCGGAAACGCCCAGGCACGCGCCCAGGTCCAGCTTGATGGGATCCCCTGACGCCCCTGTATTCTACAGGCACACTGTCCGCTACAAGTCTCCAGCCGAAGCGCTAACGGTGCCTGTCAATGCCCTGGCCCCAAAGTACCGGTACTCTGTCGCAGCAGGCGATGGAGCCCAAGCATCGACTCTACCCACCCAATCTTGCACTACCAGCGCGCGCGCAGCCAGTACAAGTACATGAAGCTCGCTGCGTCCGCCGTCGCCTTGTTGATCCCCTTTGTCTGCCCCTTTGGACCTCTCTCTGTTGACGCTCCAGCTACCGCCCGTCCTTTTCTCTTCTCCCACGCTCCCTTTGTTCTTGTCTTGATTCCATTCTTTTTGCTTTCTGTTGCCCGCCAGCTGTTTTCTCTGATCCAGAACGGCGCGCGAGAATCCAGCTCCGACTGTTCCCCGCAAAGAAAAACGACAGGTGCATATGTGATCTGCGCCCACGCCCACCCGAGGATCTTGGAAATTCCAGTCGGCTGACCAGCATTCGCATTCGCTGTCGTCAGAGCAAAGTCATATCCAGGCTCGCCCTATCAGAGCCCGCGAAGCGCAGACGCAAGACGCAAATCGCAGAAAAACGCCTCCCGCCGCCACATCTACCGCGTTTCTTTTTTTGGAGCGCCTCTCTCTAGAGCTTCGTCGGCGTCGCGAACAGTTGGCGATACCGACTCGGACGGCATTTGGCAGCGCTTTTTCGCTGCTTGTTGACAATCTCGCCATCTGGTCTCAACCAGGTGCAACGTGCACGCGTGCGGGTAACGGATTCTTATTTGCAAGCACAGGCCTCGCTAGCCATTCTCTCGTTTCGTGCCGCTTCTCGTATTCTCGCTTTAAACAGCACGGGCTGGCCTTAAAGTTACGCGCCAACAAACTCATTCCTATCCCCCCCTTTTCAACGCTTTTCTCTGCTTCGCTTGCGCACAAGTCGGGTGAAATCGCCCGCGACAGAAATTCATCATGGCCGCGTAAGTTGGCTCACTTTGCTCTGCAATTTCAGGGCATGGCGACAGTTGCGATGGACCAGCGGGCTAATGCATTTGGTGACAGACTCGGATCTGCTTTTCGCACGTTCTGGCATACAATGACCAGCAATGACCGGCGTATGTTTTAGCTCATCCACCATTCAATGAGCGCATTCGCACTCATTTCTCTGTTGACGGCCGTACATGCTAATTGTGCCTTGTACCAGATTCCGATTTCGACTCGCCGCAACGCACCGGTCGCCATGTTCCGCTTCAGAATGGCCGTCATATCATGACAGGCATCGCGACCGCTTCCGACTCGCGAGCCGACATCCATAGCCCCTACTTTGACGATTCCCGGGATCCCTCCGCCCAGGGCTCACCCACCAACGGCAACCGAGGATACTCACCGGGCCTCCGATCGCAGAACGTAAATAAGGATGGTTTCGAGGTCCAGTCGCCTGGTGACGTCGCTATGCAGTCATTTGAGAATGGAGTCCCTCCGCCCCCTCCTGTGGCACACTCCTGGAGACGCATCGATGCATGGGCCGAGGAGAACTACCCAGAGCTGTTTGACCAGCTGTGTGAGGGTGCCACGAACAACGATCTGAACGATCTGGAGCACCAAATGGACTGCTCTCTGCCCCAGGATCTCCGCGAGTCTCTCATGATTCACGACGGCCAGGAACGAGGTGGAATGCCTACGGGTATCATTTTCGGCTCAATGTTGATGGACTGCGAAGAGATTCCCCAGGAGTGGGAGACATGGCGACAAGTGAATCAGCAATTCATGTTGGACGCCGCCGCCAATAAGCCACCAACCCCGTCAGGCAGCGAGGCTTCTTCTTCTAAGCAGCGACCCGGATCCTCTTCATCATCCAACGGCCCCGGCGAGTGGAGGCAGAATCTCCTGGCTAAACAGACGTGCATTCCTCCGAATACCGTGCAAAAAGCATACGCACACGCCGGCTGGATCCCTCTGGTCCGCGATTGGGGTGGCAACAACCTGGCCGTCGACTTGGCTCCCGGCCCTGCTGGTCGCTACGGCCAAATCATTCTGTTTGGCCGCGACTACGACACCAAATACGTTGTTGCCCGTTCTTGGGCCGCCTTCCTCGCCTTGGTTGCTGACGATCTCAACAGCGGAAAGTGGTTCATCGATGAAGAGACCAATGAGCTCAAGCTTCGAGAATTCAAGGATGCGCGAGTTGAACCTTCTTATTTCAACATCCTTCGATGGAGAATGGATCAGAAGCATGGACGACAGGCTGCCAAGCGACAGTCCCAACGACCTGTTTCCCGAGTCGCGTCCAAGAGCAACTCGCCCCTCGGCTCTCGATCTGCCTCGCCTTATGCCAATCCCCAGGACTCAAACGGTGATATCCGCGGCCGGTCGATGCAGCGTCTTCGCGATGCCTCCCCTCTTACTAGCCCCATGAGGAACGGTGTCGGCAAGCCCCCGGCTCCTTTCCTAAGCCGCGTGACAGAGGAGGCAGCGGTTGAGCTCACTGATGCGGTCATTGAGCCCAGCACTCTGGTCGACGTGGAGGATGATGATGAGGATGATGTACGAAACAGCGAAGACGCAAAGCGCCCTACCGTAACGACCCTTGAACGCTCAGAGTCAGATCTGGCCAAGGACAAGGGCAAAGAAGTCGAGTCTCCTAAAGCAAATGGTAAACACCCCGAGGTTATCATCGACGATACCATGAAAGAGATTGAGATTTAGAGGGGGTTTTCTATATAACGGGTCGAGACAGCATGAAGTAATGGCTGCGAGTTGATATCGCATACACCACGATGGCACGACTTGAAGATTCCGTAGACCGGGTTAATTACGAAAACGGTCTCCGTTTACGCGTCAATATCTACGTTTTCTAAAAACAAAAAAGAGACACTTTGGGCGTTGGTGGCGTTATGGCTGCCGCTGGAGGCTTGCCATAAATAAGCATTTTGCTTTTTTTTTTTATTATCATCTTCATTTTCTATTTCTATTTCTCTATTTTTCACTTTCTTATTCTTTACGTCTTTTTTTTTCTTCGAAAGATGAGCCGCACTTTGGAGGACATGATAGCGATGGAGGAAGTCAGCATACAATTTTGAGTGCTCGCTCTTACCCTCTTTTTTTTCTATACGGAGTAATACTCTAACCTGAGGACCCTTCTCTGGGGGCCTGAAAACCCTCCTCTTACTATTTCCCCCTCTGTTACGCGGTTTAGTTGCTGCTGAGCAATGATCTGGTGGAGCTGAGTATGCGATATGCAGGAAGCGCTGTAATTGTTGTGTATCATTATGAGAGCTTTATTCTGCATTGGACTGTACTGATAATTAGAAGGATACAATGGGACTTTGCCATGATTAGTTGAGGATGAATGGAAAACGATTAAAAATTTGAAAGATTGAACAAAGCTAGTGGCAGTGCTCTGTAAAGTGATTGGTGTTTTGTTTACCCCAAGTCGTGATACTGTGTTTGATGAATATATACATACTTACACGTAGTCTAGGCACCTTTACCAGGTACAAACCGAGGTTGAAGGCAACACACAAACAACCCAAGTAAAAGCCTTGCTCTGTTTGCTGAAGATTCTCTCTGTCGATCAGCCCATCCAGCGCGTCTGTGGCGTAGGCGCCAGATGGCTGACAAGGGAAAAGCTGGGAGCTCTTCGGCCAATGAGAGGAGGGCGGCTCGGGAAGCACGGACTAGGGGACAGCCGCTGGCGCTAGTGGTTTATTTTTGGCTCCTCGGCTTTTTCCTTTAATGTTCTCTGTTCTGTCCTGTTTGTTGCATGTAGATTGAATATCGCGATTCCAAGTTTCGTTTTCTCTCTGGAATACCTGATGGTTTGCTTCTATGTTTGTTTTTCATTTACTAGCATGATGTTGGGAGTTGTAGACATGGAGTGAGGGTTCCATTGTTACAGCGTTTGTAGATGGAACACCACAGCCTTACCACCAAATAGCATCTTCCAAGGCATAAAATGCACAAAAACAAGGCTTCAGCCTGCCTCGAGCAATGTAACTAACAGACAAGACACATAGAAAGCTCATACAGCTAATTTCTGCACCCAAAATAAGAAAAACCCACGTCACGCCCCAGTTTCGTGTAGAGCCGCTTCTATTGGCCCGAGACTGGTAAGCGCATGCGCTTAGCCGTCAAGTGGACATGGTTGAGTTTCATAGCTGTGCAAGGCGCGCGTTGTCTGCGGGAACGGTGGGAACGGAACTAATAAGCGTGTAAGATTGAGCGTTAACAGTTTTCTATATGAGGGAATGAGAGTAGGTGTTAAAGCGAGATGTATATATGTTGTTGGTCGTTGAAGTAAGCTTGTGTTTTCGGCGATGCTACGCTTGGGGGCTTTTTTTTATATAATCCTTGAGTGTAACCCTTCCCCCTCATCGTTTTACCCTGCCTTTTGTCTTCTTATTTGGCCTTCCTTGTTTCCTTTTCCTTTCTCTCTCTCTTTATATGCACTAATTCTACACGGGTTGTCCTTTCTCGTAAAACTATTTGGTGTGCTTGAGTTGAGATTGGACGGCTATTTGCACTTCTGGCTTGAATGTTATAATGGCGTCGCAGCCTGAGTGTGAACCACTTTCACCAAACGATTACGGTATTAGAAGACCTCTACAGTCTCAGTTTTCTCAAGGATCGAGCTTAGAGGGCGCAAACAGCAACAGCTTATGGTGTCGACAGCCGAGGAGAGCGCCATCACTACGAGAAAACAACAATAATGGTGAATATACCTAGTCCCTGATGGCCACTGCAAGATGGGGAGGAAGAGAGAGATGAAATAACCAACATTATCTCTAGTGTTGCGAAAAGGCTGGAAGCCGCTTTCTATGGAGCCAGCCATTTTAGTGCTGCTTACACTGTTGACGCTGCTCATTGCCGGCGGTATTGAAGTGCTAGCACATCTTAGTAAATCTAAAGGCGCTCTTGCACTGTCACGAACCCAAGATGAGATCCCGCAGTATGCGATGCTCAGTTATCTCTATGCTCCTAATATAGTGGCCGTCCTGTACAGTCTCATGTGGAGCTGGGTAGATCTCGACGTTAAGCGAATGCAACCATGGTTCGAGCTATCCAAGCCTGGGGGAGCGACGGCCGAGAATTCCCTGTTCCTCGATTACCCTTACGACTTCATTGCCACTGTTCCTATCAAGGCAGCTAAGAGGAGGTAAAGTATTATACCAAGTACACTTGAAGAGCTTCACCACTAATAGTTTAAAAAAGACATTGGCCAGTGTTCTTTGCTGGAACAGTGACAGTAGTCATTTTCTGGCTCATCACTCCTCTGCAGAGCTCCATTATGGGAACCGGCTTTGTCAACAGGACAGAGCCAGCAATAATAGCAACGCGATCATCCATGGTCCCGCTCTCAAACCAGTCGGCCCTTTTGACCAACGAAATTCTCAACACAGGATACGCCACGGGATGGCTTGGCCAGAATTTCCCTCCCTTTACGACCGCCGACTATGCGATACTTCCGTTCTATATCGATAATGATCCTGGTGCGTCTCAACAGCAGCTGAATTGGACGGCCGTAACGACGAAGCTATGGACTGAGCTCGACTGTTGGCCTGCAGCGTACCAAAGACAATATCCTGATATAACAGCTTGGAACTTCCAGAGCGGCCAGGGTTGCAATACCAGTCTCAGTCTCAATATCGTCTCAAATCTCTCCATGTATTACGTTGGATATCATGCCAGTCGATACGGGGACTTCCACTTGGCAAATTCCGTTCATTGTCCCGCAACTGAAAACTCGACACATCAGTTCCTCGCCATTTGGGCGTCGACAACTCCTCTCAGCTTTGACTTTTCAGTCACCCCTGAAGTCAATATGACAGCGCTTTTTTGTCAACCATCTTACTATAAGCAGCAAGTTGTAGTTTCTATTACTACAGATGATTATAAATCACAGAATGCATCTATTCAGCCCATATCGCCCCGGGAGCCTCTTACTGAGAAAGAATTCAACTCAACATCTTTCGAGTTCCTCATCACGCATGGAATGCCCATGGAGGAAGGGTCAGGACTTATCATGAGGCGAGATTACCCTTTTGAGCAGGTCATTGAGATAGAGCCCCGACTAAAGAGGACAGATTTGAGTTTACCAGTTTCTAACATGGTTGGATATGCTCTTGCTGGTCGTGACGAGCCAGCAACTCCATACAGAGATCCAAACGCTCTTCATGAAGCATTCAATCGTGCCCACAAATATCTGTTTGCTATTGCTGTAAACAAATTACTATTTAATGAGACAGATGTGGGCAATAGCACTGCAGTTTCTTCCTTTCAGCAGAGCGGCATTATTGTCAGCAGATTGTTTTCCGCCATTGTGGAAGGTCTCCTCCTCCTTGTGGCAATTTTCACAGTCAGCCTCTTGTGGGCTTGCCACAAGTCCACGAGCTATCTAAACGCCAATCCATCTTCCATCTCAAGGCTCGCCGCTATATTCCGCAACGGATCAGACACTAACGAGCTATTCCGTCTATTCGACCACGCGGATGAGAAATCCCTGCAGGAGCTGTTCCAGGGCGACAAATTCCGACTTGCGCGAAGCGATAACAATGATCCTAAAAGTCTATACATAGAGAAGATGGATGATTCTGAACAAAGCCATAGTGATAAACGATTCGACAAGCCAACTGGTTACTATGAGCCTATTCGACCGGCGGTTTTGCGGAGAGAGGTGGGACTGCTCTTTGCAGTAATACAAATTGGAACTCTTGTTAGTATTTCATATCTTAAAACTCAGAGCGATAAGGAGAACGGTGAGTTTTAGCTTATATTTGTTTGTCATACGCCTTCAACATATTGCATTTCTAATAGTACCAACAGGCCTCATTCGACCCTCGAGCAATTTTGAAGTGCTACAGATTCTCGAGAACTATATCCCTACTGCGTTCGCTACTTTCTCCGAACCCTTCTGGGTTCTTCTCAATAGGCTCCTATGTCTTCTACAACCATTTAAAACCATGTCAAAAGGACGAAGCCAACCTTCCAAATCCATCGAATCAACATACACGGCACTGCCTCCTCAGTTGGTGGCATGGAGGGCCCTCCGATCCGGGCATCTAATGCTAGTCATGATATGTATCATTGCACTGTTATCGAATGTCCTCGCTGTAGGACTTGGTGCTCTCTTCAACGAAGATCAGATGACGGCCAGCTATTCCGCTACCTTTACTCCCAACATTGCTCCGCAGTTTGATAATCAATCTGTGCTTAACTTTCCGAATTTGGGTTTTCTAGCCACTTCTGGGCTTTATCAAGATGAGCTATACATTACGATGGCGAATATTTCTTCCGGGACGCCACTGACCCCTTGGACGACCTCTGACTACTTCTTCCAGCCATACACGGTTGATAGCGGCAGCGAAGGCAATAGCAGCAGTACTTATCGAATATTGACTCGCGGCTTCGGTGTCAATGCGAACTGCACTGCAGTACCATCGTCAAAACTTGCAATTACATTTCCGCCCAGCCTAGAAAGGACTTGTCCAGGCAATAGCTCCTATATAGTCGAGGCTGTCAAAATGAAAATTCGAGGCAGTGAACATATGAGATCATCCAGTGGACTGTCCTCCGTCGAATACAGCGATGTTTTCAGTCCAGCAGGCTATTTAGACGATTGCGGTAGAGCCATCACTTTTGGTTGGGGACGAACCCCACAAGGGGCTGACATGAACGGGACCATCGAAGCAAGCTTCGCCTTCTGTAGGCCGTATTTCCAAACGGCAATGTTTGACGTGCGTCATGATGCAGAGGGCAATGTGTTAGCATACGAGAGAACGAGTGATATATCTACGCACTTGGATGGTGATGACCAAGACGTGCAAACAAAAAGAATGGTCACACAGATGAATAACTTGCTTAGAGCGCCTGCAATTGAATGGCACAATGACACCCTGACGAGAGACTGGATGAATTACCTGCTGGCCATAACTCTGGACTCGAGAGACTTCCTGGACCCCGAAAAGCCGCCCCCTGATCCAAATGATTTGATACCGACAATCGAGAAATTGTATCGGCAGTCATTTGTCACTGTTCTCGGCCTTAACCTACAGCTATTTGTCCCCGGCGATCAAGCCCTCTCAATAGCAGGCGAAAGGCTAAGAGACGAAACACGAATATTCGTAGACCAAAGCGCATTTATCATAACAGCCATCGTCCTAGGCTTCAACATCATCGCCATCATCATCTTTTATTCCCGCGGCATCATGTTCAACCTCCCCCGTGTGCCAACCACCATTGGTTCAATCCTCGCATTCATTTCCGCAAGCCACATTCTTCTTCTTGACGAAGAGGTGTCATCTTCATCCGGAGAAGCAAAGGAGGAAAAGACGTATAGCTTTGGGCGGTACATTGGGGTAGATCAGAAGGTGCATTTAGGGATTGACATGGATCCGCACGTTGCGCTGGTTGATCCAGCATCGTTGAGAGAGAAGAGGTCTTTTATACATAGGTTAGCGCCTGGTGGTTTGAGGAGGAGAAAAGAGCTTGGGACAGTGAGTAATAGCACTTGGTTATGAAAGCTGGTTATCGAAATTGGGGTTTTGGTTCAGAGCATTAGTAGAGATAGATTACAATTAGAATTTTTTTAATCAAGGCTTTTCATTGGAGTTATTAGAGTGATCCAAAGGCAAATTGATTATGTTAGCATCTAACAAGAACAATAAAAATATATATATTTGTCATGCAATACATAAATGTCAGGAAGGAAAGGGAGAAGAGGGCATATCTCTCTAGAAGCCCTTTGTAATACATATTACGACCCCATATAGCTACGAGACCTAGTCATTTAGGCGATTTTCTCGTGCAGTCACAGGTAAAATGTAAGTAGCGTTTACAACGTAAATAGCGTTTTCATGATAAAAGTACAAGTGTGTTTGTGTCTAAATGTATTTTCTCGTGTTAATCTAAAACCTCGGTGATGATACAGCGAAAAGAGAGAGCAGTATAAGTCCAAAAGTATATACATCAAAGAATGTCAATCCTCCCATCAAGGGAATGGTCAAATGTCCAACACAAATCTATCCCAAATCCTCCAAAACAAAAGACCGTAACAAGTTAAATATACAAGCCTAAAATGTAATGCTTATGATGGCTTAAGCCCGCATGCGAACGGCGTGGCGCATAGATTTCATGCCCCTCTTGGCAACCATTTTGAGGTTCTCAGCCTGGCCAGACTGGCATGAAGTGCCTCCAGCAACAGCCTGGGGAGCAGACCAACTACCGCTGGCGCATCTCTGGAAGTGAGTTCCGCCAATACAGTTCCATTGGCCTTCAGAAGAGCAAGCTGTGCCAGCTGCGAAACCACCGCTGGGGCTTGATCCTGAGCTGGCGTTGGAGCCGGAGCTGGGAGCCGGTGGAGGGGCGGCAGCAGAGGTAGCAGCAGGGGGGCTCGCTACAGGAGCAGAGGTGACAACAGGCTGGGAAACGGCAGGCTGGGAAGCGGCGGGTTGAGAGGCAACGGGCTTAGAAACAGCGGGCTGGGTAGCAGCGGGCTGAGAAGCTGGTGGCTTAGTGATAAAGACGCCGCCGGGAACACTGGCTTGAGTAGGCTGGGCAGGAGAACCGGTGGGAGCTGATCCAGATCCGCCGTTGGTAGGAGCTGCGCTGGCGACGCCGGTGGAGGTGCCCGTACAAATTGCAGGAGCGAAGGCTTCAGTAGCGCCGTTGAATTTGTCAACATCATTTCCAGGGTCGGGGAACAGAACATCTTTGTCATCTGGAGTTGCGCAGCCATGACCGTCAATGTTGGCTACGAACATATCCGGAAGAGTATTCATGAAGTCTTTCGAGCCTCCTGATCCAGTGACTGTCACAGGGGCACAGTTCATGTACATCTCACGGACGCCACCAACCTTGTTGAACCAAGTCCAGGCCAGAGTGTAGTTGCCGGATTCCAATTCCTTGGGAATAGTGAAGTCATATGTGAAAGGGTCTATAGCGCTGGCGTCTTCACCCATATTGCCTATTTGACCTTTGGCAGGGCAGCCACCCTCGATGGACTTGATAACTTTCCAGACTGAGTTTTTATCAGGCTGCGCATCAGTAGTAACGGAAACTTGGCATGAGCCGCCACCGTGAACAGTGGATCCGAGAAAAGCGAGTTTTTGGGTGCTGCCTTGGGCATACACATTGCTTGCTCCCTCAAGGTCATATACGCCGTCTCGCTGCTTGCAAGGGAAATCTGAAGCGTTGCCAAAGAGAGGGGAGTTGTTCAGACTTGAAGCGCCATATGGGATAGGGCTGGTAATCTTCATGTGGGCACTGGCGGCCGTAGCCAGGAGAATGACGGCGAAAAGCTTGGAGAGCATTTTGAAGTAGAGTGATACCAGAGTCCAAATCGTACCGGACGAAAAAGTTTCAGAATGCTGTGGTATGAATAGTCGTCAAGACGGAAAGAGAGAATGTTCAAAAAGATTGGATGGCGATATAGAATCTGGGAGTTTTTGGATTAGTTTTATGTTCCACATTCTTGACAAGAATGACTGCCGGGCCATTTATCAAAGGACAAGAGCTCGGGTAAAAGAAGAGGGATGGAGAGATGGAATAGCGCGTAGAGCGGCTTGCTGACTTACAGTGAAAGCTGCGAGAAGACGGTAAGAGGCTCGTTGCAGTCACACAGGATATCACAGATTCCTTAAATAGCAGGCAACCGGGCCGGCGTAAGTCGAGAAATGTAAAAGAAGAAAACAAGGGCTAGCCTCGTGTAAGAATGAAGGAGGGTGAGTCTTGACGACGTTCACTTGAAGGAAGGACTGTTGACTTGTGATGTCTTGAAACGAAAAAAAAAAAAAAAATAAATAAACTACATACGAGGTGGGGATGAGACGTCCATTATATACAATGCGTTCCGCAGAGAAACATGTTGAAGGGGAAACAGCTCGGCCGCCATTGTCCCTAGATCATGACTAGCAAAAAAGATCCAGCTACAGAAACCGAGAGAAGCAGGGGAGCCATTGGCGAAGCAGGGGACAGGGTTCAAACGGGGACCCTATGCTTAATGGTACGCATGTTTCGTTCAAGGAAGAAACAAAGCCAGCGTGGAGAAGAATCAATCCAGCAGAGCTCAACCGCGGGCTGGATGACGGGGGTTTTCGACACACCGCGGATCACTAGTGTATTAGTCTGGTGGTCGAAGGGAGTGTGCCCTGGGAGTCCACTGATAGGCTAGAGTCGTCGTTTCAGAATCTCAGAAGAACGACGCAGACACAGCGAACATGCGTGGACAGTCAACACTGTTCATAGCTCAACTGAAGGGTGCCGTGGTCGTTCACCCGAGGGGTGCTCCACTTGTTGAACTGAATTATAGGTGCGCTAGAGCTGTTCACTTGATGGGTGCTCCTTTGTTATCCATTGGCTGCGGCAACGAGTGGACATCAGCCAAGAGCCCCAGAAGGCCAAGCAAGACCAAATCCAGCCCCTGAGTAACCTTGCAAGCCCTGTGCTCTCTCTCGTTTTTTTGTTTGCCACCGTGAAGAGTGCCAGCAGTACTACATACTTGTAGTAGTAACTATGTACGGCCAGGAATGCACATTGAATTTGTGCCGTACAGGGGTCAGACAACTGTATGGTCTGTGAACTGTCTGTGTGTGCGTGTAATTATTGTCTGCCCAAAAACCTTCACGAAAAAAATCCTCCGACACGGTGCCCCGTCACTTGTGTCATGGGCGCCTACCTGCAGTATGAAGCCCGCTTTGAAGAGATGCTGCATGACAAGTTATCGCGACTCTAGGAGTCGTCTGACGTATAGCGCAGCGGTTAAGAAACTTCGGCTACCTAAACATACAAGTAAGACTCAAATGCTGAGGGAGGCTCAGCACTCTAATGTTGATCGCGCATTGCCGTGGTAGCGCTGCTAAAGTAGGCCGTCCCGACCCCTTGGGCATGAAGCCGGAGTTGAGGCCAGTCCACCAACTGGGAAGATCCGCTGCAACTGTCATGGCCTTCCGGGTTCCTCGTTTATAATTGGCCACGGCTTACCGAGCCTGTGCAAGGGAGGATGAAGATCTTATGCCACTGATTTTCTAGCATATTTAGAAAGGCGACATGATCTCCCTGCAGCTGCCGACACAGGGGCAAAAAAATAAATACTCATGCGCTGCGTCGCGTCACTCTATTGAATAGCAAAAGCGAACTCCACGTTTGCCATCACGGTTATGCCTTCTGTGCGAAATGCTCTGTATACTCGACAGTCTGCTCCTCGCTGAACTGACACGACCTGTCTGTCAGAGAGCATCTATAAAATGGGGTAGCAGGGGTATGATAGGCTATTGGTGCACTAAACGCTTGTGAGCCGACCAAACAGAGGAATGACGCTGCTTCGTGTGAGGACGTAACACTCACCACTCAAACGTCCACATTGCCCAGAGCTTGGCGCAGCTTGTACGTACAAGTATGCGAACCGGAAATGGGGCTCCAGGCTTTGCCGCCGAGAGCCAGGCTTTCCAGGGTTGGTGCGGAGAAAAGAACTGCGCTTCAAGCATATCCATCATGGCTTCTCTGAGCAGCGCAGTCTTCTCCATAGAAGCCCGGTATGGTGTGGGGACATGGGCTCCCTCGAGAAACATTGGGATCGGCCACGGGCCGAAAGTAATGGCTCGGTGGCTCGATGACCGTTTGCTTGTTCAATCTCGAGACTGATGCTTGCCCATGGTTATAGCCTCGTTCTGCCGTACGGCGTATCAGACATGGCAGCAGCACTAACGCTCTTTTTTCTTTTTTCTTTCTTTGAAGCCATCACAGCCGTCGAAGCTGTCGTGCGCCATAAACAACGTTGCAAAGCGGTACTACGAAGAGCGCTAGTCAAAGCAAAGGGGCACTCGCCACCTTGTTGACACCACGCGAGTCGTATCATGCCGTCAACACTCGCATGTTGATTTAGGCAATAACCAGCCCGCCACCCAAAGACTCGTCATGTATACGAGCAAGGGGCTTGATCTGTCGTCTGTAATGCTTCCAGAGCGCTTGTGTGGCGAGGATGCTCCCTCTCTAAGATCCCAATGCCACGTCGGTCCCTGGTTCTCCAACCCCTGTTCTCTCGGCGTGCAGGCGCAGGGGTGCTCTAAATCCCTTGACCGAGCTTAGCCTCCGTGCCGTGGGATGGATCGAGTTCTGGTGAAACAGAGGCTGGTTTCATCAGCACCTGCTAGGCGTCTTGCACGCAGATTCGCAGCCTATGGAAGGCTTGGGCAGGATTTTGGCGTGCGAGGGAGGCGGAGAGGGCACAATAACGCAAGGGACGATGGCGTCACAGCGAGACACCACGCAGCTGGACCGCCCGTCAGCAGAGGCAGAGGCCAGCGATGTTGATTGACGAGCATACGGGTGCTTGTGGATGACTTGGCAGAGGTTTCGTCTAGACGATAGACGCGCTGCGGCTGGCGAGGTTGACAGTGGCAGGCCAGTAAGAGGCGCAGTGGCCTTGGCCCTGCTGACCGCCTTCCACTCGACGAGCGCCAAAATGGGCATCTAGTGGCCTATAACAGCCTCTCAGAAAACTTCAGGCCTCCAGAGCCAGCATGAAGCCCCTACATACATGTACTTTGAGCGCGTTTGCAGACACATCCGCATCAACTAATAGCCGCCGAAGGGCCCCTTGGGCAGCTCGACCAATGGACATTAGGGCTTGGAACAGGCCGCCTTCACATTGCCACATGCGCTCTGTGCAACTCGGCGCTTCCATCGTCAATTTCCCTCTTTGGCATGTCGTAAGCCGTCGCACCTTTGGTGGCAGCATGCATCCATCTAGCCGCCTTCACGACTCAGCACCGGGCGTGTCCTCTCAAGTGGCTATACCGGTACACGCTTCGTGACCAAGGCAGATGAGATCATCGCCGTCAGGATAAGATGAAGGGGCTGTCGAACTATGCGGTCGGCTGCATCGGCGAATTACACGTAACTGATGGCATGGCCCTTTCCAAGTCCAAACTCTTGGCCGCTGCGTCTCTCCACATATAAGACAAAAGATCTTGCTAGCAGAGGAGCCAAGGCGGCTTGTAATGAAAGAATATTAACATTCAGCAGCACTCGGTTCCGCAGCGGTATCATGTCCAAAAATATCGGCGTAAATCTCTCTCAGTGCCAGACACCCCTAGGCTTGGCGTCGCTCTTCAACTTGGAGTGCATCACGTCCTTGTTTTATTACCTACTGCGGGGTCTTTCTTACCTGAGAGAAAATAATGGTTCTTGGCAGGACTTCTTGCGGGGACCTATTGAAGAATTAATCGCATGTTTCTCTATTTCATGCGGATACCTAGTAGTATTGACTTCAAGGTCGGTCAACTCTCCGAGGTGTGGAATCACTAAAAGCTGAAATCGAGATCTGGAGCCACGCTTTGGACCTTTTCTTTTCTTTTTCTTTTTTTCGCTTTGAACCCTGTTTAGTTTACTTTTAAGCTTCAATTGCTCCGTTCCCACTAGCAGTGTTACGGGCAATCTACTTCGGAACCATATCCGAAATTCACCTAAAACTTGCGCTGAGGTTGTGACCTTCTCGTTTTGTCGATAGTGTTCGCTTCTCGCAAATTGCGTCGCCGCGAGGACCACATGCTTTCAAAATATTCGTTGAAACTTTTCTATGGAGCAATAAGCACATGTTTTAACTAACTTTACCAATCCACTCACGTCGTCTATATACTTAATTACATGTGATGCAAACATGCCGTTAAGTGTGGAGACTGCTGAAACATACTTAACATACTGTTGGTCGCGCAGCCGCTCCTGAGAAAGAAAAGCCCTGGTTGTTGGTTCCACAACAGCCTGTCAACCCATCAAGGCCAGAGTCCTGGTTTCTGTATTCCGCGTGCCTACATATATTACCCATTCTAGATATGCTGCGCAGACCAGACGTCACTCTGCCACGGTGCGCAACATTCATAGAAAAGCTGATGTATGCTTTGCTGCGAGGATGGCTGAAATATCACGTCTTTCGTTTCGTCTTGTATTTTCTTGTCTAATACACATGACATGGTTGTATCATTCATCATCCACTACCAATTCTTCCAAATATACATAGCATTACCATACAAAAATCTATCTAGCTGCTGAACTTGTCGCATGCGCCATACGTGTCGCCTCTGCATTCGACGACTAAGCGCCGACGACATTCGCCGTCCGATTATCTGAAAGTGAAAAGTCAGCGTATAGGTACTTATCGCATGCATACAAGAGCTCAGATTTTACCATCGGGAAACACCCAGTCTCCTCGTGTCCACATCTTCATTTTGTTTTGGCGAAAGTCTTCAAAATCCCATTCGCGCTTCTCCAGCGCGTCCGGGTTCAGGAACACATATACGGACGCCTCCTTCACCTCTCCGTCGACTTCTTTGTCACCCTCCCTCTTCAGCAACCTGACCTTGGTGTCAATCCGTTCATACTCATTCCCTTCAAAAATATCCAGCTTTTGCAAATTAGCCTCCGTCAGGCCAGTTGCATACACACCCCGCACGCAGTGTCCTTGCTCCGCAATGATGGCTGGGTAATCTTCAGACTGAACTCTGTGGCGACAGTAACCATCTAGAATAGCAGGCGTGAATGTGTGGAGGTCCTGGATCGCCTTTGGTGGCTGTCTATCACCATAGCAAACGCTAAAGAACACTTCGGGAGCCATCTGCAAGAATCAGTATCTCTAATAACTGGCCCTTTGAGTCACATATGAGAATCTCACCAGCGTTCCTAGGCATTTTAAAATTCCAGAATGTTAGCCTAGACCGTGTCGAAGATCATGCTGAGAAATTTACCATAGAAGAAAGCTTGGTTTTCACCACTCATGTTGCTTTCGTCGTCCCTTTGTTGGTGTGTTGTGCTTGGCAGTCTAGGTTAGGTTGGGTTGGGTCGGACTCGAGGTAGTAGCAGTAACTTCAACTGATATGAATCGGGCAGTGCAGGATTTCTAAGCGTAAAGTCGATATATACTAGGCTTTGGTTGAAGGATAAAGGGTCAAGTGAGAATCACGATGATGCTTTCGCTTTATATAAAATTGCCGAGTCTCTTTGTTATCTCGGCAATATTACGAAGCTTCCCCGCCAAGTGTAGTACCTCTAGTGGGGGTTAAGCGCCTTCTCTTAGTTGACGATATCGGCGCAAGCAGTTGCAGCACCAAGAATTATTCACCAACAACCATAATGTATGGTAATTCCTATAGAAAAAAAAAATATATACATCATAATTGACACCGAGATAACAGAAGCCGTCCGCAAGATGCTAGGATAGTGGATATACCTTATAGTTCTAGTAATTGGTCAATATAGAGTATTTACAGGTACTAGGACGTTATCGATAAGATAAGACCCGCCTCTATACTCACCCCAGAGCTTGGGGAGTATGCATCGCTAGTGCACGGAATATCATTATTGCATCGCCTAGCGCAATTGGTTTTGGTGACCGCGCTGCCCAGTTTCGTTCAACTCTGGAAATTTCACGAGGCGTCACATTCAGTAGATTCAAACCTCCAAGGCTGCGGGCCGCAAGCATTCCATACTTTTATCCGCCAACACTCCCCATCCGCGCTCTCATAGCAACAGGCGGCCCATCGATCCCTAGAGAGATTCTATATATTAATTCTCTGTATTACTCCAACCAACACCATCTCTGCCAGCCTCTTCACGGCGCGTTCTCGTCCCGATCCTCGTCCTCAGCCTTGCTGCGATTTCTCGGTTTAGGCATCGCCTCACCATCCCTTCCTCGGATGGAAGGCGGAGCTGCGTCTCGCGGACGCCGATAATGCAGCCATGTCGGGAACCACTATTGACGATGTCGTGAAGCGACTTAGCACCCCGGAATTAGGTACGACCACCTCAGCTTTGCTCGCGACTTCGTCCTCTCCTCGTCCTCTCCACGTCGTCGCATGCTGCTGTGATAACTACGGCTGCTAACCTCTTGTTGATAAATAGATGCTCGGCTGAAGGTGGAAGCGGCGACCACCTTGCGCGACAGCCTGGACGCTTACACCAATGGCCCTATCTACGAACCCTTTTTGAAACGCTTGATGCCCATATTCATAAACATCTTACGCGGGCCATGCATCTTTCAAAGTAGTTCTCCGGAGCAGGTAATGAGCTCGAAGAATACGTTTGGAATTTTTGGTTACTGATAGAGACGGTTAGAAACTCCGAAATTGCATCCTGGAGGTGCTACACCGGCTGCCAACCGCCATGTCCCCCACCGAACCGTTCAGACCATATGCCGAAGAGATTGTCGATTTACTTATGCAGCTGGTTCGCATCGACAATGAAGACAATGCCACACTATGCGTCAAAATCACGTCCGATATTATGCGCCACCAACATCAAGTTTTGCAGAACAAGGTCCAGCCTTTCCTCTCGTTGATCCAGGAGCTCTTCGATCAGATGGAAAAAGTCGTCAAGGAACAATTAGATAATGCGTCTCTCGCTCCGAACCCCCAGCCCGGTGCACCGTCAACACCGGGAAGCACGCACGCCAATTTCCAATCTCCCCGACCAGGCTCTCCTGCAGCTTCAGTGCCGGAGCTGGGTGCCGATCCCCAGCAACAGAACCGACCGCTTCTCAAAGGAATGCAATCCTTCAAAGTCCTTTCCGAGTGTCCCATCATTGTCGTTTCAATTTTCCAGATATACCGCAGCACAGTTCAGGTCAATGTCCCCAAATTTGTTCCGCTCATCAAGGGCTTCCTCTCTCTTCAAGCAAGCGCTCAGAAACAGGCCCACGAAGATGCTGCTGCCAGAGGCGATATACACACAGGAGTGAGTGCGGGTATTAAGAATCGGGCCGCTTTTGGCGATTTTATCACGGCGCAGATCAAGACCATGAGCTTCCTGGCCTACCTCCTCCGCCAGTACGCTTCACAGCTGAAAGACTTTCTTCACTTATTGCCCGATATAGTGATTCGACTACTTAAAGACTGCCCGCGAGAGAAGTCGGGTACGCGAAAGGAGCTTCTCATTGCTATCAGGCATATCATCAATTACAACTTTCGAAAGATTTTTCTCCCCAAAATCGATGCGCTTTTGGACGAACGCACGCTAACTGGAGATGGCTTGACGGTTTACGAAACGATGAGGCCGCTAGCATATAGCATGTTGGCTGACCTGATTCACCATGTCCGCGACTCATTGACTCCGGAGCAGATTCGCAAAACCGTCGAAGTATATACCCGGAATCTTCAAGACAACTTCCCTGGAACTAGCTTTCAGACCATGAGCGCGAAACTTCTGCTGAACATGGCTGAATGCATCGCGAAGCTTCCCAACAAGGTGGACGCAAGACACTACTTGATGATGATCCTCAACGCCATTGGTGACAAATTTGCTGCCATGAATCGACAGTACCCGAACGCTGTGAAGCTTTCCAAGCTATACCACCAACAGGCCGAGGCTGGCGCGCCTGAATCATATCTTGCTGATAAGGAGACACCGCCCGACTGGGACGAAACCGATATCTTCTCTGCAGTACCCATCAAGATTTCGAACCCCCGGGATCGAGGAGCTGACCCAGTCGGAGACAACAAATTCCTGTTTAGAAATTTGATGAATGGGCTGAAGAACACGTTCTACCAATTAAGAACTTGCAACATCGGCACTCCCATCGACCCCCAAAACGCACCACCACACTGGCAAGAAGTCGCTTACGGCTTTACGGCAGAGGAAGTAAACGTAATCGTCAAATTGTTTCGGGAGGGTGCATATGTTTTCAGATACTACGAAATCGAAAGCCCCGCCACAGAGAATCAGTATGTATCACCAGTTGAGTACATGGCCAATTTCTACATGGTCTCAAGCAGTAAGGAAGAGAAAGATCTGCTGGAAACGTTTGCTACCGTTTTCCATTGTATCGACCCGGCTACCTTTCACGAAGTATTCCAGCAGGAGATCCCGCATCTTTATGATATGATCTTTGAGCACACGGCCCTCTTGCATATACCCCAGTTCTTCCTTGCGAGTGAGGCGACGTCGCCTAGCTTTTGCGGTATGCTTTTGCAATTTCTTATGGAGAGAATCGACGAAGTCGGCTCAGCAGACGTCAAGAAATCCTCCATCTTGCTGCGGCTCTTCAAGCTGGCCTTTATGGCTGTCACCTTGTTTGCGACACAGAATGAACAAGTTTTGCTACCTCATGTCGTCAACATTGTGACAAAATCGATAGAGTTGTCGACAAAAGCGGAGGAGCCTATGAACTACTTCCTTCTTCTGCGTTCTCTTTTCAGGAGCATTGGCGGCGGTAAATTCGAACAGCTCTACAAGCAAATTCTACCTTTGCTCGAGATGCTCCTGGATGTTCTTAATAACCTTCTCATGGCCGCGCGAAAACCATCAGAGCGAGATCTGTATGTTGAATTGTGCCTTACCGTGCCGGCGCGACTGAGCCATTTGCTGCCGCACTTGAGCTTTCTCATGCGTCCATTGGTTGTTGCTCTTCGGGCCGGGACCGACCTTGTAGGGCAAGGACTTCGTACGCTGGAGCTCTGCGTCGACAATCTCACAGCCGACTACCTCGATCCGATCATGGCACCAGTAATCGACGAGCTCATGACCGCCTTATTCGATCATCTGAAGCCTCATCCTTATAGCCATTTCCATGCGCATACGACCATGCGGATTTTGGGAAAACTTGGAGGCAGAAACCGCAAGTTCATGACGGGTGCTGTTCCTCTTGCTTATACCAGCTATGCCGATGATCCTTCGAGTTTTGATTTACGGCTTATTGGTTCCAAGAAGGACAGAGCATTCCCGGCCGAACTTGGTATCGATTTTGCTATTCAAAAGCTGATGGATATACCCAGGAACAACAAGAATAGCCAAAATCGACAGTATGATGATTACTACAAGAAGCAGGCTATCCATTTCATCAAAGCTCAGCTGAAGCTGCGCATCGGCTTTGATCAACTGCCTGATGATTTCCCAAAGATTGTTAGACTCCAGGCACAAGATTTTCTGAATCGCAATATGGATATCAATTTCGCGCCCTTCGAAATTTCAAGCCGTGAAAAGTCTATTCCCAAAAAGGATGAAGAGGATAAAATAACCAAGAAACTGCTCAAGGCAGTCATGTTTTCGCAATCAATACCGGATGTTAAAACCGAGTCTAACGCTTTCCTCCTTGACGTTTGCCGACATTTCGTCCTTATCGAAGTTGGTCGATCCTTGATCGACCTGAAGCGAAACTATAGCCCCTTTGATCCCAAAGCAGGCGAAGGCCCACTGACGATCGATACTCGTGTCCTATCAGACGCCATTGTTGAGTCTCTAGCATCTGACCACCCCGATGTCCGCGAAGCAGCGCAACAGGCGATCCGAGAGCTTTATAGCTGCACAGCCCTTATTTTTGGCTCAGATGTCAATGTTGGCCGGCTTCAGTTGTTCAACCACCTAAGTAACACATTCTGTCATAGCTGCTACGAGGAGGAATGGTTTACAAAGACAGGAGGAAGTCTTGGTATTAATTTCTTGCTTACGGAGCTTGACCTTGGCGATGCTTGGGTCGCATCAAAACAAACCGAATTCATTCGTGCTCTCATGTATGTCATTAAAGACATGCCCCTAGATCTCCCTGAGAAGACGAGGTGTCTTGCCCAGACCAGCCTTGAAGTTTTGCTTCGGCGAATCACCAAGGACATCAAGAAAGCGGATGCCCTGCCAGTCCAACAGCAACCAGGCCAACCGCAGGTTAAGCAGCCCCGCTTGGCCCAAATTTGCATGCAGTTCAATAATGAACTTTCACATATGAATAAGTTTGTCCGTGAGACTGCCAAGAACTCGTTGGAGCTCATTGCGAAAGCCGCTGGTTGTGAGGTGTGGGAACTAGTCGAGCCATACAAGGATAGGTTTCTTCAGCCCATATACGCCAAGCCCCTTCGTGCTCTCCCTTTCCCTATCCAGATCGGATACATCAACGCTATGACCTACCATATGAGCCTGAAAAACGATTGGGTTACTTTTGATGAGAATCTCAACCGCCTGCTGATGGAGTCTCTTGCATTGGCTGATGCCAACGACGAGTCCTTGGCCAACAAACCTGCCGAGTTCAGAACGCATGAGCACATCGTCAACCTACGAGTTTCCTGCATCAAGCTTCTTTCCACTGCAATGACATTTGACGAATTTGCGAACAACCCTACTAAAGGCAAGATACTTTCCGTATTTTTCAAGTGTCTCTATTCCGAGTCGAAGCCTACGATTGCAGCGGCAAACGACGCCCTGAAGTCAGTGCTGGCTGTTGATAGACGCTTGCCGAAAGATTTGCTCCAAAGCGGTTTACGCCCTGTTCTACAGAGTCTATCAGATCCCAAAAGGCTTAATACACACGGGCTTGATAACCTGTCAAGGCTGCTGAAGCTTCTCACTAGCTACTTTAAAGTAGAGATTGGTGCCCGTTTGCTTGACCAGATTGAGTCTATAGTTGAGCCCAATGCCTGGCAGCAAATCTCCTTCACATTTTTCGAGCAGCATCCTCAAATGAAAGTCATAACCGCTATTCTCAACATCTTCCATCTCCTGCCTTCGCCGGCGGAAGCTTTTAAGGATCGCCTGATCGATTGCTTTCTTGGCCTTGAGGAGCGACTTCGACGAACTCACCAGAGTCCATTCAGGCTACCGATGTTTCTCTACTTAAACAGATACCCCAAGGAAATTTGGGCATATTTACTTGGCAAGTTAGACGATTTGAAATATGGACGACTTCTTGCTCAGGTCCTTCTTCACCCAGATAGTACGCCACTGAGAGAGACGGCCGTGGAGAATTTAGAAGGTTTGATTGGAAAATGCAACGAGATTGCCGCGCTGAACAACGACAAAAAATACATTGCTATTGTCAATACGATCCACATTCTGCACTCTATCGGACAGTTCCCTGCTTCTAGTGGCTGGATGGATAAGAAAGAGCATCTCGCTTGGCTGAAGGCCATTGGAAAAAACCTCGAAGCCAACATTCGTGGCTACTCGCTCCCAGCGGCTCTTCGTTTGCCTGGATACCAAGCGGCCGAGCAGCTCATGAACATTCTCGTCAAATCGCTAGAGAGATCACCAAAAGACCTGGATGCCTTGTTTAGTTTGGTAGAGTCAGTTGCTACGGAGGAGCTTCGCTCCACGCAACCGCTGTTCTCATTCATCTACGAGAAGATCATCGGCAGTGACTCTCTAGAATTTTGGAAGTCGACGTTCCTTCGCTGTCTTGACGCCTACTCCGGAAAGACTGCCTCAAATAAGACGAAATATTTCCTACTCCATTATATCGTTAATCCTATTGTCGCCACAGATGTTATGCGGCACTGGAACCAGCCAGAACAAAACCGGGCTCAGAGGCTGATGGATCGATCGATAATCGATGCTGTGAGCGCCAAGATTTGGAAAGTGCACCCTGAGATGACGCTTGACGACTCAGCACAACCAGGAATCGATCATATCCGATTTGAAGTACTGCAACTATCCGCAATGCTAGTTAAATATTACCACACGACACTCCAGGAAGCGCGAAAAGATATCATTAAGTTTGGTTGGACTTTTATTCGCTTGGACGATGTCATCAACAAACATGCGGCATATGTAGTGATAGGATATTTCATTGCCCACTACGAAACGCCTCAAAAAATTGTCAGCCAGGTATACATGTCTTTGTTGAAGACCAACTCTAATGAAGGCCGGGCTTTAGTCACCCAAGCCCTTGAGCTCATTGCTCCAGTTCTTCCTAAACGTTGCGGTACGGGTCCAAATGAACGGAGCACTCAATGGGCTGTGGCACCGCGCCGCGTATTGGCCGACGAGGGTCAAAATATGCAGCAGATGACAAGCATCTTCAACTTTCTCGTGCGACATCCTGAGCTTTTCTATGAGGCCAGGGACAAATACGCCGTCCTCATCATCACATGTCTTAGAAAGGTTGCCGCACCACCGAATCCTTCTCACGAAAGCAAGAAGCTAGCTTTGAATATGATGTGGCTCATTTGGACATGGGAGCAATGGCGGATTGAGGGTAAGAAATCACCTCTCGTATCATCAAGATCGCTGTCTGAGTCACCAACGTCGAGAAAACGGAAGTTGGATAGCGACCAGCCAACGATTACGTCGCCAACGTCGGCGAGGCAGACGGCCGCGGTAGATCGTCCAGAGTATCAAATACCACCCCTGTTCCGCCTCAAGATGGTTAAGTATTTGGTAGAATTTATTGCACAGCTAAATGAGAGGTATCAACTGCCTTCTGCCAAACCTCGTGGACCTCCAACCAGTGCTCTTCCAGTATCTGCACCCATGACGGAGCTTTGCAAGAAAGCCATGGCACTCCTCTATAATCTCGTGCAGCCTCAATGCTGGGGAGACCTGGATCTCGACCTATTCCCAAATGTCACCGATGTCATCCTAGCTCATGAAAAGACACAGACAGTTCTCAACGCTGATCCTTCGGACAAGGAAAAATATGACGAAAAATTCCTTACAAATATCATCAACACGCTGCAAGTTGTCCGCATAATTCTGAACTTCAAGTCGGACGAGTGGATTCAAAGGAGCATCGCACCTATCCAAAAGGTTTTGGAGAAGTGCCTGAAGTCTGAAAATCCGGAGATTCAGGATTGCTTGCACCTCTCCAGCAAGGAGTATGATGATGGCCGAGAGCTGAAGTCCACCATCAGACGCATTCTTGATGCCGTACCTGAAGATACGCCCATGGAAGATGCGGATGCAGAAGGCGAGTCTGAAGTTCAAACATCTGAAATCGTTGCCTACCTCTCCCAGATAGCAACGGAACAGATGAATAGCAACCTTTACGTCTCAGGTGTTAATATCTTATGGTCTCTGGGCAATCGAAAGCCTGCAATCATTGATCAGCACATTCCTTCGCTTATGAAGGCTATGCAAAGCAAACACGCACGAGAGCATGTGCAGCATTATAGTGCTTTGGCAAGCCAAGCAACAGGAGTCCAAAGAAGTCAAGAAGCGAACGGAAATACTGGAGAACTCTCTGCGTATGAGCTTGAGATGCAAACAAAGTTGATGATCAAGGAAATCCAGGTCGTCGCATTACGAATGGAGACTCTGGGTGACAATCGGCGACCCTTTTTGAGCGTTTTAGCAACCCTTGTGGAAAAATCTATGCACATCGAACTCTGCACAGAGATCCTTGGCATGGTAGAGGGCTGGGTCTTTAGATCTGAAGGCACTTGGCCGACTTTGAAGGAAAAAACGGCCGTCTTGCACAAGATGCTCTCCTTCGAGCACAGACAGGATCCGACAATGCTATCCAAGTTCTTGGAGTTGGTGATTCGGATCTACGAGGACCCAAAGATAACCCGGACGGAGTTAACTGTGCGTATGGAGCACGCCTTTCTCATTGGGACACGAGCGGTGGATGCAGAAATGCGAAATCGGTTTATGGCTATTTTTGACAAGAGCTTGTCTAAAACAGCTAGCGTTCGCCTCTCATACGTGTTGACATCCCAAAATTGGGACACTCTCGCTGATTCGTACTGGCTTGCCCAAGCCAACCACCTTTTGCTGGGAGCTGTGGAGATGAACACAAATATACAGCTTCATGCCGATGACTTCAAGGTAATCAGCGCGTCCCAGCTTGCTGGAGTCTATCCCAAAGACAACACTAGGGAGCTAAACATGATGGAGGATGAAAAATTTGATGCTCTCATGGCTAACCATCGACGGTTCATGGCGGAAATTGGCGATGTAAAGGTCCGTGATATCATCGAACCGTTGACGCAACTACAACACATCGACAACCAGCTTGCCCATCAGCTTTGGGTCGTCGCATTCCCAATCTACTGGTCTGCGACTTTGCGTGATGAGAGGCCTGAGCTTCAACATGGCATGGTTTCGCTGTTGACGAAGGACTATCACAGTCGCCAAATCGACAAGCGACCAAATGTCGTACAGTCTTTGATAGAAGGAGCAGCAAAGACTTGGCCCGAGTGTAGGCTTCCTCCGCATGTCTTGAAGTTTGAAGCAAAGACGTACGATGCTTGGTATACGGCTCTAGTACAGCTTGAGAACGCGGCTATTAAACCTGGTGGCGACTCGGCTACCGTTCGAGAGAGCAACCTCGATGCGCTTGTTGATCTCTACTCGTCTCTACAAGAAGATGACCTTTTCTATGGGACTTGGCGTCGTCGTTCACAATTTGTGGAGACAAACGCTGGCCTTTCTTATGAACAAAATGGAATGTGGGACAAAGCCCAGAAACTTTACGAGGCAGCACAGATCAAGGCCAGAACTGGCGTGATCCCGTTCTCTCAAGCCGAGTATATGATTTGGGAAGACCACTGGGTTCTTTGTGCTCAAAAGCTGCAGCAATGGGAAATCCTTCAAGATTTTGCCAAGCACGAAAATTTCCAAGACTTGCTGCTCGAATGCGCCTGGCGCAACACGGATATGTGGCAGGATGAGCAGCACCGCGAGGCTCTGGACAATATCATCAAAGGAGTCATGGATGCTCCCACCCCACGACGAGCTTTCTTCCAGGCATTCATGTCTCTGCTCAAGTTCCACAATCAACTAGAAGCGGCAACCGATTTTGCCCGCGTGTGCGACGAAGCCATACAGCTGTCTATTAGAAAATGGCACCAGCTTCCCGTCCGATTAACCAATGCCCATATTCCCCTGCTTCAAAGCTTCCAACAATTGGTAGAGCTGCACGACGCCAGTGTCATCTGTCAGAGCTTAGCCAATACCAATGCAACAAACCTCGACGTCAAGTCAGGAGAGCTGAAGCTGCTGCTCGGAGCTTGGCGGGATCGTCTCCCCAACGTATGGGACGACATCACTGCTTGGCAAGACTTGGTTACCTGGAGACAGCATATTTTTAACCTTATCAACCAAACTTATCTTCAGCTGCTTCCACAGCAAGGCCAGCAAAACGCTGGCGGTGCTTCCTTTGCTTACCGTGGCTTCCACGAGACGGCCTGGATAATCAACCGGTTTGCTCATGTAGCCCGGAAACACAGCTTGCCAGAAGTGTGCATTAACCAGCTCAGCCGTATCTATACCCTTCCAAACATTGAAATTCAAGAAGCCTTCTTGAAACTCCGCGAACAAGCCAGGTGTCATTACGAGAATCCCGAGGAATTGAACAGCGGATTGGATGTCATAAACAACACAAACCTGAATTACTTCAACCCCCAGCAGAAGGCCGAGTTCTACACGTTGAAGGGCATGTTCCTCGAGAAGCTTAAACACAAAGAGGAAGCTGATGCGGCTTATGGTACAGCTTTGTATTTTGACATTGGAGCGGCAAAGGCATGGGCCGAGTGGGGATACTTCAATGATCGAAGGTTTAAGGAGGACCCGGCGGATTTGAACGCAGCAAGACAGGCACTGACGTCGTACCTGCAAGCAGCCAGCAGTTACAAGAATGCAAAGTCACGGAAGCTCCTTGCTAGAATTCTTTGGCTACTGAGTCTAGACGATTCCAAGGGCTCTATCGCTGCAGGATTTGATGATTTCAAGGGAGAGACTCCAACATGGTACTGGATCACATTCATTCCACAGCTGTTGACTGGCCTGGGATATAAAGAGGCGCCAAGAGTGTATCAGATCCTACTCGGAATCGCAAAGTCGTACCCACAAGCTCTCTACTTCCAACTCAGGACAAACAGGGAAGATATGATGGCCATTAAGAAAACTCAGGAAGCCAAAGAAAAGGCGCGACTTCGAGCTCAGTCTGTTACTGCTAACGGCAAAGCTGGCACTTCTCCTGTACAGACGAAACAAGAGGCACCGAAAGCTGAGGGAAGTGCATCACGACCGGGTACAGCCACCGCGGGCGAGGCAGCTCAGGTCAAAACTGAAAATGGCGAGGCTAATGGTACAACATCGGCGACACCTGCACCCGCAAACGGTGCACAGGGAGGCCAAGAGCAACCGCAGTCTCAAGCCCCGGCCCAAGGCCAGGCGCAAGCTCAGCCAGCGGCCCAAAATCAGAAGAGACCGCCTTGGGAGCTGACTGAGGAGATTATGTCTGTTCTCAAGACAGCATTCCCCCTGCTAGCGTTGTCAATGGAGACCATGGTGGATCAGATCCAAAAGCACTTCAAATGTCCACCGGACGAGGATGCATACCGTCTCATTGTGGCGCTACTCAACGATGCCCTGACATACGTTAGTAGGACACCGTCTTCGTTCGCTAAGAGTGTTAAGCTCCCCTCGGCGACAGAAACAAACATCACCCGATTTGCCGAAACGATCTTGCCAAACCACATCAAGAAGTCGTTTGAAGCCGACTTTGTCGAAGTGAAGCCTACAATGTACGAGTACATTCACAAGTTGAGGCGATGGCGAACAAAGTTTGAAGAGAAGCTGGACCGTAGAATTGTGCACACCCCTCTGGAAGCGTTCTCTCCTCACTTGAGTGAATTCCGGTATCAAAAGTTTGACGAAGTTGAGATTCCTGGGCAGTATCTGCAGCATAAGGACAAGAACCAGGACTTTATTCGCATAGAACGGTTCTTACCTAACGTTGATTTGATACGATCTGTCAACGCGTCGTACCGAAGGCTCAAAATGCGTGGTCATGATGGCAGTATTCACTCTTGGGCTGTCCAACACCCCGCTGCCAGACATTGCCGACGAGAAGAGAAGATCTTACAGCTCTTCAGACATCTCAACCAAACTTTAAGCCGCAAGAAGGAGAGCCGACGACGAGACTTGCAATTCACTCTGCCACTGATGGTTCCCTTGGCACCACATATAAGAATTGTGCAAGAGGATACGTCATATATCACATTGCATGGTGTTTACGAAGATCATTGCCGCCGCATGGGCATGTCTAAAGATGAACCAGTCTTGTTCACACTGGAGAAGCTCCGAGGGGTTCTTGAGTCTAAGGGAGGACAGGTAAGCCGTTATATCGAGATTGGAGAGTGCCCAGCGAAGATGATAACTAACATGAGGTACTACCAGTCGAAACCCGAACTGACGCCTACGGCACGCTTGGAAGTATTCAACGCAATTCAAGAGAAGTGGGTGCCATCAACTGTGGCGTTGGAGTATTTCCAGCAAGCCTTCCCGCAATTTGCCGAATTTTGGCTATTCCGAAGACAGTTTTCATATCAACTGTCGGCATTGACGTTCATGACCTACATCTTGTACATGCATAACCGATACCCGGCCAAGATGAATATTGCGCGTGGATCTGGTAACATCTGGGGCTCAGAGCTTATGTCTTTTATGAGTGCATCCAAGCCGTTCTTCCACAACCCAGAGCCAGTGCCATTCCGCCTCACGCCGAACTTGCAGACGCTTATGGGGCCTCTGGCTATGGAGGGAATCTTTGCCTGCTCAGTCATGGCGATTGCACGGTGCTTGACGGAACCGGAGCATGAGCTCGAGCACGCATTGACTCTGTTTGTCAGGGATGAAATGATGTTCTGGCTGATGAACAGTCATAGGAGCGGTATCAGCGAGAACCAGCTCCGTGACTCGGTTCAGCTAAACAGCGATTCTATTGTGAAGCGAGCCATCAGCTTGGCGCACAACCCTTCGGGCAACTTGCCTGCGAATCAGACAGTCATTGACGCGATCGCTAAGGCTGTAAACCCAATGAATCTGGCGCAGTGCGACGCTTTGTGGATGCCATATCTGTAATATCTCACAGAAAATGAATCTCTGTTATAAACACAAAATAGGAAAAAAAAATGCCTTGTTTTATTTTTCTCTTCGCCATTTAGGACTGGAAGGAACAGACTTGGGAGGAGAGATGAGGGGGTGAGGAAATGTGTGTAAAAGGGAGGAATTGCAAATTTTGGTATTATTCCATTCAGCAAGGCGTTGGACAGGATGGAGAGGCTCGAGTGTTTTTTTCTTTCTTTCTTCCATTTTTTTCTTCTTCTCTTCCTTTTTCTTCATGCTCATGTTTTCTTATAATAAAAATTAGGAGGACGAGGAAGCGTGCTCAGGTAACGTGTATTCACGACAAAACTAGATTTTGCTAATGAGGGATGCGGGTACGTTGAATCGGTTTTTATGGATTCATGAGAGAGCATAGAATTGGTAAATTGCAAAAAGTCTTAATATTGATACCGCCTTTTTTTATTCTTTGTATAATGGCACGCCCTGGAAAGTGAAGTGAAATGATTGTGTTATTGCTCCTATTTTATCACTGCCTTTTGCTGGGTGGGTGGTTGATTTAAAGTGAAGTGATAAATGTGCTCTTAACTATGTAGGAGACAAGGAGGTAATTTCATAAGAATGAGTGTTATACTGTATTTAAAATTTTAAATGTATATTACACACATTATTCTATTCAAATACAGCTTCCTTCTTCTCACGTGATGATTGTGCGGCTGTGTTTTATGAACTCGCGGCCTGACTGTGAGGCAAAACCGAACGCCAAGTTACTATGACGCGTCTAGAGCAGGATCAGCTAATACAAGTTGCAAAAGAAACAACGTTGAAACCATACGGGCTGGACTAGGAATACCACGACATGGCCCTACCAACAATGCAAACCTCTCGTCTTCGCCTCTGCCCTCTCGCAGAGCGCAACCGGGACGATCTCATAGACCTCGATTCGGACCCCCAAGTCATGAAATACGTTCATAATGGCCGCCCGCTGACTCAAGAAGAAGCCATTCAAGACCATCAAGAGCGCCTTTCAGCGAGCAGACAGGTCCCAGGTCTGGGCTACTGGGCCGGGTACCTCGACGGCGCATTTATCGGGTGGGGGGCTCTCGCGCCCATACAATCTGGCGGCGAGACATTCCATGCACAAAAGGCTGAGCTAGGATACCGGATCTCACCTCGCTTTTGGCGCCAGGGATATGCTAAAGAAATGGCTCGCGAGTTGCTAAGGTATGGATTTGAAGAGTTGGGATTGATGGAGATTCTTGGACAGACGATGGCTGTGAATGAGGCATCGAGAGCGACTATGAAGGCTTGTGGGATGCGGCATGTGCGTACTTTTTATGTTGACTTTGAGGATCCTATTCCTGGGACGGAGGAGGGTGAGGTTGAATACATAATAACGAGGGAAGAATGGGTGCGGTTTCATTTGGTCTCGAAGTAGCGAGACTATTTGCCAATCGGAGTGCCTGGCGATATTTATTAACGTTTGGATATCAACAATGATATCGTGAACGCGAAAGACCCCCTGGTGGGTTTGGTCACTATGCATTATTGTCCAGGACAATACATGTATTAATAGTAATCTACATTGTTGATAACGTTTGTGGGGATTTTCTATTAATATCTCATTTGTTATAGTCCTTTTACGTGTCCATCGTCCGTTCCGCTGCGTTTGAGAAACAATGTCGCTTTGTTCTTTGTCCTAAGTACTGTGTATTTTGTTGTGCAACTTTCTTCTTTCAACGGCCGCCTCAAGCTAGGATAGATTTGATTGCAAGGCATAAAGTATGTGAAGAAAACCCTGACATGAATCATGCGAGAAGAAACGCAATCATCACGGAGATGGCAAGAGAGGTCATTTGAGACTAGCGAAATATTCTCATTGAAGAAGAATGAATGCAATGCACATCTATCAAACTAATGCATGCTTTACCAATGCCGTTGAAAATTGCTTACCTTCAAACGACTCTTCTTATGTACGTATATGGCTACATTAAAAATATAGGGTCTCCTAAGATTTGTGTAGTTTCCCGAGTCACAATGCCATACGCCACGCCTGTCACGAACGCCGCATATGAAGGTAACAAAGCCATGTAAAAGGATGTGCCTATAGTCCCTGCAATCGGCGCGCAGGGAGGGAAGATAGCAGATGCTGCAGCGCAACCAGCCACTCCAACCCAGCAACCCGCACACCCGAGACGCCCACCAACTATTGCTGATTTTTCCTTTTGTGGCAGGTCACCAATATAGTTGAGAGTTAGTGCGTCTTGTCTTTGACAAAATGCAAACCGCACAAAGTCAGTGCCTCGGTGCCGGCTTCCAGTGAGAACTAATGGGAGAAGTCCATCTGCAAAGGCAATCGGACGGCTCACCACGAGTGGTTGGTAGGCCGGGATGACGAGATGAAATATAGCTGCGCGTCCATACTAGGTTGTTGCAACATGGGCCTCTCTATCCGCTCTCATCCTCAGGCAGATCGTTGCGAGTTCATGATGGTAGCCGCCAAATGCTGAACCAAGTGGCTCTTCTCTCTGTCTTCCTTCGAACGCGGGATACCAGTCGCTATCTGGGTGCCAGACATAGAAAAAGTGGTGTTGGTTGTCTGCACCGTAGACGACGGTCATCTCATTCTGGACGAAGCGATGCACGTATCCTCCGAACCCGCCATCGCCCCAGCCTTGTACCCTGGAGATATTCGAGATTGCGAGCTCGGACCGTATACCTTCGAGACTTTGACCGACTGCTTTTATGGCACTTGCGACATCCAGGAGCACGAGTAGTATAGCGCCGAGAGCAGCGGCCTGGAAGTAATCAGTGAAGACCGGGGACGAATTAAACGCGCCCGGTATAACAATGACTTCTCTTGCTTGAACGCTGTCGAGTAATCGAGGCAATGCTTCTTGTACCTTCTTAAACGCCTGTTCCTGCTCCTTTGATGCTCGCCCATCTCGCCACTGGGTATGCATTTGCAGCAACGTGAGGAAAGCCTGTACACCATATTTTTTGGCATATTTTTTGGCAGCCTGTATGGCCTGTGCCGCAGCAAGACTTCTAATACTGTAAGAGACTGCCAAATTCATTTTCAAGAACATTTACAGTTAGGCAGGGAGGTAGAGAGGGATATGTGTTACTGTTACGGCCCAACGACTATAGCGTCCACAAGTATGGAATAATGAGGAACCGACAAACCAATCATTACCCAGTCGCCTTGATATCAGAATTTCACCCGCTTCTTTGGAGGCTATGATATGGCTCGAAGCTGGCCAACTATCAGCATATGACTAGTACCTAGTCGCTAACGCCAGAATACCGTATTGCACGAATCGATGCAGACTTTGGACATCTATTTTTGGCGACCTAGATACTGGTCAAGTACTCTAAAGTATCTTTTAATAATACCCCACTTACTTGAAGAGGTAATCATTGATAAAGCGGAATGCTGTTTTTGCACAAGGCTGTATAATCAGTCGCTATTATTCCCCCACAACGTTCATACTGTCTGTGGTTCATGACTTCGTACATATTTTTTATGGAGGTAGGACCTATAAAAACTATCCCTGGTTGTGCCCATTTTCCATTCCGTCACAGTAAGGAAGCAATATCGCCTCATTCTTTGTCCCAAGTACTGTGCATTTTTGTGTGCAGCCTTGTTCTTTCAACAGCTTCCTTTAGGTTGTCTGTTTCCTTTAGCCTCTTGTTTGTAATGCGAACATTGAACCCTTCCCTGACATAAGCTTGAAACAATTAAGGCGCTTGTAAGACAGTTGAATGAATGATAGACGGGTAGAATATGAGAGGAACAACCATTTTGGATAATTCACATCTCTCCTCCTTTGCTTCCTTCTTTGTTCTTCTGAACTAAAGTTGTATGCCATCGCTGTTCGGTCTTTATTTCTTCACTAATCTCTTGTGGTAAAGAAGTTATAGGGTTAAAGCCAAGAGTATAAGAGTTCGAGCCTCTCGCTTCGTATTCTTTTACTGTCAGCGGCATTCTGGGAAAAGCATCTTCACTGAATCTCTCTCTGACTCTTCATTTCTAACTCCCTCTCTCTCTCTGACTCTCTCTCTGCAAGCTACTCTCCCTCTTATCCTCCTGCCAATTTCCTCATCCATCAAAGTCAACATCTTCATCATGGCAACAAAAACTCCCTGGATGGTATACCCGCCAGGCTTGAATGGCGAAGGTTCAGAGAACATTCGACTGGGGGCTATAATAACCGATCCTTTCAACCCGAGTCAAATTCTTACTACCGCAGACAATTCGATACTAGATGCTTTTTACCCTCCAGTAGAGGAGAATACTCAACTCAATCACCATCTTCTGTGGATTGCAGACAAAGATACCCCTTCGTTTTTGAGGCGTTGCTGGGAAAGTTTTTCCAGTGGGATGTCGGTAATATCAGTCAATTCGGAGATGTTCACTAGGTATCAACTTGATGCGGAAGTCCTCGTGACGAAAGAATTCAACAGTGATCCTAGACTGACAGAGATCATGGCCCGGCTGGCGAATCCTACAGTGGACCAATTCATGGACGAGCGTATACGGGCACTCCTGGGACTCTGGAGTCGCGAAAACCCAGTGTATATGATAACTGGGCTGAGATATGCGAAAGGAAGAATTGCGTTCCGAGAGGCGGAAATAAAGACAACTGAGTTTCGTTTCAGACACAACATAGCCTCCCCCATCATTTGGACTGATCGAGATCCGAGCTACAGCTCGGAAAAGGTATTCACTACGGAGGAGGATAGACTTATAGCATATAAGCTACTGAAGATAGAAAAATCCCATAACAGGAAGGATGGTTCCGACGACGAACTAATCCTGAGTGAGGTCGTCGTGGAGGGCTCTGAGTGGTGTTAGATGACATGATATTGAATCAGATTTCATTGGGGTGAGTTGGTTTAGGATACGGGAATCACAAAATTTACCAGTTATGCAGGTATCAATGCCTGGATTTACTGTTTGTCATGAAGCTAATTAGTTTTTCTTTATTAAAAAAAAAAAAAAAAAAAAGGATGTTCTTTCGTGCTTTCCCCCCTCTCCTTCTCTCAGCCTCGGATTGTAAGCAGATTCTTGGCATTTTCACGAGCAACCAAGCACAAAGAAAGCTTTTTTGCACACTTGAGAAACAGATTGGACTTGTTTTTCTCTTTGTTAGGACAAAATCGTTATTGAATTCGTCAACGATTGCGTGGCCATGAAAGGTTCGAGTTTTTCGATTGTCGGTGCATTCTGTGAGGTGACGCTAATTGCTTCAAGGCGCTTGGTGATGCGGCTAGGACGTTGAACGACATCGTTGGTGTCATGGAACGCTGAGTGGCAACTCCGAACAGGCTTAGCAGCAAGTGTAGAGATATGTAACATCAAGGGCCAGGCCGCTTATTGTCTTAAAATGGACCCAAACTTCCTCAGCGTCCGGATTTCCCAGCATCGGCGTTCTGGAGACCGTTTTCAGGAATAAGTCGTGCCTGAATCTGGATACCCCAGATTCGATGTCATCTGATGCACTAGGCCAAGTTTACGGGGGCAGCGTTATGAACTGCTGCCCTTCTTAGGCTAGGATTAAGATGCTTACCCGGTATATAGTTCCGCTCTAGTTCCGCTCTATTAGAACCCCAAGAGCGCCTCTGTGCCGCGGCTCGCAATTCCAACCGCTCATTGGAAATTAGCCATGGGCCGTTATGGGCCGAAGGTGTGTCCATGTAACGCTAGTATCTCGCGCTTGAATAAAAAGTCCGATGTGCGCAAGATGGCGGTGTCTTTCCCTTGCAGACGGTTGCTGTTAGTCGGCTGAATTGGCGGGGGTGGGATTCGGTAAATGGATCATGGGGAACAGGGCCCCAATTATGTATCAAGTCTGGCGTACACACGCAGGCAGATAACCGATGACAGGGGGACGAGGTGAGGAGAAGGAGCTGGCTCGAAAAGTAGTGGCGGCCCAGCCATATAAAGTGACGAATGTGCCTCGGCCCGTATTACACGCATATAGAGCAAGATCCCGAGATCTGGTGTTGAGTGTGAAGAGCAAGTCGTCTCGGCGTTTCAACCACCAGGAGTTTTGGGTTTTCAACGAGAGATTTAAGAAGCTCAAGAAGAATTGGGAGTTTCAAGTGTCGTTTATTATATACAGATATCAGCACAGACACCCATTAGCATAGCGTCCGGGCAATTACTACAACAATACGGCACAATGGCCAGCACGAATTTCGACAAAATGCCACGGAAGCTGTGGGAGCATCCGGATCCCAAGAGCACCGTCATGTGGCGCTTTATGCAGGAGGCAAACAAGAAATTTAATTTAAATATGCAGGTAAGCAAGAGTTTTGTGGCCAGCTCCATATTGTCTTGAGCTTCACAGTTTGATTTCTACGCCATATATGCTCGGGTTGAGGCTAACGTCGCGCAATTAGACATTCAAAGAGCTCTACAACTGGTCGTGCAACCACCGCAGCGATTTCTACCAGCATCTTTGGGAATTCCAGCCCGTCATCCACGAAGGCGCCTACACCCGCGTCGTCGACGAGTCGATCCCCCTCACTGAGCTGCCCCGGTGGTTCGAAGGCGTGCGTCTCAATTGGGCCGAAAACGCCCTCTATACCCGAGACACTTCATCCCCATCCGCTGAGGCACGCAACACCCTGAATAAAGAAGACGACAAAATCGCATTTACAGAGGTGCGAGAAGGAAATACAGAAGTGCGACATGTAACATGGCGGGAACTCCGCAAAGAAGTCGCGGCTCTGGCGGCGGCGCTGAAGGAGAGAGGACTGAAGAAGGGCGACCGCGTGGTGATTGTTGCAGGACATTCGCTGAGGACATATGTTGTATACCTGGCGACGACGTGGCTGGGAGGCATCTTCAGCAGTAGCTCGACGGATATGGGGGTTGGCGGGTTGCTGCAGAGGGCGGTGCAGGTGAATCCAAAGGTGAGTGAGATACCTATATCGCGGCATAATATCATGAGAATTGAGGTGATACTGATTCATTTGATGTGACTCCGCAGTTTGTCTTCTTTGATGATGGCGCCCTGTACAACGGCAAGACTATTGATCTGAGAAACAACATCCAAGGCATGATCAACGGCATGTCTGAGTGCGACCAGCTGCAGTCGTTTGTCATTATCCAGCGCTTCGCCAAGCCCTTTGACACAAAGGCCATCTCCAAGACGGAGCGGTTCGAAGACTTTGTCCAGGCCGCCGCCAGTAAACCGCCTCCCGCCCCAGTTCGTATCGGCTTCCAGGATCCATCTCTCATTGTCTACTCCTCCGGAACAACAGGCACGCCCAAGGCTCTCGTCCACGGCGCCGGCTCGATGCTTCTCTCCATAACAAAGGAAGTTCACATCCACCGAGGCATTGGCCCCTCAGACACGGGTCTGCAGTACACCACCACCGGCTGGATCATGTACCAGTCCAGTATAGCCCACATGACGTATGGCGCACGCTGTGTTGCCTACGATGGATCTCCCCTGGTGCCGGATCCAAAGGTGCTGCTGCGGATTGCTGAAGAGCAGAAGGTGACGCTGATGGGAATAAGTCCGAGATGGATGGGCGAGCTCATGAAGAACGGCATCGCACCGAGGGAGGAGTTTGACTTGTCGAGTTTGAATTCAGTGACCACGACTGGCATGGTGTGTCCGGATCAGATGTTTGAGTGGTTTTATGATAAGGCGTTTCCACCAAAGGTGCAGTTGGCCAACATTTCAGGCGGGACAGATATTGTGAGTCTTCGTATTCTCCTCATTAGTTACTTATATGTGCATGCACATGTGTATATGGGCAATGGTGATTTCTTGAGATATGCTAATAGTCATCCTAAAACAAACAGGCCGGCTGCTTTATCCAGGAAAACCAACTTGACCCCCTCTACGTCGGCGGCTGTATGAACGGCAGTCTCGGTGTTCCCATCGCCACCTACGATCACGATCTTCCCGAGGGTAGTGCAGGCACTCCCCTTCCTCCAGGCAATTCCGGCGATCTCGTTGCCACCGCCGCCTTCCCCAACATGCCAATCTATCTCTGGAACGACGGCCCCGGCCCAGCTCCCGGACCCAAATATCGCGCCGCGTACTTTGAGCGCTACGCCGGCGCCTGGGCCCAAGGCGACTTCTGCGTCGTCCATCCAAAGACGGGTGCGGTTCACTTGCTGGGCCGATCTGATGGCGTGCTAAATCCCAGCGGCGTGCGATTTGGCAGCGCAGATATCTACGCCGTGCTGGAGAGATGCTTCCCGCAGGAGATTGCCGAGAGCTTGTGCGTGGGACAGAGGCGGCCGCAGGATATGGATGAGAGGGTCGTGCTGTTTTTGCTGATGAAGGGAGGGCGTGCGTTGGACAAGAAGTTTGTGATGAAGGTCAAGGAGACGATTGCCAAGGAGTTGACAAAGAGGCATGTGCCCAAATATGTGTTTGAGATTCCCGAAATTCCGGTAAGTGACGACGTTCTCTGTCCTCTACGCTTATATAGCGATTGTTCTCTCGAGATATGCTAACGCAAGCTGTTTCTTTATTTGCAGGTCACTGTTAATGGCAAAAAGGTCGAGTTGCCAGTCAAGAGCATCATTTCCGGAAAGACGATTAAGCCAAGTGGAACGCTGCTGAATCCACAGAGCCTGGATCACTTTTACCAGTACCAGAAGATTGAAGAGCTGGAAGAGCCGCGGGCTAAACTATAGAGGCGTCGATTAAAGGGATAGACTTGCTGTTAAATTATAATGTGCACGTAACAGTGCTTTGAGACGAGCTGGCGAGTTAACTAATATACTGTTACAAATTATCTCCTTGCAAAAGCACGGCCTTTGTCATTCACCTTTCCACCTCATCCTCTGTACCCTTCTGACTAGTATTCAAATACTCTTCTCTCCCTTTTTATCCTTTTCAACAAACTTGCCTCCATTGATACCATATCTCCACGCCATATATCCAATCATGCCTCCCACGCTGCCTAGACCCGCAGCTCCCACCACCCCATGCCATCCCAGCTTAGCTGGCCCTCCAGCTCCTCTGACTCTTATCAATCCAGTGGCCAGCAACGCAGCTCCCATCCCAGCATAAGTCCAATCGTCTGTCTCGAGCTGGCCCCGATTCTCCAGCAGCCTCCAGCTCCGATCTTGCCATTCAATGAGCTCTCGGCCCCACATCCGCGCCGGGATGCCTATGCCGCCTACAAGAGCCGTGGTGATGACTGTGTTTCGCGAGACTGAAAGCAAAAGTCTCTCCGGGAGAGGTCCGGGATGCCGCCATTTTGGGACGGACTGGCGGATGCCGGTGATGGCGAGGCCGATGATGGAGCCTGTGGTGACGGCGCGAGTGAGGACGTGAGTGATGAGGATGACGTGAGGAAGAGGCTGGTCTTCGGCGTAGGGCGTGTGTGGGAAATAGCGAGACATTGTGTTGAATTATGAAGCTGAGATTTCGACTCTTTATCTCCCCTCTTATGATTGTGAAGCCGGCTGTTGCTTCTTTACAGGTGGCGTGATAATAGCCGGAGTCTTGTAAGTCCTTGAAGAGGCTGGTTCGGAAGTGGTAACGAAGCAGGTTGTGAAATCAACAGACACCAAGCAAAAGATCGTGATGAGATTTTAAAGCTTCATCGAGCGCCGGCTGAGAGAGCTGAGAGAATTTATCGCATCCAGCGATAGCTTCCTGCATGGCCTCAAACTTAGTCGCTTCAGTGACGCAAATCAGGTGAGTCTCATTGGCAGCCTCATTCCTTCTCGCACTCGCTTAGCTGCTTACCTTGGCCTGGGGTAGCGCCACATGCGAGGTACCTGAGATTGCATGGCGCCTCCCACCCAAGGCCGTGTACTCGGTACGCGCAATTCGGGCATTCGGGAGAAAGCCAACTCCTTCGTGCCAATTAGTAGATCCTAAAGAATTGTAATGCCTCCCACTATGCCATTCAACTAAACAAATACATATTATTCCTCTCTTGATATATAGATATATCTGACTAATGTACCTGAATCTACGACCCAGAATCTGAGCGGAGCAAGTACCTATTTTTAGGCAGGTAATGAGTCGTATTTCACAAGCTCAGCAGCAAAACTGCTTGATCCGGCAAATCGATTCGACATTGCTACTTGCATTGAGGACTCAAAAATTGCACCTAACTGAGCGTTCAATAACTTATGGAGTAAGCATGTATTATGCGAGTTATTTACGTAAGTTGAAACACCAAAAGATCGTGTCAGATCGCTACGATAGTCAACAATGTGTTCCAACCTCTTGTATGAAGTATTGCCCATAGTAATGCAAGCGTCATTGCCATACCCGGTTATTTTGATTGTGGGCCTTCAGGTCCTCAGGGCAATATTTATGTAACCGATCTCTTCAACCAGCTACAAACTATCCAGATACCTATTACAGATTACATAGACATCTCGCGCTTACTTCAGCGTGCATCAATATGCGTGAACCGGTCAAGCAGGAACATGTGCTAATACCACTTTTATAGACACGCCATTGCTGCTCAACTCAGATGAGATTCAATGCAAAGAAATCCAGTCAACAGAAAAAGAAAATGGAATAGAAAAAAAGACGCCATCCGACCTCGACGAATCGCGGGGTTAGCTTCAGCCGGCTCGACACCCTATTCGCGGAATCTCGCTGTTGCGCCGCTGTCCGCAAAAAAGATGCAATTCGGCCCGAGGGGCATAGCTTCTACACCTTGCCCGGCTTTCTATCCAGGATGCTACAGTAACAGCTCTTGAATAGCTCTCAGAACACCAATGAAAACACCAATTGGTAGTTACGTAAACAGAGCTGAGTCCTCACGTTCTTGGAACTTTGTCAACGCGGATATTTATCCGGTAGCTGGCAGTACCAAGTAAGTGCAGTGTTAACATAGCTTTAGGCGAGCTCCCATCGACATGTTCCCGTTTAGGTAGGTGATGAGACAATCCCCCGTGCCGAGCCCGCTCAGTGACAAAATACTGCATTGGCTAATCTGGGGATGGCCTTATGTTGCATTTACCATCGTGCGGGGAGAATGCAGCCATGCTTGTAGATGCAAGGGGGCTCCTATCAAGTTGCATTGAGAAGAGCTCCTCTAGGTCCCGAAGTTCGGACCAGGTCCGGGGACAAGAAACCATATAGTCGTAGTATATATATAGTAATACGTAGCCATGCAATTGACGCTTCGTCTTTCGCCAACCTGCTGTTCTGCTCTAAAATATTTTCAACATGTTGACGCAGAACGCCGTGTTCGCGCTTCTCAGCGCTGCTTCATCTGTGGCCGCCGATGTATACACTATTCCTTCTCAGCCAAATGCCAATGGCGAGCCCTTTGATGGCTTCGTGAGCTACTCAATTGAGTTTTCATCGTTCCCAGATTTCGCTGGTAAGCTTTCCTTGAACTCTCGATCCCATCGGAATTCATCAATTGAGACCAAGTCTCTCTTCTATAGGCAACAAATCGGCTCCAAACACATTCTCGTACAATCTCATCAACAATCTGGGTGCAATTTCTGGCTCCAAGCCATACATCCGTGTTGGTGGTAATACTCAGGATTATGCGCTTTACAATGCGTCGCTCAAGACTTCTCTGGTCGGAATCGTCAACCCCAACAGATCGCCCGACTATCCGACCACCATTCACATCGGTCCCTCTTACTTCGAGTCATACAGCACCTGGCCTGGCGTCAAATTCTCCCATGGCTTGAACCTCGGTCTTGGTGCTAACAGATCGGAGGGATGGCAGACCCTCGTTGACACTGTTCCCTTGGCCTGCAAGGCTCTCAGCCACGGAAACTTGTATACCTGGGAGTACGGCAATGAGCCTGATCTCTATTCGACATCGGCTCAGGGTCCTGTGCGGCCGTCAACTTGGAATGAGAGCACATATGCTTGGCAGTGGCTCAATGGCACGGCTGAGATCAAGAAACAGATCCAAAAGCACTGCCCGGCGCTGTCACTCTTTGGAGAGCCCAAGTTTATGGCTCCGTCCTATGCCGGCACTGGCAATCACCTCAAGGCGCCCCTTGCTTTCCAGGACGGCCTTGACAAGAACAAGGATATTCAATTCTTTTCAACTCACAAGTAGGCTAAACCAAAACTCATCACAGTGGTAAAAGATGTAATTATACTGACAAAAGAAAAAAAACAGCTACATCAGCGGTGCCACTTCTCCTGGGGTCACCTTGCAAGGAACTCTGATGAACCACTCCAGGACCGTAGGCTCAATCCAAGGCCACCTCCCAGAGTACAATGCCATTTTCGCCACTCCAGAAGCCCAGAAGGCTACTCCTCTAATCTTTGGCGAATGCAACTCTCTTTACAACCAGGGCAGACCAGGCCTGTCCAATACCTTTGGAGCGGCCCTCTGGGGCATCGACTTCAACTTGTACGCGGCTTCGGTTGGCTTCAAGCGCGTCCACATGCACATGGGAACGAACTATCGTGTAAGTCAAGACTCATTATCCGTGTCATGTAGAGAAGAGACACTCGTGGCTGATGCAATCAACAGTACCAAGCTTGGCAGCCAATCGAGACAGACCTGGCTTCCAGGGGCACCAAAGCCCCCTACTATGGCAGCATTGCCGTCTCTGCCACGCTGGGCGCCTCAAACATCCTCCCCGTCAGCATCACCAACATTCCCCTAGCCGATGCCCGCGAAGCCGCCTACGCAGCCCATTACACAAGCCCCTTGCTCAACGGGCATCTCGCTCGCATCACCGTCCTCAACATGCGAGGCTACAACACCACCGTCGACGGCCAGGGCCTTGAACCAGTCGCCAACCCTCCCCCACGCCCCAGCCAGAGCTACACTTTTGCCGTGAGTGGCGTCCGCAACGGAGAGATTGTTGGCATCCAGCGTCTGCTGGCAAACGGAAGCGACGCCATCACCGGCATTACTTTTGATGGATGGAGCTACAACTACGAGCTTGCGCTGGGCAAGCCTGTGCGGCTACACAACGTCACCGTGGGAGAGACTGCGGTTGTGAAGAATGGACAGGTCACTGTGCAGGTGCCTGATTCGTCTGCGGTTGTGCTGAATTTCCCGCTGTTGTGAGAATAGAATGAGACTTCGACTAGGACATGATTTATGAGTACATGTAATAATGTGTATACCTATGCTGGCTGTATTATGTATTTCGTGATGTTGGTGCCTTAGTTCTAAATTGAGGGACATTTCGTGTCATCAACGGATAATTCAAGTATTGAATTGAGAATTGAAGCTAAAAAATGCAGCGGGTACAATAGATCTGTAATAATTCAGTCGCTAAATGGCCGTCTAGCGATGGGCTTATACACACGACGGCGAGATGCAAATGGCTTGCTAACAGAAACAGAAATGAGATCTCCGTATAGTTTGCTATACGATGGCGCATATCAACCAATCATGGGCGGATGGTTTAGTGGTATAATTTTCCCTTAGCATCGGCAATCATTCGATTAGCCTCCCGCATGGGAAAGGTCCGGGGTTCGATTCCCCGTTCGTCCAGTTTATTTTTTTGCATTGGTTTACAATTGCTTCCTTCAATCAGCATTTGTCCCTGAGATTCTTTGAGCTGTAACCATACATCAACAGATTCTCCTTCTTCTTTTTTAAGGCATATCTTATGGTCTTCGGTCTTCCTTTCATGGTATCAGTCTGTCAAGTCATCTGGTTACATATCAAATGCAAGCGTGCCTATACAGCTGGCCATGACGATGAGGAACTCAGTAGCTGGGAATAATGCGCGATAAAGATACCAGAGGTTTTTCTCATAATCAAGGTCTCTAAAGGTGTAGCAACTGTGCATTCCGTTCATACAGCATTATCAGCTTTATCGATCAAAGCACTTTGAGAGCCAGCTCAAAGAGATCAAAGAAAGCCTCCTGTTCCTTTTCAGCCTTTGCCAGCCCAAATCCGAAGACTAGCGTCCGTCTCTCTTCCGGTGACCGTAGGGATATGTGGCTTGCAATCTGCGAGGCATAAAGCTGTCCAAGCGTTTCTCTACTGTCGCCGCCTCCACCCAGCAGTGTCTTTGGTGCGAGATGAGTCGAAGGGAGCAATCCATGCTTGCCGCTTGGCAGGGCCATGTCAACGATGCCAGCGGAGGTTCCCATCATAGGGACTTGAATCTGCAGCTGTATCAGCATCACTCTTCACTTGTTGCCAGCATATTAACTAGGCATACCCATTGAGCTAGTCGCCCTTCTTGGCTGACTGTAATCATAACCTTGTCCGAGAATTCTAGTAGAGTGACTTCTGTAGGAACTCCATTGACCAGCCCAGAAGCGGATCGACTCCGAGCTGGGAAGGGTTCCTCTCTTATATCTAGCGTCGCCATTCTTAACTTTTGTTGTGTATCCCCCAAGATCCAGGGTAAGTTGCCTCTGTGAGAGCTTCAGAAGCCAAATGAAAGCGCCGAATGGCCCCCGCACTATTCCCGATGCGGATCAAGACTTTGGCGGTCAAAAGCGGCAAAACCGCTGACCCACCAAAATTTCTGGTTATCGCTTCTTGGTTCTCGCGATAGCGCTGCGAATTGAACGACACCAATGCAGCTTAGCATTGAGCATAATGTTATAAAGTCTCTCCATCTCCAAGCCTTAAAAAATGGCTAAATTCGTGCCACGGCAGAGAAAGCACAGGGTGCTGGCTCGCGAACGAGCCAAAGAAAATGCTCGCCATGAAGTCGAAGACACCAACCAGGAAATCTTGCCGGCTGCGAAAAAGGACCTGGAGGAGAAGAAGGCTCGCATGAAGGAGCAGCTGAAACAAGATGGCGTGAAAATGAGCGGCAAGAAGGCGAAGCGCCTTGAGAAATATATCGATAACAAGCTCCGAAAAGACGAAAACCGAGAATTGCTTGCGAAGCTAGCCGAGAGAAAGATTGATACGAGCCTGTTTTCGAGCAGCAGATCTCTTGGACAGGGACGCGAAACGAAGAAACAGGCATTGACTCGTGCGCTGAGAGAGCACAGAGCTGGAGTTGATCCCACGTCGTCGGCAGAGACTCTCCTTTTCGAACAGCGGCCAGAAGTTGATGAAGATGAGAGAGAAGACGAAGATGATGCGAATATGTCGGATGACGAGGCTGCACCTGCTGCCGCACCAAAAACTGAAACCGAGTCCACAAAAGCGGCTGTTCAGCCGACTCAAGAAGCGACAGTGGCGGCGACACCGGCAGTTTCTGTTGGATCTGGCCTCAAACGAGCGCTCGAACTAGATGATGAAGGCCGACCAGTACTTCAGAAGCGACAAAAGAGAGGTGGCCTGAAGTCAAAAATCTCTCTTGTCGCGAGTCAACAGCCAGCTTCAGAAGAATCAGAGGATGACGACGAATGGAACGGGCTCAGCGGAGATGAGAAAGAGGAAGCCGATGAAGACGATGAAGACGAGTCTGACGAAAATTCCGAAGATAATTCGAGCGAGGACTCCGAAGAAGATGAATCCGAATCCGAAGAAGAAACAAGCGAAGACGAGGTGATGGATGAAGAGCAAAAGAGCCACAGGTCGTCTTCTTTCAAGGCATGGGCCCATCAGCAGATAAACGAGGCACAAGGATACCAACCAGTGGACGCAGCTTCGTCTGTACTGGAGATACCCAAGCCCGAAAACTTCGTCCCTAGGGCTCCCGAGCAAGATCCGCTACCAATGGAATTACAAGTAACCGAAAAGACCTTAAGAAAAGTCTTTAGTGTAGGCGTTGTCCGAACGCCTGAGATTCAAGAGGCTCGAATGAAGCTCCCGGTTGTCTCTGAGGAGCAGAGGCTCATGGAAGCAATTCACAACCATGACATTGTCGTAATATGCGGTTCTACCGGTTCCGGAAAGACGACGCAGGTACCCCAATTCTTGTACGAAGCAGGCTATGGGTCTCCCGATTCTCCAACACCAGGCATGATTGGCGTCACCCAGCCTCGTAGGGTTGCTGCTGTCAGTATGTCTAAGCGAGTGGCGGACGAACTGGGAGATCATTCCAGCGCAGTGGCTTATCAAATCCGATTCGAGGGCAACGTTGACGCAAAGACGGCCATCAAGTTCATGACTGATGGTGTGTTGCTTCGAGAAGTTGCGCAAGATATCACTCTGCGAAAGTATTCGGCTATCGTTATCGACGAGGCTCACGAGAGAAGCGTCAATACCGACATCTTAATTGGTATGCTCAGTCGAGTCATTAAGCTGAGGACCGAATTGTCGCAAGAGGACCCAACGATCAAGCCTTTGAAACTCATCATCATGTCTGCCACGCTACGGATAGAAGATATGACCATGAATCCGACTCTCTTCCCAACACCACCCCCTGTTGTGGAGGTTGAAGGACGCCAGCATCCAGTGACTATTCACTTTGCACGTCGCACGCACTCTGACTACGTAGAAGAAGCATTTAAAAAGATTTGCAGAGGCCATAAAAAGCTACCACCTGGTGGATTTTTGGTCTTCTTAACTGGCCGCAACGAGATTTTGCAGCTGAGCAAGAAGTTAAAGGCTGCTTTTGGAGGACCAAGGTCAGCTGAAGGCCCCAAGGTGCAGATATCGGCGACCGAAGCACCAGTTGAAGTCGAAGATCTCGAATTTGGCGATGTTGATGCCCACGATTTTGACGACGACATAGACGGCATCGAATCTGATGACGAAGGAGAAGGAGAAGACGAATTCAAGATTGACGAAGAAGATGAAGTTGTTCCCCTCAAGATGCAGATACTGCCTCTCTACTCGTTACTTCCTGTCAAAGAGCAGCTGAGGGTTTTTGAAGACGTTCCAGAAGGAACTCGAAAAGTCATATTGGCAACCAACGTTGCAGAAACCAGTTTGACCATTCCTGGTATGCGATTTGTTTTCGACTGCGGACGCTCAAAGGAAAGGAACTATGACCGTCTCAGTGGTGTCCAAAGCTACGAGATTGGCTGGATTAGCAAAGCTAGCGCTAGCCAGCGATCTGGTCGTGCTGGACGTACCGGACCTGGTCACTGCTATCGACTCTACTCATCGGCTGTCTATGAGAGAGACTTCCAAGAGTTCTCAGATCCCGAATTACTCCGTACACCTATCGAAGGCATTGTGTTGCAGCTCAAAGCCATGAACTTGCAGAACGTCGTCAACTTCCCCTTCCCAACGCCTCCCGACCGACAGATGCTTGCCAGGGCTGAAAAATTACTTACATATCTTTCTGCCATATCCCCTAGCGGACAAGTTACAAAGGTTGGAACAACAATGTCCATGTTCCCCCTATCGCCTCGATTTGCAAGGATTCTGCTCGTGGGACATCTCCACAACTGCCTGCCCTATACCATTGCTCTGGTAGCTGGACTGTCCGCAGCGGAAGTCTATCTCTCGGAGAGTCAAGCAATCCCGGCTCTGGCTGCTAAAGAGGACACCGAGATTCGTACTGCAGAAGATGTGATTGCCGAGGATCGCCAAGCCAATGCCAGACGACTATTCAACCAGGTTCAGAAGAATTTCTGCTTCTTGGATGACAAATCTGACGCTATTAAGCTGCTGCAGGTGGTAGGCGAGTATGCGCATGAACCGACTGAGAAGTGGTGCGAGGCTCATTTCGTCCGCTTCAAGGTCCTCAAGGAGATTCAACAGCTGCGGAAACAAATCACAGACCTGCTGCGCACAAACATTCCTTCGTTCGCGGCGCTCAAGTACCAGGACAAGCTAGATCCCCCATCACCAAAGCAGGTCAGTGCTTTGAAGCAAATGACTGCAGCTGGCTTCTTGGATCAAGTGGCTATCCGCGCTGATCTGGCACCCAATCCGCCCGAGCAGTTCAGAAAGCCACGCCGAGCTATCGATGTGCCATATATACCCCTTATTCCTTTACACAGACCCGGCAGCGGCGAAGATCCATGCGTTTATATCCACCCTGCCTCTTCTCTTGCACACGTCAGCATCCAGGAATGCCCCGAGTATATCGTTTATGCCTTCCTCCAGCGAGCCACGCCTTCTGGTGCACTTGATTCGGAAAAGAAGCCTAAGACGAGAATGCATGCTCTTACCGACGTGACAGGTGGACAACTGGCAGGACTGGCAAAGGGAACGCCGCTGATTAGCTATGGAAAGCCAATCAAAGAGGTGAAGGCGCAGTCGTTGGGAGCAGATGGTGCCATGACGAGGGAATGCTGGGTCGTACCATACTTGAGGGCGGAGAATACTGCAGGACAGGGATGGCCTCTGCCGGCGCAGAAGGTGAAGCAGAAGAAACTAGCGGGTAAGGGATGGGTTGTTGAGTGAAGTTGAATAGTATATATATCACATAATGGCGTTGTTGGATGGGTTAGAATGAACAAAAGTAATAGATATATAAATTACTGACGATATTATGCTACTTGCACTTCTACCGGCTTGCTTCCAATACACGACTGAGACGAGTTAAAATTGATATATCCGTTTATATGATGCTACGCTACATTTCTATCTTCCTGTGAACAATTTCGACCCAACCTCGAACCGGGTATCAAAAACAAAATACCATAACGCCGCCATTTATCCTTTTATAGCCAAGAGGCTTTTGGTAATTTGCACACATTAAAAAAAAAAAGAGCAACACCTTCTCATGATGCTGCAGGAGTCGCCGCAGGAGTCACGCTAGGACTCATTTTGCTCTTCTTCCTCTTCAGCTTAGGCATCGTAGCCGATTTCGGTGTCTTGTCAGCCTTGCCATCCTTTTTATCATCCAGTTTGGTATTTAACATCGGAGGTCCGCTCATGGCACTGATTCCAGTCGGGGCAGCAGCGCCCTGAGGAGGCAGTACCGGCTTCCGACCTGTAGAAGAGAGGTGGAATTCTCCAGGCTTTCCCGTAATGGGGATCTCGTCAATGTATTCTCCTCCATATCGTAGGTGGATCAGCAATGATTCCTCGGCGACTCTGTCCATGGAAGGGGCGTCGTGCTTTGTTGCTGTTGTAGGGGCTGATTTGCCGGCTTCGTCGAGCACTGGTTTCTCCTCTTGCGGTTTGGCTGGGGTGGTGGTAGATTGGCTTGCGGGGAGATGGTATACGTGGCCTGTGGATGGACGCCATTTGCGGGCTGCTTCGGCGGCTGGTAAAGCTTTTGCAATGGCCGAAGATATTGTCATCTAGGAGCAAAGTCAGTCATTCATTCTTTAACGGGCGTTTTCCCACGAGTACTGAGCAGGTTCTCTGGCTCTTTCACATACAATTCTGGCTGCCAGAATATCCGCCAACGTGGGAGCCATGTAAATATTCTCCCCTACAACAAAAAACGAGGCATGGACCGTGATTTCGTCGTCGTCTTGGTATCGCTTCCGCCTCGTCTGCTTGCGAATGACCCAAACGCCAGTTCCCATGCCAGGACCCGTCTCGGCAGGCTCCTCTCCCACGATGAATTCCAAGCCCGACATTGTTTTGAGACGCGTTTCAAAGGCCTCACGTGTTTGGATGTAGTGGTACATGGCCATGTTGTTCATTGCCTGGGCCATGATGACGGCGTTGTTGGAGGTGCGCTCGAAGAAGGGCGATTCGGCGAAGTAGAAGAGGATTGTGTTGGAGTGGAGGCCGCCCATCTGGGCTACGATCTGGGGGGAGCGCCATTGGATCTCGTCGAGAGGAGGGTCGTTTGGATTCGACATTTCGAAGCTGGCTGTGCTGGTGTTGATGTTGCGGGAGAGAGAAGATGATGGATGATGTGAGGTACCTAAGCTTGCAGAGTGGGTTGGCGCTGTAAAGAAGCGCTACCCAGTGTGGAGTATCGATTACGGCGGGCCCTTCGCGTTCTGCCGTCAATTTGATTCTTCATCATAACCAAGACCTTTCACGACGACTCTATTCTGCCTCTCTCCAACATGGTGGCGAGTCAGTAGAACTATCAATAATTTACGTCTCAAATTCATTCTCGCAGTTTTTACTCTCATATTCTAGACGACACCGATCATGGATCTTCTCTCGACCATCCGAAAAACCGGCTCGAGAGGTGGCGTCAACTTCAGCTGGGACGAAGTTGCCAACTCCAGCCATCGCGAAAACTACCTCGGCCACAGTCTCAAAGCTCCAGTTGGAAGATGGGCAAAGGGCAGAGATCTGAACTGGTACGCCAAATCTGAGGCCACCGCGGCGTCATCGAACGAGACAGACGAAGAGCGCCAGGACCGAGAACAAAAGGAGGAACTGCGCAAGATCAAAGAGGCGGAGGAAGACGCAATGGCCAAAGCATTGGGCCTGCCGCCTCCAGTTAGGAATACGTCTGGAGCCAATGCGGTGGAAGTTGAACCGAAGCGACAAGTCGGCCCTGCGAGCGGACCGCCGAGAGAGGGTAGCAGAGATGATGCAAAACCAGAGAGATCAAGACGACATGGGGACGACAGAAGAGAACGAAGACGACACAGGAGCAGAAGCAGAGACAGAAGCAGGAGCCCTGACCGGCGCCGCGACAGAGACCGTCGGCGACGCAGCCCTGATCGTGCCGAGGGACGAGACGAACGAAATCGCGACCGGGATCGGGATCGCGATCGCCGACAGCGTCGAGATCGTGAAAGAAGTCGAAGCAGAGATCGGAGAGACGACAGACGTGATGATGGGAGAAATGAGAGGCGAGACGAGCGACGGCAGAGAGATAGGAGCAGGCAGCGACACCGTTCGCGATCAAGGGAGCGCAGACGACGGAGTCCTGGAGCAAATTCTCGCCGCGATGATTAATGCGGCCATTTCCATTCATTAATCTTCAAGAAGATTGTTATATAGATGTGCATTTCTCGAGTATTTTACAACTTATAAATAATGAGCAAAGATACCCATATCAAATACTAAGATGCTACAAAAACTACATGATACATCTCATATCATAATAGTGCTACTACCAACTGCGCACCTTGCTTTCTAATAGTATCTGTTTGACGTATGTTGCAAACCGGGAACCTGTTCCGTTCCACATCTGCAAGTGCCAGGCAGCATGCCAACGGTTTGCTGCAGTAACTTCCATGCTAACGGGGTCCTCCGTGTTTGTACTTCTGCGCCAGTCGGCTCCCTAGCCGAAAATCCTTTAGCGCATTTGGCCGCTATAACATTATTTGCACGGGGTCTTGACACGTGCAGTTGTAGCGGCGAGTCGCAACGTAAGCTCCCGAGTAGCATCACTGCCTTAGATTTCGTACTCTCAAAACAATCTCCCTCCAACAAACGATGCGGGCATCCGGCTCTGCGCATAGGGGCTTAGTCTGATTCTGTATCTTTCTCTCCTTTATTTGCCTTTGTTTATTTGCCGTGGATCATTCGGTTCGTTTTATTAGCATCAGTAACGCCGCCTGGCTTTGTTGGGTTCATTTAGCGAGCGTCTCCAAACCTCGGTTGGGTCAGCTTGTCCCTTTAACGTACAAGACTGGGATTCCCCTTTACGACACACTCGCTACTGCGTAACGAAGGACAGCAACATGTACTTTTGAATCTAAAAGTCGAATACGATCACTGCCCGTCTCCAACCATGGCGATGGATTATTCGAGCCTCCGGGCAGCCGCTCTGCGAGACGGCGAAGACGAAGAGGCTGTTACCGTCGATACCCGCGCTCTGATCGACAAAGTACTGGCTCGATATTCGGGAGAGTGGACAACTCTGCGAGAGCTCATACAGAACGCCGCCGATGCGCAAGCCACGACTGTCTCGATCAAGTGGGAGACGCATCCGTCGACAAGCGTTCCTCTTCCCAGCAATGCGAACCGATCCGAGTTGCTGAAGCACACGATAGCCAACCATACGCTGCGGCGACTGGTTGTCCAGAACGATGGCCAGCCTTTCACAAAGACTGACTGGGGGCGCCTCAAGAGAATCGCCGAAGGAAACCCCGACGAAACCAAGATTGGAGCGTTTGGCGTTGGCTTCTACAGCGTCTTTGCCGATTGCGAGGAACCCTTTGTTAGCTCTGGAAGCGAGGCCATGGCTTTCTACTGGAAGGGAAACTCTCTGTTTACAAAGAAGTCACATCTGCCTGAAGATAAATCATCGCCCTATACTGCGTTTGTGCTAGACTATAGAAATACGACGACTCCCATGCCGAATCTGCTGTCTATAAGCCAGTTTCTGGCCACGAGTCTGACGTTCGTTGCGTTGGAGAAGATGGAGTTTTGGATAGACGATCATCTGATTTTGTCTCTTCACAAGAAGACATCGCCAAGTGTTGACCTGACCTTGCCTCGTGACCTAGAATCTCGGACAAAGGACAACATCATGAAAGTAGCAAGTGTAGGTCGTACAAGCACTCAGATTGACGCATCTTTCATGAATGCGGTTGGATGGAAGCCGCAAGCAGCAGCATCTACGACGAAATCCTCAGACTCGTATGGTTCAAACGATGCGCCCTCACTCAAGTCCTTCTTTGCCAGATTCACCGCAACTGCATCAAATAGCAGTCTCCTGAAGACTAAGCAGCAGGCAGAAGAGAGCCAGGCACAGACAAAGATTACCGAAGATGTTACCAAATTGAACACCGCCACAATATTCCTTAGAGCTACCACTGCCAGTATCAAGACTCACGTATCCTCTTCTTTTTCGGCTGAGCTTGAGCGTGCTACCAAGAAGCCTCCTCCAAAAACTACAAAGATATCTATTCTCACCACGTCATATGACGAGGCTGAAGCTTCCAATAGCTCATCGACTGAAAGCGGCGCTTTTGCCAAAGCAATAGACGTATTTGCTTCTGTGCTTCCAAGCAAAAAGCCGGGCGGCCGTATCTTTATCGGCTTCCCTACCATGCAGACTACAGGCGCCGGCATGCATATTTCCGCTCCCTCTGTAATCCCCACTGTGGAGAGAGAGGCCATCGACTTGAATGCTCGCTGGGTTAGGACGTGGAATGTTGAACTACTTCGAGCCGCAGGTATCATAGCGAGAATAGCCTTTGCCAACGAGATGGACGACCTTGATCGCAGGATCCGACAATCATCTGAAGCTGGCAAGAAGATATCTGCCGAGATTGTTGACAAATTCATGCCCGAGGCGCTTCATACCCTGAAGACATTTACCTTTGTTGACTCTACGCCGAGCAGCCAGGTCGGCCAGATTATCGAAGAGGCTTTCTGGACCTGCTTTAAGAAGGCTTCTATCGAAGTGTACTCAAGCAGGGGTGTATTGCAAACATCACAAGTTCGGCTGGGCTCAGAAGAGTTGAGTTCATTCGTGGATAGCATTCCAATTGTGCCTCAAGAGATGAAGAACGCGCCATTTGTAAAGAAACTCATCGACTTTGGCCTCATTTCCCACATAACTGTAACAGATGTTAAACAGGAGTTGGAAGCCAAAGCTCTTACAAAATCCCAAGCCATCAACTTCATTAAATGGGCGGGAAAGAAGAGCTTAACCGGCGAGATTGACCCGGGAAGCAGAGCCGCTCTTATGGACGTCGCTGTTGCCACTCTCAGCGATGAAAACGACCAGGGTGAAATCGTGGCCCTGGGCAGCATAAGCAACTATCTCAGTCTCGCAAAGATTCCTGCAGGTATGCCTGTCCCTCCAACTACAGTGCCATTCGCTCTCATTGTGAATATCAGTGCTTCTGAGTTGGAAGCTCTTGGGTGGGAACCGCTGGAGATTGTACCATGGCTACGTTTCCTCATCGAAACTACGAACTCTAGGCCTGAGGAGGAGAGCGTCACTAGGTCGTCCAAATTTGCCGTTTCTGTTCTCACTGTTCTATCCAAAAACTGGGAGAATATGACTATGATTAGTAGGGGGACTGTGCTAAGCCTTATCCAACCAACCCCAATGATACCGACCAAGCTGGGTATGAAGAAACCAACGGAATCATTCTTCGCGTCTGTGAAGCTTTTTGACGATTTACCGGTCATCCAAGGCTGCGAGAAGGTAAAAGAGAAATTCCTGGCTGCCATTGGTGTACGAAAGACAGTTGACTTGGAGACCATTTTCACTCGTCTGCTCAATGCCTCGGGAGAGGATGGCCAAAAGAAATGGAGCCATATGGAGCTTATCAAGTACCTTGCCTCTGTCCAGAATGATATTCCTTCGGACGATCTTAAGAAATTGAAAGAATCCAGGATCTGTCCTGCTGAGGCAGGACCCAAGGGTATGGAGCCTACAAAGGCCACGACGAAGCTGTACAAGGTCTCAGAACTGTTTGAGCCCAAAGACTCTCTTCGATCCCTCCAACTGCCCATCATTCAGTGGCCCGGGCCTCCTGGCAGCTTTCGTCCAAGCAGCCCCGAGGCTCGCTTTCTGGCTGTCCTTGGCTTGCGGACTTTCCCCTCAGTTCCTGAGCTGGTGGACATGATGTCATCGAGCGATCAGGCCTTGAGAACTTCGGCTATGACCTACTTTATTGCTAATCATCATACGAATCGATATGCTGCTTTTGATCTCAGCGACTGCCGCAAACCCATTCTACCGCTCCAAGGAAGTACAAAGTTGGTTACGCCAGCCGCATGCTTTACGAATGAGAGAGCGTCGGTACTTGGATTTGAGATCCTGAGCCGAGATCTCCATGATCATGCCAACGTATGTATCCCTTCCATTCTCCTCAGAAATTCGTCATGTAATCTAACATAGTATATCAGAAATTCGGCGTTGCTCGAGACCCCCCTATGGTTGAGTGCGTGAACCGTCTGTTGGCTAACCCCCCAAAGAACTATCAGTCCGCTGTGACTCTCTTTAGCTATTTTGCCTCTCGAATTAGCGAGCTTGGAGAAAGTAGCCTTGTCAAGCTCCGAACTGCTGCAATTATCCCTGTGAACCGGTCCACCGGATCAGCAAAATCTGGCTCAAACACGTCTTATATCAGCCCATCGCGGGCATATTTGGGAACGTCTTCCACATATGGCGACATTTTCGACTTTGTGGACTTTGGCCAAGATGGGAATGCATTCTTGTTCAAATGCGGCGCGAAGAGTGAACCAACTAAAGTGGAGGTTGCATATATGACGTGCAACGAGCCGGCAAGGCTACTCAGCGTGTTACAGAGCCCTGAGAAGTATTTGGATCTGCTCAAATCTTTAGCGGAGTCTGCTTCGACCTTACAGCGCGACAAGGAGCTTTGGCGGAAAATGAAGAGCTGCTCGTGTCTTCTCGCTTACAAAGAACTCGTGGCACCGTCCAAGGGCGGTAGCAACGATTTGGACGAAGAAGAAGCTCCGATCAAGCAGTATCAACTTGCCGCTGCTAACCAAATTGTGGTTTTGGACGACATTATTAGCTACCGACTCTTCAAAGAGTATTTGATTTGTGCTCCTGAGGAGGACATTCTCGAGACCTTTTATCTCAAACTTGGTGCGACGAGGCTTAGTAGCATAGTTCAAGAAGATGTGCGCATTGGGCCTCACACAGGACGACTGCCAATGGCTGAGTCGCTTAAAAAGCATGTTCTTGAAAGATCCAAGATTTTTTTGTACGAATATGCCAACTACCGCAGGGATGCTATCAAGCACGATGCGAAGTGGCTCGAGAAGAATCTTACAGTGGAAGTGGTTCGATCAGTGGCGCTTCGGCGCAGCTTGCAAGGCCACAGGCAAACGCATACCGAGAGGCGCTCTGCGGCTGCCACGTACACCAACCGAGCATGGGTATTGTATGTGGCTGACGACGGAAAGCCGGACATGTACCAGGTTGGTCAGGCTATCTGTCAAATGCTACTCGATAGACCAAACCAGCAAGCGTATCTATTCTTCGAACCCTTCCTCACCCTCGATCTTTACCAACTGAGGTCGCGTGGGTACAACGTTGACCGCATCCTTCGAGCAAAGGCCGCCGAGGCAAGAATCGCGGAAGAGGAAAGGCGCAAGGCGTTGGAAGAAGAACAGAGACAGATTCGGGAAAGAGAGCAGAACTGGGCACAGCAATCCCAGTCTGATCGTTCCAAGAACCCGCAACTTCCACAGGCAGCCGAAGCTGCACGAGAGGCGCCTAAATCCCCAGCGTCTTCGCCTTCCATGCCGGGAGCATGGGACTCTCCTGAAGAGAGTGCACAGGATAAAACTGCCAATAACAGAAAAAGCAGAGGCCTATTTTCCAACCTTAGCCGTAGACTTGGATTTGATACCCAGGATGACGAGAAGAACGACTCCCGAGGACAGGTGGAGCAGTTTATGGGCAACAATTCCAACACCAACGCGGGCCCATCGTCGGGTGACGGGGCCGCTGGTAATGGGGATGGCCAAAAGGATGATGGCAAAGTCACGAACCCGGCCGTTGTGCAACAGAATCTGCTAAACGCAGTCAATGCAACCCGGGCGCACGGCTCCGACAGAGTCTTCTCAGAGCCTCAAGTCAACGAGGTCAAGGAACAGGCAACATATTGCGACAAGAAACCGGCTCAAAACATCAACTTTGTGGCTGAGGCTTCCAATGGCATGAAAGTCTTTGTGGCCAAGGATATGAGTGCCAATCCAGCAGCCTTTTTGTCGGCAAATCTAGCAGCAATCAACTCATTTGCATCGCTGCTTGTGGAAGTGGGCGCAGTTTACTCGTTGGCGCCAAAAGTGTTGCACATATTCTATGATGAGGCAGGCGGTACGATTGCGTTCAATACGGGTGGAAGCATCTTTTGCAACCTGCGCTTCTTCCTCCAGCTGCACGCGGCACAGGTTGATGTGCCAAACGGGGCTGGTAAAGCCGAGGCAGGGACTTGGTGGTGGGTTGTGATGGCCCACGAGTTGGCTCACAACTTGGTTTCGACTCACAACTCTGATCACAGTTATTACACGTATGTTATCTCCTTGACACAGCTTCGAATATATTACCAGTCGTTGACTAACAGTTTTGCAGTGAATCGTTTATCCAGCAGTATATGGGCAAGATGATGGCAAAGACTGCCCAGTGGACTCAGGGCGGTGCGTCCCGGTCAGCTGAGCTCCCTTCTCGACCTGCGCCAGAGAGGCAATCGGTTCCTTCAGAACCGCCGCCTTCGTATAGAGAAGCGCGGAATGCAGCCGACTACATGTTTGGCTAATGTCACGATTTGTATTGTGTGGGCGTTTTGATATTTGTCTGTTTCTCTTTTTCTGGGCGTTTGACCGATACAGCGAATGATAGATGAGCGATGTGAAAGTAGACAGCGTATAAGTCGCGATGACGGACGGAGATGGATTGATGGGCAATTGGTTCTTTAGAATGGCCTCTATAGACTACTCAGCTCTACCCTTTGCGATTAGATACATACCACGCAGTTTATGAGATGCCGACTATAGAGAACTGAACTGAACTCCTATCAGCAAGCTCGCCTGCTTGTTCAAACAAAAGTTCCATTCACATGTTGCTTACTCCAATTTAATTCGTTAGCCTCGATACTAAATCTTAAAAAAGCTGATTACCTAAGGCGATGCCGATTGTCGGCTGGTGTAGCTCGAGTTGCAAGTGAAAAACTTTCGACGCATTGGTTGTTGGTTACACTTGATCATTATCCCAGGCATCTGTGAAAAAATGGATCAATCGGAGGCGCAGGCTATTGACAGTTCTTCTGGCAGCGAGAAGGGCCTGAACAACAGCAGAGGCAGCAGAGGGTACGGCGGCCGCCTATATTTCCCCAAAGACTCCAGTTCCCGCTAACAAGGTGCTGCATCTGCAGGCGACGACCGAGCATCATCCTGCCCCCACGCGATGAGCGCGACCAGCCAGACGCAAAGCGCCGGCGGAGAAAGAAGAAGGCCGCCCGGCGGGCGAAGAAGGACGACGTGGACGGCGACAGCAGCAGCAACGTGAACACGGGCGCGGACACGACGCTGACCAAGACAACCGGCCCGCTCGTCGACTTTGAGGGCCTCAGCCGGCCCAGCTTTGGCACGCAGCAGCGCCGCAAGGAGACGCCCGAGGCGGCGGCGCTGCGCCTGGAGCGCATGAAGGGCGCCGTGACGACGCTGCTGGAGTGCGTGGGCGAGGACCCCCAGCGCGAGGGCCTGCTGGCGACGCCGCAGCGGTACGCAAAGGCCATGCTGGACTTCACCAAGGGCTACCAGGAGAACATCTCGGACATTGTCAACGGCGCCATCTTCCAGGAGGGCCACAACGAGATGGTGATTGTCAAGGACATTGACGTGTACTCGCTGTGCGAGCACCACCTGGTGCCCTTCATGGGCAAGATGCACATTGGCTACATCCCCAACAACGCCGTCATCGGCATCTCCAAGCTGCCGCGCATCGCCGAGATGTTTGCGCGCCGGCTGCAGATCCAGGAGCGCCTGACAAAGGACGTGGCAAATGCGATCTTCGAGGTGCTGGCGCCGCAGGGGGTGGGCGTCGTCATGGAGTCGTCGCACCTGTGCACGGTGATGAGGGGCGTGCAGAAGACGGGCAGCACGACGATTACGAGCTGCGTGCTGGGGTGTTTTGAGAGGCGGGAGAAGACGCGGAATGAGTTTCTGAGCTTGATTGGGGTGAATCGACGGTGATGGTGGTGCGGATGGTGCTTGTACTATTTGCTTGGGCTTGGGATTTTTTTGGGCTTTTGCTTGGGCGTGGGGTTTTGACTAATTGGCTATAGCTAGCTTTGACTGTGTGATATTTAGAAGCTGCATGTTAATGAATTGCTGATCTTTTTTTCTTTTTTCTTCTGGAAGGAGGTTCTTATGTGTTTTGCTTTTTTTTTTTTTTGTCTTGACTTGTTAGTCGTTGGCTGAGACATGCTGGAACAGCGTACTAAGTAAGCATGTTTACTACTGGCCCAACGGGTGGGCTTGTTACTTTTAGTTTATTTGACTATCTAATGCTGTCATATTTGAAATGCCATGGCTTTCAATTCACGCAAAATAACGGATTTGTCCGACATTCTCTAGGTCAGCTTGGGTTGAATAATTGTAGCTTCTATATATGGTTGCGATAGCTTGGTCCAAGTCTCTTGCTTTACAGTGCATGGGAGAGTTTCCCCAACTGCTTTGGCAACAAAACAGAGAAAGTATTAGAGCAAAGGAGATGAGAGTATAATATAAATAAACCTAATAATTTTTTATAATAAGATTATTATTATTCGAAACATAATCGTGAGTAGCATCAAGACTATTTGTTGTTGATCTCATTGCCCAGTACGCCAAGTCACATGCCTCTCCACGTGACTCCACCTCTCAATGGCGGGTCGTCCAACCTCATCATCCCAATTCCGATAGCCCAGGCATCACGGCCCATCCCAGCTCTCAAAACCGGCCAATTCTCCAACACCACCAGGGAAGACGCCAATCCCCGGACCCTCGATCTCTCCTCCTTTCAACACAGATCAAAATCTCCCACTCCATCCATCATGGTCCACCGCGTCGCTTTCTGGAGCTGCTTCGGTTCGTATCTCCCTCCCCCCCCACCGGGACAAAATCTCTCTTTGAAGCTATCCAAGCTAACCACTCTCTTTCTCTCCCCCCACAGGCTTGGCCGTGCGCTTCTGGCAGGTCGGCATTGAGATGCGCCCCTTCTTCAACCGCTCCTCGCTGTGGGCGTACCCCGTCTATGCGCTCGGCGGAGCGAGCTTCGGACACTGGCTGCAGGGCGTGGACGACCGACAGACGGAGATGCTGGGCGAGCGAAAGAGGGCTTTGTTGGAGAAGAGGGCGAGGAAGGCGCAGCGGGATGCTGAGAGGGGACAGGAGGCTTAAACGTTTTTGAAAAAAAAAAAAAAAAGAGTGTTTTGAAGGAGGGGATTTTTAATAAAAGGGACATATATGGGATGGAAAGGACAAGAAGAGCGAAATATCCGAATTGTACATAAAGATGGGCTGGAGAGCGACGGAAGATTTCGGAATTGATCATCTTTTTTTTCTGTCTTGGATTGATGGAAATGAGCAAGTTTGAGAGTCGTGGGCTGAGATGTGATGTTATGCGTCATTGGATTGGCTAGCTATCGGGTTCAATGCATTGAGAGGCTTCCAAAAACGCATACATGCAGATGCAGATACACATGATACAGATCATTTGTCATGCTCACAGTTTCAGTATGAATTTCAAGATCACGAATTGGTTTCTTTCTTTCTTTCTTTATCCTTTGCTTAATGCCTTGTTGGCTACAGCCTGCCTCATATTCCGTCATAAATGCTTCTTTATTTTTTTGTTTTACTTTTACTTTTACTATTCCTCTTACAGTTCCTCCAGTTTTCGCAAAATTGCAGGCACAGACTTGGCTGAACAGATACCCAGCTCCGTCACCACAGCCGAAATAGACTTATCCCTTGTCGTGTCAAACAGCAGCCTAAACTCCTCATCCGTGTTCCTCTCTGGATCAATCTCATTGTACGTGAGCGAATCTATCGACACACGCTCCGTGAAATTGATCGTCTCGCACAGCGAAGTCACCCGCATGCCCAAGTCAAAGGCAGCCGTTGCGACGTCGCAAGTGCCTGCTCGCGCGTACATGGCTCCGTTGCTAAACATGGCCTCTGCAGCGACGAGAACAGTAGTCGACTCCTGAAGGTTGGTGCGCAGGGCGCCAAAGTCGGGTGAGTAGATGACGGGGATGCCGGCAGCAGTCAGCTTCTTGACGTGGCCGAGACCGACTCTCTCAAACGGGTCGTCGACGAGGATGACTTTGAATCGCTTGCCGTTGGCCTTGGCTTTGAGGAGGGCCCTCTCTACGAGGTGGTGGTGCGCATATGTGAGGATGACGTCGTCTTCGGCAATCATGTCGGCTGCCGTATTGACAATGACGAGATCAGCCAGGGTGATGCGCTCGTGGATGAAGCTGTCGATGGCTTCACACAGCAGCTTTTTGGCGTCAGAGTCGGCCATGTCGATATCAATCTTGCTGATCTGAAGCTTAAGCCACCTGATAGCGTTGCCCATGGAGAAGCACATGGGCCGACAGGCTGTGAGGTAGACAATTTGAGGGTTGAGAACGTGGGAGGTGAAGTGTCGAGAGAGGGTGGTTCCATGAGGTGTTGTGTATGAATCAATGACCTTGGGTTTTTTTGTTAGTTGACACACCAGTACTCAAGCCTCATATACTGTACAGCTATTTACCTTTTTGAAGGCCAAGAGGGTAGCCTCTAGCCGAGTGGTGCTATCACTGATGGCCATGGTGCTCATCTGCTGGCCCAGCAGCAGAACAGCAGGGTGGACGTCCTTGTCCGCATGGGTGATGTTGACGCCCTTTGCCATGGCCAGGTGGCTAAAGTAATCTGGAATCGTCGGCTTCACTTCCTTGGGCGCTGCTGGCACTGGTGCAGCCGATCGCGGCGCGGGAATCTTTCCATGCTGGGCTCCGGCCTGTGTTCCATCTTGTTTTGGCTTCGGTTTGCTGCCGCTCTTTGCGTCGCTCTGGGCTGGCGCTCCCGCAGGTGGTTGGGGCTGTGTGGCTTTGGCGGCCGCTCTTCTCGCAGCCTTTTCCTCCTTTGCCTTCTTCTTCAGCTCGGCGCCGGAGAGCTTCTTCTCACCGGCAGGTTCAGCTGCTGCGCCGGCCTTGGCCTGGTCTTTTGACGCCTTCTTCTGGTCTCCCTGCGCTGCCTGATCCTTCTTCTCTACTGGGGCCTCGCTTTTGGGCGCGGGCTGTCCTCCTTCTGCCGCCATTAGGAGGGAGAGTTTGCGACAGGGAGGGAGGAGGTCGAAGCGAGATGTTGGGCTGAGGATTTGGTGTATCAGTCACCGAATAGAGACGGATGTGTATCGGAGTCGCTCTCGACGGCAACGATTGAATTAAGAAACCGAAATCGCGCGGGTTCAGATGTCGTCGCAAGAGGAGGATCCGACAATTCAGGCTGCGAGAATAAAGGAATACCGGCTCAAAGCAGTCCGAAGCGGGTGCTGGCGAAGTCGAAGCAAGTCTTGCGAGAGTTGGAAAGGTGGGGTCTTTGAGTCACTGCAAAATAAATCGAGAAGCGGAAATGCCCCGCGCTAAGGTTAAGATTTGGGACGAGCTGCAGCGAAACTTTGCTGCGCGCAGCGAATAACTGGCTTTACGGGCTTTGCATGCTATAACAAGCTTTCTGGGCTGCTGCATGTTAGAAGATTTGTTCCAGTATTGAGATTATAATCGAGTGGCACGGCTGAGCGCTCGAGACGAATGTCAGCTGCTGCTACAGGCGCCTCTCGGTGCTGCTCTACAGTGCAGAGCGAGCTTCAAGGTGCGAAATGGTACGGGCGGCGTGATCTTTTGTGCGGCTGAAGCTGCCTAGAGGTAGATGTTCGATGCCGAGTAGATGGACGCTGTCCCATCTTCGTCTGAAGCATCTTAGCTGGATTCCTTTCCTTGTATGCTTTTATTTGCTTGCTACAGACTAACTTCTATGTGCACATGAACGCCAGTGGACAGTCATTAGTATGCAGCCTTGCCACACAACAGATCCCTCTTCTACAGGTTTCAAGTGAGCATCACCACTACGCGTCTTCTCACGCGTCTGATTCCAACATATTCCATCACCTCCAATAGCATGTGTCGTCTGTGCCAGTAGCAGCATCCCATAGATCCTCCACGCAGTCCGCTGCTCTCCTCGCTCTTTCTCTCCCTCAGCCAGCTTCCTTCCTCACGCCAGTCCACCAGGGACCAACCGCAATGAAAGAAATAAACAAAAGCTTCCATCCAAAACCAGAGGAAATCGTAGGGTTCCAAAAATTCCCTGGCCGGGACGAACCCAGCCAGGAGTGGTCAGTGTATAGTTTTCAACTAGCAAAATTCCTCTCTCAGCTTATCGCTTCACGGAGAAGGAAAACGCCCGTGCACTTGGATGGGGAAGGAAAGGAGAGAAAAGAGGGTTGAAAATGTGGGAGGGCAGACGAGATTTTATAGTGGCAGAGTGGGGCCAGGAAGCGGGTATTACATAAGCCGGCGTCTGCTGCGTTTGTTGTTAGTGCTGGCAGGCAGCGAGACGCTAGCAGCAGGCAGCGGCCCAGCCGCAATTAGGTAGCTGCACCACCAGCAAGAGTCTATGAGAGCACTTTGTTTTGAGCAGCGCAATTCAAGAGTTATGGGATTGTGAGAAGAAAATAAGAAGCAGCACAAGACTCTGCTGAGATTGATTGTCTGCACTCTGCAACTTGATACGCTTGCACCTGGTCCCTGGTTGTAGTACCTAGCTATGTATAAAATCGCTTGTATATATATAATGCCCCATGTCCATGAGCTGTGGCTAGGACGAGCTAAAATTCGAGTTGCTTTCAACAGAGGACGCCCGTGATAACCAAATATGCTGAGAAAACAGTCAATGGCCTGATGATATGAATGTTGATGAGGCTCCTTTCCGTGCTTGAAATTTTTACAATTAATTCTCCTCCATTGATTAAAATCTCCCATATCGGCTGCACTTTGACTCATACCCATTACTACTAGGGAGATATGGAGCAGCACGGCAGCAGTTGGCTGCTCCAATATAGCTCAGAGGCTAAAAACTCTCTCTCAGCCTACAAGCTTTCCATTGATACACCACCAAGCTTGCAAGTCATACATTGACTTTAAAAAAATAAAATAAAAAATGCTCAAATTCAAACGTGCTTATTCCACCGGCTTCGCCAATGCCATCCCGCCCGCCAAGCTGAAATACGTGCCCACGTCCGGCACGTATCCCAAGGGCTTCCTCGCCTCGGGCGTCTTCGTCGGCGTCAAGCCCGGCAACACCAGCAAGCCGGATCTCGCCCTTGTCACGTCCGACAGACCGGCCTCAGCAGCCGCCGTCTTCACCAAGAACAAGTTCCAGGCGGCGCCGGTGACGTTTAGCCGCAGGATTCTCCAGAGCAAGGCCAATGCCGGGCTGCGCAGCGTCATTGTCAACTCGGGCAATGCAAATGCCGTGACCGGTGTCGGAGGGCTGGAGGATGCGGCGAGCATGGCGAGAACGACGGACCAGAGGGTTGGCAGCGACGATTCGACGCTGGTGATGAGCACGGGCGTGATTGGACAGAGGTTGGTGACGCGGTTTTTGAAGACAAAGGATTTTGTCATAAACTGACTGTATGCATTTGTAGACTGCCTATTCAGAAGATTGTGGACCATATCCCCATGGCCTATCACCATGCTGGAGAGTCTCACAGGCACTGGCTGGACTGTGCCAAGGCCATCTGCACCACCGACACCTTTCCCAAGCTCATGTCGAGGTCCTTTGAGCTGCCTTCGTCTCCTGGAGTCGAGTACCGCATTGCGGGCATGACCAAAGGTGCCGGCATGATGGCCCCCAACCTGGCTACCATGCTCACCATCTTGGCTACCGATGCACCCATTGCGCCTAGTCTAATGAACCCTCTGCTCAAGTACTCGGTGGATCGCTCATTCAATGCTCTTACCATTGACGGCGACACCTCTACCAACGATACCGTGGCTCTTCTTGCCAATGGCGCTGCTGGCGGCAAGGAGATTTCGTCTGAGCAGTCTGCCGACTACGAGGCCTTCAAGGAGCTCCTGACTGACTTTTCCGCCGAGCTGGCCAAGTACCTCGTCCGTGATGGCGAGGGAGCCACCAAGTTCGTCACGATCCGCGTTGTGGATGGTGCTTCCGAAGAGGCCTCTCGAGAAATTGCCCGAGCCATTGCCCGCTCCCCTCTCGTCAAGACGGCTCTGTACGGCAAGGATGCCAACTGGGGCCGTATCCTGTGTGCTGCGGGCTACGCACTCATTTCTCCTCCTGGCCAGCCTGTTAATGATGTCCCTGAGATTATCCCTGAGCGGACGAGCGTGTCCTTCGTCCCTACCGACGGCTCGGCTGAGCTGAAGCTGCTGGTGAATGGTGAGCCAGAGAATGTTGATGAGCAAAGGGCGAGTGAGATTCTCGAGATGGAAGACTTGGAGATTCTGGTAAGGCTGGGTACGGGTGATAAGAGCATTGTCCACTGGACTTGTGATTTCAGTCACGATTATGTTACGATTAATGGAGACTACCGGACGTAGGCATGTAAAAATAGGGCGAATAATAAGTAATTTTGTGTTATTGTTTCATTTTGTTTGGTGAATGAATGAATGCTACGGCTTGTCACAGCTACCTATTCATTCAATTTCTATTCCAAAGCTTTTCCCATATGGTTTACCGTCAAATTTCCCAAGACACTCGCACCGCAATAGCGGAACATTCACATATCCAAAAAAGTGATCAAACTCCAAACTCCCTCTATCTATGTCAACCCTTTTACTTTTCTTCTTCTTCTATATCTCCTCTTTTAAGCGCTCAAAGTGCCCTTGGTGCTGGGAACCTCTCCCTCTCGGCCCTGAACCCTGGTAGTAGCCATGCGAATAGCCACGGCCAGCGCCTTGAAGGCACTCTCAGCCCTGTGGTGGTCGTTGTCGCCCCGCAGGCAGTCGACGTGCAGGGTGATGCGGGCGGCCTGGGCAAAGCTCTGCAGGCAGTGGGGGATCATCTCGCAGCTGAGCTGGCCGAGGTACTCGCGCTTGAGGCCCAGGTCGACGACGGTGTACGGGCGGTTGGAGAGATCGACGACGGCGCGGGAGAGGGCCTCGTCGAGAGGGGCGTAGGCATAGCCGAAGCGGGCGACGCCGGTGAGGGCACCGAGGGCCTTGGCAAAGGTGGCGCCGACGGCGATGCAGCAGTCCTCGGCAGTGTGGTGGTCGTCAACTGGACGAGAAGAGAAAAAGAGTCAGCAGAGCAGCCCATGCAAATCATTGATTGGTATAGTATATGTCATGACGCACTATGGAGATCGCCCTTGCAGTTCAGCGCCATGCTCCAGCCGGCGTGCTTGGCCAGCGCATGGAGCATGTGGTCCAGGAAGCCAATGCCGGTGTTGATGGAAATCACCTGCGACTTGCTGGTCTGCGAGGCGTGAGCGCTGGTGGCCTCGAGCAGGCGAGGGTCGGCATCTTGGGGGAGCTCGCCGCCGTCGATGCTGAGGGCGATTTGGATCGAGGTCTCGTTGGTGTCGCGGGACAGGGCCGCAGCACGGACGGGGAGGGGAGAAGCCATTGTTTGCGAGATTGACTGCGGTCGTTTGATTTCTTTAATCTTGTTTTGTTTTGGAAGAGAATTGGCTACCTTTTTATCTTCCAATGGGAGTCGTGCTAATGCTAAGGCTAAGTCATTTGCTTAGAGGCAGAAAGATTTGTCTCGCTCCTGTATCGGAGTTCGGGGTTGGTGGGATTTTTTTTCTTCTTCCCTCTTTTTGCCTCTAGTGGTCTCCAAGGTAGGCAGATTGTTTACAGTGGTGGCATTAGCACTAATTTGTTGCCCTGGAAATGGCATACAGTGGGCAGGGTCTCGCTGAACTCGCTGCATGGAGGGGTCCAATGCACTGAAGCTACCCCGCTATTTGCTCTATCCACCCCTGCAATGCAGCTGTAGATGGTCTGTGGTGCTACGGACGCGGATCGCGGCAGATTCCAGGTTGGAGCTTTCGCGTCAACATCGAGATTTGGATAGTCGATATCGCTACCTTATCCGCCAAACATCCCGCCATGCCACCCTGCTGAATCCTCACCCTATACTGGTTTCTTTTCCCTCTTTCTCTTCTTCTTTGCTTTCGTATTTGATTCTTTTTGGGACCCGTCCTCCTCATGCAACGTTCCGATCGATGCTAGAAGATGGAGAAGTTTCTGAGGGATTGGAGACAGGATGCCCTCAACAAAGCGCAATATGAGTCGGCCATCTTTATTGGAGACAAGCTGCTGGCTTTAACTCGTCCGTGGCAAACACAACGCTCTTTTACTTTGGCTGGGATGCCTGGACTAATACGTGAAATTACCGATTCGCAGATGACGACAACGATGCCTTCTGGCTAGCCCAAGTCCATTTTGCGACCGGAAACTACACGCGAGCCCAAGCGTTCCTCTCCAAACAAGACCTCATCAGCCGCAACCCAGCCTGCCGTTATCTCGCTGGCCACTGCCTGATCAAACAGTCACGATTCGAAGAAGCTTTAGCTGTCCTTGGAGAGCGCAATCCGACACACCTGATATCCAATGGCCCGAGTAATAAGCGGAAAGCTTCAGCCCAGCCTCGAGGCGGACGCAGACGAGACGACGATGCGGGGGACGAAGAGGCAGCAACCCGACGATTCGAGGCGGCTATGTGCTTCCTCCGGGGCATTTGCTATGCGAAGCAAAACGCCTTTGACAGAGCCAAGGAATGTTACAAGGACGCCGTGAGGATTGATGTGCAATGCTTCGAAGCCTTCCAGCAGTTGATGAAGAATTCGCTTCTGTCGCCGGACGAAGAGTGGCAATTCCTTGACAGCCTAGATTTTGACTCAATACATCTATCGGGAGACCCCAAGTCTTCCCAGGAGGCGGCCGAATTCACAAAGATGCTCTACACGACACGACTGTCCAAATACAGGAATCCCGCTGCATTCGACACGGCATACGACTCGCTGTCAACGCACTATCAGCTGGCCGCTAATCCTGACCTGCAGCTTGCTCGAGCCGACTTGTTATATACACAATGCCGATACCGAGATGCCCTGACCATTACCAATGCCATCCTAGAAGAAGACAAATACAACTTCGCCATATACCCCGTGCACTTGGCGTGTCTATACGAGCTCAAGATGAAGAATCTGTTATTCCTGATAGCCCACGATCTGGCAGATAGCCACCCTGAGGAGCCGTGTACATGGTTGGCGGTGGGCATTTACTACTTTAGCATCAAGAAGATTGCAGAAGCCAGGCGGTATTTTAGCAAAGCGAGCATGATGGACGCACATTTTGGCCCGGCCTGGATCGGGTTTGCACACACGTTTGCCGAGGAAGGAGAGCACGATCAGGCCATTTCAGCCTACTCGACCGCGGCACGCCTCTTCATGGGCACTCATCTACCGCAGATCTTCCTCGGCATGCAAAACCATGCTTTGAACAATATGACAATTGCTGAAGAGTTTTTAAAGACTGCCTACGGGCTGTGCAAGTCAGATCCGCTGCTTCTGAACGAGATGGGCATCGTCAAGTATCATCAGGACAAGCCAAAAGAGGCCATCCAGTACTTTACAGCTGCCCTCAAGGTGGCCGACGAAAATGATAGTGAGCCATCAGCATGGCTTGCGGCGAGGACAAATTTGGGCCATGCATTTCGCCGACTGCGTCATTTCAACCGTGCGCTGGCAGAATTCGACGAAGTATTACGGGCAGGCGGGAAGGATGCCGCCATTTTTAGTGCCAAGGGTCTTATTTTGATGGAACAGAACAGGCCACAGGAGGCTGTTGTTGTCCTCCATGAGGCCCTGGCCATCCACCCCCAAGACAGTATCGCAACAGAGCTCTTGAACAAGGCGTTGGAAGAGACGGCTTTGGTGGATGGCGCTGCAGAGGACGAAGCTGAAGACTTGGCGGATTTCGAGCAACACCTGGAAAGGAGGAAACTTGAAGCGTCGCACAAAGTCAATGGCAAAAGGACAGGCCGCGGAACAATGGACAAGGGGAAAGGCAGGCTCGGCAGACGGCGGACAATGTTGATTGATGATGAGGAAGAACGGGAAGAGACCGGAATGGATATGACTGATGACAATGATGACGAAGCCTAGGAGGCGTATTGCGTACATCGGGACTTGAATCGGGGCATGGATGAAGTTGCGGGAGTCAGCGTGGCTAACCTGCGGCGTTTTGGCGATTGAGTTTTGTCTGCTTACGGTGTTTTGTCTGCTTACGGTGTCTTGTTTTGTTTTGTTTTGAAGGCTGTTTGAAGACAGTCAAGGGATTGATTAGAACAAATTGCATGCATGAATAAATTTGGCAGTAATCATTGGCTTTTGTTACCGACGTACTATTATGAACCTGTCTGCCGTTATGGGGCTAATCGTTTTGACTAGCAGTGGATACTTGCTGCGCTTTGAAGATCAAGATCGGAATAGGTTGTCCCGTTTGAGGCTGCAAGTGGGTATGCGCTGCAGATCCCATCATCTGTCCAAGAACAATAGATATGGGGGGGCATCCATCTACATACTTCGTGCTTTGAGTTCCGTAAGTGGTTGGTTGCGAAGAGTCGTTGAATACAACGGAAGTCTTTTGCCGTCCACTATCATTCAAGCCATTAGCCTGTTTCAATAGCGGTATTCAATTGCGCTAACTTGTAATAGCTTCCCTTCTGCTCGGTAAAGCTCGCGTGCTCTAGGCAGGCCAGGCAGCCACTGCGACCACTAAAGTTAGCTGTCCCACTTGGTCGTTCGAGATGCCAACTTCACGGTTTGGCTCCGAAGACATAAAAATGCGCTTCATCTCCTCGTTTTCCCTCCATTAGTTTCCATCATTGGGCTTGTGGCTTCCATTCCTTCCTCTCTCTTTTATGCCATTGTTAGTTGTAAGATTTTCAATCCTCTCGCTTTTGGCTTCCTCGGCCCATTGACGGCCTCATACATGCGCTGAGCCGATATCCCTGAAAGAAACTGAAACTCTGAACATCTTTCGCTGGCGGCTTGCGTTGTAGCTGCACTCGTCTTTCAAGATGAACATGGGAAACATTCTGCTGAATCTTGATCTGCTGCTGAGTCGCAATGGGTTTCCATTCTCGGGCCAGCTCCAAAACAACCGCATCGCTCGGCGCAACACGCCGTCTGGAGCTCATGACCTTATCCTGCAACCAGACACGCCCGAGAGTGCGCGCGACGGGAAGCTTTGGATTGTGGACAGAATAATGGAGCCGCAAACAATCCCCCATTTTCTCGAGTCCATGACGTTTGGAATTCTTTCCGATGGTTCCAAGTCAGCCTTTCCGCCACTCTCCGAGGAGGTTGTTGTGCTGATGCAGCAGCCCATGGCAACCTGGGCGCCGGCTCCATATGACGCCAGCCATGATATTCTTATACAGCAACTCATGATTCGCATTGGCTCTCATGAGGATGGATCGCGTTTGGTGCCCATAGAAAAGGGGCTTCACGCAATGAAGTCGCGGATATGGGAAGGCATCATGCCCCTTTCTGAGAGGCGCTGGAAAGACCTTTCCCTCGACTCTCCGCAAAACTTCCACGCGGCCTGCCAGTATATTGCCGGTGTGACAAACGTGTTTCACTATCTGAATCTTCCCCCGATCAAGGCTGCTCTTCGAGAGACTTATAACCTAATGTGGGGACATTTACGCCATTTCGAAGATGCGCTCAATGCCAAGAATAGGCTGGAGCAGAAACCAGAGGTTCAAATTGCGGCAAGATGGCATGAGTATATCAAGGCCCACTTCAACTCTGTCTCTCTACACGCCCACCGCTGGGTTATAGACAGCGTTGATCGTCTCCGCCGCCCTATCCTTAAAGAGCTCGAGACAAATACCTCGTCAACTGGGCTTGGGCCTGACCCGCAGCAGTGGGATTTGACAAACAAGCTTCATGATCTGTTGGAAAATGCAGCCCAAGCTGATTCAGGCATCTTTCTGCCGATGGATGGATATGAAGGAGAAAGCCTTCGTTCGCAGGACGATGCGCCGCCACGCCCTGGTGCCAACGAGCCGTATCGCACGGAACCCATCACCTTCTCGGCGAACACGCACGCTAGGAAGGGCGATTACTACTTGAGACTAAAATATCTTTCACGGACTGAGCTGTGGCTCGGCCACGAACGTCCAACCGATCAACCCCCTGAGCCCGGCCTGCCAACTGGCTTTGATCTGATGTCAAATACTGCACAGAGTGCTTATAGCCAAGTCACAGCTCAAGAGAAGACAAGATTAGAACTTCGAGGACCGCCAGTACCTTTGGGGTGTCCACTCTGGGTGGAAATGGCGAACCGATATCTCAGTACGCCGAATAACTTTGAATGGGGCTTCGTGGCGTACCGCCTTTCCCACGATCACACGGATGAAGAGTGGGAGCTGTTCAAGACCAAATTCGAGGCTGATGTGGAGAATTGGGGCCATGAGCTGAATGGAATCGACAATATTAGAGGACGTTCGGTGGTCCATTGGCTAGATGCTAAGGATTTGGACGTCGCTGATGACGATGTTGATGCCCTTAGAACGTACGTATTGACCTGCACACCCTTTCGTTTACGAGGAACCATGGACTAATCAGGTGCACATCTTATAGTAAATTCCAAGAGTTCCGTGAATCAGCAGACTTCCCATCTGGTGTCCTCAGTGATATCCTCCTTGGTGCAGACAAGGGCGTCATCGACTCCTATCTCCACCCAACACCGGAACAGGGCGGATTCGTCATGGCCATTGATGCTGATTTCGATCCCAATGAAGTTGATGATGAGCGTTCAGAGGAGTCGCCGGGCTATAGTGGTGTCGTGCGTGTGCTTGGAAGCATTCTCTGGGACGATCTTGGCGCTCTTGTCAAGACGCAGACGCAGCATTTGTTCGACGTGTGGCCGCTTGCGATGAATCACCCGCATAACGTGTATGAAGGGCCGCTTGGTGAGATTCAGTAAGCTGATGTTTTGGCTTTTTGAGGAACATCACTTTTTTTTTTGGAGATTTCGTGTATATTTTGTGATTTGGCTTCAAGAGGTTTTATATTGTGTCTAGTTTGTATGATATTGGAAAGGAGCTCATAAATAAGAATAGCTAAGAAAAATTGCTGAAAATGGTAAACAGTTAGAAAATATAGTAAACAATACGTTGTATTAAGATTTTTGGCTGCTGCAAATTAAAAATTAGTGTCCAGCTGGGCTGAGCCGAGCTGTCCAGCTGACCGCCATCATGGGATCGTCATAGTGGCATCACATCTAATGAATAATATACGCAACATGAGGAATATCACGAAAAGGATTGTCGCAAATTGTCAATCCATTCTTCTCACGCAGAGAAGATGTGTTTGTGTGAAACGTTCCTATTTGTGTGACAGATCACTTCATATACAAAAGACCATGACCGAAATCGACAAGATCGGCCGCTTCATCGAAGCGATGAAGACAGTATATGGCCCATTTGACGAATTATCAAATGACGATGCACTCAGTTGGAATTTCCCCGATGATCCTGGAGCTGGAGGCCATCGTGGTAGGTATCTCTGGACGGACGCTTTCGGAGTTGTCAATTTCATCACGCTGTTTAAAGAAACAGCCAAACCAAAGTATCTTACGCTGGCTAAGCGTCTTGTCACAACGGTACATGATGTTCTCGGCCGAACAAGAGATGGAGGCAAGAGACTTGACGGCGCTACGGATGAGGAGCCCTTGAGAGGAGGATTGAGAATCGGCAAAATGGATGCCAAGGGACACGATGGCGATGGACAGTATCATCACTATCTTACACTCTGGATGTTTGCGCTGAACCGCCTCTCCATTGCGGCGGACGAGGTGGAGTATAACGATCTGGCTATACAGTTGGCGAGATCCATTCACCCTCGCTTTCTCATGCATTGCCTGTCTGGAGATGTGCGAATGGTGTGGAAGATTACCGTTGATATGAAGAATGTGCTTGTCCAGACAGAGGGCCATCTCGATGCAGCGACGGGATACGTTGTATACAAACTTCTTCAGAGCACGGCAGCGAAACAAGGCCATCGAAATGGTGTGCTGAATCAAGAAATCAGCGATTACTGGAACCTCATGACGCGAAAGGGAAGTCTTTCTCCAGGAAACGACTTCTTAGACCTAGGAATGGGCCTTTGGATGTGCCATATATGGCGAGATGAGCCATGGGCTATGAAACTCTCCGACAAGGCTCTGGTCAGGGTCGAAGAGCTGCTCGGCCAAGATTCCGCGGTGATGCACCGAAGTGCATCCCAGAGATTGGCTTTTCGCGAGTTTGGCACCTGTGTTGGCGTTGCGTGCTGGGATGTGAATGATTATTTGGAAAGTCGGGTGGCGGCTTTGGTTCAATTCTGGGATAAGCATTTGGATAGCAAGGATACGGAGGATGAGTTGAAGCCGATATCGCGAGTTATGTATGCGACGGCTTTGAATGCTGGAGGTGAGGCTGTTTGGATTCTGAGAATTGCGTGCTGTTCTTTTGGCTGACTTTGAGTAGCATTCCGGAGAGGATACCTTGAGAACGACGAATGATGGATCATAGATTTCGCCACAGGGATCGATCAGAGTTTGTGTATGATGTGTTTTCTGAAGTAGCATGACCGCGGCGGAGTTATTCATTGGTCCTCGTAGTATCGATGATGCTGGCGTTGCTTTAGTTACTTGAGAAGCCAGTGTATTCAATCTCCATTCGGAGATTGTTAGTCACTAATTAGTAAAGTCGGATTTTATAAAACATCAAGTCAACAAAATGAGCAAGAACCCGTTGTTATACTGTCAGTTGCTGGAGATAAAACATCGAGCTGCGGGCCAGCATTTCCCAAAACTCCTGATTAGGCAACTGTTCCACCCTATTGCCGGCTCTAGGCGATGTCGTCGTGCTATTGGATCGCCAATTGGCAGTGGGTGGACTAGCAGCTCTAGCCTTGCTGCACACGTTTTGCACTCATAGAGGCTCTTTTACTACTTAAAGACGATGCTTTTGTCTTCATCAAGTCAATGATTTACAATTGATTCCTTTAATTTACATCTAATCGGCATATTTGCGAAACTAGAAGCTATTTTACTCAGGGCGCATTTGTATTGCAAATATTCTCACAATGACTCAATTAACTCTAGCGTCCACATATAAAATGAAGTCGGGGTACGAGATTCCCGTTCTGGGCTTTGGGGTTTGTGACAATCCAGCATAATTCCGAGTACAGTATAGCAATTGACCGAGAACTCATAGACCGCAGCTGGAGCCAGCCAGGGGTTCAAAATCGGGCACGACAAGGCCGTCGTGGCTATTGTCCATGCACTAAAAGCCGGATACAGACATTTTGATTCTGCACGCATGTATGACAGCGAAAAGGCCTGTGGGGAAGTAATCAGGCTATCGGGCATCCCTCGCGAGGAGATTTTCGTAACCACCAAAGTCCGCAAGGGCGGATACAAAGAGACCAAGAAGGCTGTTGAGAAGAGTCTTCAGGAAACGGGTCTGGACTACATCGACTTATATCTCAACCATAGCCCGTACGGCGGCTCAGAGGCGAGAAAAGGAACGTGGAAGGCCTTGGTAGAAGCAAAAAGCGAAGGGAAGATTCGATCTGTTGGAGTGTCCAACTATGGCGTGCACCATCTTGAGGAGACACTGGCATACATCAAGGAGCTTGAGGGCGAGCTTGGCGAAGGAAATGCAGGGGAGATTAGCGTTGGCCAGTGGGAGCTGCATCCCTGGCTGCCACACCCAGACATTGTCGAATGGTGCAATAAGCATGGAGTTGTGGTAGAGGCGTATTGCCCGATTGCCAAGGGACAGAGATTCGAGGAGCCGCAAGTGCAGGCTCTTATGAAGAAGTATGGGAAGACGGGGGCACAGATTTTATTGCGGTGGAGTCTACAAAAGGTGCGTAATCGCCGATGCTTGAGAGCTTTATTGAGTTTCCATTCTAACAAACAGTTTATAGGGCTTTGTCCCTTTGCCAAAGAGTGAGACACCTTCTAGAATTGAAGCTAATACGGAGCTCTACGATTTTGAATTGACGGAAGAGGATATGGCAACGCTGGATATTGACTCTTATTCCCCAACGACATGGGATCCTACAGTCAGCCCTCTTGATAATTAAAGGGAGTAAAGTTCACCCCCCAAAATACATCTCTTGGAAAAATGTAGAGCAATGGGAATAGGTCTTTAACGTGGACTAGAGTCATTATTACACTAAAAGACGGGAGTACACTGTTCTTGCCGCCGCTTTCAGCTGATGAATGTCGCCTTTTTAAACGGTGTTTACAGCGAGAGGATCTGCCATGTATATTATAAAGGGATACACCATACATTTAGATATTTGACAATTCTATATTTTAAAATTTGTATTCAAAAGATTCTCAATCAGTATATAAAGCCTTACAATCTGTATGGCGTCCTAATGCCAATCTACACAATCTTTAATCTCTCTTTCGCCTCTTGATTCAGCTCTAACCACTTAACACCTGTATCCAGATGATGCATGACTATTTATTTCTTCCCATCTTAGTTTAGTTACCGGGTCTAGCGCTACCTCTTTGATTCATTCTCGAATAATTTATCCACTCTCAGCTGCAGAGCCACTCTCAACCTCCCAAAACTTTCTATATCTTGCCACAGCACCTCGACCATCTTTTCTTCCTTTATCATTACGCCTTCCAACACGTCGAGGGCACTTCTCTCCAATGCGTCGAAGCCAATCCTCATCAGGTTGCTGCTGCAAACAATAATCTGGCGTGGCCTTCGCCTGGAGCAGAATTTCAACAATATCCCAATAGCCGCCGATGATGGCAGCATTCAATGCACTGCCATACATTCCACTGCGCGCGTCAACATCGGCTCCTCTATCCAACAGTAGCTGTACTGACTCAGTTTGGCCTGAGAAAGCGGCTGCCTGCAGAGCCGTTCCGAACATTCCCCCCTGGGCATTGACGTCGATGCCTGGGCATTGTTCAAGAAGGAACTTCGTCCTCGCCGAGACAATGTTAATATCGCTAAGAAGGTATTCATCCCCTAGATACCCTGGCGCACATGCCGTCTGGAGTGCGAATCCAAATTTGCCACCCTTGATATTGATGTCAGCGTCGTGTTCTAGCAGAAAACCGAGTCTGTCATGCCACTTCTGCATAAGTCCATATCTTGTATCCCATTCTTCTATCGTGGCGTTTAAAGCGGTACCATATTCTTCGTGCACATGGTTGATATCGACGGCCTGATCGAGTAAAAGTCGGAGCACGTCAACGCTTCCGCCCTGAGCGGCTGCGTGCCAGGCTGCGTAGTTCTGGTGACAAACGTCTGCTCCCGATTCAATCAGTAGTTGCACCAACTTCTCGTCACCACGTCTGCAGGCAATAGTGAGCGGTGCTGCATATTTTTCATGGTTTACATTTACATTAGCGCCGTGTTTGATCAGCAACTGCACCAGTTGTACCGAATCATTTGGGCGGTAACTGGCACAGGCGGCTCCAAGCGCTGTCCCATGTTTGCCAGCTTCTGCATTTATATCAGCGCCATGTTTGAGTAGCAACTGAACTGTCTCCAAGTCAATGAGTTCATTACCGCAGGCAGCTTGGAGAGGAGTGTCTTGGTCGTCTCCCTTTTGGTTGACTCGGTTGACGCAGGCCCCTTTGCTTATGAGCAGTTGTACAATAAGTAGCGTCTCCTCTTTAAGGAGATCCTCCTTCTCACTTGTTTTGTCCATAGCTGGTGTGAACTTCATAACAGCATGCAGTGGCGTGCCATATATACCGCTCTCGGTATTCACATCAGCGCCACGATCCAGAAGCAAACGGGCCTCCTCTTGATTTCGGCGAATGCAGGCGCAATGTAATGTCATTTCTGAATCTGTGTAATCTGACTGGTCGAGCTTGGCGCCATTGTCAAGGAGCAGCTTCAATATCTCGACTGCTGAAGAACATACCGACTTCACTGTTGCAGGACGCGCCGTTGCGCGTTCCCTAAGATCCATATCATCGTCGCCCCTATTAACAACAACACCACTTATAACGGTCTCACTCTCAACAGCCCCATTTTCAGTTAGAAGACGTACGATCTCCATTGCCACCTCGCGGTTGGGGAATAGCATTGGGTTATCGCACACAAGATGCAGTGCTGTGCCATATTGCCTACCCTGAAGGCTCGGATCTGCACCGCTCTCTAATAGCTTCTTCACCAATGGAGCTATACTCCACGCGTCGCGCTGCGCGATTGACGACGGCTGATACCTACACACCACCTGGAGTGGCGTGCCACCCCTTCCCATAGCATTCACATCGGCGCCTCTTTCTAATAGCAGATCAAATATTGCGCTATCGACAGTCTCTAGAGCTTTGTGAAGCGCCGTCCCATATCTTTCGTCTTGCATATTTATATCAGCGCCGTTGTCCAGGAGAAATTCCAGACAATTAGTGGCCGAGTGAGGTATGGATGTGAGCAGACACCTGGCATTGTTTGAAGGATTGTTAACATTAGCTCCGCTTCTTACAAGAAGCTTCAAGACATCAAGTCGTCCAGATTCAGCGGCTGCTTGCAGGGCTGTGCGCCATCTACCTCCCTGCGCATTGACATCGGCGCCCGCTTTGAGAAAGACTTGTATCATATCTGTATCACCTTTACCGGCTACAATCTGGATCGCCTCACCCAACTCTTCTCGCGTAACGTACTTAATTACGCCATATTTCGGATTAATCAGCATCTCAGTCAGTTGGATATGACCGCGTTGAGCTGTGAAAAAATATGGTTGTAGTAACCATTCATAACGTGAGGGTGGAACACCGCATAACTTTAGCAGAGTTAGGAGACTCTGACTGTGAACAGCAAGTGCCCTCGCTGCATCTCGTGTAAGCTTAGCTGGCCAGAAATCGCGTGGAATCTGTTCAAGATGGGTCATCCAGTTGTGCGCTGCGTATCCAGCCAATGGATAAGCCAAAGTGGCGACGTCTACAGAGAAATATTTCTCACAGTGGCTCGCAACCCAGGAGTTCAAGTGGTTCAGGTACGTGAGGCATGACTGCGCAATAGTTAGGTGGGCGCTCATCTCCGTAAATGAGAATGCCGAGGTAGGACCTTCCACTATCCTACTAGACATCAAATACTCTTTTAAAGAGAAGTGGACCAGCCGGATTTCAATTTGAGTTTTATTAAACTCAGAGGAATTGCCCTCTTGAGTGATGATGAGACCAGAGAAATATTTCAGTATGTCTGTAGGACTAAACTGACGCTCCGCCTCGTTGAATGTAATATCACTATGCGGGCGAATAATAAATATCTCAACGAGTTCTTCAATGCACAAGACTTTCGTTGAAAAAGCAAGCCATTTAAGCGAGTGTATGACTTGTTCTCGGAAATTCAGATCGATGTGTTCCAATATTCTGTCGTAAGTAGCATCAAGCCCAGTAGGGAGGTTTTGAAGTGCCTTATATATATCGGCTTGGGATGAAAGATTTTGGAGTGCTTCTAATTGAAACTGAACGTATTGAAACCTTAATATAGTATTAATTATTATACTCACTAATCATATCGTAAAACTTAAACTCACATGCAATCAGCTTTCTGTATAAGAGAGTTTCTAGCTTCTTCTTTTATGCTAGGTGGCCAACGAGCGTAGTAATTTGTTGATAACTGCGACAGAATATAGAGATCAATGTCCTGGTTCAATATCTGCTGTCGAGCTAGTAGGTCAATTTCAATTCTATCTGGTGATAATAGGTTGGAACGTATGCTGCCTTCAATATCTGGCTCTTTCCGACTAGTTAAAAAAATGTGGAAATTAGGAGGCGCATTAGCAAGAATACGCTGCAAGCTCTTCAATAGCCTTTCTCGTTGCCTGTTAAGCAAAGGGCATTCATCGAGAGCGTCAATAATAATGTATAAATTGGTGAACTCCGATGTAGAAGCAATCAAAATTGCCTCAAGCGTCTCAGTATCCGGGCGTTCGCCTTTAGTTTTATACTGCTGAAGACGCTGGATTATTTGCGATGCCTGAAGCTGGTGAGACCATATCTGTTTGATAAGGGACGCAAGCATCCCGTCAACTTCCTGTTTTTTCAGGTCGCTAAAGCTGAAATAAAAGTAAGATACCATATTTGATGGTGTTGAGGCATATTGATCCCGAAGATATTTGATGACCGAAGAACTTAGAATCGATTTCCCCGAGCCGGCTATAGGCAGTTAGTTCCAGGTTTTTAGCACTCACATCAATGCCGTTATATCATCTGAAGCCTTTAACATGACATACCCTTACCATGCAACCATAACAACGATCCTTCGCTCGTCTCCCAGTTCTTGAACTCCTCGCTATTCTTTATCAGCCATTCGCATGTGCCGGCCTCATGTCTGTCAAGCGCGGCGTTGTACATCGAAGAGGGGTCAATGTCGCATAGCCAGTGCAACAGATCGGACAACTCGTTATTTGTTAATGCAGAAAGGTTTGCATTCATGGCTGAAAAAGAGTCCATGACAGCTGAGTGTTCCTCAAAGCGCTGTATGCCGCGCCATGTCTCTTCGATGGCGGCAAAATTGCGCTCTTGTTCACGAACCTCATCTGTCAGTGGAACCCAGTCATTCCACTTAATAGCATCAAGGCCATAACGGATAGCAGAATTTTTCAAGTAGTAACAACAGGCCACAGCTTGGAATCTCAGAATATGTCTATAGAGTCTCTCTAGGGCAGTTTTGTATTGAATATGCGACCGCTGGAATTTTTTATGATTGCCCGATGCAGACTCATAGCATTCAAAATAAAGTTCTTCTCTTATCTGGCTTTGCGCAACAAGAGAAGCGATATATTCTAATGATTTCGCTAAGGAAGCCTTTTCCTCTGGTATATTCATCAAAAGCTATTATGATTTTTGTAAATATGTACTCGGCAGGTTTAGATATTGCAACTTGACTTACTGGGAGAAGAAAGCTGACCCCAGTCCAGGCAATTGAGGTATATGGGTTGGTGCTTGCGGCACTGCCGATGAAGTCGTTGGCGGAATTCGCAACCTTCAATACAAGCCGTATAACGTTTTTTGATTGACCTTTATAGTTGCCCAATTCGAGCTTCGACTTATTTTTATTGACTTCCTCCATCTTGTTTTGTAAGATTGCTTGCATCCAATCTCTCCTATTATGTTTCAAATTAAGAGTTTGGCCCACACCAGCGGTAACGCTGCCTATAAGCTTGGCTTCATAATCTGCGATGAGTGTGCCATCCTCCTCTCGAAGCTTCTCGTATGCCACATCCCAGAGCTCTTGAATTTTCGTATCTTCAATTTGTTGGCTTTTCAGCTTTTCATGAGATATGGTCCACTCATCTAATCCATCTGGCCACTCATTGGGTTCCCGGCTAGCTGCCTGCTGTTGGTGTAATGGGTTTTCATTAGAAATAGCTCTGTCGGTGCGATTGCTAGTTCTACTGCGAAACTTTGCCCTCCCCTTTTCGAACCATTCTCTGGGGCCCATTGCTACGCTTCAAGTGGATGATTGTTTTGAGAAGCGCAATATTTGTCGCTGCAAGCAATGATATGGTAGGAAAGGAAATGCGAGAGAGCCTTAATGCCCAACCACCCACAATTTCGAGCATGTTCAACCCCGATTAATGGGTAATGCGGACCACTGCAATATTCATTGGATAAGGCTTCGCGTCGGTAAGCGATCGTAACACTGCGTTTGATTGGTGGCCTAATGATTGGTCACTCATGAAATGTATCCTGACGGCGTCTCGCATGAATGGAGTAGTGCTTGATGAAGCAACCAAAACTGAATGAAGTACTGCAGATGACTGAAAAGGCTAGATACTCTTCAATTACTCCGCAGGCAGATGACAGTAGCAGATTAATGTAGCCGGTGAGGTCAAATCCACACTGGGATGGTTTATCGGACGGCTGCTTGTTAGGCAGAAGATCGCTAATTGGTTGTCGCCTAGGAAATCTCGCGGAAGAAAGATAATTTGGTCAGTTCCCTGCAGGAATATTACCTCCGGTCTGACCGCGAAGTTGAGATCTAGAAAGCAGGAGAAATATTGATGGAGAAAGGCAAAATAATGCCAAGATTTGTGTAAAAGACTAGTCAAGCAAGATGACTTGCATCGAGCTCGTTAGCGAGATTCACTGCCTTAAAAGGGTGGCTATCCCAACACTCCTTCAATACGTTAATAAGCAAAGAACAACCAAATTCTAAAGCAATAAAATTTGTGGAAGAAAATTTAGAAGTTGATTTTTATAGTTGGTATACCAAGCCTATGAGGTAGACTGTATAGCGGACTGTCTTTAACAGGGTGGTATGTTGGCGAAATTAGGAAAGCATGAATAAGGGGAACGGTTTTGAAAGTGAGGCAGGGAAAGAAGTTAACAGACAGTCGTTTATTTATATCAGCACCTAGTGGTAATAAGGAGCGGCACGGGTTCTTTACCTAGCAGATAATGCCGCCAAACCAGGAGCGGAAAGCAGAGTGTTCCTCGATTTTACTTAGTTTCATGGGTAACACTTTTGCCTCCATCGCCTCTGATAATAGCGATAAAACATCTTAGATGGGTACTAACTATGAAAATAATGCCAGCATATAAAACTACCTAGGAAAGTGGCTATAGCTAATACTTCATACTTAAGTAGTACATCAGATTGCCGAGTGCTCAGCAATCAAGTTTGACGAGTTAGGCAACGAGTCGATGCAGCTGCGATCAATATCTTGCACTTTCGCAAAGCCACCCACTTCCATCAAGATATCAAACTCTGCCAGCAAGCTCTTCAAAACATGTCGCACACCATGCTCGCCGGCAATTCCAAGGCCCCATACCCAAAGACGACCGATGAAGACAAACTTTGCCCCTATAGCGAGCGCCTTGAAGACATCGGCCGCACTTCGAACCCCGGAATCGAACATGATCTGGTTCAGATTTAGTTAGCTCTTATTAGATATTTTTGCGTGGGGAAGGCGGAGAAAGCATCTTACGTATATCTTGTCGCCGACTGCATCAACAATCTTCTCAAGGGCATCAAGACTGGAGATGCCTCCGTCGACCTGTCGGCCAGCGTGATTCGAAACAACGATGCCGTCAACGCCTCTTGCAGAATTTGAAACAATGTCAGTTTTTTGACAACTTTACAATGTGAAATTAATTTCTTTGGATAAACTCACAGCTCAACAGCTTTCTTGGCATCTTCCACGTTCTGAATGCCCTTCAAGCAGAACGGCCGCCCTCCGCTGATCCTCTTCCACTGCTCCATGGTCCACTTCATCTTTTCCCAAGTAATCGCCCGGCCGTGCCAGATATTCTCATCAATCCATTTTGCACCCGCCTCCTTTGGGTTCTTCACCGGGTCGATTCCTGCCTCCTTAAGACGTTTCTGGAAGACAGGATCTTGAAGTCCAAGGTCTCCTGCTCCATGATCATGGTAAAAGGCATAGTTTCCTGTGAATACGTCGTTGTGGCGCCAGCCGAGGGACCAGGTGTCTGTCGTTAGCATACAAGCGTCAAACCCAGAGTCAAAAGCGCGCTGGAGCATGGAGAGGCAGAGCTCGTCGTCGGGGCTTTGATAGAGTTGGAAAAACCGAGGACCAGATCCATTTGCTTTAGCAACATCTTCGATGCTGTAACTTCCAGCAGAAGATAGGCAGTACGCCAGATTGAGCTCTTGGGCTACTTTGGCCACGGACAACTCCCCGGTGGGATGATAGATACGGTTGATACCAATAGGAGCGAATCCAATAGGCGCAGACACCTGGTGTCCGAAAATCTCGGTTGCGGTGTCTCTCACATTGGTGTCTACGAGCATACGAGGGACAATTCGGTGTCGGTAGAAAGCCTGTCGATTCGAAAGATGGGTCCAGGAAATTCCAGCATTGCAAGAAGAGTAATACCTGCAACATCCTGTAAGTTACTTTGCAAGATATTTTCGATTGTGTAACCCTACCAGCCGCCCTGTGAGAGTTTCTCCTTTGCCAGTTTCTCAATTTCAGCAGGATCTTGTGGATGAATGTTAAGAAGAGTCGCTACCAAATGAGATATCATGAGAATTTACCAGTGTTGAAGATGGGATATTTTCCATCGTTTGTATTCCAAAAAGATTCTCGTTGATACAGCGACCACTGAGGGGTGGTTCTGATATTGATGTTGGGGTTCCTGGGATCAGACATTGTTTTTTAAATGGTTTTGAGTTAATGCTTGGGTTTGTTACTGTTGGTGTAATTGAATTGATTTCGTGTTATATTGGTTGTGAAGGATGTGGTGGATGTATATATATATATATATTTTCGTTTCTATCTTGACGACTATCATCTATGTGACTGTAGATTGCTCTTATGACGTGCATAGATGCTTTTGCGCATCACTCAGTTGTCAAAAAGATCATAGTTTAACCCCGAGCATGCTCCGATGTTCTAATCAAAAAAACCAGCTTTATAGAAGCAAGACGAGATTGAAGTTGTCTAGCGTCAACTTGACATCAGCGCGGCTAATCTTGAGCCCCTTTGGTGATTCTGGGATAATGCACCTTTGGTACGGTGCTGAGCTTATTGACCAATATTGCCACCCTAAGCCGCATTGGTTGGTCTCGGCAACTTTACCCTGAAGTGAGTTATTCCAAAGTCATGTTTGTATTGGAAAAGGAGGAAATGGAAAACAGTTGGCAAGTTTCTTCTTCATTAGAGGCATATTTTCCCCATCAAAGACACATTTACAAACGGATATCCGCCTCCGTTGCTTTATGTTGTGGTAATATTTGAGGTAATCGGTTAATAGAATTGCCTACGGGGCAAATTGGAGTATGTACTCTAACTTAACCTCGGATATAACAGAGAGCTAGAGATGAAACGCAAAAAGCATATAAACATCTAGGATCGCGCGTTGAAAAGACATATAAACCAGCTACATTCCTTCTCTTGGTCAACACGACGTTGTTGTCTGCAGGCGAGTATCCACAGCGTTTCGCCCAGAATATCTCCGGAGCATATTCTGCGGATACTCAAATTTGATTTTATGTAAAAGCGTCTCTTATCATCTTATCATATCTATGACATCAGCGACTAACATGATCTCAGATCGACACCATACCCATGGCGGTTAGCCTTATCGCTGTCAGCTTTCCAGAAAGATTTTCGCCGAATTTCTCGGCTGTTACAGATTATGCAGTTAATAAATAAAAGCTCCGAGCTTTTCACAACCATAAAAGCGACTATGCATACTTGTGAATGCTTCATATTGCTGGCATGAAGGTTTATGGTTATCAATTCCGTTGCATCACAGTGTCTGTTGATGCAGCTGCCTAGTTTCTGCATCAACAGACATGGTTGTCATGGTTCACATTCGCTGCTATCGTGATTCACCACGCTTCAAGCAGTCGATACGATGTTCTGATTTTGCATAATGTGACATTCAATGTAACAATGCTGCGAAAGAGAAAAAAAAAGTCACGAAATTTGCCGCAGTAGCATCCAAGAGAGACTCGCAAACTGAGAAGCATGGCCTGTCCCATTTCAGCAACTGTGTCCTGACGAATCATCAAGGCCAAGAGCTTGGCCATCAGATGACGAGCCTCATCGTGGGCCGAGCAGAAAATTTCTTTTCTAATCCTTGAGTGGAGATCACGTTATATGGATATACGGATTAGCCCAGAAAATACGAAGTTTCACGACACTTTGCTGCGCGTTTAACGCTTTAATGTTCCATCAGCTCAGCGCAGGGTGGGCTCCATAGTGGACACCCGGTGGGAACGGGATGGGCGGTTTGGCAGCTTGACAGCCTCTTAGACGCGGCAGATGGATGGCCTAGTCTCGGTAGTGCTGGCCGGACATACCGGTGCCGTGCTCGCGCCGAGCAGCGGTTTGCTGGGCCCGGTGGAGCGCTCGAAACAAGATCCATGACTCGGCCTGATCTGTGCATCGACAGAAGGGGCAATGGTTCGTTGAATATCCCCGAAGAATTTCTCCGAATCAGCCTCATCCACGCCGTGATGGTAACAGCATTGAACAGGAGATGTGCCTATAAGGATCGGTTCAGTTCCACCTGATGGTCCAAACCACGGGACCGTTGATTATTGACTTCATTCTCCAGCGGCCCGCAAAGACACCGAGATGGACGCGAACGCTTCAAGGTTTTATATGGCTCTGTGGGACTATCCCTTTTGCCAGCCCTTGGATTCCAAGCTCTATCGTCACTCATAGGAGTAGCTACTAGCTTTGCTAAACTAGTTTATCTATCAGACATTTTCTCCCCTATCTCCAAGCCCTTTAATCCTCCTGCACTGTTCGTGAATCACAGCATTGAATCAAGCGTTTTGTGAATGGTTTGCGAGTAGCATCATGGGGTTATTCAACAAGAAACAAGCCTCTGCTCCCGTGGAGGAGCCCAAGAGAGAACACTCAACCAGCAGTGAGGAAGGTTCTCAGATCCACGCTGAAGGAAAGGTCACGGTGCTGGCTTGTGCTTTGGGAGCTGTTGCCAGTGTCGGTGGTTTCATTTTCGGATATGTCAGGTAGGCACTCCTTGATGGCACTTTCATTGCGGTGATATCTACAGTGATGACACTTGATACCTACCAACTTGACCATCATTCTAACCATGCCTGGCTTACAGTGGTCAAATCTCTGGCTTCTTCCTGATGGAAGACTATGCCAGCCGCTTCGGAGCGTTACAAAGTGATGGATCGTACACCTTCAGCGCTGCCCGCCAGGGTACCATCGTCGGACTTCTCTGCATTGGTTCATTGATAGGTGCCTTGATTGCTGGCAAGATGGCAGACACCATCGGTCGTCGACTCTCGATTTCGTTGTTTGCCTTCTTCGCTTGCATTGGAACCATCATTGAGATCTCTTCCTCCACCCACTGGGTTCAGTTTGCTATTGGCCGTCTCGTCACCGGTGTCAGCATTGGAGCTCTATCTGTCGTCGTACCCATGTACCAGTCAGAGAGTACTCCCGCCCTAATCCGTGGTGTCATTGTCTCATCGTACCAACTGCTCATTACTTTGGGTATCTGGACCGCTGAAATGGTCAACTGGGGAACAGAGACCAGGACCAACAGCGCTTCATGGAGAATCCCCAACGGTCTCACATTTGCGTGGGCCCTGGCTCTCGGTGCTGGTATTCTCTTCCTCCCTGAGAGCCCTCGGTTTGCCTACAGCCGCGGCCGCACTGATGAGGCTCGTCAAACCATCGCCCGTCTTATTGGCCTTTCTCCCGACTCAGATGTCGTCAATAAGCAGATTGCAGAGATTCAGGAAAAGATCGACGAGGAGAATGCAAACACTGAAGCGTTCCGCTGGACCGAGATCTTCACCGGTCCTCGCATGTTCTACCGTACAACTCTCGGAATTGTTCTCCAGGCAGGCCAGCAGTTGACCGGAGCCAACTTCTTCTTTTACTTTGGCACCACTGTCTTTGCTGCCACTGGAATCAGCAACAGCTACGTCACCCAGATTATCCTCGGATCCGTCAACGTCTTCTGCACAATCATCGGTCTCTGGATCATTGACCGCTTTGGTCGACGTGTCATTCTCATGACCGGTGCTGCCTGGATGATGATGTGCTTCCTGTAAGTCTACTTCATTCTTTGGCAGTGTCAAGAAACTAGCGGATTTTGCTAACAAATTGATAGTGTCTACGCTTTTGTTGGCCACTTTGCCCTCGACCACGAGAACCCGATGCTCACCCCCAAGGCTGGATCTGCTTTGGTCACATTCTCCTGCCTTGCTATCGCTGCTTTCGCCGTCAGCTGGGGACCATTGGTTTGGACCGTAAACGCCGAGCTGTACCCCATTCGATACCGAAGTTTCTGCATGGGTATTGCGACCGCTTCTAACTGGTTCTGGAACTTTATGATTTCATTCTTGTAAGTTATTTGGTCCTTTAATGATTGTAAAGACTCCAACTAACAGTCGTGACTTTAGCACTCGATTCATTACCGATGACATTGACTACTTTTATGGCCTCATCTTCGCTGGTTGCTGTGCTGCCCTCGTTTTGATTGTCTTCTTCTTCGTCATTGAGTCCAAGGACCGGACTCTCGAGGAGATTGACACCATGTATGTTCAGCACGTCAACCCCATCACGTCCAGCCGATGGACTCCCAACAAGCAGCACCAAAATGAAGTTGGGGAAATTAGCGATGTGCGAAGCCACACGCAAAACTCGGAGAAATAAAGTGCTGTGGTCGTGTTGATTGTTTCAGCTAGTTCTCTAATTGCGTGTGTTTATCGCGAGAGTGTGGGGGCTAGTGAAATACTAGCATGTATGATATCATGTAAAATATCATGTAAAATAGCATGAATGATTATTACTGTTTATAATAGCTAAACATCCCACCCATTTCTCGATATTGAGGGGTGATGTCCTTGTCCATGTTACTGTTTCTGAGCTGACGACGCTTTGACCTGAATGGCGCTTGAAGGATTCCCCCGAATGGGGCACTGCTGTCGAGAGCTACTATGTATGTATGTACTTATTTTGCCAGATAAGCAAGCCATATCTGGTATAGCCGTATCTCGGGAGATATACTATGTAATGCGATCAGGCAGTGAAAAACATGGCTTGCCGATCACGGCGCTTGTAAATAAACCAAGTCTTGGCTAATTTATCCACATAGACACTCCCATCCATTATCAGTACAGCTGAATATCCCCTCATAAACGGAAGGTGTCTTATCTAAGAACTTTTGGTCCCAAAATACTGAACAGAGTACTCCATATCTGCTAACCTTATCTACATCTTCAGCCAATGGGCCCCCTACTTTTAGAAGGACCGATGAGCCCTTGTAACAATGATGATACAGCTTTAAATACATAAAGAGGCACTTTCTGACCCATAATTGAGCCGATTACTAGCTTTGTGAGCACCTTTCATAAGACTATCAGTGCATAGTGTGGTGTACAGAATTGAGCTATGCCTCTTTCACTTTATGCAAGGAAACCTCCAGCCTTTTGAGTTGAGCTGCTTCCATTCTTCACACGGGAGTTGAGGTATCTGCCCATGACAATGTTGAGCTAATGGTCGCACAATGATTGTGAGATAAGGCAAGTAGTGTATAAAAAACTAATGCGAACAAGACTTGTTGTTGGCAACGCTCATCTCTGCACTCTGCGTTAGTAAAAGTTCAGATCAACAGCCAAAGAGCTCATGCTTCAGAGCTTTGAACCTATGTTTTAAATTTATGCTCTATATGAATCCTCTCACACACGACGGTTACGAGCCAGAAGTGGAACGAGCGTTGTGGTAGGGGCACGTATGGGCGTGGTAATATTAGAAGCTGGCTGTCTAGTGATGAGCCTCGTGGAAGTTTATCCGCTCCTCATTCCAAAGACCGTGTATGGTGGGTTTCCCCAACATATTGGCATCAAGTCGCAATCTAGAGTGTTGGAGGCGGCTGCAAAGAAAACGCAAACGATTGTACAACTATGGAGGAGGGGGCAATACACACTTGACGATTTCACCGCGCACCAGCTGATGGTTATATAAGTCGTATTAACAGTGTAATACTAGTGGTACGAGAAAAGTAATAAAAAATTGTGCCGGGGTACTTACAGGCCAGCTGATCATCTCAAGTATTAGTCGCCTCACGCAGGTCCTTGGCAATGTCAACCCCATCTCGACCTCTTGAACATCAGTGAGGAGCCGGCGTAAAGTTTTTTGGTGTGAAGAAAAATATAGAAAGAAATCGAAAAGGAGAGGAAGAGAGGGGATATTTATGCTATAGAGTACATATTTGCAACGAAAAATGCGAAGCGAGATCTAGGTCATGAAGAGATGGTAAGAACTGACAGAAGGCATAAGCGTGATGAGCCATCGTGATCAAGCAGTTCGGCACAAGAAAAAAGCAATCAAGAAAAGAAGAGTACCTCGTCAAGCATGTGAAAGAAGAGAAAGGCGAACCAAGATAGTATTTATACCATCAACATACGTATTCTCTTACTGTTTACTACGCGTAACGTATTTGACGACATTTACATCACGAATAGGTGTGGCAGTGAATAGTAGAAACGCAGGCGCGTGCGAATGTAGCGTCAGGCAAGTTTGCTACAGGTTCGAGAAAAAGCCATGCTCAAGGCAAGCGAATGTTGTTATCCAATTTTATATCAGCCGCTGCGCTTTCTTCAAAAGGACCGATTGATAGGGGGTATAGATGAGCACTCTGTGTGTTGCATTATCTGGCAGAAAATGAGGCCATCCCACAGTTGGATTCGCCGCTGTGCTTTATACCAGAGCGACACGGCCATTAAGCTGGAAAATACACAGCAGAATTCGTGTGTCATGTCGACTAAAGGGCTGCTAGCCACTATCTGGACTACATATATCGGCCACAAGCCGTAGAGAATAGCCTAAGGAAGCAGTTGGATGTGCCAAGAAGGTGTTTCAAGTCACAACCGAGGACGTTATATCTGATAGGGGCCTGGAGGTATTCGATGGTACAGGCAGAGTTCTGCATGTGGTTATCCTTGACTCATTAGTATTGGCTGACAGAGTGATTAAGCGATTTAATAGTCAACGCTTGTTTGCTCCCATGCATTGGAAAATGTACATCTACTGGACGCACTTGATTAGCATCCGCAAACTCCTTTGTCAAGTATAGCAGGCCTGTGAGTTGCTCGATCCTGGGCAATGTTTGCCTATACATGCACATCCTCACGTCGGTTGAGAGTTAAAGCATCCTTAGAAGAAGTATGGAAAAGCTGAAGCGCGTATATACTGACCCATAGGTATATCTGGCTTGGCTTCCACGAAGGGATTTACCCAAAAGATTTACTTCGAATTGGCCACGAAGAGGGGAGCTGAACTGTTAGAGCAGATGCACAAAATCGACGTCAGGCCCCATCAAATAGTCTATGTACCTCCTGGAGTTCTCCACGGCATTGGCGTGCCCATCTTCATTGTTGAAGTGAAAGAGTGGGGCGGGTTCGAAATTATGGCAAGAAAGCGTGTCAGCTTGGCCATGGATTCGAGACGGCCTTAACAGCTGTGAACACAAAGACACGGACAGGAAAGAAAGAAATGAGTTCGGTAACTGAAGCAAACGCGAGCGAGAGTGATTTGGCTATACAGTCTCGGGGCTATTTTATCTGGAGAAAGTATTCGTTAGACTAAGGAATCTAACCTATAATGACTATCTAGTATACAGTTTGTTATGCTTAGGCTACACGAGCTTTAACTTCCTTTGGCTATAGTTGCCTAGGTTAATATCTTAAGGAATTTACCCTATCTAGTGTATAATTTATTATGAATTCAGAGTTTACTTAAAATACGGTAACATCACATAAATAAGTTTTCAACACACCTGTGATGCTATAACTACTTTTACCAGATGCTGTCGGTAATAAGCCAGGCCTGAACTTATACAGACCGATACTTCGGACAAATGACGGAATAAGGCCGACTGAGATATACGAGTGGTGTGTACCGTCGAACTTTTTGTCAGTTCTGCTTCTCCCTTTCTGATCATGCTTCGTGTTGGTGAGAAAAAGACATCGGCATTCAAGAACGAGTATCGGCCCTGTGAGAATTCTGGGCGCAAGCTTCCAATGTCAGGGGGTGCGGCCTGATCCCATGCTGGAATTTCCAGAGTGTCTTCATCAATCTTCCGAACACCGAGGGAGTCCAACCAGCTGACAACTCCAGCGTTGATGAGAGATGTGTTACCGCTATAGGTGAACGTGTCAAACGCTTGAATATGTTCGCTGGTTTCAGACTTCTCAGGCGCTTGAAAGCCGGTCGTGATGTCGATATTGGCGAATTCTTCCAAGGCCGAGGATCCTGGACCCAATGCCCAAAGAAGTTTACTTAGAAGATGTTCTCTAGAGTATAATTGAAGAGACGATCCAAACATCTGTGCCGCCAAACCGGAAGATAAATCCACCGCGTTAATCAGAACATGATATGCAAAATTCAATGTGCAGCGAACCAGCTCGACGCTGACAGACCTTCGCGGGAATTTTGAGTGAAGTTGTATCGAGTATAATGGAAGGGACGGACGTGAAATCTCATGTATCAGACCAGGGCTGGAGGCATTGGACACCTCGTGGCTGAGCAAGTCCCCCGTGTCTAAACGCCCGCCAAGGACTGGTTCCGAAATGGTAGCAAGGCTCTCCGAATTTCCGGGGTTATTCTCATCTCTAAGCAAAGGGGAACGAAAATTCGAGATCATATTGGTCGAAGCGAGCCGTTAATGGTACTGCCTTGTGATGTGACGAATCCTGCGCCGGACTGCTCACCAAATCTGTGCAAACTCTTTCGGAATTGTCTCCTTCACAGTCTACGGTAATACTCCCACGCACTAGCGATAGGCATTGCAGTAGTGAGTCCTGAATATGCTGGGATAGGTCGGAGTTCTGCCGAACTGAGACGAGCTTCATAACATTATCTGTCAGGTTCAAAAACAGCTCGGCCATGCTCTCTACCGTCTTTTCGAGGTGAGCTATGCGATTTTTTGTTTCAGTTTGCGCTGCTAGTCTTCGGGCTTTGAAAATCTGTTGCGCTTTGCGATTTTGCTCTCGCCGTACCTGCAGAGAATTTAGCAATCTTCATTTCATGCCTAATAAGGGATGCCCTTTCGACCTTTGTTGCCTCGCTAACGCCGTCTCCGTCATGGCGCGGCCGACCTCTTTTACTGCGAGAATTGCCCGCAGGAAGGTTGCACGGATCCATCTGGCTGGTTGTTAAAGAATGATTTTCATCGATCCGCAAGCCCTTACGAGAGTGCCCGCTAAGGATTGTTTTCTGATTCTAGAAGGGAGAGAGCCGCTCCCTAGAAGAGAGCTTGTAAGCACAAGCCAAATTGCAACATTTGTTAATTTGTCATCAAATAGATATGCACACAAATTGGCGGTTGTCGCGATTACGTAAAGGTATAAAACGCCAATCAACCGAGTTCCTGTCTCAGTGATCCTCGCCCGACGCCTGGTAAGTAGAAAAAGCCGGCAGATCATTGAGATGAGCTCCCGGAGCGAGGCCCAGGTTTCTTAATGTTGGAGTGGGCAAGACCGGGAATAGAAGAACTCTCCTTTATGAGTACCGTTGCTACACTTTACCCGATTATGTATGTACATACACAAATAACCTGCTCTGGGCATCTGTGGTGAGCTTGTAGCTATTGACATCCATGACAAACTGCACTCTTCAGGTGTTCTTGGTGGACGAGCTCTAAAAAGGTATTGCACCATAACCAGCCCTATTGGTAAGAAATATTACACAAAAAAAAAAACAAGCATTAAGGTCGTATATTTTATAAACTAATGGTTTTATACATTATGAAGATGGCTACTTCTAGTTTGGATCGAAAGACAAACGTCTGAGTGTATGAGTACTTGGATCTCTGCGTCTTCAATATTTCATGAGCAACATCTAAATCTTGTATTTTTATGTCCTATGAAAATGGCGCTGGTATGCCCAAATGAATCGAGATTATCAGAGTGCGAATACCATCCAGCCCTAGCAACGCCTCAATGCCTTATCCACAGAAATCGTGTCACTGGCGAATCCAGCTCTTGTTCCAAAATCCGAAGATGTTGTAAGTGCGAGTATAAGCAAACTTGTTTCTTTACGTCGCCTACATCTTTCCCTTTGAGCCGCTGGAGCAGGGCTTGCCCCCAGATCAATGCCAAGCTGCAGTCTCTACTGCAAACAAGTCGCCCAGGTTGTGGTTGTTAATTGAATCGTTGCCGTCTTTTCTCATAGACTTATTATGCCTATGAGTTGTACCTAGTATAGCGTTATAAGGCAGTAATAATCGCATTGGCTATGTATGGGCCTGTTATTAGCTATGTGACTAAGACTGCTTATAAGCCACAACCTATCTTTCTGTTAACAAAAGCTCGGCTGGATACATCGCTTGGGAACTACTCTATCCTTTATTAGTAGAGACCAGGACATCACCGTGCGCCACAGCAAATGTAATAAATAGGGGAGACATTGGATACATAAATGACTTCTCGCGGGCCCTAGGAAACGTGACGCGTGCATTATCAGCTGTTTGATACTTAATAAAGTTACAAGGCTTTTGCCTGGTCGATTGGCTGGTCGGGACGCGTCTTTTTATAGCTGCTGGCGGGACTTCGGATTATGGAAACCATATTGCACAACCATTGTGCAGCTCTTATTAGGTTCACGCTCACTGACCTCACATCCGCTTTATGCTCTCGTGCATCCCTCCGTTTTCGAGTCCTCTGCTACGCATGATGTTGATGGGGAAACTGATGTGAGGTCTCTTCGTTTTATAATTGTTTGCAACACATCCAGATGCGCTCCTTTGAAACAACTGCATTGAGTAAAAACGCCCCTTGATGAAAAGGTTACTATTTTTGAGTCTCACCTGATTAATAATGTCGCAGTAATTTTAATTTTTGCTTTTCAATACTCCGGACGCATAGGTATTACCAGGGTTGTAAGGCTCCCGCCCAGAAGATATGACTTGTATTGATTGGTAAGTTTGTTTAATTTATTTATTAAATTCAAAGTTAAGCTTTGTGAATAGTGTATTTCATCGGACAATGCATTGATAGCAAAATTAACAATACCTATTGCTGGCATAGAGCTGGTATTATATATACTATGAATTAATATTCAAGTATAACTCACATCCAAGGAACGCAAATTTTTGAATGGAATTTGCTTATTAAATGATGGGCCGCCATTGGCGGTAAAATTTCATGGGCTTAGATACATAGTAATTGGGTAGTAGCAACAAACGGAGAGATTTAAAATCTACTAGTTGGCAAGTTGGAATTGAACGGGGCTTATTGTTGATTTTTATTAAGCAGCGTAACAACGTCTGTCTTTCTGACTGAAAATTTAGTCCAAGGGCGAATTGTAGGTCTTCCCTAAATCGCAGTTTCTGTCAGGTAATTAAGCTGGCACGCACTACGATTGGGAGAAATCTTTCAGTCCGTGAGCAAGCAAGTTAGTAATCAGTAACGATACGCTGTACATTGAGGTTTGGACGGAAGCACTGACATGTAGTTGCACCAGTCGAGCAAAAACTTGGTATGTGGAAACCTCATAGTTATATAAGAGTTAGGCCGTTTCCATCCATGACAATGCGGAAACTGCCACCATTTCCTAGAGCATCTTTGTATTTGCAATCTTCACCCAATCAAGGTTTTATCGAATGGCGGCCATCACAGGAGAAGATGGCAAGGTCTTGCAAGACAAGATCAGCCCAAGCAGCCAAAATCTAAGCACATCTCAGCTCGAGGATGGTAGATTGGAAAAGAATATTGATGACACCGAAGTGAAGCACCCCAGACATGGCCTCCCAGCGTGGAAGTGGGCTTTGACCTGCGTAGGCCTCTATTTGGGGGCTTTGCTCTACGGTCTGTCCCACTCTACCGGCAAGAATAACGATCGTTATGCTAACATTAATATGCGCATGTGTAGGCCTCGACACAACAATTGCAGCTGACGTTCAAGGTTCAGTTTACGAAGCACTCGGTGAGATCCAGAACCTGCAATGGGTCGGGCTTGGCTTTCCAATGGCGTCCGTTGCCGTAGTCCTCTTGATGGGCCGACTGTACAGTATATTTGACATCAAATGGCTCATCATAATAACCACCGCCATCTTTGAGGTCGGAAGTGCCATTTGCGGCGCCGCTCCAACCTCAGATGCTCTTACCGTTGGCAGGGTCATTGCCGGAATCGGTGGATCTGGCATGTACCTTGGGTCAGTTTCTAGTCACATCGAGAGCATTGATATACGTAATAGCTGACCTGGCAACAGATGTTTGAGTTACTTCTCAGTCTTTACAACCAACAAAGAGGCTAGTCTATATAATGCAGGCATTGGTCTCGCATGGGGGTTCGGTTCAATTCTCGGACCTGTCATAGGTGGTGCCTTTTCGGACAGTAGTGCAACATGGCGTTGGGTAAGAAGAAACTCGATGTAATCTCTAACACGTAAGAGAAAGCCATGCTAATTATCCCACATAGGCCTTTTACATCAATCTCCCCCTTGCTGCTCTTATGTCGCCTGTGTACCTGTTTATTTTCCCGTCTTTCCGTCCCAACAAAGAGAAGACAATTTTGCAGTCGCTCAAAACCATCGATGCGGTGGGTGCCGTTTTGAATGCGGTCCTGTTTGTTCTATTCATGCTCGTCCTCACCTTTGGCGGAGCTACCTGGGCTTGGGGCTCCGGACGGACCATTGCAGCGTGGGTGGTGTGGGGGGTGTCGTCGGTTATGTTTATCCTCCAACAGACATTCTTCATCTTCACTGATGCGGAATCACGGCTACTCCCATTGCACCTACTTAAAAGCAGAGCGCTAGTTCTTGTTTGTGTCGGCACTGCTACCTCAGCCACTGTTGTCGGCGTCACGATATACTACATCCCGCTCTTGTTTCAGTTTACCCGTAACGATTCTGCGCTTCAGGCTGCCGTGCGCCTCTTACCCTTCATTGTCTTTTTCATCTTCTTTATTATGGTGGCTGGTGGTTCCCTTCCTGTTGTGCGGCGCTACAATCTCTATTATATCCTCGGCGGAGCCCTTGTCGTTACCGGCGGCGCCTTGCTCTTTACTATTACTCCCGAGACCAGCGTAGCTCGCATCTATGGTTACGAGATCCTCGTGGCTGTTGGGGCTGGCATTCCTTTTCAAAATGGCTATGCCATCGCTGCCTCCAAGGTCGCCAAGCAAGACCGCGCCGCAGCAATCGGGCTAATTAATGTTGCGCAGATCGGCTTTATGGCCATATCGCTTGCCATCGCAGGTGCCCTGTTCCAGAATCTTGGATATCAATCCTTAAAGGGTGCGTTGGCGGAGTTTCACTTCCCAGATGATTACGTCCGGTCGGCGCTGGCTGGGAGAATCTCGCCCATTTACAATTCCACTGATTCGAATGTAATCGATATTGCCGTCCGCGCCATTGTTGATACTATTCGACGAGTGTTTGGAATGTTGATTGGAACCGGAGCGGCGCTCCTCGTCGGCGGCTTGTTGATGCCTTGGGAGAAAGCCGACTTTGCTGCGGATCTTGAAGATTAAAAAAAAGTAAGACGCGCTTAATAAAATGAGCCACTCCCAGTTGAATTTACAACTAGCGTCGTTCGGTAGTAAGAGGTTTCCAAGCAAAGTATCTTACAGAATCTGGTATGGCTTGGTAAGGTCTATGGATTATAACTTTTGTTCTTAGATTTAGAAAGGTTACATAGCTTATCTTGAGTACTTATATTTCTGTAAGCTAGTTACTTAGCATTTCTTCCTTTTATGTTATAGCCCTTATTAAATTTAACTCCTCAGCACTAATCTTTCATTCAATCCATAATAACTTCAGCTTTATTATAGTAGCTTGGTGTGTAATATAGAGTGTTCATCGGAGGACATTTGTGGGAGGTTTATGCTACATTAACTGAGCTTTCACCTCATAAGGGATTACTACTCTATCATTGTCGTCCAGAAAAAGCAAGTGTAGGAGTACAGGAAACGGGCGCCATATTTGTTTGTAACGCACAAGGTCATCCAGGCGGTATGACATCAGTACCATTGGACTTGATATCATTGGCTACACACAGCACAAACAGATTACTCTCAGGCACAACAATAGTCCTAACCGAGACTGACATTACCCAATTTTGGTAACCACAACGCCCAAATCATCAGCTACGTGGCTTTGGGCATCATCAGAGGTAAAGTTAGGATGCATCTCTTGCCATTGTCACGAAGCTAAGTATGAAGAGATTCTGCGGGCAATTAGGACGAAAAGTTAGTCTCCAATGAGCATTTGGAACGGCCTCTAAAGTCGCGGTTGTAATCAACCCTTTCATTTTGTGGAGTAATGCTATGCGTTCAATCCGCTCAGTAATACATTGACATGCTCCTTGAAGTAACATAGAGACATATAGCCCATGCAAATATTGCTGCCGTAGCCCCGCATGTAGTGTATAGTTTGAATGCGGCGGTAATGCATACTTTTGTTGGTAGTCCAGTTTTGACCCAATCAGAAGGTGTTATACTATTTGAAAAAGGTAAGCAAGAATCCAGACCCATCGGAAATTTGAATAATCATCGGAAGTTTCAATAATCAACCCGGTTGAAAGCAACATTTGGGAAAGAGCATGTGGAGTTGGAGCGGGTTTGTTAATAAGCTACTTATTAGTAATCTAGCAATAGATACTATTGTTAACTAATATAATCTCCTTGGTATGCTTATTTTAGATATCAGGAAGAGTAAATAATTGAAAGAAGAGGCTTGCTTTCTAATAATATATATTTTCTCTTGGGAGATACGATTAATCTATAGGTTTCTATTCTTATAACCCAAACCATTGTAAGTATAGACCTACTACAGAATAAAAAGAGCCTCTACATGTAGGTCAAAAGGCTGCGCTGATATAAATCTTCATCCAGCTAGACTCAAAGTATAATATAAAAGTAGCAATTACTCGAAAAGTCAGAGGGAGCCCAAAATGTCATCTATCATCTACGTAGTATGCATTTATGCATCATCCTGAATTGAGTAAAGTACCTACCTGTACGTGTGGTGCGTGTTTCATTTAGCGATTTGTCCCGATGCGATGCCCGCGTTTCACCTCGCTTTTGTTTCATACGAGTAGTCTGCCTTGCTGTTCAATCACCTCCTCCAAGTTCTCCGCTCTACAGGTTTCTTTGTCATCTGTAGATAGGTAGTTAATAGTGAAGTTTTGTAGGCCGCGGTTGGATTTGTATCCAGGAGAATCTTCCAATTGTTCTATATACAATTCCGAAGAAATACCCAATGTCTCGCGCCACTGTCTAATTCAACTGATACCACAATATCTCTACATTATCTGAATAAACGACGCAAACCAGGCAAGACGTTCGCTGCAATGACCAATTGAACGTGATGGCGGAAATGCAATGAAATCAATAATTCGGCTGGCGCTGCTAAGCGACTGAAAACGTCAACCAGCAACGCGCTTCACACGCCAGGCTATCAACCTGAAGACTGCAATGTCACCTAGATCTGTATACTTCATATAGAGATGACAGCTGCGCGTACAATGTTGGACAACATCCATGACGACCTGCCCAGGACGCTAAGTGACACCAATACGTATACCTTGGGTAGAATTGGGCCTCATAATGTTGTACTAGCATGCTTGCTTGATGGTTCATTAACAAGCGGCCATGATGGAATAAGTAGAGAATAAGAGAGCAGCATACTTCAAATAAACTACGTAGTGGTTTTTTAAAACACAGTATATGCAACTGAATATATTGAAATATAGAGCCCGCTCTATATTCCGCTGTAAACCACCTTTGCAGTAAATCTGATAGGTCCGTCACACAAGCATTAAAATTAAACTTATGCGTAGAATTATTTTCTGCCCTTACAGAATGAATAATGAGGCGGCTAGTAAGCGACCACATGTTTTACTCTTTGATATTTCCTTTTACATATTAAGACCTTGTAAATGATTTATACAAAACTGTTCAGTATCTTCCAGCAAGTGACTTCTTAAAACCATGAAATCATCTATTAATCACGCTGTTGGTCTATTTCATTACTTGGATGACGAACCTCCATTTTTTGGGCCCTTATTTTTGTTTACTATGCATTATTTATATATTTATTAACCCAACTATTAAGAAGCGAATTGTTCACTTCGATCGCCTTAGTCTTATTCAAGTATGCGCTTTCATATGATGCTAGTTTCATCAAAAGTATCTGGGCTTTTGACAATGAAGTGTATTAAATAACGTTATTTGCTGGCATCTAATAAGAATCAAGAACCCTGTAGTATATTTATTGCGACTGTAATATCTATCAAGCGCTTAATGCGCCATTTGCCAATAATTATGTAGCCGCTTCCCTACTCCACGTGCCAGCTCCGTCTGGCCAGAAATCTGGAGTAGTTCAACTCTTACTAACGCACTGATTACAAACAAAGGCTTAGAAATGAGTTTTTCAACTGACAAATGTGTTTGATGACTAAAAGCTCTGTGTGATATTTGGTGTCGGCCGCACAGGCCTTTTATTAGCGTTTCCATCATATCAAGTCTATTAACGAATAAGACTATGTAAGAACTTGGTCTTTTAGACTATCAAATAAGAAATGAGGCTAGTATTAAATCCCGCGGGGTCCACTTAGAGCAACATGAAGGCTGTCGCTTCTGTGTTGACTCCAAATCGCTGAAATGGTAAAGCGGCACGCTAAGAGGTTCGCAAACATCCATGGTTCATTTATACTATAACGTTCTCCCTATTCATAAAGATAATAGGCCAAATCTGATACTATAGTTGGTTTCGCTTCTTACATCACGGCTAGTTACGAATTTTGTGTCAGTAAACTCCTTAAAGTCTACATATTATTGGTTCTTCTACTATAAAAGTACTCCATTATAATTGTACAGCGGAATACCCACATCCGGGTTTCGAACTTGCTTTGCATATAAATTTTCGGCAACACTGTATTTTACAATCAGCGTTCTCAGCAGTTCTTACTTCGTAAATATCACAATCACGTCGTTTAGTTCAACATGCCAGTGTTATTGATAGTATGAGGTTCTTATGGCTTGGAGACTAGGCCAACTCGCAGTTTACCCTCCCCTCTTGCTTACCTGCTGAGGTATACTTTGCATTGACATTTCTTCTTCTTTTTGAGAAAGTCGCCGAACTGTTTCTGGAAAAGACGCGTGGGTACCTTCGTGATGATGTAACATCCCCCCGCATAAGCGTAGGATCATGATTGTAAATTAGTAACAGATTCTCTTTGTCACTAGGTTGAACAAAACAAAGCCAATTTCTTCAAGTCGAAATCACCGAATATTTTTTCTTCTCTTCAACAAACTAAGTAAAGCGGAATTAAAATCGGTAAGCACTAGGTACTATTAGTTGCAAGCAAAACCAATGGTCATTTAAATAATGAACATCTGTCTTATTAACGGCTCCTTGCCTTCACAGATCTGACTGAAACGTATCAGCAATTTATTCCAATTTCAAATTTTCTTCGAGCAATTCTCCTCATACATCATGTCTTTAAAGACTCTTCCCGTTGTCCAAGTAATGGAGTTACCCACTGGATCACCAGAATACGAAGCCTCGCGAAGAAATTTGCTTGAAGAATTTGCTACCAGGGTGCCAGAGGAACTTCGACTCTCTCCAGATCTCATCAATAATGCCCCCAGGAATGTCACGGACATTCCTCGAAAATGTGGTCTTTTATCCCCCGAAGAAATTGATATCACTGAAAATTACGATGCCACTGCACTAGCAGTACTCATTAGAGAAAAAAAGGTGACCTCGGTGGCGGTTGCAACAGCATTCGCTAAGAGGGCAATTATAGCACATCAGCTGACTTCTTGCCTTACGGAATGGTTCATGGACGAGGCTATTGAGCGAGCTAAATACTTGGATGAGTATTTGCAATCTACAGGAAAGACAGTTGGACCTCTCCATGGAGTCCCCATCAGTGTCAAAGACCTCTTTCCTGTAGCCGGACATTGGTCAGGTCTAGGCTTCCTCGTGGCAAGATTTAAAGAAAAGGAAGACTGCCAGATAGTATCCATACTGCGAGCCGCCGGAGCCGTTTTCTATTGCAAGACCAACCAACCCCAAGCAATAATGCATATTGAGAGCACTTCTTTCTTTGGGCGCACTTTGAACCCTCATAATACTGGTTTATCGTCGGGAGGGTCTACCGGAGGAGAGGCTGCTTTACTGGCTATGCGAGGATCCGTCCTTGGCCTTGGAACTGATATTGGTGGAAGCATTCGAGTCCCCTCTAGTTTCTGTGGCATCTATGGCTTCAAACCAACCTCGTATACTCTTCCAAGGAAGGATATCCTGCCAATGGGGGCATTGGCGGAGCTCAGTATTCTGGCTTCAATAGGCCCAATGTGCACTACTTTGAGAGACTTGGATCTCCTTACTTCAGTTACCCTGGCATCTAAACCACATTTATTAGATCCAAGGCTAGTTCCCATCCCATGGACAGGTCTTAACACAGCACCAAAGCCTTCGCCGTTGAAGATTGGTATCATGATGACTGATGGTCTTATTATTCCACAACCGCCAGTCACCCGAGCTTTAAATTGGGTGGTGGAGAAATTAAAGGCATCGAACGCCTTTTCAGTCAAAACTTTCGAACCATACGAAGTATCTACAGCTCTGAAGAACATACATCAAGCGTTTTGGCCAGATGGCGGCAAAGGCGTAAGAGAGCTCCTAGCTGCCTCAGGCGAACCGATGCTTCCCTTGACTCAATGGGAGTTAAAAGACACTGATGGATTAGAACTCAAGCCATGGGAAATTCTGCAACAACATGTAGCACGCGATAATTTTAGGTGTGACTTTGCTCGTCATTGGGAATCTCAGGATGTTGATATCATTATCTGTCCCGCCTCTGTTGGTCCGGCAGGGGAGCACGAGACAGGCTTTTATTGGAACTACACTTCTTTCTGGAATTATGTCGATTGCCCTGGCGTTGTTTTCCCTACACCTATCAAAGCTAGAGCGAAAGGAGCTGAAGGATACGCAGCTGATACTCCCCCACCACTCAATGAACAGGACAAACATGTGCGAAAGATGTGGGAAGAGGGTGATTTTGAAGGGGCTCCTATTGGCCTGCAGATAGTGGCGAGAAAGCATCATGATAATGATCTATTTGGGGCCTTGGAAAAACTGCAGTATGTTTTGGAGTTGCAATAAATTGCTGGTGGGGGTATGCATGAAGTTTTTATGTATATGAGGCAGCAAAAGTTACTTTGTTTGTATTTAAGGACATATGAGAGTTTTTGATACTAGTTTCTTAGTATAAGGACCCAATAGCTACGTAAATCCACCTTGACACCCAACATTAATATTTGTCTTGAGGATGAAACCGTATTGTTAGATATGCTTGGATATAATTTTCCTTATGATGGCTCTATGGTATGTATTTCTAGGCTCCACCTAGGCTCATCTGCATTACTAACATGCAGCTCTCCCAGACATCTCGCTGAGCTTCACTAGGAGGTACCGACTACATGTATTTCCGTTGCATTAGGCCAGCTAAGGGCCCCCTTGCCGCCAGGATATTTGACCCCGCAAATACACGTAGAAGGGGGGAAGAGGAGAGAGAGGAGCGGGGATGCGCTCATTGAGCACACTCTTATGTTCTGAATGCTACTATTTTGTTTACTTATTGGTTGCCTAGCCGCCGGTCAGTTTAGTTCTATTGGCTTCTAAGACCCATTTTGTAGTTCTAAAGTTGCCTCACTAGCTTGCATTACAGCCATCAGTTATCGCTCAGCGACTAGGGAATTTCTTCGCTTTCTAGATAGCTGGAGAAGAAACCACATACAAAAGCTACGTACGCCACCATCTTTACATATTAGTAGGTCTATTCACAAGGAGAATTTGTCGGAGATCACAAGAAACATCGATATTGCATACGCATCTCTCCATTATATACCCTCAGCTTCGCTTCACGAATCCAATTGACTCATTAAGGAATCTATGCTCATATTCCCAGTTCGAGATGTCTGCCCATCACGGTGGCTGCCTTTGTGGCAACATTCGCTACATGTACGATACAGAGCCGATAAAGAAAGTCAGTGCGATTTATCATCTCCTTTTATAGCCGGCCAGAACCATGGAATTAGCTCAACTGATGTTGCTTTGGAATTCTATCGCAGGTTCTCTGCCACTGCAATGATTGCCGCAAGATCAGTGGCAGCAGCTACAGCGTCAACTTTCTTGTCCCTGAGGCAGCATTCCGGGTAACTGCCGGCACGCCAAAGGTGTTCAGCAAAGTCGCTGATTCAGGCGAGACTATTGTCAGTTACTTCTGCGGCGACTGCGGTAGTATGATATGGCGCGAGTCTCCCAATTCTGGCCCTAACAAAGTGCTGAAGGCTGGGACATTGGATGACAGCGACGGGATTCTTTCGACTGCGGTAATCGATGCAGAGATTTTTACGCGCTCCAGATTAGAGTGGGTGCAGCCTATAGCTGGCGCAAGTCAGAGGACCGCATAGTGAGCGGTCTCTCGGAGTGATCATATCACAATAGCGTCAACGGTTGCACACACGTCTTTATGGATAGCCTGTGATGGAATAGACAGAGGGAAAGGAAAGGGGGACGAAAAGAAAGACGAAGAAAAATATGGCGTTTACAGTAACCAACGTCGTGTCGTGCGCTGTGGATCATGCTGCACATATACTGAATAACTCCAAAGCTTACGCCACAGCACGATGCATTCTTTGTCGTTAATTTTTCTGGTGCATTGTTATAGCTAGATCATTACAAAATGGTGTATATACAGGTACAGAATCGATTAGTGCCTATTAATCATGTCCGTACCGCACGTTGATATAGGTTACATGGCACTTGCTAAGCATATAGGACAAGTTAGTGTAGATAAGTAGGTATATAAGTTAGCCAAGCTGAGCATACTCCTCCTCGGTTATGCTATATACAAGTCTCCACACTGTACTCCGTAGATACTTTGTAAATGGCAGGGCGTACTTGACAATATCGCACCCCAAACTAGTAGAAACTAATACCCCACTACCTAGTACCGTGCAATCGTCGCTATATGTATATATTCAGTGTTTCCGGTTTTATCCTCAACAGGTTTGTTGAACAGAGCCTCTCGTGGAAAAGACTACTTATTATCATGTCTCTGTCCCCGTCAGTCCGGTACGCTCGTCTCGAAGGTAGTCGTACGTCCTTGGCACATCAAATCTGTCGGGGCTAATCTTTCTAGATGTTTCCCTTATTTTGCATTTTATCCAGTGTGCAGCAGAAGAGCAAGCTCCTGGGACCAAGATAGCTGCAACCGAGGACAGTCTCGCTAAGACGCTGCACTTTGGGCCACCTTCAGATTCAGTGACACAAACAACCCCTCGCTTTGCATGGGCGCTTCTCATCTTTTCTCCAGACCAACAGTCTGCTGGCCTGCTGATTTATTTCCATAACTATTCAACCTGGATGGCAGCCCCCGGCGTATGTTTGGAAGAGTTATATGTTGTGCCCGAATATCGGCGTCATGGATACGCACAGATACTGATTGAAACGATGGCATCCGTAGCGGAAGCAGCAGGTTGTATCAAAATGGACTGGGTTTGCCTTTTGGATAATGAGAAAGCGCTTAGGTTCTATGACAAACTAGGTGCGAAACGAATGAAAGATTGGACTGTATTAAAAGTTGATAAAACCTGCATGCAGGAGCTGGCCGCTAGAGGGAAACAGTCTGGCGTGTGTATTGAACTTGACAGTACAAATATCTGATCATGGGTAAAACGGTCCCATTTCCCAGAAAGTATTTTAGAATTCCCATTTTGTAAACTATTTCGCTTCATCTTTTCTACAAAGTTTGCGCAGTTACAGGCAGGTTGTCTAGACTTTTGTTTTCAATAAGTTGGTACCTAATGATACCATCGGCAGCAGCAATTCACTCAATTTTTCTATGGGTGGATATGAGTACATGTATGAGATTGAGATAAGTGGAGGCAATACGGGCACTGCATTTAGCTTTCGGCGTTTTGTAAAAGAAGCTGCTGCAGCCAATCTATATACCCGCCCTCTTAACTTTATTTCTGGGTAGAAGCGATATCGTGGCTTGATTCCGTATTTGTATATATGCCCCCTTTTTCCTCTTATGGCCCTCTCAAACTTGTCTTCTTCTCACATCATCCCCTTCTCACATCACTTTGTCCTCTTCCATTAACAAATCGAGGTATATATAAACCTGAGAATCATGTTTCTCGTTTCAGCATTGACTTTCCCCCTTCTTCTCGTGACGGTGGTTGCGCAGATGCCTTGGCCAAAGGAAAGGCCAGGTGGCTTCCATATTGAAGACTTTCCGATGCTCAATATCGTCGAGAGAACCGCCATCGACCCGTATCTTTATCTGAGCAAGCCTGAACTTGGATTTCCGAAACTTTACCGATGTCTCCCTGTATGATTCGCTCTACTGCTATTTCCCCTATACGATCGCTTTTGCATGATTATATGATAGAACTAATTTCCCTCCATAGCAAGAAGAAGGTGCTGTGGATTACATAGGCTGCTCCGTTGTAAATTCTCAATGGCAGAAATTGTTAAATGGAGACGGCAATCTCGTTGTTAATGGTGGACAGTGTAAATCCATCACGCAGGCATGCTGCCAAACTACCATATGTGCGCCTAAGGAAGTTGATGTTATCCTGACTGTCACGGAGATGGATCGTTTGTTCTTCAAGTTCTCCGAAAAGTGCCTCAGTCGCACTAAAGGTGCACTTTACGTGACCACCGGCTGGGATAACGTGATAATGACATCGAGACCACCGAGATGCATTCAAAAGGGTCATCGGCCAGATTCGAACCGTCGCAGCCTGATGAATGAATCATATTGGGAAAGTTGAAAGGACATTTTGGAGAAAATAGGCTTTAATAGATGTATATTTCCATGATTTTATTTTATATTATAAAAACCATTCTATGTTCTCATTCGATGTATATATTTTATATAAAAATGTATTGCGTTTATAGTATTACTACCGACATAAAAAGCATAAAACTATCACTTCATAAATGTCTCTACGAATAATGTGTAAAAGAACGAAGCTCTTTTATGTCTTGACGCCATACTCTGTACCTTATACAATATGAATTGAAGCTACAAGAGCTCGATATTTTTAAAATGTATTATTATGGAGCTGCACTATGGGAAGTTTGTGCTTGGAGGCTCACCTCACGTTTTGGAAGATATTCATCGTACTTGTATGGAGCCGCTACCAGAGCATATGCATGCAGCAACTAGGCAGCATCGGATTCTAGGAAAGTGGTTTATTAATGTATTCTTATTGATCCATGATATGACGTTTCTTAACATAAAACTGCTTCTGGATACATAGGTTTAAGTGAAGCAGCACCACCTATACGGCCTCTAAGCTAGTCCACCTCCCGAGAACATTCGCGATGCTACAGTTTTCACAGCATTAATAGCTGCCAGATAAAGGCCGGGCCCTACGCTGATTCTCGCCACTCCAAGCTTGGCTAAATCAGCTGTTGTGAGGGAACCGGGCGCCCCAGACATAATAACTGCGACCTTGCCGTCCAATTCTTTGACCAGCGTCTTGACAGTTTCGCTGGTTAGGCCTTGTCCCTGACCACCCCAGTAGAAAACTGTGGTTGCACCGGCTTCCAGAAACGCTTTACCACGCTTAATGGCCTCTGCGAGTCTAATTTCGTACGTCAAATCGGGAGAAGGCGCAAGGCGAAAGGCGTCGCATCGAGCGTTGAGGACAAAGTCTGGAGCACCAGCCTCTTTGGCAGCTTCAAGAGCACGCTTGAGTCGTACTACTTGGTCCTCAAGTTTGTATAGGGAGCCTGAGATACCCTTATCAAACCCGGCAGAAGGGATGCTGTCCTCGATATTGGCGCCGGCCGCTCCATATTCGACGACTGCGGTGACAACTGCTGTGATTAGGTCACCATATCCATCTTGAATATCTACTGAAAGAGGGAGGCCTGCTTGCTCAGCGAGGGGAGCAATCTTGGAGATGGCTTCGAGGTTTTGCACCATGGAAAGCTCTTCATCTTGAATACCCAGTGTAGCAGCAATGGCGAATGATGCTGTGGCTAATGCTTTCACAGGTCTAGAAGACTCTGAGTTCAAAGAAAGAATGGTATTCAGAGAAGAGACGTCCCAGACGTTGGATAGAACGAGAGGAGACCCAGGCTTATGAAGTGCCTTAAGCTCCTGAGCTAATTGATTGGTGGAAGGCATTTTGTATTTAAGATGCAAGTGAGATTAGAAGTGAGAGAGATGGAGATATCAAATTAGTAGAATAGAGGATGAAGTACCAAGCTATATATATAGTTCGCATCAGCAATTTAGAGTATATCCGGATTGACGTTACGTACAACACATCCTCCATGCAGAACCAATATCGACAGCAACACTATAGCAAACTATTACCCCACCATGCTGCTGTCATTATAAAAGCCAGGCGGAGTTAGCGGGGACTGGGCATGTAAAAGCGATCCAGCGCTAGGCTCACTACGCAAGCATTCAATGTGATTCGCTCCATAGATGCAGGGGCTATGGGGCAGACCTGGACTCGATTCGCTGTGGTATCTCCTCTAGTGATGCGTGCAAACGTGTGAAGCGATTCACTGGCACACGTATGATTCGGAGATAAAGACTGAGAGATGGGATACTCATCAATGCAGCAACGCATATGGCGAATGACTCATGGTGGTGACGAGTCGACAGCGTAGTGAGCCGTGATTTTGGAAGCCAATCCGGACGGCTCGGTCGTGGCGGTTTAGTTACAGCGCAATAGCGAATAGCGACTGCATTTGGTATATTGGAAGCAACATGATTACAGATTTCACGACCTTGCCACACATACCAAAGCGTTACCTGTTGTTGGGCATTGGCTATTGAAGTTTCGTGCATATTCAGCTGCGATATAAGATATAAGCACAGGCTGAGAAATAGACACATGTATACCTACTTCAGCAATTATGTGAAAATTACCAGTGATTGACGGAAATTGGCAGTCGATTTGTAAATCTATATGCACGTCTAGCAGATAGTTCAAGGAGTATTGTAATACTATTAGAGCAGGTAAGTCTTTTGTACGTAATACCCATCGATGGTGAATCAGACGGGTGTCACCTACGGAGTACACTTCATACTCAAAATTTTAAGCTTGAACAGACCTTTGATTGCCTTAGTGGCGCCCAGATCCGGAGTAGGTATAGCAGACACTCTATATAAAGATGGAAGCGCAAGCCGAACAGTGAGTTCAAGTGTATCCTTAGTATTAAAGCTTGTGGTGTAGTTCTTAATGTGTTAATATCACAACATAGCTGCGTATTATTTGAAGGTTTTGCCGCCTGAACTTCCATTTACACTCTGCAATACTGCCCCCCGGAATAGAAACAAATTCCATTTCCATTTACGGATGATTCTCGTTTCGGCGGGGTCTATTCGCTGACTAAGGATGAATGTCTACTACGGTAATCCGAATCATTGATTGGATGGCTCATCTTCAGCATTTTCTCTGCTTCGAAATGCTGCCATTGGATGGACTTTGATATGCAGCATGCCGTGTTCAGTAGCAAAATCCGACTAAGATCGCTCTGCGTCTCGTATTTGCTTCTGGATATGCTTTATCACAAACTCAGTGCGGCGTTGGACAAGCTCTCGACTCGTGCCCTTCACTTACACGCCAATCAGCTAATGCCATCATATTCTTCAGCCAGCAACGAAATGCATGTGATAGCAGGGCATACTCACGCCATATAATTCTGCTATTCCCAACATCAATATTCTTTTCATATTCCCTTCTCCACAGATCACGGCATGTCCGTCATTTTGCATCTCCCAATCCATCAACAAGACACAAGGTCTCTCATCTCAGACAACGCCTCGGTAGCCGAATGGGTTTAGCCTCAAGCTGTCTCTAACACGAGCTCCACGCCAGTCAGCTTAGCATCTGTTTTCCACCCATTTTTGCTTCACCACTTTTTTTTTTCTCGTGCTACAGTAGGAATGGAGCCACATGCATCTTTACCGCCATACTAATACTATGCTACGTAAACAAACCGAGAGAAAAAAGCATGAGTCGCGTGACGGTATCCCGAATTTTGCAGCTGGACCCAGAGCCATCGACGGCATTGGCCGCTCTGTTCAAGGTCCGGGACCCATTATACGAAGCTATACCGCCCTATGTATCTGTTTCTTGCTTGTGATGCTGATGTAATGGGCGATCTCGATCTCTATTTGCTGGCGAGGAAAGGGGCTTGCGTCACTGTAAACATGCCGAGCCTCAGAAACTTTGGCATATCACAAATTATTAGCCTTCCTTTGCCACAACCAATTCTCTTTCTCATTTTAATCTCTCCCCCTAATTATACTTTTTTTAATATTCCGTCCCCCTAGCATTCGTAATTCAATTCTCGTATCTCAGGTCTATTTCTCTCTGTATTATTTCTTTTTTATTTACCCTTCTTTCCCTCCTTCTCTTCTTTCTCTTCGCCCACCTCGACAGTGCTTGCGCCCATCTCGAAGCTTCTTCCAGACTCAAATCGATTAGGTCATTGCCACTTCACTTGAGTAACCTCTCCAACTCGATCAAACAACCGCGACCATGATTGGAGGCTCAGAGCCCTCAGCGACCTCCAGGCTTTCTGCCTATCTCTCCAAATTCAATCCCGTGCCAGCTTTCCCCGAGTATACCGGACCGTTCAAAGTCGGCACGATTGACGTCGAGATTCCAGTCGCCGATCTCCCTTCGCCAGCTCCACAACCCGAAAATGCCAGCGGTATTCCAACAGTTCTGTTTCGAGTCTTCTACCCAGCTGTCGCAGAGTCGAACGAGAAGCTGATTAGCTGGTTGCCTGCGCCGCAAAGACACTATGTTTCAGCTTACACCAAGTTCATGGGAGTTGGACACACGCTGGCTGAGCTCCTCTCGTATGTCACCACCCAGGTTTTTTTTTTTTATCATTTGTTCAACATTAATACACCGTACTGACATTGATTGCTACAATAGATTCCTCCCCCGACACCTTCATTATACCTCCATTCCCGCCCATAAAAATGCTACATTGGCATCTCCCGAGACCGAAAACAAGCGATGGCCAACCATGATCTTCTCGCATGGCCTTGGAGGCAGCCGAAACTCATATTCATACATTGCTGGATCGCTTGCCTCCCACGGAGTTGTTGTCATCTGCCCCGAGCATCGAGATGGAAGCTCCGTCACTACATATGTTCGCATTCCTGGCCAACACGGTCGCCTTGCCCGAAAGGTGATCCCGTACAACCGAATTTCGCACGAAGTTTCGCCAGAAGTATATGAGGCTAGAGAAGCGCAGTTAAGGATCAGATTGTGGGAAATGGGCCTGATACACGAGGCCATCTTAGCCATCGACGCTGGCCGAGAGCCTTCCAACCTCAACCTCACTACCCCGAGCCTGAGCCAGTTTGTTGGTCGCCTGCATGTCAATGACCCTGGCAGCATTATCTTTGCCGGTCACAGCTTTGGCTCCACCACCATGTACCAACTCCTTAAAAGCACCTATTACGCTACTGTTCCAGAAATAGCTGGCATGGAGGCGCCATTATTTACACCTTCAGAGGACAGCAGCATTCGGAAACAGGTGACAGAGAAGAGTGTCACCATGCTCCTGGATATGTGGTGCATGCCCCTGCTGTCTCCCAACTCTAGTGCTCTATATAACCTTCCGCTTCCTTTATACGCTGATGTTCCCTCGGCAGCGGGCGGAAATGCTCTCTTGGCTGTTGAATCTGATGCTTTCTTCAAATGGTCAGAGCATCTCCATGCTACGGCTCGACTGCTATCGCCCGATCCAACGGCCAAGGTTGTGACACCAGAGATCTTTGAGACACCCAGCGGCAACAAACTTGCCGAGCCCAACTTCTTCTACGTTGTCAACTCAGCTCACTTGAGTCAATCTGACTTTGCCATTCTGTTTCCCCTCTTGACCAGAAAGGTGTTCAATGCTGTCGAGCCAGAGCGTGCTCTTCGGTTGAACTTGCGGGCACAGCTGCAGTTTCTCCGAGCAAACAAGGTTCCTGTAGCACGGACATGGATTGGAGACCTTGTCGATGGAGCTCATATGGACAAGCTGGATCTTGCAAAGAAGGACGCAAGCGCGGAGGTAGTGGCTGATGGATTGAACGACGACAAGGCCATTTTTGACAGAAGCGGAAACAATATTGTTGACAGCTGGAAATGGATCGACACTATCGGCATGGGAGAGGCAGAGGAGAAGGAAAGTGAAAAATCGACGACGGAGAAGATTGAACAGAGCGAGGAGCAGATGAAAGGCGAGCTGGAGCCCAGCGAACAACCCTCTGAGCCAGCCACGGTCAAAGGCGTCACTCTGCCTCAAGGCCATGGTTGGCGGGAGATATGAGATTAATCGCCGATTGGTAATGCTTGTGGTGGATCACAGTGATGATAATACTCGATGAACTCCCTTGTGTTATTTGGCCGTCTACCGGTCTGTTTTTGATATGCGTGTACGAACACAACTACCTGTGGCTTCGCTTCTTTTTTGTTCCTTTTATTCCCTTTGCTTTTTTTCGATTTTCTTTGTTATTTTGTTATACACTTTGTCAATCATACACTGTATACGGAGTTGAGGCATGGGTTTCGTTTCAGGCGCTGATTATAGAACGGGATGGATAATGACCAAGCAATCAATGAGAGGTATAATTATACCTCGTATGTATTATACATAGATAGATAGATAGCAGCGTTTCATTTGTTGCAATGCATCTTTTTTTTGTATTTAACCATCCATGGGTTTCCTTATATATTAAATTACGTGATTTTACCACGATTTCCTTAGGTCGCTTTGCTGTGCTAAGAGGGCCTGCGAAAGAAGCTTTTATCATATGGCTTGTTATTAATACCCATCTCCCAAAATAAAATCAAGACCTTTCTTTGCCCCTTTGTCAGGAAACTCTTATCATTACTTCATACATCCAAATCTAGGTTTTCCCAATTATAGCTTCTCGTTTGGATACTTCTTAGCAAACAGTCCCAGCGCCTTGATTGTAAATGTGTACTTGTAGTTTGGATACGAAATCATGCAAGATTTGTTGAAGACGCCTTCAATGTTCTCCTGCAACCATTCGCCGTTTGCCTGCTGCCGGTCGGTGATGAGTTTAATGCCCTTCTTGATTCGCTCCATATCAGGGTAGTCCGCCTCAAGTAGGGCGATCAGAGCCCATGCAGTCTGCACGACAAGGGATCCCGATTCATGCTCAATGTACGTCATGGTTTCAGAAGCCTAAAGTTGATGGATTAGCACAATGTTCCAATCAAACTACAGCTCTAGACTGCCAAAGGGGCAGAAATTTTCTTACCTGGTAACTCTCAGACCATCCGCCATCTTCGCGCTGTTTCGAAATGAGGAAATCGCAGCCTCGCTTAGCTACTCTGCTGTTGGAATAGTTTTCTCCAATAGCAGCCATACTTTGGAGTGCAAACATTGCGGCATAAGTAAAGCAAATTCCCCAGCTTCCATACCAACTGCCGTCGGGCCTTTGGTAGCCCTTAATCCAGTTGGTAGCTCTCTTGATGAACAGATTAATCTCCTCAGTTCTGTATTCAGGCCAGTGCTTGCGGAATAAAGACAGTACTGTGACACATGCTGTTGTGCATTCGGGGTAGTCGTATTCAACCATGATTCTGCCAAATACCTCTGCCGCGTTGAGCAACTCTAGGTACTCGCTACCTCTTCGCTGCTCGTATGATGAGACTGCGCCATTGTCATTCTGATACAGCAATAGCGTATCAACGGCATCGAAAATTCGCTGATCTTCAAGAAGCTGCGGGTAGCCTTCCGTTTTCTGGAGTAGAATGACTGCCTTGAGTGCTTCTGAAATACAGTCGCTGACACCATATCCCTGGTCTTTGTTGCTAAATGGCCAGCCGCCTTTCCGGGGTTGTCGGTAGCATTTTTCTTGGTCTTTGCAGTTCTCTCTGATTTGCTGGCTCTCTAGATACTGAAGCGCCTTCAACAGCATAGGTCGCCAGCGCTCTTTGTCGTGCAGCCCCGACTCAACCACAGCCAGGATGGCAAAAGCAGTATCCCAGCACTGGACGCCGTTTGTGCCGTTGCACAGCATTCCTTCATCTTTGACCCACAAGAACTCTTCCAGTCGCTCCCTGTGCCTCCGTACACTGAACGCATCTGGGCCGTCCCGGATATAACACACAATCATATTCATCGGCGAATTGACCGGTGCTAAGCCTGCATAATCTGTATTTGCATCTTCCATGTCGACAAGCTCACTTGCCCACTGCTCTCCTCGTTCTTTGATGAAATTGAAGCGGAGGTATGGATTATAAACATTGACCAAAACCCAATTGACTGTATTGAGCAACCATGATTTTGGGTTATAGTTGTCAATAGGCGCAATGCTGTTTCGGTGGCTTGCCCAGTTGATCTCTGCGTGGGGCGTGACGAACAGCTCCTGCTTCAACCCTCGGATCTCATCTGTCTCTTCACAGCTCCATCTCTTGGAGTAGATGTATCCCATGGGCAAAAACACTTGTCGAATGTGAATCCACCATCGCCAGGGAGCAATTGGGACCCAATCTGGCAGCAACCAGATTTCAGGAGGCACAGGATTCACAATATCCCACTCCACAACGCCCAGGACCGCCAGCCAAAATTTGCCCCAGTGAGGGTTATTCACTGCACCCCCCAGCTTATGCAGAGTTGCTCTGGCCTTCACCATGACGGGCTCCTCAGGATCCACGCCAACGAGTCGAAGGACGGTATAGTTCATAGCAGTGCCAAGGACTGTGCTTTCGCCCTCAATGTGCAGTCCCCAGCCACCATCTTTGGGATGCGCCCGTGCGGTAAGGTAATTCTTTATCTCGGTCGCGTAGGCGTCGGGGATGGGCGTCTTCGTCACATACCAAGCAACGACAACGCCCACCAGAAGAAACATGGGGCCGCCGTACTCGCAGCCCCAGTGGCCAGAGGGCAATTGAAGCTTTTCGAAGAAGGTAAGGCCGTTCTCGGCAGATTCGAGCGGTGTCGTAGCTTTCGGCAGAGCGGGGAGATCCTAGATGCCGCCACTGTCAGTCTTGCATTTGTTGGTTTTCTCGAAGCCGGTGAGAAGCATACCATGGGCAGATTCAGGTACCATTTTTCAGCATAGCTCTGCGGCCACTCCTCGGCTGCCTTGTCGTCCTCGAGATAGTGCCACGTGTGGCGGCTCTCGTCGTCTTTCATTCTCCATCTCGTGAGGTCAGTCTTGCCACCGACTTTGGGTCGCTTGGGAAAGCTGTCGGCAGAGTCGTCAGAGGCTCGCTTGCGGGACTTGGCGCTGCCGATATCTCGACCTGTGGCGGTAGCCATCGTGATGGAAATGGCTCTGGTGATGCGAATGGCCAATTGGTCACAGACTGGAAATTGGCAGCCTTTCCCAAGATTTATAAGGTAAGAGAAGGTGCAGAAGCATGGAGATCCAAATGAAGCGAAGGGGTTGCGTTTAGCGTCATCCAAGAATGTACACCACATTTCCAGCTGTTTAGCGGTGCTTGTGCCTGACGGTGACATCCACTGGTCCCTGATTGGGGGCGCCGGGCTCCAACCTTAGCGGGCGACTGTGCGCTAAAGGCTGCGAGATTGACCGCTAATGCAGCCATCGTGCGCGCTGAGACTGCCCTCGTATTCGTATGCGGCAATCGTCCCATGCTCGCATTCGAATGCAGTCCATATCACATCCAAACCACCAATCGCCAGCCACTCTCAGCTGTACTGCACGACTCCAATTGACGGACTGCTCAAAAGCCCGGGACTGCGAACACACCATTTGTTTCTCATCACATGCAAATATCCATGGACTGGACGACAACGAACGTCATACGCCGGGATGGGGAGCAGCTTGTTACCCAGCCTAGAAGCATCACATCGGCTGGGGCTGTCATATCTCGAATCGAGTCCATCTTGGAGTCTGTCCTTGACTGTGTGGCCGAAGGAAAGGAGCTCCTGATCGACTTTGCCACAGGTAGAGAAGATCAAACCACCCAAAAGATCCATTTCCCAGGAAAGTGTTTGCAGGAGGCCACAAAATTCGGTAGGCACTATTGCTCAAGCGAGTGATTCTTGTGTTCTGCGTCTCATCTTGCAATTCCAAGCTCGGATCCTTCTCATTTTGCAGCTCGCCCACGACGCTCTGGTTTCGGGGATAGTATTGACCAAGCGGTTAGTACAGTCGATTTTTTATAGGTATATCTTTGGCGCTGCTAAATTCTGACACGGCCATCGCAGCCACATCTTCTATCAGCACCAAGAATTATTTGGCAGCCAGAGGACGGTGGATAAGCTTGTAGACAGCCTTGCCCTAGCACTTGGCATTCATCGTGATGAGTTGAATATTGTATGTGAAGTTGTGAAGTGGCGAAGTACTGACCACTCATTTGAGCACGCATTTAACAAATATATAGGTCGCCTCTTCAAAGGGAGTCTTCTCAGGATGTCTCAGTATTCGCCTTCAAGATGATAGAGTGATTGGTCCCGCCACAGGTGATGCGGTTTGTAGACCTGATTCTACCGCTTGTTGCCTGATTTTAATACTTGACCAGGGGATTACGCTACCAACGACTGGATCAATTGCGACCATAAACTGCGAAGCCACACGGTGGATTCTCGTCGTTGAGAAAGACGTTTGTGCAATCTTTTCAGTGTCTTCGTGTTTGTTGACCTGCTAACTCTTTTCCAAGGCAATATTTCGCTCTTTGACATCTTCGTCGTTTTGGCAAACGTCTCGTGTTGGTCCGGGCATCATCATAACAGCAAGTTATATCGAATGAGCACTTCTTACTGATGTAGCTGACGTTGAAGCCACAAGGCCAAGGGGTATCCGGACATACTCACATGCTCGTTTCTGCAGCTCATCCGCTTCAACTGTCCACAGATACCAATATTTACACTAGTCGACTATGACCCTGATGGGCTCAATATTTTCCGCTGCTATCGTTTTAGATCTAACAATGCAATTCAAGAAACAGATGCTACGACTTCAAGTATACGCTGGCTTGGAATCAAATCACAAGATCTTCTAGAATATGAGACTTATCTCAATAGCTCGATAAGGCACTCTTCAGCCAGCCAGCAATTGACAAATAGTCAGTCGTCCGAGGAGAGCAATAGTTCGAAAACGTCAATCTCGTCTACCGAGTGTCGTGACCCTGTTTCATTTCTTTCAACACGCGATCGTAAAGTCGCCGTCGGGATTTTAGAAAAGCTGTTAGACGTCAAAGATGATGCTGAAGTCGTCGAAGCCCAGAGAGAACTTCAAGTCATGTTGATGATGGGCGTCAAAGCTGAGATACAATGGCTCGATGAAGCAGGAAATCTCACTGACTGGCTCGACTTCAAGCTTGGGAAGCTCCTTTTATAGGTAAGAGACTCTTAGAATCTCGCAAAAATTGCCACATAAGAGCCAAAGCCATTTTAGTCGAGGGAAGGCTGCACTTTCCGTACTGTTCCTTGGTAATAGGGCTGTTGCACTACTAGATGTCGATTTCCGTTTTCCAGCTCCTAAGATAGTCATCCAAATTGACGAAGATATTACAACGTGGAATGATCCCACATATATCTACGCATAGCCGTCCTTTTCCGACCTCTTCACTACTGTGCCGAAATACTTAGGCGTTTGCCTGTCCAAATGCATCTACTGCGGTATCATTCTTAGGCATACGAAGACGTTTAATGTCGCCGGCATTGAAGAAGCATTTGCACGATGGTCCACCCTGATAGGAACATGGTGCATTTGCCAAACAGTGTCTTATATGCATCTGCTCCTATCACTGTCCTCAATCGATAGATGCTGCGATTTAAATTGGCGCTCGCATACACTCTACACTCTGCATGCTCATCCACTTACCCGGAAAAGCTTTGAAGGCATAGCGGCGCACAGTGCAAAAATCGCGGGGCAAAATTTTCACACAGTCCCCTCCACCAATGAAGAAGTGTGCTAAAATTTTATCTTTGCAAACTCAAGAAGAGCGAGTGAACTCATATATCACAATGGCGCCGAATCTCACTGAAGAAGAAATCGACGATCTCGTGTATTTCGCCAGAGTAGGCGAGGATGCGGATCTTACCGAGACGCTGACGGCCTTGTCAGAGCGCGAGAAGGCGACTCCAGCTGAGATTCTGCTGGCCGCTAAGGATGAGGGCAAATCAACGGCTTTACACATGGCGGCAGGAAATGGCCATTTAGGTAAGAAAAAGTTGATACGAATTCTCTGAGAATATCCAGCATTAGCTGTGAAATTGTCTCTGTCGAATCAGAGAAATCCGGTGGAGAGAGGCGGGAGGCTGATGAGATGCTCAGAAACTGTTCGCAAACTCATTCAATATTTTGATGAGAGACCAAAGGAAGAGAAGAAGACTTTCCTGGACGATGCCAATGAGCATGGAAACACCGGTATGCACTGGGCTGCTCTTGGAGGCCACCTGGACATTGTCAAGCTTCTCATGGAACAAGGTGCTTCACCTGCACTGGCCAATGAGCGAAACTACGTTCCCCTGGACCTGGCTTACTTTAACGAACACAACGACGTTGCGCAATTCTTTTTGGCATCTGCCGGCATGCTGGAGGAGAAGAACCAGGAGAGCGGATTGAACGGTGCCGTAGAGGCGGTCAAGCTGGAAGAGAATGAAGGCGAAGGAGAGGATAACTAAGCCTCTGCTTCATGAGAAGCTGGAGAGCGCTTGATAAACAGGGAGAAAAAAATACGGTTAGGAGACAACTTGTCATGGCGGTGGGTACATCCAAGGAACTAGGCAGATATGGAAGATACGGAAGGCTTTGTCGGAACAAAAAAAAAGGATACGATATATGGGATCATCTGGATTCGGATAGACTTGAAAGAGCATTGCCGCTCTAATTTATGAATTTGCGTTAGTATAAGAAGCAGCCTAAGATTGCTGGTGAACTCCGTTTGAGGCGAAAGGTGAAGTTAGTTTGATTGGTAATCGCGGCCGAAGCAGAAATCAATGGTAAAGTTATAGACTACTGATGAAAGTAGCATTCCCATTTGATACGACGCCGATGCCGCATATGGCTGACTCCAGGATCGGCTCCAAGTGAGGCGTCTGCGGCGTCTTAAGCTGATAAATTATGTATGTGTCTACTCACCATCCAAGAGGATCCGGAGACAGAGCCGAGGGATGGCTTGACACTTGAGCTAGGTTACCGACAAATGGGAAATACCACGTAGTATAGATGGACTAACGCGAAGAAGGGGAGATAGAGCGAGCCAAGAGGACGATAGGCGTAGAATATGGAGTACGCGTAGATAGCGAGCGGGAGGGTTTGTGGGCAACATGCGACTGACCCCCACCGAGCCGGATGGTCATCCCCAGACGGCGACCGCCACTGTTATCGGATAAGCTGAAGATACCGGTAGTGCTGAAGCTGCTCTCGCCACTGAAGCCCAGAACGACGCACTATCGACGCCATCTTGGTCTGCCGCTCCGCAGCTTCGTGCCGTCGCCATCGCCAGCAAAGCCTCGGTGGGGGTCAACCCCAGAAACGCCCAAACGTGGGATTCCTTATTTCCCCAGCTCTGCGTCCCCGCGTAAGTGCCCAGAGCGGAACGGAAAAGACCCTTTGGCATCAGATCAATTGCCGATGCGGATGCTGAAGCTGGCCAGGGTTCGCTGCAGAGACGACGTGAGACTCCGCTAGCAAAAGCACACAATCGCAATCTGGCTTCGTCGACGGGGCCCGGCAATGAATAAATGACTTGGATGGAGTCGCCACAGCCTGCGAATGTCTTCGGGGCCTCGATCACCTCGACGACGGGCATCGCGGCGCGCACAGCGTCGGGGTCCAGCGCGAGCACCAGCGCGAGCAACAGCAACAGCGCCGGCGTCACGACCGCCTCGTCGTCCTACAAGCGCGCCAGCCGGAAGGGCGCGCCGCGACGCTTTGTGTGCGATCATGCCGGGTGCGACAAGATCTACTCGCGCGCCGAGCATCTGCAGCGCCATCAGCTGAACCGTACGAGCGCCAATTGCAGGTCCCGTTTGCTGTGCCGTGCTGACATGTAGCAACAACAACAGACAACCCGAAGGAGATTTACCGCTGCGACGTTGGCGACTGCGACCAGAAGTTTGTGCGACTGGATCTGCTGTCGCGCCACAAGAAGCGACACACGGCCTCGTACACGCCGAGGAACCGCATCCCCAGCTTCGACACCGGGGGCGATGCCACGATCAAGTCGCCGCCGGATCGCCATAGCGTCGCCGCCCAGCCGCAGTCACAGCCGCAGTCGTCGTACAGTCAGCATCACCACCAAGTGTCGACGTCGGGGCCTCACGATGCCGCCATTCTGCTGACTCCCGACTCCAACACGGGATCAACTCCCGCGCCGCTGAACCATCCGCTGACGACGGGCAGAGCAGCCCATCCAAGCACGACGTGGGCGCCATCGCTTGACGACCGCACGGCTCCAAGCAACATCATGAGACATAGGCCGAGTTTCTACGCAACCGACCCGTCGGTTCTGCCGGAATCGTCTGGCATGGTGGGCTTTGGAGGCGTTGGGTATCCTGGCGACGACTCCTTGTCGCAAGGCAACTTTGCCGCTTGGCTATTCGACCCTCAAACCACCTACAGCGATTTCAGCATGGCGGGTCTTCCTTTCCTTGAAGGTGGCCTGGAGTCTACTTTCAACAACAACATTCACTACGACTACGAGTCTCTCACCAGTTTGTCGCCCATGGACCAGCCTCACCGACTCTCCGAGTCGTCATCAGACGACTGGATCACGGAAGCAAGGCGGCAAGAGCTGCTTCACTGGTTCCAAACCTTCCGCAAGAAGCAGCCGAGATACGAGCCACTGATGCCCAACCTGGTCCTCGAAAGCGGCGGCGACATGCCTGCGCTAAACGTGGACATGATGAGAGACTGTCTCAAGGAATTCTGGGATAATGTCTCGCCTCGACTCCCCATTATCCACCAACACACATTCTCTCCGAACCGATGCCCCGTTCTGCTCCTTCTTGTCATGATTTCCCTCGGTGCTGCATCATTACGGGGCCGCGATATGACGGGACAACTATCAGAATATGGCCCCTTTGCAGATGTAATAATTTCTTGTGCGCGATGGGAGATCTTGACCTCTGATGATTCTGCGCCACCTGCTAGTCTCTGGGTTTTACAGGCTCTCCTACTTCTCGAATTTTACGAAAAGCTGTATTCGTCTCGAAAACTGCACGAGAGGGCGCATATCTACCATCCCGCATTTCTAACGCTGCTCAGACGCGGAAGTCCCTTGATTGGCAGAACGGGCAGTGAATCCCCACCTGAGCCAGATTCGCTGGGACCAGATCGAGAAACACCGAATATGGCGCTAGATTCCCGGACGTGGTGGGCTCGATGGGCAGAGACGGAGTCGATGCATCGGGTCGTGTTTGCGGCGTTTATGCTCGACGTTATCCACGCCGCAATGTTTGGCCACGCGGCGGACATGGCGCCCCACGAAATCCGACTGCCGCTCCCCTGTGACGACAACCTCTGGGCGGCGAATAGCCCGGATGTGGTTCGTCAACTGGATGCCAACTTTAGAATGTACGGCGTGAAGCAGGTCTCTTTCCTAGACGGACTGAAAAGCGCACTGCATGGAAAGGAGGTCAAGACGCATTCGTTTGGACGTATGATTATCATTTCGGGGTTGCTGAGCGTGGGGTGGCACTTAAACCACAGAGAGACGCATCTGAAATGGCTGGATATCCGGACGCCATCGATGGAGACGCAGGAAAATTGGCGCAAGTTGCTTCTCAGAGCATTTGACAACTGGAAGGGCAGCTTTGATATTGCCATGTCCGACTCCATTTCCGATGCCCCTGGTCACCGAGGCATCCCCAATGGCCCTATCAACAGCGCCTCAGTTCTCTATCACCTCGCCCACATAAGTCTTCACGCAGATATTGTCGATTGCCAAGTTTATGCCGGCGCCAAGCGTCTTCTTGGGCGCAAAGTCTCATCCAGGGACTATTCCAATGTCATCAAGCGCATGAGCACCTGGTCAAACCAGGGGTCGACCCGCCATGCTATTCTCCATGCTTTCAAGCTCCTCTACCGCGTTGTTGTCGACCCCCACCCTCGACGTCGAAACAGCCCTCACCCGCCCGAACATGCCGCCATTCAGTATTCTATCCGGAACGAGCCCGACCCTCACCGACCGTGGATCATGTATTATGCCGTGTTGGCCATCTGGGCGTTTGTACAAGCTTTGGGGCGTCCTCCCGGAAAGGGCTTTCCGCTGCCCACATCGCAGCTTGGACATAGCAGTTATGCGCGGATGGTCGAGTACGTATCTAGTGTTGCTGCGCTGCAAGAGCTTGACGAGCAGGCATCAGCGGTGTTATACGAAGGTTTGCCAGATCTACTTGACGTGATGGTCGACATCCTTGAAGAAGCAGACACAGAGCTGCTGTCAGAAGCACGGGAACGGTTAAAAGTGTGCAAAGAGGTGCTACTGGGAGGACTTCCTCGGCAGCTACACTGAATCATTTGCTTTTTATATACACCACGTCTCATTTTTTTTTGGTACATACCTATAATTTTTGGTCTTTCTTTTTTGGGAGGTAGAAGTGGACGATTTGGTGGAGCAACGAGGCGGGCTGCTTGATTTTACTAGGAGTTTGTTAATGGGAAATACCTGGGCCACACTTGATCTGTTGTACATATTCTAAGCGTCGGTGTAGCTAGAGCTTGGGTAACGAATGAAACGTTTACAGATATCTCAAAACAAGCTGCCTTGTTTATTTGTGCCGAATGCTTTGTTCCTCCTATGTGCGATGATGGTGCTTATTCTTGTCAAAGCTTGTTCATAATTACTGGGTGTACAATGGTTTTTATCTTTCAGTGACGATTTTCTCTAAATTTTTTTTTGACTTTTCAGAGAGTTCAATAATCTAGTTGAATCTTGAAGTTGTTCTCACCAACTGAATCATATTTGCTGTCTGTTACTTCCTCTTCCCAAGGACATAAACAGGATATCTTTTAGTCGTACAAGTCTAATCCTGCATTTCACAATCACTACACAATGCCGATCCGTGATGAACTAAGTCTAAAACACCATGGAAACTTTTTACATCGCCATGGTTTCGTAGTTTCTTCATGCCTACTTAAGTCATAAGCATCCCCAGTGCCTTCCTCTGTCTGCGCAATAACAAGTCTCCAATCAACAGCCCTCTCCCATATCCGATACTCACCCTCGAAGCTAAGAACAGTATTACTCAAAATCTCAAAGATAACACCTTAATCTGCGCTCTGGCTACCACTATGTCTCTCTCCTGGCCGTCCAGCAACGAAGCTTCTGATGGTTTAGACCCCTTCTTCGAAGATCTCAAAGCAGGCATCACAAAGCTTGTTAATGCCGCTGCCAATTCTCAACTCGCTGAAAAATCTGTCTGGGTAACGCTCACTCCAAAGCCCCAGTTGGGTAAGAACGTCTGCTGGTGTGGAGAAGACAAAGAACACAACTTCAAGACTTGCAGTCAAAGACTGTCAGTCCTGATGCAAGGCTTTCCCCGTGTCCCCATAAATATGACAAGAAAAACTTTAATCACAACTGCTATTGCTTCCAAATTGCTGGTACAATGAAGATCTTTCATCAATTTTTCCTCAAACCTCGCATCCTTGCTATTCTTTCGCCTGAACACAAATTCGCTGATGGCGACCCAGTGCAAAACTTGGGCCAGGGGCAAGAGGGCGCCCTCAAGAATATTGTGAATTTCTACAATAATCGCGTACCAACATCCGCGCTGTGGGCATCGGATGATGCGAAATACAAAGAGCTGGCCCAGTTTCTGACAGATATGCGGCGGGAAGACGTTGTGGTCGAGGCAGAGAAGGACGTCAACTTTCCGTGGCATATTGAGCGGGTACACGCCATACTGGGGTGGCGCAACAGAGGGGTTGATGAGTGCGTGGCAGACCTGAAGAAGGCGACAGATGAAGCTAGTCGTCACAGAACCAGCATATATAAGTCATACCACGCAATTATTGTTGAGGAAGATATTTCCTTCTACTGATAGAATGTGGGAAAGAGAAAGGCGTGTTAGCGATGATGGATCCCAAAGCGATATTGAGAAGAAGAATCGCCAAAGGGGGTCTGTAAGGAGCGAAATATGCTTGGTTTCAGAAGAGTTTATTGCAAGGGAGATGGTTTGGAGAGATTTTGTATTGAAAGCGGATGGGCTATTTCATGAATAGACAAGCATTTTACAAAACGTGTTCCTGGCCTGGGGGACCTAACAACTGTGAATTAAGCAGGCAACGGTTTCTTCTTCGGCTTTACCAACATGAATAACTGTTTTTTTTTTCTCTCGCGTTGATAAGAGTCAGAATATTTCGAGGTTTAGATACTAACAATCTTTATTCTTATAGGTGAGTCGACAGTGGGTAACACCAGAAAAAGACACATCCACCTGCGACAAAGCTGACATGGATATTAGCAGAAATAAAAACAGAAATAGCAAATTATATGACTAGAGGTTAAATAACAAGTCTTTGATCTTTCAAGTTACAAGATATACAACCAAAGATTGTACGCTTTTACCTCTTCTTACTCCTGAAGTCGAGATCGAGTAGTTCGGAAAATAAGGGGATGATACTATCTATTCTAGAAGCGGGGACATGGTACTTTGATTAACGACGTAATATCTAAGCTCTAATTAAATGTATTGGTGATTGTACCTGATCCAGTAGCGTATATTCCTGAAACAAAATTGCGAGCTTTAATAGGCCCGTGGAATACCGCCCCTGGATAGCTTTGAGAACTTTTAGCTGCTGTCTGTGTGTTCTGTACATTCCCATTGACCTGCATTAAGCTTTCTGTATCTGTCTTCGTATATCTGCGAAGCAAAGCCTTCGCAGCAGCTGCTGATGTTGCCGCCGCAAAGTTTTGCCATGTCTTGCTTTTGTGGCTATCGGCATAGTCACAAACACCCTTGACAATAATGCACGGCACCTCTTCCCAAATACCAGCTCCCTCCATCTCAAAGGCAATTACACCTTCATCTCTCGCAATCTTATCCCGGTCCATCCCATATTTCATAATAGTGTC